CATTACCCCCAGATAGCTTACACTCTCTTCGTAGCCAACTCATGTTAACTATTGGACTGATAGTTCTTAGTGACAAGTGACTTCTCATACCTTGTGTTCTTCCCAACCAGTTCATACTATTCAGATTGTTACTAGGAACCCTAACCCAGTTAGGCCCCAGTAGGATCTCTAACACCTCCCTGGCCAACGGTAAGAACTGATCATATTGTTATTGGCAGTAACTAATGAGGGATGTGGTTCTTGCCCTTCCGACTCCTACACTAGTACGTACTTCATTCTGAAGTGGCATGGCTTGCATGATACGTTCATCAAGTGTATGTCGTAACCGAGACTTAGTATCTGACATACTCTGTATGTAGGCCTTCCCTGTGCATAACGCCTCGGCCACGTCAATGTCTGTTCTTAGAGGTCTTCATCTCGCAGGACTGTGCATCCTCTCGCATCTGTATCCATACGCCTTCGGTATAAATGTATGTTCCTGTCCTAAAGCACCAGTAAGGGCCTAACTTGATGATGTATGTCTCCTGAGAACGGTCTGTCTGAGGGTCACCAGTGGCTGATAGTGATATGGATTTGATAATTAATCATTGTATACGTGCCAACAAAGAACAACGGAAAGGGAGGATCGTTACGGACTGATTTAGGGATGTTGCACTAGATTGGCTTTCTGTCTAGTTATTGTGATCAAAGAACGAACAAGATGTGCTGCCGAAAGAATCCATGCCAATCCATCCCCAGCCTCGTGAGAGTTTACGTTTGGCACCGCGCTCTAGTTCCTAGAGAGCCAGCATGGAGTTGTGGAGCGCTGGATATTTTTGGTGATATTGGGCGATATTGAGTGATCTTGGCGACATTGGGTGATTTGGCGATATTGGGTGATCTTGGAGATCTTGCGCGACATCGAGAGATATCACGGGACAATGGAAAGGACTTTCTTCGGCGCCCATACAAAGGAACTCACGTGATTCCAGCGCCCAGATACTAAGGTGAGCCACATGTCGTGGCGTTTTGTTCCAGCCACAGTTGGGCAGGAATTTCAAGACTGCGCTACCCCGACTTCACATTAATGCCATCAATAAACCCCTCCGTACGATGATACTTCAGGTCAGAAGCCAACCATCTCGGCTACCTACTTAATGAAGAGCGGTAATATACATTGGAACTATGCAGGCTTTGAGACTGACACTGCTTTAGGCAAGACAAAGCCATTACCCTTTGACCGAGACGAGAATCGAATCTAGAAGTTCTAGTCGACAATTACGAGGCGCTCAGTCCCCCGTCTAGATTGATATGACGGAAAAAAAGACAGTGACAGCAGAGCTCTTGGTATGGTGGTTTCCGAATCTCGAAAAAGAAATCGAGACCGGCTTATCATATTCGCAGCGCAATAGCTTCAAACCACTCACGGTATCACCAGACTTTTTCAAAGATTGCAAGAGACACCCAATCAACTATATCCCCGCAGAAAACTACGAGAGATATTACTACTTCTTTGATTGTCAGGACATTATGTTTCGGAATGAGAAAGGAGAGGATATTTGGTCCACAGTGGGCGGAGGGGAAATGCTCGTTCCAAGAGGAGTATCCATTTTAATTAACAGAGGAAAGTTACGAAACGGGTGACTTGGGGTTATTGGAGCTCCGCGTACAATTCATTAAGTATCGAAATGCCTACAAGATATCCAATGCGCACACATAAAGTACCTTGATGAGGTTCCCTGCGATTCACTCTCATCGCAATACAGTTAGTTGTATGGAGCATGTCATGCTGCTTCTCCCATGCCCGTAGCTGGCTGTTCTCAATTGCCCCACAGATGCGCGGACTAAACAATGAAGCGATGGCTGGAATTGAAGCCCTCGTCAAGACAATATAGATATCATCCTCTGTTTAACCGTACGTTGGATTAGATGTCTCGCCCTTAGCTGTATAGCTCGTGCACTCACGGGTTCTAGATATCGGTACTCCTGTCACATCTCCTTCGTCTGGAAACAGTACACTGCTATACTCAGCGGCGCATCCAATATCCAGATATATGATGCCGTCGGTGAGGTCCCTCAGAGGAAACTTCGTTCGGACACTCTCTGTTGTTTGGAGTGTTCGACTTCTAGCCTTTTCACTTAGCCGTACGGAGGAGATTTCGACACCTCCGTAGATACGATTGCCGAAGATAGCGACAATCGCGGCCAATTCAGCTGCATGATACGCCAAATGTTTATCTGCTTCTGCAGTGCTGACAGGTTTTGGACAACAATCTGCTCCTGTTAGCCTCTCCTTAAAGATTTGTGTAAAGGTGGAAGGCCAACTTAGGAATAGAACTTCAATCACTTTCTTGTAATAAGTGCCCTCGCTGATCTCTCGTTTCTGGCCTATGCTTGCGAAGGTTTCCTTGACATTGTTGCTCCAATGAAAGCCGTCCGGCGGTGAATTGTAATGACCGAGTTGCGACAAATCAAAGGACAGACAAGAGCGTGGAGAGATCGCAAGAATGAAAGGAAGGAATACGTGAGGATACGTCTCGAGGACCTCAAAATAAACCTTTTGAGCTTTTTTGCAACAATAAACAGCGTTAACTTCTTTCTTTGGTCGCCTCTCTGCGCTCCGTGGTTGGCGCCCAAAGAAGGTACAAAGTAGGACTAGGCGGTCTTCAAGGGTTCGAAGATAGACGAAGGGTACCGTCTTATTCCTATTAAGATCTTTCGAGACCTTGTCGATTTGAGAAAGTTTCGAGCTCATGGCAATGTGAGAGGTAAGTATGAAGAGATTAGAAGACATAGAAAGAACACAATGTATGATATAGCAGACATAGGGTGTGATAGGATAACGCGGGTGACATAGGGTGACATAGGGTGACATAGGATGTTATAGGGTGATATAGGGTGTGATAGAGGGTGTGACACAGGGTGTCATAGGCTGTGATAGGTTCTGGGTGGAAAGAACCATCTTTCTGCATGCGCACGCTTAGCACTTTTGGCCTTAGCGCCAACCTCACTCACTATTTTCTTGCCTGGGAACTTTTCCACAACTCCAATTCCGTGTTCAACCGTGGCCGATAATCGCGACTCCGTCACATCATCGACTTATTTCGGTCAAAGCACGTTACACATCTACTGAGACTTCTGCTCATGAGTCTGTCCGGGGTTCTTGCATCCTACGTGCGAGCCGAGCCAACGTGCAGGAAACACTAAAACACCTACACATATATTTATCTAAAGAAATCCCTGCAATATGGTGGCACGCAAAGCGACAGACTGAGGGGATTGCTTCCCATCTACCCGATTTCTACTATATGCATGGGTTTGCTATCACATACATATACATAACAGACAAGCTCTCTAGGAACCGACACCTGAGTGTGCCCTCAGACTTCAAACAGCAACTACCAAGTCTAGATTAAGTCACATGCCACATGCCTGCTTTAGATATATACTAACATCAAGCAGGATTTGTCAACTCACCCATCAACAAATCCTCCGCGGGTGTACATTACCCTTTCATACTGCCTTTGACGGGTCACCGAGTATACCTCGTCATGTGTTCTTACGGCATAACCCATGCTGTTCGAGGGGAGTGCACAAGGCAACCACAACATAAGATAGAGACACGACTGCGCAAGAGATGCGTCAATTCGCCAAAGCCAGGACCTCCTTGTGACAATCCCACGCACGACCCAGGTCTAGATCAGCTCCCTTCTAGGAAAGGAGGGGCATGCCCAGCATGTCGGGATTCGGGGATATCACTTGAAATCTATCAAGTCAAATGGGTAAGCTTAACCGTACTCTTATCAATATACATGCGCTCTGAACATCGATGAATGATAGGTGGATCTGCACGGCTAGACTCCGTCACTTATGAATAGTAATAAAGTCTAAGTAGAACTTAGGCGAAGGTCATGGCAAATGAGTTGAAATAATACTACGGGCAGATCGGAGAATTTCTATGACTATACTGGCTCGCATAACATTAGATAGCTATGGAGTGATAGAAGAGTAACCTTCTGTCCCGAAGCTCATGACACCTCGTTCCATTTCACGAGTATGGGATGGGCGTGAAACGTTTCTAGCTCTCGAAGAACCTCACTCATAGAGGTAAAGTCGCCATGCCAGCAGCTCTGGATTAACTGACCCAGAGGAAGAGATGTGACGTCGGGAAAACGATTGTTTGTGTATAGCTGTTCAACCTGCTGATATCGGTCGTTTGATGCCTCGAGCTCATGGTGTGGTGGTCTTCCAGTTATAACTTCGTAGATTGCACAACCAAATGCAAAAATGTCCGTGCGCCGATTCACCCTGGGTATTGATGGTCGATAACTGAACCATTCGTAACAGGAATCTGCTGGTTCACCATCGATGCTGCAGCCTTCAAAGTCGACTATCTTCAGGCAACCTTCTCTTGTTAGAATCATATTGTTACATCCGACATCACCGTGAACAATATTACAGTTATGTGAATGCTGGTAACCTTCTGCAGCTTGCCTCAGCCAGCTCAATTTCGTCTGGATCGGAATCTCAGTTGCGGAGGGAGATCGACAGATTGTCCGAAGGACTTCGCCTCGTTCGAGAACAATGGAACCATCTTTCCGGGTGCCCAGCAATTTTGCAATGTTAGGATGCGAGCCGAGACGGTGATATGCTCGACGTTCAACTTCGCCTCTGTCGCTCTCTTGAAATTCTTTTAAGACTCTCTTGTCATCGACCCCATAGACGATTCCTGATTTCCCGGCAGCAAGGAATTGTAATGCTTCAAATGATATCGAATCAATTTCTGTGTTACTTGGACGATGAAGTATTTTAAGGCATTTGGTGTAAAGCGCCCTCAGAATGGAGAGGAGTGAGAGGAAGGATCTCGCAGCGCGCAGGAAGGGTCCTAGATCGAACAGCATCTTTCCCTCGACGGTAACGGAGTATTTGAAGGGCTTTTCGGGAAGCGCAGGGAGGAAAGAGCGTCGTAATGAGGCTATGGTGGTGGATGTAGCATCGTTTAGGGAAACGATAGGTGTATCGTAGTGCTCCTAGCTTTGACGGCTCCTGTCATGGCTCCAATGCTTTCATGCTCTTTGAAAGTTGGGATGAAGGAACTGCGAGCGATGGGCCACAAAACGCAGGGACCATTCGCCACTACCCTAATACACGCGATTTTCCAGCTGGGCGCACAGCCCAGTAAGAAAGAACTCGAGTCTGCCCTAGGCAGCAGCCAAACTGGAAATGGCTGACTCTGAGAACACTACTGACAACAATAACCGAGTATGTGGGCCCGGAAATAGGCCCTTCCGAAGCTTTGAAACGCCGGAAACTGAGAACTTAGGGGCCGAGTTGTGGGCCCTGGCTCTGGCTCGCGGCTGTGCTCACGCTGCTCAGAGTACGCCTCAGGGCTCGCCAAGTCGTGCTCAGGATTGCTCAGCCACAGCTCAAAGTGGCTAGGTCATGGCTCAGGTCAAATGGCGGGATACTCAGGTCTGGAAACGGAAATGGACTTTGGAGAGGTCAAGATTGGCCGCTGAGTATTTCGGTATTGCGACAGTTGCGGCAGCCTCAACAATGCAGCGCTGGCTTCGGACAGATGCACTATATGCGGACACCATAAGTGTGCTGGTTGCACTGATGCTTGAATTCAGAGTGACGCTGGATCCTACCAAGTAGGAAATACGGGGCTGCCGAGGCTCCGAGCGCCGAAGTTGACGGCAGAGCCTTACGGGCTCTCAGCCTCGTTGGCCGCTTTTTCGGTCTTGTCATTGCGACCTCCTAGGCTCCCATTGATGCAATTTTCGGCTTGCCTTGCGAGAAACCTTGGGCTACCTCGTCAAAGCAAGACACATCCGCCTTTCTGCAATACTCGGCATTCCCTCATTGGACAATATTCGACGACCACAAACCCCAGTATCAACACAATGCCCCATCGACCCAAGCCAGAACGATCTCCCACCAGTCTTTACCGATGATTTCATTCTTCTTCTGCAGTTCTTTGTTATCGACAATGTCGTCTTGGGGGATACACAGCACCGGCATGAACTCCATCCACAGTCTTCTGGATTTCCGGAAACCAGTCCAATTCTCTACCTGTCGTTGTTATATCAGCACCACAGCCACCGATACGCCCACAGTCAAGTCAACCATCCATCCAATCATTCATTCACTCACTCCCTCAGTTCCTCACTCTGAATTCTACCTAGTCGTTACCTTTGCTAACGTTTTCTTTCCAAAGCCTCCCAGCATGAGTATCACAATTGGACTTCGCCTCAGGTACGGTTTCATTCGTTTGTTGGCCTGGCTCTCTCTCTCACACACACACTCATACATTCCCTTCTTATGCCCGCATCTATCTGCGCAAACGAATCTCTTATCCATGGATGGATGGTTCCCTTTCCATATTTCTCCTTTTACTTTAGATAGTGTCGTTAGTCATCCCACTCGTTTCGACGGCCCTGAGAAATGAAATGAGGGTCGCGCGGTTAGAGTAGGAACAGGGAAACTGTCGTTAACAGATGATGATTATTTGCCTCTCCTCTCCATTCTCTACTCGTCTCGTATCTTTTCTTCTCTTCCTGGCCCCCCAGTCTATCCTTCTCCGTAATCCTTCGGAAGAATCTTCTCCCCTTTTTCTGTCTCCTCTGGATTAACTCTCGAACTAACTACTATATCTCTCCATCCCTCTGTACCTCTGTCCTCTGTTCCTCCTGTCTACATATCTATCTGTATACCCAATGCGCAGGGGAGCACAGGGTAGCTCGATATAAATAAATATATATATATATATATTTAAGCGCTGGATAGATGGGTCGATGAGTGGAAAGATTCCAAAAATGCGTTTTCATCCTCGGAGTAGACAAACCTTTGTCTCGCATTTAAACCAACACATGTGATCGTATACATTCAGAGAGGTACGTACACGTGTCGACATATATAGATACGTATGTCGATCCGACACCTCACTGTCATCATGACCCTTTGAAAAATCCTTCTAACCCTCATTTCCCAGCTTTCATTCGAAGACCTCGCAAAATCTTGTACAGCGACTTGAAGAATCACATGCCCCGATTTTCCAAGGAGGCAAAACCGTTACCCGTATACTCCGTATGCAGACCATTCGCCATGGCCTAGGTATGTATATATATCCCCCGTGAACGCCAACGCTCCCCTGAAAGAACCATCAATGCGATCGACGTCTCCCTTGGACGTGTGGGGTGCGTGTCGACATGTCCATCACGCAGTCCCATGTCGTTGCAACGCATTGTATCAGAGCGTAGCAAATGAAATGTCATAAACAAACTCATGCTCCGCATCCCAAACAATGCCCCTCTTCCTGGAGGCATTGGCGAGGGAAGGTGGCCTTGGTTGAAGCAAGTTCCAAGGCCCTCGGATTGATGCCAGGTGAGCCCTAATGTCTCAATTTCGCAGACGGAAATTCGGCGCCTCGACACTGCGGTGCAAGAAAGGGAGCTTGACTTTCCCCGGCAGGGCGAGATCGGATTGTCAACCGAGTCCGGGGCATGGACTTCAGTTGCCCTTGGTAGCGCTCTCATCTCATTGTGTCAAGGGAACGAAGACGCACCACGAACTTCTCGTAGCTGAAGTCTCGTAACACGAGAGTCAGACGCGAAAACTCCTGCCGCCTCGAAACCATCTTGAAACCATCTCCTCAATGCTTAGACCGAGAGTCTCCATCCCCGGCCAAGTGTGAACGTCCACGTGTCTTATTCGTCCTAGGCTCTTGCCGACTTTCACCCTCAATTCGTCTTGTCCTCTTTTTCCACTTTTCACCGGCCACAACCGCACCATCCACTCCATCCTCGATTCCCGCATCTCTCTTCATCCTCTCTAACACTGGTCCCAGTTTATACATACTCACTGGATCACTGTGATCAACAAGGGGACTCGGTCTCAGTGGGAAAACCCAATCAAACACTGTATAGCCCATGACTTCTCTGAAGTTTCCCATGGCACCAATGTCAAAAGGATTACCACCAGGAGGGGATTCAAGGATGGCGAATGCACGTGTCTCCACTTTTGAGGGAACTGTAGGTGTGGAAATGGTCGGTTGCGAATCTGATGCGGACGGAGGTGTGTTTGCTGTCCCTTGCGTTGGCATGGCGGGATTAGGATTGGATGTCACGGTTGATTGCGGGTCATACGTGTTTTGTGGCGGCGTTGGCATTTGTGCATTTGAATCCCTGACCTGTACCGCAACATTCTGCTCACTGTCGTTCCTCATCTCTGCACCGTGCTGCTTGAGAATTTGAAACTGCTCCTCTGGAGGGCGAGGGTACGTGATCAATCTGAGATCCGTCCTGTTCGATTTTTGGTAGTTCTTCAGGACCCTCGGTGGTAAATATACGGCCATATACCATATTTTGGTCCTGCGGGTAAAATTCTCGATGGTGGTGGAATTAAGGAACGCGAATTGCAAGCTAGACCCACACATGCCCGCGGCGAAGATGAAAAATAATCCTGCAAAGATCAAGACCAGGATCCAATGCACGTTGATGAAATTTCCGGGCTCCTCGCTTCGGCGTCTGGCGAAGTAATACGCCATGACGACGAGTGTGTGAAGACAAAACAGGGCTGCCCAAAATGTGAACTGTATGAAGTATTTAAACGACGTTTCAGACACGATTCCGCCGACCCAGGGACAGAAGTGGTCCATCTTTAAGACGCAGCGGCCGAGTTCGCGGCAGTGGTGGGCCCGATCAAGCTTGTAATTGTAGCATGTTGAGCAGAATGGCGGGCGGCCGTCCCAGCCGCAGACGAAGACATCCTTGTGCCAGAAGTCTTGCGTGTGGAAGCCCTGAGCCTCCTTATCCTGCCGTCGGCGGAGATGCCGTGGCGTATACCCCTCCGTTGAATCGTATTCAAGCGCCTCTTCCTTATGACTGGCACTTCTCTCTTTCCGCCGCCTTCGTTCTTTTTCAATCCAGTACTGCTCTCCACGTGGAACGAGGCCCGGGTTTGTCAGAATCGTCTGAATCAGGCGGCCGAAGCATGTCAGCGCGCCAAGCAGGAGAAGGTAGAAAATGACGAGGATGGCGATCGCAGAGCCGGCCTCACGGCGGACAAGCAGCGACCGCGGAGGGTTGATGAGATACTTGAGACACACGAGATCCGTGAGGACCCATGATGAGTAGCCAATGATCCCAAGGAGGAATATTGGGACGATTCGTGCGGTCACCACATTCCCTCGTTTGTTGGCTTCCCCTGGCCGCATGGTTTTCATGGTGACGACAGAAATGGGGAGAAGAAGAGGATAGGAACAGGACCAATTTCAGCGAAGGGAAGGCATGTTGCTGTCACCGGAACTGCGTAGTGTAAGCCATTGAGGCGGCTATGTACACTCAAGGGCGCCAAAGTACAAAAGGCCCCTGTAAATGATATTTGTTGAAGTGTTCTGTCACCTCGACTGCAGACGGTGGAAATGACGAAGCAAAGTGAGGCTGAGTACACATCGAGAAAGTGTGCCGAACCGACGTCTGAGATCGAGAGACTTGTCTCAGTCCTCAGACCCGATATCGGGGCTACGCCCTGATTGGCTAGGCTAGAGCTAAAGCGCCGGCCAATCACAAAATTCAAAGAATGTTGCGATAAACGAGTCTGAGGCCCGATACGTGAAAATGGCCTAGATTTCATTCGGACTGTTTAAATGACGTTATTAGTAAGCGATTATATAGATAGTTTTAGTAATTACTTCGTCTTTTTAAATATTTATCGTTTAACCTTCCTAGATAGATAGCCAAGAGTCTTAGCGACACCTCAATTTTTAAAAGTCTTAGATTTTCTATAGATTATAACTACTTTAATTAATTATATCTCTCTATATATCTTTAATTAAACTAAAAGTTTCTATATATATAGAACTAAAGATTCTCTATTAATCTACACTAACTAAAGTAAGTAAATAATTTTTTTCGTAAAGTTATTAAACTTTAAAGATAGAGAATTAAAGCTGAAAAAGTAGTTTTTTCTAAATATCTTAGTAAGTATTAAAGATATTAAAATTCTAAATAAGTAGATTTATAAAGAATTAAATTTAGAATAATTTATGTATAGAAAGTTTTTTATTTAGACTAATTGTTCGATAGTTATTTAAAGAACGGAGTGAACGTTGATCTAATATATGGACTCTTTGCGCATTTTGCTAAGACCACGAACGCTTTTCTACCCCAAAACCACGTATTGGAGCTCAGACCCTTCTCGCGAAGGCGTTTTGCTCCGCAAAACAGTGGGCGCTGCCCACTTATGGCAACTGAGCCGATGGGTCTGAGAACTGAGACAACGAGAGACTCAATGGACATCGCGAGGACATCACCAGGAAAGCTTGGAAGCCGTTAGATCAATGGTAACGAACTCGTCATCAACGGATGTGGAATATGCTTGTCAATATGTGTTTCATTGTCGTTTACTTTGGAAATTTACCCCCATCCGCAAATCTATAGAGGCCGGTGGATGGAAATTATTCGTGGACAATGCCCCCTGAAGTTCAATCACGGCTCGTTCAGCAATCACCGACAAACTTCGCACAATCTCGCTCAGGCTTTTTCAAGCTTCTCCCGCAGGATGCCCTTCAATGTGACTGCGTCCGCCGCAAATTTACTGATACCTTCTCGCAACTTCTCAACTGCCATTTGCTCCTCGTTGAAGTCGAAGCGGAACAAGGACTCGTCATTGATGTAGCTGCGCTTTGGGATGTCTAGGGTCTTGGCTTCTTCGGCCTTGAGCTTCTGAGGTACCAGATCGGTCGAGTTGTACAGATGCTCAAGCAAGTTGGGCGAGATGGTCAAGTAGTCGCAGCCAGCGAGCTCGGTGATCTCACCCACGTTTCGGAATGAGGCACCCATGACGATGGTCTTGTAGTCGTATTTCTTGTAATAGTTGAAGATGGCTTGCACGCTCTTGACACCGGGGTCTTCATTGGCAGGGAAGTCCTTCTTCATAGCAGCCTTGTACCAATCGAGGATTCGGCCGACGAAAGGGGAAATGAGGAAGGCACCAGCTTCGGCGGCTGCAATGGCCTGGACCAAGGAGAACATCAAAGTCAAGTTGCAGTTGATGCCCTCCTTTTGGAGGATCTCCGCAGCCTTGATGCCCTCCCAGGTAGAAGCAATCTTGATCAAGACGCGTGACTTGTCAATGCCGATCGATTTGTAGAGCTGTGGGTTGTGAGCTTATCAGGTTTAGAAGGAGGAAACTCGAGAACTCACTGCAATGATATGGCGAGCCTTCTCTACTGAAGCCTGGGTATCGAAGGAGAATCGAGCATCCACCTCGGTTGAGACTTTGCCCGGAACAATCTTCAGGATCTCATTGCCAAATTCGACTAGAAGTCTGTCGAGTGTGGCATCAACTCGCTCGTCAATGGTTTTGCCCTGTCGCGCTTTGTTCAGTATGGCATTTTGAGAGGCATGAGGCAGTCGGACGTACATGAGTCTTGCCATATTCAACCGCAGGGTCGATCAACTTGGCATACTCAGGTTTCTTAGATGCGGCGAGGATGAGCGAGGGGTTGGTGGTGGCATCTTGTGGCTTGTACTTTTCGATTGCTGCGCCAGGTGAGCAGTAGTCCAATCTCGGGGGGGGGAACATACTTACTGAGGAAGTCACCTGAATCGCAGACGACAGTCTATAGATCTTCGTCAGTAGGTCGATCAACATTGGATACTGGCGGAACGGGACGGCGGGGTGGAAACATACGGTGCCAGTGGCTTTGAGTTGCTCGAGTGAGGAAGTCATGGCTATAGTCAATGTGGTGTCTGCTGGATCTGGAGGAGAGGTTCAGAGATACGAGTGTGAGACAGGCGCTCAATTGATCAAGGCGAGGAAGAAAAAAAAAAACTCTAGATAAAACGGGTGTCCGAATGATTTTAAGCAAATACGTCTCATCCTGGCGGGCTTGTGACGAAGCGATGAGCAATGACAGGGCACCAAGGAGGGGCGCCACCAGCTGCGATCAGGAGGTGGGGCGGGGCACTGGACACTGAGGGCAGCTAGCACCCCTTCAAGCACCCCTCCTCCATGCCTACCACCACCCACAGGAGGCGCCTAACACAGCAGGGGCGGCACCCAGACGGGATGTGTCGGGCGGCATTCCTGTAAAAGGGATGCCAGCCTTCGCCTTGATCCCCAGCAATTCGTATTGTCCCAACGCTCAACCACACATCCACGGAGTTGCTCAATGCTAGATAGTAACGACTCCGACCCTCCGAGAATTGCCTCACTTCACATCGAGATCTTGCGTTCAGCCTTCATGTTGATCTTGCTTCTTTCGTCCCCCTTTGTCGACTAGCTTACCTAACCTTGTGGGAGCAGACATCCTCCTCGGTCCTCCCAGACAGGCACTTAAACATGAGTTTACGTTGCCCGCACTGCAGACACAGCTTGCCAGCTTGTCAAATCATCACCTGAGAACGGCTTACCTCAACCTTGTGCCCTGACTCAGCGTTTGTGGTTGACAACCCCCGCCGATACACGCCCCGGCTCCCATTGCCTCGATGCAGAACCCTGAACCCTTGAATCCCAGTCGCCACTCTAGTTGCGGCAAAGTGACGCCGCATGGAAGAAACATCCGCCGTTCCAGCGCGGGCTCGGCGGCTCCTCCTTGACTGTACCAGTCCAGATTACTCCAGACTTGAATCAGCAAAACAATAGCTGCACCAGCTACGTCGGTCATGTTCCTGGGGTTGGATAAGGGAACGTCTCGGGCGTGTCGGATGCCCCTAGCACCACAGACCATGGCCGCCATATGCAAAAGTACGGAGAATATGTCCTCTTGCAGCTGGTCGTCCCATCTTCATATGCTTGGGTCATCATACTGTAAGTGGTATTACTGATTATCAGCTATGAAGGTGGAATGACTTGATTATGTTCTGTAGTTCCATCTTCTCGCAAAGCAGAAATCCCATCCGATTTATTCGCATTTCTGACCCCATCTAGATCCATTTTAAGATCCTGCATATTTGTCCCCATTGGCCGTACAGTTTGTGCCTATCCCAATCTCCAAAGGGGCGCGTGAAACAAATCATGAGACAGAGAATGGTATCATTTTGGTCGAGGAGGCATCGAACAGAAAAGGAAACATAACCATCAATTAGTCTTTCAGCCCAAAGGCTTTGCGTAACAAGGGGAACTTCTTCTTTTTCCCACTGCGGCCAACGACTTCCGGAACCTCATGGGGTTTGCGCATGCTGCCTTGGTTCAGCCTCGTCGTTCCATTTCGCATCAGAGGCCCATCCGCGGTGCTCGGCCGAGGGTTCTCATTTGGTAATGCGGGAGGTAGCGGCCAAGAATCACTCATTATTCGCTCGGGCCCGTGCCGCCGGTGCAGTTTGGCATGCCCATGTTGTGGCTCGCGAACGTTCTGTTGCTCTTTTGCAGCCTCCAACTTGGCTCTCGTCTGCGCAATGACTCTGTCTCTTTCGGCAGTCGAAGCGAATCCAAGCCGAGACGCTTTGGTCGTATCTGTGGCCTTCGCGGGCATTTGCGGAGATTCGACCACCGGTGACAGTCCCTCCTCTTTTGGCTTCTTGCTGCGGAATATTCCAAGTATTCCCCGCTTCTTCTCACTACTCGGAGACACGGCCTCAGCACTGCTAAGTGGCGCAGGTGAACCAACCTGGGGAATTTGAAGTTTGGGTGTGGCTTGTGCTTTTGGTGCCGCCCGCTCCTCATCTGAACTGTCATCCAGGTCTGTAGATTCATCATCGTTGTTTCCACGAGGAATGCCACGCACCGGGGCAAATTGTGGTACGTCAATTTCGTCGTCACTATCGTCTGCGAAACGGGAACGCCATTTGCTGCGTTGAGGGTGTTCATCCTCGTCATCAGAGTCTAGGGTGCGGGATCGGTTGTTCTGCCCGCCCATACTCATGGAAAGAGTAGGAGCCTTACCTGTCTGCTGGCGAGCAAACAAGGATGATGATCTTCTGAAGTCGGTCGACCCGCGAAGGGTCGGCACATTGTCGATTGATGCTCTCATAGTATGCCTCATGGTGTGAGAACCATCCGATGAGAACGGTCGCCTGCCCACGGGCGAAACTGATCGGATGCCACTGAGCCTATCTCCTCGTAGACTTGGTTGGGCCGGACCTCGCATACTTCGACGCATTGTATATTTGCCGCCCGTAGTTGACTTACTGCGACGAGCCTTCCGGAACGAGCTCTCCGAGTCACTGTCGTTTGTCACAACTGGGCGAACAGGCTGCGTCCGAGGCGCGGGGGCGGAGATAGCGGCAGCCGCGGCTGAAGGTATGTGCTTCTTTTGGAGTGCTGATCGGGATTGGGTTGGAGGGATAGACGTCAGCGGTTGGCTTGCTCGTTGTTGTTGTGGGGAGACCATTGAAACTGGCATTGAATTGCGGTTCTCATTACGCAGAGTCTTGCGGAACCCAGGTTCAGCCTCTGGAGAGGAGCTGGCTCTCATTGACTGTCGGAAGGGTGCTGCAGCGGCTGCAGCATATCCAAGGTTTGGGCCATCGATCGTTGGATACGCAGAAGGTTGGTTCCTTTTGCGTAGAGGCGAGTCTGATAATCCTTGCGTAGCTGCCGCTGCTGCCGGTGCAGAGGCAGCAGCGGCTATTGCAGCAGGCGACTTCTTTTTGCGTTTAGGTTGTGATGTGGGGGGCCGTGTAGGTCGAGGTTGTACAGGTTGCGATATCTTGTTATATACTGTTGTTGCAGCCTCCGGCGTCCTCTCTTGCACGGGCTGGTGTTCTAGAGCTCGCTTCGCCTGCTCCACATCGTGGATAGCGGTCGCACATGTTGGTTGGCTTTTGATGATATGGCTGGGCAGATATCTCGTCTGCTCCGCGATGCCACTCCAGCGGGCCTGTGTTTCCTCCCAAGATCCGGCGTCCAGTGCATCGTGAGAAACTGAAGGTGATACTCGCGCAAGAGGACTCTCTGGTGAAGTCAGAAGTGCTGGCGGAGTTACAATGGGACTTTCCACAATCGCGTCAATGGAACCGAATCCCATTCCTTCCATCTCCGAGGGATCTTCTGCCGCATCGCTGTAGATGCTATCATTGTCCGACTCATCTTCGTCTATCACTTCCGCGACAGTACGTGAACTCAAGTCTGGGAGTCTAATTGTGACGGGCGGCCCCTTGCTTAACTCGTCGCGTTTGCCTAGATGTTCCGCAGACAGAGGAAACCCTCCTGGAACCTCCACAAGATATTGGTCATTGGGTTTCAGTTCTTCAGCAGGGGTAGGAGGGGAGACGGATACCACAGGCACTTCCGTCTGAAGAGGCTGCTCAACAGCTGGTCTGACTGGTTGATTGATTACTATCGCCTGGGTGGTCTTTGCGTCTGTGCGAGCTTCACCTTCGCGACCTATGCGAGCAGGGGGTGTGTACACAGTCTCCTCAGCCCCTGAAGTGTCGTTTTCTTCGTCGGAAAATGACACCGTGCCCTCTACGGAGGTCACCTCGGGCGGGAGGGGTTCATTGGATCGATTTGCAGAGGTCTGTCCAAGGGTCTTTCGGGCTTCTTGAGCGAAGACAGCCCCTACAGCATGATCGCTTGATACGCCTGCTGCCGAATAGGGGTTGTAGTTGCTGGATGTTTCTGAAGAGGTCCCCGATGTGGTAGAACTCTTGCCCTCTACGGGTGGCGTACGAGTTTCTGGAGGTGGCCTTGGTATTGGTGCGGTGTTAGAATCATTGATATCCCTAAATTTTTGCCCGCGGACACTCCCGAACGATGGAAGTTGCGGGCGTGGCTTCATCAGCTCTTCCATGTCATCGTTCGAGGAGACGGTGTTCAAGACTGGTTTGCCCTTTCCCAAGCCGAGCCATCCTTTTTTCTCCTTGCCTGGACTTTCTGCCGGACTTTGGACGCTTGCGGCCGTGCCAACGACTTCTGGTTGAACCTCGAAGCTGACCCGCACAGACTTCTTCCTTTTCGGGAGGCCATCGGCTGATGCGCTCGATATATCAGACGACTCGCTCGGGGTAACACTAGAGCCACGAGGCTCGCCGCCGGAGAAGGCTGGCGCGGGAGAATGATGCTTGAGGGCAGGTTTAGCGGGCGATATTGACCGCGGAGGAGGTTCGTGTTTTCGCCCTGCAGCAAGGTCTGACGACAATCTCTCCGAGAAACGAGTGGACCGTGAGGGGCTGAGAGAAGCACCCCGGATAGGCTGATGTTCAGTGACTTGGAGGTGGCTCATCGAAGCTGGCGATTCCTCGCGGCCATCTGGTGCGGCAATTGCGTGCATCTCTGGAGAACGAGGTCGATCGGGGGCGGGCGGCGGTACCGCGGACTCGATTTTCCTGGATGCACCTGTTGCATTTGTAGGACGCTTATCCTGAACCGGAGTTGTCGACTCCTGGGCGGAGTTGAGGGTGGCATGTGTGGTTTGACGGGCCTGTGGTGGACTGGCTTGCTCCTGCTGTTCGCCTTCCCAGTCCTCTCGAACAATAGATGGCTGTTTCTGCAATACTCCCGATGCTCTCTGAGTCCGCCTCTCTCTCTTGCGCTCAATGTTCGAATCTGAATCAGAGTCCGTCCGCGAGGTGTCGGTCGGAAAATCAGGGTTCTCCTCAGAAAACACAGGCTTCTTCTTTTTCTTCCTCGCAAGAGGTTGCTGATCTGAGAGGGCTTGGATTTGCGGTTCTGGGCTTCGTTCTAGCGGATTGACAACTGGCCTGCTCCCCATTGTCGCACTTTGCAGATAGCTACCTTCCACTGCGCCATTGACAACCTTTTTTTTCTTCTTTTTGACTGGCTGATTTGCTGTTTGCGCAAGATCGTATTGAATATCTGCGGCTTCAGCCGGAGATATCGCCCTTGCGACAGCATCGGGGTGAGGTCGATCGCCGTTTATGAGAACTGGAGACTGTGCCATTGGGGATTGCGCCACCGGAGATTGAGGTCGAGGCGACAGTGGTCTCGAAAAGTTGATGGAGTTACGGCTGTCAACACGCTCAAGATCATTGTTCTGTGGAAGGCTGTTGTTTTTGGGAAAGTTGGGTGGCGGCGGCGGCGGCAGTGGCTGCTGCTGAGGCGATCCGTACCTGTCAAGACTCTGGCCACGGGTTTGGGGTCTCACCAGTGGCGGCGAGAGTACGCGAGGCGGAGGTGCTTCTTGGCTCGATGCTCTCTTCTTCTTCTTCTTCTTCTTCTTAACGGATGTGGTCGAGGGGGGAGTAAATTGCTGCGGAATGGTCGGTAGCGGAGGGGCCTGGGGTTCTGAGCGCGAGACGGGTCGCGAAGGCGAAGGCGACGGAGTTCTAAATGTCCTCTCAGTCATAGACCCAGCACTGTTGTGCCTCTGCAAGCCGCCTCTTCCTCGACCTCGAGCTGAACTTGAAAGAGAACCGGAAGAAGCTTGCCTTTGAATCATGCGCTTTGTCTGGACCTGATCCACTGGGGTCGGAGGCGGAGACATGGTTCTCAGGGCTTGAGCTGCGGCGGAGGCTGACAGGTTTGCCTGCGAGGCTCGGCTACTGAGGAATGCCTGAGTGGCAGCCATATGGGCAGAAGCTGAAGCAGGAGTCTGGGGCCGCTGAAGTTGAGCAAACGTCAGCACTTGAGCGGGAGACGAGATGGAACGGGGCGCCGAGAGCGATGACTTACAGTGGCCGATGCAGACCTGCTCCGTCTGTGCAGGAAGTTCATGGTTGCGATGACCCCAGATGTTGTGGTGCTGGAATTGTCGCGGGATCACTGGAGACTGATCCAGTATCGCAGACGGGAGAACTGGAAGCGAGTATCAAGCCAAGCGGTGGCAGTGGTTATCGAAGGGCTGAACAGCGATGACAGGCCCCATGTCGCTTCGGATTGAGCTCTCCCGCCTGAAAGATATTGAAAAGGATGATGAAGAGGAAGAGCTGACCAGGAGGTTTGCAATTGATGAATTGTTTTTGGCGATACCCAGGTAGGGTATGAACTGGGACGTGGATCGGTGCGGGAGAGCGAGGGAGATGGAAGCTCCGTAACCATGGGAAAGATGGGGCGGAAAAAAAGGCCAGAGGGCCAGAGGCCCGGAGGCATCAGAGGCGCCTGAAGCGGAGAGAGGAGAGAGAGCCAGACACCCGCAAAAGGTGGTGGCACTGAGCTCCTGGGCAGCAACGCGGCGACTGGCACTGGCGAGCTGGATGGGGTCTCGACTTGGGGCTGTGTTGGAAGACTTGGATGTCCAGCTTCCAGAGTCCAGCTCCCTACCGGGTACCCAGTACCAAGTCCAAGGACAGGCAGTCTGTGGGGCCCAATGACCACATACCAATCACAATGTGTGACATTCCTTACGTCATTCGCTCTTAGTGATGATGTTACTCGAACTCTCTTCCTCTCTTTTTCAGAGTGACGACACAAACGCCAGCGTTTTCATACATTTATCAGGGAGTAATAATAATATGTACCTACATCCTTGTAGCTACCCAATCTGCAGATTCTGGAAACCCAAAGGTCGGGTGAGGCACGTGCGTGAATTCAGCTCGCTATCCCTCGTCCGGATCGCCTGGCCTCAACTCCCATATGAATTGAACAGAGGGCACAGCAATAAACCCAGCAGATCCCTCCAGATTCCCTTTCAAGTTTAACTGATGACTAACAAGAGATCACATTGCTTTTGAAGCCCTGCTGCCCTGGGGGGGTTTGTCCCAAATGCCATATTATGCACGAAGGCGGGTGTCATTGCACATTATCCCTCGGCCCGCCAGGCGCGCAGGTTCGGAGTAAATAAGCGGTGGCCTGACTTGAAGAAAATACACCGTGCCCGAAGAGGCAGGAGGTCCTCCAACAACGACGAAGAGCCCACCGTCGGATATGAAGAGGAGGGTTCCAGTTGCAAGGCTGAGGGCGATGGTCCCTAGAGAAGATAGCTTGTAATATAAGAGAGCGCTACCTCTGTCGAATAGATACAGCCAGAGAAAATACCTGGTCAGACGACACTCGTTTTGCACTCGAGGGGCGTTGTCAGCATCGCTTTCCCCGCAGATGGAGTATATACTGTAGCGAATACTCGGTAACTCGTATAGTCTGTTCATATGTCTCGATGCCATCCCACCTTTTGACCAAACCCATTTGTGCTCTAATTACTTCAGTGTGCTTCGGCCAATCTGAGCAGACATGGCATATACGCACCAAGACTCGGCCGCCGATGCCATTGATCCCACCACGCTGACTCCACTTCCACTGCCCGCCGGGATCAGATCTCGTTTTGTCGATACTTCCCCTCACAGCCTCGTCTTCCACATTCTCGAATCCCTGCCGGCGGCCGTACCGCCTCCTGGTCCCAGGCCGAAGCTGATTCTCTTGATCCATGGATTTCCAGAGCTCGCCTATTCATGGCGCAAAATACTCCCTCTACTTTCCGCTCAAGGCTACCATGCCGTCGCCTTTGACCAGCGCGGCTACGGCCGCACCTTCTCCCGCAAACCACTTGAAGCAACTTCGTTCCGGCCCCTGAACCTTGTCAAAGATACTGTCACTCTGGTGAACGCGCTTGGATATACTTCCGTATCCTGTGTCGTAGGGCACGATTTTGGCGCTGTCACGGCAAGCGTCTGTGCCCTTGTAAGACCGGACTTGTTCCACTGCCTGGTAATGATGTCCCATCCCACAAAAGGCCCTCCCCAATGTCCTCTTTCCACCTCCCCTTCCTATGGCTCCGCCTCCCATGCACCTCCGGCCCCAATCGACATGGAAAAGGCACTCTCCCACCTCCCCCGCCCCAGGAAACATTATAAATGGTACTACTGCACTCCGCCTTCAAACGATGAGATGACCAACCCTACGGGTCCACCCCTGCACACGTTTCTTCGCGGCTACTTCCATCTGAAGTCTGCAGACTGGGACCTCAACGACCCGCACAAGCTGGACGGATGGATCGCGACAGAGCTAGAGAAGATGCCGCGGTATTACATCATGGACCTGGACGATAACATGCGCCAGGCCGTGGCGCGAGACATGGCCAACGAAGACCCGCAGGCCGTCGCCTCACGTTCCGCCCGCTGGCTCCGAGACGACGAACTCGCCGTCTACGTCCAGGAATGGGGCCGAACCTCCTTCCAGGGCGGCTTGAACTGGTACCGCGTCCAGACCCAGCCGGAGATCGCGTCGGACATGCAGGCGTGGTCGGGCGCAAAGATTTCCGTCCCAACTGTGTTTGTGAGTGGCCAGAAGGATTGGGGCACGTTCCAAGAGCCAGGTGCGGTCGAGGCAATGGAAACCGCTCAGAGCGTGAGGCCCATGATGTACAGAGGAACGGTGCTCGTCGATGGAGCCGGGCACTGGGTGAACCAAGAACAACCGGAGAGGTGTGTGCAGGAAATTTTGAAGTTGGTGAGAGAGGTTTGTGGCTAGGCTTGGTGCACCAAGGACATAAATCTCAGACAGCGACGATTGCATGAAATGATCACACATACCTAGGTAGGGATCGTACGACTTTGTGGTTCGTAAAGAAATCAAGCTTGAAGCCTTTCTATCATACCATCAGCAAATTTTTACAGGGATATCATGCGAATTCCTTTCCCCATAAAGTGCATCAAGAAACTCCGAGTTTCCCCTTATTTCACAAACAACTCCCGTGGACATCGACCCTAGACGCCTTCGCTGAAATCGAATGACTGGCTTGAAAAAGGCTCTTTCCCATACAGGTCACCAGTGGAGAAGTCAGCCTCAAACCTTCATATCTCGATCTTCGCCAGTGGAAGAGCACGGCAAACTCCTGTACTTGTGCGCATATTGGAAGTGCATCAGTTTCCATCCACCGCCTGATCTGATTCCAACAGCCCTTTTACTCGTCTGCTTCCGTCATATCAGAGTCGAGCCGATCTCCCCGTGCCTTGCCCTTAGCATGCTCCGTGTCGTCGTCATCTTCATCATCATAGTTCTCCTCGTCTTCCGAATCATTGTTCAGCTCCTGATCCGATTCGCTTCCATTAACCACATCATCGTCAAAGTCGTCGAAGTCGTCGAAATCCACATCTTCCGCGTCGCTATCATTCCAGAAATCATCATCAACCTTCTCGATAACCGGCTTAGTGGTCTCGTGCGTAGGCATGACGAACCCTTCCGGAATGTCCTTCTTTGAAGCTTCGACGTCCTGCTTCACTCTTGCTTTGAATGCATCCTTGTCATCCCTAAACATGACACTGGCGTCGACATTGGCTGGAGAAGAGATTTCGGGATCATCCAGTAAGGAAAGAATGGAGATGAGTACGGATTCAACTCGCTGTGCTGGGGACCAGCGTTCGCCAGCGCTCTCGCCAGACATGATATCCTCGCCAGGTGCATGAAGAATGGAAATGCAAAGTCGGCCGTCAGCATAGATATTTGGATGCCATAGTGGTTTGGAAAACCGGAAGTCTGAAAGAGGTCAGTATTAGACAAATCGAGGCGTGTCGGTCTCCTTACCCGGTGGTTTGTAGGGATAATCTCTTGGGAAGCTCATCTGAGCCTTGAAATAGCCGCCATAGTAAAGCGAATCGGGGTTAATGACCATCAATGCCAGATTCCAATGGTAGATGTTATCTTCATCGATCTGACTTCGTCAGCGTTGCGTGCGGGAAAGGTTGGCGCTATGTCTCACCTCGATCTGAACCCATTTCTCCTTAGCCAAAGCCTTGTATTCCTTCATGAGCACTGTTTGAGACATGCTGGGCGAAGGTGCTGCAACACAGGTTGGCGTGTGGTGGCGGAGAGGAAGGCTGGCGATGAAGGCGGGAAAGGGAGGGATTTTAGTTGCGAGAAGCACGCGAGGCGTCGAAGCGGACAATGTCTTGAGTGTGTTTGTCTTGAGATTGAATGAGGTATTTGGAGGGTATTGTTTGGCGGCCGCAGGTGACTGTTACTATCGACTATTATACATTATTCAGTGTCGTCTTAGGTTGGATCTCCCGGATCTGGGCGACAGAACAAGGTGTGGCAAAGCTCAAAGGTGCACACAGGAATCCGCGCAGGCCACAGGCTTCAGGTAGGAGTAAGGAGCCAAAAACAAAAGGAGCGATTTTCCAGTCATGAGAAAAAGCGGTCGAGATGGTGAGTGAGATGAGGCCAGGATTAACATATGAGGTGATGGAGCGTCTGAGGCGTCGGTGGGTGCAACCCAACGTGAAGGTCCGCAGCCGGATTGTCGGCCACGCCTTTGGGCAGATAGGGCAGGGCAGTTGGATGGGTTGGGGCGTCGGTCCCCCCTATCGTGCACGCCGAAAGCGCCCGAGGAAGGCTCCGGCCCTCCAACCACTCACCATTCATCCTCCTTCCCCGACCTCGCTGGCGAGCTGGTTCAGCATGCCCACCAGCCCACCAGCCCACCAGCCCACCAGCCCACCAGCCCTAGTCGTAGGTATAATACGGTAGGAAAGTTTGACCGTACCCAGTACATATTAGTTTAGTGGCGTCACAGTGTTTTGGCAGAAGTGTTGATTGCGGCAAGCGGCACCACTTTCACAACAACCGAGCATGAGAGCTCTTCCTTGTCTCGCCCATCTGTTCAAGTTACGGAGTGGACTTTGTCGCAATATCATCTTGACGTGCTCCTAAATCTTGCTCATCTCAGCATTTTCCATCGTCGCGTGTCTAGGCCGACATGAGTTGGGCCGTCCCCGCATCGGTTGAAGTGTGGTGACTGTTGTGGTATGTCGATTGCTGCAATGTTTGCGCATTGCAACAGCCCGATATGGCAAGTTGACGACTTGTCGGCGTGCTTCCAGGCAGAGTACGTGATCCGCCATGTTCAGTAGAGATTACTTGCTGACCGTGTGCAAATAGCTATCTTCAGACTCTCTTTCCTTTGCTGGCATGTGCGATATCTTTCCTGCTTCTACTTTACCAGTTCTTTCGGCAAAGGACAAAACGACTCCACAACCGACCTCGAGATCTTCTTGTTGATATTAGCGAGGACGAGCATGAGTCCGACGAGGAAGACGAAGATAGCCTCGCCAGGCTAACACTGCAAAAAACACACAGTCATGGCAATAACTCAACGAGGGATGTGAACAAACCAACAGGCGAGGTTTTCATGGTCACGTTGGAATTTCTATTTCTGTCGGCACAACTTGTTGTGAATGTTGTTGCCCTTTTGAACATAACAGACCAAAAAAGAAGGACTTGGACTGCGGAGAGCGCTGTGTGGTCATACCTTCTGGTTATTGCTGGAGAACGTCTGGTCTCGTCAACAACAAGATGGCAATCTCCTCTCCAAGGCCTCTGGAATCACAGTGCAACACTGTACATTGTTCAATGGCTTTGCCAAGTTTGGGTCTTCCGATCTGTCCTTGTTCACCGTCCCGGACGCCTGTCTCAGATCCTGACAATAGTATCGTTCGCGATCACGTGTACGCTCGTCTTGATCGCTCTGACAGCGCGAAAGGGGAACAAAGGTGTTTTGTTGGAATATGAAGGTGAAATTGAACCATCTCGAGAACCCCTGGCCAGCGTCCTCTCCCTGGCAACGTTTACCTGGGTCGACCCGATCGTGTGGAAGGGATTCAAGAAGACATTGGAGCTCGCTGATGTCTGGAATCTGGCTTTTGAAGACAAGGCAGAGACTGTACTGGCTCACTTCCGGCAGATTCGAAAGACTCACTCGCTAGCTGTCCGGCTACTCCTGCATTTTAAGAGTCAGATTTTGATTCAAGGTGCCTGGTGTATGATGGCGAGCATCTTCATGTTTCTTCCAACTCTACTCTTGAAGGCCGTTCTGGAGTACCTGGAGAACACAGACACTGTTCCCCTCAGTGCGGCATGGCTGTATGTCATACTTCTTTTCGTCACAGGAGCAGTACAAGCCGTCGGTGACGGGCAAGGCCTGTGGATTGGTCGAAAAATCTGCATTCAGCTGCGTGCTATCATCATCGGCGAAATATACTCTAAGACATTGAGAAGAAAGGCAGCGGCTACCACTGATACGAATCTTGGAGAAGAAACTACTTCAAAGAAGACAGCCTTTTGGTCTAGAATCTGGTCCTTATGCAGGGGGCAAGGTCGAAAACACCACAATCATGCCTCTGAAACCGATTCTAAAAAAACCACCGGGTCGCAAGCCAATAATGGCACCATCATCAACTTGATGTCCATTGATTCCTTCAAAGTGGCTGAAGTCTGTGCCTATTTGCATTTTCTCTGGGCTGCAGTACCCGTGCAACTGATTATGGCTGTGAGTCTGCTATACAACGTTCTTGGCTTCAGCTCTTTCGTCGGAATATTCGTCATGGTACTGATTTTACCGCTCAACCTCTACATCGCACATTCCTTCCAAGCGGCACAGAAACGGATCATGGCAGCCACAGATAGCAGAATTCATGTCACGAACGAAGTTCTCCAAAACATCCGAATCATCAAATATTTCGCTTGGGAGCAGCGTTTCCAGAACAACGTCAATGAGAAAAGACAAGTCGAGCTATCTGCCTTGTGGAAGAAATACGTTTTATGGGCATCTGCAGCTACCATCTGGAGTGGTGTCCCGATTGTGATCACGTTCGTTTCTTTTCTCATGTATACTCGAGTGGAGAAGCGGCCTCTGGTACCGTCAGTTGCATTCCCGGCCTTGTCGATGTTCTCTCTACTGCGAATTCCGTTGGATCAACTTGCCGATATGGTAGCTCACGTTCAAGAGTCGAAGGTGTCGGTCGATCGAGTCGAGCAGTTTCTGCAGGAAGCAGAAACCGAGAAATATTTGCAATTGCGCCAGAGCAGACGAAGAAGTTTACCGACTACCCGCATTGCGTTGGAAAACGCCACATTGACTTGGGGAACCACTAATGCAGACGCGACTGAAGCATTCAGACTGATTGACATGAACGTTGAATTCTCTATTGGTCAATTGAATGTCATCGCAGGGCCCACAGGAGCCGGCAAGACCTCCCTCTTGATGGCTCTACTCGGCGAGATGCAACTCCTCAGTGGTACAGTTTACATCCCAGGTGGATCTGTACGACAAGATCTACGCCCTGACCCCATCACGGGGCTGACCGAAAGTGTGGCATATTGCGCACAGCAAGCATGGCTGGTCAATGCGACAATCAAAGAGAACATCCTCTTTGATAGTCCTTACGATGAAGATCGCTACCATGAGGTTATTTCTATTTGTGCTCTGGAGCGGGATCTAGAGATTCTCGATGCCGGTGACCAGACCTTGGTCGGTGAAAAGGGGATCACTTTGTCCGGAGGCCAAAAGCAGAGAATATCGCTTGCACGAGCGATCTATTCGACTTCGAAGCACATACTTCTCGACGACTGTCTTAGTGCTGTCGATGCTCACACCGCCAAGCACATCTTCGAAGAGGCATTAACTGGAGAACTGATGGCCCACCGGACTTGCATTCTGGTCTCGCACAATGTTGCACTCACGGTCCCACTTGCAAGCTGGGTGGTCGTCCTGGACAATGGTAAGATCATGTCCCAAGGGACGCCGCAAGACATTATCGAAAGTGGCACGCTCGGAGATGAGCTCTTCAAGTCACGCCCTGTTTCAAGAGCCAACTCCAGTCCGCCCTCTCGCACACCGTCCAATCTAGAAGAAGAGAGATCACATTTATCTGGAAGAAATACAAACGGCACGGCGACCCCTGGTGGAAAAGCTACCAACAGAGGAAAATCGAAGACTAAGAGGCCTGAGAAGCCATTTATCGATCATCGACTTGAAGCAAAGGCCACGGGAAGTGTGAAATGGTCTACAATACACATGTACCTTAAGGCTATGGGCCCTTGGTATTATTGGATTTTCGCGGCATGGGGATTCATAGCCACACAACTGGGTTCGGTAGCGACAAACCTATGGATCAGACAGTGGGCCAATGCCTATCACATCCGCGGTGTCCATGCGACACACGCAGCGGTAAATGCTTTTCAGGACCTGAAATCGGCGGGAGCAACGTCAAGTTTTGGAGGCTCGCACGTTCAAATGCCTCAAACCGCGCCAACAAGCAGCATATTCTGGGTCGTCAAGTCATTATATGACGTCGACGACGGCTACTACCTTGGGATATATGCTCTGATTGGGGGGCTGTATGTGCTTATTTGCTGTGAGTTCTCCTCTTTGAGACACCGTTCCGTGTTTGAGGGCTCCATTTTATTGTCCTCTCAGCATCGACACAAGCTAACGGTCATTCCCAGTTTCCCGGGAAATCATCCTATTCTGGGGTTCTCGTCGCGCTGTAAGTTCTCCCTGTATTTGAAAGCCAGCTTAACCTGCGCAAGGGCTACAGGTCAATGGGCAGCTTCAACATGGGCACGAGCTAACATATACTTGCAGTCTTGGGGTCTGCATGAGAAACTGTTGACGAGCATTCTTCGCGCCAAGTTTCGCTTTTTCGATTCGACGCCGTTAGGTCAACTGACAAATCGATTCTCTAAAGACATTCAGGCGCTGGATCAGGAAGTTGCTCCTGTAGCTATTGGCATGCTGCACAGTGCTGCCGCCGTGCTTACGATCGTGGTCCTGATCTCCATTATCACTCCTGGCTTCTTGATTCCTGGGTTCTTCATCACCATCATGTACGTATTGACCGGTTTACTCTACATCCGCTCTTCACGCGACTTGAAACGAATCGAAGCAGTCCAGCGAAGCCCTCTGTTCCAGCATTTCGGGGAGACGTTGAGTGGAGTGGTCACTATTCGAGCCTATGGCGATGAGTCGAGATTCATCGAGGAAAGCCAGTTGAGGGTCAACACGCACAACCGTCCATTCATCTACTTGTGGGCCACTAACAGATGGCTCGCCTTTCGAATCGACATTGCGGGAGCACTGGTCTCTTTCTTCTCCGCCATGTTTGTGGTCCTTAACGCTGGCCGCATTGATCCTGGAGCTGCAGGGTTGGCTCTATCTTACGCCATCACCTTCACTCAAAACGTCCTGTGGCTCGTGCGACTCTATGCCGCCAACGAACAGAACATGAACGCTGTCGAACGAATACAAGAGTATATCAACGTCGAGCAAGAAGCGCCTGCGAACATCCCGGAGACCAAACCTGCCGCAAATTGGCCCAGTCACGGAGTTGTCGAGTTTGTCGGGTACAGCACGAGATACCGCCCAGATCTGGAACCCGTGCTAAGAAAGGTGACTTTCAAAATTGAAGCAGGGCAGAAAGTTGGGATTGTTGGAAGGACCGGGGCCGGCAAGAGTTCGCTTGCCTTGGCTTTGTTCAGAGGCCTCGAGGCCGAAGAAGGCAAGATCTTGATTGATGATGTCGACATCGGACTCATCGGTCTTCAGGACTTGCGCGAAGCCATCACGATCGTCCCCCAGGATCCCACACTCTTTTCCGGCACGCTAAGGAGTAATCTGGATCCATTTGAACTCTTCACCGACGAAGAGATCTTTACAGCGCTTAGGCGAGTCCAACTCATTTCAGGAGCACATAGTGATTCAGAGCGGTCAGGCTCAACGACACCGCTCGAGGGATCTAGCAGGTCTCCAACAGTCGAGGAAGGTTCAAGTCCATCTGAAAGCCATGCCTCGTTCTCTGCGAAGGGGACGGTCAAATCCGACTCCACCTTGGTCCAAATTGCCAGCAACGGCAAAGAAAACAAGAACATCTTCAGGGATTTGTCATCGCCAGTGGCTGAATCTGGCTCGAACCTATCTCAGGGTCAGCGACAGCTTTTGTGTCTAGCTAGAGCCTTACTGAAGTCGCCCAAAGTGCTGGTGATGGATGAAGCGACAGCGTCGATCGATTATGCAACCGACTCCAAGATCCAAGACACTCTGCGAGAGCTCCATAACAACACCATTTTGACCATTGCCCATCGATTGCAGACAATCATTGACTATGACCGAGTACTGGTGCTTGACAGAGGCGAGGTAGTGGAGTATGCTGATCCATGGGAGCTGATACAAAAAGAAGATGGTCAGTTCAGAGCCATGTGTCAGACAAGCGGTGACTTCGACGCATTACATGAATTGGCAAAGAAAGCGTGGCAGGAAAGGCGATTGATCGATGATTCCTGACATGAGCTCGAAGATTTGCGGTAAGCATGGCGGGTATTATTTCTGGTACTTGGCGATTGGGGGATGGGAGGCTCCCTCGCTTTTTTGCAACCTGCTCGACCAAGGCAAATGGCATCGACCTGTACATATATATCTGTCGTCACTGTATAGTTGAGACTAGATAATTGGATGCCACAAGCGAAACAGTCTGAGTGGCAGCGGTCTGGCCGAGAAACAGACGATAGATGGGGTGGCTGAGTGGCATCAAAGTATCTGCAAGCCTCGCCGGTGAAGAAGGGAAAAGTCAATTAATTGTCAGACAAAGCCATTTGCTCGTTTTCTGTTCGCACGACAAAGTCGGTCTTCTCCTCCTTCTCCAATCTGACTTCGGCATCGATGTCATCGCCGCCCTTCTCTGGAACACAGGGACTTCCTCATCTGCCATCCTTCGCTCACGTCTCCTCACCATTTTCTCCTCTCGAAGCTCTTTGTCTTGCGGGGTCGATGGTCCTTCATTGGTTCTGTCCAAAGGAGCTCTGCGTCGACTGCAATTCCGAGATGGGTCACCCTTGGTCACCATGGGATCCTCGGGTATATCACCCTCTCTCCTTCCAATTACGTCCGGTTGTTCTCCATGTGCGCCTCCGCCTGAAGGGCCCGGGTCTGTTGGTCTATCTCGAGCACGTCAGGCTTTGCCGACGACATGATGGTCCAAGGGAGTCCGGGCCAACCGCAAGCTGTTCCTATTCGTTCTCTCGAAACTACGAGATGACCTCCCCAACGAAGGCACGAAGACAAGCATGCGGAGAAAGAGCTGGCTCCCAGGTTTAAAAGAGAGCTGTCGTAACCCGAGGGACGTTTGACCTTTCACTTCCAGCATAACTTGCTATCATCAAGTTTGATCACTGCTTTGCAAACCGAGACTACGCACTAGGTCACAATCTGATCAAGATGCCTCCAGTCAGCGGCGCAAATGGTACCGTAAGTCTCACTGAAAAGCCCTGTCACTATTTCAGGTCACTATTTCTCCTGGGACAGCCTTTCCCATGCTAACTATCAACCACAACTCAGACCCATTCTTGGGCAGCATTGCCTCAAGCCATGTCCAAGGCGATCTCCTCTCTCAACAAGACGTTAGACAAAGATCCCCAATGGCAAGCCTTCATCGACACCAAAGCCATCATTGAACCTGTGACAATGGGTGTCCAGAGTCTTGGAGGAGAAGAGGCTATCCTTGTCTCGGTGTCTCCCGGTGCCAAAACCACAACTTCGACCGGATCTGCTTCCGAGGCAGATTTTGTTCTTCGGGCCCAACCCGAACAGTGGGAGAAATTCTTTGCTGCCGATCCCGTGGCCCCCTATACCAGCTTTGTTGGGTTACAGGTGGGATATGTCGCTGAACATGATTTGTGCGTGGAAACTGATTCAACCAGGGCATGAATATAGTGCAGGAGGGAGTCGGCGTCGATGGAGATCAGGTGAAGTTCGCCCAATTCTGCCACTTGGCTACCCGTCTTCTCGAACTCCTCCGAGAAGGCCAGAACGGGCCCTTGAACGAAGACGAGCAACCAGAGACCGATGAAGACCACCTGACAGGCAAATACATCTACATCAACGCTCCCGTCTGGGGGCGCACAAAGGTTTTCTATGAAACTTCGGGCAATGGGCCTCAGCAGATCGTGTTTCTCCATACTGCAGGAAGTGACAGTCGACAATACCACGGTGTGATGAACGACGCCCGGATGCGCGAGAAATGCACTATGATCGCCTTCGACTTACCCGCTCATGGAAGGAGTTTCCCTGGGAGCAACCATATCCCGGGAAACCATACGAATAGCGAAGATGCCTATGTTGGCACCATCAGGGAGATGGTCAAGGCCCTGAAACTTAACAAGCCTATCATCTGCGGCGCCAGCAGTGAGTTCATACCGTCTGAGATTTACTGCGAGATTCCATAATACCAGAGACGCAGGCTGCCGAGATAGCTGGTAAGCACCCATTCTGGGCAATGTCACTGACTCTACTTGTGCTCTAGTGGCGGGGCAGGTGTGTGTAGCTGTCGCAATCAGGGCAGAGGAAGTCGGCGCAGGAGGCACCATTCCTCTCCAGGGATGCGACTATTTGACCATGGATCGGCAGTTTAATGACAAGAGCCCCGTGTGCAACCAAGCCCTGTTCAACCCGGATTGGGGTAAGTGAGCCCTTTGCTAGGACGTTGAACTTTGATGCCACTAACACATTATAGTCTATGGCTTGATGGCACCCAAGAGCCCCAAGGTCAATAAGTTGCTTATCTGGGTATGGTGGTCCCCCGATGCCCTGATCAAATTGCCCGCTTCTCTCTTGACGATGTGCTGATTTCTTCCAGCATTTGTACTCCGGTCAAGCATATGGCATCTTCCACGGCGATTTGGACTTTTACTTTGGTGGCTTTGACGCTCGTGATCGTGTCTCTTCTATCGACGTGAGGAAATGTCCCATCTACTTCCTCACTGGCGAATATGACTGGTCCACGACGCCAGAGATGTCACAAGCGACGGCGAAGAAGATCCACGGCTCGAATTTCAAGGCCATGAAGGGGCTGGGGCATTTCCCTGCTACGGAGGATAGCCAGAAATTCGTATGTCTCAACACCAGTTTCCCCTCGTCTTCTCCTACCTGTCTCGCAATATTGGCCTTCTGGCTTCCCTCCTTGACCCCCTTGAATAAATGAATGATTGTATGACTTTTTGCGAGACCCCGAGGCTAAGCGTGCGACATGATGTAGGTTCCGTATCTGCTCGACGCGATCGACTGGATCCAGAAGACCCGCACGTCCTAACAGAAACAAACCGTCTTCGCAGTCGGGAATCATTTGTGCTGGCGCTACGGCCGGTCTAATGTATGTAATGCGGAATATGAGAAGCTTGCAAAATGAACAGGAGGGGAAAACACAGAGTGCCGCTGCTCTCCGCCCTCGCAATGTTGGTATGGTATGTAGCATGTGGTGTTGTGGCTGGAGCGCAATACAATAGAACAAAACCCTAGTGTGAAGGCTTCCAGCACGTACTAGCTCCGCCATTTGCACGGGCCGCAGAGCAATATAGCTGTCTCGTCAATCGCTACAACTGCAACTGCATCTGCACATATCTACATCTGTATGCCATGCCCTGCCGTGCTGTGCCATCCTTTGCATTGACAGCACCTACCTGCCCATCAGCTACCTTCCGTGCCCACTGCCCACCCATCCTCCACGATTTGAACTGGAAAGGTTGAAGTTCCCCACGAGGCTACGAGTCACCCGCACTGCTTTGAACCCTGACCCTATCCGCGTCCCTGTGTTAGGCGATATGGAATATATCTCCCCCTGATTCTGGAGGCACTCCTGACTGATGTCTCGCTCTTTCTCTCCCTCTTACGATATTGTTAGGACGGAGAGGGGGGATCATCGCGGGGACAATGCCTTGACCATTCTCACATCTACCCAGCAGGTTCCAGAGTGAGTGACCAGTTTTTTTTTTGTCGTCGTTGACTGAGCGCTTATATGATACATCTTTGATTCCTAACGGTACAGGGGTCTTCATGTATGCGTTACCCTTCCCATTTTCTAAGTTGAAAAGTTTCTTTCCATGACGCTGTAGGTCGAATGAAAGGGCATTTTTGGCGTTTTCATAGCATCTGTTCATAGCAGACACAGAGACAGTTCCCGCGGCAAGCTGAGGACTGTGAGAGAGACGATTCCCGTTTTCATATATCCCTCTATACCCCCTCTCCAAAAGATTCAGTAACCTCTATAAGATCGAACTACTCTCATCTTCGCAGGGGGCTCGGCAGGGCCGCCATCGGGATTCGTGACCGTCCCAGCGAAACCGAGGTTGGCATTCCAAGTGTCTACGGTCGACTTGTCTCTGGTCCCGAGGGCCTGGATCTGAGCCTGGACGCTCCGACACAACGTCTTTGCCGCGTCATTAGCTTGGCAGACGTTGGTGAGTTGATCGCAGATTCGGTTGGTGATGATATCTGTGAGGGACATTATTTATGAGTCCGCGCAGTCGGGGACTTGACAAATCATGTGTTAGAACGTACTTGGATTCAACGCCTCCTGCTGACCTTGAGCGCAGAGAGGGTCGATGGGCAAGAAGGTGAATTCAGTGGCGGGCCGGCCACCGAGTCCACCTTCGAACTTCATGGTTGGCACACAGAGACCAAAATCAGCCCCGCTCACTGTAGACGCCTGGGTGGCGTTGCCTGTTGTATCTGCGGCGGCCGTCGATGTTTCGACAGCGGCAGAGGTTGTAGAGGTTGCAGAATCAGCAGCAGCAGAGGTAGCATCTGTGGAATGTTAGTGTTGTCATTGTCCCAAGTTTGGGGAGCGGGACTGACTAGATGCCGCGACGGTGCCACACACATTGGCAGCCGCGGTGGTAGCAAGCGCAGTAGTAGTAAGCGCAGTAGTAGTAAGCGCAGTGGTGGTGGAGGCATCGGCTCCAGCGCTCACGGAGGCAGCTGGAGCAGCACTTGTAGCGCCAGCCGCAGATTGAGCAGTGAAGTTGGTGAACCCATTCTCAGCCAGCAGATCCGCAACACTCTTGCCGGTGGCATCCAGTGGAGTTACTTTGGTCTTAGCGGACAAAGCATTTGCGATATCTGAGCCAACAACCGCCGGATCGATCAGAGGCGTTATACCTCGAAGGACATCAGTAGCCGGCAGAGAAGGGTCATCGCAGATGGTAGGAATCGACTGAACAAATGGGTTGAAATTCTTCTCCGCAGCAACAATGCCGATGGCAGCAGCAACTGCGTCAGCCCCTGTACCGAGCTCAGCGATGATTTGGTCACCACGCTTGAGCTTGTCACAGGCATTTGCTGCGGCTAGGAGGTCGCTTATAGCAGCACCGGCGATGGTTGGGGCCACTCCTGGAGCACCGCCTTGAACGGCTGCAATGGCTGGGATAGGAATTGGTTCTTGATTAAACCGGGCGTGGGCCACGGCAAGTAGAGTGGCAAGTGCAACTGTTTTGAACAGCATAGTGAAGGGAAGACGGAATACTGAGACGCAAGTAAAGATCGTATTGCGAGTCCAAAATATCGAAACGAGAGACTAGCTCGCTGCAGAAACGAATGGACCGACCAGCGGTAAATAATGCAGGAAAGATGAAAAGGCGAACTGCTTGATCACAAGGTAAAAGATATACCAAAATTCGAGTAGACTTACATCAATATATATTGCATGTTACCTTGGAAGGTATCTTGCTAGAAGGTCGCCCTAGCCTAGGAAGAGGTCAGTCTGGTGGCGCCACCGCATCTAGGAGGGAAATCCAACCTGAGATAGAAGGAGGATTCTGAAGGCGAGCATGTCGAGGACTACATGATACAATCCCGCCAAGTTGGGACGAAGCATAGGCTGGTGATCTTGGCATTCCACGAGCAGTAAAGGCTGCCCGGTGGCGTCATTCATTTTTCAACTTCGCTGCTTCAGAAATAACGGCAAGGGTTGAGCACATTATTGGCAAATTGGACGCGGATCGCCGAAGCAGGCGTTTGTTTGTTGCGCCGTCAAGGTGAAGCAAACGTTGTGTGGACTCGGGTTTCATGCGGCGAGGCTGACCCTGGTTCAGGGGTTGAGACACATTGGTCCGTCCACAGCTGCATCGAAACCGAAGCGAGTCCACGTGGAAGAGGCTAAGATCTGAGAAGCGCAGGATCAGGATCAAGCGATCGGTATCATGATCAAGTAGTAAATGCTCGAGGGTCTTGAGATCACTCCTGATTTATTTCCACGGTCAAGAGAAGCGCCTTGTTCAGGGTCGGAAATGTGCCGGCTTCCCTCAGACCTCGCGTGAAGAGAAGAGCTCAAGCCCGTCGATCTCAGGCGTCAGCTGAGCAACAATGAATGGAATACTTCGAGAGAAAAGGGTCTGCAACAACAGTGGCAGGAGAAGAATGCTCGAGTCTGGAAAACAGTCGCGGGTGAAGCTGCGCCGTTAACGGGTAATTGGGAAATCCACATTCACGTAATATTCCCTCGAGGCTTCGACGAGGCATTGGTAATATTACGGCCAGCATGCTCGGTAAAGAAGCGAGAACTGAAGCTTCGTTGAGCTCAAAATTGGCAGTGAGTCGAGAGAGCATTTGGGAGCCAAGGGAGCCTTGGGGAGCTTGGGGAGCTCAAGCAGCGGGAGCCTTGCAATTTCGAAGGACACTAGACCACGTGATCACTGCCAAGCACTACGTCATTCTTGCCACAGTTTGCGGAGTCTGGACTCAGTCATGCGAGTTGGCGCGTCTCATTTCAAAAGTCAAACGCCTTATTGAATCAGCGACATATGGTAATATCAATCCAATACTGTAGATGGCGCATTTTCGGTCATCTCTATTCTTTAGCTGATTGCAACACGCTCTCCCTTCCAGTCTCATCCAGTCGTTCGCTGCAACCATGGCGGATTGGAGCAAGTTGAAGGTCACTGAACTTAAGGAGGAGTGCAAGTCGCGTGATATCCCTCTAACGGGTCTCAAATTAAAACAACAATACATCGATAAGCTCGAAGAGTACGAGGCGCAGATCGGCGACTGGCCCAATGAAAATGAAGATGAGGATCAACAAGGTACAGAACCAGTCGAGGAACCACCTGCGCCGCAGGTAAACGGAGACGCTCGAGGAGGGCTCGATGCTGACACGGGCGCGAATGACACCGCAAAAGATGAGGTGCCAACGGCTGCTGGCAGAGAACAAACCCCTGGGTCTGGAAAGAGCGAAGGTGGAGCAGACGAACCTTCGGCAATTCAAGAAAAGGACAGGCACTCTCAAGACAAAAAAGAGATCAAGGAACAGCCCATCACAGAAGCCTCTGCTCAGGCTGATGAGAATGAGACAAAGGAGGTTCCAGAGAATATGGCAGAGAATATCGTAGAGAAGGCGGAAGAAAAGTCCGAAGAAGACAACAAGACAGTCGAAGCAACTGGAGAAAGTGACGATGCAGTCGCCGGTGCAGGAATGGCACTGAAGGAAAAAGCACAAGAAGGAGAGGCCATGAACGCCGACCAGAACGCCGAAAGCCAGAAGCCTGCCGTCCTCTCCACACCACAGCTGACTGAAAACCTCTCCGACTCCAACACATCCCACTCTTCGCAAATACTTTCCAGTGACCTTGGAGAAGACCAGAGGAAACGGCGAAAAAGAAGCGCCACACCGGTTCCCTCGACGCAGGACGTCGCTCGGAAAAGAGCGAGGTTGGCGGAAGATGCAGAGGAATCGAAGGCAGCAGAAGCTCCAGACCAAATGAGAGAAGAAACAGAGGAGGCGAAAGACATTCGTGGAGAGCAAACGAATGGGGAGGCTCCCAAAGTTACTGTTGAGGAACCTGGAGAAGGAGTTGTCACCACCAAGCCACTTTCGGCCTTTCAGGACACCACTCCAACGGAGCCCAAGGCAAAAGATCAAGAAGATCAAACAGTTTCTATGTCTCCGCCCAGATCAACGACTTCATCAGAAGATCGAGACATTCCACCCGCCATTCACCCAGCAACATCATCCATTTACATCCGTAACTTCAAGCGACCCCTCCATATCCCTTCTCTTCGCGCTCATATTGCATCGATAGCAAAATCGCGATCCGCTGACGACTCCGATCCCATCAACGTATTTTACCTTGATAGTATTCGAACTCATGCATTCGTATCGTTTACCTCAGTCGCCGCCGCATCTCGAGTCCGTTCTGCGATGCACGGATCACGATTTCCTGACGAACCTCTACGAGAACCACTCTTTGTTGACTACGTTCCCCCGAACAAGGTGCAAACATGGATTGACCAAGAGACCGGTAGTGGTTTTGGTCGAGGCGGCAATGGACGTCGTTTTGAAGTAGTTTATGAAGAAGATGAAAATGGCGTCGAGGCAATCTTCCAAGAAGTCGACTCTAGCAAACCTCGCCCACCTCCCTTCGACACAAGTCGCAGTTCCCGCTTGTCGTTCGACAGGCAACAGTCAGAATCTCTTTCCGCAGGTCTACATCCAGACCGCGAGGCTTTGATCCCTCGTGGTAGTCAAAATCGCGATCGTGATCGCGACCATCAGCGGGCACCACCGGCTGGCCCCCAAAACCCATCCTCAAGCAACGGCACAGGCTTCAAAGAGCTCGACGAACTCTTCGACTCCACCTCCACTAAACCGAAATTATACTACAAACCTGTACCTTCGTCCGTAGTGGATGAGCGGTTAGACATGTTCCGCAGCCTGCGCCCGGGTTGGGAGGAGATGGGACGTAGCGGCGACGAAGGCATGAAGAGGTATTCATTTGAAAGGTCCAAGGACAGAGAGGAGTGGGTCGACAAAGGCCCTGAGTTTGGATTTGGGCGGAAGGGGCAGGCTAGGTTGGTGGGCGTAGGAGCTGGAAGAGGAAGGGGAGGAGGATATCGAGGCAGGCCTATGGACTCATGGAGAGGAGGGAGGTGATGACAGGGCATCTGCAGAAGGAGATGCCACGGTACGCCATGCCACGGTACGCCCCTTGTAGCTGGGAGACGAAAGTCTACGGGTGATTGAAAATTGATGCGAGCCGCGGACTCTTCCTGGAGGATCAAGCGAAGAGATACTGGATGTGTTGTCATGTGGAAAATGAGGAAAACGCTTGTTGATGCTAGAGGAATATTAAATGACAGAAGCAGGCAGTCAAAAATGTAATCTATCAGGCCGGACGAGAGAGCCCTTTATATAGGAACGCGCTGCGTCTAGGGTTTGTTATTTCGCTGCTCTCTCGCCCGGTATCATCAACGTCCAACGAGAACTGCAGACCAATCCTGTCTATTTCAGTTGTACCTGGAGCCAAAGGGCCGTCGCAATTCCCATGGGCCTCATTTTGCAGCGACCAGCTGCTGGCAAGCCCCAGATATCGGAGGCGAGCTTTCCACAAGGCAGGGATCATCACCTTCTCAGCTCGTCTTTTCTGGTGTATGAGGGCCATGCCGGCTGGATCCAAGCACGAATATAGCGGAAATATTGATGGGCGTCTCCCTCTCTTATCCGTCCGCCATCCAAGGTCGCGCACATCTGTCTGCTCGCAGGGGGCGCCCTCCTACCAGTCATCGCCCCAACCGTCTTCCTTGGTCTTCCGCGGCGGATTCGCCGTCACTGTTGCTGAGGGGATTTTCCTCATCGCACTCGTCCCGATGCTGTTGCTGTTCCCTCCTCCGCCCTGGCCGAAACTGTCCCAGAAATCCTTCCGCTCCGGCTCTGTCCGCCTGGTAGCGGCCGAGGAAGCGGCCTTTTCATCCTGACCATCGACGAACTTATTGAACGATTCGGCGGCACCGCGAGCGCCGGATTGGATGCCCTGTCCCGCGGCTGCGGCGGCCTTTTGGGCCTGGGCAGCGAAATCCGAAGATGCGATCTAGAACCATGAGCTGTCAGTGATGCTGTTCTCGATTCAGCTAGCCGTAGCCAAAGAGTGAATGAATGAACGGAGAAAGAATGGGAAAGAACCAACATTTCTGGCCGTAGGCTGAATGTAAGAATCATTCACGATCTTAGCCTGCTTGCTGACCATTCCCCCAAGCCAGCCAAACCCCTTCGTGATGGCCGCCACGGGGTCCTTGGAGAACTCGTCCGTAGAGAGTATTCCACCTGAACCCTGCTGCTGAGAGGGCTCCGGTGGTGCGCTGCCAAAGCCGCCGTACTTTCCGCCCTGGCTGGGAGGCAAGTAGTCAGATCGAGTGGCATTTGCCTCGCCCATTCGTGCGAAGTATGCTTCATTCTGTGCCTTTTGATCGGCTGTTACGCGTCCTCCCTTTGAAGGTGCTGGGGACGCGGTCCGACTGCTTGGACGACTGCCGCTTGAGACAGCTGCATTATTGTTCCTTGCTCCTCCAGCCGGCGTAGCTGACCGACTTGCCTGCTTCTGCAAGATTGCCTGTCTTTCCCTTTGAAAGGCAGCTTTATCAAACTCTCTTTCCTCCACCTGGCAAGTCAACCTTTCCTTCCACTCCTCGCCGATCTCACAGTCATAACGTTCCTTTATTGTTGCCTCCTCAAACGGTAAAGAGGGGCTGTTCTTATTGTAGAAGTCTTGCCAGGCCTTGTTGCCGCCGTACTGCATTCGGAGGATCTCAGCCTGTTTAAACGCGTCCATCGATATGGATCGCACAAAGGAGACGTGGACTCCGAGTCCACGGTGGACGCCGGCACATTGCAGGCAGATGAAGGTGGAAAATTTGGGGGACGCCTGGATAAACAGTTAGATCACAGGAGAAGTACGACTTCAAAAGCAAATGCCCGTCAGCAGGACTCGAGACTCACCCATTGTGGTGAAGGGGCACCGCAGTCACAACACCTCTCGTTACCGGCACCCTCCTTTTTGCCCAACGCTGCAAGCTGTAAGAGAGAATCAGGGACTCGCATTCAAGACGGGCAGATCAGGAGAGCGAACCTTGGTCCTGGTCTCCGGGTCGACCTCCCACATCGCTTTGGCCGCCATGTTGTTCGGGGTTTCGTATTTGAACGTCGAACGCGGGGTGCGAAGTTTGTTCGTGTGCTCACTTTCTCAACTCTCGTCAGGTCAGCTTGGTCGGAAATACATGCTCGAAAAGACCTTCTCTAAGGTTAATTTGCAGAGAGATTTTAAGTTGACGCGTAGGTCCTCAGACCTGTTTGCAGGTGGACCAAAGGTATTTCGAGCTGAACGTTGTTGGTACAATAATAGAGGAGTGGTTGGCCAGTCAAACCCCATTTGGCACTGAATCATCCAAATGTCCGTACCAGCCGCTGACATCTGACGAGCTATATAACAACTAGTAATACATTCCACAGTATTGCGTGTATCTTCACAATCCGCCCTGTAGTTCTGCAATGAGTGCTGTCTCTCGAGGACCGGTGATTTTCTCGAACCGGTCAAAACTCATCACAAACGTTCCTCTTCCTCCGGTCATGCTGCGGAGATGTTTGAGGTAGCCAACCATTTCTTTCAGTGGCACCTTGGCCTTGACGGTCCTTTGGAAATTCACTCTTTGATGGTCTTCTCCGGCCAACGATGAACCAGATTCGAAGGGATCCTTTGGTGTATAGATCCTCCGCACGTCTACCCTTCTGGAGTCCATGTCTGTCTGCGATTGCTCTTCTTCATGGTCGCCAAGGGAGACAATATGCCCTCCCCGACCTGAAGAGATGTCCTGGATGACACTGCCTAGGCTTGCTTCGTCCACGTTGATGTCGACATTCATCACAGGTTCCATCAGAGAGCAAGGACTGCTCTTGGTGGCATCTTTGAACGCTCCGATCGTGGCCAGTCGAGCAGCCGCCGTCAGAGATCCGTACGTTGTTTCCGTGCCAAACATGTGCTGGTCTGGACGGAGAATCAAGGTGACTTTTGTGTTGCGCATCGGATAGCCCCAGGAAGGACCACGGCTCAAAGCTGCCAATGCGCCGTTGAGACACGCAACTTGGATTTCTGGAAGCAGGAGGTGTGACGGCAGGCCTCCCGTCTCGCTGTCAAGTGCTCTTCCTCGCTGGTCCAGGGTTGGTGTCTCGATGATCACCAAGTTTCCGTCCTCTTCATGACTGAAATTATCTCCAGAGTCATTGTCAGCATCAACAAGTCCGTCTTGCAAAGGTCCCACGAGGGCGGTACACCCTGCCTTCCCCTTTGAGGCCGCACGTTCTCCTTCCAAAACTTTGGTGATGGCGTTGGAAGCTTGTGGAAGTGTTTCTCGGTAACCGATCGCAATCTTACCCATACGCGCTTTTGCTTTCAAATCGTTGACCAATCTGTCTTGGGCAATCTCAAGATGCAATTCTCCCATGCCACTAATCTGAGTTTGGCCGGTATCTTCGTCCTGCAAAACCTGTAGGCTGGGATCTTCTCGCAATAGCAGTGCCAGTTTTTCGTGCATATCTTTCTCTTCCCGCAAGCTGTTTGGTTCGATGGCGGCGAAAAACACAGGCGGGGGTACCCTAATTGGACGCAGTTGTAATTTTTGCAATGGATGAGGGGGAGTGGCCTTGTTTCCCGCAAAGGAGATGAGCGTGTCACCAGTGCGAGCCAACTTTGAGCCTGCAATAACACCTATCTCACCAGCATGTAACGACTGGACAGGGACAGATTCTGAAGCATACATCCGGAGTAGCGTCGTTGCTCTTTCTGAATTTTGAAGGTTCGTGTTGAACAGGAGTGCATTGCGCTCTATCGTTCCCGAATAGACTCGAATGTAGACCAGCATACCCTTGCGTGGATCATTGACCACTTTGAACGCCAATGCACAGCCTTGCAAAGCCTTGCCCACTGCCATCGGTACTGAGTCGGTCCCTTTCTTCTTGGACTTTGGCGTTTGTTTCTCAAGTGGCAAATCGCCTCGTATCAGCTGTGAAAGTCCTCCGGAAACTGATCCAAGACCAATTTCGGGATCCGGACGCTCTTCTGGAGAGGGCAGGAGGTTGTTGACTGCGTCTAGCAGAGGTTGCACTCCGATATTACGAAAGCTGGCGCCAGCAAAGACTGGGATGATTATGCTGTGCGGAATGAGTAGACACCTTCGTAGACAATCCCAAATCTGAGCAGGAGTCACGTTAAGATGGTCTTCTTCTGCCTCGAAAAAGGCTTCGACGAGCTGATCGTCATGTTCACTGAGTAGTTCAACAAGAGCGGTCCTAGCTCGTCGCAATTCTTGTGCGAGCTCCGGATGCTCTTGCTCCAACTGTGAGAGAGGATAACGCCGGATTGCTTTTCCATCTCCCCCACACTCGTACAACAATCCCTCCAAGTTGATGACATCTCCCACGCCAGTGAAACGACCCTTCCCACCTTCAAACCAAGGAATCTGACAGACTGCAGGCCACCCACCCAAGCGGGAGCCAATTTCGCGCACTGTTCTTCCGAAAGCCGCACCATCACGATCCAACTTGTTGACATATGCTATTCGCGGAATATTCCACTCGCCGGCTTGGGCCCATACTTGCTCAGTCTGAGCCTCGACGCCAGCAACGCCGTCCAGAATACAAACAGCGCCATCCAAGATTCGCAGAGACCGGCGGACTTCGAAGGTGAAGTCAGCATGTCCTGGAGTGTCGATTAAATTGATGGTGTGCGGGAAACTTGAGCGAGGCTGAATTTCAATGCTATCGGTGGCGGCTGGAGGTGTTGCAGTTTGAGCTGGGGGCCATTCGAAGGTGATGGCTGCAGATTGAATGGTAATGCCGCGCGCCCGCTCAGCAGGAAGGAAGTCGGTGACAGTAGACCCTTCATCGACATCACCTATCCGCCGAGTATGACCACTATAATAGAGCATGCGCTCCGTCGTAGTCGTTTTGCCTGCATCGATATGAGCGATGATGCCAATATTCCTGGTCCTTGAGGCCCTCGGACTCTGCAATGTGGATGCCGCAGGTGCCGCACGCGGACATGATGACCATATATTCCTAGACTGAATCCGAAGAGAAGAAGAAGAAGCAGGGCGAGATCGACATAAATCAACTAGAGGGGAGTGTCGAATGAATTGGGCATGTTGGACTTTCATCCCCTGTCAAATAGAAGTATTTTCGTCAACCATAGAAACGTGAATTTTGTGCCTGGAATTCCAAAAGACACGAAGTCGAGAAAAAAAGGTGAAACCGGAACCCGAATGAATGATGAACGGCCGAGTCGGATGGTTTTTTTTTTTTGGTGGTTTTTTTTTTGGGAACTTGATGGTGATGAGGCTCGAAAAATATGAGAAATTCTGCCGCGTATACCTCGTAAAGCAGCATCATTCGCTAACCATCTTCGGCCCACTGGCTTCTTCAGCCGGGCGGGCAGGCGCCATTTTCCCGCTGCAACTCTGCTCCAACCTGAATGCTCTGGACGTTGACCACAGCGATAGACCAACAATACCGCTGAATCGGGCTGCTTGACTTTGGTCCTGATCCATACGTTCTACAGACCTCTGCGCGACCCTTCAGGACTTCAGAAGCAGTGCTCCGACAGCTTGGTCTTGCATGCATCCATGTGCCGAATGCCCGCTTGATTGACCACACCACATCGTGAGCAGTTCTCCACTGCCACTCTCGCAGCGATGGACTACTCTGCTGCTGCTACTGAGGCCGATGCTCTTCACGGCGCCTCTCCCTGGGGGTCTTCTTCTCCTCGTGCCTCCAGGGGCTTTCCGCATGCAGCACCGGACTCTCCAGAGTCACCCCAACCGATTCGAGGGCATTCCTACAATCAATCCCAAGACAGCATTCCCGACAGCCCATATCTACCTCCACCTAACCAATCAAATGTGTCCGTACCTACAGAGTCTGGGATCTCGGGAGATTCAGCTACTGCTCCCCAGAATCAACGTCCGGAAGGGGGCTCGGTGCAAGCACAGGCTGCCGCAACACAGCCACAGGATGTCCAAACACCCGCGGCAGCGCAACAATATACTGGTCAGACCCAACAACGGCCCGGGGCTACAAGATATCATAACGCAAGGCAAAACAGACCGGTGCCGCAATATAAGCTGCAAGCTAAGGTAACTGCGCTAGAGAGAACGGGACGCAAAGATCCCGTTATCAGGTTTGACGTCTATGTATGTTGCGCTTGTCCATGACAAGAAATCTAGCTAACACCTTTGGAAGACCAATCTTCCCAAATTCCGGACCACCCAATTCCGAGATGTCCGTCGGACGCACTCCGAATTCGTCAAGCTCGCCGACCATCTCATATCTTCAAATCCAGAAGCACTTGTCCCTGCCGTGCCCCCCGCCCAAACTTCTGCTGGAGTAGGCACCGACGAAGATGAAGCCCGAGTCAAGGCGGCAATTCAAAGATGGTTGAATTCTGTATGCAGCAACGATGTGCTCATGCGTGATGAAGAGATGGTATTCTTTGTGGAAAGTGATTTTGGGTACTCTCCCGTGGTGAGAATGAAGCAGCCAGCGACTGGTGTAAGACGGAAAGTCTTGAAACAATTTGCGCCACCGCCCGACGATACGCCTGAGCTGCACGAGGCAAGGCCTGTTGTCAAAACGTTCTACCTTAGTTCGCTGGACACGAGCCAGAAGCTCGAAAAGGTTGTTAAGGCCAGACGAGGTGAGTCGCGACTGGATCTCCCCATGATACTTGTACTGAAATCCTATAGCTCTTGGTCTTGCAGAATCGTCCCTTGGAGAAAAAATTGGCCAAATGAATGTCCAGGAGACCCACCTCGGGCTAGCAACCGCATACCGCAAACTTGGACGTATCATTCAAACGTGCGGCGATTACCACGCCGCACAAGGAACCGCTGAAGCCACGACATTAGGGGATGCGCTCACATACCACTCTTCTGACGCCTTCATCGTCAAGGAAACCTTGACAAACCGACACATCCTGCTCCGTGAGCTGCTCCAGACGGAGGCATCCCGTCGAAGCAAGGAAAACGCCGTTCAACGCCTTAAAAGCTCTTCCAGCGTTCGCCGAGATAAGGTCGATGAAGCAATATCTGCGCTTGACGAGGCAATGTCTCAAGAAAACTACCTCCGCTCAAAAACACAACGCGTGACTGCAAATTTACTGCTCGAGAAACGACGCTGGTTCAATCGCACATCCAATGAATTCATGCTCTCCCTTCGTGAGTACGTCCTGCGTCAAATCGAAGCGGAGCGCCGCACGCTCGCAACTCTCGAGAGTGTGAGGCCGGATATCCGGGCAATTGACGCCTCAGGTGGTTTGAGCAGATTGGGGCGGGAGAATCATCCCACGGTAAGGAGGATTAGTATGGCCAGCAGCCAAGGCGCGAAAGGTGACGCTTGGTCTGGTGTCCCACGGAGCAGGGATGCTCTTTCTAGAAGTATGTCTGGGAGCTTCGGACCGGGAGCGCTGGGTGTCCCTCTCCCGGAAGAGAGCGAGAACGGGACAAATGGTGCAGGGTTGGCGCAGGCGGGACGACCGAGGAGCGCGACAGGGGCCAGCCTTGAGAGGGTCAAGGAAGACGAGGACGAGGATCGCGTCGATGCGAGGAACGCCGCCAGTCGGTTGGCACAGAGCACGTTCTGATCTAAGCATCCGCACATCCCTTTTTATGACGAGAGCTACGCGGCTTTAGGAGTGAGTGGCGTCGCCGAGCCCGTCGAGGCTCAAACCAAGATGTTGAACAATAGCTAGACGAGACTAGGTGCAAAAAGAGAACAAGTGACCGAAACGAATAAGAGAGGAGGAAACGACAGGCACTACATCTCGGTGACACCATGAACACGCAGGCGGCAGATTGAGAGGGTGTTTATCTATCTATCCAAGCTCAGCTCTACTGTATAGGGTCCCTATTCAGCAGTGTGTACTAGCAATGTGAATACCGTCCCGTTTAGCATAGACCTGTAGCTCCTGCGACTGTCTGGAACGGAACGAAGAATACCTCCCGTCGCTCAGGTTATCATGCGGCCCAGATCACCAAGCCTCTCCAGGCATTCCCGCTGTCATCTTTGGCAGTCAATGAACCGAATTTCTGTTGTCTTCCTCGTCCCTCAAGTCCATTCGTTCGCTACATCCTTATTGACCCTCCATAAGTTTCTGACACAGTTCGAGCCTTTCCACTTCTTCTTGTTTGAGTATCCGCTGATACTTCGCCTCACGACTCGGACACATTAAAGACTAAGGGTTGTGAGGCTGATAAGCCCATTCTGGTGTTGTATTGCGCATGTGGTTGGCCAAGGGGGTCTCGTTACTTCTCACATGGTGAGTTGTTTTAGAACATGACGTCGTTTCGGACGTATCCAGGTTTGTTTCAGTGTAAAGTCTTTGAGCCTTTCGAGGTTCAAATGCGAGTGTAGTCGATGTCAACGGCATTCATTAGATGGAATGATCGTCGTGAGGGCTTCTGATGCGGATCGCAAAGAGTGTCGCAATTTCAATATCATGATTGAGATTGGCGGTTTAGAAAGTCGGGCCCAAGCTGCTCAACAAGTTCTTGAGTCTCTCGCCTTCCACATTGCTGGAGACAAGAGTGTCATCGACTTGCGCATCTGTCTTTATATTTCCTCGCTTAACGCTACTGCCATTGCCATTGACTGCAGGATGTGTCGGCACTGTGGAGTCCAGGGTTGAATCAGAGGTAGTTTTCGTACTCGTTCTCATTGCGCCGCCGCCGGGATGAACAGGGATGCTGCCCACCGGACCGACGGGAGCTGCGATACTGAAACTGCGTGGTTGCATGGCAGGGCTGTCAAGAGGAGTGCAGATAGGACTCGTGCTACTTCCTCGACTCCCACTTCCGATCGCACCCCAGGGATTGTTGCTTGGAAAGGTTGTTGCACTCGGAGATCTCATCGGTACAACGTGACCATGACTCTGGGCAAAAGGGTTCGCACCAGCAGGGAATTGCAACTTCTTGATTGTAGCATGTAGGATTTCCCGCTCTGTGAGTAACGCGCTGCGCTCCTGATTCATGTTTTCGATTTGCGAGGTCATCTGAGATTTTTCTGCTTGGAGAGCCTCAATTGTGTCCATCAAAGCGCGCTTCTCTCGTTGCGTTTGCTGCACGAGGCTGCGGAGGAACTCGTTGTCAGTTTGGAGGTGAGCGGCATGACCCTGGTCCATGCTCATATGAGGAGAGGGTGTGCTAGGGCGGCTGTGACCAATGAACGGAGTATCAGGTCTGGAGACTGCATTGCTGCCACTGCCAGTGCTCTCACATTGAGTGTTGTTAACGTTGGGACTTGCTAGAGACGACACCGAAGCAGACGAGCGATTCGAGATAGCAAGCTTGTTCAATGCGCGCTCAAGAGATTTACCTGCCTTGGCCGGTTCTCCTGGAACAACTTGACGAGGTGCAGCCGTATAGTGGCCCGTGTCATGGTGCGCGTATACTGATTCGATATTAGCACTGACGAAGCTCCTGCAACAGCAATGTAGCCTTGTGGAATTCGCTCACGGCAATCTTCTTCGGAGTATTTGCATTCCCCCTTTTCCCACCACCAGAAGCAGGTGAGATGTTTGACCGAGCGACGATTCTGACAGTCTGGACCTGCTCCCGCTGAGGGTAAGGGTGAACTAGCACGCGAGCTGGGTCGGCTGCGAAATTTCATCGAACGTCGACTTGGACCTTCTCCTTCAGTTCCCGATTCTTGTGATTGAGTCCGGGTGATGACAGGGACAGATGATGAGCGAGATTCACCTCGTGGGCGGGTACCTTGCCCACTGCGGCGAGAGCGACGAGAAGGTGTCTGTTGCACGCCCGGACTGCCTGGAGGATTTGGCCCCGATTTTGAAGGGTCTGAACAAGCAGGGAATGATTGCTGCAAGGGACTGTGAACTAGAGGACTGCTGCTATGACGGGGAAAAGAAGGGGAAGGTGCTCGACTCCACGGACTGGGATTTGGATGCAGTCGTGAACGAGAGGCCATGGCTGAGAAACGGAATGACTTTGGTTCGGTGGGAGCTCCAGGCGGCACTTTTGAAGAGGAGGATGAGGATGATTCTGATGACATAGTCATACCAGACGGGAGGAGTGGTGAGGACCTGAAGGCGGAGGAGTAGATCTGGTTACAAGAAGAAGGAAGGTGGTGAAGGGCGATCGCGAGAGAATGGGTGGAAGACGGTGAAGTTGCAAGAATATATTCATCTTAAGGCTGGTGAGGCAGAAATTCAATGGTCTGGTTGAACTGATTGCTTGGTCTCTGCTTCGTTTGCTCTCATGTGCTTGTCACTTCGCTTCGTTTCTGAGATGATTTAGTCGCAGTCAAAAGAAAGGCTTCCCCCCGTTCATTCTTACAGTCTTGCCCTCTACCCCTTCTGCCGCCGACGTCCCCATTGTTCGAGTTTGTCGCGAAACTCCCCAGAGAACTCATCATATCGTTTAGCCCCGTCAGCTGCCAGGACGTAATACTGTGCTTTGTCCTTTAGAAAGATGTGCGCCTCCACAGATGGCAGAACGGGCTCGGCCTCAACCACTGTCCCCAAAGTCACTCCGATGCGGTCTGCCTCCAAAAAGTACCGCATAGAAACCGGGGAGCCACAGGACTTGCAGAAGCCACGCTCGGCGATGTCACTCGCCAACCAGATGTCCGGTTTCTGTGTCCATTCCACCGCTGAAGCCAGGAAGCCCGCGAAACCGAGGAAAGGTCCACCAGACACGCGTTGGCACGTGATGCAGTGGCAGGCGGTCACGGCAAGAGGTTGAGTTTTGGTCTCATACCTGACACGCCCACAGGCGCAGCTGCCTTTGATCATGTTGAAGGGACTGGCGGATGCGTGTCTGGAAAATCAAAATACCTAGGTATGTTTTACACAAGACAGTCGAGGGATCGGAACAGCGTTTGCCGCTGACCCAACGAAGTAGCACGGTAGAAACTATGACGGTTTGGTCTTAGCAGGCTTGGTTGTTTCGCTTCCCAGCCCCATAAAATCCTGGGATCTCATCTCTACTGCCCAGTATGTGCCACTCACTGCACGGCCTCTTATTTTGCAGATTGATGCAGATCTTGAAGACAGTTGGAAACCCCTCCGTGGGAATACTGGACGGGGCTACAAATATGGAGGTAAGGAATCTCTTCATACCAGCATGGCAAGTTATGCTGGCATTTTGAGGTCGCTGCTCGACATGAGGCCGGAATTGGACTTCCAGAAAAAAGAGGCGAGATCCCGCGACAAAGATTCAAGAATATTCCACAGGAGGCAAGAAACAGCTGTCATTTCGCTTCTAGAACATGGTGCCAACTCAGAAGTGTCAATGGCGTTCAGGGCGGAGCAAAGAAAAGAAGAAAAGCCAGATTTTGTCAGACTCTTTGGGCAAGGTTGAGTACACGAAGCATCTCGCTGTTGAACGCTGAAGGAGCAAAGCAGGAGACTGATGCGGTGGTAGAATTGATCCTGTCCAAGTCGATGACCCTTCTACTATGTTCAAACTAACGCTCGACGCTTTCATTGACTGCGAGCTGTCGACAATAAATCATTGCTCCAAATGTGCGGAGACCTTAGACACATATGCACCGAATACCATCACCAAGCCGTCCTCCTGCTGAAATTCGAAAGCATGTGTATATCCCCTGTATATCTCAGCAGGGTCATTCAGCATATCGTGCGCCCTCGAAAACCAATCTTGTCTGAAGGCCGACTGTTTCGTGGCTCGTTAAAGATCTGTCGACAAGGGATCCGTTAGTGTGTATAGAGGTTGTGACCGGCGGTCATTTCCTACAGATAAAAAGCCAGAGCCAGCAGGACAAGTCCGAGTGCTACCCTTATTGTCGCGCTTCTCTATTTCCCGAAATAGGGCCACGATCACCGTCTCCATAGCTCGTTTGCGTAGGCCCCTGCTGCCAGGCCGAATGATTGTCGTAAGAGACCCCTCTAGCATCGCGATCGTCTGACTGCCGGCTCCTTTTAATCAATCTCCGAACAAGGAAAAATGCTGTGAGGCACATTGTCTCCAAACGTGACAAGGAGGATGCGATGCCTCCGATACTCGGCTGCGATTGAACTGGAAATAAATTGGGCCTTTTCAACTGTGTATATTGAGTGAATAGCCGTGAAATTGCTGCTCGGTGAACTGAGAACAAGTGTCCTATGCCCCGACTCTTATACAAGATGGTCCAACTGTGCCATCCCATAACTTACCTCGCGGATGACGAGGCAGACGAGGCATCCTACCAGCAAGGCAGTGCCCTCAATGAATAGGCACTCCCGAGGTGCGCCCTAGATAGAAATTGGTATGTAATTAGTGAATTGGCGATTTATTGGCTCTAGTGGTGCAATCCGATAGACGATACAAGACACAAAATGAGATTGCTGACTGCCTGTTGTGGAAGTCGATTCGAGGTTGGGCCCAGCTGCATGAACCGCCGTGTCCACCGTATCGAATCGTGTTCCTGACTCGGATGCAACCATGCCGTCAATGTGACAGTCCTAATCGGGTCAAATCTACGAGCCACTCATTCTATGGAGTACTCAGCGAACAGATACCAGAACTGCATTGGACATGTGCTCTATGACAGCGTGCGAGGCTGTGTCTCTGGCAGCTGCAGCTCCTTCAGCCTGGTAATGGATGAGCGAAGTCGACTGGTCTATTCTGTGACTTTTGCGGCATGTCGTTTGATGAGCCCAAGGAGCAGGGCTTCGCCTTCCACACAGCTGGGAATTTCGTCTATAATTCCATGCATCGTAGGTTTCCATCCCAGCAGTTTCTTTCCTCGAACGGATACTCCCCTTGAATTGGTCCCGATAAGTAACCTTGCATGCGGTAGAAATCTTTCGGCTTCCATAGGACTCAGGCTCTCCACAGTCGCATCTGGCAGGAGTCCTTCTTTGTGTGCGACCTTCGCGATCTCTTGGATTACGTCTCCCCAGACAAACGGACCATTCTCGGCTAAATAGTAGCCCTGATCATTCCAGGTCGCCGGTGAACCTCCATTGACAGCAGCCTCGCCAATGAGAAGGAAAAGATTAGACAAGTCGTGAATATGGACTTGATGCCAGATGTTTTCCCCCTTTCCGACTTTGAAGGCCTTTCCACGCTTCAGAAAGCTAGCTGTCACCCTGTACAGTTGGTCGGAACGTGTGTTGTCTGGACCCCGACCGTGACCCCAGATTGTTGGAGGGCATACAATCGCCGTCTTGACCTTGTCTGACGAGGTTGCCGAGACAATTTTATCGACCTGCGGTTATGGCAAAAAATTGGATCAGTAAAGCGACCTAGAAGTGCTCACTGAAAGTGGATAAGGAGAGTTCATATGATCGTGGAGTGTCTGCTTTGCGAAAGTGCACAGATGCGGTATTTCATGAACTATGGCGGCTCTTCGAGGTAAATATGGAGGGATCCTCGGTGAGTCTTGTTGCTTGATTTCCAGCGCTCTTTCCACCAATGTAGGACATTGCCAAAAAAAAAAAACACCGTGTGCAGAGTACTTACGTTCCTGTGGGCAGCTTGGTCGGGATGAGACATCAATTCGTTCACATTGTCCCAGTCGTCGTAGACCTTGTCGAGCCTGTTTCCAAAGTCGGCAAGATCAGTTGTTTCCCAGCCTAGAATTAGGGTCCCGGACGTGTGTATCCAGTAACCAGGACCCTCGCTATTTCGCCGAGCAAGACCTTTGGCAATGGCACGCGCCGATGGCTCATGGTCGCAATTGGCAAAATGATAGACTATGTCAGTGCTGGCAGCCTCCTCTTCTATCAGGTCCACAGCGTCCAGATCTCCGTAGACTAATCTCACTTTTGGATAGGCAGCAGCAATTTTGGCGCCTTTTTCGCTGCTCCGAACCATGCAGGTGAGTTCCCAGTCTGGGTGTTTTTGCGAGATCAGATAGAGGCCGTCGCCACCTATATAGCCTGTAGTTCCTGTAAGAAAGACCTTTGGTGCCATGGCGGGTTTCGCTCGGGGCGAGAAGGAGGTAGAATCATTTGCAAGAGGAGGACGAGGAGAAACTTGAACTAAGTATGATGATGCGGGTGTCACCAGGCTGTGACGTCGAGCCGTTTTTGAGATTGATAACTGCCATTTTTGTCAAACGCGTCACCGTAATCTTGCACTTTTCCGCAAACGTACTTCTTTTGAACTGTCCCTCTTTTGACGCATGAAGGGCAACACAACCACCATCGCCACATCCACCAACACGACGATCCCTCTCTGCAAACAAACTCCTAGCTTGCTGACATCACATTCATATGCGGACTCTGGATTAGCCAGTACAGCTTGTCGAATCAGATCGGATCGCTCCCTGTTGGACCGGATGTCGCAGCCTCCCTCATGAAACCTCGAGGACAACTCTTTCGAAGATAGCCTTGCTAGGGCCGCAGTTCTTGACGACTGGACGTGATGCCTCTACCAGTTGGCTCTAAGAGGAAGCGACCGGAGCGTACATACTCAGATGATCAGCCACATTCTCGTCCTTCGCCTCATCGACCGGGAAATCTCAGCCTCGCTCAGCCAGCGCCACATCACACGTCAGGAAATGATCGCGACTACGGCCAACTGCGTGGAAGAGGTGGTCGGCGATCAAGCAGAGGAGGTCGAGGCGTTAATCTTGCGTCTAGTCCACCCAACCCCCCGGCAGACAAGCCTCCTACCGCCACGAAGACACCAATAACTGAACCAGAGTCCAGCATAACAAACGGTACAATGTTTACAGCTCAGCAGAACCCTCTTAACATTCCTGTCTTATCCAGTCCTCCGCCGGAACCTCAACCCTACAATTACACCTATTTGACAAGCGCAGTCTGTGAGTCATGGCAGACTGGGGGTAGAGAAGATGTCTTACGGCAAGGCCTGGAAGGCATGCAGGAAGAGGACGGGACACAACTAACCGTGTTGATGCAAGAGCTTGTTCAGACGGTTGTCTTTGGCAGGCTTGGTCCGACAGAAGCAGGTGATCTGGTGAAACAAATGCTTGGTAGCGAGATGCCTGAAGCAGACGACCAGTCGATACCACATCCTACAGCCTTGCAAGCCGCCCTCTTGGATTCTATATCCGTTGTCTTCGAGAGCAATCCTACGATACCGCTAGACCGCCTCTCTGCATTTGTCCTTGGGACCGGAATATCTCATGAGTTGCTACGACATGAACTCGACGCGCCTTTACTCGAAAAACTGGATCTGATCAGGAATACATTTAATCGCATGGGTATCAGAAAACAGACAAATCTTCTCTACAGACAAGCAAACTTCAATCTCATGCGGGAGGAGTCCGAAGGCTTCGCGAAGTTGATGACTGAGCTGTTCACTACCAGCAGCAGCGAGGCGCCGACTGCAGAAATTGTCGAGGACACGGTTGAAAAGGTCAAGGCTATGATCGGCGCATTTGATCTGGATGTCGGTCGAAGTCTGGACGTTGTTCTCGACGTATTTAGCGCGGTTCTTGTCAAACAGTGTCGATTCTTCGTCAAATTTCTTCGCTCGAGTCCGTGGTGGCCTCGGTCATCGACCTCAGTCAAGAAAAATTCAACTCTGACAGGACTTCCAAAGTGGGCCTTCCCCGGCTCCCCTGATTGGCACCTCACAGACGAACAAAAGCAGATTGTAGCAGAAGAGACTCGGGTCCGCGACGAGGCTTTTTGGCCTCTGGCTCGAGAACGAGGGCTCGAAGCTTTCTATCTTCTTGGGAGATCACAAGTGCCACAGGACAATCTGGAACGAGTATCGTCCTCTGGAGATGATCTTCTCGCTCAGTGGATTCGAGAGACTGGTACCTTACCGCCTTCGGGCAATCGCGACGCCGCACAGCTTCTGGGATTCAAACTCCGTTTTTATTCATCATCACCGGCACGTGATGAAACAGATGTCCTCCCCGATAACCTCATCTATCTTTCTGCTCTCCTCATCAAGATCGGATTCATCTCGCTTAAGGATCTGTACCCACATATCTGGCGGACGGACGATGCGATGGAAGAACTCAAAGAGCAAAAGACTCGAGAAAAGCAAGAGCGAGAAAAGGCTGCCAGGCCAGGAGCAGGTGCCAGGAATGCCCTTACATCTGCGGGGGCGCTGATAGACGACACCTTACCTGTGCCACCTCGTTTGAAAGAGTCAATCACACGTGCCAACACCCCATCCAAAGAACCAGAGGCAGAGAAGGTAGTTCCGAAAGAGCATGAACCTGCCGACCAGAAAGTTCTACTACTCAAGAGCTTGCTCGCCATTGGGGCCCTTCCAGAAGCGCTCTTCATTCTCGGTCGCTTCCCTTGGCTGATGACCCTCATTCCTGATCTTCCAGAGTATGTCTACCGTATACTGCATCACTCTTTGGGCAAAGTGTATGGGGAAGCTCAACCGCTGCGAGACCGTCCGAGTCTTCGGAGCCAAAAGCCGAGTTATGAAACCGATGTACCCGGCGTGCCCAAAGGACAAGTCAAAGTTGTCGAAACCATTGAAAGAAAGGTGCTTCGATGGGCTCAGCTAGACAAAAACGACAGCCCTGACGGCACTGATTACCGGTTTTACTGGGATGAGTGGAGCGACAATATTCCAATATGTCAAACTGTCGAAGATGTCTTTACACTATGCGATACTCTGCTGCCTCTTGTTGGTGTCAAAATCGGGCAAGATCCAGGCCTTCTTCTCAAGTTTGCTCGAATCGGAAAGCACAATCTACAGGCCGACAAAAGCGAGTCTAATCGATCGCGATGGCTGGATCTGGTCAAACGTACCCTTCTACCATCCTTGAGTTTGACAAAATCAAATGCCGGTGCGGTCAACGAAGTCTTCGAGCTAGTCAGCACTTTCCCAGTGAACGTCCGCTATCTGATGTATGTCGAATGGTCATCTGGAAGGACGTCTCGCAACCCCGACATCAAAGCAGCATTCGATCAGGCGAGGGCGGAGACAAAGGATATCCTAAAACGTATATCTAACACTAACGTACGACCGATGGCGCGTGCGTTGGCCAAAATTGCATTTGCGAATCCACATATCGTGATCACCACTGCGCTTACTCAGATCGAAGTGTACGACAGCATCGCAGAGGTATTCGTCGAAGGCGCACGATATTTCACTGATCTAGGATATGATGTTCTCACTTGGGCAATTGTAGGCTCAATGGCAAGGACCGGAAGGAACCGGACTCAGGAAGGCGGGATCTTCGCGAGCCGTTGGCTTTCAGCACTTGCAGTATTCGCTGGCAAGATTTACAAACGTTACGGCATGATGAAGCCTGGGCCAATATTACAATACGTTGGCGAGCAACTTGAGCATGGCAACACAATGGATCTCAAGATGCTAGAACAGATTGTACTCTCCATGGCTGGAATTGCAACTGACACGAGCTACAACGATGCACAGTTACAAGCAATGGGAGGAGGACCACTCTTACAGTCTCAGACTATCCTTCAATTGCTTGATCGACGCCATGACTCCAAGAAGACTTCCGAGAGATTGATGAAGTCGCTACAAGACACCAATCTGGCTGCGAAATTCCTAATTTCAATGGCGCAACAGCGACAAGCTTGTGTCTTTGAAGAAGGACAAATACCTCTTAAAGCGATCGGCAACACATACGACGAGGTCCACCGAGTGATGGTGCAGTATCTGGATCTTCTGAGAACGAACTTGCCACCAGAAGAGTTCCGAGCCACAATTCCTGACGTGATTAGTCTGCTCATTGACTATGAGATTCGGCCTGAAATCGCATTCTGGATCAGTCGGCCTCTCATTGCCAGGCAAATGCAGGAGTACGACAAAGAAAACGCAAAAGATCAGCGAGTGGAGGAAGTCAAAGAGGTCAACGGTGATGTGGAAATGTCGGACCAAATCAATGCCAGTTCAGAGGAAGATGGAGAGGCTATTGAAACAGAAAATCTTCTGAACGACTCACCAGCTGCAAGCGACGCTATGGGTCCGGCGCTTGAACTCGACGCCAGCAAGACCCCCCTGGGGCCATTAGATTCAGCAACAGATGATTGCTGGCATCCTGTCATGAAGGAGCTAATGGATGCTATCCAGCCAAACTTGTCCGAAGAAATTGTGGACATCATCGGGACTGGATTCTATGCAACCTTCTGGCAGTTGTCGTTATACGATATCACTATCCCTGGCAAATCGTACGAAGATGAACTCTCGAGACAGCATAAAAAGATCGCTGCGATCTCGACAGACCGAACAGACGTCAGTGTCTCTGGAACAAAGAAGAAGGACCTTGCGAAGAAGGAGATACAAGATCTCATCGATAAGCTGCTCGCGGAAAATAAAGAACATCTGAAAGCTTTCGCGGAGAGTAAAGCCCGACTACAGCGCGAAAAAGAGCAGTGGTTCCTCGGCAAAGCCAGAATGGACAAGCCCTTGAACACAACACTTATTGAGCATTGCTTTTTACCCCGGATGCTATCTTCCCCACTGGATGCCTACTTCTGCTTCAAGTTTGTCAAATTCCTCCACGGGGCCGGAACTCCAAATTTCAGGACGCTTGGTTTTTACGACCTTTTCTTCAAGCCATCACGACTCATCTCGCTGATATTCATGTGCACTTCGAAAGAGGCCGACAATCTTGGAAAATTCCTCAACGAGGTGCTGAAAGATCTTGCTCGCTGGCATGGTTCTAAAGCAACATACGAACGGGAAGGCTGGGGTATCAAGAAGAATCTGCCCGGGTTTGCTATGAAAGTTGAAGCTGGAAAAGTCGTTAACTTGTTGGATTTCGAAAGTTTCCAAAGAGTGCTCTACAAATGGCATGGAAATCTGCACACGGCGCTTCAGAAGTGCCTTACGTCCCCGGAGTACATGCATGTCCGAAACGCGATTTCTGTCCTACGCGCGATCTCAGGCGTCTACCCAGCCGTCAATTGGCACGGTGCTGTGTTGCAAAAGGCAGTTGATAAACTCCGCGAATCCGACAAAGAAGATCTCAAGGTCTCTTCTCAAGCCCTACTTGGCGCTTTGCATAGGCGGGAGAAGTTGTGGGTGGGTCTAGAAACTTTCCGCAAAGGACCAGAAAAGAGCGGCGAGCATGAGCGCGATCTCCTCCAAACAAAGATTTCCCCGTCGCAAGATACTCGAGCTGCAAGTGTGACGACATCCAAAAAGGAAGGAGAATCCGAAGTCAAGGATGCGGTAATAACAGATGCGCCATCGAAGCCTGAAGCTAGACCTGTCCCTGAAAAGAACGATGGTGAAGGATCTAGTAAGCCTGTGAAGTCCCAACCTGCTAGCGGTCCCGCTACACCGGCTTCTAGAGCAAGTTCCAGACCAGGGAATGCCAATGGCGTTTCGACACCATCTCGACAGGGTACCGAGCCCTTAGCAATTCCAAAAAGAGAAACGAGGCCCCCTCGTGCAGAAACCTCCAAGCCACACGAGCTTCCCAGACGGCTCACGCCTCCTCCATCACGGCCTCCTGCGAGCTTGCCGAACCGTCCAGAGCCAGTGGATTCTCGAAATGGCCATCGAGATAGTCCGCGTTTGTCCAGTCGACTTGACGTTGACGCTCCAAGACTGGCGCCCGACGTTCGAACAGGTCATAGTAGAGACGTAAGACCAGGATACCGAGGACTAGAACGACCAGACAGACCTGAATCGGGATTCGACGACTTTGATCGACATTCTCGGAGGTACGAGCGCCCCGAAGGCCCAGGCCATGGCATCCGGGAGGATCGTGGATTTGGTCGAGAGCACGACAGAAGAACTCCATATGATCGACCTCCTCCGCATGAGCGAGATCGTCCCGCTATTCGCCCTTCCCCAGCGGAGCGTGAGCGGGAGGGTCGTGAGCCAGCTCTAAGATCAAAACCTCCAGTTCCAGAACTTTCAAGACCAGAATCGCAACCACCCCCGAAAAAGGAGAACCCCACGGAGCCTCCCCAATCGATAGTCAATCCAGCCCGCGCGTCGTTGATGGAGAGTGGGGGTGATCGAAGATCGCTTCCGGCGTCGAGGGGCCAGGGGCAAGAGAAGCCGTCAAGATCATCCCGGCCGAGCTCTCCACGGAGAGAAGACGACCGGCGGCCACATCTCCGTCGCGATGCCGATGATCGACCTAAACCAGAAGCTCCCTCCACACGCCAGTCCTCATACACGCCTTCATCATTAGAATCAGGAGCTCCCAGTTCTCGTTCCAGCGGACTAAGTTCGTATAAGAGAGAGCCGCGAGACCTTAGACAGGCCCCGCCAGTCGACTTGCAGCACGGTAGGCTGGAGCAGGAAGTGACGCAGCAACCAGCGATCTCGCAGAGCTCGGATCGTCTTCAAGAGTCTGACGTGCCGTCTGGCCCTCGTGGCAGACCTGCGTCAGGAGGCGGGCCAAGGCTGAGAGCTCCTGCGCTCAATACCCAAATGCCGCCATCGCCGAATGCGGATCGACCAACTCCAACTGGACCTTCCAGACGACATGGACGCACTAGTTCCTACGCCGAGCCTTCATCTACGCCTTCCACTCCCGCTGCAGATGCGGCAGGTGTTCATCCCTCTCGCCTCAGCCAGATCGATTCGGCAGCTTCGGACATGTCGCGCTCGGCTCAGGCCACGCAACCCCCGTCGCAGACTCAGCCTCCGGCAGGCCCTAGAGGAAGTGCTCCTCCTGGAGCTCCGTCTGGCCCATCACCTACAAGTAGAGGCCCGCCATCCGGCCCACAGACTGGTGACGGGAGCATGCGTGGGGGGCGAAACAACCGTAATCCACTCACCGCCGTCAACAACACCCTTGCTCAAGCCGGCACCTCGATTCGTGGTCGAGGCAATATCAGGCAGAGTGGTGCAAGCTTTGGTCCCCATATGCCCCCTCCTCCACCGCCGCCTCCGCCACCTGGTGGTCCTCCTCCCACGAGCCACGGTCAAAGCCCCAATGGATACCCGCCACACGATCTGTTTGCATCTTCAAACCCTAACGAGGTGCCGGTGGGCACCAGACCCTCTGCTTCGCGTCATGAAGGCAGCAGGGATCGCAGAAGTGAAGCCACCGAAGAGCGAGGATCCGAGAGGAGACCATCACGGCATTCAAGTCGGCATGATGAATCACGTGGAGATAGAGATCATCGGAACGAGCGAAATGGTCGAGATGGCAAGGAAGATCGGTATGGACCGAGTGAGTCTTCGAGGCGGGATGAAAGACCGAGCAGGAGAGAGAATCACCCGCCAGATGCCGAGGATCGGAGAACAGGATATTCAAGATCTGCACCTTCGAGAGATGATACGCAGTCGTCGAGAAAACATGGTCGAGGGGAGGAACCAAGTACTTATGGGCCCCCTAGCCACGGAAGCGGTGGAGGGAGAGGAGGTTCAAGGGTTGCCAGCGAAAGCAAACGGATCCGACGCGGCCCTTGAAAAGAGGAAAGAGAAATAAAAAGAAAGTGGAGCGAGCAAGTGAAAGTCTATACTCGTGGCGAAGTCTGACAGCCGAGCTGGGTGGATGTAAAGTGTTGTATATGGTGGACGAGAGTAGCCAACAGACAACTTGTGCCTTTAGTTAGGCCAGTTTAGTTATTTTGCCGAATTCAAAATGTGTTATTACCGCACCGGAAAGAATACTGTTCAGCTGCTCGAAGGATGGGCGGCGTCTAGGGGAGACGATTAATTGCACATGCGAGCAATACTCTGAGATCAGACGAGGCTTTCTCTTAGGTAAGCCGCTCAATAACATTTGGTGTGCGTTTAGATTGGAGTCGAAACTCTCCAAAAAAGTTGCCAGTGAACACGTCCTGCACGTCCCACTTCTAGCGGTATCAGGTATCACGCCTCTTGTCCAACTGCTGTTTGATGCCACTTGTCCTTCTCCTGTTCTATCCCGTTGTCTCCTATTGCAACCCTCACTTCGCTCTTTGATAATCTCGCTCGACCGTGTACAGACCTTTTCAGATGCCAACTCGCCCCGTCTCACCACCACTATGAGGCGACGGCCCTCCATTCCCTAAAATTACTTCTGTCGATGCTTCAAAAATGGCAAGCTACGGTTCGCAATATGGCAGTGGCCACGGTCAGCCATATCACATGAATCAAGATCCCAGATATACAGTTCCTCAAACCCAACAATATCCTCCGAGTTTCCAACCATCGGTCAGCCCACAGCCAGGGTACCCTCAATATGGTGCAGATCCGAACGCCCAGCACGTTTTGGCCAATGCACAGCAGGTGCCCTACCCTGGACAGGCTGCAGGATATATACCTCAACAGCAAGATGCCACGAATGGCCTAACGGCACAAATGGGAGGACTAGACATGGCGGCCGCGCCCACAAGGTCTCATCGAAAGAAGGAGAGACATGCCTATCATGACATAGGCTCAGCACCGGCCACGGCACCCGTGAGCTCCGCAGCACCTGCAGGGTCGTTTGGAGTACCGCAAATTTTAGGTGTAGGGTCACAAGGAGGGCCAGGGGCAGTACCGACGCAATCAGCGGAGAATGTGTTTGTCAACCCAACCGACAAATTGCGCATGGGCGAGGAGGCTGTGGCCACACAAGGCCGAGTCAACCCAGAGCAAATTCCAAGCGTGGCAAGATCAAGAGACGCTGCGACCCAATACTATCAGATCAATGTCTATCCAACCATGGAAAAGCATCTTCCACCTCCAGCGGCTATCCCCTTCGTGGCCCACGATCAAGGAAATTCGTCGCCTAAGTTTGCGCGGTTGACGGTCAACAACATACCTGCCACAGCCGAAGCTCTTGCATCGACTGGGCTGCCCCTAGGTCTCGTCTTGCAGCCATTTGCGCCTCTTCAAGAAGGAGAACAGCCCATCCCTGTCCTAGATTTTGACGAGCTTGGCCCTCCTCGATGTCGGAGATGCAGGACATACGTCAATCCTTTCATGACCTTCAGGTCTGGTGGCAATAAGCTAGTGTGCAATATGTGCAGCTTCCCCAACGATGTTGCGCCCGAATACTTTGCCCCTACGGACGCTGCTGGTGTCAGAGTTGACCGGCTACAGCGGCCAGAGCTGATGATGGGTACTGTCGAGTTCTTAGTGCCAAAGGAGTACTATACGAAGGAACCTCTTCCTATGCGGTGGTTATTCATGATTGACATCACCCAAGAAGCTATCAACAAAGGATTTCTCGGCGCCGTCTGTCAGGGCATTCTAGACGCACTCTATGGACCCGAGAGTGAAAGGTCTTCAGAGGAAGATGCAGCATTTGCCGGACTGCCGGCAGGGACTAAGATTGGCATTGTCACGTACGACAAGGAAGTTCAATTCTACAACCTTGCGCCTGGTCTAGACACTGCTCAGATGATGGTGGTGACAGATCTCGAAGATCCTTTCGTGCCTTTGGCGGATGGATTGTTTGTCGATCCACAAGCATCCAGGGATGTGGTTACAGCCCTTCTCAAAGCTATCCCTACTATGTTTTCCACAATCAAGCACCCTGAGCCGGCCTTGCTGCCCGCTCTCAATGCCGCACTCGCTGCACTGACTGCCACGGGCGGCAAAATTATATGCTCCTTATCAACTTTACCCACTTGGGGACCCGGGAGGCTGTATCTGAGAGACGACGGCAAGGGCCGGGACACAGATGCTGAACGCCGTCTCTTTACTACCGAGCACCCCGGCTGGAAGAAGACCGCTGGAGCGATGGTGACCGCAGGTATCGGAGTGGATTTTTTCCTCGCCGCCGCTGGGGGAGGGTATATGGACATTGCGACAATAGGACACATGTCGCGATTGACTGGTGGTGAGATGTTCTTCTATCCCAATTTCATTGCTCCCCGAGATTCGCTCAAGCTGCGTCTTGAAATCGAGCACACGTTACGACGAGAGACAGGTTATCAGGCGTTGATGAAGGTGCGGTGCTCGAATGGTTTGCAGGTCGCTTCTTACTATGGCTCATTCCTCCAACATACCTTTGGAGCAGATCTTGAGATCGGGACCGTCGATGCCGACAAAGCCATTGGTGTCACCTTCACTTACGATGGTAAACTTGATGCCAAGCTGGATGCCCATTTTCAGGCAGCTCTACTTTACACTTCTACAACCGGTCAGAGGAGGGTCAGGTGCATTAATGTGGTGGCCGCCGTCAATGAAGGCGCCGCCGATACCATGCGGACGGTTGATCAGGACGCGGTTGTCAACATCATTGCCAAAGAAGCTTCGTCCAAGATCTCCGAAAAGTCTCTGAAGGATATTCGCGCTAGCATCACGGAGAAGACGATTGATATCCTGGCCGGATACCGAAAGAACTTCTCTGGCTCACACCCGCCTGGGCAGCTCGTGCTTCCAGAGCACCTCAAAGAGCTTGCCATCTATATGCTCGGTTTAATCAAGACCCGGGCTTTCAAAGGTATCCTCCAACGACCACATTCTGACATCCCAAGACTGACATTTGATGCAGGAGGTGTTGAACCTACCGATCGCAGGGTCTACTCTGCTCGATTGATGAGATCTTCGGGAGTTACAGAGACCGCATTATATCTTTATCCACGCATATACGCTCTCCACAACCTGAGTCCACAAGATTGTTTCGCCAATGCCGAGACCATGCAACTAGTGGTCCCGCCTACTCTCCGGGCGTCATTCGCCAGGGTCGAGGAAGGCGGAGTGTATCTGGTAGACGACGGACAGATTGTGCTGATCTGGCTCCACGCTCAAGTGTCGCCAAACCTGCTGGAGGATCTCTTCGGGGAAGGTAAAACTAACCTACAAGATCTCGATCCTATGACGAACGAGTTGCCGGTGTTGGAAACGCATCTGAATGCCCAAGTGCGGAACCTCCTGCAATACATGTCCACGGTCCGTGGGAGCAAGGCGACAAGCTTCACGCTGGCAAGGCAAGGTTTGGACGGTTCGGAATTTGAATATGCTCGGATGCTGGTGGAAGATCGGAACAACGAGGCTCAAAGCTACGTTGACTGGCTTGTACATGTGCACCGGGCGATCCAGATGGAGCTGAGTGGGCAGAGAAAGAAGGAAGACACAGGAGATCATGAAGGCATTTTGAGTAACTTGACGGGACTGAAGGCGCCATACTGGACATGAGGATTGGTGTTTGATTCTGATGTGAACCATGCAGATATGCCGGGATGTTGAAATGAGGCCGTCGAATGATCAGTAATGTTGTATTTTACCAAACACGACAAATAAGTTCGCTCTGGACATCGAAACATGGTGAGCTATATCTAACAATAGTTGATGCTTACCCAGTGCAGTACCCAGTGGGCATCTCGGCAGGGAGAGAGAGATGGAGATAGACGCGGAGATATGTAGATGCACACCGCTTACTATCCGGTACTTTCAATTGACTTAACTCCTCCGTTGGGACTTTTGCCCATGCATATCACACTGACTTGGAGAACTTATCGTCATCCTGCTGCATCTCGCTGCCACGCTGTTGTAGCACGCTGCTACTGTATGTGATATGTACTACGGAGGACTGAACAATCCCTGGAGAGGCCCCTTTCATCCATCCACCGCGCCCCGCATTGTGCCGCTACAGCCGATTTCGAGGGGGGTTTTCCTCAAGAAGCAACCCACAATCCACAACTCAGTCGACAAATCTGCACGAAATCCCCAGCCTACATGATCGTCCGTCATCTCCACCTGACCGCTCCGCCTCGGTCGAAGACCACCTGAGGGGGACTTCGCCATGATGGGAAGGCCGAGCAGGAAGAATATATACCTAAGCAGCGCCACTCGTCCAATGGACTTCTGTTTCCCATTCTCCGACGCCTTATTTTGTTGGCTTCGCACCCAGCATGATGGCAGCCATACCTTAAACAAACCAGCCTTGCTAGGCTACAGAATTCGCGAGGACTCAATCTAGGAAATTCGGCAGCACTATGGCGCTCGACAACAAGACCACTGACATTGAGCATATTACCTCCAGCTTGCCTAGCCTTGGGGCGAGCTGCAATAGCTCCCAGGATGACGAACGAGATGTTGAAAAGGCACTGTCAACGCTTGAGGAGAAAGGTGGCACAACCACCACAGTGGAGACTACGACAGACGATTCAAATGTGGTTGACTGGGATGGGCCCAATGATCCAGAGAACCCATTGAATTGGCCTGCACGGAGAAAGTGGACAAACGTTGCGCTGCTGTCTTTTATCACCCTTTTGACGTGGGTGATCATGACAATTCTTCCATGGAAACATGCATCTTCGATACTGACGGTTCTTCAGACCTTTTGGTTCGTCGATGTTTGCACCGGCTGTACCTCAAGTGATGAAAGACTTCCACTCCAACAGTGAAGACCTGGCATCGTTCTCGGTATCTGTCTATGTTCTTGGGTATGCCTTTGGTCCGCTCGTTATGTGAGTGCCTCCTCATCCCTACAAGGCCCTCGGACAGGCCTTGGTGTCGGCGGAAAGCCTGGTTAGAAAAAGGGTTGGGCTAACATACAGGCAGAGCTCCGATGAGCGAGTTGTACGGGCGACTGCCAGTCTACCATACCAACACATTTCTCTTCATGGTCTTCACTTTCGCCTGTGGCAAGTCGACAAACTTGTCGATGCTGATTGTCTTCCGTTTTATGGCTGGTCTTGTGGGTTGTTGTCCCTTGACCGTCGGATCTGGCTCCATAGCAGATACCTTCAGGCAAGACCAGCGCGGGAAGGTGATGAGTATCTGGACCTTTCCGATCCTGTTTGGACCGAGGTGTGTATGACCCCGTGAGTACGCCACCCAGAGATCAATGCCACTGACAAATTAACAGTTTGGGTCCCATCGTGGGATCATATCTCTCTGAAGCGGCTGGATGGCAGTGGGATTTCTATCTTCTCACGATTTGCGTATGTGTCTGCGCCCGTTAGTCGTCATTTCGTCGCCGTACTGACGAGAAGCAGACGGCAGCCATGTTCGCCGTGGCCCTTATCGTCCAAAGAGAAACCTACCCACCCATTCTACTGGAGAGAAAAGCCAAGCGACTCCGAAAGGAAACAGGCAACGACAAACTCCGGTCGGCGCTTCAGTCTTCCAGGACAGCCTCACAATTGTTTTTCCTGAGCGTGATCCGCCCAACCAAAATGCTGTTTCTTTCACCAATCATATTTTGTCTCTCCCTATACATCGCGGTCGTGTATGGATATCTTTATCTGTTGTTCACAACGATGACGTCCATCTTCCGTGATCAATACGGTATCAGTGCAAGTAATGTGGGCCTTGTCTTTTTGGGCATCGGTCTCGGTCAGTTTATCGGCCTGTTACTCTTCGGTGCATATTCCGATAAACTGCTGAAGAAGTTGGCCAAAGGTGGCGAGATGAAGCCTGAGTACCGGTTGCCATTGCTTTGGCCTGGCGCGATCGCCGTGCCTATTGGTCTTCTTGTGTACGGCTGGACTGCCCAGTACAAGGTGCATTGGATAGTTCCGATCCTGGGGACGGTTCTGCTTGGAGGAGGGATGGTCGGGACATTTATGTCATTGTCGATATACCTGGTTGAGTAGGCGTTCTTTCTTTCCGTGTATGTTGAACAGAGTGACTGACTTTAACACAGCGCGTACACGCTTTATGCAGCCAGCGCGATGGCGGCTAACACGGTTCTTCGCAGCCTTGGGGGCGCATTTCTCCCTCTAGCGGGACCAGCCATGTACAATTCCCTTGGGCTCGGATGGGGCAACAGCTTACTTGCATTCATATCGTTGGGCATGTCGCCGATGATATGGGTCTTCTTGAAGTACGGCGAGAGGATCAGGACCCATCCGAAGTTCCAGTTGAACCTTTGATGGCATTTTGAAGACTTGTGTACAGCATAAATGCATGGCCAAAGGTATACCTAAGTAGATTTTAGAACAAGTTCGGCCTGTGCTCTTGTCTCCCTGTTTCGGTGGTTGGGGGGGAAGGCCGGGCGCCAGAACCTTCTGCCGCTGTCCCAGCGCAGCCTTGCGTCTTGCCTCTCACGTGCCCGCCGTGTCAATTCAGGGGCCGATTTCGAAAATGCTGCCCCGGGTCAGGTGTGCCGAGGCTCTAGCCCACATTGCTATTGGTGCGTGATGATGCCACCGACCCCTCCACACAGTCCAGTGGCTACAATGTTGGCAGTTGGTTGATGACTGCGCAGGCCGGCGGTGGCTTCCACCCTGCATCCATTCCAAACCCACTGCCGAAACAACGAACTTTTCCACCAGCGAAAGTACCTACCTAGACCTGGTCTCATTTGCGTCCACCCTCGACAGCCTCCATTTTGACTCATAACAGTAGCAGCTTGACCAAGAGCTGCTGTGCGCATGGCTCTCACATAAGCTCGTGTCGACATTCTTCAACTATTACCCTCCGTATTTACCTCCCACACATCACAAAAGGTTGCTCTTTACGCTTGATTCGGGGTCTGGATGATCGCCATGGCGTACAGAGATACAAATACCAATGGAGAGGCTCGGCCTGCCTCTACTCACCTCCGTCAGTATCTCGCATACTTTCCCTTCTTCCTTGCCTCCCGCTTCTGCTCCTTTTCTCCCCCTCCGCAACCATGATTGATCGGCTACTAAATCCCGTAGAGAGTGCCAAAGAACAACCTGAAAACCCTTACGCCAAACTTGTCACCGATCAAGAATTCGTCATTGTTCCCTCCTTTACCCTCGAGTCTGGTGTTGTCCTTAAAAACGTTCCCGTTGCATATACCCGTCGTGGTCACCTCTCAGAAAACAAGAATAATGCCCTTGTGATATGTCATGCTCTAAGTGGCAGCGCGGATGTGGCCGACTGGTGGGGACCGTTGTTGGGAGGACCTGGCCAGGCGTTTGACGTGACGAGATTTTTCGTCGTCTGCTTGAATAGTCTGGGAAGTCCATACGGCAGTGCCAGTCCGGTGACGAACAAGGATGGGGATCCGACGCAAGGCAGATATGGGCCGGAATTTCCTCTAACCACTATAAGAGATGACGTGAGGTGAGTGAAAGGTAGAACGGAGGCAATCAGTATAGGAGACTAACGTTTAATTGCAGAATACACAAAATTGTCCTCGATCATCTCGGTGTTCGACAGATCGCATGCGTGGTCGGTGGGTCTATGGGGGGCATGCTATGCCTCGAGTACGCATATTTTGGGAAAGACTATGTGCGGAGTATCGCACCCATAGCCACGTCTGCGACGCACAGCGCCTGGGGCATCAGCTGGGGAGAAGCGCAGCGACAGGCCATCTACTCCGACCCTAAATATGAAGACGGGTACTATTCTTTTGATGATCCTCCTACCGCCGGCTTGGGCGCAGCTCGCATGTCGGCTCTCCTCACATATCGAAGTCGGGACTCGTTTGAGGCTCGCTTTGGTCGCAACACACCAGACTGGTCGAAGAAACCCTCGATAAATCAAGGGCCGAAGACAAATGGGGTCCACAACGAGCACTGGACAATCCACAACGATGGGCATAAACGGGCCAAGGGGTCTCGCGATTCTCGCCCAGCGTCGCGCAATGGCACGGTGTCGGAACCAACGTCAGCGCCCGACTCATCCGACGGAGAGCAACAACCGGCGACATTCAGAGACCCGCAATTCAACGGGGCTACCGAGTTTGTCATACCCGTGCCCGTTGTCGAGAAGAAGACGTCCAGGCCAACACATCATTACTTCTCGGCACAATCCTACCTGCGGTACCAGGGCACCAAATTCGTGACCCGGTTTGATGCAAACTGCTATATCGCCATCACGCGCAAGCTGGACACACACGATGTATCGCGGAGTCGGGCACCTACCGTCAGAGAAGCTCTTGGGCAAATAGAACAGCCCGCGTTGGTTCTGGGGATTGAATCGGACGGCCTGTTCACCATCGCCGAGCAAGAAGAACTGGCCGAGTGTATTCCCAACGGACGACTCGGGAAGATCGACAGTCCCGAGGGCCACGACGCCTTTTTGTTGCAATTTGAGCAGGTGAACAGTTACCTATTGGGCTTTTTCAGAGAGGTGCTGCCGGACATCATGAACAAGCCGGGCATAGGTGGAGCGGATGGAGAGGTCAAAGATGGAGTGGGCCAGATGACCAAGTCGAGTACCTTCGGAGAGGCAGAGGTCGGGGATTTAACTGCTTGGTAGCCAGTCAGGCCTGCCTTCGGAGCGGCTGAAGAGGTGTTTCGGACCAGTTCAACTCTGGCCGGATACCCAGCAGGAGAAGGATGCGGTTGTATATATTATGTATAATTGTCGTCAGTCGAAATGGCTGCATTCACAATATACCCACAGGATATGAATGAGATGGGCTGGGAACATAGAAAATGCGAAGTGACTAGTTTACCAAGTGGGAAGGATTTTCTTTTTCATTTCGCTTCATTCGGAATATGGGAAGAACAATGGGCCGTCATCCTCCTCCTCCTCCTCCTCCTCCTCCTCCTCATCATCATCATCATCATCATCGCCGCCGCCATGCTCATAGACCAATTCCTATAGTAACATGTTGGGGCTGGTTGGTAGTTATTTGGTCGCGTGCTCGGGAGGGAGGATAAATATAAGCACTCGTACGAAATATGGGATACGGCATGCGAGTCGTACGAGGACCATACATGAGACTTGGCATCGAAGGCTTCAAGGGCTTGTGCAAGCTGACGGCAGCTGACGGGCAGATCGGGCAAATCTTGGGTTTGCTTGAAGGAGGCCTTGGAGCTTGTTAGTGTCTGTACTGGGTATTAAGGGCTGATACGGACGGTTTCTTGAGCCAGCCACTCTCAGCAGGAAGCGCGAGAAGCTGCGCCAAAAGCCAAAGGCCTGAGCCACTGCGACCAGGGGCGGAAATAATGCAAGGCAGATCCGTTTCAGCTGGTTGCCGCGCCCACTATTCTGGCTTAGTCGCAGCCTACCTAGCCTCCTTGAGTAGAGCCTAATAGGAGGGCCTAGCGGCCTAGCAGCCTAACATCCCTCATTAACATCCTTCGCTTCAGTGGCTTTCTCGGCGGCCCTCTCGGTGGCCTCAGGCTTCTGTCCCCTCCCTAAATAATGAACTCCCAATTAACTAATCGCAAGTGACCTGCATTTCCCTGTCAGCATTTGCGGCGCAGCAAGCAAGCAAGCAAGCAACCAGCATCCAAACCTCCAAGCTGCGTCTGAACTTTGGTCAATGTCGACCTTAGATTTCTATCTCTTTGTTGCCCTCTGAAACTCTTTGAAACCACTCACGACAAAGCCCCCTTTCGCTCTCTCTTCTCGTATTCCCCCGCGCTGCGTCGATCTGAAGGAAGGCCTCGCATTCATTTGATTCACCCTGTCACTCGTTTTGCGACGCAGGCGCCTCGAACCTCTGTATTCTCACTACTCTCGTTACTCTCACAACTGCTGCTGCTGCTTCTCCTCCTCCTCAACTGCGCCAAAAAGCGATGCGAACACGATTCCGTCTTTAACACGCTACACAAAGGAAAACCTTCAAGATGGGCTGGCCAAAATGCAATTCGACAGACGAGGATTTGGCGATCACCGAGATCCCCATATGGGAGGGCCATACTTTCCATACGATCGGTCTCTGGATCGCAGCAATGTTCACCATCATTGCCCTGGCTGTCTCCTTCTTCCTCATCCTCATGCACGCCACGCATTACCTGAAACCACATGAACAGAAACACATTATTCGCATCCTCGTCATGGTCCCCATCTACGCCGCCGTCTCGCTCCTCTCCTTTTACTACTATCGACACAGCGTCTACTTTGAGGTCATCAGAGACTGCTACGAAGCATTCGCTATTGCTTCTTTTTTCTCCTTGCTGTGCGCCTACCTCGCTACAGATTTACACAAGCAAAAGATCTACTTCCGAACAATCACCCCGAAGAAATGGGTTTGGCCCATGAAGTACTTTCAGAAGTGTACGGGCGGTTCTGAGAAGGGTTGGCTGAGAACACCAAAAAGCGGCTTGACATGGTTTAATGTAAGGTCCTGTTCTTCACCTGCTCATTGCGCTCGACTGACGCTGGCCAAAAGGTGATTTGGGTCTCGATTTTCCAGTACTGTTTCATCCGCGTCTTTTTCACGATTGTATCAGTCATCACCCAAGCTCTCGACCTGTATTGCCTCGAATCGTTGAGCCCGGCCTTCTCCCATATCTGGGTCATGGTCTTTGAAACCATTTCCATCACCGTTGCCATGTACTGCTTGATCCAGTTCTACGTTCAGATCAAGGACGACATCAGGCAGCATAAACCCCTGCTGAAAATCACGGCCATCAAATTGGTGATATTCCTCAGTTTCTGGCAGACCATTGCCATCTCTTTCCTCACCAGCGCCGGGGCTATCAAGGCCACCAACAAGATCCAAACTCCCGATATCAAGGTCGGTATCCCTGCGCTATTTTTGTGCGTCGAGATGGCCTTGTTTGCCATATTTCACATCTGGTCTTTTAGCTGGAAACCGTACGTGATCGGCTCAAAGGAACAGATGTCTGACATCGTGGCCGGTGAGGGCCTGTCGCGATACGAGGGAGGCTTCTTGGGTATGAAAGCCATTTTTGATGCTTTCAATGGCATGGATATGCTCAAAGCTACGGGTCGATCGGCGAGATGGCTGTTCAAGGGACGCAAGACTCGCCACACGGACTCGAGCTATGACTTGTCGAGAAAAGATACCGAAGGAAGTGAATTTGGCGCCCAGGGCCAGAAATTGAATCCTCTTAGTACCCAAAGCGCTTACAAGGGGGCTGCGGATAAGCCACCGCACTACAACGCTGTCGAGGATGAAGAAGGCGCCAATCTACTCGCCAACGGCCAAAATATGCCAACATCGCATCCGCCAGTTGTTGGGTCAGGCATTGATGGGGGCCACGACATTTACGATTCGAACAATGTGAGCGATATTGGACTAGCGTCGAGTTACGACGATAAATACAACGGCCGATACGACCCTCCCTCGCATTACCCACTGGCGCAGCAGCCCTATGCGCCGTATCAGGGGTCCCACAACGGAGGTCAGGAAACCGGAGTGGTCGCAGTACCATATCCTGCACTAGCGAGAGAAGAATCAAGTTCACATTTGGGAGGTGGCCACGACAGCAGGAGAACATACATGCCGCCTCCGCGGAGTCCGGATCCAAACACGAGGAAGCCGACTACAAGTAAAGGCCCAGACGGGGTAGGGACCGGCGAGTTTTTCTAACGATGATAAAGTTTATGCGACGTTTGTACGTACGGTTTGGAACTTCGGCATGGCATGCATGTGCGATAAGGATCAATGAAACGAACCTGATGAGTTTTCAGCTCAGGCAATGGATATTCTTCTCACCAATCTTTTTTTGTTGTCTTTGTACACTTTGGTCGTACACATACACACAACGGCGCCAGACTTGGGATTCGGGGATTTTAGCTGTGGGATGATCGTAGCATCTCCCCCCTTGTCGTATTCTCCTATTCTTTATATTACCCCCTACGATGCGACATTTTAACCCTGCACATACATAGCCTATAGGTATACACTGTTTTCCGCGGTCAGACTGCGTGCACTTGCCTGAGCCCGAGTCTGTCTCCGGCACGGAAGGAGAGGAAGGAATTAATCCCCAAGATCTGGCATCAAGTGTGAAGGACTTGCGTGGAGTTATGTTCTTGGACTCTTGGTACCAGGACTTGTAATCCTAAGGCTGTGGGCGGGAGGGAGCGGGGGTGAGCACGAACGAAGTAATCACCAAGGCGACTGTGGAAAATGGTCTCGGTTTCGTATGTGCCTGGGTCGGTCCGGCAAGGTCCTTGATCTTGCAATGAACAGACAGGTAGAAGGAGAAGGAACGAGAAGTACCGAGGGCTGTTCTTGCGAGGGAGTGTGAGTGATGCTGCGTACGTGCACGTGTATGTGTACTACACTGCATGCGCTATATTGCGTGCTGGAGCTATATACTCCGTACGTGTAGGGCAGGTGTATGTGTTTGACTCATCTCGCCCTCGTTCTAACACGGCGTCCCATGCTCTTCATCATGAACTGTGCAGTTTTTGTTGGTTTGGTTCTCTCGCCAATACAAGTCCCGTGTTCCCGGATGACTTCCGTCCACTAGATAGTCTCCATGCACGGATCTCCCTCCACTGGTAGCTGCTCTCGCAATTTGTCTGGTCTTCCGTTGGCTCTGTCAAAAAGAGGTCCTCCCTTTGTCCCTTCTTTCGCTTGAGAGATCGCTGATTTGCTCGCCTCTCTTCCCAAAGATACAAGTGATGAGACAATCTCATCGTCTGATCCGTCAGCTGTCCACGGGCAGAGTATGGTGCCTTACAATTTGCTCTTGTTGTCACCCGGTTGGCAGCACTCGCCGCTCTTGCCGACCACAGCCTCGGTCGTGGGCTGGTGGTGCATCTCACTGACCAAGGTAGAGCGGTTGAAGCTCTGCTCGCTGGGCGGCACGTCGAGGGCCGGGTTCTTGTCAAAGAAGTTGACGGGCTTCAGGCTCACCTTGAGGATCTCGCAGGGCATGACGGGGAAGTCTTCGATACGTGGCACGTGGTTGATTCCGAACTGGATCCACACCACGATGTCGGTGTCCACGACATTGTCCTTGCGCGAGGCCCAGTTGCGCACCCCAGTCCCGCCACGGCTCTGGTTCGTGTACCATCCGCCCGAGTACAGTTCGCGATCCTGATGCGTGGTGACGTAGATATTGTGGTCTGCGAACTCGGCGCGTTTCCAATTGAACGAGCTGGGCAGAGAGAGCATCTTCTGGAAGGGCGGCGCGTGGATCTTGTACGCGACTGGCTTGCCGTTCACCGGGTTGCGCACGCTCGTGTTTTGGATCTTGAACACCCGGTTGGTGTCGGGGTTCAAATCTAAGCCCTGGGAGTGCTCGACTAGTGTTTCAGAAACCTCATACGCCACCCCGTGTGGGTTCCAATCCTTTGAAAGGGGCAGCGCGTGCGCCTCGTCGTACACGAGTCTGTTGTTGTGTCCCTCGATCATGGGGTCTACACGCAGCGAGAAAATGTGCTGATGATGCACGGCCAGGACGCCAGGGTGAACCACGGTACCGAAGGGGACGCCCACTTTATCCAATTCGTGGTCGATCGGTTGGGTGGACAAGATGCCCGTGGCGCGGACTTCGTAGATGAGTTCGCCCGCCTGGTTGAACATGAAGGCCAGGATGTATTCGTAGTTGCTCACTGTGATGATGCTCTGCAGGACCAGTTCACGCTGACGTACCACGGCGGCGCGCCCCGTGCGGTAGTTGGTGTGTTTCCAGCCGATCCCGGCGTCTTGCTCGTGGATGCACACGCAATTGTCCAGAGGCGTCGGTGTGCCTTTGTCGTCCGTGATCACCGCGGAGAGGTACTGAATGTGTCCTAGGCAATCACATCCAAGCTGGAGGTTATTGGCCATGGCGCCGGCGCCGGCGTCACCCAGATCATATGCGGACTTCTTGTGGAAAGGGTGTCGCGGGTCCGCATAGGGGATGTTCATGTCGCTCAAGCTGAGACGGTAGAACAACGGGCGCGAGTCATAGCGGACGTCATACAGAACCATGCCCTCACGCTGGTTATACCCGACGCGGAAGGACCATTTCTGCCACTGAAGCACATGGCCGGTCTCGCCCACGGGGGTGAGGGTGAAACTGGCGCCCTCGGGTTGAATCACTCTCAGGGGCTTCATATCCGTGCGCAAGGCGTGGTATTCGCTGACATATTCATTGGCTGGCTTGGGTTGATACGGTCTCGGCTCGTGGATGGTATTGTCTGCCCCAGTGGGGAGATAGTCGACGCGGATGACTTTATATTCAGTGCATTCCAGCACTGGCGAGATGGGGAGCGGGAAGGCGTAGTGGTTGCTGTCGAGCTCCGAAGGGTTGCTCGGGTCTCGCATGTACAAGAAAACCTGGTACATGCGCTCGTCGTCGTTGACGCCGTCCGATCCTATTCACGGTACAGCATGAGTACCATACACTCAGAGTGAAACCCAACAATCTCTCCACGCTTTCAGCGACGAGAACTTACCATAGATCCAGGGATCGGCACACACCACCGTTCCCTCGGGCAACTTCAACTTCTTGATGGCTTCCTTCACCCGTTCGTCCTCCAAAGCGTTCTTCTCCACCTGGAGGATCTCGTCGTAGTCGCCGTTGCCATGCAGATTGGGGCCCAGGCGGACATTGCTCTCCACAGTCCGGGCGGACAGGTTGACTACTGCTTCATGGAAGCGGTTCTACCCAATCGGGAAAGGTTCGAATGTCAGCCTATTGCAGAGCATGATGTGACAAAGATGGAAATAGACCAGAATGCCAGTGTTGGAGGGGTTGAAAACGACACAAGCAGCCTGATGTGGGCGACAAGCAATCACGAGGCGCCCGGTCCAGAGCCTTGCTCCCGTCTTCCAATGCACGTGACACTTACCGTGTTGCGGATGTAATAAGACACGAATGCCTTCCTTGGGATTTCAGGTAGAGGCAACCCCGAGTGCTCAGCTTCGAGATAGGGGATCATGGATTTCTTGGGCGGCTCATCGAGAGTGATGACCTTGAAGCGCAGGTCGATCGAAGACGGCCACACGGATCTCAGCAGCTCGGCGGTGGTGGATATCTCCGCCGCGGTCAGAGGGCATAGTGGGTGGGCGACGGGGTATGTGGCCGCCGAGGGCTGAGAAGTCAACTCCTGGGAGACAGCTGCCATCTTGGAAACACCGGGCGAGATGGAAAGAATGCAACTGGAGATGGGAAAAGGGAAGAGAGGGAAGCAATGATGGATATGTACTCGGTACATATATCCCAAACCCAGTCTTGGTTCCTATGCAAATGGACCCTACATACATGAGGGTCTTATCTGAATGGTCGGTCCACTTGCTGACCATGTTAGTACTTGGACTCAGTAAATCCCAAGACCAAAGGGCGCCCCAGTCTGCTTAGCCGAGAGAATAGCTCGTTCACCCGCCTCTCCCTCCCCCCCAGCTTGGGCCTTTGCTGCTGGCCACCTCCCATAATCTTTCCTGCTCGATCGAGGCCAAGGTCCACAGCAAAACGGCATCAGCTCTGATTGCCACTCGATGGGGTCTTGGAAGAAGATGTTGACCCAAACAGGAAAGAGAGCTCGGTCGAGAGACGAATCCCCCCCGGAATACGAATGAGGAATTGAAGTGTTGAAACACCAGAAAAAGAGCGCCAGCGGACAACAGCCAAGTCCTTTAACTGCACAAGGCAAGAGCACCCGAACAGCCAGTCGAAGCCCAGGATCGATGCCGCAAATGTCCGCCCACATCGATGTTTGTCCAATCCTGGCTAATTGCGACCAGGCTGGCCGCGTGTTGATTGTTTGCCCGTGACAAAAGGTTTGCATAATGTTTGATAATAGCGAGTACCGTTGGTGCTGGCCTCATTGACCAGGCCGCTTCCCTGGCAGTCTGATGAGATACTTGGGTCGCGATTCGCCGGCCTCAACAATACTATTGCTCCAAGCCTCCTTGATGGTCTGCTTCGACTTGTCTTCGTCCAGGTGGAACTTGCTGCCAACCTGGAACCATCCATTGCCAATATCAAACGCCTCTGCAAGGCCGATTGCGTAGCGCGGATACACTGGGGGCGCGACCTTGATGCAGTCCAGTTGTTCAATGAGCTCCTCGATCGGCATTGAATACGCTGCCGTCATTACACGAAATGGCTCGCACGAATGCGGTGGAATGTAAAACTGATTGTGAGCATTCACCGAATACTTGTCTATGACGTTGTAGGTAAAAAGGTGGAATGTTGCAAGGTGTTTTGACGCAACGTGCCCGTGGCCTCCACTGTCCTTGACGACCAGAAGGCGATCTTTGACTCGATTTCCACTGACTGGTGGTTCTGGTGCCTGGGACGCAGCATGGGCCACTGCTCCTGCAACCGTTGGAGGTGGAGGTGGAGGTGGAGGTGGAGGAGCGGGAGGAGGAGGTCCTGACGCTGGCGGTTGATACCATGCGCCCGCAGAGGGAGGAGGCGGTGGTGGAGCAGGAGGTGGTGGTCCATTAGGCACGCACACTGCCCCAGGGAATCCGTTTCCTGGCGGAATGAAGAATGGACCCGGATGAGGCTGACTTGGTGGAGGGCAGAATGGCCCTTGACACGGAGGCATCAAAGAATACGGTGGAGGAGCCGATGACGGAGGGCCGCTGGGAGGTGCACCCTTGTTTGGTGGCCCTCCATCACGGGTCATGTAATGGTATACAGTTTTGCCAATCAGGCCCGGTCCTTGCGTCGGAACTGGCATGGCAACTGGAAAGTAGGGAGGTGGTAGACACGCCATTGTCGCGGCTCTCCGAGAACGAGTTGATGCTTTTGAACCAAAGACAGGGTGAACAGGCTGGACCGAGTGTCAAATGGCGGTTGAATGGTAGCAATCGAAGCAATGAGGGACAACCAGGACATATTTAACGGGGCTGCCATAAACCCTCTGGTCACTACTTCTGCCTCAATATCACGCTCTGACAAACAGTCCAGCAAAGAAATGGTGGCTTCATGCTGGGATAGAGGACGAGTGCCATGACTGGGCCACCAAACATATCGATGGCTTGCCTACCGTGACAGAGAAGACAGAAGGAGAGGCGATGACTGGGAACAGTGGAGGCTCAGCAAACAAGATGGTTTGAAGTATACCAATGCCGTGGCCTTGACAAAACACCGGGATGGGGACTGACGCAGATTTGCAAACAACAGAAAAGAAGCTGATGACCAACGAGGTTATGTGGTGACAAATTAGCAAGACATGACCAGAAAGAACTGCAAACCAAGGTCAACCCGTGGCTGTCTTCACCACAGCGCCGCCTCAGTTTGCGGCAACCACAGCGAGTCCGTCGTAGATCTTCTGCTTCACACGCGTGAAATCATCCATCTTGTTCGAAGTCATCGAAGTAGCACTGACGGGCACACCCTCCAAAATGATCTTTCCTGTGCCGAGCTTTCTTACTGCGATCATTCCATCAACCAGCAGTGTACCTTCGCCTCGGAATTCAGCAATATGGCCATCCAGTGTTATCAATCTCCGCAGGTCAGCTAGACGCAGGTCACCGACGTGAATGGCGTGGGAGACGGATCTTGTTGATGCTGCCAGGCTCGCAGGTAAAACATCGAGGACCGGCTCAACAGGAGGCGCGAGCGTAGGGCCAGCTGCACGAGCCGCTTCCGTGTCCAATTTTTGCTTCTTGGTCTGGGCATCCTCCTGTAGATTGTCTCCTGAGGGCGCGCCTTTGAGTTGACCTTGGATCGTCACCACTCCCATATTCTTCACATTCTGCCAATGGAGCGTCTTTGCCAGGTTGCGACTGAGCTTAACAACCCACGCATTCGTATCGACACTTGCATCAACAGTCTGGCCCTCTGTAGGAGTAAATATTTCTGTGGATGGTTCGTCTTCTGCTCCCACCACTTTCATTCCGAGGAGTTCCTTGCAATCACTGGCCAGAGCAACCGTGTCTGAACCATTTCCGCCAATAAGGATCAACTTTTTGGGTCCAATCAAAGGTATCAGCATCTGCAGACTACGTTGATCATGCAATCCAGCAAAGTCGACAAAGGCCAGCTTGGCGTTGACTGTGATTTCCGAGGTCGAATACACAACTTTTGCGGGCCCCTGGAAGCCTTCACGCTCGACTTGGACATCTTCGTCGGAATTCTCTTCATCTGAATCCGCCCCGGACCCACCAGATGTTGCTGGAGCGGATGCAGCTGCTCGATTCTTCTTGTGATGTGGTTGCCTGGTATCATTCGCCTCGTCCCACTTACGCTTCTGTCCGAGTTGACCTCCGGCCTTGGTGTCATTTGCGGCGTCTTGGTCTTCTTTCTCCTCCTCTCTCAAGAAATCTTCTGGTTTGATGAAATCTCCGAACTCGTCTCCGCGCCTCCGCGAATGAGCATATGGAAAGAGCCCATTCCGCCCCTTCTTGTTCCGTACATCATAATCATACACGCCTTTCTTGCGCACGAGGATATTGACTCCTAGATCGGCATCGCTCAGTGCCAGTTTATTTCGCGCTCCATGACCAAGAGCAGCAGAAACATTGAGAACACGACCTTGTTGTTCGTCGTCTGACTCATCCGAGGAAGTCGAGCTGGATTCCTCGTCGATGTTATCGTCCGCACCAGCCTGGTCTCGTTCGTTACCTGAAGTCAGAGAGTCCTGCAGCTGTCTTTGAGTAGCCATATATTGTTGATATCTTTGATTCTCTTGCGTGTTCAATGGCGCCTTTTCTGCGTTTCGCAGCTTCAGCATTCTTCCCCCACTTTGTACCTGCTCCAGCCATTCTCCCACTGGGGCCCCTTTTTCGAGCGCAACGCCATCCTGACGCTCCTCATACCAGATCCAGAATGCTTGACTCGGGCTTTGTGATCCAGGACGCATGTACAAGCGTTCGGTCAAAATCACCAGATTCTCAGGTCTTTGGACCACGTGCTCCAACAGTGATCTAGAAAAGCCCCAATCCATTGTCGAATCGCTCGCAAGGATGACTCTCGCCCCTTCGGCCTTTAACAGCCTTTCCAGTTGACTTCTCCGTTCGACAATCTTGACATTTTGGAATTCAAAGGGTCGTGAGGATTTAACTGTACCATTTATCTGCTTGCTGCCGCTTCTCCTGTGCGTCTGCACGGGTGCCGGATTTTCGTCCTCGCCCTCAAATCCTCGCACAATACCATCGTCCATCCATTCGAGAAGACTCCTGGCGTGCCGCAGCGTCGCATTGCCAGATCTGCTGGCTAGGTACACCTTGGCAGTTTTCAAGGAGGCGGCATTTGAGGGATCAGACCACGCCTTTTCAAGGAGCCAAGCTAATTCCAAAACTCTTGCGCTTGAGTCGGTGGGAATAAGAACAGTGCCACCCTTGGCAACACAGATCTTGATATGTGCTAACAAAGATTCGTCCCGAGCTTTTCGACCACCTGACAGCGCGGCCCTTGTTGCACCAATGCTGCTGCAGACGAGCGCAGTAGGCTTGCGCAGTTGTTCGATGACTTCGGCGCCACCAACACCTCCAAACCAGGCTGCACCGGCTATAACGTTTTCCCTTGCTTGATTCCAATCCACAGCGTACACTATTGACTCCATCCCATGTTGTATGTGCCATATCGTGCCTCCCAGTGTATGCCCAGAGTTATAAGCTGTCAACGTCAGACCCTCGATCGGCGCGGAAAAAGAAGAAGGCGTAGGTTGGTGAGGTTGTGAGTACTTCAACGGCGTGATCAAAGTAAAATATTTATTGATCTCTTCAAACGTCGGGGCCTGCCGTAGGATGTGTGAACGCGATTTGTCGTCGACGCTGGATGGATCTTCAGGGGATCCTGAGCCTGGAATGAACGTGGCCGCAAGCGGAGAAGAGGAATAGAGGTCTTGGAGGAGGGTACGACCAAAAGCAATGACGGGCGGTGTAGCGTAGACAGGGATCTGGGTGAAGACCGGGACGTGTTTGCAGCAGTGGGCAAAGGCGCCAATATGAGAGGTCGTGGCATGCGTGAGAAGGATGAATGACAGAGTAGAGGCATGTTTCTCTATCTCGGCGAGCTGGCGAGTGTCGAAGCGTTCGTCCCATCCCACATCCACCAAGATCTTGATGCCACCGTCCAACTCAAGGATTGACTGCGAGGCTCGGGACGTACTCTGCGCCCCGAGCAAGGGAGTGATCGTGAACATGGCGCCGCGTTGTTAGTAACGGAACTTCCTTCCCATCAAGGATATGATAGGGGTTTAAGAGTCTCCATTAAAGTCGGCGCGTCCTCAGCTCACTCGGGGATCAGAATTTGTCAGAGCACGAAGCCGCAAAGAATTGTTCTTGGTAGGCGCAGTTGGACAGCGGGAAGAAGGTCGAAAAGAAGATTGTTTTGTCCGACGTCACTCACGCTCTAGTTTGCGTATGCATTCTGAGAATTGGACCTGTCAGACGGAATCATTTGATTTCGTCCGCAAGGCTGATGCCCCTCGCTTTGTTTTGTCGTCGCCGTGCTTTAGAGATCGAGGGAGGGCAATCTAATTGCAACTACAGAGACTTTATCTTTTCATTGTAGCATTATACGATGTGATAAACCAAAATCATGCAAGTCCAAGCACACCAAAGTCTTCTAGTCCCGTCCAAGCCCGGTTCAGAGCACTGTGAGATGGGAATTCCGAGTACATTCGACGATAGGACGAGGCATTCTGCGAAAACATAAATCTTCACCTCAGGATTCTAGATGATTTCGGAGATGGAGGACAGTGCAGCTTTGGAGAGTCAATCGCCGGTTCCACAGCTGCTCGACTCAACCCATGACCGAAGTCAAAGCTCTCAGCCACCAAAGGCCGGAGTCCAATCCACCTCCAAAGATCCTACCTCACCATTACAATCAAATCAAAGTCCAAACCATGCTCTTGGTGCAAGACAACCCAAGCTCCTCGCCTCCATTGAGACTTTGAAATCCAACATCTCAACTACAGAAGCCCAACTATCAACGAAGCTCCGCGAAATCACGCAGCTGAACTCTTTCCCCGGATCAAACTCCAACAATAGCACCGAACCAGCGGTGTGCTCTTCACAACAAGGCTCGGCGCAAGTAACTGCCCCCGGTCAACAAGGATCCTCTCTCACCGGATCAATCTCTGGAGACACTGAGAAAGAGGCCCTCTCCCACGCTCAATCCATTATCAATAGGCACATATCACTTCTGAAGTCATATAACGAAATCAAGGACATCGCCATGGGAATGTTAGGCCTCATCGCGGAAAAGGAAGGTCGGAGATTAAAGGACGTGATGGACGAGCGGGGGGTCGACGAGCGCGATTAAATTCATCGAGGAGAATCAAGACCATCAATGACAACGGAGGAAAACAAGGCGCGTCTGGAAGAATGACTGGCAACTAACGAGACATTTTCAAAATTAAGTGGCGTTCTGACCAGACCATTGGCAGCAAAGTAAAGAGTCGTTTGCTATTAATGATAGACCAAAGGTGACGACCACTTTCGACAAGCATTTGTTTGCCTGTAGAAATGGTGATGCCCTGTCCTCGTCTAGAAAAATAGTTGTTTATGATATAGCGAACACTTGGTCATTGTGAAACCCTCTTGGGCTACATTGGATGCAGCGTCTATGCTGTCTCCTTCGGTCCCACACTCCAAGAACCAGCTATGTACGTCTAGTAAAAACAATATCCGTAGGACGGGAGTGAGGTGCCTATACAAATAATCCCTAAAGCAGAAATTGACCCCCAATGCTCGCTGTCCAGAACCTATCCCAGCAAACCAAACAAGAACGAGATTTTGCAGCTCCAATAAATCACCGCTGCTTTTCTAAACTCTGTAGACTCACCAACTCTCTATACCTTCCCTTCAGCGCCATTAGCTCATGGTGGGTGCCCTTCTCCGCTATGACACCTTTGTCGAACACGTAAATGATATCCGCTTTCTGAATCGTGCTCAACCGGTGCGCTACCACAATAGTTGTTCTTCCCTCCGCTGCAGCATCCAAAGCGTGTTGCACTTGGCGTTCCGCTTTCGAATCCAAAGCGCTTGTGGACTCATCCAGCAGGAGGATTTTAGGGTCACGAAGCAAGGCGCGAGCAATGGCGATGCGCTGCTTCTGGCCGCCAGAGAGTAAGGCGGCTTTGCTGCCGACGTCTGTGGCGAAGCCGTCTGGCAGAGACATGATGAAGTCATAGATGTTAGCGTCCTTACAGGCTCGGATGACGTGCTCGTCGCTGACTTGACCTCTATCAACACCGAGGAGGACGTTGTCTTTAATGGTGCCTTGGTATAGTGTTGGCTCTTGGGACACCAGAGCAAGGTGGGAGCGGTAATCATTAAGGTTGAGGCTTGAGATTTCTTTGCCGTCAACATAAATACCACCCGAAAGGGGGTCATAGAAGCGCTCCAACAATGCGATAGTCGTCGACTTGCCACATCCGGACGCGCCAACAAGGGCTATATACTGTCCAGGTTTGACGGTCAGGTTTAGCCCTCGGAGGACGGGGACCTCGGGTCGTGTGGGATATCGGAAATGCACGTCTCGGAATTCAATGGTTCCTTCCATATGGGTGACAGGTGCGCCGTCTTCCGACCACGCGTCAATGGAAGGCTGACGGTCATAAAGTTTCTTCAACTCAGCAGCTGAATTTTTTGCCTTGGACATGTCTCCAGCAAACGAGAAGACAGTTCCTGCAGATTGTGCACCGAAGATGATTTCGGAGAAGACAATGAAAAACTGGAACAAAGTGTATTCCCCTCGGACCAAAAGTTTGCCTCCATACCAAAAGCCGAGAGCGAATGCTAAGAACATTGCGGACTGCGATGCGGCGTACAGGGAGGCGTGTTTCAGATTCGACTTGAGAGAGTCGCGTAACTGAGATCGAAGCTGGCGCTTGTATTCGCCATAGATCTCGCGCTCCGTGGTCAAAGATGCGACCGTCCGGATGGCATTTGTGTGTTCACAGGCATAACCTGCAGACTTTTCGTAGTGCTTTCGATTTGCTGCGCTGAATTTTGCGAGGACCCAAAACCTTACGAAGCCCGTCCCGAGGATAACGGGCAAAGCGGTCATGCAGACAAGTGCTAACTTCCACCCGATCGCGAGTGCAACCACAATCGCAACAATCAAAGTTGATGAACAGCTTATGAGGGTCCCCAGGGTCGACCCAGAGATTGACGCAAGGTGGGTGGTCTCCGTTGACAAGAAAGACGTAAGAGCACCTGTAGAGTTCTCGTCCTCGTCAAAAAAGGCAATATCTTGCCTCAAAAATCTTCTGAATGCACCGTCTCGGGCACGCTGAATCAAGCTCTCACTGCAATATGCAAAGGCGATTCCTTGTATGCACATTGCGAAGAGATCCACAAATGCCAGCATCAAATACATCAACGACCAGAAGTCAACATCGTGACGAATCTGATGTCGGAAAACAAGTGGTTGAGACAAAGCGACGATACATTTGGCGAAGAAGACGCCTTGGACGGGCTGCGCAGCTCCTGCAATCGCTGTGAAGACGAATCCGATACACATAATCCACCACTCTCTTTGGTTGAATTGTGCGATGAATGTGATTAAGGTCCACAGAGAATAGTGAGCTTCCTTCTGCGCCTTCTTTTCAGCAAGAATGTTGGAAGACACGGACTTCCCACTTCGTGTCCTGCCTAATGCAAGTTTCTCGTCATCAGGGTCTACCATTCCGGCACTGCCAGATCTGGTTGATTGGATCTTGGTAAGTTCTGCTTCTTCGCTGGCTTCGGTCTCTTGCTCGAGCTCGTCCTCCTTATTGCCGATTCGCTGAGCAGACACGAGGTTAAAGTAAGCCTGTTTCCGTTCCAACAGCTCATCATGAGTGCCTTGCTCAATAATGCGTCCTTCCTGCATGACCACAATGTTGTCCGCAGTTTTGATGGTTGACAACCGGTGAGCGATTGCAATAGTAGTCCTGCCCTTTGATGCGGTGTCCAATGCATGCTGCACGGAGACTTCGCTCCTGGAATCCAAAGCTGAAGTGGCCTCATCCAATAACAAGATCTTTGGATCGCTGACAATGGCTCTCGCAATGGCGACTCGTTGCTTCTGACCACCAGACAAAAGAAAGCCGCGTTCACCTACGTGAGTGTCGTAACCGTCAGGAAGTGAAGAGATAAAATCGTGAGCGTTTGCCATTTTTGCAGCATCGATTATCCGTTGTGTTTGCTGATCTTCTGACTCGTTTTCATACTTGGAACCGACAAGACCATTTCGGATATTTTCTTTGATGGTCTGGCTGAAGAGAATGGGCTCCTGTTGGACAAGGGCAATCTGCTGTCGTAGCCAGTGGAGGTTAAGCTTGCTGATGTCGTGCCCGTCAAGTAAGACCACACCACCCACGGGATCGTAGAAACGCTCTACCAACCCAACAATGGTGGACTTACCAGAGCCAGAAGCTCCGACAAGCGCAGTTGTCTTGCCTGCGGGTATGACTAGATTGACGTCTTCCATGACCACCACTTCGGGTCGCGAGGGGTAGATATGCCTGATGTCTCGCAATTCAAGAGTCCCCTCAGGCTGATCCAGCTTTTCGCCATCTTCAGAAAGAGGATCTATTGGGGATGCCCGGTCGATCGTTGAGTATATCTTTGCCGCGGCACCGACGCCAGCAGCAAAATGTTGCATATGTGGGCCGACGTTGCCGAAAGAAAAGGCACCGATCATAACAGCGAAAATAATGGTCAAGATATGCGCAAGCGTGGTTTCACCGTCGACCAAGAATCGCGAACCCATCCAGAAAGCGAGGCCATAGTTCAAGAAAAGAATGCAGAGCATGCCGCCGATCATGCAGCCCAGCGCGCTCTTGCTTCGTATCCCCCACCGTCGGGCTTCCAGGAGATGGACGTTGTACTGCTTCGCGAGCTTGTCTTGAGTACCAAAGGCGACTGCATTTCTTATCGAGGCTAGGACTTCTTCCGCAACCGAGCCTCCGATGGCATATGCAGCTAGAGATTGCTTGTTCCATCCGGCCATCTTTTTGCCTCCAGAGCCCATGACCAGCACAATGGCGACGACGGTGGACGAGCAGATCAACGTGAGTTTCCAAAATTTGACGAAACCGATAACGAATGCGGAGAAGAATGTGGCGACACCAGTCAGGGTCAGACCGACCTTTTCACTGATGGCCTCTTGGATGAGATTGGTATCGGCAGTGATACGGGTGGTGACTTCACCAGCCCCCAATTTGTCGAAAAATCCGATGTTCTGTCGCAAGATCGCCCTAAGATATTGTTCTCGGACCTTTGAGGTAATGTTTTCGCCAGTATATATGAAGAGCACGGTTGATATGTAGACCAGGAAGAACTCTCCAATAGCCAAGTAAATAAAGTAGAGGACATATCGCGTCAAGGTGGAATTGAAACTTGAGGAGAGATTATTTAGTACCAGTCCTTGAAAAGTACCGCTGAGATTGCCGAAGACCACGGTCATCAGAGGCATGACGGCACCTGCGCCGATTGCACAGAGGCATGCTATGGCAATGAAGACCTTGTCCCAAGTAGTTGCATAGCGGTATAGCGTCCAATAAGTGACTTTCGCGTCTGGGACATCCAACTGTTTTTTCAGGACCGCTCTTTCATGGTCTGGTAAGTGAGCCAATGCAGCATCGCCCTCCGGTACATCTCGAACCTTCACAATCTTGGAGTCTAATTTGGAGAGGTCCGGACGAGTGTCCGATTCGGAGGATTGAGACGTAGGCGATGTAGGCGACACGGCAGCAGTGGGAGGTTTGGTGTGGCCAGAGACAGGAGTAGAAGGGCCGACGGGAGAGGTAGGACTCTTCTCAGAGAAGGGTTTGGTGTCTTTTTGCTGGTCTGTGACAATTCCCAGTTGCGATCTTTCCTTCTCCTCGAGGTTTTCTTCAATGGCTGCGGCGGCGCCAGGCAATTCGCCCTGACCTGCGGGATTCATGTCGATCCCTTCCCACCACACCGTATGAAAAGTCTTCGAGCGACAGCTAGCGGGACATGATGTACGAAGGGAGCTGAACAATAACAAAAATGTGCGACGGGCAGTTCGAGGGCGTGAATACGCGAATACGAGTAGGTAGTGGGGTGATTGAAACGGCGACTAGAAGGGTTCGGGCTGCGGACAGCTCTAGTTCTTTATGCTTTATAAATGCAAGAGACTAAGGAAGGGGAACCATTAGAGAGAGGACGGGCGAGATGCAAAATGACGATAATATATGTGCAGAGCCAGCAGGCAACAGGGACAGAATCTCGGGCCCGAAAACAATGAAAAAGGGATCGAAGAAGTTTGGATCGGAGTTGCATACTGGAGATGGCGGACTTTTGGAACCAAAATAATGGCGGCCTCAGGCTTATTGGCTCATCGGGGGGGGGAATCACAAGAGTGGGTGACAGCGGGTGACGGGCGACAGTAAAGGTGGATCTGGGCGCTGCCAATGCGTGCGAATTGGCCATGGGTGCTTTGTGGGTGCCCCCCGAAGCATAATGACTTGACGCGTGGGAAGATTACGCCACAGGCGGCCACTAACGGTACATACCTAAAGCCTAGGCTCTAGGCTTTGGTCAAAACTCCCCAACAAGGTAAAAACGTGGGGAGCCTCGCTTACCACGCTTGATCCAGAGTTCGTATTCCGCGTTCTTTACCACTCACGGTTAATCAATTGCCGCCCGGATTCCTCCTCATTGCACAACAGTTCATAAAAAGCCACTTTGTGCAGCTGTATCATTTGACCATAATACGGAGTGTCCACAATAGGCAAATGTACCTAGGTATTAGCACACTCCGGTCCGCATGTAATATCTAGGTCCTGTCTAACCTACGAGAGTATACCCGGTATCTAGGTCTCTATCAAGGTAGTCACAGAGTAGGTATTGCAGAGAAGGCTGGTTACTGATGACTATAATTTAGTGCTAACTCTCGGTCCAAGATTGCCTCCATCGAGAAGTGTACTCCGTATCCTCGTAAAGAGCCGGATGGACTGCTAATACGGACACTCGTCCTCCATCAAGCAACCCAACCAGTAAGTCCCCTCCACTGGTGAGTCATTGCTGCAGCCTGGAAGCAAAATGCATCTACAGGACTGATACTATCGCTTTGGCGACGTCTGCCATATACGCGGTTGGACTGAACCACCTCGTGTCGGAATTGTTTGCGGTCTATGCCTGCCTATCACCATCAGAGCTTCGCTCTCTGGACCACCGCCTGATAATCTTCAACTCTTTTCTTCGACTCTAGTGCCCGACGACTTCGATCCAGATCTCTGGCGGCTAGCTTCGCACGGGCTTCGGCACCCTCATCCAAGTCCTTGACTATCTCTCGGTAGAGTTCCTCCTTGATCTGGCCGTATGACTTTCCTTGAGCCTTTTGGGTCAGCTTCATTTCTGAAATAAAGGCAAGCGTCTCCTCGACACCCCCAACACCGTCAATGATGCCCTCTTTCAAGGCTTCTAGGGCCGGGAATCTCCTGCTCTCCAGGACCATATTCCTGAATGTTGTCATGTTCAACTTGACACGGAATACTGTCGCCATGGCTGGTTGAAGAGCCGCGCCGAAGTCCAGCTCGTTGAGGCACAAGAAGCCCTTGTGAGGGTTCATGATGCGATAATCGTGCATCATGGCAGTCATCAGGCCACCTGCAAAGGCATGGCCGTTTAACAATGCCACTGTCGGCATTGGATAAGTGACCAGGCGCCGCCACAAAGGGTAAAGGCTGTTTGGGAAGAAGGTCGGATCTCTGATGGCATTCTCGAAGTCGAGGCCGTTGGAGTAGAATTTGGTGATGGACGAAGTGGTGATGACCACTCCACGGGGAAGACGATGTTCGATAATATCAAGCGCCAGCAAGAATGTCTGATTGAAAGCCGGTATGAGGCGGTTATCGGGCGGACTGGAGAATGACAGGAAGTAGACTTGAGGAGCAGCCTGCGTGCATATGAAGTTTCCTTGCTCGCCTTGAGCGGAGGAACCAGCGTTCAACGTCGGCGGGATTTGGAGCACAAAGAGGGGTGGAATTGGCGGCATGGTTTATTGTCCGCTGCTTTTGTGCGCAGAGAATTGATGGACCCGTTGTATACTGCAGGTTCTAGAGATAATTAAACGACCGGTGGAAGACAGGCTTGAATATATCTGTCTTGCTGGCTCGCTGGGTGGTCGAAGTCACATGTGATTAGTCGGAGATCGGTTTTCTGATTATCTTTTCGAGCCGAGGTGCAGAAGCCGCTCTCTCTGTTTCTCAAGAGGGTCTTTCTGGTACCGAGTAGTATTGAATTCTCGAGGCATCAAAACATGAGGACTGAACAGAGACTGATAGATGAGTTGAAATTGAGTTGACCGTGACCTCAATTTCGAAAGGATGCTCAAGGATGGGCTAGGATCCCTCAAGCTCTCGCCGGCTAGTCTGTCGAGAGTCGATTCAAAGATATTGCCGCAGTCTGACGAGGCAATTTACAGTGATTGCCGAACCTCACTCGAGGCCTTTTTAAAACATTGGGGACTCCGGCGCCCCTCTTCCCCCCTCGGCGCAGCCTTAGGTATGCGGAATGCCTGCAATTGCCAGCATCGCCAGAGGCGTCCATCCTGACTAAGATATGCCTCTGCCGCCACCTGCGTGCCTGAGGCCAATGACGTCTAGCTAGGGACTTAATCGCAAGCTTCAGTCGTGAACTCCGGCAGCAACCGGATTACTGGCTGGTTGAACTGCCCAAATAGTCGTTGAGACTTCAAGGTCGGTTGCATGCACATGAACAAAAATATTCCAGATTCCTTCCTCGCGATCACTGAAATTTCTTCTGCCAGGGACCAGCTCGCCGCGAGAGCATCTCGTGTGAATCACTCACTACCCTATCCACCAAACGATTACCTCCCAAACCCCGTCTGTCCGCAGAATCAGATTGCGTGCCATGGCGCAACCGGCAGAGGGTGCAGCCTCGGACACGACCACCACAACCACTTCGACCAAGACGTCTTCTGGTAATTCGACATTATGGGAAAGAACCAAAGGGTACTCCAATACAGCCTACGAGAAAGGCCTCAAACCAGGCTTCAACAAAGCCTACAAGGTCGTCGACAAACTAGGCGCCCCTGTCAACCGCTTTTCAAATAAGATCGGCTCCGAGGCATTCTGGCCTACCACGATGGATAAGGAATCTGAAAAGGCGGCTCGTATCCTGCGTGGTTTTTGCAAAGACGGATTCTATGAGCAGATAGAAGAGAAAGAGGCCCAGAAGGTGGAAACCCGGAGTGCAACGACCGTGGGTGTTCCACAAGGCAAACAGAGGATAATAAAAAAGATCCCAGCCAGTGTCATCAAAAATGCCGTTGGCCTGGCCATATTCACAACCATGCGAACCGGCTGGCTTTTTGGGGGCTCCGGAGGCGCTGGCGTAATTGTCGGAAGACATCCAGAGACGGGAGAATGGAGTCCGCCCAGTGGCATCCAGACTCAAAATCTGTCATTTGGCTTTCTCGCAGGAGTCGACATATATGATACAGTTCTGGTCATTAACACATACGAAGCCCTTGGAGCTTTCACGAAATGGAGGACCACCTTGGGAACCGAGGTCGGGGTTGCAGCGGGCCCTGTAGGAATCGGCGGTGCGCTCGATACTGAATTGACAAAACGCCAGGCCCCTATTTGGTCATACGTCAAGAGCCGCGGTCTTTATGCTGGAGTCGCCTTGGAAGGGAATCTTGTCATTGAACGGACTGATGAAAATGCAAGATTTTACGGTGAACAAGTCACCGTCACAGACATTCTGGTCGGAAAGGTTCGATATCCGCCAGTTGAGAAGTACCAAGTCCTTCTAGACACCCTGAGGGCGGCTCAAGGCGACCAAGTGGATGACAGTTTGCTGCCCGACGCACCAGCTCCAAGTGACATGGAGATCATTCCACCAGGTGAGAGTGTGCGAATGCGTTTTGGCCCCATTACTGACTGGCCACAGGAGGGACCATATTTGGAATTCCGGCAGAGGACGATCCAGACCCCTATGGAGTGAAAGCCCTGGAAGCTGAGGGATTGAACATCCGAGAGGCTGGAACGCACCAAAGGCCGAGTGCTGATGCATTTGAATTCAAGCCATCTCCGACCAGTCCAATCTACTCCCATTTCTCCCGCAGAAGCGTTGATGGCTCAATTCGTTCTCGGACTTGGAGAGAAAGCACTCACAGCCTTGCTAGTGTCGATCGAGGTACTCAAACAGATGAGGAAGAGACGAAGAGTGCCGGAAACAGTCCTCGGAGGGACTCGCTGAGGGGACTCGACCAACCGAAGAAACACAGTCAACTCGTGGATGACACGGGCGAACAACGACAGGAACGGAGAGAATCGTTTTCAGATGTAGATTCTGATGTCGAGGTCTCGACGGCAGTACCAGTCATGGCTCGGGCGAGAGTGGTCGAAGTTCCTAAACGTGTTCCCCCAGCATTGCCGCCACGGAATCCCGGACGGGTGACATCTTCGACTTCGGAAACACAGACACCTGTGGACGGCTTTGACAAGATTGATTTGAACGGCAACGCTGAACAAAGGCACGAAGGGGGCCATGTTCTGACGCCGTCATCCACACATGAAGCCGCTGACTCTTCTTTTCATTCTGTACCAGTGACGCCCACTGAAGAGTCAAAGGGGAACCCTAACGATATACCAGGATCTTTTCAATGAGCAAGCAGGACTAGATGGACTCAAAAAAATAAATTAATGGTTGCGTGATCTTTAGATCCCCTTTTGCTGTTTTACTTAGCTATCTACGGGTTACCCGGCTCGAAGGGTACGAGCACACCACTTTCGACCACATCGGCAGACTTGGAGGGAAGTAATATGTCTCCTCCTGCCGTTACGGCTGCTATGCTGGTGAGTTTGATGGCAGTGGTTGCTGCCAGTTGCAAGCAATGATCCTTGATGAGTGGACGCCTCGCGCCTTCGACTTGTGCTTTTTCACTGGACAGTCCATCCACATCTTTCTTCCTGTGCCTCCCTCCATTCCAACCTACACCATCATTGCACAGGTCACCCTTCGTTTTGAAGTTTTCCGAGCTTGCCTGCATTGATACGGCTGCATTCATTATTGCATACAGATTACTGCTCTCGGAGTTTTGACTCTTCTCACTTCAAACCGGTCGCCTGCCATCCAACTCATCGAAGCCTTTGGTCGTCATGAAGTCTCGCCTCATTCTGCTTGCTGCCCTTCACGCACTAGTCAGTCTGACCTCAGCTACGGCGGCACCTCCCATTGATTCTCTTACCTCCTCCGACCTTGGCTCTAACGACGAGCTATCTGCACGATTCGATGCCGAGGAAGAGCAACCGGAGCCAATCGCTTGCGGAAATATGACTGGAAGAGCGTGCCCTCCAGGTGGCGATGGCAGTGGCTATTGCTGCTCATTAGATGTGTGTTGATCAAAATACTGTTCCCAGACTGGTGCTAATAATGACAGGGCTTCTGCGGTACCACTCTCGTTTCAAATGGCTCGGGCTGCCAACTGATACATCCTACAGGTGATGGGGAGCTTTACTGCGGCAAAGGCTGTCAAAGGGAATACGGGCAAGTTTGCAGAAGGACAACACTCGCACAAGGTGTCTAACGCTGCGGTAGAATATGTGATGTCGAAGATGCTACAGACCGTCCTCCTACTGTCAAGTACTGTGGTCTCAACTATAATGGACAACGTTGCGGCAGCGGAGAATGTTGTTCTTCAGACGGTTTATGTGTCAGTGCTATCAAAAAGAGCAACAATGGAATGCTGACTGAAGCAGGGCATATCCAACGACTTCTGTGGCGAAGGGTGCCAGGCAACTTTTGGGACCTGTCTTCAAGGGAGGTGCGGACTAGCGCACGGCAACGAAACGTGTCCGTTTCCTCAGTGTTGCTCTCATGCTGATTTCTGTGTTAGTGGCTATCCTTTGGAAGACTGTTTGCCTAGCTGACATAGTGCAGGGAACCGGCGCCGATTTCTGTTCTGTTCCTGGGAATTGCCAAGAAGAATTTGGCATTTGTGATTCTGACACCACTCCGGCAGGGTACAATATGTCAGTGGATCCAAGACGAGAAAAAGGCCAGATCAAATACGGACATTTCATCAGTAACTGCTACGTTCCCAGAACTATTGCTCTTACATACGACGACGGTCCATCGGAGAACACTGAGGAACTGCTGAACATTCTCGACGAAGCTGGTGCAAAGGCGACCTTCTTCATTGCAGGGAATAGCAACGGCAAAGGTCCTATAGACACTACGTCCAAATGGACCGATGTGATCAAACGTATGGTCGAGGATGGCCACCAAGTTGCTTCTCATACCTGGTCCCATCCGGACATGGACGAGATGGGCTCGCAAGATCGCCGACTTGATATGGCCAAAAACGAAAGAGCTCTCGCCAATATCCTAGGCAAATACCCAACATACATGCGGCCGCCTTACCTCCATTGTAACAATCAGAGTGGTTGTCTGAGTGACATGAGAGACCTTGGATACCATGTCATTTCATATGCATTCGACAGTGGCGACTGGATGGACCCCAACAATCTCACTGCAATGACCGAGAGAGTTGACCGTGCCTTCCAGAGCACGGATGCGCAGGAGGGCAGGATGTTGCTGATCCAGCACGATACCATTCGCACTTCAGCCGTCAATCTTACAAAATATGTTCTGGACATGATCTCCCAGAGAGGATGGAAAGGTACCTGCCCGCTTTGCTCTCTTTGTTGGAAACAGTTGCTGACTAGTTGATAGCTGTCACGGTCGGAGAGTGTCTCGCTGATGATCCTGAACGCTGGTATCGGGATCCTGCTTGGATCAGCCTCGCCTCAAGATCGAAGAGGGGATGTGTTGTCTCAGGCAGAGATTTCTGTGGGGACGTACGGAGATTCCACACCAAGGTCGAATGCTTTAGAAGCAACGTCCAATGTGAGCAAGCTGCTTTAGAGTGCATGAACTCTGGAAGCACAGACAAGAAGGACTGCGAAAAGCTGGAAACGATCTGCAGCATGCAGTTCCTCTTCTGCTCAACATGCGGAGAACCAGAACCTCCTTGTGATATTGGGAACTTCAACGTCGACAAGCGAGCATGATTGTGGTGGTCTTGCAACGTCGGAGTCAGGCGTGGAGTTCGAGTCAGCGTCTATCGCAGACGGATGTATAGCTTACATAGTATGGATTGACGGTATCTTTAGCGCACAAGCGGTTGCACAGTATCCCGGTCCGTTTCATACTCTGGATCAGGTCCGAGCCTCATCTGCCACGGTGGTATTCCGCACATTCATTAGATGGAAGTAATGCTGTATTCGTAGCAATGCAAAAGTGGAGTGGAGAGGAGAGCAAGTAGCGTGATCGACCGGCATTACCGGTCAGTTGTGGGGATGCAACTTCTTTCTCCGAGACGTCGATTGCACACGTAGCGCAGGCGATGGTTTGAGGATACCTAGTAATTATCACCAGACGACTACTCCATCGCCGCCATCAATCGTCCTCTCGCTAGTCTAGCATACTTGTACAATGTACTCCAGCCGATAGCTGGCAGCATCTGCGCGTCAAAGTCATTGAGAGTCTCCAAGTCTTCATCTCACAGTATCGTCACCATGTCTCTTCCGCGCCCCCTACGAAGAAGTCAGCTACCGACTCCTCTCCTCTCCCTCATCGCTCTCCTCTTCGTCGCTACGCCTGCATCAGCTCATGGTGGCCATACGGACAAAATCCCCGAAGGAGAGGCCGTCTCCCCCGATCCCCTGGACAGTCGGCTATGGATTCACATCCTGCTCATGATCCTCTCCTTTGGCATGATCTTTCCTTACGGCATGGTTTTGGGCATCGTCAAGAGTCGTTGGCATGTCCCTCTACAGATTGTTGGCACGGTGATCGCAACTGTGGCGTACTTCTTGGGACATATGCATAAGGGGAGACAATTTCGACACCCGAACATTCACGCGAGTTTCGCCAATAGCTTGGTGTTGATGCTTATCATTCAGGTCGGGTTAGGTGTTGGGTTGAAGTTACATCTTGAGGAGAAGAAGGGATGGGTTGGGCGGGTTTTTGGAGGGAAAGTTGGAAGAGGTGGGAGGAGAGGCGTGGTCTTGATTCATGGCTGGTTGGGAAAGATCATGCCCATTGTCGCTTGGGCACAGATGCTCTTCGGAGGGATTGTCGCCATGGGCTACTGCCGCGGTGACCATCTGGGGCAATGTCTGGCGCATTTCATCATGGGGTCAGCGTTCATTGCGTATGGGGTCATCATGACTGTCCTCTTGCTCGTGGGTCAAGCGTGGTTGAGAAGGACAGGCCGGAGCCAGGAATTCTTCGACAGTTGCGTGATTGCGGCATGGGGATGTGTCAATACTTTTACCGAGCACCGTTGGGGCCATCCGTGGGTCAAGAACGACCTACAGCATACGAGTATGGGCATCGTTTGGTGGTGTGCTGGACTGCTCGGTGTCTGGTTATCGAGATCGAGGAATGGCAGACCGAAAAGGAACATCCTCCCTGGTCTGGTGATCCTCCTCACGGGTTGGGCCATGAGTGCTCATCCCCAGGATCTGCCTCTGAGCACGATGGTGCATACCGTGTTTGGATACACCTTGATGGCTGCAGGTGCGGCGAGAATTGTTGAGATTTCCTTTTTGCTCAAGGACAGCCGTGGCGCGGGCGAGGTCAACAGTTGGCAGCACTTGCCTCCGTTTGTGAGCCTCATCATTTCCCTCTTAATTGTGTTTCGGTCTTCTAACAACCTTTTGTGCACAGCTCCTCTATGCCTCGGGCTTCCTCTTCATGGGCGCGACCGAGGAACAAATGCATCTTCTCTCCGACGCTCAAGTCACGCACGTCTCCTACATCCTGATCCTCTACAGCATCGCCTTCTTGCTGTACTTGTTTGTGAATATCCTGCTGTACGTGTACGCGAGCCACGCATGGCCCGATGACGAGAGCAACGGGCTTCGCTCTTCCTGTGGTCAAAGCAGTTCGGGTTCTGGGAGGGGTCTCAGCGTTGTTGCCGGGCCCAGCGGTCCCGATGGGCACCACACGAGGAAAATGTCCACCCTCGCGAGTATGGGCATGAACGGAGGGACGATCAATGGCCCCGCGAACGGGAGCGCTAGATTGCCCCGGCACAGAGGCACAGCCAGCCAGCAAGTGCGGGACGCGGAGGAGTTTGAGCTCGAAGGGCTCATTAGCGATGAAGGCGAGGATGATGCTGAGAGCAGTCCTCGCATGGGGAAGAAGGAAGGTGCTCTCGCACTGGCTTAATATCATCACCAAAGATACATAGAAAACCCCCCTCTGGTCGAGGAGCATTTATGCTGCCCCCCCCGGGGGGGGGGGGCGGAGGACAGTTGTTGATCATAGCGAAACTCGGTGTAGGGGTGGGAAATGGATGTACCGGTTTGGTTTTGTCATGGAAGAAGTACATAAAACACACAAGGTAGAGAGAATAGGACGGTTCGCACTTGAAGGTGCATCCGTCGTGCATGTCGGCGCGAGGAGATCGGCCCTTGCATGAAAGAATGGCTGGACGGACGGAACTCCAAGTCCACAATATCATATTCTCTATTCTCCGTCGTCTTGACTTTACTACCTACGGAGTAATCGAGGACACCGATAATCAACCTTTCATCCCCTCAGCGGCAATACCTTCTGGCTTAACACGCTCTGTCTGCACAAGGGGCACTCTGCCTTCTCCTTGACCCAGTCCTGCACGCAGGTCCAACAAAAGACGTGTCCACAGGTGGTCACGCTGGGGTCGCGGAACGGTTCGAGGCACAACGTGCACTTGCGCTGGTGGCCGGCGGGGATCCAGGCCATGGTCTCGTCGTGGTCCTCGAGCGCGTAGCGCGGGGTGTCTAGGATGGGCGTCGCCGTGTTGGCCGCCAGGCCCGGCGGGAGGTAGGATGGCATCGAGACGGCGGTGAGGAGGTGGCCACCCGTCGAAGACGTTTCGAGGCTTGACGGGATGGGGATCTCGACGCCGTTGGCGAGCATTGCAGCGGTGATGGCCTCCTCCTTTGTTCCTCCCCCCGTCGTGGTCGAGGCGGTGGTCGTCGCCTCCACGTACGTTTCTCGGATGTGCAGAGCAGACTGCACGGCCATTTGCAGGACGAGGAGGACGCCTAGGACTTCGTAGCCGACGCGCTCTTCATTTGGTTTGATTTGTTTGGTGAACACGTAGCGCAGCCCGAAGAGCCGCTTGGCGATGTGGTAGTAGGCGCCTGTGAAGTAGAAGATGGCGAGGCTGAGGGCGTAGATGGGTTGCGGGGAAGTCAGGGTGTCGAGGTGTTTAAGGATGTATTCTTGCACTTTAAGGCTTCTGGGTGAGGAGGGATGTCTGTGATGGCGGTCTTTCTGCTTTGCATGTTCAATGTTCCATTCGAGTTTGCTCCTTAACCTCCTTCTGAGCGCTGGCAGAGATTTGCCCAGAATCCAGGGCGCGAACACCACGCTGGCGATGTATCCGACCCTTCTGCCCAGTCCGGCGAGTCTCAACGTGTCGTCCTCGACCTGGATCACGTCGCAGTACTCCTCGCCCAGTGTCCTGTTCCCCAGAAGCGTTGTTATGCAGAGGTAGAGAAGCTCAGAGAGGTGGTTCGTGGCCTCGGAGTATTTGTGTGCGAAACGAGCCCCAAGAAGGGCGCGCAGGATCGTGGAGGCTTGTGACGAGATACTCCCGGTGATGTAGGCGTCTTTCTGATGCGTCCGAAGGATGTCGGGCGAGGTTGCGAATGGGTATTCCATGGAGGCTGAAGGAGGAGCAGGCACAGACGCAGGTGGAGGAGAGATGCTGCTAGACAGCGGTTGGTCAGTCATCTTGTTGTTGGTTTTTGGGGGGGAATCAATGTCTGCGATGGACAATTGCTACCCAGGACGAATGAAAGGTCGTAAGAAGCGATTGACCATGGACCGAGGTCTAACAAGGTACCGCCATCCATGCATCGCGGTGTTGCATGCCGTATTGCAGAGGGTCCATCATACGGTGGCGCAGTGTCGATGGTCATGCAGTGTTGGATACGGAGCACGAGGTGCAACAAAGCATTTCCCCTTGCTTCTTGCTTTTTCCCACTATTAAGCGTCAAAAAGGATGTCGCCAACTCCAGACACCACAAGGCAGTGCTGCGGGTTGACACGCATCACTGGTCTGACATTGACATTGACATGAGACGAAACGTACCTTCACATCTGATTTAAAGCCCACAGCAGAATGCGTAGACAGCCCCATGTACACCATAGGAAAGGAAATGCGATGGCCAAATAGAGAGCGATAATAATGGCGAATCCTAAGATGAGGTCCCAAGTCTCCTGCTTGATGGGAGGCATAGTTGCTGGTGGTGGGAGGATTGAGGAAGGTTGGATTAGACAGAGAACCACAGAAGATGCATCTACGAGGCACAGTACTGGGCGGTGGTGGTGATGTTCTCGCAGAGTCATCACAACGCCGCAAACATACATTGGTGGCCGTTGTTGGACCATCGGGGAGTCTTCTAGATTACAATGCCTGCTATGTATCATGACAGGGCAGAATATCTAGATAGACTCTGCGAGAATCCTCGAAGCAGGACTCAGCGCCATAGACGGGTAGCATAGGGTACATCATGTTAAACGTACTCGCTCCATTTGTCCTTTCGTGCAGCTGTCTTATGACAACTGAGACGAGCGAGGGTTGTTCTCACTCTCGACCCCATCGACAGATCTGTTTACCTGCAGACAGGTCTACCGTCGTCTCGTTCTAAGCTACGAAGGCGTTACCGTATATGTTTGCTCGCGTTCTAAGTAGCCAGCTCGCCAGGTAATCTGGGTTGCCATGTAGCTTCGTTATTGGCGAAAGTCGCCGCAGACATCCAGCCTTGGCAAACCCAACTCGCGACAACCTACCTTCTTGCCTCGTAAGATTTATATCGTACCTAAAATAGACGCTATATCAGGAGGTGCGGACTATTAAAAAATACTAGAGGATAGAGATTAAAGTAAACCTATCGAGGTTGCACTATACGTGTTCAGGGGCGTGCGCAGAATTGCACAGCCACAGCTCAACCTGGCATTGTCATGGCTCAGGTCAAAATGGTGTGTTGCCCAGTCTGGAGGAGGAAATAGACTTGGGAGAGGTCGGTTTTGACATGCAGCATCGGTCTGTTGTTTGTTGAGCCGGTTTTGGAAGGTCGATAAGGACGACTTGTCCGCCACTCAAAACTTGCTTCTCCACGGCTGCAGCCGCTGTCAGTTTCCCCTTCCAACTCCCCGACCGTCAGAAAAGAACCTTCCTACGAACAATGGCAGCCGAAGGCAACAAGAACTGGCCTCGAGAAGGCTACCGACCAGAGTGGTTGGCAGTGAGCATCTCATCTCTCGCAACTTGATTTTACACTTTTGGAATTTTAAAAAAAAAAAAAAATAATTTTGGCATCCCCGCCATAGACAACCCCGCCTCATTGCATCCTGACGCCAACTGACGATCAACCAGCTCGAAGATGCATCTGGCGGTCGATATGTCATGACTGGCAATTGGGCGGTTGATGTTCCCACGTACGATGCTGTCTTTGCTGGCCTTGCGAAACAATGGCCCCCGCTGGCTGAAGAACTGAAAGTCTGTAAGTGAATCAGACCAACGGGAACCAGCAAAACTTGGTCGATTCTAACCCGCACCGCTGCAGGGGACGAGAAGACAGCCAGCCAGCATGGCGACCTTCCAGTCCGAATCTACAAACCGGCATCTGACAAGCCGCTGCCGCTCATGATTTATTTTCCAGGTGGAGGATTCATTGCCGGCAATCTTGACACCGAAGATGCCCACTGCCGGATATTCGCAGCCAAAGTACCATGTCTGGTCATCAGTGTCAACTATCCCAAAGTTCCACAAGTCAAGCTTGACGACATTATCAACGTGGCAACTCAGGCTGTCCCCTGGGTAAGAAGAGGCTCCATACGACCACTCTCAGCGTGCTGACGCAAAAAGTGTCGCGCCAGAGCCAAAGAACTGGGAGATGATCCTTCCACGACTCTTCTCTGTGGTGGTTCAGCTGGCGCAATGCTCTCAGCTGAAGTGGCCTACCGCTTCATGGCCGAAGGGGACTACACCTCCGTCACTGGCTGCGTGCTGATGTTTGTTGTAACGCTTTCCTGGAAGTACAATGGGAAATACAAGCATCTGTACACCTCGTGGGAAGACAATGGATATGCTGGGACTCCGGTGTTTGGTCAGGAGCTCGCCGAGTTCATGTGGTGTAAGCAATGTCCGTCCGCCCAACTGTGGAATCTTCATTGACTCCATGTCAGCCCATTTCGACCTCGATCATGACAGCCCACGACACCTCGTATGTCTAGCCGACGACCTCTCCAAATTTCCGCCATGCTATATTGTCACCGCGGAGAAGGACTGTTTTCGAGACGACGGAGCCGTCTTGGACTACAGGCTCAGAGAGAGTGGTGTCAAAAGCAAGCTTGATCATTACGATGGACTTCCTCACTACTTCCATGCCTTCCCTAGCCTCGCCGTTGCCCAAGAGTCGATGGAGAGGGCTGTGGAAGGAGCCAGATTTGTGATGGAGTAGCGACGAACCAAGAATTTGCCCACGAGCGGCTCGTTTACTCGGCTTTTATTTTCCAGATGCATTCGCTTGGTTGGCAGTGTGTGTGTAACGGACAGCACTGGATTCATCAGCCAAAAGTCAACTAAATCGACCGATCCAAGCCCCAACTGACCTCTCAAACTGGCGGGTCGTTTTCCTAGCCTCGCAGCTCCTTATCCCCGACGACACGTGCCGAGGCACTACTGTGGCTTTGACGGTTTCAAGACGCCATCCCGCTTCCCGCTTCCGCCCTTTGTTAGCGAGGCTGTGGACCTTGATGGAGACAAATCAAGGCGAGCTCATCGACCGACTAGACACGTCTCACAAAGTTTATGAGGTGATCCTGAGTCAAACGTTGCTGACCGGTCCCTACTAGGGAGCCGGACGAGTCGAAACCGGCCATCGACGGCTTCAGGATGCGGGCAACTCTACATAGTACGGTTTGGCAGACGAGTTCCCTTCGGAATCTTGACGTCCTGCCCCGCAAACAAGGTCCCAGGGCGACTTCGAGAACGGCCGGCCAGAAAACTGATTAAATCTTCCTCAGCCCCCTTCCGACATCTCTTTTCTTCACCGTCTTCCGGATGAAGGGCCTCTGCTACAAGCTTCCCAGGTATGCTGAACATCATCGTCTATGTCCCATACAAAATCGGTTCGGCCCGTCCAACACCCAGCATTTGGTAACTCTCTCTTCGTCCCAATTTGGCCAAATCTAGAGGGGGGACGCGGGGTCCACACCCCCCTTGTGCCTGAGAACGTTACCAATCTTACTCCAGCTTGTGACATCTCACGCGAGTCGAGACCCTGTTTCCCGCCTTTCCCTTGTACATACCCTTGTTTCCATACCACTCTGACCTTTCTGACCACTCCACCCCCAACATACCTTGGCTATATCTCTACGACAAGACAATATATCCAGGCCAGGTCTTTTTTTCCGTGAGCTACATTCACGCGTTATGTGCCGAGAAGGAGACGACACTGGCGACACTGAAAGTCAGCGCTCCAGTGGAATTACTGCCGACCCTGTGAGTCAAGTACCAATGATCCCCCGGCATCTTCCCCGACGGAATTTATCCCTGACGATTAATTACCCGTGGCAGGACCTTGAAGATGATGACAACGACTCAGCATATGGAGACGAAGCGTGAGTGATATCTGAGCTCTCCCGTTCTCGCTAGAGTTGACAGTCTTTAGTTCAACCGAGACGACCTCGATATCGTCGTGGATAAGGGACTATCGCGTTGAAAATGGCAGGACCTACCATGCCTTCAAGGACGGAAAGTACTGGTACGTCTCTTAGTGCATTACACCACCCGTCTCCTTCACCCCAAACGGAATCATTGCTCACACTATTGCTGCAGGGGCTCCAACGACGAAGAGGCCAATCAACACCATGATATCGGCCACAACCTGTACCTGAGAACTCTCAACAACCGCCTCTTCCTTGCGCCTATCGATCCCAATCCATCTCAGATCCTTGATCTTGGCACCGGCACCGGAGCATGGGCCATTGATGTCGCCGACTTATACCCCTCCGCCGTCGTCACGGGGACCGACCTCTCCCCCATCCAACCCACATGGGTCCCGCCGAACGTACGCTTCGAGATTGACGACATGGAATCCGAATGGACATTCGACCCCAACAGTTTCGACCTTATCCATATTCGTGGCCTGCACGGCACCATTGAAGATTGGCCGGCCCTGTACGCGCAATGCATGCGCTGCTTGAAGCCCGGCGGGTGGCTCGAGCAGGCTGAATATTCTGCACAATTCACCAGTGATGACAACAGTCTCCCTCCGGACGGCGGAATTGCAGCATGGAATAAAGTCGGCCCCGAGTGTCATGCCAAGCTCAATCGAGAATTGCAAGTCTTTCAGACCATGCGTCAACGCATGATCGACGCGGGCTTTGAGTCAGTCACCGAACGCAGGTACAAGTGGCCGATCGGACCTTGGCCCAAGGACCCTAACCTCAAACAGCTGGGTCAGTGGTGCCGGGCGCACGTCGAGACCGGACTGGAGAACTGGACGTTACGATTATTGACGAGTGTTTTGGGCTGGACCGCGGATGAAGTCAGAGCCCTGTGCGCTACTGTCAGGAATGAACTCCGAAGTCCCAAGGTTCATGCAATTCATCGCATGAATGTGGTTTATGCGAGGAAGCCCGACGGTGCGAGATGACCTGTCCTTTTGTCCGCGTGGACTGGAATGATTTTTTCTTTCCGGAAGAAAGAGAGCGCTGTGTGGCACTGTTGCTGCCTGTTTTTGGGACGACCTCGGATTCCGATTTTTGCAGCGTTTTGTATGGGCGGGAAATTCTGAGCATTCGTTCGTTGTCTATCTGTCTGCTGATTTCCTAAAAGCTGGGAGGGAGAGACAGAGTGATGGGAAACCAAACAAGATGATTTTTTTTGCCTGCATTTGAGCCGGGTTGCATAGCGTCGGCGTTGGATACAAACGATATGGGGGGGGGGGCGGGCCAGTTGTTTTGGACTCTTGTCATGCATGCAAAAAGGCGAGGGCGCCAAGGAAGGAGTGCTGTCTGTTCTATCGACTTTATCTTCCTGTGTGATTTTGCGCGCGCGGAGGCAGTTGGTCCGTCGCTCGGAACAGGACGAGGGTATTATCTAAGAGCCTGACTGGATGACGGGTGCATATCAGGAGGGACGAAGGGAAGCGGTGGCGATCCTGTCACTTGCAAATATCCATGCGTACATATATTTACATACGACGACGACGACGATACGGCCACGATCTTTATGTTGTCAAGAAAAGAACATGACCAAATTAAAAAATCTCTTCAAGCCTGTATATATAGGACTCGTACAGTAGAGTCTAATGCATTCATCTGCTGGCTTGGTTGGAAGGCCGCACCACCAAGAAATGTTGCCGTTTTCCTGGATTGTTGGCAGGCAGGTGGGTAGGTACCAAGTAGGTAGGTTCTTGTTGTTGTAGTAGTAGTACTCCATATATAGAACATGGTCGGAAGTGTGGTTGGACATTCCCTGCCTGGCTGCCGTGCTCTAGCTACCCTGCCCTACCCGCCACCATCACCGCCGCCGGTGCTGGTGCTGGTGCTGGTGCTGGTGCTGGTGCTGGTGCTGGTGCTGGTGCTCGCATTCCGTTCAATCTCTCTCTGGCTTGACTCTTCGATAGACCGTCCCATTCAGTTGTTCTCGACAGACTTGACTGTTCTTTCGCAGCAGAGCCATTCGTCCACAATCATCTTTTTCTTTGTCTTTCCGACCAAAAAGGGAAGGCCGAAAAAAGTCCTCGAGTCGTTTCTTTTGCGTTCGCACCCACCTTGGTCTCCTGGCTCGTCGTCTCCGGCGCGGAATTCCCCTTTCTATGGTCGCGTGGGTCTCAGTCAGTTGGTGATGTTTTGTCGAATTCGGGGTTAGAAGCAGGGAGAGTCTCGCGACGCCAGGCGGCCATCTGATCCGTCCAGACGACGACCGCGCGATCCGCAATATCTGGATCCGTCGCTTCTTCGAAACCGGCGTCAAAATTAGAAGACGGCTGAGTGGGGATTATCCTCACGGATCCGTCATCTCTCCACGTCTCGAGTCGCGGCCGGAACTGGCTTGGGGAGGCGGTATCTGGGCTGTAGTTGTTGAAGACCTGCTTGCACACACGGGACGCCTGCTCCGAGTCGCCGACTTCCATGACCAGGAGTTTGGCGTCGACAGCTCTTGCGATGCGCATGAGCGGCCAATAAAACAGGTCGGCCACAAGGATTGAGGAGGATCGATACCGGTAATACGAATCTTGACCTCGAGCAAATCCGGGGACCAGCGCCTGTTTGGGCTCGTAGTCACGCACGCTTGGCTCCGTCTTTCCACCAAGCTCGTAATCTTTGGGGCCTATGTATGGAGGGTTGGCGATGATCATGTCCCAGGACTCACTTGGCGAGTAACTGTCATCGTCCTCGCCGACGTCAGCCGCAGCGCCGTTGAGGACGTTGCGTACATGGTGCCGCCTATCGTCACCGTCACCGCCTTTCTTTGCCAAGGCTAGAACATCTACATTGTGGAAGGACACCTCATTAGCCGCGTCGGGATGCAGCAACTTTTGTGAGATGTTGTGTTTCAGATTCGTTCGGGCCAAAGAAACGGCGTCCGGGCTGTTGTCGACGCCGAGGATCTCGATACCGATATTTGGAGGTATGGCCGTGTTATCGCAGAGTCTCCCAGGAGGCTTGAGTACCGAATGGAGTAGCAGGGCTATGCATCCGGACCCAGTGCAGAGATCTAAGATTCGGAACTTCTTGCGACTCTGCGAGCTCGGCTCAGTCGATGAATATATAGAATTTAGTGCCGACAATAGCAAGTTGCCGACTTTTTCAGTGTACATCTCTGTTTCAGGCCTCGGAATCAAGACACGACGCTGGCAAAGTATGTCGAGGTTGCCGAATGGCTGGTTGCCGATGATGTATTGTAGTGGCATGCCTTTTGATCTCTTGCCCACATTCTCAGCGAGAATCTTTTGCACCTGCACATGTTCGTTTGATTCGCCAGTGATCAGAACCTCGTCAGACTGAGAGCGCAATCTCAGCTCACGGACACCATCGTCGTGCCACGTCCGGATTTTCGCAGGTTTCGAGGTGCGAACGTTGTCGTGCTCATTCTGCGTTGGAACCTTGCGAATACTGGGTCTCAGTCCTTCTGCTCTCAAGCTAGAAATTTCTCCGACGTTATAAGTTCGAATTGGCGTGCGCTCCGTCGGAACTTTGACTGTGCGCACAGTAAACTTTTTGACCTCGTGCTTTCGAATTCGGACGGATTCGACTTGGGCCGTCGAGGCGGGAAGGACAGAGGTGGAAGCCTCATGACTAGTGTATCTCTTTGTATTGACGACATCGCGAGCGTGTTCTCGGAGCCAGCGAAGCTCGTTGCGAGCAGAAGGGAGGTCGCGACATACTCGGAGGAGGAGGGTCAGGAGAGGATTTTGGAAGGTCGCCTGGCGGATCAGGGCAGGAGGAAGACGTGGCATCTGTCAGACATGTCGTCCAAGGGGGGGTCTATTCAAGGACACTGTAATCAGAGTGTCTGCAGTGAGTTTGCAGTGAGTTTGACTGTGGCTGTGGTAGTGCGGACCAGTAGTTGAGGACGGAGCTGTACCGAGTCCCTCGTCATAGTGAGGGCAAAGAGAAGATGGAATCCCCGGTCTGGCAGCGAGCGACGTCTAATTCGCTCTTGGTGGACATGTTGGGGGAAAATATGGAGTTCGTGTGACGGCACCAAAGCGAGCGCCCTTTTTGCGCCCTGCTGCCTTTGGAGAATCAACCAACAATAATTTCACACCTTCCTCTTACTCTTGTCGACTATCTCCGTCTCTTCTGATGTGCGCAATGCAAATAGATACCATTAGTTCGCCCATGGCCCGGAGTTTCTCGATTCACCAGGTAAGCCTCCCAGGTTGAAAAAGTTCGTTTGACCAGCGCCACGTCCACGCCGTTGTTGGGTGCACAATACTCCTCCCTACGATCAATCTTCAGTCCAAACAAAATGGTCAAAAAAGTCCTGGTTGGTTATGGCGTGGATGTCGACGCCGTTAGCGGATGGATCAACACTCAGACCGGTCAACGGGCTGACGTGACTAACATCTCCCGCGGTGTCTTTGGAGCCACCGTGGGAATAGACAGGTTACTGGCATTGTTCCAAAAGTACAACATCAAGGCGACCTGGTTTGCTCCCGGCCATTCCATCGAGTCTTTCCCCAAGCAAATGGCCAAGGTGCGGGATGCTGGACACGAAATGTAGGTTGCTTTTCGTTTAGCTCCTGGTCACCGCTTTCTCAGATTCCCAATCCCGAAAATGATTTGAGGAGAGGGATTGCTGATGCGGTGCATATGCCGCCCAGTGGACTCCATGGCTATACGCATGAATTTGTCTCACAGCTCTCGACGCAGCAAGAGCGGGATGTCCTGCAGAAGTCAATCGAGGTGGTCACCGCATTTACGGGAAAGAAGCCCAGAGGCTTTACGGCACCTGCCTGGACTCCGTCTCCCGAAACAGTGAAGCTGCTGGAAGAGTACGGGTTGGAGTATGATCACTCATTTATGCATCATGACTCCCAACTGTATTATCTTCCGTACCCACCAGCCACATGGAAGGAAACCGACTACAAGAACCTGTCGGCCGGGGACTGGATGACGCCTATGTCATCGCTGCGGCCGTCCACGCTGGTCGAAGTCCCGGCGAATTGGCACGTCGACGATTGGCCTGCCTTTCAGACGATGCGGGGCCAGGGGTCGTCTGGGTTTGTCGACCCGCATCAGATTGAGAGGTTCTGGCAGGAGCAATTCGAGTTCTGTTACCGGGAATACGAGCATTTTGTGTTCCCCATCAGCATCCATCCTCAAGTCAGTGGCAAGCCTCAAATCACGCTCTTACACGAGCGGCTTATTGAATGGATCAACAAGCATGACGGGGTGGAATGGTGTACCTTTGAGGAAATGGCCAACAAGTTCCGGAAGGGGGAAATCCAGGGCGTGGAGGTGGAGGGCGGCGTTGACCTGTAAGGCCTACACAACCCGTGAAGCCCTCTGTCGATCATTCAACGAGAGGTGTGCGGGGGCCCTGCTTGTACAACGGTCGAGCCAACGCACAGGCCAGAAGGAAACGAGGGCCCGACACCTCCGGAGCGGTTGGGGACTTGGGGGTAGCACCGAAACGGAGGGAGGGATTTCCTGCGGGAAGATGGAGCGCCAGGAAGACGGGTCTGTTCCATTGAAAACATTCGAGAAGACATTCAAGGCTAGTTTTTGGCGTCGATCTTGTCCATTTGCGTGTCTGTCATTTTCTGCTTCGGTGGGCACTGGGTACTGGCAGCCTGGTCGCTGGGTACCTGGCAAGTGGCTGCTGCCCTGGATTCCCCGGTCAAAAGTTAATGCTCTGGATGCCCTCCGCGCTCTCCACGGCCATTTCCCTGACTCTGCACAGCAAACGGGGGAGAAGAACAAGGAAAGGAAAGTTTCGATCACTTACGCACTTGTACCGAGTAGTCCTCCCCTCCCCGGAGAAACCACCAGCTCTTGCTTTGGCGTCACCGACTCCCGCTTCTCACATGTCTCGTCGTATACAATGATGGAAGGCGTCCCAAGGCGGAAGATGGCGCAACTTGACCCACGCGATGTAGCTAGTTCCTGACGCCAATCGCGACTTTACCTAGAATTAGCCGCAGGACAGCGCGTGGGGAAAGGAATCGTGCATTTGGCCCTTGGTAACCACCAACCAAGGGGGGGGCTTATGCGGGCTCTGCGGGCTATGCGCCATGTCAGCCTGCTTCACCGCCCTTCTGGACCTCCGATTTCTCAGATTCTCCTTCTTTTCGCAGAACTGTCTGTGAAGCCAACAACCACACGGCTTGTCAGTTACACCGATGCCTGACCCCTGGGGGCCACTGGCTCCTCTTGTGCCGGTCTCAACGATACCTAGAATGGAGTTACCCAGCAAATCCGGGATGTGTGCGTCCAAGTTGGTCCAGGGCGGTGCAGGGCGCTGTTTGGCACCCACGTCCAGCAACGACACTACCACACAACCACACCATCCCCAAAGGCGACACCGAATTTTCGGTTCAGGGCACCTGGCCAAGCAGATGCGCCTCCGTTGAGACCTTGCATTGCATTGCAGACGAAAAGAAGCTAAGTAAAAAGGTCTCGCTCTGGTCGCTGGCTGGTGGACATGGCCGGAAAACGCCACACAGTCACCGCATTTTTGACAGCTGACGCAGAATAGCAACACAACTCTTGGAGACACTGATCAGCTCTCATGGACAATGCACTCGGTACCTGACTGGGTCTTCCATGCTTCATGCCTCCGCCTCATCCCAGGCCTGCGTATGACCCCTTTGGACACCCTCGCTCATCATGGTGTCACCGCTACCTGCTGGGACCTGCATAAAAAGGTGTCTCTCTTTCTTCCTTTGATCAGAGCACCTCACCCCAGAGCTTGCTTCCTCTAATCTCGCCCATATCGACGCATCACACCGGAAGAGACGTCCAACAGGAAAGCCCAGCGGTGCATCTTCTTGTCTCCCAGTCACCTCACCAAGCGACAAGCCTATCAAACATGGGTCGAGGCCACTACGACGTTGCGGGGATTCTCAAGCCCATGGGACCCCAGAGACCTTCACCGAAGCGCATAGGAAACGTCAAGCAAACTACAGGATATTTGGGGACGCCAACTACCACCGACCACTTGACCCGGGGCGCCTCTCGGCCGACCTCCACGGTCCATTGATGCACGTCCCTACCCATCAGCTTCGAGTCAGGCAGGTCAACTCGGACATCGAGCATCAGACCTACGCGGCTTGGCTCTGAGGACAACACGTCATGTCGGTCAACATGGTCAGCATGCTGTGCGCAATTTGTTCATCCCCTCCTCGGCCATGCCATCCTCATCATCGTCATCGACGCTCTTCAAACAAGGTCGCAATAATATCGGTCTGATCTGAATCTCGCCTCTGTCTCTGAATACACTCGCTACGCTTCTATTTGGCCCCTGCGCCGGTATCGTCTTATATTGCCTTACTCGATACGACCCAAGCGGATCACGTCTTACATTTCCCTCGTTTCGGCTTCCGATGTACAGGCCCGACTCCGACAATGAAGTCAATGGAAAAGTGCATCCAAGGAGTGGAGTCTTCATGTCTGCACAAACAGTTCCTAATGTCGAAGTTCGCGATGCGGTGAGATGAGATGTGGGGATATGGGGAGATGCGATCGCATGACCAAGCAGCTGCGACCCGAGCAACCCTCGCTGGTCCAATCTCTTTCTTCAACGGGGTGTCGCAAACCAGCGAAGACGCTATATGGTGACTGCATACCGCATCATCGGTCAACACAGGCAGTAGAGCCAGCGGGCAAATGGGCCTTTTTCCTCTCCAACACACCGACCGAAGCTGACAGGACCACTTGCACTTACACTTGCATGTTTTTCATCGTTTTGACGTAACGGCCGGACCGGACTCTGCAGCGCGTCGGATCTTGGAACTTTGGCAGAGGTCAAAGGTCTCGGGAGCAGGAAGCAGCTGAGCTGAAACCATGCGTGGGAATCTATGCAAGACGTCTATAGTATGGGGCGCCGTATTGTATTGCGCTCCTCATGAGAAACAGAGGATGTATCGTGCTAGCTCGAGACAGTACACGATCAGCGGGAGACGGGCTTGACGGACACGACCGAGGGCTGACTGGCTGGCTGAGGCTGAGGCTGAGCAGCAAAATTAATAGGACAATATGACATAGCACATGCATCCTCGGCCACGACGGGATCAAATCCCCCTTGCCACTGCCCATTGAATATTTCGTCTCCGTTTTGCCACTTGGAACTCTTTCCTTTTTGCGATTGCTTCGTTTCGCCTCAGCCATATCGACCAAGGCAGCCTCATAATTGCCTAACTGACTGAACTGAGGGATCTCACTGGGTTCAACTCAACTCCCTCGCTGGGATGAATGCATGGCGCCCCCGACACACACCGATGGATAATGAAGAGAAACGTTTCTTCACATATGTCCGCCCCCGTTGTATGCATGCATGCATACGTCCATTCATAATGAATGGTACAGTAAGAAATACAGCAGCAGAAAAGGCATATATGCGTCAAGTTTCTCACATGAGACCGACGGTGATACATCCGCTTCGAGCTCAGCACTATTCGTAACTTCATCACCACCACCTTAGCCCTAAGAAACCAACGCCCTAACATGCTATATGGGGTATCATGAAGCCAAGTGAAATCATTTCAAATCAAGTAACCATCCCCATTCAGCCGGGGCCACGACGCCTTCTCGTGGCATCCGGTTCCGTCAGATCCTGCTTCCTGTAGAAATCTGGGTACGACAAAGGCCGGGACGTCGAGGAAAATGGTTGAAAAATCTCAAGACCTCTCCAACCTCCGAATCTCACTCTGCATCACAGCGGCCAAACTTTCTGTGGCCGCCTCAATCTTGCTCTTCTCCACATGGGTCAATTGTCCCAGCACCCACGCACTCACATCATCTTTCTCTCGCGATACCGGTCGTCCAATTCCGATGCCGATTTTGATAAATCTTTCTCCCATCGACGCTAACAGCCCCGCAGACTTCAACGACAATTGCACGGATTTGATCCCATTATGGCCCTTTGGTGAAGATTCGCCTCGGCGCAACTTTATCGCGCCAGGCGACGATTCGAGCTCGTCATGCAGGATGACCAAGGCTGTCACCGTGTCGTCAGATGGAGGATATATATTGCTGAATTGTTTCCACGCTTTTAACGCGCCCTGTCCAGAAAGGTTCATCATGCTTGCGCTTTGCCAGAGAGTGTATTCATCGCGACCGACATCGGCGCCAGAACTAACGAGGCCGGAACCGAGCAGCTTTGACTTTGTGAGCGGTGGGAGACTGAGGTGCGAGGCGAGATGTTTCAAGAGGATATGCCCGGCCGAATGACGTGTAGAATGGTATGGGGGAGGGTTGCCCAGAGAGGCAATCAGAAGGCGCACTGAGCGCATCGGCAGCTGTGGGGAGGGAATCTTAGGTTTGCGGATGCGCAGCGGAGATGGGATGACAGGTGAGAGAGCAGGTTCGTTACTCGCGGCACCGGTAGGGGGAGAAGAGTCGGAAATTATGGGTTTGACAGGGCGTCTCTTGATAACATGTTGTTTCAGGGGCGGGCGTGAAGGTTGAGGCTGCGGTTTCGGTTCTGGTTGTAACGAGAGATTGGAAGCAGAATGGTCGATGGGCTCGGGCCAGAACAGATCCTGGGTTGGATCGTGGTGCTGGTTGTACGAAATTTGTGAAGTTTGGGGATTGTGTTGTTGGCCAGCTGCCTGCGGCGGGCTCCAGTCAGCCATGACTCCCCCTTTTTCCTTCCGTCGAGGCCCAGATTTGGTTGTTAAGGACAAGAGGGAAGTACTTACCTCGATGCGAATGAGTGATGGGGAGCTGGTCTCTTTTGTTTGTCCCAAGCTCTTTGGATGAGTCAATTGACGAAAAGGTCAATGAATGACAAAGACGCTGGTTTGAAATGCGAAGTGAGTCGCAACCCGTCTGCGTCATTTTTTTTCAGCTCGCCGCTTGACTGAGTTTAGTCTGCCAAGCAAATGACTCGTGTGTTGTCCGTTTCGGGATCCTGGGCACGTGCGCGACCGAAGCATGGACGGCGAGCCCACGTTCCTGTTGGATAGAGTAGAGCTCTGACAATGAGGCGGGAGACTTGCTGTTTCACTTTCCAAGTCTCTCGTTCTCCTCGATAACATTAGGCGTTGCTGCAGTGAAACTCCAGGTTCCTTGAACTGATAAGCCAGGGAGTATTCGCCTATTCGCGGCCGGAGGCGAGGGTGGCGAAATGCTTTGGCGTTGCTTTTTATGTTTCCCCCTGGGGATCGCCCAGAAAATCAGGCCATCACACTCCCTCGTATCGCCGGTGGGTTACATCTGGGGCCGTAATCTCTTCATCTTCCAAGGGATACAGGCGATCCAAGGTCCAATCCGTGTTAGCTGCTGGTGGCGGTCTGCGAACAGATCCGGCACTACTGGTACTGCTCGATGCAGTGTTGGCTTCCACCTTGACTTCCTTTTCTTTGGCCAATTCACCGGCCGCCCAGGGGTTGCTCGTGTCCTCTCGTGTTTTGTGAAGTTTGAGTCGGTGCCATGATAGTTTCCTGGGGTCTCCCTCTGCTTGGCTCGCTTGTCGCGATCGCGGTTGACTGTCCAGGGCGATTGCTCCCGGGCTGTATCCATGGAGCTCCCTCGCTTGTCCTGCTTGCAGACGGCCTGCAGTTGAATCGCCCAAGAAGGAACGTAGATTGAAGATTCGTCGGATCAGAGCCCAACTGTAAGGCATGTTTGTGACAATCATTGCCGTACTTGCTTCTCGGCAATACCAATATACCCATTCAGAGCTGTAGGGATGAGTAAAACTCAGGCGCTTGCTCAAAATTGCACAGAGCATCGTAAACAGCCCCAAACTGAATGGAAACACCAATAGAATCTTTTTCTTGAGCTCCAAATGCGCCTTGACGAAGAGGGGGAGAGGAATGGACAAGATCAGGATATCGCTGCTGAGGTTGAAGACCAGGTTCATGATGAGGTGGTGCAATGCGGTGGTGCATTGCACGTTGTTCGTCGGAGTCTGCCAATAGTCGTGAAATGGTCGACACCAGACGGCGAAATAGAATATCTCCATCACAATGTAGGTGATGGCGACATATGCTGCGGCGACCTTGACCACCAGGGCTTGCTTCAGATTCTGCGTGAGGCGCCAGTAGAGAAGGAGAAGACAACACTTGGTCCCCCTACAGGCCTCTGTTAGCTCACATTGACCAACAGAACAAGGTCCGAAGAACAGCATATCCCCAAGATCTGGAAAGAGGGCCTCCCGAAGAACCAACTCACCATTGCACAGCACACATGCACTGTTCGACGAGGAGAACAGTCTTGGAACCCCAGGTCCGCTGGGAGATTTCTTGAGGTGTCAAGACAACGGGGTGCGCCGGGTCGATGAGGTTCGTCGAGACGTTCAGGTCAATGTTGAGGAATACGATCAGAATAGTATACAGGCACTACCATGGTTCGTTCCATTTAATCCATGTGGGAAAAGTGGTTGCGCCGCACTGATAGACTTACCGTCAGGAATATCATCAGATAGTCCTCGATTTGGAGTCGCAGCAAAGATCTGAAGAGTAGTAAACGCGACACCCTAATAGAGAATTGTCAGCCTACAGTGATACCATATCATCTTTTCCCAAAGGGGCATCTCACGTACATGCGCGAGAGAACCATACACATGGTGACGGAGTACCATATCCATGATTCCACCACAAAGGCGGTCATTGTTTCTGGAGTGTGCAGTTTCCGGCTGGCCCTCGGTTCTCGAGATATTGCGATGACGAAATCGGGGAGGGGGCAAATGGGCTTCACCGAAAGAGCAGATCAAGTGGTACGGCCGAGTCCTTTGTCCAGGTCGGCATGTTGTAGAAGACAGGATTTGGAGAGAAATCGAGATTTCTTCAGCTCGAGGGAGAACATGCGTTTGCCAGAGAAAGGAGCGGTTTCACCAACGCAAAGATATCATGCGGGCGAAGGGGATAGTCAGTGATAAGAAAACGCCCTGGCTCGCTTCACCTGGGGAGAAGAAATGTCACGGGCGGGCAAGCGGCGAGGCGGGCCAAACTAGCGAGGAGGTCGTGGATGGCGAATTCGGTGCTGTGGGTGGGTGACCTCGAGACAAGCTGTAACCAGGTTGAAGATCGAGGACAGGTAAGGCAGGAGGCAAAAGAAACGCCGTGCCGTATCGCATCGGGGTCGTCGTGTTCATTATCAGTTGCAAAGGGTCTGTTCAGGTTGGACTAACGGGGCGCCGGTCCAACCCAGACAGCCATCTGAGTGCCCCAGAGTGCCATGTCGAGAGTGGATTTGCGCGGGATGGAGCAACCGGAGAGAGCCAAAGGCGAAAGGGCCCAGTCAAACCTTCAGGCTGTTTGTGAAGAAATACCGACCTCGATTTACGAGGATTTGTGGCGGGCAGCACCACCACAGGGCAGGCTGTCGGCGTCCCTCGCGCCCACTGACTCGCCAGGAAGGGGGTGCCACTCGGTGAACTCTGTGCAAGACTGTCGAGCTGAAGGGAGAATGAGACGGAGAGCGAGACGCGCAAGAATGGGGTGACGACTCGAGCCTAGTAAGCGAGTTGGCTTGTCGCTAAAAACCAGGCACAAGGAAGCGGGTTCCCGGGAAGGAGACAGACCCGAGATAAGCGTCTGACCAGGAAAATGGCATCTGGGCGAGGGGGACGCCCAGCAGCCCTCGACCTGGCTGTTCGCCTTGCCCTGCCACCTACTGTACAAGTACTGGTACATACTTACTGTACTGGGTACCTACAGTATAGACCTCCGGGTATGTAGACGCTTGGAGTCCAGGCGAAAAGACTCTGGCGTTTCGGGGGTCAGCTTCATCACCACCATGTTCTCTCAAAGGCGGCATTTCCGGCGTCTTCTAGAACGCCTCGCTAGTCAATGATACAGCGAGCAGATACAGGCTGACGCAATCATCAGTCCCTTTCTCTCACGCTCCTTGTATTGACGTCCATGCGGCTGCCATGACGGCAAGGCTGCAGGTTTGTCAAAACTATCAGCAGGAAATATATTCCGCCCTTCCAGCTGCTCTCCTACATGTGTATCTCCTGTCCATCTCACAAGTCATCTCTCCTATTACCAGTGTAAACCTGATTAAGTTTTGCCTGTCGTGTATGTCCAACTCAGGGGTATCATCTCAATGATCTCGTAACTTGCCATGTTGAAAAAACAAAAACAAAAATGGCCATCCTGCTTTAAAAGGAGCGAATGCACCCTCCCAGTAACGAATGCGTCCCTTGCCCCCGCTATGACCCGTATTGCTTTTTGAACCCTCCTGTTGAAGTCTTAAATCATCCGGAACATACAAACGCCATGACCGAAATGTCAAATGAATGGATAGGAGTCGAGTCTGTCGCCTCAGCCTTTTCCAGATCCCATATTCTTATTAGCCCCTGCTTGCAACTTGCGCATCGCTTCACGATGCAGCTCTAGCATGTCCGGTCGTCTCATGGCTTGATCCATCGCCAACTGTTTCCTTTCTTGCATGCCTCGTTGATATTCCTCCATGAGTTTCTTGTTCTCCTTCTCCGCCTTCAGCTGAGCGTGTCCCGCTTCCGCCATCGCCCCGTTGATGCTCGTGCTCGTGGCTCGGTGTTGTTGTGACAGCCGCCATTCAGCAAGGAGAGACTCTCGCTTTTGTGCGTCGCTTCTGTGGTCTCGCTGATTCGGTTGATGGGAATTGTACGAGTCAAGTCTGGTTCCAATCGAAATACCAGGCCGATTGCTGTTTTGGCTCAGCGGCCGCGCCACTTGGGGGAGGTCGTACATGCTAACAGAATGTGCGCTCGCACCACCGTAGGCTGTATGCGGCCGAGTCCCACTGTTGCTCCGCTGCGGCATCATGTAGGGTGACGACACGCGCCGACTCGCTCTCTTTGGGCTCGTGAATTCCATAGGGGTATCTTCGTCGATTGGTGTCGAGACAAGTGAGTTTTGCATTGTGGGGTTGAGAGAGTTCCGACGGCCTCGGCTGTTGGAGCGTTTTAACGATTGTGTCGACGCTGACCGCGATGGTACTCTGCCCGTGCTTCGACGACGCTCTTGATCTGATACTGACTGTTGGCTCGACGGCGGTTTGGAAGCAATGCCCACACCGGCCCCGCCCGCTTTCACTGTGGGTGGTAATGTGGCTGCTGGCGGCACTTCGACAGGAGGCTCTGCCGAAACCTTCTCAGGCTCGGCCGTGACCGGAGCCAGCTGGGCTGGCAACTCATCGTCAATGCCTTCAATCGTCTCTGGCTCGTCATAGATCGGTTTATCGGCTATGGTAATGTGCTTTGCCCATTCATTGGTCCGATAGGACAATACCACACTCGACAGCTGGCTAGGGACTCTGGCAAGAGCGGTTTTGGTCAGAGTATCTGCGCTAGAGTTGGTAGTATCGGATGTTTGCGAGTGTGGCTGCTTGACTTCCCCCAACTCCGTCTTTGTTTCCCCCCCTTCGGGTTTGAGAGCTTCGTCCGAGCTGGAAGCACCATTTGCAGACAGTCGATCAAGGTCCCCAAGTATATGTTCGAGCTGCAAGTTCCCATCGATAGTTGACCCCAAAATACCTTGCACCTCGAGAGGCACCCTGGCCGCGTTCTCTGCTCTCTTCGGGACATCCGTGGCCGAACTAGCTGCAGGTGAGATAACAATTTCTGGCGGCAAAGACGTATTTGGATCTGGTTCAACGTCCAGAGCATTCACATCTAACTCTTCGTTGTCCACGTCCATGGTCGCAGCAGCCGAGGACGCCCTACTCTGTGGCCTTTCGCCGTCGATGAGATGTTCTTGCGATTCAGAGCCGCCGCCACCATAGTTAGCGCTCAAGTGTCTTGTTCGGCGAGAAAGCGACTGCTGCGAGCCTCGCTTAAGCTTGGAAGAACCGCTGAGTTTGCCTGACTGGTCCTTCAAAGCATCTTGGTTGGGGTGAACATCTTTCAGGTCACTGCGAGTACTTTGAGCTGCAGTTGACTCGCAACTTCCTTTCCGTTCCGCCCCAAGGGGGGTTCTGGAACTCTCCAGGGCTTGAAGCGCTTTCTGATGTTCCTTTGTTGCAACGGCATCCGTATCCTCTTCCACCTCTTCTATGACATCGACCGCCAACGTGCTCTGCCGCTTGTTCTTCGATCCATAGGCCGAAGATGCTCTTTGAGGCCCAAAGGCATTCATCTCTACACTTTCGGAAGAACCAGATTGGGGCACTTGCTCGAGTGAAACCACCGATACGGTCGAATATCGTTTTTCTGGGTGCAGATCCTGCCACAACACGGTATTGCGTTTACTGGTAAGTCGATCGCCATATTGCTTTTCCCATTCGGATTTGTCGCGCTCGTTCTGTCGTTGAAGATGGCGGCCCAAAGCCGTTTCGACCGCCTCCCGCTGTCGCGAATCCTCTTCGTCGACCACGCCTTTCTCTCTTTGCTTAGATCTTACCACCTTCCAGAGCTTGAGCTGCGAGAGTACTCCAATAATGGTGCAAATCGCAATCACGGCTATCTCGACCCGTATCCCCTTTGTAAGGGGAAAAGTGTTGGTGTTCAAAGGGAAGAGGTTATCGTTGAGATCCCAGATATAGAACCAAAATTCCTTCAGGCCGGCTCTGGTGAAGCAATCGACACCCAAGGTGAAAACTGTTGCCCCACTAAATGATATCGACCCAATTAGTGCATAAGGGCGAGTGTAGCTGGTCCAGGACAGCGCCCAGAAAACCACGCAGAATATCGCGATAAACGCTCCCTTGCCCCCTGAGCTAGTAATTAGTCCACCAGCTCGCAGGGCCAGCAGCCACATGCTAAAACAAAACCCGCCCAAGAGACAGGCAAAGCCTTCGGTGACTTCTTTGAACACCAGAGCGCCGCCTCCGAACACGGCGCCAGTCATAAAAATCGCCACGAAAAAGCCTCCCTGCACAGCATCTGTCACCGGCGGGCTCATCACATAGTCGACTAGTGCTGTCGTTGCTATACTCGCCAGGAATGCGCACGACAAAAAAATTTGCACCCATCTGGTCTTGACACCGATCAAAGCATAAGTCGACCCCAGGAGGATGAGTATCACTCCAGCGATCCCAAACGCCGGTGTAATTCGAGGCTGAATTGGCAGTGCATCCGGTTCTTTATCAGTCAATGTAGTCGTCGAGTTGTTCGCAGGAGTAGTAGAAGCAGTAGGGAGGGCCGAATTTGTACTGGAGATATGCTTCGCAGTGGATGAGGAGGCTGAAGAGAGCGAGCTTCTGACGGAAGTTGTCGATAGTGCTGAGCTAGACGGTTGGACGATCTGCGTCGAGGTCGTTAGAGATGAAGGGACTGTGTTGCTCACCGGAGTCGACGCATCCGTCGAAGCACTCGGGGAATCAGTCGTAAGGGCGGGAAAGTTGGTGTCGGTCGAATCCTGTCGCTTCTGTATATTTGATCTAGGTTGGCCGCAAACTCTTGAAGGCAAGGCCCATCCCAGCACCGTCCAGGCGATAAGTTGAGAAAGACGCATCTTGTTCTACCTAAATGATGGAGTGACTGAGCTCCACGATGGGCTCTCACCGCGTGCAGGGGGTCTCAGCACATCAAGAACCTCTTTGGTGGTGACCACTTCCACGTCAACGGGTGCAGTTCCCGGAGCGATGATGCTGAGTTACCATTGACGTGGCCTGGAATCGGAGAATATGTAACTTCGACCAACAAGCTCGCAGGAAGCAGAACACAACAGTAAGGGCGAAAGGGCAAACACTGTCAACACTGAACACTTCCACCCACTGGGCAACGGCGACACTCTAGTTAGAATGAAGGAAAGATGGAAGAGCTTAAGAGGCGGGACCACGAGGCCTTGAAGCTGGGGACGACACGAGCTAAGAGCAAAATTGAAGGTGGTTAAGCAAGCCACATGCTCGTATGAGCGTACCTTTTGGGATGTGAGGGGCTCCAAATTATCCAAATCGTCATCAAAGAAGCAATCCAGAACGAGCAGAATGGAAACGTGCCAGCTAGCTCCCGTGGAGAGTAGCCGCTAAGGGGGACAATGTCCCCTGGGGTGAGCGGCAGCATGGATTTGAAGACCGGGAAATTATGCGTTAGAATCAGGACTGGAGCTGCCGACCACTTGGTCGGAGGGATTGACATCCCTCGCGGAGTATCGCTGAGAGCCGCGTTACGTGTTCGCCGGATCCTTGAGCCTATCTCGAGCGCAAGAGTGACTCGTCGACGACGACTTTCTCCAAGAAGGATGAGGTCGACCTGCATGATATCTGCATAACCCTGCGGCGAGGTTCCAGGCTGTGTCTAGGATACACAACGGAGGACGGGACAGCTTTGGAGCTTGTGAGGCCAATCCGGCAGGCTGGATCGACAAAACTAGAAACAGCATGCATGTTTGGAGCTTAGCAGAGCGCCGGCTGAACCGGGGTCACCCATGCCGAGATTGGGTGGAAAATAGTGTTACGGCTCGGACAAAGGGGCTCTTGATGTCCATTTGTAGACGATTTTCCGGGGGATTGGTGGGAGCTCTTTTAAATTGACGCCCTTTCAGCCTTTCAGCCAGCTTTGAGCTGCAAGCCACGTCAAAAACCAAGACGCTGATGGCACGATTGCATGATGGCATGATGTACTCGGTATCCTCCTCGCTTTCTCCGTCCATACAACAGGGGTCGTCAAGACCCATTGCGGCCGTCCAGGGGTTCGGCTGAGAGGTTCCGGGCGGACTTTGACAAAAATCGCTCTGCTGCATGTTAGCCATGTCTCACTTGACTTTTCGTAAATGTGCAGGCTCGCTCGCTGACTTGATCTTCTCGAAGAGATCACGTCTGCCACAGCGTCTCGCTTCAAACGACGCCAGGTTCCTTCCGGTGTCAAGCTATCGATAAAACATGGGCAAGGATTGAGTGCGATATGATCTCGCGGGGAAGGAGGCGAACAAACGAGATTTAAGGCTGCTGATGCTCGGGCTGCCACCTGGTGGCTGGGAGCGGCTTTTTCAGCCCGCGGAAAATATTATGTGGAGAAGGTGAAAATGGCCGCAACCATGCGACAGTCGGAGTCGGACATTTTGACGCCTTGGCCCGACTTGGCGAACCAGATGTACACGTGACCACTTCAACCGCCGAGGCCGCCGTCGCCGCCTCTCTCCCTCACCGCCAACTCACCGCCAACGAGGCTGGGGGGAAGCAGGCAAAGAGGAGTCAGAGAAAGTGTGTGTGTGTAGGCGAGAGAAGGGAGACAAGGATGAATGTGTCCGAAATTCATAAGGTGGTCTGATCAATATCACATCGCAACGCCGTTACACAATCACAGGGATGAGCCCATGCTCCCCAGCCCTGTGTTACTAGTACATACTGTTGTACAATGTAAAACCGAACAGGTTCATGCATGAAGAACAGTTCATGGCTTGCTTTGGAACTGAAATTCTCCCCTTCAAAATCATCTTCCCCCATCCGCTTACGCTTCTCCATAGGTGATTTTAGCGAAGAAGTGATTTGTCGACTGCTCCCGCAAAGGGCTGTATTTACGGGATTTGTGGTTTATAAGGATTCACAAATGTCGGAGTAGTAGGTGATCCCTGCAGCGTCGAGGTTGGTGAGTGGGAGCGACCCTTTTCCAAGTTGGCATCACGTTTGTGCGAATTTTGGCGCTTCGGCTCATCGCTCGTCCACCAATGCAGCAAGGACAACCAGGGAAGCCAGGTAACTAGATATCGCACCCGTATAGGCTCGCCTTGTACAAGCTCGTCTATGTCTGTGTCTTCCAGCGGGATATCTTCCGGCACTTGAGGACCTGTGTTGACAAAGTTGGTCGGTGGCGCAAAGACTTTGAAGAGCTTCCTCGGCCCAGGGAAGTCCTGCCGTGTTTTGGAATGATGAGGCTCTGTTGGAAGTGACGGTTCGTCGTCAGGGTCACGGCACTTTTCGAGTACTTTGTAACCCAACCGGACAAAACTGAAGCAGCCGATAATTAACGGAATCAGCTGGGAAGGGAAGAAAATCCGATTTCCAGGGCCCAGCACTTCCTTGACATGGTTGAAGTTGAGAGTACACTCAACTAGAATCATCGACCACAGAATCCAGAGAAAATTGCCGATCCTGAGCAAGTAGAAGATTCTGCGCAGTCTAAGATTGAACAGTCAGCAAAGTATCCAAACTTTAAAGCTGCTATCAGACGAGTTTACTCTTTTTGGTAGAGCCCTGTAGCATAGTGCAATCGAGTGCTCGTTCGCCATTTCCTTCGCTTGGCTAGGTCGACCCCCTTTGCAAACCTTGCGTATAGAGCTAGGGAGGACGCGAGCAGCATGACGCCGAAATAGATGACGCAGCCAATGCAGACGATAATGTAAAAGATTCTCACACCACCATTGGCACGGACTTTGGCGAACATAAAAGTGTAGACGGTCCGACATGGTCCAGTGTCGATCATGACAGCGGTAGTGTCTGGTAGGATACCGAACCACCAGAACCACAGACCATATACCGCAACCGCCATCGAGAGGAGAAGTCTGAGATGCGTGCCAAACCCTCCAAAATGTCGAATGCCCTTTGGACCTTCCCCGAGATAATGGCAAGTTCGGTATCCCCAGAGGCTCAGGACCGAGAAGACGGTCCCCCCCGACAGATGCATAAGAATCACGCAGTCTAGCTGCGTCAAGACCTTTGTGATGGTGCATCTTACCATGGCCACGATATTTGCAAAGAGGAATATCGCGTTCGTATCCAAAGCTCCACCGATGTCACCCGGCACAAATGAATTTGCCTTGACACAAGTGGTTACTTTGCGCAACATCAATGCATGAACATGGATAGGGACAAGAACTTACGACCCAACCAGTGAACCATGAAAAATAGATCCCCTTCCAACACACCGTTAGATTCGCTGCGGTTCAAAGAGTGCAGACAAGGCTGGAAGGCATTCAAGACTCTGCCAGAGTGGACACACTGTTAAGCACAACACATACCAGTCGGACACCAATTCCATAGTAATCGGGCGCACGAGCACTCTGACATTGGTAGTCGTTTGGGTTCGGTCCCGTAATATTTGTTCGAGGTACAAGCCATCTCGGACTGGTTTGTGTTTCTGTGGCTGTGGCAGAGCACGAGCAAACGAACAATAGCAGAAACAAGCTGAAGCGGGTGACTTTGTTATTCTTTCCAACCATGTTGGGTATCAGAATATGTCTGCAGAAACTTCCAATTCAAACCTGGCAAAGCAGAGATGTTTAAATTTTTGATATAAGGGCTGCAGTGTCGGGCTGCCCGAAGAATTCAGCATCCTTATGGGACGCACCAGGGTCTGGCAGCTGAGGCGACAGCAAAGACTTGTGCTAGTAAACGATGTCTAGCACCGACCAGCCGCCGTTTTGGTTTGCTCAAAGCAGAACCTGACAAGAAGTATAGTGTCGCCCCAGGACAAGGCCTGTGCTGGTTTGCCCTAACCCACAGAGTCGTCGACAAATGCATTTCGGTTTTGGCTCTGGTTCCCTGACCGATGACGGAATGGGCGTTGCACGAAGACGTCATGGCTTTGATATCCAGTTGCAACGAGGCTGATGATCTGCACCAGCCTGGTCGTGTTCAGCAATGGTAGCAAGTTGATTGAGGCCATGTTACCCAGTTGCCGTCCCAGCTCTGGCTTTCGAGGCAGGTCTCTTCGTCCAACGTCCTCAACACGACAATAAGACACTTCACCGGACTGGAGGATACAGAACATCGGGACAGGCAGAGGTCACTCTGACCTTGCAGAGCTCGTCCTTTGGGGATTGGAACTGGAAGCCCCTATGCATTCCGGTTCTGGCGGCATGGAGTGGCCAAACTTTGCTGCTTGTTGGACCTGTTAGGCATCTTGTAGAGAGTTCATCCTCCTCCAACCATCTAACCCTTCAATCTGATCAGCATCAGTATCGGTGGAATGGTTTTCGTGCCAAGCAGATGCTTGGATGCGAGGGCGGCCTGATGCTGAATCTCGATCGACGGAGACGCAAGATCAGCACATATGTTGACTCGGAGATTGAGCAGCGGCAGAGGGGATTGTCCAGAAGTCTGTATCTAGAGTCAGCCCCCGCATTCGATTGCGGGAGAGCCAAGGCGAAATCTTGATTTTTTGTAACAGCCAATTCAGACTCGAGGTAATTGCTTAGGATGCTTCGGGTGTTATACTCCTTGTGACCCCTCGATCCGTACAGGGGTACAAGGGACTAAGTAATGGAATATACTTGTAGTTTATCCGACCCATTCGGTCCTGAAAGATACACTTAACCTAAATAGGCTCCAAGCCGAATTGAACGCCACGGGTGCACACTTAAAGTCTCTCGATCGCTTCACTCCACGCTTTCAACTCTTTCTAAACCCCTTGACTAAAACACTTGGCCTTTTCACAGATACATATGACAGTCGAATTCTGTAGGGATGGAGCCAGAGCGTCTTGAGCTCACGGATGGACCCCTTCCCCGCAAGGAAGGGGAGACGCAACACCGCCAGATGCACACTGGTGAGACAAGACAGTCAGTCTGGGGTTGTTCTAGGACCTGCAAAGAAGTGCAGATAGATCAAAGTCTATGGGGGAAATTAGCGTGCTATGGTGAGGTAATACGTGGACATTATACTACTGAAAAGAGATATTAATTACCTTGATTGTGTCCAACCCGTTGGATATGCCGCGTGCTCGAGAGTCAACCAGATGATTATTGTGAGAACAGCTTGCAAAATTTCAACTTGAATCACTCTCTCCATTATCATCCACGAGCATTACCACTACCTCCATACATAATTCATCATCGCTGAGTCTCTGCCCGGCTGGCTCAATAAAATGCCCAAGAGAGGTTTCAATGCTCAACCTTGGCTTTGGGCAAGGGGGGTAGCGTTCCGTCGTAATGAACCTTGAATGTGCACGGGAAGACGAAGTAGGAGCCATGGTCTTCTCGCATATACACGTAGAATCCTCCCTCGCGAGGAATCTAGGAGGGGTCAGTAACTTTCCACGTAGACCGTGTTGACGTTGGACTGTGGAGCTCACCTTCTTCAACTGTCCTTGCGGTCCTGGCGCCCGGCGCAGATTCTCCAACTTGCCCACTGTTCTCAACATGGCAGTCAGTCCCACCATACTAGCATCCTTTCCGAGACAGGTGTGCTCTCCGATGCCATAGTGGATGTAAGACTCCAGCGGCCTGTCAAGTCGGACCTCGTCCGGGTTTGGGAAGATCGCAGGATCTCTTGCGGCTTTCACAAAGCCACAGAAGACCTTATCGCCAGGCTTAACGGTGACTTGATTCCCATCATCGTTGAAAGTATGACTGACCTGGCTCCGTCGGTAACTGCCAAAAGTGCCGTTCAAGCGGATCCCTTCGTTGACGTAATGTAGGAGTTTGTTGTCGGATTCCTTGCTGTCGATCTTTGCAAGACGTTGAATGTCCGGGAGATACTTAAGACCTTCTTCGCTCAGGTAGTAGTCCATTATTTGAGAGAATACCTGCGATTGGTTTGGAATCTATGAATTGTTAGTTAATGATCGTTGAATAAGTAAAAAAGAATGTGAACACACCATTGCACAGGCTGTTGGTAAGATCTGGCTGAAGGCCATATCGTAGGTGCTCATACCGGTCTCGCTCAGGCGACGAATCATGTGGATACCATAGTCAGCCAGGGCGTTCTCATTCTCTCTCCAACCATCGAAGAACTTCGCCGCGAACGAGGTAGCTGTTACAGACTTGACGTTGGCTTCGATGAGCTTGCCCAGTATGTTTGAAAGCTTCCTCCCCACCATCCGGAGTGGAAAGGACTTGGTCGGTTCGAAGTCGAAGAAGATGGCAGTGAAAATGACGCTCATGGCCATCCACAGCTCTTGCTCGGAGAAAATGCCCTTGGGGTTCTCCGCAGTCTTAAGAGGTAAATCGAACATGTTGGCTGCAAAGTGGACGTGCGCAAGATTGCCAACGTCCCGTGTGATATCGACTTGATGGATGCCAGCAATTTTGCAGCTCTTCTCGTGGAGAAGGCGGAGTGTGATGTATTCATAGAAGTGCTTGACATGGTCATGCCATTTTTCGCGGTATATGAGTTGTTGCATCGTCTGGCGCTGTTTCCGATGGAAAATGGTGTCCCCTCCGAGACAGAACCTCTCGCCTCCTTTACCCATACAGAATCCTAAGCCGTCATTCCACATGACCCTAAAGTCCTGAGAACGCTCCAGAAGATATTTGGCGCTCTGGTAGGACGTCAAATTGATGCGAGTAGGGATATACTCCGGAGGACTCCAGTCGTAATCCTCATAGCGACCGAGATTCTTCATGATTTTGGCATTCTCGCTTGGAATCGTCATTGGGTCTAGCCGATGTTAGAACTGTATACGCCCACAAATACTGCAGCACCGTAGCCTCTGTGGAAGAAGTTCACTTACAGTGAGCATAAATGCTGTTGGTCTTGAAATGATTTGGCAGTGCTCTGAGGATGAGTTTGTAAAAAACACACCCTTGATTGACGCTGACATCAGATGCCGCCTCATTAAACCCCCAATTGGTAAGGTTCCTCGGAGTGTAGTCCAGAGTGTAGAATCTGTCGCCCCGGACCAAGGCAACAGCGTCGGACAACACCACGCGTGAGATGGTATGAGTCGGGCAAATACCTACACCTGGCACCATCGGTTCCTTGTACTCTTCAACAGCGAGTCCGGGATAAAGCTCGATGAAGTCAGGGTGTTCATACAGATGTTTCAGCTGCTCGGCCACATACGGATCTCGGTTGACTTCTTCAAATGTGTCGTATGTCTTCAGGCCAAAGAATTTTCGGTATTCGTTGAGGGTGCATAGGTTCCAAGACCGAGACTGTCGAATACCAAGAATCGTGATGGCTCGAAGTGCCTTGGGGATGTTGCGGGCCCCGAATGCGCCAGCAACTTCCTCCACCCCTGCTTGCATGATCTTCGCAAGTTCGCCATCATCAAACTTGCCATTTGCGTCCCGTTTGAGATGGGCGAACGGCCGCTGAAGAGGATCCTTGGGTAGATCCTGGTCGTATTTGCCCAACCCGATCATCAACTCTTGGAGTGACACATCGCCCGGCTTCTTCCCGAAGAGCTCATAGTAAACCTTCTCCGTCCATGCTTCATCCATTTGTCCGATACAAGAATGCCAACGGTATGAGAGACTGAATTCAGCGCTCACTTGGTTGCCAACTCCTCGTGGGGTGCCATCCTTGCCAAAGGTTTTGGGGTTGTCGATACGGGGATCCAAGGTCCAAGTGCTGTTTGTTCTGTTCAAGTTTACTATCGTGCCTGAAAACTTCGTCAGCGTGGATGAAACATGTGGAGGGCGGAAAATGAGATTACGCAAATAGTCATGGAGAGTGACTGAGATATAGAGCCCACAGGTAATGAGTCGTCCTGTCTGGAAGAGATCATTATCGTACTTCTTCCAAGCCGCTTTTGCAGCCTCCCCCGATAGCTTGCTGGAAGGCCGCGTGAAACGGCCATTTTCATTAATCAATGCCAGCTGCTCGACAACATAGTTGTGGAAGCGGTTCAACATGATGAGCATCACGCCGCACGATGGTGGAAATGCCAGAAGTCTTTCCTCGGCAAAGCAGTCTGGCTTGATTTTGCCGTTCTCGAATGTCCTCATCATATCCTGATCTTCTCGAGTATCTCCATACAATATTGACAGGTCCAGGTAGCTAGAAGTCTTGCTGTTGCTATAATCGTGGTGATCTGTTTGAAAGAGATCTAAAACAAGTCAGATTAATTCAGGATCGAAAATGTTCTGGTTCGGCATACCATGGATGACGAGCGAAGCCCAGTTGAAGAAGATGCTCGAGACGTTATTTGGATGAGGCTTAAATTCCTCTCTTGCCAGCAGCGAATCGAATATGAGCCCTGGGTCTGGTAAAGCACCTGGTTGGGTAGTCTTAGGCTGGACCGAACGTGCGTAAGGGGTGTTTGCTGCACCAAGTTTCGGAAAGATGTAAGAATTATTCGAGCCGTCAGCTGAACGGTATTGGTAGCCATCCCCAAGGTACGACATAGGCGGATGTTGCAAGGAATTCCAGAGGAGGTCCACAAGCGAACCGGTGAGCTTGACTCGATTGGCAGAGCGATCAGGAAGGGCGGCGACCAGCTGCATAACTTCCTCCATGTGCATTTTGCGGTCATCCACGGGGCCGCCACTAAGCTTGTCCTCTACCATGTGCAAGGCTGTTTCTGCGTCTTTGAACCCTAAGTGCTTTATATCGTCCCAGAGTCCTGTCGGCTCCTCTTTCTCCAGATACTGACCATCACCCGTCTGGGTTGGCAGCGGGCGCCGCGAAGCGTGGATGAGTGCTGCAAATTGCGTGAAAACGTTTTCGACATCCTTGCGTGTCGCTAGAGCATCGCCCCCATCTTTCGCGTGCTTTGGAGGATTCGGGGTACTGGCCGGTTTGGGTGCCGCTGGCCGTTGAACATCCCTTGTTTTTTCAAGGCTCTGACCAACAGAGGCACCATTTGGGGCTGTGCCGTTGACTTGGTCGTTATTCACAGCAACAGGGGAAGCCTTTGACTCGTCGACGGTGTGAAGGGCGCCATTGACACCATTGCTCTTTGCACGCTTGTTCTTCCTGAAGTTGGAAGAAATTCTTCTTAGCAACGGCATTGCTCGAGTTCTCGACCTTGGTAAATTGTACTTGGTTGTGAGGACAAGAAGGGCATATAACAGGAAGCAAGGAGCAAGAGAAAGAAATTCCAGGGGGCTTCAAGGGAGCCCAAAGCTTCGAAACACAGCTTGGCCCCTCGAAGGGAATGAAAGTCGAGCTCGGTAAACGTAGACCAAGATCATCAAAGCTCCATATCCAGGGGCGATCTGCGCCCAGTTGTATTTGAAAGCAAACCGAATGAATGCTGGTGTATGGAACGGTGGAGACAAGCTCAGACAGGACAGGCTTGAAGCTGCATGTGCCACTTTCTTGTGCAATGACAGCTTCATGCATCGAAGGTGCGTTCAAGGTCAATCCAGCCGCACGCACCACGTCCGATGCGGGGCGAGGTGTCGAGGTGTCGAGGTGTCGAGGTGTCGAGGTGTCATTACTGCTCTTCCAATTTCAGTCCGTGTTACCGGGTTGATCGGTACGTCAAGCTTGATTTGACTGACAGCTAGCTTGAACGATCATCTTCTCGCGGGCTCACCCCAATGCAAAAAGGACATAGTCTGACAAGGCGTCTGCTCCTGTCACAACCAACGAGTATTGTCTGCTGGATCCAAGGCAGCCTTCACCTTTACCTCAAGGCTGTCACCTCTTTCGAAGCAGTGTCTTCCTGTCTCTCAATTGTAGGAGTTGGCACCATTAAAACAGCGGTTATCTCAAGCTGTTCCGTGCTCTGGTGCTGCGTTCGACCCGGCGTCTTTCTCCAGTCAGACCGAACCTGATTCTTTTAATTAACTCACCTGCTCGGAGAGATCAAAGTCGGTGTGTGCTTCCATTGAGTCATTGTGAGCCAATGAAGCCGACATTCCCCAGTATATTGGGCGGGGTAGACTATCGAAGGTGTTGGGGGATGGCTTTCTGTTTTACGTGAAATACCCAAGGTGGCGCACAAGATATTGTGCTGTCAGTGAGTCGTGGATCAATCATTGCGTGAAGGATGAAGGTCGGGAGTAGGACGGTGGATGTCGAAGGCGACCTGACAGCTGTCGGAATGTAGTAAGGGAGAGAGCCAGGGAGCCAGCGATCCAACTGGCGGTCCGTGCGGAGTGGAGCCGGGCTCGTTAGTTCCAAGGTCCGGTCGAATTGAATCGGACCGGACCGGGGGGATTTGGGGGGGAGGGACGGGGGTGGTGGTTAGGGCCAACTTAGGCCAACCTCCTCCTTGCCTCCTCCTTGCCTTTTCTTGCTCCTCCTCCTTCTTTTGCATCCGAGAGCAGATGGAGAACCCGTCTCGAGTATCTTTCTCGCTTGTTGTTCGACTGCCGATCGTTGGCCTGGACTGCGAATCCCCTCACCGATGTAGGTCAGCTGTCTGGTTGCGTGCAGACTCCCCCTCCGCTTCGAGATTAGGCTGCTCCGACAAGACAAACGGCAATCAAGTTGAGACCTAATTCGGATTGCCGAATGCCAATCGAGCGATGATCCATGCATCAAGTAGAGAGCAAACGAGACCCGGTCCCACCCAAGGCGCAAGCGACTGATCACCCTCCAAGTCCCTTCCATCGCAGCAAGGGATGGCTGCATGTTTGGAAGGTTGGGTAACCCCAGCACGCACCACCATCATTCAACATCTGGCCTCTGGGGCTTTTGGACGTCCAACTGAGTGCCAAGCCATCTTGATCATCTTCATGAGACCTTCCGCTGTGCGTCCGAGCACCCCGTCCATCCTGCAGTTGCGGAAGTTAGGTGTCGCTCATCATTTCCGAAGTTGCATGGATTTTGGCGGTCAGGTGCAAAGCTGTTTGCTGGAGGTCAAGATGCTGTGTTGGGTGAATGTCAACGGTGGCCTATGCTGTGATAGCAAAAGCTCTGTCTGCTCTGGGCGGAAAGAGCCACACAGAGGAAAAATATGAGCCCATGCCGAGGGAGCACACTCCACTGCCTCTTTTCATAAAGTTGATCTGAAGCGAGTTGGATCTCACATTCTTAACTCGATGTCGATTCCTCTTCTTGTTACTGGAGTCTGTGTCTCTATTGGAATTGTTAATTATTCTTAGCATCCCGCGCTTAAGAGATGTTCCTCCCAATGGCCGCTCCAGAGCCAAATCAACCCCGGCAGAAGAACGTTTTCGTTCTTTGTTTTGATGTTCATCCCCCAACTTCTAACATTTGATTGCGTTCGCTGACAACGTTCCAAGGGTACGGGCAACAAGTTCAGCGGAAATGACACTGACAGCAACATCCTCAAACTCTACCGCATGCTGGACCGCACTGATGTGAACATGTACACTTTTTACCAACCAGGAATCGGGACATACGTTAGTTCTCATTCGGTAAGTGAGACAAGATCTCTCTTGGAAATCTCCCATCGCTCACAATTCAGATGCAAACCACGTCCACACTCGGTCGGATTCGATCATGGTACCTGAAAACCAAAGATGAGGCTGTCGGCACATCGTTTGCAGATCATGTTATGGGGGGCTACAAATTCCTTATGCGCTACTACAGCTGCGAAGATGACTTGTACTTTTTCGGTTTCAGCCGTGGGGCTTATACGGCTCGTTTTCTTGCCGAAATGCTAGATCACATCGGTCTGCTAGCTGCCGGCAACGAAGAGCTCATCAGGTTTGCTTGGAAGACGTACGCCAAATGGGCTGCCAGAACGAATGATGGCAGTGATCAGGCCAGAAAATACGAAGAGGAGCACTACGAGTTTATGCGGGGGTTCAGGGAAACATTGTAAGTCCCACGCCGACAGCGTCTTAACAGCCTCTGGGTATTCTGACACCCGCCGCAGCAGTAGGCCAGTCCGTCGAATTCGTTTCCTTGGCCTGTTCGACACAGTGAACTCGGTGCCAAGATTCGAGTCGGCCTGGATGCAGCGAACTAAATTCCCTTACACTGCCCGCCCGTCAGCCAAGGTGATCCGGCATGCAGTTTCGATCGACGAAAGGCGAGCAAAGTTCCGGCAAGATCTTATCAGCGGAGCACAGAGTGAAACAGAGGACAAAACAGGTCCTCAAATGCGTCGCTACGAATCGGACCTTGCACAGATGAATGAGAAGGCGCAAGCGGATGAGAGCCAGGGCAACGGCGCAGCGCAGGGAGGCCCGAGAATTACCCTGACAAGCTCATCGGGTGGTCAGCTCTCAGTCCCGGGAGTTCAGCTCGCATCACAAAGCTCTTCCGAGAGTCTCGCTGCCCCCGTACATTCTCCTTCCACCGAGCATCTCCGGGAAAGAGCAAAATCGCCACGAAAGCATACTAGGCGTCGATGGTCGCAGCCAAAGCGTTCGCAAGATGCGCAAGAAGTCTGGTTCGCAGGTGGCCACGGGGATATTGGTGGAGGCTGGGGAAAGGGAGACAAAGAGCATTGGATGCTCAGCCACACGCCCTTGGTGTGGATGGTGCACGAGGCGGAGAGGGCGGGATTGAAATTTGACCCTGGGTATGACTTTGATCGTCCTAATCCCCTTTTTGATCTAAAGATCTGACATGTAACAGAAAGATGGCTCGTTTAGGCTGTTCGCCACATTCAGTCGACGAGTTTGGAGAGAAGATCGAGGACACCACAAGCCGCCAATCATTCCACCAGAATCTGGAAAGTTGTTACACTGATGGGACAGTCCACGATTGTCTCAAGTACGGTGGTGGCTTGCCATATGGCACCGTCTTTTTCTGGAAGTTGATGGAATATCTCCCGTTTCGACGAATGGACCTGCAAAATGGAAAATGGAAAGCTATCCGCTGGTACGTCGCAACATTCACCAAGATCTCGGACGGCTCGCTGACCATTTACAAAGGCCACTTCCCATGGGAGAGACCCGGGATATTCCAGATGATGCACAGATCCATATCTCTGTCATCAGACGTATGCAGGCAGATCCGACTTATCGTCCAGGCAACCTTATTGTCGGTGGGGGTGGTCGAGGAGTGCAGAGAGCTCCTGAAAAATATGGTATTGGTGAATGGATGTCGCACATGTGGGAAGGTGACATTGTCAAGCATACCTTTGTGCGAAAACAGCCTTCTTCTCATGACTGAGGTTGCAAAGTTTGCCGGTCGATCGAAAATGGCCTCGTTAAGATGTCACGATGCGCGTCCAAGGCGCAAATGAAGGAGACATTAATACAGGATGCGTCCTGATAGCCTGACTATATAAATCATAGACCAAAGGATTTGGCGACAGATTCGTAGGTCTTCTAGTCTTTTCATGTGACACTATTATTGACGAGGAGATGTAACGTAGGTTAGAGGCAGCCTTCATTTCCATTGAGGGCTATCCTCCTTTTGGACACAGTAACTCCCTGTCTCTCAACTATACCGACAGCTCTATCTGGAACAGCAGCCACTGGTCGGCCATCGTTCAGCACTCGCCCTTTTTGTCGAGCTATCGCTCAGACGCAGGACATAATCTTTTGGTGGTGGCGCCTGAAGGATGAGTTGAAACGTATGCCCCGAGCATCCATGTCCTGTCCTACGATTACCCTTTTTCGACTGAACAATTGGCTTTTTTGCTGGAGATGTGCGAGAGAGCAGGTCCAATGTGGTCACATCCGATGATCCCGGTTGCGATCCATGGCCCGGACGACATGATCGGTACTGCTCGTGGCACGGCTTCACATCATATCTTCAAGTCAGATCACCGTTTTATGCTTGCAGTCACTAATGAACATTTCAGACATGAAGGTCTGCATTCGTCCCTGGCGACTGTGAATCGAATAGTGAGAATTGGTGTATGTAACCAACACTTTCATTCTTCGACGTGCCGCGTGTGCAGCAGCGTCAGCGAGACATCGTCTAGACCAGTCACGCCCTCCGGAATTGTTCTCGTGACTGCAGTTCCATGGAATATCCTCCTCGCGTTCTGAGCAACTACATAAGTACATACCTCTCAGCTCCCGCCGTTGCTGTGGCGGCGGCGGGGAGTTTAAAAAGGGGCTCGTTGTTAAAGGCTAAAAGGCCGACTCAAAGCCATCGTGGTTCATCCGATCCCAACGGTTTCGGCATAACATCCCATCCCACAGGGACACCGTCGATGGCCGCGGAGTGCTTCACGGCCTTGAGCAGGCCGAACCCAGACATGTGCTCCTCGAGATAGTCGTCGGGGACGTCTTCCAAGGTCGCAAAGGGGTCGTTGCACTGGAATCCGGACTGGCCGTCATACTGGCCCAGGCTGCGGAGATACTTCATCGTCGCCGCGAGGCTGACGCTCACCTCGTACGACGACGACGGCCCGCCTCCTTCCCCCTCTTGTGCCTGCCTGTACAGGGCGGCCATAACGCCCGCGGCGAGGAAGTAGCCCGACGCGTGGTCCAGAGCTTGACACGGGGTTGGCTTCGCAGCGAGCTCACTGGGCTCGGTGGTCTGGCCGCTGAAGTGCTCTGCCTCGGACGCGTTCATGCCCGAGCAGGTCTGCACGAGCGAGTCGAAGCCGCGTCTGGCGCTCCAGGGCCCGTCGGGCCCGTAGGCGGAGAGATTGGCGCACACGATGCCCCTTTTCCCTTTCTCTCTGCGTCGCGTGGCGAGCGTCTCGGGGGAGAGTCCCCTGGCGGAGAGACTGCCCGGTCGGTAACCCTGGAGGAAGACGTCGGCATCGTCGATGAGGGATAGAAGCGTCTCCATGTCCTCTGCGCGGCTGATGTCAAGACTCGCCGTTCGTTTTCCGCGCCCGGTGTCGCGGTCAAGGCTGGGTAGGTCAGGGAGCCGCGGGCTGGTTATCCAGAGCACCTCCGCTCCGTGGGCGGCGAGCGTCCTCCCCGCCACAGGAGCCGCGATGACGCGACTCATCTCCAAGACTCTCAGGCCACGGAGGCATTTGTCCGCATGGCCACTGCTATTAGCATTCAATATGCCTTCGGGCCACAAGGCTAAAAGACCATCACCACCACCACCGTCGTCGTCGGGGATCTTTCTGATCTGAATGGGAAAATCCTTGATAGCTCTCGCGTGAGGGAGGACGTCCCACTGCTCGTAGGTTCTCAGGGCCGCAATCACGACTTCGGCATCCACGGCTGCATTCTCCAAGTCCACGGACCTCCACCTTGCAATCTTCGCACCCACGGTGTCTCGATCCGCGTCCTCGGGGCACCCCAGCAGCTTCTTCGTCCCTGCACGGTGATTAGGGAACGAGTCGTGCACCCGTACATAGCCGTCTGAGGTCTTGTGGAGGCCGCCGATCGGTCCCCATGCCAATGGCATGCGTGCCCCGTCGATCGAGTAGAATCTCTCAGACCTAAATTCAAGAAGCGCGTGTTGGAGAGGCACGGTGACAGTCGGGATTCCTCTATGTCTATTGCGCTCCGAAATGATCAATGCAGCCAGGAGCGCCGTTAGTGTGATTGATGCCTGGGCCAAGTGTCCAATCTTGAAAGAGGAGGGGAGTCCTATGGCGTCCACGCCTGGTAGGCGGATGGCTGTGAGCGCTTTTTCTGGAAGGCCTAAACCTTTCCAGAGATGGGTGATGCTGTCGATGGTGCCGAAGTGAGATCTGTCCATGGCCGTTGATGGTCGCGGGAATTGCAAGTTCGCAGTCTCGATGATGTGTCGTAGTTGTCGTGGAAATCCGCCAGTTCGTGATTGGCCTCGTGGGTGTCATATTGAAAACACTTGTGCTAGAAGTGATGTACATTCGGTTTGACATTGAATTCTACAGAGAGATGTTGACACAAGTGCTAACTCTGTCTCTATACCCTTCTCTTCCGAACGAGTGTCCACAAGCAACATCAGTTCTGCCTCCTGTTACAATGCTGGTACCACATCTACCATCTACCGGTTGAAGGAATATCCTCAGAGTATCTTTTTCTTTGTCGATCCAGCATCAGGTCCACAGACGACTGGCAGCCGCGGTGCGCCCTTGAACGTCACTTTTTCTTTCGCTGGGAAGCGAGTCGGCCTTCCTTACCGTAAATCCCTTCGAATTTTTCCCAGTCTTCTTTATCTGTCTGAGCGACATCCTCCCAGTGGCATGGACCACCGTTGAACCATTCTTCTCGGACTTCCTGTTCGATGTCCTTGACACTGTACGATCGAAGGCCGCTCTTCTCATGAGAATCTTCACCTGCACCGCACATGACTTTCTTCTGCTGGAGAAAGACCATCGCAGCCAAGTACAAGACTGGGTTGTCAGCCTTGCGCAACCTTGCCTCCTCGATGACACTCTCTGCAACCACAAAGTCCTTCCAGCTTCTGTCTTTCCCGGGACCATACAACGCCTTGAGGCTCGAATGGCGAAAGAGAAAGATCCCATAGTCCTTCGTTCCAACCAGCCTCCGCAATTTTCCAAGTTCGACTTTTCCTTTCTCCTGGCTTAAAAGCATCTCAACAACTGAACGGACAGGTCTGAAAATCTCCGCTGCAGGCGCGTTTTCAGAAAGGTCGATGTGTTCTCCAAACACCTCGCCTATCCGTCCATTCCGGATGAGTGTCAAAGCCTGACTCAAGTAAGCCTGGCTATCTTCGTCCTGAACCGCCGACAACATTGATTTCATCTGCTTCGCCACCACCGGTCCTCGAGCTCTGTTCTCGGCCCTATTTTTGGAACCCACACGGCGGGCCACAATCTCAGAATCCACCGAAGCACCAAAAATTTGCAGTGTCACTCTAACAGGACTGACAGCTGTTGTCTGGTCCGGGCTGGTAGAGGACTGACTGCCTTCATTCATCTTTCGGAAACTTTCTGCAAGATGTACAAAGGTGGTAACGCATCGTCGCTCCATCGAGAAGAAGTCAAACATTAACGCTGGCATTTCGGCTGTGAAGCCGTCAGACAGCCTCGCCAGAGTCCGGACCATCTTAGTCTGCAGTGATATAACCGTTCTGTGAGTAGAGTTGTGTGCTGGAGGTGTGATGTTCACATAGAGACTGCGCTCAAGGTCTTGTTGATATTTGCGGCTAAAAAGTAGCTTCTGCAGCTGGTACGCAGCCTCGTCGATCTTCCGCGTCTCTTGACCCATCCAACGATAGAAAAGGTTCTGAGCAATCGGAGCTTGTTCATATTGTCGTAACCCAGGGTTGTCCTTCTTGAGTCGCATTCCGCGAGAGTCTTTGGCTAGGCTTGTCGCCGACATTCCAATGCTGAGGAGAAACCTATTTCGCGCTTGAACGAGCGTCTTAGGGCGACCACCCGTGAAGATTTTCCTCGGGCTCTGGTTGCGGATGAGTAGCTCCATGTCCGGCCAGACAGGCGCCTTTGGGTCAACTATACGCAGAGCATTGTAAAGGTGACAGAGCATCGGGACATGGGCAGTGCAGTTGACGAGCTTCAGCCCCAAAGTGTGCCATTCCAGTTGGAGTTCGGTTTTCATCGTGCCACAGGTGACGGGGAAGTATTCCAGCAGGGGGACCCTGCCACTCGCTCTAACAGCATGTTTCACGTTGAATCCAGCGCCAACCCACTGCAAAACCTCTTCGCCATCTGACTTCCCGCAATTCTTGCCTTTGATCCATTCTCCGAACTCATCGACCACTGTCTGAACATGGTTGTGCCATGAGTTCTCCCATATCTCATACCCGAGCGACCTGCGCCACTTGTGGTGCTCCTCAGCTCGAAATTTGATCACTTCGTAAGCCTGCTTCAGATCCCGGAATGCCCTGACAGCCTTGACTTCGTCCACTCTCTGAATGTCAAGCTGAATTTGCAGGGCCAAGCTGACCCAAATCGGGGCGTTGCGGTTTTCAAGGATATGTCTGGCGGCGTGCAAAATCTCATCCTCGATGAACTTTCCTCGGAGCATGAGCGAGAGCAGGGAGAAGTTGGGCAAGATCTCTGACAATTCCTCTTGTGCTTTCTGGCTTGGGTTTTGGGCGTGGTAGAATTGTGAGCCCCGAATACTGCAAGGTGGAAAAGGCGGCACTTGAACGCGGAAATCATTGTTGGAGCTCGGAAATGTTGGTGGCTCCTCTTTGAGCATCTGAATGTACGATCTGGCCATGGCCCAGGGTATGTAGAGGAGGACATCACAAATCGCGCAACCGCAGATGATAACCACCATGGGCAGATCCGGGTCACAAGGTACTGTGCATCGATCCGGGGGCGGCATATGAAGTTTGAAGATGAGCAAGGGTAAATAGCCGGTGGGATATTTTGAGGCGGGATATGCCGGCGGGCGCTGCAGGCTGGCCTCAAAATCAGCTTCAGCTCTGCGTACCAGATCAACTGCTAGGTTGGTGACACTGGCAGCCTGCATCAGTTCGACGTTGCCGCTAGCATACAGTTGCCAGGTAGAGGCAACGTAGATTCGCACGGCGAAGACTTCTCGCATGAACGACCAGATGGCGAACAGGAATTCGGACTCAGCCTCTTTGTCATCGAAGTCAATGCGAGCACGAGGACCCTCAGGCTTGGTGCTAGGACCTGTGACAACTGTTGTGTCTCCTTGATCCTGCTCTTCTTCGGAAAGTATGTCCTCGACTTCAAGATGATGGAAGATGTTGGTGACGGGGCGGAGGGGTGTTGCTGTGTTGGGGTCTTTCTTTTGGAGGGCAGGTCTTGGTTTTTTTTGCACTGTCTCGTAGCAGGGTTTGAGCGTTTCGAGAGCAAGTTCGAGAAGCGAAGCGAAGTGAGTGTGCTTTTCGTCGACAACAACACAGCTGGCAGCTTTGCTTTTAAACCAGCGAGAAAATTCTCTTCTGACTCGAATAGTGCGTTCCCATATTGTTTGTATGGCTCGACCGAGGGTGACCTTTGGCCGTGCTTTGACGATGAATTTGGCCATCGCGACCAACTCGGCAGTCTTGAGGATGTAGATGGACTTGGATGCTTTAGACCGGCGAGCATTTTCGGCGGCACCTCGAGCAGGTCGGTGAGTTTTTGTGTTAAGCTTCGTCCGTTTTTCATGGGAGGCAGAGTCGGTGTCTGGCTTGTAGCCTACTATGGCGGACTTCTCTGCCAGCCACCCCGCCACGATCTCGGTATCTTGCTTGTACTGCTTGTAGGCAAGCACCATATCTGGAGGCAGAGATGGCCTCGCCATCGTGGAGAGTTTCGAGGGGTTGGTGAGGCGAATCTTGTGTCAGAGGAGGGTGACTGGGTGTGAAGTGTGAATGACTCTTGTGCGGAACAAGGGGGAGGGAGAGGGAAACCGAGAGGGCAGAAGGTTGGACACTGAACAGATTGTTCAGAGAGCAGCTGAGGAATGCCAGAGACCAGAGATTTGATTTGAGGCTGGTAGGAGGTGGGTTCGCGCGGGAGGAAAGTGCAATGGGCGACGTGCATCGCGGCTGCTCTCACTTCACAATCACATCTTCATATCTCGCCCGTTCCGTTTTTTCTCCCAAGGCAATACGAATATCCTTCACAGCACTTTCACAAATCCCTTAATATTGACACAAGTCATGGTCCCTCGCCGTACCGCCATTCCCCAAACGAGTCTTATGCTCATCGCAGATTTCTTGTTCAAATCTACCTCTGACAGACTCAAGAGCCATGTACCCGCCGATGTACTTACCTAGATCACCACAGACTTCTCCATCCGAGATTGCTGATAGTAATGTGTTCGTATAGAAATCTGTGGGAGCTGTTCCTTCTCAGTGAAGGTAGCATCGCCTTGTCGTCACTAAATACAAGGTTCAAAGAATCAACGTGAGCAACACCCCAGCAGCCATGTGACGGGAAGGCGTGAGCGCCAACACATTCTCAACATTGAAACCGAGTTGCTTCATTCTCGCCCGATGAAACCAGCCGATTTTAGACCACCGTACAGGAGGATAGCGGTCGCGGTTGCTGTTCCTGTTTGCTCAGCCCAGGAAGAGTTGGCCGCAACTTAGCCCGGAGAGGGCACTCGCTGTGGCCACTGTCACTTTCCTCGCTATCATTTCGGTGGCTTGCGCGTTGTGTGAGAGAGTAAATGGTTGAAGGAATTCAGTCGCCAGAGGAATTAGGCGCGAGAAGACCTCGATGCCGCAGGCGGTCTGACTATCTCTAGATAATATAGGCGATGTTATTACAATAGCGGGTGAAAGGAAAATTACAAAGCCGAGGAGTAATAAAGCCCGGGAGCCCGTATCGAGCAGCGAGGGAGTTAATTAAGGTATACTGGGTACAACTGGTGGGCACTTCGGACACCTCTGGCTAGCTCTGGGCACCTGCCTAATAATAGCGAGGTAGAGCCGGGTACAATAATAAGCCAGCTCTAGGCAATCTTGGAGGCTTCCTGGGCCCACCAGCAACTAATCGATATACAACACAGATCTCAGGTTTAGGACCCCGTATTTCGCCTTCTGTAATCAACAGCGCCTCCCATACGTCTCTTGAGATCAGCTGCTAGAATTGGATGAGCCAACATACCAAAAAGAGAGCTGCGTCGTAGCGTCTATCGGCCGAGGTGGATGTCAAGATGAAGAAGACCATATCCAGCTCCCGGTCTGGTGCTATGGTAAATTCCTCCAGGATGGAAATGCCATGCATGCGTTTGCCATTGCAGCGTTTGTACTTCCAGGTCATACCATGCCCATCTGGTGTCAATTGTAAACGTGAGCTATATGAGACCACAGTGAGAAAGGATTGCGTCGACACTGCCGTCCGACTTCATCTGCCCCTTCCGGTGTCCTGCTCCGTTTCTCCCAAGCTCGTCCCTGCCAGTCTTTGCCGGTTGGGTGACGTCCCTTCATCGGCAAGATTGCCATTAGGACGAAGGCTGAAGCAAGAGTCACTGAACATGGAAGCCCATCGAGCGAAATCTCGAGTCCAGGATAAGCTCATGAGGCATTGTGCCCGATGCTGGTAGATGTATTCTGCCAATGTAAGTGTTTTGGTCTTTAGACTGCTTAATGTCGCATCTTGACGCTCTCGAAAGCATCTATGTTGCCTACCCCACCATGGCAAAAGACGACATCAACGGTACAAAGGTGCAGATCGACCAGACGGTGCAGATTGTCAACATGTCTGAATTCAACAAGTATACGCAGACGGCGCTTCTCACTAAAGAGTATCACGTCTTCTTGAAAGGGTCTGGGGCGTTGCACAAACGTGGACTCCCCTCCGTCACGGTGGATTATGACAAGATCATCACTCTGCAAGGTGGGCGAGCCTCTCCCCCGATAGACCCGGTCGCTGACACGAAACCTTGCAGGACTGAATGGCCTCGCAGGCTTCAACGTGACTTCATTCGACATCATCGACCCTCCTCTCCCGAATGGATCCAACATCCCAGGCACGGTCTCGATTCCGAACCCGTCTTTCCCGACTTTTGAACTGGGCAAAGTCAACATGAACATGTCCGTCGCAGGCGCCTCAATCGGCACCTGTTCCGTACCAAACGTCCTCTTGCAGCCTGGTGACAATACCTTCCCCATGATTGGCGTCGCGAACCAGTCTGCGATTGCGGGACTTGTTCTGGGACTATTCAAGCCGGGGATTGTTCCTATTGACGTGGTGGGGACTCAGGTGCTGTACAACGAGGAGAACATTCCGTGGTATGAGCAGGCTCTGCAGGGGCTGATGCTCAGACTCGACTTGGACGTGACGGGAGCGTTGCAAGAGTTTGCCGTCAGCGACGCCAGATGGGGACGCATGCAACAAGAAGTTACACTAGACGCGGTGGCTGATGGACCTGATGCGGTTGTTCATTTCACACAGCCAAGATCAGCATTGACGGCGATAGGTGCGTGAGAACGCAGAACAATTTGGGAGATCCTGTTTATTTTGAGCTCCCATGAAGAAACAAAAGCTTGGAAGGGGACCCTATCCCGCGCTTACATCAAACCTGGGACAAGTCGATCATCCGTTCGCCAGTCTCTGTGTCGGGCTGCTCCTTTGCTCAACCTCTTCTGATGATGTTGTTGGCTTGTCACTTCTAGCTACACGTCCCCCTCTTCCTTCCACTTCTCCATCTTATTAGGTGTTATGATCAACGCCACGGTAGCTGTCGCCTCCACTATGATCGCACCCTGTGGAAATTCGTCCAAAGACGGGGGAGAGAGGACTAGGTTCCGTCTTGATATTTTCCTCAGCCTTGTGCTCCCCAATAAAACTATTAAAATAGCAACTTTGAATTCTTCTTTGCATGCTGTTCTCTCTGGCGTCCCAAAGCTATTGCGTCCTCCTTAGCACTGCGTACCCTCAGCTTTAACAGCACATTAAAATACCCGGACGGTTGCTTTTTGGGGGTTCGCAGCAAGCCACTGTTCTGACGGCATCATAACAACACAAACCCGTTCCCACTCACCTTGATCAGCCGAGCCGTTAAGTTCACCTCCCTTCTCAAGTCCATCTCTGACCCTGCGAATTCCCATTGCCCAGACCTCGCTTCCAAAGTCATATAAACGCCCAAACCACTCGTTTACCTCCTTTCTCTCTTCACGCTGTTGGAGACGTTCGACGACGAATGGAACCGACTCCCAGCGTTGCAAGAGCATGAACTCCAGCCCCAGTTCCTTTTCGCCATCTCGCACAAATTGCAAAGAGACATCGTCGGGAAGCCACAGGTCTTCGGTACTTGCAATGTTGCCTAATTTATCACCATACAAAAGCCTGGCTCGAGAGCAGGGCAGAACGTTTCCATCCCCGTCAAGCATTTGCCAAACATGCTGACGGTGCTGTAAAGAGATTGGCGGTTCGATTTCTGGTTCGCCTTCATTCGGCAAGAGGGAATCTGCGGAGCTGGTATCGTCACCGTCCTCGTCGGCTGTCTCTTGTGTACCAATCTCAATATCCTGACGTACAGCGTCCCCTCTTCTCGACCTACCGCCGCGATCAATTTCTTCTGTCTCGCCTTCACCGTCTCTTTTGCCGCTCGGCGTAATCTGATCTGACAAAAGCACTCCAACAGAGGAATCACCTGACATTTTGGTCCCGGCCTTTACTGCGTTTCGTTGACTCGGATGAGCCATCAGGTTAAAGGTCTCATTGCCTAATCCTGCAACCAAGTAATAGTCTGGATCGATCTCTCGCATTATCGGTGCTGGAGATAGTGCCGCTATCAAGCGAAGACGGTCAAAGCCATCACCTACTTTCTCCCTTTCTTTACGTCTCCCTCGACCTAGGCGGAACCGCGCCATCTCTGAAGATATCACGAGGCAAGAGTTTTCGGATCCACCTGCATTTTCCAACCTGATCGATGCCGATTGGCGCACGCTCACGGCGTATTCATATGTTGACATGATTCCCACGAGATTGTAGACTGAGAGTATATTGCTCTCACGAAGCCAGAACGAGTAGGTCAAATTCCCTTGCCACCCTAGCCAGCTCCAAGAAGGAAATCCAGGACGTCTTTTGAGCATAGTGGTGTCTCTCGTGGCAGATGACCGCTTTGGAAGACCGGGACGATTGAAAAGCAATGCGTTGAGGAGATCTTGAGTTGGAAGTCCGTAGGCGAACTCGACTTTTGAAGAGACGCTCATCCGATTCAAAGGTCCCGCAATGGCATTTCCGGCATCAGACTGATACGTAAGTCTCCGTCCACAGAACGCGGTGGCTATTCGATAGTATGCCCGAAAGTCCCACTGGACATGGTTGAGGTCAATATCAAACGGCAAGTCTTCCATCTGTTTCTTGTCGACTTGGATTGCAATTTGATTCTCGGAATGGCCTTGAAGTTTTATCAGACCGTGGAACAGTTCCTCCTTGCAGATCAGGAATACTCCCACGCGCGAGAAGCACAATCGCCGCCGGGATAGGGCCGCCTCCTGGAATGTCCAAGCTCGTCCGCCCCAAGCTGTGTCGTCGAATTCTATCCACAGGAGTGGCACCTGCATTGCCATGAAGTCATGGCTCTTCGTCGACGTGACAACCTGATTTGGCTTCCGAAACGGGATGCTCACGCCGTACAGACCACTCTCCGCGTCCTCTCCTGTGAGAGCACAAATGGTTATGAAGGCGCCGTCGTAAATATAATCCATCTCCCTGATGATATTATAGCGCAAGATGGGATCCTGCGGAATGCAGTATATGTCGACCCAGAGATACTTCTCGCCCATGTTTTGAACCACCGAAATCGCATCTAACACGGTCCGAGGAACGTCTTCAGGAAGAGGGTTCGGGAGTCGCCATGAGTCTTTATTCATACTTGGCTGGTAACCTCCAAGGACGTAGCTCAGTGCGACGTACCTACTTCCAGGCTCTGCCTCAACAACGGCAAAACTATCGACGTCGATAAGATACAGCGTCTCGCGCATGGTCGGCTCGACTTTCAAATTACATGTCTCGGCGTGCTCTTTTTCGCAACAGCAAACCCAAGATAGCAGCATTTCATAGTCGAGGAAGCCATCATGCAGTGCAGTCGTCAAGACCTCGTTTACTGTTCTCGATGATGCTGACGATCCCTCGTTCCGATCCTGGCATGTTATGAGGAAGTCATCTAGTCCATGCTCGTAGTAGCGCTTCAGGACAGTGGGTACGTCTTTTGAGTCACGGCTCTCGAGAAGTTCGATTTTGCAGCAGCCCTGGTCGCTGCTTGATATCATTAGTCGATGTGCAAGGAGCCCAGGCGCCTGCTTCAAAACCAGGACCGCCTCGTCTTGCCAGCATTGCCTGAAGGTGTCTCTGGTCATGGCGCGGACGCAGATGCGGAAAAGGAAGCGACACAGCCAGCATTTGACCTTCTGGCTGAAATCCTGGATTCGGAGCTGAAGTTCATGGACCTTACCGGTGCCGTCACGGCCTGTCTCGTAAGGGGTCTCGCCACATACAAATTCTCGGAACTGGATGGTTGAGCAGTATCTGCAGCGGTCGTGGTAGCGCACCGTTTCACTGTGCAATACGCCCATGGCGTCCCACACGCCAATGTCAAACAAGTCAGCCCCGGCGTCGTCCAGATCCTCATCGTCATCCTGGTTGTCTCCACCGTAAACCCTATCAGGAGCTCCGGACTTCGTCCTAGAGCGCAGCTGTCGAGTGTTTAGACTGTCAAAGGAGTCGGGATGGCCTTGTTCATCGATATCATCTTCATCGCTATCCGAATCAGGTCTTTCTTCGGCCGCATCATAACGACCACCACTAGCTTCACCACTGGATGTCCAGCTGTCGAGCGATGTATCCATATGGCTACAGTGCTGATGCTAATGACTACCTGGGATATTTCCATACTGCTAAAGAACAAAGCTGGAAAGTCCCAGACACTATTACCATGGACTTGTGACGTGCAAGGACGCGGGCAGCAGGTAACTAAAAAGGCAAAGTCGAAAACGCTGACTAATCAACTAGCTGGTTGTCTCTCAATCAGAAACCCCCCCTTTGCTTTGCCTTCCCTCAGGTGGTCACATAGCCACAAGGGTCTGATTTATCTGAGACAAGGTATGGGAGGGAGGGTGAGTTGTTATAAAAAGCGGCACGGTCGGGGTGAGTCGCACATGAGTTCAGAGCAGTTTCCACTCATCCTTTCGCGCAAAGACAAGGGATTTTCCGCCCGAGGCTGAAGCATGTGACAAAGCATTTTCCGTTCCCGTTTACATTTTTGAGAACTACTCAACTGTGAGTCGTGGCTCATGCGCTAGAGGAAAATCTTCCTTGATGGGCCCACCAGGATTCGTGACTACAGGGCTTTCGATCCTCCATTTCCTTTCGCTGGTCATTTCGACAGGGTGTAAATTCCGCAGGCGAGATTGACAAATAAGGAGCACACTCAAAAGTCCTTCGCTATTACAACGGAGGCGGCCTTCGTTGGTAATGAGTATTGCGTTTACCGTGAAAATAGTGGCCCTCTGTCATTCATCCTATACTGTCAGTTATACTAGATATAGCGGTCGCTTTGACGTTATCTAGCACTCTCGAAGCACAAATTCGTGGCAGACTGTGCCACTTATTTTTGAACCCGGCTTGGCCGTTACCACCAGCCAATTCTTAGGGGTCTATCTGTCTGCTCACGCCGCGACACCCTTGGAGGCTACGGGAATGTTCTTCTCCAGAACAGTCGCCTTCTCCTGCACCTCATCTTGGGCTTTTAGACTCGCCTCGACGTTCTCGTTCCACTCGAGCATATGCAAGCAGATGCCCTCCAGCGTGTCGTGGCCCGGGTTGTACCCTAACTCCTTCCTGGCGCGCGAATCATCGTAGATGATGACCAGAGTTGAGTAATTGAACATGGCCCGTTGAAGCATCGAGAGATCAAAGTTTGTGACCTCGGGCAAGAAACCCAGGTAACGGCGTTGCAGGAGCGTGTATCCCTCAACAAGATAGGAGATGAGGATGAGTGGGAGAGGTGGCACCTTCGGCCACCTCATGGGCGTGCTGGGGTGTGCGAGGGTTGAGGCCATTCGGTACAGGTCACTGTAGCGGAATGGTGGGCCCGGATCGCACACCGCGTAGGCGTTGCCCCCGATGTCGTCGCCGGCGAGTAGGCGAGCTTCGTACAGAAGATGGGCGAGAGAGACATTCTGCGCGGAGACGTATTGCAGGATGAAAGGGGTAAGCCATCTGTTGTGAGCATCACAGTATCAGCGCCCGCTGGACATTGTGCGGAGGAGTGAATGAGATGAGAGGTGGACTAACGTTTGGAGTCCTCCGCGCCGTAAGTAATCAAACACCACTGAGTTCCTGTTGCTGTCCCCGTGGCCGTAGATCGTGTGCCCGGGTCTGATAGCGCCGGTTCTAAACGAGTCTTTCTTGCTGTCCGCGTCCCTGACCAATTTCTCCGCCAAGGCCTTCGTATAGGCATAACAACCTGCGAAGTTCTCTAATTTCAGTGGTGGCGGGTCGCCATTGTCCGAGAATTGAACAAAGTTCCTCGGGTGCTTCTCCCACGGGGGAACGAAGAAATCGAGAGGTTTAATGGCCACGCTACACGAGGAGGTTGCGATGAAGACGTCACAACCTGCCACTTTCGCTGCTTTGAGCACGTTCTCCGTGCCTTCGACGTTGACTTTCATGTATTTGTCGAGGAAATCTGCCTTGCGATAGCCGGCGTGGATGTAGGCGGCGGTATGAAAGACCGTTAGGGGCAACTTCGCGTGTTCGACCAGCCAGGGAGTGGTAAAGACGTTGGCTACGGAGGCCGGATCGGTGGCATCGGCCTTCAAGAATGGCACGTGGCATTTAAGTGCTAGTTCTCGTCGAGGAGCTTGGAGGTCCGCGATTCGTATTGCCGAAGGGCTTTCACCTCGCATGATCAGATGCTCAACGATCCAGCCGCCGACAAGACCTTCAAGTCGTCAGATCTCGAGGCCCAGAGCTTGATTTATCAGCAAGAACAGTAGTTACCTGATCCCCCAAACACGACATATCGTCTGTTTTGCTTTGGTGGGAGAAACTTCTTGAAATCCGGCCTTTCTCTGCGGCACTTCTCGTATGCACTTTGCACTACTTCTTTTGTCCAGGGCTTGCCCGCTAGCGTCTCAACTTCTTGCGGAATCGTTGATATTGCCCTATTCACGTGGTATAAATAGACGAGCAGCAAAAGGCCGAGACCAGATAGTACAAGGGTCCACTGAAGCTCCATAGATCCGGAACCAAGGGCGAACAGAAGAAGTGTAGTTGAAAGATGGAGGGTGAAAACGAAGGGAAGTGCGCTTAGTTTTCTGCTTTGCTGATACTGTCAAGTGATCGTTGAAACTGGGCGCCTGACGGAAGGGGCACTTTGTCTGATAACACAGAAAGGGCTGTTTCAGGATAGGTTTACGAGGACTTCTCGTCTAGGGGGGCTCAAGGGGGGCTTCAGGGGGGCTTCAGACTGTGCGCAGCCTTGTACGAGCAAGGTACGAGGTATGGCTTGGCAGGCTACTTCTTTCGAGGTTCAAGCGTACGGACAGGCAGTTGAGGCAGGAATCGGCCGAGCCAGCCTCACCAGCCTCACCAGATCCAGAAATAAGTCCACGGCCTAAAATGAGGAAAGTGATTCACTATTAGATCCAAAGTTGCCTTTGATTTAAAATAAACACATTGATCACCTTTGAAGATAGCGGTGCTCTGTCATTCATCCCATATTGATAGCTACATTTACTTCTTCGACTTTATTGAGTACTTTTCACCCACATCACCTACCTGTCTAAGTAGTGCTTTGTTCGTTCAATCTGAATGCTATCAAAGCCGCCACTTCATATTCATTCGGTCGCAGAATCGCTGGAAGGATCCCATGTCTGTGGTGGACATGCAAGGTTTTAAAGAAATTGGCAAAAAAAAAAAAAAAATCCCATGCCTCGAGAGTAGCCGACTTGTAACCAAAGCAAACTTGTGGGGTCTAGCAAATATTCAAGCTCGCCACACTTGGATCATGATCCGACCTCTGATCTGCATATGTCACCCACGTGTTCACATGCATATGCTTGAGATCTGGCCTTCCCCCAGGGGTGCCCGCAATCTTGGGGCTCACGAATATGTGGTCCAGTTCCTCGCAGCTCATGTCAAAAACATATGTGTACCGCTCGGTAGGCGCAATACCCGCAGCGTCGTCCAAATCCACGAGCCCAGAGACCGCGGTGAACATCTCCAGAGGCTCGACGAATGTGTCTTCGTTGAAGTCTCCTGCGACGATGACGGCGGCCTGGGGATCTTGAGCCAAGATCTGAGCGACGAAGGTCCCAGTCACATTTGCTTGGGCTGTGCGCTGGTCTACGCCAAGGTTAACGGGTGGGCGCGGGTCACCTTCAATTGAGGAGCTGCCGCCTTTGGATGTGAAGTGCACGACCACAGTGAACAGGGTAGATTTATCTCGGACTGTTTCCCACTGTGCGGCGAGTGGTTTGCGGCTGTCCTGCCACGCTGGATTCGTGGGATCGATGCGGCCTGGGTTGTACTTCAATGAAGGGCCTGGGAGCACTTCATTGGCGTGAAGGGAGGAGCCTGGGTTGGGATTCTTGAGGTTTAGGACAGCTGGATTGTAGAGGTAGGCGACACGGATGTTGCCGCCAGGTTGACCACCGTCTTGGTCATTGATAGGGTCAATGTCGAGGTAATTATAGGACACTCCGCCAACGTCTTTGATCGCCGCCACGAGCATCTCTAGCGTGACATTCGCGGCGACGACGCCGTCGTCCATGGGGCCGCTGTTGTCTTGAATTTCTTGCAAGAACATCAGGTCCGGGGAGTTGAGGTAGTGGGCAATATGGTAACCGATGCCCGGCAGGGTGGTGGAGTTTGAAGCCAGATTGTCAACATTAGACGGAGCAAAAGCAACGTCGTATCTCCGTTCCTTCTGCACAAACAAGTAGCACCTCCTTCAAGAGTCTAGATTGGCAAGAAGCCTGAAGTGAAGCTGAAGTCCAAGTACTCGTAAAGGACATGGTGGTTGAGGCGGCAATGATTGGTGGGGAAGACGAGATTCTTGGTGCAGTTGCGAGATTGCGGCTTGTGCGGAGGTTGTGGTGGGGGCTAATGCCAATTTCGCTGTTGCACATCATCTATCTACGCACCAGGGCGTACAGGGCAATTCATTTCCCTTCTAGCACACGTGTGGTAGGTCCTGTCGATGGCTGGCTCACATACTGGGCTGCTCTTGTAACTTGCTTGGTTCGGGCAGTGCACGCTTGCACAGGTGTCTCGTAAATCCCCTGCTTTGGCGCCTCACAGAGTCGCCGACCAATACGACAGCTTGCTGCAGTCTTTGTATGTGCAATGCTGGCTGAGATCATGGGCAGACCACCAGCTAGATATTGTAGGGGAAATAGCATAAAGAGTGGATGCGGAGTCAAAATGACCTTCTGGATGTTGTCATTGCGGCTACCAATTCCCATATCTCCTCCATGGTGGTGGGCCATACGCGGGCTGGTACACATGTGAGTCGATGACAATATGGACTTCCTGGATATACATGGTCTATCGGGTGATGAGTGTGCTCTGTGTGATATTGCGCCGGTTCGTCGGTGGTTGTCCGCAAAAAGGCGACCGAAATCCTTGTTTCTGACTTGTCAATTCACAAAGCTATACTCTCATCCCATCAATCACCTTCGCGGCGCTAAGAGTGCATTCGTCCACGAGACTAGAGGTGCGCCCCAAGGGTATGAGGTGTTTGAGATTATCGAATCGTACGAGATGAAACAAATGTTGGATCGACGGGAACCTGTTGGAGAAAGCGCGGACTATCGAATTCGTGGCAGCTGGGACTGAATATGAGGGCAACTCAGAACCTGTCGAGACAAGGAACGATGGTATCGTTGTCGTGTCGTCCGTCCCAGGTCCACGCAAGACAGAGGCGCCGTTCTGAAAATGTTTTTTTTGTTGCGGGGGGGGGGGGGGTTTCCCCGGCTCTCGATCTAGATCTTGCCCGCCAGGAGACAACCCACCATCTTTTGTGCCGTCAACCACACTGTATTGGCAAATGTAGGGAAATCCAACGTGGAGAACATGGTATCTGCCAGCCCAAATGGAAGCATAGGTGGAATCCAACCTTGAGCAAGTTCAAGAGCAAAACACCCGCGATGCATTTTGTACTGCTTGACATTGCCCCTGCGAAGATGGTGCATGCTTCCTTGCGGGTAGCGTTCGAGGGCCAGTGAATGTGCTGGATACGCCCACTGCTCGCCCTCGAGGATGAAAAAGTAGTCGTCTGCTGTATGTCGGCCAGTGTGGCCTTCAGTCCCAAGAGCCGTGCCGAAGATGATCAGATACTCGGTTATGCTTGCATGAATAATGTACATGCTTCCCATTGCACCCCCGGCATTGTTGAAGACCCATTGCGACGGGTAGGCTGAGATGGGTGAAATCTCGGTGCTGTTCTGGGCAGCATGGGGGAACGGATCCTCGCTGATCAAAGCTGATCCATGTTGTTCCCGAAGCTTTGTGACAATATGGTGCACTACTCCCGCCGTTGAAGTAGGATAGCGTTCTAGGCTTTCGTCGACTAGCTTCTGCAGCTCCACAGGGTCAAACATGTACCATTTGGACTGCGGTGTGATGGGAGTTAGCAGACACAACGACGAGATGGATCATCACCTCTGTACCTTGACGGAATCTGCCCAAGTGTACAGGCTTGTGCACAGGGCGACGATGAGCAGCCCAATGGACAATTTCCAAGGAACGGGGGATTTCCCTTGCCCTACGGAACCCATTTCTATCCTTCCTCAGTTGATTGTGAAGGTTGAGTCTGAGGGATATTAACTGTCTAGCCAGAGCGTCGGGATAAGCAAAGGACGATAGGGTGTAGAGGATTAACCCAAATCGCAGCGACACACATATTGATTGGAGGCGTGATCCGGAAAGTCTCGTTCCGTGGAAGGAAGAAACCGACAAGCCGAGTCCGCCAAGCCAAGGCCAAAAATATGAAACAAAGGCTGTAACTATCAAGCTGGCCATTAATTTTGACCTCGCTCTTGGGAGGAGGAAGTTGAGAAAGGGTTCAACTTACTCGGTACAGACCGGAGAGGCGTTGAGCAAGACCACGCCAGCCAGACGGCTTCGATTCAGATTCGCCGAGAGACGAGCGCCCGTTAACGGATTATTTGCGCCGAAGCAAAGACTCCTACCCAGTACACAGTGCCAGCATCATGGAAGAGGTCAAGGAAACGCAAGCGCTATACACGGTACAATCTCTCGATCACAATACCGAGTAAACATTTCCCATTATTTTCCACGGCTATTTGACCAGCTTCAGTGGCCCCACGTGGCCTGCTTGACAGCGCAACGCGGAAGCAGCGGGCTCGCATATGCACAGCCTAGTCCTTCAGACCCGGCCTTTCCAGAGTCCGGCATATCAAGAAATTCCGCTTTTTTTTTTCCCCATGAAACTTCTAGAGATAAGTGACTTCGAGTGGATTGAGTCCCGTTACACCCCAGCTGTCAAATGTGGGTGGCTCCTCGGTGACAAAATAGGCAACCATGGCATCTTCGGCTGACCGTAGCGCGGCGAGGCGTCACATTGAGGAGATAAGAGCGAGTCTGAATGTCGACAATCCAGACCGTCGGACTGATGAACTAGAAAATCTACTCAACATGTACAGTTGCCCTCGACAAATGGCTCGTCGCTGTGAGAGGGGGGTGATACTGAACGCAGCCCAGTGTAGCAACACAGCTCTACCGAGAGTCAACCCATTTTCTCCTCGAAATCCTACAAAACGCTGATGACAACAACTATGAACACCCCACACCGACCCTGAAGCTCACTTGCACAGAAGAGAGCTTTCGCATTGACTCTAATGAAGTGGGCTTCACCGACAAAGATGTCAAGGCAGTCTGTAGCGCTGGAGCAAGCAACAAAGCCGGTTCGTCCGATACGACCGGTGAGAAAGGACTGGGGTTCAAGGCTGTATTCAAAGTGGCAGACACCGTGTGGATTGCTTCACGCGCGTATTCCTTCAAATTCGACAAGAAGAAAAAGCTTGGGATGATTGCACCAGAGTGGGCAGACGAATTTCCCGTCAGCCTGCTTGACGGGTATTCGACCATATACCTCCACCTCTGGCAATGCAACAGGGCCGAAATCGAGAAAGTGATGGAGTTTGACCCGGCCCTTTTGCCCTTTCTGAGGAAAGTAGAGAGGATAGAGCTACACAGAAAGGTCGAGCACGCCAGAACTCTCGCGCGGCGACAAGAAAGAATTAGCGACACGCTTTATGATCTCATCATAGAAGAGGACGATCAAGAGATGCTGCGTTACAAGATCATCGAGTATGAGATTCCTAGCATGCCACTTGAGACCAAGCGACCCGGGCTCTCTGAATGTTCAGTGTCTTTGGGCTTCCCAGTCTCAGGGTTTGAAGTGGCAAAATCACAGCCGGTATATGCCTTTCTACCCATCCGAGAGTACGGATTCACTGTGAGCATTCCAACACGATTGATCTCGAAGGGCTGTTTGAATGCTAACCGCATACAGTTTGCAATCCAAGCAAACTTTGTCCTCATCGCCAATCGCGAGGATATCGACGCGTCGTCCGCCTGGAATATCAAAATCCGTGACTTTGTCTCAGGCGCATTTATAAATGCCGTGAACTATTTCAACACGACATCCTTCCGTTACACCTGGCCAAGATTTCTCCCGGTCGAAACTCGAGATTTCTTCCAACCTGTGGCAGGAGAAATCCAGGAAAAGCTCAAAGAAAAGGAGTCCTTTGAAGGTGAGGATGGTGAGATGCACGAACCGCCGAGTCTTGTATATGTCGGGGAGTATTACAGGCTCGACGACACCCCGCTTGTTCTAACCGACTTCACAAAACCAAGGTACCTGTCGCGCCGTTATAAAGATCTTCGGTCTGAGACACTAGAGCACCTTGGCATCAAAGAATTGGAGTATGGCGACTTTCTGACCGACTTGGAAATATTCATGGAAAAAGAGGAAAAGAAATTCCGGAACCAATCGCCCCAGTGGTTTTCCAGGCTGGCCCATGTCCTGTGGCTTTATGATTACAAGGCTCCGAACCGATTGGCCACCCTCAAGATAATACCGCTAAGTAATGGCGAGTGGACGTCACGCGTTGAAAGCAAAGACAAGCTCTTTTACCTTCCAACGAACGATACAACACTTGTTCCGAAGGGCACAGAGGTGCTTTTCGTTGGCCCAAAAGCTGAGAACGATTCCGAGCGAAGCAGGCTGTTCACATCTCTAGGTGCCAAACCCTTTTCTCTAACTGAAATATCCTCTTTCGTTGTGCGTTTGCACACCATGTCTTCTGTTATGATTCAACAGAGTGACTTGGTGGATCACCTGGTCTTTCTATTTTCGGCTGGATGGAGCAACCTTGATGATGTAGATCTCTGGGTCGCAACAGGGTCTGGGTATCGTCGTGCGTCAGAGGTCTATCTTCGTCCCTTCGCGCCGAATGGTCGGAAGTTTGCCTTCCCAGTTCTACATCAGGATTACTGGCTTGCTACAGCGGGGCGTGAACTCCAATGGACGCACTGGTTGAAAGATCAGCTACGAATCTGCGAGTTCCCGCGTCTAGTCCGGATGATGGGCGACGGATTTGAACTGTCAGAGGATATGAAACGCATCATTGAAGGCCTACCCTCCGGGCAGTTCCTACAGCTCTTAAGGGATCATTGGCAAACGTATTCGGAATGGCTCGGATCAGACGAAGACTTGAATTACACGCAGGACTGGATACTGTCCAAGAAGGCTCTACGCCAGTGTTTAATGTCCACCGAAGTGGATTGTATCAACGGGAGTCGTTATTCTCTCAAGGACACAATTTTTCCCGCGGGAGACCTGAGTGGAGTGGAAGGCAGTGATGCGCTTCCATTGCTGGATATTCCAAACTCTTCAAACCCTTCTTGGTCATTCCTGGAACAGCTTGGCGTTACGATGAAATGTGATGTAAATCACTATCTCCAATGCCTGAGGACGATAAAACAGAAGGGACAGCCAGAGAGGTATTTGCAGCTGTACGGCAAAATCCAGGAGACCATCGACACAGATCTTCCCTCCACCAAGTGAGTGGCTTAGCCAACTCTGGTCCTCAAAACTGTTGCTGGCTGGCTGACTGACTGACTGGCTGACTCGCAGAGAAGCTTTTATGCAAGACAGTCTCATCTATATCCCCCCTCGCAATGGGCGTCCCTATCATTGGGCAGCCGTCAAGGATTGCGTATGGAAGGGTCAGGACTCTTTGAGGAGGATTCACAGTCTTGACTATATTTACCCAGGTTATGCGAGGCTCTTCTCTCAGGTTCTGGACATCAAAAATGCAGGCTTGGACACTTTCGTCGCCGAAGCAAGACGCATTACTTCCGACGACCAGCCTGATTATATATTCCGACTTCTTCAAATGATCAACACGCTCCTGGTGCTTGATGACTCGGCAGAAGCACTAGATTCGGTTCGATCTCTTCGGGGCTGTGCCATCTTCCCTGTGAAGCAGAAGGGATCCGAGAAACTAACCTTTCTATCACTGATGGATGAATGGTTCGTGGCAGATAACCAACGTCTCACCCGCAAACTGAGCGGCAAAATCCCCTTACTTGCGTTGCCAGGACGAGGAATACAGAGGCTAGAGAAACTAGTTCGGACCCTTGAAATCGATCAGCATTTTCTCTCTCGCAATGCGCGGCGAAAGGTCGAAATCACGGGAAACCCTTGGTTCTGTAAAGATCATACAGACACCCTGAGCGCAAAAGCGAGGTTCATTGCTTGGTAAGTTGGCGTCATCTTCAATATCTATTTCCAGCCCCTTTTTGCCACGTCGTTGTGATGTTTGCGGATGTCTTCACAGCATTGCCTGCAAGCCGAATTGAAAAATACGTGATACATCTGACCCAAAATGCACACCGCATCCAATGTAGCCAAAGAGGCTCAACAACAACGAAATCGTCGCCATATCGAACGTCGCTGCGCAGGTAGAGGAGAGAGTACCTCTATTTCCAAGGTAAACGGGATGCTGATTACCAACGAAGGCCACGTCGGTTCTATCAGCGAAGGGCTTTGAGTGTGCCATTTATTTTGCTATTCAGGTCGCTGGTGGAAGACAACATGGAATTGTCGATTGTTGACTCTTTTCAGGCCGACCTTTACTAACAATCCCAATCAGTTTGATCCCAGATCGTCAAAGGTGGTTATGGAAAAGGGTGAGGGAGATGAAGGTCTATGGCGTGGATGAAATAGCAACAGAATTGATTGTGACAGTGTCCGGAAGCGATTTAACCATTGAATCTAGTCAGAGTCGTGCAGTGATAACCGTCAACAAGGATGATTCTCTGCGCGTATACCTAACAAACCGAGATATAGAGGAGCCTTTTTTCAGTCCAGAGCTCTTTGAACAGTTGTCAGAACAGCTGTTAATATTCCTTGGGATACCGGAAGCTGAAAAGATGCGACTGTGGGTCATTCTGGTGTACAGCGACCCAAGGAAAATCAAAGACTACTTGGATGGACACGATGTCCACCTTGTAGATATTCAAGAACTGGAAAGCTATGGTTCGTCAGAGATTCAGAGATATGGCATTGTACTGCTAAGTGCAGATAGATCAGGATACACCGGGAGCATCACTTCCCACACATCGTCTCTTTCCGCGAACACCTGAGCGGTCCAAGGAAGTCACTTCAGCATTCGAGGGTATCGCGGACAGGACGAAGGCAAGTCGAAAGCCCATGACATCCGGGAAGCGCCACAGCACATCTCCGGCCCAAGACCGTTCGAAGTCAACTTCAACATCCAGTCCATCCAAGTCAAGTCCTTATGGAGGAAATGTCTCAACGCCAGCTGAGTTGGCGCAGAAGGAAATCACTGGTCCTCAAAAGGAAACTGCGAAGCTGCAAGGGAGTCTATCGAGAATTGGTAACAAAGACATAGATGATTCTCAAGTCAGGCCAATGCCGGATGACACTGAAAAGGAGTTCTACATTGCCTCCGCAAAGGAGGATTTTTCTGCTGTCCGTCCACTAGTTGAAGCTTCTCCAAAGCTGGACTATTTGTTACCACTAAACGAAATTGCGCAAGGCATCTCGAGCATGAAAAAGCAGGAACGGCGAGAAGAGACTGTCGAATACACCGCTGGACAAGAACTTCGAAGCCACACTGAAACCCTGTTCTGGCCACAGGATCCTGTATCCCTTGCTCCAGCACATCTTCTCGAGCAAGTGTCACCAGAATCAATTGTTCGAGCAGCTTCGGTTGCAGTAAGAGCCAAAGGAAGAAAACAGGGATCAGATAAACTTCTGGTGTTGAATCGGGTTCTGGAGAGAAGCAAGGGGCTTCGATTGACTGGACTGAACGACATCATATATCTACCTACTCCAGAGGAACTTCCCCAGGTCGACTCCGGAACGGGAAATCTTCGCGGCGTACGAAGTCTCCCTGCACGGCTACAGATTACGAAGAATGGAGAACGTGTCCTTTACATTGCGCTTGAACCTGGCAATAGTATTGACCCTGAGCCGATGTTGTTGGGAGAAGTAAAGGTATGGATTCTGCAAGCGCATATTTTTGGTGATCTATACGTACACTGTGTGCTGACTCGGTCATTTTATAGATCTCTCGACTGCTCGAAGACGTTCTGGGTGATGCATATCAGCCAGATCGGCATTGGACGAGCACCATGCGAAGGCAGTTGAACCATACTCCTTTCGAAAATTCTATCGAAGAGACCACAACCTTCACAGTCGATGGTGACACAAGGCCATTGACGGAACTACTTATTCGAAGTTCATACAAGGCCGCTGAAGCGTGGAGGGACCACCGGCCGGTTTATCACATCGAGGTTCAAACCAGTGCTGGAGGCCTTCACTCGAAGTTTACCATGAGCTCGGCCAAGGTTGACCTAGTAGGTTTCCCGGATCCATGTGCATGGGTTGCACCGCTGAAACAGCACTGTTCACACATGTATGCTAATTCAGAGCCACCAAACAGGCCCGAAAACACAAAATATCAAAATTACCTCCAGATGATGTCTTTGTTCTAATCAGAATTCACGACATTAATGTGATTCCCGGCATTTCATTTTTCGTCGACCCATGGAGACTGTACAGCGCTGGTCGCATTGATTTTCATGTGACAAGTTCATACACGGCCAACATCGAGAGAGCCCGGCCCCATATATTGTTTACAGGACAAGCAGGAGGGGCGGATAGGGACATTCTATTGACTCTTCAGGCAAGTGGCTATACTCAACCCACAGAAAATCCCTTGTACAGGTGGAAGCCCCTCAAGCATGAAAGGTTTATACGGCTCCTTCGGCTCTCCGCAGGACATGGAAATCAGGAACTCAGCGGAACGCTTCAACACGTATCATTGGACGACAGTCCGAAATACTTGGCCATATCGTACGCATGGGGCAGCAAGCTGCAACAGTTCACGTTGAAAACTAAGGAAGGGGGTATCCCGTTGACCTTATCTTTGTACCTTGGTCTTCGGCAGATCCGAAGAACCGACCGATCGATTGATATCTGGGCAGATGCGATAAGCATCAATCAGAACGATAACGATGAGAAAGAACGTCAGGTGCGTCTGATGCAGGATATCTTCAGATCGGCGGTTCATGTGTATGCATGGTTGGGACAGGGAGATTCCGAGAGCAGTCTAGCCATGGAAGCCTTACGCAAGATCTCCGCGAGCTTTGACGCAGAGGAGGAGGGCTCTCAGTCACTGGGGTCAGATGAGATTCCGCCGGTGGAAGACTCGTCGTGGGTGGCAATCAGCAAACTCTTTAGAAGAAAATGGTTTCGCCGGGTGTGGATTGTTCAAGAGGTCATTCTTGCCTCCCAATTGACTCTGGTCTGCGGCGACGACCGGATTCCGTGGAGGCAGTTCTATGAGGCCGCCAAATACTGTGATGACCAAGCTTCCGACTCGCAACTTTCGGTCGTCTTTCCCAAAAATGGCCATCAAACCGCCATCGTAAGTCTGGGAGAATTCAAGACCTCGTACGAGGAGGGAGGCCCCGAGGCCCGACAAGACTTGCACACCCTTCTCCGGGTGTTCAAGCTGACTGAATCGACTAGTAGACGCGATAAGCTCTTCGCGCTGCTGAGTCTGGCCAAAGATGGAACCACCAAGGGCTTCAGTCCGGACTACAAGTCTCGTTTCAAAGATGTCGTCTTGCAGTACGCCAAAGTATTCGTGGAGGAGCAAGGTCGGGGCATAGACCTTTTGTACCAAGCGAGGCTTTCAGCCACTCCTGGAAAATCCAGTCTCCCGTCGTGGATCCCGAGCTGGGCGTCGCCAACAGCATATCCAGAGACGATGTCAAACTGGACCGGCGCCGGTCACTTTCGCGCGGGGACAGACAAGACTGCTGAAATGCAGATATCCGAAGACATCTTATCTGTTCGAGGTCAAGTTGTCGACTCGGTCGCCAAGATTGGAAAGTGGACGAGCACGACCGATATGAGACGTTACCTTGGCGAAATATTTGCTTTCATCGATGATCTGCGCGTCGACACGGCCGAAGAGCGTCAAAATCTCAAGTGGAAAGTGCCGATTGGAGCCGCGACCAAGCCCACCAAGGGCGACTGGGGCGACGACGCCGGGCGCGCATCCTTTCGAGCCATGGCCGACTATCTGGAGTTTGAAGAAGGCCAAGACGACAGCTGGAAACGGGAGCAGCGCAAGATCCGCGTCAACGCCACCAACCCGCTCCCGTTGCGCCAGCTCGAGATCCTGCTGCAACAGCTGTGGCCGTATTTGAATACCGCCATGGATTTTGCCGAGATCCTCTCGCCCGCCGTGGCCTGCACCACTCGGGGGCAGCGAGTGGGCATTGTTCCCCGGACCGCTCACGAGGAAGACGTCGTTGCCGTCTTCCACGGCTGTGCGGTGCCCTTTCTGCTTCGCAAGCGCGACGACGGCCACAATCGCCACTACCAGGTGGTTGGCGAGTGCTACGTCCATGGCATCATGCACGGCGAAGCACTCTCTGCGCATTCGCCAGAGGAGCATGTCATGTTGGTCTAAGCGATATTGTTAAGGCAGCTCTCAAATCGCGAGCCATGACTGACGGACGCTACCGAGGAATGCTACTTCCCTAGCCATAGGACATGAGCCATCGAAAAGCCGAGGGCATAGCGATACCACTGTCCGAGCGAAGGGGTACCGACAACTGTGCAAATAGAGAGGCGGTGACGGAGGTGACAGGGATACGTATTCGACGTGCAGTTAACGAGTGTTCCTTGTTTCCATACCTGCATTGTTCGGCCTAGTATGTGTACGCGAGGATAGTGCCATAGTGCCCTTATACTTCCTTCGATAGTAGGGAGCCTTGCTCCCTTGAATACCCAAAGTCAGCTTTCAGATAGTTTGTGTCTCGCTCTCCCCACGTATGCAGCGGTTCAGGACAAGAATGCCTCACTCAATGCCTCGTATCTGGAGCCTTGACCCCCGGAAATCCGGCGGCGACGTACTTTTCCAAACCTACCACCATGGTCGGGACAGTACATCAGTACATGTCGGTCTCAGCACGAGTCTTCACTCACTCGAGTTCCGCCATCCTCTCTTCTTGCGGACCGAGAAATCTCGAAGAAAACCCGGCCGCTGGAAAGGGAAGCAAGCTTTGAGTTTAATTAGGGCTTCTCTCGAACCATTTGCCAATGTTTTATCCAACCTGTTCCGCGCCACTGTAGACGTCGCATTGAATGCAATGGCAATCAATCTGCGGCGAGAACAGAATAATCCCTGTATATCCACAGTGTCGCAGGACTTTTCTTGACATTTGACATGTCGCCGTGCTGTTCTTCTCGACGGAAGGGTGAGACAAATAGGGTATGCATGCAATGCACTTTCTACCCGCAGAACCGTTGGCGGCTTTGGAGCAAACCGTGTATGCCAGGTATATCTTGTTTTCGTGGTTAGAGAACTCCACTTCGTCCAATTTGATCCTCTGTTGAGGGCGCTGGAGAATAATTGACTTCTCCCGGAGGGTTTCAACGGTCTGTGGTGTCACGCACGACCGAAGCTCTTCCTGAATCACAAATCGGCTGATCGTAGCTGCCATGCAACTTGTCCAGGCCCTTTCATTCCGCAATACGGTGTGGAGCATTTGCAATGCTTGTCGGCGAATGTGCGAGTCGCGGCACTTGGTTGCTACCAAGAACAGAGGTGGAATCAAGCCCAAAGTTGGTGTAAAGGTAGTTTGTCCCATTATCATTGGTGGCGTGCACCTCAAGGATGTCATGAGCTGCGCCGTTTGTTCGACGATGAAGCAGAAGTCGCGATGGAAAAGGTCATATATCCATTCATCGTTTCGTCCCAGCGTGTAGAACATGATGCGGGCAACCCGGTGGTGGACCTGGAGAAGTCTATATTCCACCGGAAGGTCGCTCCTACAATGAAGATGTTGCAATTTGTGGCCGACTGTGTCCATTGTGGACGAGATCTTATCCATCTCGGCCACGGTGGCGACGATGTAAGGGCAGGTTGAGCGGAAAACCGCTTTTAGGAGTGACGCAACGCCATAAAGGGCATCCATATAAGTTGTGATAGAATTGACTCTGTCTAGCCCGTTGGCAAGCTGATAGTTTGACATCAGCCCAGAAGCCAGGGTTGGAAAATTGTCCGAAGAACTACATGCATCGACGAGTAATTCATCAACCATCGGTTCGAACAGTTGCTGGAACCCGTCCTTGGTTGTGTTTGAAACTGGCACGGTGGCTATACTTTTCTCTTTCAGAAGACGGTATGCTGACATGATTTGAAGTACAGGAGACGTCTCCTTCTCCATCCACTTGTCGAGTTCGGCGAAGACGAGACAGCATGCGATAGATATCTCTGGCGATAGAGATCCGGGGGCCGCCCACCTCAATTGATGCATTGCTGATGCTGAGTGCTTGGCAGCAGCTTGTGGTATACAAAGCAGCTCGCGCCTTTGAGAAGATGATTTTACATGTAAAGGCCGTAAGAGCGCGCCGAGGGCGATCAGGCAATGTCTGATAACGGCATTACTCTCGGCGAGCTGCGGGACGAGCCTGGCCCAGAAAGGCTGAGAAGTTGCTTGGGACAGTGCCACGACTTTCGACCCAGTTGTGAGGAAATACTCGTAGTTGGCCCTGTCCTCGTCGTATTGGAAGCTGTGCTTGGGCCTGAACTCAAAAATGCGGGCTTTTCGCGGTTGATATCCAGGACAGACGACTCCCGATTTCTGGCATCTTACACAGGCTGGCTTTTCTGACCCACACTTGACGCGCCTCTGTTTGCACTTTATGCAGCCGTTGAAGTCTTTGTGATGCCAGCGCTTCTTTCTACCAGGTCGGGATACTGCTGGCATTGTTCTGGAGCAATGCTTCCAGCGCACGGCGTGTGACCAAGTTGGAATTTCTTCGGCTTTGCGTGGAACCCGAATGGATGAACAAAGCTCAGCACGTTGAGAGCTCTCAATAGCTGTCTATCAATCCATATAAAGGGCATCATACTTTCGTCAGTCCAGGTTTGGAGGTAAATAGTGGCGACTGGTGGCACGCCTGACGAGGCTGAACCCTGTTACGTCACACGCAAGGCTGTGAGACTTGGACGGTGGATTTGTGCCTCAAAAGTGACAAACATGTGATTGTGTGCACGATTCATGCACTGACCACGACAGCGCCGCGCACGTTTGTTTCTGTCTGGCGCTGGCTTCCAGATGATTTCTGAACCTAGTCAATGACCAAAATGAGTGGCGCGACGAGAGATTTCAAGCTGGGTGCTGTCCTGCAAGGCCATAAAAGTGATGTACGCATCTCGAGCCGTTTCACCACCACGTACATTAACATGATAGCATAGGTTCGGGCCGTCCTACTCCCTGATCCCTCTTTTGCAGTAACAGCATCTCGCGATGGCTCAACGAGAGTCTGGAAGCGAACATCCACTTCCCCACCGACCTACGACGATACCGAATCATCCCACGGCGCACAGTTCAAGACCTGTCTTGCTTATATCCCTCCTTCGAAAGAGTACGAGGACGGTCTGATTCTTTCGTCAGGCCAAGATGCGCTCATTGAAGCTCGGCAGCCATCGTCAACAGCCGACATGAACGCAGATGCTTTTATGGTAGGACACAGCAATCAGGTGTGCTCGATAGATGTGTGCGCGATAGCGAATTACTTTGTGAGTGGCAGTTGGGATGCTACTGCAAAAGTCTGGGAGATTGGCAGATGGGAAGTCGCTTATGACCTGACGGGTCACACAGCCACGGTTTGGGCGGTGCTCGCTTTTAGCAGAGACACAATCGTCACCGGCTGTGCTGACCGTGCAATCCGAGTCTTCGACGTACGGGGCAAGATGGTAAATTCTTGGGATGGTCAGGACATTGTTCGCGCTCTGGCAAAGCTGCCCAAAGGTCACTACACTGGTGCTGAAATTGCTGCCGCGACAAATGATGGCATCATCCGTCTCTGGACCTTGAAGGGCGAGCTCATTGCCTCTTTGATTGGCCATGACTCTTTTATATACTCCCTGGCCGTCCTTCCTTCAGGCCAAATTGCCAGCGCTGGAGAAGATCGATCCGTCCGCATCTGGGAGGGGCAGAACTGCATTCAGGTTATTACGTTACCTGCAATTTCCATCTGGACTGTGTCTTCCTGTTCAAATGGCGATATCATCGTCGGTTCAAGCGACCACGTGGCACGCATATTCACCCGCAGCCAGGAGAGGGTGGCCAATGCGGAGACTCTTGCTGCTTTCGAGGAGTCTCTTCAAGCATCTAGCATTCCCCAACAGACAGTCGGGCAAATCAACATGACAGATCTCCCTGGTCCTGATTTCCTCCAACGAAAATCTGGCACCAAAGAAGGTCAGAATCAGATCATCAAAGAAGATGATGGCAGTGCCTGTCTGTATCAATGGTCCATGTCCCAGCAGCAGTGGCTCAAAATCGGTCAGGTTGTGGATTCTGCTGCCTCGAGTGGGAAGACGGCATACAATGGTAAAGAATACGACTATGTGTTTGACATTGACATTGAGGATGGGAAACCTTCACTGAAGCTGCCATACAATGTCACCCAGAACCCTTACGAGGCAGCCACGAAGTTCCTTCAAGACCATGAACTTCCCTTGTCCTACCTCGAAGAGACGGCAAACTTTATCATCAAAAACACCCAGGGTGCTACCCTTGGACAATCAGCGCCCGCAGGAGCTGATCCCTGGGGTACGGAGAAACGATACAGACCTGGCGATGCCCCGTCCTCCTCATATCAGCCGCCACCAGCTGCGCCTGTCAAGCGAACCCTGCCTCAAAAGGAGTACCTTCCTGTCGTTATTGGGAAGCCCTCTGCGGCTATGGCGCAAATCAACAAGAAAAACACCGAATATGCGGGCCACGAAATGAGTCTTCAACCCGAAGAAGTCCAAGCACTAACAGATGTCGCTCAACAGCTAGCGAAATACAACTTCTCAAGCCCTCCATCACTACCTGGCTCTCCCTCCCTCAGATCCTCCATTCCCGCCCTAATGAAGATAGCCACGCAATGGCAACCGCCTGCAAACCGCCTTGCGGGTCTAGATCTTCTCCGCTTCATTGCCGCCGCAGCGAAGGACTTTCCGGCCGAAGAGGTTGATGGTGTCGATGCGGTTGCGGGGATTCTTGGAAGTGGCATCTTCGATGACTCCTTCGTCCGCGCGAACAACAAACTAGCCATGGTTGCCATGCGGTTCTTTTGCAATCTTCTGTATGGTTCACCTGGCGGAAGGGAAATTGTGAAGGAAAACGTTGACAACATCATTGAGAGCCTCAAACCACTTACTCAATTCGCCTCTTCCGATGTTTCAGTGGCCATAGCGCTCACGACTCTATATCTTAATATTGCTGTTCTAACCACCTCTTCCACTGCTCCCAGCGACGCCGACAAGAACGCAAATTACGCCCTCGACCTGTTAGGAGAGCTTTCCAAACTCCTTCTTTCTTTCCCTGCAGTGAATCACTCTTCGTCCTCCAGTAATCCTGCTTCGCAATCCACGGAACCGGCATATCGCTCTCTCGTGGCATTAGGGACCATTCTAGTCGGATTTTCGCGCGCGGAGTTGAAGTCTGCTGCGAAGGAGGTCTTTGATGTTCCTGTGGTGTTGAGGAAGCTGAAGGAGGGGAGGTATCTAGAAGAGCCCAGATTCAAGGCAGTCGTCGGAGAGATTGAGAGCGCCTTGAGATAGATGTGCGGCGATCCGATAGAGGCGCATACTGGAATGATGGTATAGCATGGTGCTTGGGCCAAAAAAGGTGCAATCCAAGAGCGAAGAGTAGATGGAGCCTCTTGGAGCCAACGACAGTCACGATGTGATAAAATCAGATCATACATGAATCGAACGTCCTATCTCCTGCGCTGATGTCTTGATGCTGACCATCGCCACATCCGTACGCAGGTCCCTTCAAGGCTCAAAAGGCGCTCAACGCCCATGTAACATCTCGAAAATGTGTTCTCCGCCGGGTCCTGACTTAGCTCTGTCTCGCAGGCCATTGCGGTCTCGGGAAGTGCCACGTACACATACAACAGACTTGAACAGACATACTGTAATGCAATACGAAACCTGGGCGACCAGCCTTGATAACTCTTCTGGGTAACCTACCTCGGCATCCAGATTTCGCTACTGGTGAATCCTCAAAGGGAATGCAAAGTAGATAGAAGATAGTATGTAGCTCAGGTTGAGCAAGGGTCCCGGCAAGCTGGACGCAGAGGAACGATGCAGACGCCGTGCCAGGAACATCGCTGGCGGGGTTTGTTCTTCCCCAATGTCCTGGCTTTGTCCCATCCAGCCGCTTACCGTTCCCAGCAGGTCCCGACAGGGTGTTGCTTGATCTCCGGTTTCAGGGCGAGACAGTATTCGAGACGAGGGGAAGTGTCTTCTCGTGTCGAGGCCTCATTCTTTGTTCGACTGAGTCTGCCAAGATCGTCGAAACGAGTCTTGTGTCTTGGTCGATCTGATATGATAAGGCTGGACCCGGTTGGTCTCGTATTTGATCTTATTATTATCCCTCGTTGAGAATATTTCCCACCACTTCATCACCTGACGACGCTGTCTTATTGTGCAACCCATGACACCGAAAATAAATCAAACCACCCCTTACGAGCGACAATATTAGGGTGGGCGTTGACGCAGAAAACCGTGAGAGCCCCAAACACTCAGAGTCAGAATCTTTGGTTTCATCCCAGCAGTTCTTGAGAGGACCCAAATCGGGATGGAGATGTGGAGAACAATCACGCACGCCTCGCTGAGCAGGCGGCGAACCGACCTCTCAGAGAGGTCATTCACGCGCACCGACTCGGTCGTCGAGCGCGAGGACAAAGCCCTCGCCGAACTCCGAGAACTCTGCCGCAAGAACAACGTGTCGTGGCCGAAAAGCGAACTGGTGGCTGGGGATAGCGGCCCAGACGACGACAACGACGATTCCAATCTCTTGTAAGTTGGACAAAATCTCCCCGTATCGTGTGAGTTTGGCGATACGGCGTATGGGATCGACACTTGGATCTCTAACAGAATGGACGCAAGGCGATATCTGCGAGCGCGGAAATATGATGTTCCCGCTGCATTCAAACAATATGCGGCTTCGGCAAAGTGGCGGCGCGAGATCCAGTTGGAGAAGACTTACGACGATGTCGATATTGCTCAATTCGAGACCATCAGGAGACTGGTAAGTTTAGTGATGACAGCCCACCAGGCTTTCCATTTTTTTGCCTACCTGACTCGGCGGCTTCCCAACCGAGTCAATGCTAACTAGTGACTATTCTAGCAACCCCAATGGACAGGCCGACGAGATGGCACGGGCGTGCCCATCATGGTCTACGTCGTGTCCCAGGTGAAGCCCGAGGACATCCTCGCACTGCACAAGATGGATCCGGCATTATCGAGCGTCTTCCTCGCTGCCGAGTATGTCACTCAATTTGTGCAGCCATTGTGCGGGAAGCTCCACCACCGGCGCACTACCAGATCCATGTAAGCTGTTGTCTGGCATTGTCCGAGATCCATGAAGGGGTGCTCGTCCAACCCGTCTATTGACGTGCAGCTACTGACAGTCTTGGGCCTGGACAGCAATATCATCGACCTATCGCACGTCGGCATACCGACGTTTTGGCGACTGCGGAGGCTGCTCAACGCCGCGAGTACCATGGCGACAGCACACTATCCTGAGACGGTGAAGAAAATATATGTGAGTAAGCCCCGCTCCTATCCCAGAAGCGGGACCCATAATATGTTTCCCGAAGGGGGTCCAAGTCTTGTGCCATTTTTGCTTAACACGTCGTCCTTACCGTGGTGACAGGTGGTCGGGGCGCCCGCGTTCTTCCCGCAGATATGGAAATTCATCACAATGTGGTTCGAGAAGGAGACGACGAGAAAAATCGCCGTGCTCGGCCACCATGAGAGCGCCGAGATCCTGTGCCGCGAACTGGGCGCCGACAACCTGCCCAAACGCTTCGGCGGCGATCTCGACTGGGAGTTTGGAGGGTTTCCGAACCTCAGTCCAGACGCCGAGACCTTCAGCAGCAGGTTGTTCGAAAAGTGGGTAGAAGGGCCCTTGCGGCTCTTAGACGGTCCCGAGGGCAAGTCGAGGATCGTCGCTGTGGGGTCTCAAGGTGGCGAGTTGAGGAGAGAGGAGTTATAAAACCCAAGGGGATTCAGGGTGCCGACAAGAACACGCAGTGGGCGTTATTTCCTTTATACGAGCGCGGTGTCGAATTCAACATTTTGGCCAGGTCAGGCCTCGACTGAGGGAGTTGCATGCAAGCCGCTCACAGGATACTTATCGTATCCCCCCCCCCACACAGTGAATGGCAAGGAACAGCACAGACGGGAACCGGGCGATCGCGTAGGAATGAAGTGAAAGCGACTTCAATAATATTAATGTTAATGGAAAGAGCCTCCGAGACCATGTGCTCATGACCATGTGTTCGTGCTTTGATTTCAGCAGTTGTCGAGCAAGCGATGATTCCCAACGACCATGAGGCCTCTACCAACATTGAAAGCTTTGCGAGCCAATCAAAGAGAAGACGTGGTCCCACCAGGGGGGCAGAAGGCTCGTAAAGGGAGAACTCGTGCCATACTGTAATCGGTATGTATTTCGAATAGGGTAGCAGTTTGGACTAGAAATCCAAGTGTTGCTTGTATATCGGATCGAGGTGGCGATCGTTTGGTCTCTGGTACACTTTCTCCCGTCCGCGGAGCGGAGCTCCCTCTTTCACAAGGCAAAAAATTGTGACAGGGTTGATATACTGTACAGAGCGGTTCTTTCACCGTGAGGTCCGTCTGCCACCGTTGAACCCGAATAGATGTCGTATCCCTCTCACGCGGCTACATCCTTTCGAGCTCTGATGCTCACTCAATCATAACGCCAATAGTTATGCTCCTGCCTGTGGTACGCAAATCGGACGCCTGTGCCCTATCCTTATGCCGAATCATTGTACAACAACAACACCGTTAAGCTGTTCACCCTTGATACGGTGCTGTCAAGTTTCTTGCTTCCCGGGTTTGGTATCTGACGGTGATTGTGCTTCTGGTTTGTACGGTTGTGTGGGAAATCTCTTGACCTTGGAGGGTTTCTCTTCGAGCATGCCAATCTGTGTGCGTAAAGGACGAGATATTAGTCTAGGATCTTTGCCAGTCGGGAAACATTTTGCGCATATAGAAACGAAACAATGTGCGGTATGGGTAGAGCGTCTGTTCCAAGCTCCTTCCCCCAACACACTCTTGCTTCTGTTGTTCTTTCTCTCCTTCAAGCTAGCTCAAATCGTCCTATTCCATCCACAATGGCCGTGCTTCCCAAGCAAAATCGACGAGGACGGAACATGACTCACCAATCTCAGCAACTTGCCCACAGGCTCTGTCGGCTGCGCCCCAAGCCCAAGCCAATACCTCGTCCTCACCGTATCTAATTGTATATCCTTCATTTTCTTCGGGACGTATTTCTCTCCACTCTCCAGAAGCTCTGGTGTATCCGGAATTGCCAGCGGTGCTTGCGGAATCGGGTTGTACGTCCCCAGTACCTCCATGGGTTTTTTGTCGCGCCCAGATTTTGCCTGCGCGAGGACGATGTTGTAAATTGGTTTTCGTTTCGTGCCGAACCGGGCTAGACGGATTCGGAGGACCATAGTTGCCGGTTTGGGTTTTCTGATACTCTGATGGGATGAAAATAGAGTATACAGGAGGATATGGAGAGGATGTTACAGCTGCGGCGCGCGGACGCTGTGGTGGATGTGCGCTGGTGGGGACTTGGGAGGTTCAGCTTCATCGAAGAAATTCAATCGGAGAACTGCTTGGGAGAATGGGCAGCCAAGCGCAGCTGGACGCAGTTCAGCCTCGTAGCCTCGTGCGGAGTCTGCACGAACTTTTGATTGGCGGAATAAGACTGTGACGCCGAACTATGACGATATGCTCGATGTTGTATGATTCTCACCCCATTGAACAACCCACTTCGTCCAAATGTTATTTATCAGAAATGTTATTCTTGCAGGTCTCGTCTTCTGATACATACGTCCTATGCTCCGAGCCTGGTTTCCCAGAAGGGTACTTCGACCGATTTTTACTGCAAAGAGATTCTCCAAGATGGCGCTCAAAGTACGTTTCAATTCACCAGCGTCATATCGCTTTTTACTACTGGAAAATTCAATATGCTGCTGTAAGTTGCTGGACTGGAGATCACTGACCGACGGCTATGTATAGACTCTAGCGCCACAAAAAGCGGCAGATCTGGACAAGGAGCTCATGAGCGAGGAAGGAGGGTTCAGCATTGATCAATTGATGGAACTGGCTGGGTTGAGCGTCTCACAGGCAGGTAAGCAACAAGAGCAGACAACCTGCTGTTGGAATCTACAAGGCTATCGGAGGACGCGAAACTGAGATTCGTGTTGGTCTTTGGTTGTCAAAGTGTACAAAGTCCACCCACCCTCCAAAGGAAAGAATATCCTCATTGCCTGTGGACCTGGGAACAACGGTACGTCTTTGCTCTCTCGACCTTCTCTATTCCCTATTCTGTGTCCTGGAAAATCCCCAGTAGTAATTTGTTCCTGAACGTGTCTTGCAGGAGGGGACGGTCTCGTCTGCGCCCGCCACTTGCACCACTACGGCTACAACCCAGAAATCTACTACCCGAAGCCGACCAACGCACCCATCTTCACGGGCCTCCAAAGGCAACTCCGCCACTTGCACATCCCGTTCCTGACCACGATTGAGGAGTATCAGTCCTCGCTGGGAAAGGCCGATCTGATCATCGATTCCCTGTTCGGGTTCTCGTTCAAACCCCCCGTTCGCGCACCCTTCGACACTGTGCTCAAGGCCATGATCGAGTCCAAGAAACCCGTCTTGAGCGTCGACATACCTTCGTCGTGGGACGTGGCCGCCGGCCCGCCGGAAGAAGGCCAGCTCGGACACGACTTCATGCCCGACTACCTGATCAGTCTCACGGCCGCGAAACCATGCGTCAAGTTCTTCAAGGGCAAGAAGCATTTCATGGGCGGCCGCTTCTTGAGCAAGGATGTCGCTGCCAAATACGGCCTCGATGTCCCGAACTACCAAGGTATCGATCAGGTCGCCGAAGTGGACGTGGGTACGCCGGTGGAGAAGCTGTAATTTTGAGTCGAGTAGGAAGTTGGCCCCAAATGGAATGGTCAAGGCCAAGCTATCTAGGAAGAACAAGTGGAGAGAACGGCGCTGAAAGCGCAGGCGTTTACAAAATGTGAGCTACGACGAGATAGTAGACCCGAGAAACGGAAGGGTTGCACCAGGACTGCGACGAGCATTGGCCACAAGAAAAGAAATCAATGAAACAGAAGACAAGTTAATAGCTTCGGAAACGCGAAGTAAGTGAAAGGGGGTTTTTTTAGAGGAAGAAAAGGGCAAGATACCCAATGGTATTGAAACAACACAAGAAATGTAACTATCTACAAGAAAAAGGCGAGGAGACAAGGGACCCGTATCGCTCATTCTAACGCCGTGATTACAGGCCTGCGCCGCCGTCATGGGCCCTAAGGATATCCCAGGGAAATAAAAGGAACAAGCCTTGTGCAATGCGAGGCAGGCCGTTTGTATGTAAGTCGTGACTCGATCCAATTCGTCTCTCATAAAGGCGCTTTTCGCTCAGGAGCACAGCGCTTCATCCATTCCTTCCGCCACGTCTCTGAAGTCTTCGCCCCAAATGGCGCGAATCCACCACGCGTGCTGCCACAACAATGTCTCCTCTTCACGCTGGCTATCGTATTTCGACACATAATACAGCTCTTAACCCTCCTTCCGATGCAGCATGCAATCATTGTCGCTAGGTTCTTCTTCATCCTCGGGAGGTGTGGACCTGCATAACCTCCGTGTCCTTCTGTTGTCCGATCGGACTCTAGTATCAACGAGCATTGTACCACTCCATCTCCCTTGTCGCTGGTATGGCTCTCTTTACTCTCGTCTTTCACAGGTGAAGCAACAGCATCCTCAGGCTGTCGCACCTCCCTGCCTGTTACCGCTGATTACTCATGGAAGAGCCTCCTTGATCTTGGCCTTCTGGGCAGCAGTTAACGATCTGGGGAAGTTGACCTTGACCCTGACAATGAAGTCGCCTCTTTCGCCAGGCTTCTTGCTGATGGGCATGCCCAGATTCGGAAATCTTTCTTCGTGCCCAGGTTGAGTTGGGCCTGCGCCTGAGACGTTCAATTGCTTCCCATCGATGGTGGTGACAGTCCGCTTCCAGCCTGTGAGCGCCTCTTTTAGGTCTAACTCGATCGTCGTTATTAGATTGTCGCCGTCACGAGTAAGTGTAGAGTGGGGCTTTTCGGTGACAATGAAATGCATGTCCTGGGTACCGCCCTCCTCCTGATCCCCGACTCCGGAGAATTTGATCTTTGAACCGGCTTTCAAACCTGGCTTAATGTCCATCTCCAAAATCTTATCCTCAGTTACCCGCTGCCCCTGAGGGTTGAATGTCTTTCTCTTGATCTTCATCTTCTTGTGCGCTCCCTTGTACAACTCCTCCAAGGTGATTGGCAAGGGCCGCTCAATGACGGTGACCTCAGGAGTCTGTGGTCTGGCATGCCGGGCAAAGTTGCCTGTGCCCCGTCTACTTCCGGCCCCTCTAGCACCGCCGCCTAGGCCACTAAACAAATTGAAGATGTCGTCGGCGTCGTCACCACCACCACCAGCGCCGCCGCCGCCGCCTGCACCGCCAGCACCACTTCGGGCAAACTGGGCGAAAATGTCATTGGGATCCGAGAAGCTGAAGCCTCCAGGACCACCACTGGTGGAGAAGTGGAATGTTCGTGCACCACCACCGGGACCCCCAGGCATTCCCCCGAAGCTGAAACCACCTGGCATACCACTGAAGCCACCGCCAGGCATGCCCTCCGGCATTTCAGCGCCCGGTGGAGGAGCCTGGCCGCCTCTCAGAAGGAACTCCAAACCATATTGATCGTAGACCTTTCTCTTCTCAGGGTCCGAGAGAATCTCGTAGGCTTGAGAGACCTCTTTGAACTTCTCGGCGGCATTTGGGTTGTCTTTGTTCTTGTCGGGGTGCCATTTTAGGGCCGCTTTTCGATAAGCCTTCTTGATTTCATCTTGAGTCGCGGAAGGAGAGATGGAGAGGGCGTCGTAGAGTTTTGTTTCTGCTACCATGGTGATGTGAGGGGTGTGATTGGTCGAATATTAGTGCGTGCGAAGTTGAATGTGGTTTTCTGATCTGGAAGAAAAGTAGTAGGACAGGTGAGAGGGAAGAAATTAAATGAAAGGGAGGGAATGACGAGGCTGGAAGGGCAAACAATGTCCGGCTTGCGGGATTTTGGGTTTTGCCTGTGGAGTAAATGGAATGATCGAGCAGAACCCAATAGAAATGGAGGGCAAGACTGTTTGTTTTCAGCACGGGTAAACGGCGCATGTGCTCAAGAAGGAGACTTGGACATTGGGATTCATGGGCTGATCTCAGAGTAATCCTTCGGTGGTCTGAAAAAAGGACTGCGGAAGAGAAAAGAAAGGCCTGACAACGAGACAGCTGGACACGGTGCTGCTGGACGAATGACGCATGGGGCGGTGCGTGGATCCAGTCGCAGAAGGTACGAGAAGCTTCTATGGCGAGGCTGCAAACTGCGAGGCTGAAGCAGCCAAGCCAAACAGGTCTCTCCGCACGAGGCTTGTGGGACACTCAGGAGAGCCCCTGAAAGGGGCTGAAGGGGTCCTAACACCTAACCCTTTGGGGGGGGGGGAGGGGGGCCAGCCTTACCCAGCGGCTACCTACGAGTGCTCAGGTACCTACCTCGATATAGGCAGGGTTGAGTGGGGGGGCTTGCAGCCTTGTCTGTGTAATCCACGACTAAGCAGAAAAAATCCTTCCCCCAGACTGTTCATAAACGCGACCGACATTCCTTGAATACTTTGTCACTACTTGTCCTGAATCCTTCATCCTCAAATCCTAAGGGCGTCCTGGGAAGGCGATCCTCATTGTCTACAAGTTCTGGCCCTGTCACCTCTGTCTGACAAGGACATAGGCCCTGGTCTTCAGCAACTTAAGTTAATAACAGCAGACGATCAATCCCGGAAATTGCAATAAACCCCGTTTATTCCTTCTCCCTCAATGAACTCCGTGCTCTCTAGCTCTGTCACGCCTAAATCTTCGTCTTTGAGCGCGGTAACAATGTCATGTCACAATCGTTCCAGAACGTGGCGACAGAAATATCCTTCGCGCGCCCGACGCGTGCCTTCCTTCCTGGTTGTCTCTACCTCCACAATCGACCTATCAGCCCAAGTGTCAGCGACTTTGCTCGCTGATACCGACAGTCACGCTGCTATCACTTCCTCGCGTTCGCGAGCACCACTCACAAGACTGCTCACTGCGCAACTATACTCAGAAGAATGATGCTATGCTGTTACAAGCTTGCTACTGCCTTCAAGGGGTGGCCCCAAAACTTACCTCGATCGGGGGTTCCTTGACCTCCATTACCCAACACCCGACGTTGTTGGTATGTTGTTACAAGGCATTAAGTCCGTTCCACAAGAGGAGATGTGCCAGGGATTGGACTTTTCTCTCATCATCAAAGCTAAGTGATCACCGAAACCATCTCCGCAGAGCTGTACGCGAACCTCTCTTATGTGCGTGTTTGACGGCGTTCAGCTCATGCAAAGGTTCGCGAATCACCGCATACCTGGGCGCCGCGGCCATCAAGGCCCTACCCATGGCTTCGGGCACCAGAACCTCCCCGACGGGCTTTACGGATGCACAGAGGTGGAAAAGAGGGGACCAGGCTAGCCTGAATACGGGCAGTGCTTCTCGCCAATGGAGATAGCACACCTTCTTTGGAGCTGCCGCATCGAGTCTCATGCATCCCACCACCTTAGGCCGACGCAAATGGCACCCAGAAGTCGTTCAATGCAGTCAAACAAGACGCAAGAAGTGGATCTTAACGGTGCTGGTAGCTCTTCCAGATGCCACCCTCAAAGTTGTCCAACACGTTTTGGGCGATACGTGGGAAGATGCCACAGATCACCATTTTGGAACATTCTTCACTCTGGGTTTCTTACACACCAATCACTTACCTTCCCAAAACAGCTGACCTTTTCTTGATGCAGGAAGTTTACTGCTAAAGGTATGCACCTCGGCACTCATTGCTCCTGGCCGCGAGCCCATCCCGCTTGTCACTGTCATCCTGCTGCCTGTCTCCGACCATCAACACTACTGGCTAAAATCCATATCGGCGCTTTGCCCGATCTCGATATAAGGCCATCCGGCTGGTCTATTAAGATTCTCATCGGATGCCCCATTCTCTTGTCTCGTGTCATGATCTTAGCGAGACGCGGAGGTTGTTGTCTTTGTGGTTACATACTTTTGTTTAGCTTTATGGATGAGCCCCAAACTGCCTTGATTTCGAATCGCCCATTCCATCCACGTGTCGGCGGAGACGATATTGTTCGTGGGTCGCAGACCATTTCTTCTCTTTCTCAGCATGCTTACTCACTCATCATCCACGGTTAATCGGTGACAGCGGGACTGGATGGCACCAAAGAAGAAGCCAACTGCGGTCCGCTTTGTTGACTCTCACCCTTTCCCATCCAGCAAGCGAGAACAGGAGCTAATCCGGGCCGAGGCCCGGTCTCATGCTGCAACTGTGTCGCACCCAAAATACAGAAAGCAGTCCACTCAGGAACCAGGCGAAGAAACCAGTGCTGCTATTCTCGCGACTCGTTCGGAGCGATCTTCAAGTGAAGAGACCACGCCCTCTTCATCGACACGCCCCGTTGACACCCCGTCTGCGCAGGAACCACTTCAAGAGAGTGCTAAGCCCTGGCAGAAATTCAACCAGCAGAATCAACCTTTCCACAGGTATCGTCTTCCTACCAAGAGTTCGAGCGGAAACAGCAGCAGAGAGGCCAACGTCGGACGCAAGAGGAGGGAGGTCCAAGTCAGGCGAGATGGAAATCAATCGCAGGTGGTTGCACAAAGTTCCATTCCCATATTCAAAGGAAACACCGATCCGTTCAATGCAACGGTTATACCAGTCAGTGCACTTGAGCATTTGTTACTTCAACAGGCCCGAGCACAATCGATGCTGAACACCTGGCCATCCGAGATAGCCTTGCGTCACAATCACGGCGCCCTCACGGCCGAATCCCTAAGGAAGATGCCAGCTTTTATCACAGACAAAGCTTCCAGTCATGCAATCATCTCCCATGCATACTACAGCAGCAGCAGCAGGCAGCGGAACCGAGGTCAGCCGTACGAGCAGACATTGGGGCATGCCGAGAAACATAAATTCCAGGCACTCAGAGCGCTGCAAGAGTCTCTGGAATCGCAGCGGCACACTGGAAACGCCGGAAAGCTGAGGGAAATCTTCGCAGCCTGCTGCTGGCTTGGAGCCGCCGAGATGCTCAGCGGCAACGTTCATGCAGCAATTGTCCATTTGACAGCATCCAAGAAAATAATTGATTCGATGGGAGGTTGGTCAGCTATCGGCCGCATGGAGAAAGAAATTCTGCTTGGTGCAGTGGTAGGCCTCGCTGCTGCCCTACGCACTCGTCCTGTGATGGAAATTGGCGACTTCGACCCTGGATCGTGGCGCGAATACACGTGGAGCACCGAGTCGAACGACCCGCCCACATTATGCGAAGATTTGAAGCTTGCTTTCCCTGAAACAGCTCCCTCTGAATCTTCCGGCTCAACCTCCATCAGCCCGACCCTGAAAGCTATATTTGAAGACATGCGAGAGCTATTAGTGATCGAAGAGCTAAAATTCAAATATGCGGCTTCCAAATCCTCTGGCACGACAGAAATTTTCCGCTGGTCTCATGCTCGCAAAGTCGCAGTCCGAGCTCGCGGTCTGCATTACTGGTGCGACTTGGTTGAAGCTGCTAAAAAGGATGGTAAGCCTATGACAGTGGTCTCCGCGCCTAATGGAATTGCATCCAAACTCGCGCTTACTTACGAGTTTGCGTTATGCCTTGCTATGCGCTGCTTTGATCGTTGCATCTTCGAAGAGCACTATCAACCCGGTGGAGTCTTCCGTGAGAGCAAGCGTTACCACATGGAAATGACTGCTGTCATGGAAGCCCTACGGCCCGCCGCGGCGGACTTTTCTCTTGTCCCCGATGAATGCATACGCGACGTTCTGTGGATCTATTCTATTGGTGCGTACGTCGAGGACGTATTCTTGCGTCCCGAACTCGAGCGAAAGGGAGACCCAGTGCCGTCTCAGAGACGATTTTTCAGCACCCGCTTTAGCTACTTGGTCGCCGCAAACCTGGAGTTTGGTAGCTTTGAAGACGTCACGCGATTCTTGAAGGACAAATATCTCTATTATCCGCGCTTGCAAGATACAAGTTTGAGGAAATTGGTCGAATTGTGAATACGAGTTACGGCAATTTGGCCGCGGCCGACAACCTTTGGCATGCGGATTGCGAGAATGTCATCCCGACTACTACCGGGGCATTTGGCGAGGCTGCTTCGGATGTATGACCGGCGATTGCCCGGTTGGGAGATGTCGGTGCCTTGTACAGCACGTACGGCAGTGAGGCAAGTCGGCTTCCGTCGACCAGAAGATGATCACGACGGCAGATTATGCTTGATATGTTCACGTATCCATGGAGCAGATCCGAAACGCACTCTCAGTCCCCGGCACATGTACGCGGAGACTTCGGGATGCTATGGTTATCGGAGAGCCTTCCATCACGGGCAGCGCTATTGACGAGACAACCACACAGGCTTCCACATCCAACGACACTTTCACGATGAGGGTGAAGCTGGCCCAAGGTCGCTAGTCCGACGCTGGTAATCCCTTTACGAGGTTGAGTGTCCCGACACAGCGAAGATCGTCGCAAACGACCGATATATGGCTTTATCCTATGATTTAAGGGAATGGGATGTGCGCTTGACATGGGTACTCAGGCAGGACGCACGCGGCAGCACGCGAGGATGGGAACTTATGTTGTGCTTTCACGAAATCTACTCTGCAGAGACACCTACCTCTCTATGGATACTAATATGTAGTATGAAATGTAGCTGACATCAAACACTAGAAGCACATGGAATTCATACATGGCCCCATGGCCGGTCGGGAAAGAGAAAATAGTGTCTGGCGGTCCACCGACGTTCTTTCGATGTCCATTGCACAGATAGAGGAATGGCCAGGGCAGATGAGGACAGAAGATAACTATTCCAAACCTTCGAGCCCAAACGGACTCTTTCTTTGCTTTCCTTGTCTTCATTCCTAACTGGGATATTCTACATATCAAAGAGCACAAAGTTCACTCTTGCTCTCGCTTCGCTTCAGCCGTCCATTCCATCTCGTCCAGTCACAATGGGCAGGGAATCTGTTCAATCAGGCCGTTCTTAACACTTTTCGTTCCATGTTGTCGCGCCTCTTGTTGGCACGGCAAAAGCCACAGTAGGATCAACCCCACGTAAAAGTCGCTTGGTAGAGCTCGAATTTAACTCACTGCTTCCACCGCCCCTCTACCGTCTTCTTCCTCACTAGAGGTCTCAGCGCCCCTACGCCCACAAACAACGCCACCACCGTGAGGACCAATTGCACCCTATTAAAGCCCTTCCCCAACACATCAAATGCCATGCTCGGAGTGATTGCCGTGCCAAATACATCATGTCCGAATGCAAATACCACGGATGTGGATTCCAGGAGGGATGGGGAAGAGAGGACGTCCTTGATTCCCATCACTTCGCGTGCGTGCGTGAGGTAGTATTTTGGATCAAACTCTAAGTTGGGCATATAGCGAGTGAGACCCTCCTCTCGCTCCGTGGCATTGGGATCCCGCTCGACAGGACGGCGAGGATCGAGTATTTCGCGGGGGATGCCGATTATAGCATTGCTGTTAGGTAATGTGGCGAGCAGTTGGCGTGTGGTTATCCCCTGCGCGGTTTGCGAGACTGCTAAGTGAGAGATTGGTTCAGCCACAGTGTATGACTGAGATATTACGTGGGGTTTTGCTGCGGCGCCGTCGACAGAGAAGACGGAATAGTTCGTCCGCGCTGACAATAACCCTCGATCATTCGGCACTGAGGATTCGTAGAGTTCGGAGATGATGAGCTGGTTGGAAAGTCCGGAAGTGAATGGGTCACGGGCGGTGAATGTGTAGGCGTACCAGTTTTCGGAAATCACAGCAGGGATGTCTGAGGAAAGGACGCCGGAGTGGGTTGCGGTATGTAGAATGGCTCCTGTCATGGCGTCGATTAAATAGACTGTCAATGCTCCGGAATGCGAGGTGGCCAGCAGAAGCGCAATGTTTGGCGAGAGATACTTGTACAGAACGGATCTGTCCCCTAGTACACGGCCGATTGAGGCAACTGGATCATGCTCTGCCCGAGCAACAGCATGAACGATCTTCATCCCTTCTTGTGGTTTCAGGATCCATGTTTTCTCGACATTGCGACCAACGGTCCATCCAACTGCCTTTCCTTCTGGGCTTATTGTTACCACAACGTTCCCTTCCAATGCAGTGACATGGACCAAATCTTCGGCTAGATGAGGGACACCATCGGATCCAACTTTGATGACTGCTGGTGGAGGACTGCCGGGGATGCGAATCAGATGAGATATGGGAATGGTGCCGGGCTGGTATTCGATAAGACTTCCATTACTCGCGTTTAAAACAATTAGGGACCCATTGGAAAGATAGACTGAGGCTTTTCCGCCAGCAACTGTAACAGACTTCATTTCTGCATCTCCGGGGATATAGCCGGAGAGATCGGATTGCCACCTGAGGACCCCCGGAGTAGTAGCGTCGAGCGCGATTACTTCTTTCCGACTCGTGGCAACAATCACAACCTTGGTCCCCACGAGATTTTGGCGGGTAATTGCATCAGCATCAGGAGTATATTTCAGAATGCTGTCGGGAAGGCTGCGCAGATACTCTGGAAGTGATGTGAGATCATGGAGATGTCGCTTGAGGCGATGGATGTAAGCCATCCAGGGGTTAACAGAAGATTCAAGGTCGAGTTCCTCAGCCAGGGCATCTGGAGTACCATTTTCGTCCCATGCAGCAATATTCGCATATGCTAGCATTTCCGGCCGGCTCCATTGCAGTTCTCCATTGCGGATGAGAGACCAATCTCCACTTGTGGAGAATTCAGCGACTCGAACAGCGTAGCTGGCCTTCCCCCTGCTGACAACCTCGGCGGTCGCATGCGAGCGAAAGCTTCCAGGAGAAGTCTTGAAATTTGTCTTCTTCCATCTTCCTAGCTGTCCGTGTGACTCCGAGGAGTACAAAAAGACTTCCGACTCGGTAGAACGGATGAAAAAGGCGGTCGCCTCATAGCTGCTAACAGTGAAGATACTCTCTTCTTCGGTGGCAGGTAGTGAATAGGCCTTTGTAACATCGCCTGATTTTGTGTTCACATGAAAGACCTCAGCCCATTGTCGTGTCTTGCCTTTAATGTGCAGGAGAAAATGAGTCGCTGCAGCTTGGTCACAATCTGCATGGACAGTAATGTCCACGATCTCCTCACCCTTTTCGTCCAAAGTGAGGGACAATACCTTTGGGTTATTGAGAAGGCTGACCTTGACCGACCTGAACGGTCTCTCGGCGGAGATCAAGAAGGGAAACTTGGAGCAGGAAGCTGCTGCGTATCGACGGTTAGTCCCCAGCGGCTCAGCATCGACGTGCACGCCCGTTTGGCTAGTCTCGTGCCCGGTTGCACTGTCGAGAGTGACAACTTTCGCCTTGTTGCTCGTCAATAAACCGTGAGACACTGTGATATAATAGATGTGCTTCGAGGTAGCTGCGATTGACACGGAGGAGCCATGCGCTGTGCTTGAATCTATGTGTTGCCATCGTTGTCCGCTCCCGTCGCCAGCAATTCGAATGACTGAAGTATGTGTTTGAGAGTCCGTTGGTGTAGCTAAAACCATAAAGTCTTGCGTAACTCCGTCGGTGACGGAGCCTTGGAGAGGAATGGCCTGCAGTCCATCTATTGCGGTCCCCTCCGGCAACTTGTAATCCCAAATGAGTCTTCCATCGAGAGCATCCCAACATGCCACAGTTGCATCGTATCCGCTCACCAGCTGTCCGTCTCTCTCTCCCGAAACCAGAAAGGAACTCGAGGCATTATCAATAGGTTGTCCTGCCAGTGGCTGACGCCACAGCACTGATCCATCCTTTGGATTCACGGCGCCTAGAACAGCTTTGTCGGAGACGGTGTAGAGCAGAGAGGCATTGGTGTTCGAATGAGGTTTATGGAAGAAGGTGGTATGGGGCTGTGGGCTTCCAAGAAGAGCGTGGTGGAAGTCTATGTGGAAGGCATCGTCAGCAAAGATGGCACAAGTCGGCCAAAACAGAGTCAACAATATGGAGACTACTCCATACCACCTCATTCTGCTCGCCGGACCTAGTGCAGGGGAGGGCAATTGTCTGTAATGTTTCGCAGTGGACGGCCGCAAATGAATGCAATGGAGTGAACGCAGCCTAGAAGAGTACGTCATGTGATTCGGCAAACCTTCTCGTTCCGATGCCCATTTGTATGGACTCGATATCTTGGAGCACCGCAAGAGCACCGCTTGTTGTCAGACCTCCTTGACCGTTTCCTTTCTCAAGAACACCATCTCTGCCATCACTTTCAGCTAAAAACATAGGGAGTATACTCCAGTGATCAGACATAGCCGTTAATTAACTTCTCTTCACCATTTTTCGTCAAGCTATCTCGTCTGGCTCTCAATCCGTCACGAATTCAAGACTTGCTCCAACACAGATCGATATGTCTCTAATCCAGGTACATTCAAGCCAACCACCTTGGCTCCATCATCCCATCTCCTCAGATCTGCTTTCTCATTTACCCACTTGCTCTCTTGCCACTGTCGCACTTCATCCGGGCTCATGGGTCCTCCCTGAAATCGCAAACTCTCCTTGCTTGCGTCGCTCAGAGTGTTGTAGTATCCATCTTCTGTGGCACAGAGATAACGCTTTGCAGGAACGTGAGCCTCGACGAGTTCAGCCACCTTGGCCGGAAATCCCAATGCCAACAGATACTGGGCGCCCAGTGTTTCATGGGAAACCCTCCCCACGCTATTCGAACTTTGCATATCCAGGCTAACCGTGGTATTCGAACGCATGTTCTGTACCTGAGCTCCGCCTAGGATATGCTCCGCATCCGCCTCTGGGATGATCTGCCCAATGTCATGGAGCAACGCGGCAGCAATTGTTTGTGGGTCCGCCATACTCCGGGCGGCAAGATGCGCACATTGTAATGAATGTTCAATTTGCGATATCGGTTCGCCGATGTAGTCGCCTTTCCCATACTTATTGAGTATGTCAATAATGCGAGATGCAGCCCGTGCCGCCGCAGGTTCAGAGTCCCACATTTCTTCATCGAACTGCCGGGGAGGAAATGAGCCAAGCACGAGAAGAACAACTAGTGGCAGCCACAATCGGTTTGGTTCGTACCTCGAGCTGCTTCCCAGCATCTACACTCAACATTGGACTTCCATATCCGTAACGCAGCGCGCCTTCTTTGTACTCTTCTCCTTTTTCCCGCAGTTGCACAGGTGGCCATACTACTTTTCTGTGCGCATAATACTCGTCATGCAGGTCACCTTCTCTCGCACAGTTGTATGTGGCATAAAGCGCTTTTCGGTCGTGATTGCTATGGTTGGCGCCACTCCGGTGAGCAAGATAGGAGCCGAAAACGAGGACTTGTCCTGCAGCGTCCGGATCAGAACCTGGAAGGCTAGCACTCGATCGATTCGTGGGACAGGAAAGCACCACTTGAAAAGAAGGTGGTCAACCCAGCTCACCTGCTTTGAGCTCCACAGGGGTCCATTTCTGTTGCTTGACCCATTCTGGCTCGACGCAGTTGTCTTTACCAATTGGCACGTTCATTTCATGGCTCCCATCAACGACCTCGAGGCCACCATTGGTCATATCCGATGGATCAACAGCCAAGAGGATGGCAAGGTGGTTGATATTTTTGATGTGAGTATATGCTGTCGAATCAACATGGGGGGCAAATCCTCCTATGCTTTGGTGAGCAACAGGTCGACACTGACTTTGTATGTGAAGACCATACCACTTCCTGCAAGCTTGTAGTTGATCTTTTCCTTGAACAACAACATGTCCTCCCCTGACAGTAGTTTGAGCAGATTCAACACCTTCTCTCCGCGAAGGAGGTCATTCAAGCCTGTATGGGAATTTGCATAGTTTTCTGTCCGGCAAAGCACCGTTTTCCCTTGAGCATTGATTTCCTGCCAGATCTTCAGCGCTTGATCACTCGTCCGTCTTCAAAGCATATACCTCGTACGGCATCCATGGACTGTTCACATCTGTTGGCCAGTCATGGACTTCCTGCGCCCATCGCTGGAGATCCTTGGTCTCTTCCTTGGAGAGGACGTCCCGAAGGATCAAGTAGCCACTTTTGCGAAAGAACTGGAGTTGCTCTTCGGGCAACAACATTCTGCCTTTTCTTTGCGCCAAACTAATTTGCGATGCCTGGAAAATTAGTATGCTTAAATGCTCCAAAACTGCATCTCTTTCCCGACTACGCTATAGTGACCTAACTTGGACCGCTTATATACTTTCCTTGCTTTCTCTCACCCATTGGCCAATTGAAAAAGCCTTCAATGGAATACTTTCTCTGTGATCGAAACCAGCATGTGCCGACCTTACGATGCTAGCTCCACCTGTCAGACCCTAAGGATGTGAGGTGTCCACATGGGCAACAATACTGCTACTGTTCAGGATTTCGCGTTGTCAGACATTGCAACATCGCACTTCGAACCGAGTGGCTGCAGAAGATGCGACGTCGAACTGTCAATGGCTTTTCTGTTGCATAAAGATCGCCGTCCGCCCGGTACTCTAAATCCGAATCATCTTGTTTGACCTTGGCACGTGGGTTAAGCTCATGCAAGCTTGACTCGAAAAAGGGTTGTTGGAGGAGAAGGCTGAACGCCTCTCGCCTCGCATCTTTGGCAGAATTTAACGGCGAGGCCTGTGGCACGTTCCCATACAAGTGGCGGGCGATTACCATGAAGGGTTTCCAACCTCATTTCCCTCAATTTATTGTTGAAGCCAGAGCTCTCGGAGTTGGCCACTGGTTAACGGAATCACGGCGAGATGGCGGCGGTTCGAGATCGAACGGGACCCGTCGACGCGAGGGGTTTGTAGCGACAGAAAGAATTTCCTCAGGACCTATTTGAAGATGCATATGGATGCCCACGCCTGCTCTCTTGACCCAAGTCTAAGGAATTCACTTCAACCCTACGGGCGACCTCCTTTCAACCACAATGGCAGCCGAGAAGTACCAGCCTTCTTACGAAATCACGGGCCATGAGTCCTCTGGGAGTCAACCCAATGGACAGGACGTCGAGGTTGGAGATGGAAGACTCAGTCGAGTAGACATCGCCAAGATCACAAAGGTATCGTCTGTCATCACCGTTTTGGTTGCGGGTCTTGCCTTGTTCTCCGATGGATACAATGCGCAAATCATTGGGTAGGTGCCATGTCGCCCCCGAATGGAAATGAAATACTTACACAATCACCTTGCAGATACATGGAGCCCTTGTTCACGGACCTGTACAAAGACGGCATGTCGAGCATCATCAAGACTCGACTGTCCAATGCATATCTCATCGGCGAAATCTTTGGAATGCTCTTTTTCGGCTTTCTCATCGATAAGATAGGTCGTCGAACCGGCATTGTCTTTGCAACTTTCTTCCTTGTCCTAGGTATCGTGTTGGCTACAGCTGCCCATGGCACCACTCAACTCGGCATGTTTTGGATGATGATCGTTGCTCGTGGTGTTGCTGGGTTCGGTGCTGGAGGTGTGTACAATTCAAATGTCGCGACGCCAGACGACGTCCTAACCATAGGCACCAGGTGAATACCCGACCTGTGGGACTGGCAGTGCCGAAGCCTCAGACGAGAGTGAATATGTCCGCCGCAGACGAGGCTTCCTGGTTGCCGTGGCGACTGACTTCGCCATCGACCTGGGCTTCGTAGTGGCCGGTGTCGTTGCCCTAATTGTCATCGAATGCTACAATGAGAAGATCTCGAGCGGCATTTGGCGCATCTGCTTTGGGTTGGGGTTTGTCCTCCCTGTGACACTTTTCTTCTTTCGAATTCGGATGGTCGAGTCGACCCAATATCGCAAACATGCTATCAAGCGAAACGTGCCCTATTGGTTGATCATCAAGCGATATTGGAAGCCCATGGTAGGAACTTCTCTGGCGTGGTTCATGTATGACTTGTAAGTTGGATGCCATTCTTTCTTCCATGAGCGTTGTTAACACATCGAAAGTGTCACCTACCCGTTTGGAATCTTCAGCTCCACCATCATCGGGCAACTCAATCCAAACAACACCTTGGTCCAGAACATCGGGTACGGGACAGTGGTGAATTGCTTCTATCTGCCAGGCTGCCTCGTGGGTGGGTTACTGATGGATAAGATTGGCCGCAAACAAACCATGACCCTTGGTTTCGCGTGCTGGGCCGTCTTAGGATTCATTCTGGGAGGTGCATTGAACCCCATTCAGTCCGTCTTCCCTCTGTTTGTCGTCCTCTATGGGATCTTCAATAGTTTCGGAGAGATGGGGCCTGGGGTTTGCACTTTCTTGACGGCGGCCGAAAGCTTCCCTACCCCTCTGCGCGGCCACTTCATGGGGTTTGCCGCTGCTGTGGGCAAGGCTGGTGCCGCCATTGGGACTCAGGTTTTCACGCCTATTCAGGACTCCTTCAGCAATACGCAAAAGGGTACTCAGGCAGTCTTCCTCATTGGCGCCGGATTCGCCGCCGCAGGGGGGATTATCTCCTGGATATTCATTCCTGACCGAGATCGAGAACTTGAGAGCGAAGATGCCAAATTCAGAGACTACCTTGCAGCTCATGGGTATGAGGGTGAGTTCGGCGAGAGCTTGGTTGCCGAGATGAAGACGACTGCTTTCAAAGCGGAGTATATCAAGACGTCTTGAAAACTGTCCGAATTGAATCTGGAAGAGAAGAGCATGTACCGATACCACGAGGTTGCAGATTCAGATACAAGGGTGTGCAGACAGTCGCTACTGGTAAATTTTGCCAGCTCTTGATCCTGGAATTTCGATGATAGCGATCGTAAATCCAATGAGCTATCGGACTGAGGCCTTCTTGGCCCTCCAAGTGTATTTTTACGTGTCTGCAGCGTCAGAGTTCCCAGGCGCGTGTAAAAGCGGCGGCGGCGGGCTGCCATATTAGGTCACCAGGCTGCGCCCGAACTTTTTGACAGCGAGGCCAGCAATGAATATCAATTTCGCAAGCCGGAGCGCCAGATTTCTCGAATTCGGTATGCGACTTGGACCTTCCCCTCTTTTTTGATATTGCTGTTTTCTTTCCCTTTCCTCTTCGCCTTCGAATTCTATATAGTCATCCGAAGCATGATATCTCCTACTCAACATGGACGGAGACGTCGCCGTGGAGCCTGAGGTCGACTCGTTCAGTCTTGTTCTGCCGCTCCCTTACAGAGTCGCAATTATAGTTGTTCTTGGTATGTCGCTGGACGGACGCCTGTTGTACATGGTCTAACGGCGCTTCTAGGTATTTGGGCATGGGGACTCAATCTACATTACTTGCATCTTATCAAAATTGTAGGTGCAATGTCCAGAACTTGTTCATCGGCTCTCAGCTCACCATCTCAGGATGTGCCGGCGTTGATTCGATATCCTCCTCGACAAGCGCAGCACCATCACTACTCGACGTATCGATTGGCCTCTTTCCTCTCCATTCCATTGATTGCCTCTCTTCTTCTCTTCTGGGCCGTGACACGGGGCAACGAGCGCGCAGCTCTCCGATGGCAGATCCTCCCTCAGTCCTACCTCCTGCTGCTCGCGGTGTGCTTTCTACTTCCACTCAAACGCATGTCGCGCTCTGGTCGACTACATTTCCTGAAATCGTTAAAGAGAATCAGCGTGGGCGGCCTGGCAGAAGTCCAGGATGGAAAATTCGGGGATATTCTGCTAGCTGACGTTCTCACGAGTTATGCAAAAGTCCTGGGAGATTTGTTCGTCTCGACATGCATGCTTCTTGACGCAAAGACAACCAGTACAGCGAAACCGAACCGCGGCTGTGGAGGCGCATACCTTGTGCCTCTGATCATTAGCATCCCGAGCATGATTCGGTTACGGCAGTGTCTGATTGAGTATTTCCGGGTGCGAAGGAATCGATCTACGTCTTCGGGTTGGGGTGGGCAACATCTGGCCAATGCGTTAAAGTATGCGAGTGCATTTCCAGTCATCACTTTGAGTGCTTTGCAACGAGGTTATGACCCTAACCAATTCCATCTGAGCGAGGCTGGGCTGTTCAGATTATGGTGAGGACATCCAATTGGTTACCTCCTGCATTTCTCTAACATTCTGCAGGATGTTCTTCGTTTTTGTCAACTCATTCTATTCCTTCTACTGGGATGTGGCCAAAGATTGGGACCTTTCCCTCTTCTCCTCTAGGCGCGAGAGGAGTAACCCGGAGTACCCTTGGGGCCTGCGGCGCCACCGGTACTTCCATGCAAAAGAGGCGTACTATACCGCCATTTTCATAGATTTCCTCCTGCGGTGTACCTGGAGTTTCAAGCTGTCACCCCATTTGGATCACTTTAATGACCTGGAGGGTGGGATTTTTCTGATGGAGTTGTTGGAGGTGGTGAGAAGATGGATGTGGATTTTTTTTAGGGTTGAGACGGAATGGATAAGGAACAACCGGGGCCCTGCGACGGACGATGTACTCCTTGGAGAGTTCGCAGGCAAGATCGATGAAGATTGAGAGGAGGAGCCTCTCCGCAGAGTACAGACCGAAATCTTGCTGCCTGATTGTAGCTGGTGAAATCAAAAGATTGGCATCTCCACTTTTGGATATGCAGGTACCTAATACCTCGTACCTACAAAGTAGTACACCGCATTGACCGCAACACCGCACCCCTGGCCCGCCACATGCTCCTCTCTTCCCACCTCGAAATGTTCACCGCATAGCTTCCCCCTTCTTTCACATACCTTCGTGCCAACAGCAGCCGCTATGGCCAACGAACATCCAGAGTCCGCTGAGGACTTCGAGTTCATCCAGACACCTCCTGCCCCTCCGGAGCATCCTCCCTCAAACTGTGGTGTCCGCACCACTTCCGTATGTTCTGCAGCTCAAAGAAAGCTCTATCTATGTCTTCTCCTGACTTATGGCGGGCTCCTCTAGTATCCCTCAATCAAGAATGGTCCTCTCCCTGCCGACGCCGCAGGAGGTGACTCCTTCAATAACATCCTGCTCATCGGCCTGCTCATCGCCGTGCCATGGTACATTGCCCGCCAACTGCATGGCGGTATCTACACCACCCTCTTCATTGCAGTCTTCACCAGCATTCCCATCCTCATGCTGTTCTGGGCCGTCGCCTCAACCATTTCTCCTCGAATAAATGACAAGGCCACATACCCGGGTCGTCCAGTCGAACACTACCTCGACTTCCACAGTGAGGAGCATCGAGCAAGATACCATGGTAAAAACAAAATCCCTATGGAGACATTCCACGAGATGTACTTTGACCAGAAGGTCTCGTTCAAGGGCGATTGCTTGGAGACCTTGGAATATCGCCATGACTGGGCAAGTTTCCGTTTCACGCTCTCATTATTCCGGTACTTTTTCACCGGCATGATCCCCGAAGTTATCATGCACACCCGCTCCCAGGATGAAGAACAAGTCCGTGATCACTACGACCGTGGTGACGATTTTTACGCGTGGTTCCTCGGCCCCCGAATGATTTACACATCGGGCATCATCTCCGACATCAACCGCGAGGAATCTTTAGAGGAACTACAGGACAATAAACTTGCCGTGGTGTGCGAGAAGATCGGTCTCCAACAGGGTGAGACGCTCCTCGATATCGGCTGTGGCTGGGGAACTTTGGCGAAATACGCCAGCGTCAACTATGGTGCGCACGCAACTGGCATCACGTTAGGTCGTAACCAGACAAAATGGGGCAACAACGGTCTCCGGAAGTCAAACATTCCAGATTCCCAATCTCGAATCCTCTGCATGGATTACCGTGACATTCCCCATACCCCACCCAATAGATCCAACGAAAAATACAAAAAAATCACCTGTCTGGAAATGGCCGAACACGTGGGAGTCAGACACCTCTCGAGCTTCCTGCGCCAAGTCAACGATCTACTGGATGACGATGGTGTTTTCTTCTTGCAAATCGCCGGGTTGAGGAAGTATTGGCAATACGAAGACCTAATTTGGGGGCTTTTCATGAACAAATACATCTTCCCTGGCGCCGATGCATCGACTCCTCTGGGATTCGTGATTGATAAACTTGAAGGTGCGGGCTTTGAGGTCAAAGCCGTGGACACAATCGGCGTTCACTACAGTGCGACGCTCTGGAGATGGTACAGGAACTGGCTCGCCAACGCCGACAAGGTCAAGGCCAAATACGGTGTGAGATGGTACAGAATATGGGAATTTTTCTTGGCCTGGAGTACCATTATCTCCAGACAAGGGTCCGCGACTTGTTTTCAAATTGTGTTGGTCAAGAACATCAATTCGACACACCGCATTGAGGGTGTGAGACAGCAATTTGGGCTTCAAGGAGCGCTACAAGCCGGGAAAGAACACATTGCAGCTAGTAAAGGCGACAAGAAGCAGAACGGGAAAGCAGTGAATGGGCATGCATAGCGGTCAGTCGGCACAGCGGAGAGTGAAGAATAAGACGAGGTATATGTTGGAACTTGGGGGGAGGTGATTGTCATCTTTCAACCCCATGCACTATCACCCGCGTCTGTTGAAGTAATCCTTTTGAAGTGCAAGGCCTTGGTGAGGCAATGGGGAAGACATCAAGAAAGAGAATATCAGATGTGGTTTTCTGGCTTGAGTACCCGAATCAAGGGTCACGAACCAGAGGCAAAGTAACGGAGATTGAATGGACGTCTGAAGTGACCGATAGATTTAGAAGTGCGGATCGCTTTCCTCGGGTCGGAATTGATCTGTGCTAGAAGACACAGCTGAATTAATATGGCGGTACATAGCCGAGCATAGCTATATCATATGTAGAGAGGGCTGTTTGTTTCACCCCGGGCATGCAATCCACATATAATCAGTAGTTCGCTGTCTTTGATCTTGGTCGAGGAACCTCTTCTCGAGGCTCGAAGCCTAACCACCCGTCCGCAAGGTCATAAGGAGGACGGAACGATTGACAGCTCGGTTCATGACAAGCACGAAAGAGGCATCGAAGACGATTACTGGATCGTGTTAAATGGCAGAGAATTGCGACGACCCCTCTTGCTTGATGCCCTTCCCTTTTTGTGTGTGATTGAGAGAGAAAGAATAGCGTCTTTTGGTCTGTCGCCATGTTGCAGTCGACAACATGATCTCTTTGGACTTCGGGCAGGCGGTTTGTCTTTGCAAGAATCTGTGAGGGCCGATCGGGTTCGGCATTTGGAGGGACGTTCTGCTGTTGGACCTGGATTAGGTCCTCGCCGCGCATAATTAATAGCAAACTGCACTGCCTTTACAGGGATCGTGAACACTGCCGTCCTCATGAGCAGCGGAGAGCCGACGTGATCTGATAAATCAGGGCCCGACCATCTCTGGTCAGACCGACAGCGAGCCAGTTGGGAAGAACAAGTCGAGACCGACGTTGCTATTGTTGGTGACATTGTTCATATCTTCATCCTCCTCTTGTAGTCCTCTGGCAACCTTCTGGTTTCACTCCTCACGGCCTGTTCTCTCTCAATCCCGTCTGGTCGAAAGCTTAAAGCATCCCAGCCGAGATGGTTCGCTGTACTCATACCTGTGACAGTCTGAAGGCACAATGGATGCGAGGATCAGAAATGTGGGATTTGTGCCCATGAGAATAGGTCAGAAATGAAGGGACCTGTGTGAGCGATCACCTCTAGAATGGCAATAGAACATGCTCAGGAAGGGTTGCCTTGCCGCGTGGACGAGATGACGTGGTTGGATGTTGGCTCTTAGCCACCACATTTTGCAGACGTTTAGCGGCGTACTTGCATTTCTGATGAGACCCTTTCATGGACACTGTAAACCAAAATAACGGACCTGTTTTCACGATCAGGAGGTAGCTGATGAAGGTTAGTTCTGTGCCACGTCACCCTTGTTTTAACGCATGCATGCCCATGGCACTTCGTAGTTGACCTCATTGCCCGTGCACGTTTATGTATCGACACTCATACTCGGAGTTTGGAGCGGATTCTGACGGTTCTCATTCCGTGGTGGACGCTTGCAAGGCTTTCTGTCCGGTCACCCGTGTGAGGAAACCACATAGATCCTCTAGACTGGCATGTCGGCCTTGGGTCAACCTCACACAGAGGGACCAACCTTGTGCTCCATCTCCAATGGTCTGAGCACGGGGTCGCAGGATCCAGGTTGATTAAGGACGTGGCTATGACGTGTCTCTTTGTGCAGAGTCAAGACCTGATAGAGCAAGGCAAGTAGGTAAAGGCACATCCTCAGAGGTCAGTGGGTCAGAGAGCGCACAACCTCGTGGTGCCGAACCTCATTCGGTGTCCTGGTCTGCAACAGGAACGGCTATACTCCGTACTGTTTACAAGTAGATTGTCGAGCTGAAGCACGACGAGAGGTCCGGCGACCTGCCTTGCTGCGGCCCCCAGGCCCTGCTGTCACACGATTCTGCGGGCGCCTGGAATGGAATGCGACAACCTTGAGGGGTTGCGCCTCGGCCGCGACTGCGTCTACACCAACTAATCTGCTGATTTCGGATGGGCCCAACGCTTGAGGAAAAAGAAAAAAAAAAAATCAAATTGCACAAATGGGGCCTTCCTTGTGACCAAGGGGTAATTGGTTCGAGGACGAGGCCGGTCGGTTTCCATGCTGAATGAGGAAAGTCCATGGAACATTCTCTCCTGCTTCTCACGCGGGCACTAGCAAGGGTTGAACAAGGAGATACAGTAGCATGCGACTACCAGTAGGACAAGGGTCATGGGTCCAGAGGGGGCGAGGATGATTCCTCAGGAAAAGGAAGGTTACCATCGCGTGGAACTCCACGCATTCGTAAGGCGGTATGTCTCACACGAGACGATATTATTTTATTTCTCTTTCCAGCATTTGCCGGACTGCGACGTGAAGGACGGAGCATGCTTGGTAGTGGCGATTGATTGAGAAATATTGTACTGGTAGAAGCACTGCAAAAGGAAGGGTCAGGCGAAGGATCTTTCCGGAGCACAGAGCACATCGTATCGAGCGCCACTTCAGGCCGACAGGGCAATGTCGCTTCCGCCTCAGCTTAAACCGATTCTGAGGCATGCCCAGCATTCTTGATGTACGCCCAGAGACGATCGAATTGCTTCTTTCAGCCCACGATGAACTGGCGCCTCATTGAGCATGGTGTCGATTGCACAGAAGCCAGATCGAGATATGGTGGAGCCGGGGATTGTTGTAACGATCTCATCCATTCATCATCTGCAGAGATACCTTTTGATCGTTGCTGGTATGGATTTGTCGCCCGGGCCACTATCTCCATGTCCCAGTGAAATTGCTGATCACAGAAGGCAGTAACATCATATGATAGTAGTCATGAGTTTCTTGCTCGATCTCGACAATCTCAACACGGTACTCGGTACAGTAGCATGAAGCCGACCCGGTGTGTGTTCTTGTGGAATTGACAAGTGGACAGCGCCTTTCCCGTGACTAGAAGGCGCGAGTTCAAAACGTGTACTTGTAGCCTTTGATAGCTTGCGCGCTTGGAGAAGGATTGCATAAAGATCTCTCTTTTCTTTTTCTCTTCTTTTGTTTCCATCCACTTCATTCGAGTTGGCTCGCGAAGGAGATAGATCCCACTACCACCGTAATGACTGTGTGCTCTCCGTAAGTATGTTGCCTCCGGCGTGCTTGGCTGCATCGGAATTTCATAGTAGCAGTGCTTGCCGATAGAGTAGAATGCGGCCGTTGGCCACGGCATGAAGAAGGGCGCAAAAGACTCGGAGTGTCTGCGTGGCTCAAGCCTCGCCGTGTCGGCGTCAACAGCGACGGAGCCTTGGCCTGCAGCTGAGAGGAAGCTGGGTGCTCACCAATCAATGAGAAACGTGGTCAATTCAAGCACCGTGACTAGCTGGCACGTGTGACTTGGCTCCCGCTTCGGAGGTCTCTTTCAGGGTAGCTCCCCGCCAAGGCCGCCCCGCCAATACAAGTCACCACATTTCGGACCTCGCAGAAAAATTCTAAGCGTATGCCTAGAGACCGCCACCAATGCTGTTTGCCCAGTATCCCCTGCTGAGTCGAGCCTCCTCCTAGCTCCAGACTCTGTCAGGCTCGTCTCCCCCAGCCACTCGTGGTGGACGATGACACTCCCTCCTTGGTGTTGCCTGCAGATGGCCCACGCTAATATCCCTGCAAGCGCTTGAACCAGCCATTATCCCGAGCCTACAGTTTGGTGGGCTAATTCTGAAATGGGAAGGCGAAAATACAAGATTGACGGAGCAACGCGACAGAGAACCCTCAAGGCACGATTTCGAAGATTTCATGGTCTGATGCGGGAGTGCCAATGAGACGCCATGGCCCCGTTGTTGTCGCTTCTCGGTCTTGATGAATCTTGATGAATCTTGATGGGTCTTGACTCTACCGACAGCTTCTTGGACCAGACGTGATGGAGGCTTGTCAAAATGCATGGTCTGAAGTTTGAAGGAGATTGCAGATCACCCACCCTAGCACTGGTTTCTGAGTCCGTTGGATCTCGATGAATGGCGTTGAACTCAGAGCCAAGCATGGTGATATCAAGCTTTGGCAACAGCTTGGCCACGTTCCAAGCGCGCAGCCTGTGGTTTGTTCCTGCAATGTAGATTCGGCACGGTTTCGGAGCGAGACTACTCCACTGGTCTACTTGGCATCCAGAGACTCTTCAAAGGCTTCTCGAACAAAGCGGCTGTCCCAAGCGAGACGGATCATGGTACCTCGTACTCTCGACATCCAATGAATGAACTTGGGCCACAGAGACACTGCAAGACAACATGAGAGAGAAAGTCACGAAAGCTAGGGCATCCCGATCCTGTCTCGCCGATCTTATTGGTGGCGAAGCCATATCAGCGCATGGTGCCAGGGTGCCGGCCTGTAACCGCCCGCTCTGCCTCGCATACCTATCCATTCCATGTTCCTTCTGCTGATCCTGGGGTCTTCGCCTGCTCGTTGAAATCCTATTTCTTCTGCTCAAGGCGTGTCCTAGTGGCCTTTGGCTATTGGCTCCCATGACCCCTTCTTCGACTCTGTCAAGGGGGGGCGATCCAAGTGGGGAATGTGTCATCGTAAGTATAGTTTGACGCTTGCAGTTCGCCTTGTCGACCCACTGGCACTCCACCCTGTTGAACTTTTCAGATTCAGCGGCCCTCTGCTATGCCCAGAGCCTTGGTACAGACGCGATGTTACCTATCTTGCAAAAGGTATATGTAGTACAGCTCCTGCCGGCTTGGACTTGACGCTCGGTTCTTGTCTGGTCTCAAGCAAGCCTTCCTCCACTGCTTGTCCAGTCTTGACTTCCTTTAGACTCTTGGACAACATCCACAGTCAACTGAAAAGACCTCGAACGCCATGGCGACGAAGACGGCTGGCGGAAACGCCGCCTTTCACAACTTCCACAACGACTTTGCACATATCCAGGACCCCAACGAGCGACGACGACTTGCCCTCGCTGAGATCGATAAGGCTCCCTTTGGTTGGTACCATGTCCGTGCCATTGTGGTCGCCGGTATTGGCTTCTTCACCGACGCATACGATATCTTCGCCATCAATTTGGTGACGGCCATGTTGGGTGTCGTGTACTGGCAAGATGCTCCCAATCCCAAGAACGCAGGAAAGATCCCTTCCAACTCGGATACTGCGATCAAAGTTGCAACCTCTGGTGGTACTGTTATCGGTCAAATCGGTTTTGGTTGGCTTGCCGATATCGTCGGTCGCAAGCGAATGTACGGTCTCGAGTTGATCCTCATCATCTTCGCAACTCTTGCTCAGGCTCTGTCCTCCGACTCTCCTGCCATCTCCATTGTCGGTATCATCATCTTCTGGCGTGTGATGATGGGTATCGGCATTGGAGGCGACTACCCTCTTTCTTCCATCATCACTTCTGAGTGAGTTCCCCTGTGTTGTCTTGCATAGTTGTGAAAAGTGGCTCATTATTCCCAGGTTTGCCACTACCAAATGGAGAGGTGCCATGATGGGCGCAGTCTTTGCTATGCAGGGCATTGGCCAGTTTACTGCTGCCATTATCGCTTTGATTGTCGTTACTGGCTTCCACCAGTCTCTCAAGACTGCTAAATCCGTCGACGTCTGTGATGGTGTTTGCCAACTTGCTGTTGACAAGATGTGGCGTGTCATCATCGGCTTCGGCGCAGTTCCGGGCTGCATTGCCTTGTACTTCCGTCTCACCATCCCCGAGACTCCTCGTTATACCTTCGATGTTGCCCGTGACTCTGAGAAGGCTGTTGAGGACGTCAAGGCCTACCAATCTGGTCAACACGAGGGCCATCCCGACGAAGTCAGCCGCGCCGCTGTCTTGCAAGACTCTCGCCAGCGCCTCGAAACCCCCAAGGCCAGTTGGGCGGATTTCCGGCGACACTACACCCAATGGAAGCACGGCAAGGTCCTGCTCGGAACTGCTGGCTCGTGGTTCTTCCTCGATGTGGCCTTTTACGGCCTGGGCCTCAACAACTCCATTATTCTCCAAGCCATTGGCTACGCCAAGGGTAACAATGTCTACGAGATTTTCTACAATACCGCTGTTGGCAACCTTATCATTGTCTGCGCGGGTGCCATTCCAGGCTACTGGGTCACTGTTGCGACAGTTGATACTATTGGCCGCAAGACCATTCAGATGATGGGCTTCATCCTTCTCACCATCATCTTCATTATCATCGGCTTCGCATACAATCATCTTCACGAAGGTGGTCTTCTAGCGCTCTACGTCCTCGCCCAGTTTTTCTTCAACTTCGGCCCCAACGCCACAACTTTTATTGTTCCCGGTGAATGCTTCCCGACCCGCTACCGATCCACCTCGCACGGTATCTCGGCGGCCTCGGGCAAGATCGGAGCCATTGTCGCTCAGACTGTCTTCGGCCCTCTCCGAACCAAGGGACACCCTACCAAGAACAACCCGTCTCCTTGGCTCGACCATGTCATGGAGATCTTCGCCCTCTTTATGCTCTGCGGCTGCTTCACGACCCTCCTCATCCCCGAGACCAAGCGCAAGACGCTCGAGGAGCTTGCTGGTGAAGTACCCGGCACCAAGAACTATGATCCCGAATCCGCTGGTCACCGCAAGGAGTCATATGTTGCCCAGACCACCGACCAGGGCGTCATGGAGGGTGACAAGACTGCTTGAACGAGTTTCTTTTCTATAGGATCTTCTTCTGTCGTTGCCTCCAATATACACACATAACTTCCGTTTCTAGTGGGCATCCACCATGGATGAATAGTAGGGGTTTGTGTAGATTAATACAATAGTATGAACATGATTCATGCTTTCTTGATTCCTTGCGATAATACTTCTACTCTCAAGCACGAGAAATCGAGTTCCTACTTGGAACGGATGTTGGTTGATGTCCATTTAGGCGCGACAAGGACCAACCTGCACCTGTATTTCGTGCATGTTGTCGATCACTTGCCCCTACAGGCAATTTGTATGGACCTTGGGAAACAGTGGGAAGGAAAATATGCTGACGGGATGATTAGTAGCTCTTTCTCTTTGGATGGCCCGTTCTGACAGGGGGAACCTTCAGGGTAAAATACAAGAACAGTCCTCGGATATGATCTCCGAGGAACCCGTGCCCCGGTGCGTTCGGCAAAGCTTGAGAAAAGCTTGCTAAAAGCTTACGTCGCGCACGGAAGGGCCGGCGAGCCGGGATTGCCCCCAGGCACGAGTTTTGTATATACCCCTGATCGCTCTTCCGTATCCTGCATAGGCACGCAAGGAGTAGATTCCTGGGGCTAGAGGTAGGGATCTTGACGAGGTTGCGGAAGAGGTCCCGAATTCGAGATCGGAGATCCTGGGGCCGCGGAGGGAGAGAGCCGGGGTTGGAATGATGAGTAAAGCACCGAGTCATCTGCCTTTTCTCTACACATATACGTATGTGTGTGCATATATATATATATATATATTTCATTCTCTCAGTTGTCTTCCGCAATCGACCATAGGACATGGAAAGCAGGGCTTCCCGTCCGCTCAGCTGTACTTAAGCCATGTGCCGGTCAGTTAGTACTAACGTGGGTGACCAGTTGGGAATCCTGACTGTTGATTGTTTTTGCATGCCTTGCTTTTCTTTCTTCTTTCTTTCTTTCCTTTTCTCGGCTCTGATCCTGAAGATGTGGGATGCTGAAGTTATCCATATTTCAAGAGACTAAACAGTTGATGAGAAGAGCATCAACAAGATGGGTCCCTAGGAAGGTATGGTTGATGTTGTCTGCGAGCGTTCTCAGACACTCCCGTTAGCACCCTGTTTACCGTCACTCTTCGCCAACGTCAGTGCTTCTCCCATGAAAGCAGCAGAGAGAGCGCTGAAGACATTAACTCACTTGTTCTCGCAACCCGACGACCTGCGGTGAACTTTCAACTCAGACCATTTTTGTTTTCACGAGTTAACGTCGAATTGCGAAAATAGGTGAGTTGCCGTCTTCAGCGCTCTCCTCTTGCAGGAGGCACACTGACGTTGTCACCTACGGTTCAACTCGCGTCGTTTTCACAGGCCTCACAAAAGACAACGATGCTAGAGTATTTTCGAACATATTCTCCATGCCAGACCCCATCAGATCTACTACAAGATCCGTACCGCTGCAACACTTGGATCGTCATCAGCTTCACAGTACGCATTCCTTGCTCTCTTGTCACATCATGAAATCCTCACAACAACCATCGACGACCGCCGCAAGACAAGCAGCACGGAGAAATACCGGATATCGGCAGCCTGGTAGCCGCGCATTTCACGATTACCGATCGAGATGGCATGAGCCCCGCCAGGATCGGCCTGGATTGACGACCCTAAATGCGATTTCTGATTCCCTCGAATTGCCTGACGAGAATTGTGCCGGATGTGCTGACAGCAGACGAAACAGACTCACTGCATCCGCAGAAGCGGCATAATGCGTCGCCCTTTCCGCAGCCTCCGTTTTCCTTCAAGGCCGAGGTAACCGAGCGTTCGGTGATTGTGAACGATGTAGTGCAGCTTCCTAGACTGTCTCTCTCGCCGCAAAGTCTTAGAGCTAGTTCGTGTGCTCTGGAGTGCATTTCGAAGGTCCAAAAAAAAACTGCATTGGAAAGACACCTGTCTGGTAAGATGACTTGTTGCTACCGAGGGTTCCTGCAGGTGACAAGGCTTGAAACAGGCCAAGAACAGGGGTTGGAAATTAACTGGCAAGAGGCGTCTTCGGTGGGGGCATTTGACACTCTGTGCTTCCTCACGTTTGTCTTACTCGTTTTGTTCTCGGAAGTGATGCTTGTCATGTAATTAGAACCAACGTGGTTGAAGATGCGAGATGTCCCAAGGACTACATCGAAAGCACCACCTTGGCTTTGAAGAGGCTTGATGGAAACAGCCTGGCGGGTTGCCTTGCAGCACAAGGCGAACTTTGGTTCGCACGCTCAGCCTCATAAAGCCCTGTGAGCCCAGCAATGTGACTCAATCTATGTGCTATGGTCCTTCACCGACTTTCCGGTGCCTCTAATCGTTTTGTCTTTTTTTCGCAGGCAGATTGATGGACGGCAGCCTTCCGTGCCTGGTTTTCTGTGGGATGCCTTCAGTGCGGTGCAATGTATGATTTCTACTACACCAAACTCCTGGATAACCCATCCAAATTTGAGCCTCGGCCGGGCAACAGATGGGTCGAGGTGCGGGAGCCAAATGTTAGCGACTGCTTCAAGTGTCCTCCCAGCACGTCAATTAACCTGTTATAGGCTGGCGGCGAGCTGGTGTTGCTTGATCGCGAAATTCCTGAGCCCGAGATCATAGATCAGATTGGCGCCGATGCCTTTTTACCATCAGAAAGGGCCTTCGACGACAATCATGCCAAAGGCCGTCTTCGACTCCAGCTTTTGATTGGGAGTCCGGAGCAGCACAAAAGCGATGCACAGATTTTAGCGCTGCCAATCTCTCGCCACACCTTCGAGACCGTTAGAACTGCTTGGAATCTGCCCCCAGAACTCCTGCGCATGATGCTGAGCACCCTGCCTATAGCTACGGAATTCCGGGCCAAGAACTCCGCTGGACAAGCGATAACTGTCCTCATGGTCCGGAGCGCGAGATCAAGAGATTGGAACTTTTGCCTCGGACTCGTCTATAACGAGGAAACAAGAGTCATATCTGGAATCGTGAACGGCATGCAAGCCGAGGAGACCGATTTGATGCTCGAATGTCTTCGAGAGTCCACAAGCTATCTACAAGATCCTATGCTACTGCCAGTGTTCCTGCTAGAGCTCAAGGTCCACTATTTCGCTGTCCTTCTTGAGAAACGAGCGCAAGGAATTGAAGATATTGAATACAGAACCGGCATGAGACATGGGTTTTCGACGAATCCGAGCCGGAACGCGGCGCGAGATAGGGAAAGAGAGAAGTTGCTGAAAGAGCTCAACTTCGACGAGATTACTCAGAAGGTACCGTTTACCTGTCATTTTCGGGACAGGCTGACAGAAATGTGCAGCTGACAGGCGTCACCGGAACCCTATCGTTTTGTGACATGACATTTGCTTCCAGTCTTAGGGCTTTGGAGATAGTCTGTACCATCCGGAATCGGCTCATCTGCCATTCCGAAGGGTGTCTGGGGGGCGTTGGCTTCAATCTCCAAATCAATCTTGACACGAGGATTTCGTATTTGCGAGAATTGATTGTTGGCGCCCAAGTTCATGGGGAAGTTTTGTCAGCACGGACACGGGCTCAAGTTCAGACGGTACAAAGGATTTCGAGTCATATCTCTTTCCGTGTTTGTGACCTTGCTGATGTAGCTACACAGGTCTACAGCATGATCGGTCAAAAGGACAATAAGCTCAACATCGAGACTGCGGCGGCTTCCCAGAGGATCGCAGAAATTGGCCTACTTCACAGTAACGCCATGAAGGACATAGCAGAAGATTCCAGGAATGCTGCCGTCCTCACCCGCAAAGACAGCACCGACATGCGGATCATCGCAGTGGTCACGCTTCTGTTTCTTCCAGGCACTTTTGTAAGTCAATACTCTCGTCGAGTTCACACCGAATACCGGCCCTTCGTGCCGAAGCAAACATGGCGAGATCTGGGCTTTGTGTATCGTATTATTTTTTTAATCCAGCCACTGACCTTGCGGGACTGAAAGATGGCAACGTTATTCAGTTCTGGCTTCTTCAACTTCTTGCCAGGAAAGTCTGATCAAGTCGTTTCGAAGTGGATATGGCTTTACTTCGCCTTGACTGGAGGGTCGACCTTTGTTGTCTTTCTCGCTTGGTATCTGTCGGCGAAGAAGCAGAACAAGGAGATGCTGAGAGTGGTGAACGGAGAAAAACGTTCCTCTATGCCGGCAAATGTACAACTTGAACCCGAGCACGGTGCGGTGACCACACCACCGGGTATTCCATCGCTGTGGCTGGAGCGCTCTAAATCAACTGGTGACATAGATCCATTCACCTCTTTTGGGAACTCGACGGACACTGCCAGATGACGATGCCATTGGAAGCCCGCCACATCCTACCTTGAAATCTTCGAGCTCCGAACCAGTGACGTTGATCACCTCGGAAGCATGATAGCAACTTCAAGCTTCATTGGACAGGCGTGGGCACAGTTACTAGACTAAGAACGGCGCAGGAACAGGCTCACAATCCAGCTCTGGAGGGGCAACTCCCAACTCTAGCCCGGTCGTGAGATTCCTTCCTCGGCGGGGTGGCATTCCGCCCCGGCATGCCAAGGAGCTACGGCACCGTCGTGGCATTCGCTTCAGGAGGTCACAGTCCATCATTGGAAGGCAGAGCTACGAAGACGGTAGCACATATGCAGCCAAGGCTTTATCCAGGATCACAGCTTTTGATCGAGCTACATCCACCAGCGGGGTACAATTACTTGCTAATATCGATTTTCAGCCTAGCAGACAGCTTCAGTCACTCACGTACTACCATACCAGCCGGGCAATCCGTCGACACCCATACCGCAAAATGCAGGTACAACAGTCCACGTTGCTCAGTGCCGGATGCTATTTGCTCGATACCAGAGGCACCACAACCGTGGTGCGATGTGTGCAGGGGGTCGGATTGCTCTGCTAAGCTCCCGCCAAAAAAAAGGTCTCAAAAATTCCTAGATCTGAGGACGTGCCGTCTCTTGAATCGTCCACGTGCGATCATGACGCCAAAACTTGCGTCGGATGGTCCAAAGAGCTATGAGCTTGCTGGATAGCTTTGCAGACCAAGGTCAAGTACAAAAAGGTTGGTCTCCGCCATCCGCTGTGCGTTTTCTTCCACTCTCCTTGCGCAGGCCGGGCGAAGCAGAAATCAGAAACTTCCGCTATAGCTTCCATCTCACTTGAAAATGCGCGCAACAACAGGTTGTTTGGCCATGATGGCCTTAGCACTTGACATTGCCGGCGCGGTGCCCGTCAAAAAGCCTCGTTGGCAACACCCCGCGCACGATGACTACTACATCAACCTCGGACCTCGCCCTTACTACCTTATCCAGAACATGACGGACGGCCCGCTCAAGCAGAAGCTCGAGTCATGCTACAATGGTCCCTTTGAAGTCACCGCCTGGAGCATCGGCCATCGAGGCGGTGGTACGCTGCAGTTCCCCGAAGAGTCGGTCGAGTCCACCATGGCTGGCGCACGGATGGGCGCTGGAATCCTCGAGTGCGACGTGTCTTTCACAGCGGATCTGGAACTGGTCTGCAGACACTCGCTATGCGACCTCCACACGACGACCGATATCTTGCTCAGACCGGAGCTCGCCGCAAAGTGCACGGTGCCGTTCACACCGGCCAACGAGACAGCAGACGCCAATGCCCTGTGTTGCACCAGCGACATCACATTGGCCGAGTACAAGACCCTCTGTAGCAAGATGGACGGCTTCAATGCCTCGGCCACTACGCCAGAGGACTATCAGCACGGCACGCCTTCCTTCAGGACTGATTTGTACAATACCTGCGCGCAGGTCATGACGCTCGAGAGTTACATCGATCTGGTGGACTCGCTGCCAGGATTCCGCAACTTCACGCCCGAGCTGAAGACTCCTCCATCGCAGGTCCCCATGCCGTTCCAAGGCTACACCCAGGCACAGTACGCAAGAGACATGATCGACACGTTCATCAAGAAGGGCATTTCGCACGAGCGAGTCTGGCCGCAGTCGTTCAATCCTGCGGACATCTACCTCTGGCTGAACGAGTATCCAGCGTGGGGCGCGCAGGCCGTGTTTCTGGACGAAGACGGCGACGTTGCGTCGAACTTCACGACCGCGGTGAACCGACTGCCTGCCCTCAAGGCCAGCGGCGTCAACATCATCTCGCCGCCGTACAACTACCTGCTCGCGATCGGGGGTCCTAACAACGACACGATCGTGCCGTCCATCTATGCCACCACGGCCATGGAAGCCGGGCTCGACATTATCGCGTGGTCGTTCGAGCGCTCGGGCCCGCTTGACAACGTCCGCGCCGATGAGGACTACTACTGGTCATCGATCGCGCCCATAATCTCGTACGATGGGCAAGCGTACGAGGCCCTCGACGTCCTGGCCCGCCAGATCGGCATCAAGGCCATCTTCTCCGACTGGTCCGCCACCGTGACCTATTATGCCAACTGCATGGGCCTGAAGGGCCCGGGACATTGAAGAGGGAGATAAAGTTTAATGAATTGCATGACGACCAACTCAACCCAGCCGAAGTAATCAATGAGTCGCCAGAACGGAAAGCGATGCGCTGGGGGAAAAAAGTGTACATACATACTACCTACTACATATTACATACATACATCAAACATGCAACTGTAACTCAGGTGTATTCTGCAGGATATAGTCTGCGGACAAACATAAATACATCCATCCATCCATCCATACATAACATACATGCATAGAAACCTTGAATGGAGTCAGTGAGTTAGTTAAGACGTGTCATTGCTCCCAAGGCTACAGTATGTGACGGAGTATTTGTAATGTTTTACACTGCCTCGTGGGGAGTGACTTCTCTGATTCGTCATGCCACACGCGGACATCGCTGAGGCGAAAGGGTGGGCCAGGCCTCTCTGCCGACGGGCGAAGGAAGGAACTGTAGAGCTTGCGGGATAAAAAGGGGTGCCGAGGGTCTATATCTACATGCAATTTTTCCCCATTCCACGACGCAGCGAGGCCCGAGTCACTGAGGCAGCTGAAAATACAAGGTTGAAACCAGGCACCGCAAACGCCTTCTTCGATCTACATTGCATGGGTATTGGTATGGGTCGCATTCCACTCTCTCAGCCACGCCATGACGGCATCGACCTCGACAGTCTTCGCGCGCTGGACGGCCAGGGGCATCTCGACAGCCGTCTCGTTCTGGAACAGGCCTGGGAAATCCCACTCGTGGAAGCCTCCCTCGATGATTATCTGCGGCGTGGTGATCGATGAGGACGACCCGTTGTTATTGTCGCCATTGTCGTTGATGTTCTGGACGAGCCTGGGATTTGGGTCTCCGTTCTCCAGAAATTCCGCCAGCGGACCTAGGGCGCGGTAGTAGTCCAGCTGGCCCGTGGAGATGGCTAGACGAGGATATGACAGGTTGGGCCCGCCGTACTTGTTCAGCCGGTCGAGCTGCGGCCCGTATGTGATGTTGTACGCCCTGTGGCATCTGTCGAGGAAGTACGCCGGCGACAGCATGCGGGAGGCCATGGGCAGCACGTGTGGATGGCCCTCCGAGCCCGGGATATAGCCTGTCGCAAAACCGCCGGACTCGGTACAGGTGAGCCAGCCGTAGGGAGAAGGACGGCCCAGCGAGAGACAGTCGTGCACGGATCTCCCCGCGCAGTAGGTAGAACTTTCTCGCATGTAGGAGAAGAAATTGAGGAGCGGGTAGTACAGGGCTGTGGCGTTGGCAGTGGCGGTCCTATTGGCGTAGCTGAGGAGCAAGTGAGCCGTTGTGCGCAGGGTTTCGGTTGTAGGGTAATGCGAGGTTTGGGAAGTTAGGAGGTCACAGTAAGAACCCGGGCCTATGGAGGGACGAAGGGGGAAGTGGTCAGCTTGAGACTTTTGTATTTCCCCATTGTGATTCGCATTTCTCCTGGGCTTACCAGTGAAGGGGAAAGGCTTCCTATGCCAGACCTGATTCCACGCCGAAAACGGACTGGTCAGAAGGAATACCAGGTCAGGATATGTCGACGACTGCGAGACGTTGAAGGCAGCCTTAAGCTGGAATAGTGCCGTTTCATTACCGCTTTCGTAGACGTTATCCATTAGGTTGGTTATTTGCTGTTGAGCTTCGACGCATTCTGGCAGAGCGTGACGTCGTATGATATCGAAAAACTGCCAGTTATCGAGTATCCCAGTCGTGACTCCAGAGGACGACAGCCCACCCCAGAATAGGTCCGGGTACTGGATACGAGCAAACGCAGATATCACGCCGCCGTACGAGCCACCAAGGATGATCCAGGGAGTGCGGGGTGCCGTGAGGTCCCTATCTTCCAGGCCCCGGAATGTGGCTCTCTGAGCGAAGTACGCGAGGTCTGCTAAGGCTTGCTCGGTGCTGTGGAAGCGAAGTTTTCTGTAGTATATCGATGATCTGGGACGATGTTGTAGCCGCCAGAGTGGTATCTATGCGAACAGTTAGGATCATGGCGTTGCGCTGAAAACGGAACGAGCCTATATACCTTTTTGACCCCAAAGAACGGCGACAGCACCAGTAGCGTTGGCGATTTCGTGGAGTATTCCCCTTTGAAGCCATTCAAGGTCATACTCGGGGCTGTCCTCACCTATGGCATGGATGATCACTGGGCCTCCTGGAACGTAATTGCTTATATCGACCCAGTAGTGCTGTTGGAAAGTGACGTTCGTATGGGGTTCATATCGGGATATGTTGTGAAAATGGTCAATGGGCATGGTGAAATTCTGCGTACTATTCTCCGCGTCAGATGGGGTAATATAAGTTCTGGAGCTCGATTAGGTGGCGGCGTTCTTTTGGCCAGAACAGAGAACACTAATGCAAAAGATAATGGGGAACCTGGTTGATACTCACGGATACCGGCCAAGCAGCTCTCTCCCATGCGTATGAGGTCCAACGACAGACGGGGCCTTGTGCGGAAACATCCTTCCCAAACTGTGAAACCTCACAATTCAGCATTCAGGGTCGGTCATCAGAGACATACCATCCTGCTGTTGTCCCCAGAAGGAGGATCCAAAACACCAAGGCTGCTGCCACACTGCCCAACAACCGGTTGGATATCTTCATTGCGGCCATGGAGATTATCTTGAAGTGTGCTCCGGACATACACCGCAAACGATGCTTAGAATCACGCCTTCAGCTCTTGCCGTTCCCATAGCTGTAGCCTCCAGGACGCTAGACGCATATGTGGTTGCCGCGCTATCAGAGGAGACCAGGGGCGGGTGCCTCAATTCAGAAGTTGTGTCAGCCTGTTCTGGAGCCGGCAAGCCTTGTGGCGTTGAATGTGCTGATTGTGTTACCGCGTGTAGTTCATTTCAAGTCAAAGGTACGAGGTTCCAAGAACAGCAAGATCAGAAATGTGTGAAGGATGTTTGTGCTCGTATTCGAACTTGAGTGAAAATGCATCGTGGCTTCAGAGCAATTGGACTCGTTTCACTAAGTGGATGTGCTAGTCGCCGCGCTCACCATCCCGATATTTAGGCGTCGAGCCGACAGCCTTGCGCACTCCGTTTAATTTGGAAGCGGCCAATCGGCCCACAATGACACACGAACTACGGGACGAGAACGCTAAAGACGACCCCCTCTACTGGGTAGACCAAGGTCTGTCCTCAGGATCCCAGCTCTCCCATTGCACCACACCTTGAACAGTTCATCTTCAGCCCTGCAGCCCTCGAAACGACACTGTGAATCCTGGGAAACGGCGGTGATTTGATTCGCATGTGGCATCGAAGGCGTGAAAAGCGAGCAAGAATCCACCGATTTCGAATCCTAGTCTGGATTTGTTTGGTGCAGCGTCTGCCCTGTTTGATCGGAGGTGAGAGGGCATTTCGCTCCACGAGCTCGGTGGTTGAACGCATTCGACAAAATATCGCCAGCTGTACACAGCATACCTCCGCGTCCACCCCGTCGGGGAGACATGGGTGAGCTGAACGGATGCCATACGGAGTTGATTGGGACCCTGACTGGTAGAAGTGCATCAACCTATCCACTGTCGGACCGGCAATGGCCATGTTGATCCTGTTGGTCACGGTAGAGGTACACTCTAACCTCCTGGCTCCGGCTTCCGGCCGTACACGTTGTAGCTGTGTTCGATCCTGTTAGCCATACAAGGTACACCGAAGCCGGGCCTCCAGAGCGGACTTACAAGTGCACATAGGTGTGGATGTTGCGGTCCAAGATTTCCTTCCTCGTGCGGGCGAGCATGACCTGAAGCTCAGCTGAATCCATTCCAAGAAGGGCAACAGCACCTCTCTCAAACCCGGCTTGCGCGTATTGAAAGAAGTTCTGGACCTCGAGCGCCCCAATTGTTTTCAGCCTTTTGTCTTTCGGCCAGCGATTCGTCGGGATTTTGAAGACGGTCTGCTGGACATCCTCGAACCCACGGTCTAGCAGTTGTTGTCGCCACAATTTACCGGCGTTGCCGTCAATGCCCATTGCCTTTGCGATCTTGAAGAAGAGCTTGCTCATTTCAGTGTAGGTTGAATCTGGCGGACAGCTGCCGTCATCACAGCCGACCTCGGGGACCGTGACGGCAAGCTCGAAATACCCACCCGGTCTCAGGCTTTCATATGCTTGCGAGATGAGTGTCGGCCAGTCCCTGATGGCAAAGAGAAATTCCCTGGCGTGGATCAAATCGAACGTGTCCCTACGAAAGTCCCAGTCTGTTTCGACATCCAGAATCTCGAAGTGACAGTTTGGCGGCATCCAGGTGTCCTGCACTGCCGCAATATCAACGCCAACGACTCGTGCCGTGGGATAAAGGTCAGCAGTCTCGATGGCCCAGATCCCGCTTCCAGTGCCCAGGTCAAGGATATTCTGAGGATCAGGGCAAATGGGAGCGAGGTGGAGGCGCCCTTCATAGAGAAGGAAGAACTTGTAATGTTGCAAGTCATTACGCTGTTGTTCCTCGTTGTCGATGGGAAGACCGTAGAAGTGCCTCCCGTAAGACGCCCACCGTCGACCGTACTCTTCAATCCCTTCACGGATCTCCGTCGCTATACTATTCTGACGGTCAGAAGTCTGGACGCGGAGGCTTAGAAGTAGATTCTCACCTTGTCACATAGCTAGTATTTGCCGAAGTGCTGGCATAGCCTTCGTCGACAAACCCGGTGGGCTCGTCAGCCTCCATGAGAGAGGCTTGAGGTCAGGTCGGACGGTCGCGTGCCAGGAGGATGTAGCTGGAGGATGAGAAGCTCCGAGAGCAGTGGAGAGGACATGGTAACGGGAGGATGAGGGAGGGGTGGTGGCCTTCTTTTAGGATGAAACGAAGAATACGGGGTACGCAGGGATAAGCTTCGGCGCTGATTGATGGGGGAATTCTTTTCCTCGTGCCGCTCTGTAATGGGTGATCCAGTGCTCAAGCAGGAGAACAGGCGAACAGGCGAGCAGGATCATGGCTAGTCAGCTAGTCAGCTAGTCAATCTCCACGGGCTGGTGGGCTGATTTTCCACGTGCGGCATAGGCGGCCTTGCGTGCATGCCACTCGCCTAGAAACTCACTCTACGATAAGTACCGAGTTGCCGCAGTCACACTCGGCCATCAACCAACCAGCCACCAACGTAAACGAACATCGATGCTCCAGCTCGCCGTAACTAGCCATTGCAACAAGATGATAGGAACTTCTGAGTCGGCGTCTGGCCCACTCCCCCGCAAGAGACTGCTGACGCCTCTACCGTGTACAGCAACGGGAACCTGTTCCTGGCGATCCATTCATTCTCCATCCATCTCTCGAGAAAGTGTCCTTTTGACTTTAGAAAACCTTCTTCTGTCTACGCAGAATTACTCACATTGGCAATGTCGTCGTCCGCAGAACCGGACCAAGCCGCCCAGCTGCAGGACCTGATACACCAACTCACCGACGCTGCCAAAGCCTGCGACTACTCGCCAGGCAGCAAGGGCTACATTTCCAGGACCAATGTCGCTGCCATCGCCAAGGACATTGTCCGTCTCGTGATGGCACCGTCGGACATGTCAATGCACCACTCGGTCAATGTCCGTGACGCTCTGACCCCGAGGACGGTGAAGCTGCTGACAGGTTGCTGACCAATGGCAGATGCTGGAGATTGTCTGTCTGCGAACCTTGATGGGGCTGGGCGTGCTCGAAAAGATACCTGTAGATGGCTCCATCTCGCTGGCTGAGCTGTCAAAAGTTACAGGTGTCCAGGATTCACTGCTAGGTATTGGTTGATCAATGTTTTATCCAAGCGGGTTGAGGTCTCCAGACTGATCATTGCCCCCATGAACGAAAGAACGACAACTTCGATTGCTTGTGGGCACCAAATTCCTCGAGCAAACCCCTTATGATGAATATGCGCACACCAAGTTCTCTAGAGCATACATCCAGGTCCCGGGCCCAGGCAACTTCTTCCAGTTTATGAACGACGAATGCCTGTCCACGCTGGTCCATCTCCACAGCTACGTGAAAGAACGAGCGGCCCAGGATGGCAAGCCCGTGCAAGAACCCGATGATCCTCTACGCAACCCATACACCCATCGCCATGGCATGGATGGACACCCTGTGTGGGAGATAATGGCACAGTTTCCCGATCGTCTTCGCGCGTTCCAACTGGGCTTCATGTCTCAAGAGGATTCTGTCCCGATCATTGGTTTCTACGACTTCTCTGCCCTCTACGATCCGGAACACGACGGGGACAGAGCCACCCTGGTCGACGTCGGCGGCGGCCAGGGCCAATCCATCCTCCAAATCCTCACGGCCTTCCCAACCCTCCGCCCAGACCGCATGGTTCTTCAAGACCTGCCCGAACCTATCGCGCAGGGCAAAGACTCTAAACTACTCCCCGAGGGCGTTACCGCCATGGTGCATGACTTCTGGACACCACAGCCCGTCAAGGGCGCCAAGGCGTACTTCCTCCGCCGCGTGATGCATGACTACTCGGACGAAAACTGCGTCAAGATCCTCTCGCATCTGCGCGCTGCCATGAGTCCGGACAGCAAAGTCCTTATCGCCGACATGGTCATGCCCAAGCGCGTGCATGAAGCCGACCTGCCCGCGGCAGCCATGGACAACTGCGTAATGGTCATGGGCGGGAAGGAGAGGACTGCTGACGGATTCAACAAGGTCCTGGAAGATGCCGGGTTGAAGATGGTCAAGATCTGGCACAGTCGCGAGGGCGGCGCGACGGGAAACATCGTTGAGGCCATGTTGCCAGCGGCAACCTCCTAGATAATGTATGTATAATGATGATCGTTATCGGGATCGAGTCGCATCTCATGAAGGACCTCCGCGAACACGGTGCGACGATACAAAGTTGGAATCGGCGATCATTAAGTCGAAGACACGTTCGTTATAGGATGAGACGGGATAGGAGCGCCGCGTGAAGGTTAGGGGCATTTGTAGGCATGAAGAGATGATATTCGAGGACTCCTTGGAAAGAATCCATACATAGAGTTCCTTCAAACACCGCTGGAGCAAGCAGGGCGTCTGCTCGCCTGAAACGAAGGTTACGAGGGAATAAATGGACAGGAAAAAGGACGTTTTCGCGTAGAAGAATTCAAGTGTACGAATTTCATGTCATTGTCTGACTCTGCCACCTGTTTCCGCCCACAGGTGGGTGCCGTCTAATTGGGCACTCCCTTTTCAACGCCGAGGAAAAAGGGAAAAGAAACAACACAGGACCGCCATCGCTATGCCCATTTGAATATTATTATTTTTACTTTTTTTTTTTTTTTTATTTTTCCTTCTTGCCGGCCTTGCTCGGCTTCTTGCGAGCGGCCCCTTCTGCAGCGCCGGCCCCAGCGCCTGCCGCCTTGATCTTGAGCTTGATTTGCGGCTCGGAGCTCGCATCTCTTGTCGCCTTGGTTGGCGTCGCTTGGACCGCCGCGTCACCATTGGCCTCTTTGGCTGGGCTTGTGCCCGCCTTGCTATCGTCAACATTGTTGACTTCCTTCAACCTGCTCGGAGGAGCCTTTTTGTCCCCCCTCTTTCCCTCTGCGCCGGTCCTCTGCTTCTTGTTCTTCGTGCCGGCCCCGGCGATGCTCTTGTCGTCGTCGTCTGCCTTTCTCTTGACACCGCTGTTCGTGCTTGGTTTGGGCGAATTGGCTCTGCTGTCACGGGGAGTACCCCCAATCTTTGCGTTCGCTTCGCGGCCAGCAGCGCGATCCTTCTTGAGGTAGCAGCTTCCATTGAGATGTGTGGCGAAGACATTGACGGATTTCCAGTGGTCCCCAAGGTGGGAGTCACGGTTGGGGCATTTGGCAGCTGGATAGTCGATCTCTTTGAACTCAAATGACTCGGTGGGCATAGACGATGATGGAGTCAGTGGGTCGGAGTTCTCAGACGCAGCCGGCGAGCTTGGATCGTCTTTCTTTTTGTTTTTTCTGCCTTTGGCCTGACCCTTGACTTTGACGCCTTTTTTGCGTTGGCCGTGCACATCGTGTTTATCAAGAACAATCATAGGTTCGGTTTTGCAGTACTGTTCATTGGCATCTGGAACAGGGCGGGAATTGTAGCCGACACGGGGATATAGCAAGCGGCGGAGACCACAATTCGGGCATCTGATATGCTTGACCGTCTTCATTGGGTTTCCTTTGAGCTGTACCAGACCGGACTTGAACACGGCAGCGTCAGTTTCGACAGTGGCAGGTTCGATATTGTCACTGTTTTCAGTGCCTTGAGAGGTTTTGTGGCCCAGTTTCTCAGCCCTCTGCTCGACTTCAAGGACAGCAGTCTGCATGCGAGCGATCTTTTCATCTTGGTGGATGTCGAGAAGAAGATCATGAAGGATACTTTCGATTGACTGTTCCAATAGATATGTGACCTGAAAAGCGTCAGCGGAGGAAGCGTGAAGCGAGCCTTTTTGGCCAACTAACCGCCTGTTCTTGATCAGACGTGGTCAAGCTAACACTGGAAGACTTTGAGCTGGAAATTTTTGTGGAAGCCATATCAAGAACGTCCTTGACTGGAGGTGGACAGTCAGCTGTGATTTCCTCATCTTCCACGAAGCGGTTCCACAAGTCGGCGTCGATAATGCTATTTGGGAACAAGGAGACGTATGATCTTCTGGGAGCCATACTCGGAGAACAAGAACAAGGGAAAAAGTAAGAGCCGACCAGCAGCCCTGTGCAGTATAACAAGACAGGATTTTGGGGGGAAAGTGGTGCATTTGTCTTCGTCGGGTACAACGATGAGGGAAAGGAAGTAGGACATATTTAAACCAAGACGCACGACAGCAGAAGCTGAATGGTCTATTGACAGCAGCACTTATGAAAAACAACAGAATTCATGGTGTTGTACACTATTGTCCGGCAGCGAATTCACTTACTGGTATTGTGATCTGCGTGGAAGACTTCTGCGCCTGTGCACTCTGCCTATTCAAACACCTTCGCACCCTACCGCACCCGACAACCTTCTATTCATTCAATAGCATCCATGTATTTTTTTTTTTTATTGGGCCACTCGATTTATATTGTCTCGCCCTGGAGAAGCGGGGTGGTGACGGATGTACAGGGAGCGCACACACTCCGGGGAAGGATCTTGCACACTCGAGGAGGCTCGTGCTCGTTAAAGGTACGGCTTGGTGTCCGGAAGTCTGGCAACTAGATGTTGAAGACAGGCTCAAGGAGTGCTCCGGCAGCAACTGGATATAGCTGTACCGACAAAACGTGAGAAGTCATTCAGGGGTCCGCCGCGGCTGTGGAAGTGAATGTGATGATGCAGGACGCAGAAGAGAAAAAGCCAGTATGGGGCTTTGCTTAGGGTTTCTTAGGGTTCGCTAAGGTCACTCAATAAGCATCAATAACCTTCTTTTTAGCGCCGGTAACTACCGCCCCTGATCGCCACTGCGCTGATCCATTCGGGCGACCGGCATCTTTTGTTATTAGCAGCTGTCCATCGCGGGGATTTTTGAGCACTGTACCTCGTACCAGCATCGGTAGAGGTTAGGATCCCATGAAGAAGGCTATGTCAACATGCACCAAGCTAGTCTTCTTTCGTATTTCTCTAAACCGGGGACTCCAACGCTCTCCATTCCGATAAACCCCAGAGAAAGGGTTTCCGACAAAAATGATAACAACGCGTGTCTGCGTCCGCGTGTTTCTCACAGCCAAGGGCCTGGTATCATCGAGGCAGCCCTAAAGCAAGCCTCTCAGAAGCCGGCCGTCCACACTTTGAAAGCCGACAAAGACCAAGTCGAAATCTTGAGACCTGAAAATGTCACCCAGGAGCCAAAGCGTGCGATTATGGAAGCTCAGACTACTTCAAGCGACCGCGTACAGCATTTTGAGGTAGTCTCTATTCCCCACCTCCCGGAAGCTCTTGTTGCATCAGTCTCAGCAGAACACCTTCCCGCAATTCAGCGTCTCACAGCCACAACCCTCCCTGTTCGATACAGCGATGCTTTCTTTACCACAACATTGACTGACCCAATCGTCAGCCAACTGTCTCGCGTCGTCCTTTACGCGTCGCAGCCTGTTGGCTGGATCCGCTGTCGTTTAGAGCCATGCTCGCCCAATATTTCTTTTCTCGCTCAGAGAAACCGGCCACCTTCCCAGATCTATATCCAAGCTCTAGCTCTCCTTTCGCCATATCGTAGCCTCGGCCTTGCAACACTGCTGCTGGACACTATCTTGTCTTCGGCCAGTGCTCAAGCTGCGGACACAGTGTGCATCTATGCACACGTGTGGGAGAAGAACGACGACGCGTTGGAGTGGTACTCCAATCGCGGCTTCAAGCGGGTCATGCTTGTGGAACACTATTACAGAAAGCTGCGACCGAGCGGTGCTTGGATAGTTAGGAAAGAATTGGATGGATCATGACTTCTCTACCTGAGTCGAAAGCCTCTTTCGATTCTTACGCCTCGAATTTTTCTACTACGAGAGTTACAAGCCACGACGACTCAGTTGCGGTACGCTAACATGGCCAGCAAGCAAGAGCTCCTACCTATGCTTTGCTTGCCGCACAAGCTCGAAGGTACCCATGAATGCACTTTGAGCACAGCACCTGTGGACTGTCTGTGCGACGACCACAATACAAGCGAGTCTCAACACGTGGGTATGCGGAACTAGTGCCTTTAGCGATCAGAGTAAAACCCCCCGCAAATAGCCACAAGGATTCGGGCGCTGCAAAGAATCTTGGGAGAGATGGGACGTCCTCTCAAATCAATGGAAAAAATTGAGGAGATGATGTACGCTTATACCTCCCCCATCCGTACTCCAGGATAATGAACTCCCCGACCAGGCTGCGATTCCTTTTCATGTCACAAGAGAGGACAATAGTCAATGTCGACCTGTGGAGGTGGTGCAGCACTCAACAATATTGCGGCGATTACAACGAGCCAATTCACATACAACTACAGGAAGACCGCAATCCATCCGTAACTGTTTTTCACGAGTTCGGATCAGGACCAGAACCTCCACAGACCGACATATCTATGCGATACCATAACAGCATCAAACATCCCATCACCCGGCAGTGCCTCGTGATGTGTGCTTGAGATGGTCGTGTCTTGAGAGATAGCAACCTTCGGCTCCCGATGACGGCCTTCAAATTGTTCTCTAGCAAAGCTAGAAAGGCTAGATCAACCCTAGCTGCGAGAAAGAGGTCAGACGCAGGTTGAGAACGGGCCTAATATCTTGGGTAGGATGTATTTGGTACAAGGCTTCTTTCAGGCTTTGTATTGCACTAGCATGTGATACTTTGATTTTATATACAATGGGTTCCGAGCCTTCAATGGAATGAAGGGCTTTCCGCCACGCAGACATGGCTTTACAGTACAGACGAGACATAGTTCTCCTCCATCTTCCGTACCTCCCGCTTGAAGATCTCCACTTCCTTCCAGCAGTCGAGCGGTTTCCGGTCGTTTATCCGCAGGCAGGAAATCACATCTTGTCTCCTGATTCTCGACCGTTAGCTTACTCGCAGAGGCGCTCAGAGCACAGATTCATGTTCCAGCAGGAGTTTGACTCACGCATTCTCCACCTCCTTCGGCACCTCTCTTAGCGTTTTCCGCTGTCCCAGCGTCTGCTTCAATTTCTCGATCTCCTGTTGCACTTTCTGGCTTGACGGAGCATTCCGTCTCTTGTCCTCATCACTGTCTGAGCCTGGAAGGAGGCCTCTGGGCGATATTTGAAGGAGCGACGAGTCTGACGAAGTCGAATCCGAGGTTGCCTCTCCGCTTTCAGCAATCTTCTTCCGTGCCTCCTCGAGGACTGAGGACTCGTGATTCCTGATCTTTTCTAGCTCGGCGGCCACGCGTTGTGCGATGTGCAGCTCTAGTGTCTTTGCACGAGTCGAGTTTGTCTATCCCAAAAACAGGAAGTGAGCATAAGCTCCTGCGCTGTGGTAAAACCTGTGTTTCGGACCGCGGCGGGAGAGGACATACTTCTGAGGATGCTTGAAGGGAGTCTATTAACCTGTAATACCTGTCAGTTGAGCTAAGGACAGCTATGGGCGCTAACAGCGCAATCACAGAGCCATGGGCATACTCTTGAGAAAACTGAATAGGTGTATCACTGGTGAAAACATGCTTGGTGGACTCGTCGGGTTTCGATTGACCTGCGCCCATTGTCGCGGCTGGTTCGGGGGCGTCAACAGTTGTGTAGCTCTGTTGTGATCTTATTGTGACATACCCCGGATTCACTTCGAACTGCTCGCAGGGTAGAGGTCTTGACGAACAGGACCTTTGCTGTCGCTTCCCGACACCTTCCTTTGAAGCTCCAATAATTGCATTGACTGACGGAAATAAAACTCTTGGCGGGCTCCAGCATCACCCAAAAAAAAAACTCCTCTAAGCTACTAGAGGAGCGCATATGACAACTGCCGCTTTAGAGCTCACTGACTCCAGTTCTAGTAGGTTATCCTCCTTTGGTCCTCACAACTACTCGTGTTCCTCTCCTCCGTCCCCTCATCTCTCGTTTAAAGTCCCACTTACCATGCAGCAAGATGCAACTATCAACGGGCCGTCGGAATCTAGTGAAGAGCTGGTGGAAGATTATCACGCGAAAACCGCAAATGAGATTCACCCAAAGAAAATCCAAGCTAGCAGTTGGGTGGTAGTTCCACTCTTGATACGTGGACAACGCTCCCTCGTCAGCATGCTGCACACACCCAGAAGCAGTCGTTGCTCGGTGCAAGTCAACGTGGAAGTGGGGGAATCATGCAAGCGACGCGGAGTTCTCCCAATCTTCTGGGTCTTGAAGACCTGGCGCTCCCCTTCCTGTGTAACCTGGTCAATTCTCGACCTCTAAGCATATGCTTCCCAGCAAGCAGGGTTGAAAATGCGTGTTGCCATCATTGGAGCCGGACCAGGAGGCCTGGTTACGTTGAAGTATCTCCTTCAAGCAAATCAGGACTTCAACGTCGCACCCATTGAGGCCAGACTCTTTGAAGCCCAAGATGACATTGGAGGCACATTCCGCTATCGCACCTATCCAGAGGGCGAGGTAACACAGGGCCTTTTCCCACAATCCAATAGTGACTGGGCTGATTCTAAGCAGATGGTGTCTTCCAAAGCCTTGACCACTTTCTCAGACTTCAGGATACCGCCAGAACGGACTGATTGCGGTGACTTTCTCTCCATGGCCCAATATATCGAGTACCTCGACAACTACTGCGATCATTTCAAATTACGACCTCACATCAATCTCAATACTGCGGTAACGAATGTACGACGGGGCAAAGATGGCAAAGGCCATATTGTGACCTATTCTTCAAAGGACGGGATAACAGAGGAATGGGCCTGCGATGCTGTTGCAGTGTGCTCAGGGCTGCATGTGGACAAGGTTGTGCCCACGATTCCCGGGATCGAGAAAGTGCCCACTGTCATCCATTCCTCTCAGTACAAAGGCCGACATATATTTACCGAAGGCAGCAATGTCGTGATCCTCGGTGTTGGAGAAACGGCAATGGACATGGCATATTTTGCGGTGACTTCTCCTACCAATTCGGTGACGCTTTGCCATCGAAATGGATTCGTCCTGGCGCCAAAGGTAAGATACCTCTTTCGTGAGTGGAAAATCTCGATATAGTGACCTGTGCTATCCACAGCATGTTGAACGTTTCGTCGTCATGGGGAAGCGGGAAGCCGAGTACAACCCTTCTCCGATTGACACAAATTGGAACTGTCTGTTCGACACTGCTTATGCACATCCGAAGCTGCGGAACTCTCGTTGGCCGTGGGTGTTCTATGACTGGTGGACGAAGGGCGCTTGGATCCTCTTGAACAATACGCGTTATGGATACGGTCAGCATGCGGGAATTATCAAGGGCTATCATATGTCCGAGAGTGAGTTTCTCTGTTCTGCATGGAGTTCCAGGTCGTAATACTTATCCCGTCTAGTTCTCTTTGTGAAGTCCACCAAAGTCCAACCCTATTTCGACAGGCGCTACATCAAAGACAGTCGACTGAGGCGGTTCATGGAACGCATCATTGACCTACCGCGGATTGACACGAAGGGCCGCACCGTCAAATTTGCCCCATTTCCAGAATATGTTGATGACGAAGGCGTCATCCATTTCCAGAAGAACGATACACAGGAGTCGAAGCACATAGAGACCTTGAAAATCAAGCCAGACGTTGTGATCTTCGCCACTGGCTACCAGCACCTGACATTCCCATTCCTGAGTCAAGGATATCCGCATTCTAACGATGTCGATGTTCGTGCTATGTGGAAGGATGGTGACGAGACGGTTGCTTTCATAGGATTTGTTCGGCCACAGATCGGTGAGTCTTCGATTTCTGCCGTCTGTATATCCCCTCCTGTTCTTTGTGGGACTGCAGACGTCTTGTCGCCCCTCTACCTAGATGCTAACACCGAATGATTCTTAGGTGCAATTCCTCCTCTAGCCGAGTTCCAAGCTCAGCTCTGGGTGCTTCGAATCCTCAATCTTCTTCCAGAAGCGAGCCTACGGTCATTGGATCCAGCGCTGAATCCCGACGGCGAAGAGTGGTACAGGCTGAAGACAAAGCCTGAACATCGTATCCATCATGGTGTCGATCATGAATCGTACGCCTACCAACTGGCTCTTGACATGGGCTCCGCACCATCCGCCGCGCAGGTGTTGAAGCATGGATGGAAGGTATTCATCGTGTGGGCCTGCGGATGTAACATGAACACCAAGTTCAGATTGGTGGGCCCATGGCGGTGGGAAGGAGCCGAAGGAATGATGAAGGGAGAGATGTGGGAGTTGATCAAGAGACGACCATTTGTCTGGGGTGAGTTCTTTTTCAGATCTGGAACATCACAAGATGCCGTCTTCAAGCAACAAACTCCTCTCTTTATGCTTCCACTGCCACCATCACTTCCATTGTGAACAAGGTCACTGACCATGGGCATCCGTTTAGGACATATTTTGCTCAACGCTCTCCCCATGTCAATCTTCGGGCCGCTGAGTTTGTTCTATTGGATTTACTACAGCATGTTTGATCCTGTCCTGAGAAGATTGGGCATTTCGAGGTCGCGAAAGGTCGATGGTTACATCAAGCTGGTCTAGAAGAGACCTTGCAGAGGAAAGGGAGTACATACTTGCTGATGAGACTAAATTGACCCAAGGGGTATGATCGCTGAGGCAACCCCAATGACAGCAAAATCTCGTACATAAATTGTCCATACTTTTGCGATTGGCGCAGGAGGAGCTGGTGGGAATCAATCACCATTCTATAATTCAAATGAATACTTGGCTTGATCTGAGCCAAAGTCTGAGCCCGGATACGGTGGAGAAATTGTCTTTAAGACGCAATACTTTGCCGTAGCAGTTGCCTTTTTAAGGGGAGCTTCAGCCTTAGTCCCTTTCCTTTTATCACTCACCATACTGGACATTTCGATGGTTCGGAAAAGTCCAGGACATATATCGTCTATGGACTGGCCGCCTCAGGAAGCCATTCTCCCGTTACCTTTGTACTTCTCTGTTGAACTGCAAAATCTCATACCCCATGTTCTTACAATAATTCTGGCCAGCTATTTGATGGTCATAAGAGGCTACCAAAGACAAGTAGAGTCTGAAGAATGTATCCCGGTCTTTCCGCAGCGGTACTGTCAAGTCCCTACTGTCCCCAACTTTGATCCCAGCTTTGTGAGTGACATGAAAAAGGGCAACAGCCGCTGGCCGCGAACGAATTCAGACAGCACTGCGCACTATCATGGCTAGGATTCCTCATTGTGCCGCTGCACATGGTGATCACGCCGCGTCCACTCCAATTTGCATAGATCCAAAGCCTCAGAGAGGTCTCCAGATTTATGTGTAATTCGGAGGCAATGACGCCAAGGCTTTTTCCCACGCTGTGTATATGGATATACGACTCCAACACTTCTTGAAAATGGATCCGTGTCCGCACTCACTCACAACACAAAAATTGATCTTTGCCCAGTCAGATTATGGAAGGTAATGTCTTCCAGGACTATTGACAGCACATGAGGCTGTGAAACAAGTCTCAGACCGCAGCATGGTTTTTTGTTCATCACTCCAGGCTAATCATCTGATTGATGTATAATTCAACGTCCCACACAGCAAACTTGGAAATCTTATATTGGACAAAATTTGCAGATTGTGTCAGAAATATCGTTGATTATTGGTTCGGAGCACTTGCTAGAGGAGAGCGTAGAGCTATACGTTGAATGTAAAGGCCAGCGCAAGGCGTCACACGGCAGAAGTGCAACGCGATATGAATGAGTGCGATTCAAGCACTGTCCAATGCACTGACAAACGGCTCAGCTCCGAGATAGAGCAATGATCGTTCACGCATGCCATCTACGACCATCGCCATGATAATCCTCCCCTATGAAAGGATGGATCATTTCTGGATTCAATTCAAGCAAAAGACTCCCGACAAATCTGTATACGAGTTGTTCCAAAAAGAGGTTCGCAAGGTAAGGGGCTGACGAAGAGCGCAAACAATTATGGCACCTCGAGCATGAAGATATAAGGCCATCACACAAACAGGTATGATCCTTGTCGACCATGCAGATATGGACGCCGAAGATTGGAAGTCTCAATCTGCTGGTCTTTGGGTCTGTTACTTCTGCGGCTAGTTGCACCAGCACCAGCACCTACAGTCTGCCGCCAAAGATGACATGCACCCAGAATTAAATACTTAGAACAAGTCCAGTTCTTCTTCGGCGTATTCTGAAAGGAAAAGACGTGGCAGACAAAGGCAAGACATACACGCCAAAACCCTCCTGAGAGGGGGTTGTAGGTAAGTTTCTTAACCAGTGTCAACATTGACAAATCTGTGTATCTAGAATACTAGACGCCTGTGAAGGGATGTCTACCATTGTCCTATGCAAATCTCATGTCACGGATATGCCTTTCTTCCCATGGACTTACAAATTGCCATACTCTGCACCTAATGTGCGATAACGCAGGTCATTCAACGTTACCTTGCTAGTCCAGCTGTGCTTGCGTGTTGGGGTAAGCCAATCTCGGCCGCCCACTATACTTCGGCCGAACTGATCCATTTCATTTTGTTGGCTGATAACATCCAACCACTCCGCTTCGGGCCAATCAAAGCTGCTTTGACAGGCCGAGCAATGAATACACATATCTAGGGAGTATATATGTCAACCAGATCCCAACGAGCTTGACCCGAACAATAGAGGTCTTTGATCTGGAACAAAGAACTAGCATAATGGCAATCCTATCAGAAATCCTCCGCTTCGTTCTACCGCCCACCAAAGCCAAAACGACAGAGTTTCTCAAGCTCCGGCAGCACGTTTCGCGTTCCTGCGGCATCCACGACCAATACTTCGGATACATCACCCCGGTCAAGTCCTCAGCCTTGCCGGTCAAAGAGAATGAGATGTGTTGGGTCATTCGTTCGTTTTCCCCAATTTTCTATCACACCCTCTCCCCCAAATCAGTCCTGCATGGGGCGTTCAGTCACAAAGGAGGACGAGGTCGCTGATAATGTTCGCAATGAACCCAGATTGGCCACAAGGCTCCCCCAGCCTCAGTCAAAATGCAGAGCTGAGAGCCCAGCTGAAGGAGCTCACGTCGGAGGCCACCACTGATCAAGCAACAAGAGGAGCGACGTCTCTTCTCTTCCGATTCGAAGAATCCCAAGTCCCAGAGTTGAAGAAGGCACTGGAAGCTCCTGTCTGCGAGTTTGTAAGTCCAAACCCTACCCACCCCCGAAAGCAAGGAAGTCCAAGAACTCTTCCGTCTCCATGCCTGTATCTATCTTAATCCATCCATGTCGGTTTTCTGTTGTTGTTTTCACATCACCAGCCCCAGCCCTTTCCCCCCCTGCAAACCGTAAATACCCCAAGACGCGCGCGCGTGAGAGAGAGAGAGAGAGCGAACGTCCACGAATCCTAGAAAAGAAAGAAAGATAAAAACAAAAACATGCAAAGCAGGCAAGACAACACAAAAAGCACACACAGACACGCAGAAGAAACAAACGCATTGTGTACATACGTGAAGAGGAAAATAAAAAACTAACAGCACCAAATTCGAAAAAGGCAATCATAAACCTCACGCCGAACCACCCACCCAGAACAGCAGACTCTCCCTTCACCAAGTCCATGCACAAGACGTACACGGATTGCTACCACTATCCGGGCTTCACGGGCGGGAACTGGTCGTACGCGGTGAACACGAATGACACGAGCGGCGTGGCTCTGGCTCTCGACTACGGTGTTGACGGTGCAGGCGGTGCTGCTGCTCCGACTGACAAAGGGGATCATCAATGGAATGGAAAAGAAGAAGAAGAAGAAGAAGTTCCAGAACCCGAGCGGCGACTCGCGTGCTATTACTTGGGATGGGATACGATTGAGGTTAGTGTCTCAGCGTCCTCACCGTCGAGCGTTCCAGCTGATATGAACAAACGCAGCACCATCAAGAATTTTCCAACACCCCCCTGTTCTTCGAAGAGATCAATAAACTTGCCCCATACTTCGGTCCCGGGACAGGAGCATGGTATGTCATGTTTGAGAGACACACCGATTCTCTGGAGTCGGGACCACGATAGATCGCAATTGCAGACAAGGTAGCCTTCACTCTTTGACTTCGTGTTTCATTAAAATTAGAATATCTCTGCTGAATTTCAATGAGTACAATGCAATGTGCCTCTGCTTTCAGCTCCGCACAACCATATGTATCCTACGCGGCCGAGACTCTCTTGTCTTCCAACAATTTAACGGTCTTTGCAAAGGAATGTACACAAGACTGAAAGCAAAGGCATTGGTTTCCAAGCCTCCAACAATGCTTGGATTTCAAAACCCCCAACGATCCAATTTTGTTTTGCTGTTTCACAAACCAGCGTCCTTAAGACTACGCTCAATGCCCTTCTTGCGCTGAGCGTCAACCACCAACAAGCTTCGCTCCTTCAGGACGGCTTCGAGGGTATCCACAACTTTGTAAAAACTGCTCGCCGCTCCCTTCTCCTGTGTAAACTTCATAATACTCAAATTGGCTTTTCGGCCATGCTCAAGGACCGAATACAGATAGGCATGGAAATGAACGGGCTTGAGTTGGAGATCTGTTCACGAGTTAATCAGTTTGCATAATGTCAAACAGCACACGGATCACTCACAATTTGATGCATCAACCCGCCCTCTCACCACGTCACTGCCTCCACGTCGTTCCGACACCACATCTCTCAATCCATACTTGCGCCAATCTTTCAAAATCTTAATAAGCTCTTTCTTCGCTTTTCCTTTGCTGATTTGAAGACAAATCACACGGGTTGCGGGTCTGATGCGAAAGAATTTGGCGAACCAATTCTGGCTAATTTCAATAGGAGCAACTGCAGCTGCTGCCATCGCAGCATCGACACTCGTTGCTGGAGGATAAGATTTCCGGGGTACAACTCCAGCACCTGCGCTGACCACTTGATTTGGCTCGTTAGATTCCGTGCCGTCCGATAGGTCTCGCACAATGCGATGCTTAGTCGTAGTTGCTGAGACGTCGTCCCTGGGCTTGGTTGTTCTGCCGAACATCTTCTGGAACCATTTTCTCTTCTTCTCCATCTGTAATTCAATGTCACCCGACTGTGGTTCGCTGCCTTTTGTCGTAGAAAGCGTCGAAGAATTGCCGGACTCGCTTGGTTGGACAATTTGGGAGGTATTGGAATAGGTATCTTGCGCGATCTCTTCTGTAGACTTGCTAGAATCTAGCGGATCTTGAGGACCAGATCCACGTTTTCCAAGCCAGGACCATTTGCGTGTGGCGTTGGACGACATTGGAAAGGCCTTCTTCTTCGGCGACCCCGGGTTCTCGTCGATTGTGTCAAGTTCCCGTTTTGCATAGAGGCGTGGGTCATATCCTGCACGCTCGTATGATTCGATTGGACCACCTCTCAGTGAATTTATCGGCACAGCTTTGTTCTTTTTGACTCGGAGAGGCTCAATTCGAGCGAATGGCGACGTTGGATCTGGAGTAACGAGGCGAATTGTGGTGTCCTTTTGCGCCTGAGGGGTTTCGAACCTTACGGGAGCCGAAGCTGCTCTAGAGCTATCCTCTCTGCTGCGTTTCAGCTCTTCCATTGTGTCGGCTGGTGATATAGTACGATAATACCTGCTCGGCCCAGCGCCATGAGTTGGATCAGAGGCCGCTCGCTTATCACACATTCTCTGCTTATCCAACTCAGCATCAATGCGCTTATCAACAGCAGCCAGCATGTCAGCAAGAACATTTGCATCAGCATCACCCCAGGTCTCAATGATCTTCTGCCGACGTTCTATCAATTCTTGAAGTACTGGAGTTGCAGGAAGCGGTCGATCGCGAAGGCTCTCTGGTACTCCGTAGGCATGCGCTGCCATAGATGTTGCAGATGAATCCAACGGGGGAGCTGGGCTCACTTCGCTGGCCGTGGACACTGATGATCGATTGAAAGCTTCTTCACAGATCTTGCCAAGTTCAGCACTGACCTTGCGCGTTTCATCTTTCCAGTAATAGCTGGCCACACGCGGCTTCTTTACGTCAATCTCAGAGCTGGATTTGCGAGGACGATAGGCTTGGGAGGGTGTCGGTAGACTCGGATTGCTCTGCGTCTCAGATCTTCCGTTTGTCGTACTGCGAGTGCCAGGACGGTCTGCAGGATGAACATCCGGGATCAATGCTCGGGCACGGGGGTTAGCGGTACCAGAGGAATTCTGCCGGCGGTGTTGGAAACTGACTTGTCGCTTGTAGCTCATCGACTTTCGGATACCAGGAAGACGCCTCGTGCTAGACAGGGAGCTTTTGGATGTTGCTGTCGAGTACGAAGCACGCTTCTTCTGGATGAGTTTCTCGAGCTCTTCTGACGTGAAACTTGGGAGAGCGGGCACATCTGGCCTCAATCTATCCACAGCCTTATGCCTTACGCTGCCAGCCGAGCTCACAGACCGACCCCCTGGAGTGACTGGGCGTTGGCGAACGACGACTGTGGGGGGCTCAAGAGTGTCTCCAGCGATTGGAGTCCTGGAAGCTCGATAAGGATCGTAGCTGCTCTGCGTAGCTTTGCTTGCAGCAGTGCCAGGATTCTTATAATATCCTTCGCGCCTACTATTGTCATCGCTGACAATGGAGAACTGAGAAGCTCGTCGATTGTGTCCACGGCCGTTGGGGCCACGCTTGGGCTTCGATATCGGTTTGCTGACATGATGATAGTCACTGGCAGAGTAATGAAGAGGGTCGCCTGGGTAGTTCTCAAGCTGGTCATCTCGAAATTTAACCAATGCCCAATAGAAGAGTTTCTCATGGTTTGGTTCTTCGCTCATGAGTTGTTTGACCAGCTCTTCTGGTTTTTTGCCATGCCATAGAGTCGACAGGTTTCTCAGAATTTCCGTGTCGATTTCTGAACGCTTAGTAACGCGTTTGCCTTGCGCCTCGATACTCAGGGGTGGAGCTGCGCCGATGAGAGGTTCGGGTGCCACCAGGCTTGCATGATACTTTTCATACTTCTTGAGAAGTGGATGAGCCCAGATCTGTTCCATGGTAATTCTTTTTTCCGGTCGCTTCTGTAGAATACGCTGGATGAGATCTGACGCTTCCATGCTCAGAGTTGGAGGCAAGTAGTACTCTCCTTTCTTGACCAAGCGCAACGTGTTGGGCAACGTTCCGCCGTCAAAAGGCAAGAAGCCGTTGAGCATTGCAAACAAGATGATCCCTGTGCTCCAGATGTCAGCTTTGTCACCGCGGTATTGGTTGCCTTGTATGATCTCAGGTGCCGCATAATGTGGACTACCGCATGAAGTGTTCAGCCATGTACCGTCGGGCTGCAGAGCTGCCATGCCGAAGTCCGCCAACTTGATATTCCGGCGGCTGTCGAGGAGGATGTTCTCCGGCTTGAGGTCACGGTGGCAGATGTTGAAACGATGACAATACGACAGACCGGCAATGATCTGACGAAAGAGTCGGACTGCTTCCTCCTCTGGTAGAGCTCCATTGCCCGAAACGTAGTCGAATAGCTCACCACCTGCGACATATTCAAGGACCAAGTAAAGCTCGCCACGATTCTCCCAGATATCGTAGAGGTTGATGATGTTTGGGTGTTCAATCAACTTCATGATAACAACTTCACGTTCGATACCGAATGGCATTGTTCGAGGGCCCGTGGCGATCATCGAAGCAGTGTCTTCATCGTCCATACGAGCCATACTCGCACTCTGGACAAGAGCGGCTGACTTCTTAGAGACGATTTTGACTGCCGCTGTCTGTCCAGTCACTGCATGTTTTGCCAGGCGAACTCTTCCAGTGGCTCCCTTCCCCAAGGTCTTTCCTAGTTGCCATGGCCCAACATGAGTCTTTCGTTTTCCCTTTATCGTAGCCGATGTTGCTGAAGCCGTGGAGACTTGCGAGTCCCTCTTGCTCTCTGCGGCAATATCATCTGCTACAGTGGAAAGTCGCTTGTTTTCGACGGCAGGGACTTTGCCGACAGCATTCTCACGGACGGATAGATTGCCTTCAGGTTTGAGCGATTCGTGGTGGGGCAGACGGGGTGATGGGCTCGCAGGGGCTTGGGCGCGACTGTAGGGCAAAATCGGCGTAGGCGGTGCTCTGGGTTGAATTTCAGCTAGTGCATTTCTCTTGGTAGGTGGCCTCTCTGTCTTGGATGGGAGAGGAGCGCGTCCGCAAGGTCGGTTGGACGACCTGAGGGAGGACGACATCATACGCGCCCTGCTGTTAACAATCTCAAGCGCACAAAGCTAGAGTCTCCATCCAACGCGCCTGGGAAGGAGTTAGTCACAAGCAGAAAGCGGCCGAATTGACAACATACGTATCTGGCCGCGTGGGTGTTGTCCGTATGCAGAGCGCAACAACTGAGGTGATGGAAGAAGAAGGGTAGATCACATGCAACCTCTCGATGTCAACATGTCAACAATGATTGAATTGCATTTTGCACATGGGTTGAATTCTGCCAGTCCTCTGATGTGAAAGTTGCGTCCTGGGTACTGCACAGCCTCGACCACAATTTCTCCTTGTTCCGTTCTCTTCACGTCCGCAACTATGCTCGTCTTCCTTCGCCTGGTGTACAGTATGTTTGCTTTGGCCAGAGCCAGGTGACTGTTGATGTCAGGCTTGATATATGATTGGGTCAGGCTGAGGAATGTTGGCGCATTGGGCGCATTGAGCAATGAGCAATGTTCTAGGTGAGTCCAAAAAGCGAACCAAGTTGCAAGTACCAAAATGGGGGAAGAAGCATCCAAAAAAGAACGACTTGAGGAGCCAACAAGATCTTGATGGGACAAGAGAGTTGCTTGCCCTCGCTACAGAGAACTGAACGAAGCATTCTGCAACAGCGGCAGGCAATGTTGGTGGGTTGGGAGGTGCATCGCATTGCATCGATAGCAGCTGCCGACAACACCTCTCGAGAGTCTTTGTCAATCCAGACGGCATTCTTTGTTAATCTCGATACCAAGAGCAACCGGCGGTATGAACATGACAACGGGCAGGGACCACGGAGTACTCATCGGAAGGTCTTTGACAGCCATCAATGAAATGCCTGCTTTTCACAGCATTATTTCACCCTGGGACGACACCTGTCAAAACCTGGGTGCAGCTCGCCATGATGTCCGCTGGCTTGTGCATGAGTGTTTTTGTGATCACCCCGTTGGATGTCGATGCCTGTCCACATGGGTACATCTCAGTATCATGATTGAAGCCACAAGCCACGGTACTGGGTACTCCAGACACTGAGAGTACAGTTTATATTTGTTGTCGTCGTTGATGTGTTCGTGGGTCTCGGAACGGAGTTGACAGTTCGCCGACGGGAGCTACTTGTCCAACAAGTGCCAAAGGTGGGGTGACGAAGTGAGGATAGTGAGGATGAGCTGCTGGGCACTGGGTAGGTACTGGGTACTTGGACATCTCACGCCTCGCCCCTCATTACCTACTTGTACTTGGTACAGTAGGTGCTTGGCTGTTTAGGTGGGGAGGCCCCTAGGAGACATGGAGCTTACCTGGAGCTTACCCTGACGGCTCCTAGTCAGGCCCGGAAAACGGCTCGCCGGACCCAGAGATCGAATCCCAGCCACTCACAGTATCGAGCTTGAGCTCCCCTGCTGCATCCATCTTACGACACCTCCTCAATGCTCCTCCTGCCGCGCAACACCTATTTGCTTCTGCATGTCATAGACTTTGATCGATCCGGAGTGAGCAGGATATCGTTTTCGCTGCTGCCTGTTTGAACGATCTCGACCTCCTTCGATTCCCGTTGTTTCCTCTTTCCTTTCTCTCTTCAGCGTTTCACACTCACCATCCTCATCTGTCCCTACCTCAGTCCACCATGAGATGCGTCGCTATCCTCTCGACGGCGGCTATTGCCTCTGCCTTCGTGATCCCAGATCAGGCTACTTTCGAGACTTTGTCCATTGAGAATCAGGAGATCGACTACCCTTCAGAGCACCCTTTCTGGAACAAGTTGCACCAGGCCGAAAGTTTCTGGGAAGATCTTGAAGAGGAGTTTATACAGGTTGCTGAGAACGCCAAACACGCATTTGCTGAGACTGTCGATTTGGCACATGATACGGCCGTCCGCTATAGCGAAGATTTCCAGGACGCCTTTGCGGGGGAGGCTTGGTTAGACACTGCAGAATACGATTTGGACCTATTCGAAGAGCCTCCTCATCACGGCCCACCGCACCACCCACCTCACCATGGACCTCCGGGCAAGAAGCCTCATCACCCGCACCATCCTCACCATCCTCACCACCCTCCGAATCAGACCATCTGGGAAATGATCTCAAAGAGCAAATATACGACGAAGCTAGCCGGTGCCGTCAGGGAATTCCCGGATCTCGTCGAGCTGCTGAATAGCACCAAGGCGAACCACACCATCTTTGCTCCGACTGATCGAGCATTCGAGAAGATCCCCAAGCATGCCCCGAAGCCACCCAAGGAGTTTTTGGAGAAGCTCCTGACATACCATATTTCGCCTGAATTCTATCCTGCGCCTCGTATCCTGGTCAGCCGAACCATTCCAACCGCTCTCGAAGCCAAATTTATCGGAAAGGTGCCACAGCGGCTTTCCACCCAGCTCTCCCTGAGAGGATTGACTATCAACTTCTACTCTCGCGTCGTTGCGGTGGATATCTTTGCAACAAACGGAGTGGTTCATGGCATCGACAGCATTCTCCTTCCTCCACCGAAGTTTGTGGATATCATCTCGGCCCTGCCAGGCGAATTTAGCACTCTCGACCTCGCTTTAGAGAAGACTGGCCTGTATTCGGCTTTCAATGACACATCAAGCCACAGTGGAGGCACAATCTTCGCACCCTCCAACTTTGCCTTTAAGCGGCTTGGCCCGAGGATCAATGCCTTCCTATTCAGCAAGTTCGGCCTAAAGTATCTCAAGGCTCTAATCCTGTACCATGCTGGTGACAACATTACTCTCTATTCAGATGCCATCTACAAACTCGACACGGATTCGCACCCACCACCTCACCACAAGGTGCCCAAGGGATTGATTCACGTCGACCTTCCAACGGGCCTCGATGGCAAGAGCCTGAGCATCGACATTGCTCGATTTGGTCGACTCATCACTATGAAGGTCAACGGTTTCACTCGAGTTGCTGTCCTTGATGGTATTGCGGCCGATGGCGTCATGCACGTTATTCCCAATGTCCTCATACCGCCCAAGACTCCTGGTGGACTCGCAGTCGCCGAAGACGATATGGATCTTGAAGAGTTCAAAGCAAGGCTGGCACCGTTTGTCGAACCAGAAGAAGGTGAATGGGTCGAGGAAGACCCCGAACTATAATGATGCAAGCTGTTGAGTGTTGAAGCTTAGAGAAAGGTTGTCAGAAACTTCCCAAAATATATGTATAGGTGTTGGGCGGATATTATCCAATTGGGCTGCGGATGGGCCAAGCTTAATGACTTACGATCATCATTGGGATCTATAACATGAAACGATTATGGAATCTCAAAATAGCAACTCAATGCAAGCACCGAATCGAAGTTGTCCGGTAAATCCCATGCTAGCCTGTAACCTCTTGCGGTCACCTCACCAATGAGCCTCCGTAATCTTGGCCGTGACACTGCCGTCGTCAACGTCTACGCCGTCGACGAACCACCTCCCTTCGATCCCCTCCTCTGGCACGGCGGCCCCGTCCCCATTCTTCCCCAATAAGATATCATTGCCACTCATCTGTCTCTTCCTCATTTTCCCGGTTTCCCGATCAAAAGTCCAATCCTCCAATCCGTAGCACCTCTTCCACTTCATGCCATCATGTCTGTCCTGATACTCGTACCAGAACTGCACGGCAATCTTGTCGTCCGTGAAGGCGAACAGCTCCTTTCGGAGCCGGTAGGAGGCCTCCTTCTCCCACTTCTTGGTAAGCAGGTCGATGATCTGAGGGGTGCCGCGGATGAAGGAGGTGCGGTTGCGCCAGATGCAGTCGCTCGTGTACCCGTTGGAGACCTGGGCCGGGTTACGGGAATTCCACATGTTCTGGGCGAATTTGACCTTTTCATGCGCGGTCTTCAGTGTGAATGGAGGTCGGAGGGCGGCCATTTTGGTGCTACTGAGAGGAGGTGTGTTTGCGCCCTTGTTGGTTCTGAGGGGACTGGTCCTGATAAAGTGATGTGTTCAGGGAAGAAAGAGAGCAGCACAGGGGTGACGGCGATCGTGCTTCTGGAGGGAACTTTTGGTGAGATGCTGGGAAAGAGCTGGAGTCTGAGAGAACAACACTCGACGATGGAAGCCACTAATATACGTTGCAGAATCGGCAGCAAGGGATCATCAGACGACATCTTCGGGTCGAACAGTGTCGTCCCATTTCCCCCCGAAGCCTATTCATTCAACCCACCTTTAGTAATGTCAAAGGTTCGAGCGGGCGTCCTCCATCGCGTTCAGCCTTGTAGGTGTCATCCAACCAGGAGTCGGACTCGATGGGATTCATCGAGGACCCCAATAGCAGCAAGACAACGTCCCACTCGATGCTGGAGGAGGCGATCGAGACCTTCCAAGAGCAGCAAGGACCGTCCATCTGGCTTGCCGTCACGACCCTTGTGGAATACATGAGCCTTAAACGATTTGGCAAAAGTATGTTTTCCCGATCTGGTCAGTCAGATCCATTAAGCGGCGCCAACCGACGGAAAACCAGCGAGACCGAAGTCCTGACCTGGTCTAGCCTGCCTGCTTGCAACGCAAGCTCGTTGCCACGTACCCCATCTTGGCCCATCCAACAATGCTCGCTGGCCCCTGAGGTCTGGGGATGGAGGAAAAGCAGCAGGAAAAGAAAATGCAGCGGCAAGTTTCTTTCGCTAGGCCTTGCTGACGAAGACTACGGGATTGGTGGTAGGAACGATAGAACCCCCCCGGACCAGAGATCAAAATACGCGGTGTCGAAGAAGAAGCCGACTTTCTACAAAGCACGGAGGACAATTCCGCTCGCGCAAATTTGTCAGGACTTCGGAAAATAGTAATTCCACAGAAAATGCAACTTTGCCTGTTGTGGACCATCGCGCGGGGCAGCGACGTCGGCTGTGCCGCGGCCGCTTCGAAGAGATGTCGAGTCAATGAGGGGCTGCCGCAGTCGGCAAAACACCTGCACTCTTTGAAAACAGAACGATCTACAAATCTACAAGGCATCTTTGTTTCAACGCTTGATCTACCGAGTACTTTGGCCAAACATTTGGGTAACGGGCTAGTTCTCACCTGACGAGCCTGAATATCAGATTTACGATCCACAATGGCCGGTCTCAAAGAAGGGGACCAATTTCCTCCTGACGTTGTCTTCTCGTGAGTCCATTCCGTCCCGCCCTCTCCTTTCCTCTCCTCCCACTCTCGCTCTCTACCAGGCGCCTGTCATAGCAGTAAATATCCTGACGCTCTTGGTCATTTGTTTCCTCCGCAGCTACGTTCCCTACACCCCGGAAAGCGCGAGCATTACCAGCTGCGGAATCCCGCAAAACTACGACGCGTCGAAAGAATGGGCGGATAAAAAGGTCGTTCTCTTCGCCGTGCCCGGTGCCTTTACTCCGAATTGCAGCGCCAGGCATCTGCCGGGCTACATTGAGGCGCTACAAGCTATCAAAGGGAAGCAGGTGGATGTGGTCGCCGTGTTGGCGTACAACGACGCTTTCGTCATGAGCGCGTGGAGCAAGGCGAACGGAATCAAGGATGAGATTGTGAGTTGTGTAACCCCTTCTCTCTATATGTGCGGATTGGGGTCAGGCAAGGACGGTCCAGAGTCCGTGTTCAAGGACCAAAGCGGCAAACAAAGCTACTCTACCTGATCAGGGAACGACAGGATGTGATGACTGCTTCCTTTGTCTGGTGATGCCTGCCTTTCACTAATCGTTTCCGTGTGGAAGCTGTTCCTCTCCGACCCAGAAACCAAATTCTCGAAAGCCATCGGCTGGAACCTCGGTGAGCGATGCGCACGGTATGCGATGATCATCGACCACGGCAAGATTGTCTATGCAGAGAAGGAACCTGGACGGGACGTAACAGTAAGCTTCCCAATCCTTTCCCCGGGTCCATGATGCAGGTCGCGCGCCATAGGGGCTGGGCCCGAGGAAGCGGCAACTTTCCGACGGGTTCAGCCTCACTACCCTTGCGTCCCTTTCATTTGGCGCTTCGCTCGTCGATGAGGCACAGAATGCTCCTTCCTGTACGTCCAATCCTCTGAGCTAACACGGGCATCCGTAGGTTTCCGGAGCAGCTGCTGTCCTTGCCAAACTATGACCTGACACAGCAGAGAAAAATATCTACGCCTGTCAAAGCCCTTGTGTGGCGATCTTGACCACCAGGGGGAGCCTTATGCATGACGGCTGTGAAGAGTGTCAGTCCCGGACTCGCAGTCATGCCATCCTGACAAAGATAGAGAAGCTGCAAACTGGTGAAAGGATTTGACTCAGATCTGCCTCAACGTCTGCACTAGACTGCTTCTAGTGACGACGTAGATCAAGATAGATTTAGATACAAGTCGCTGTTTGTCCAGCATTGTGCGATATTGACGCCTTCGCTCATTCGTCCGTTGCTTGCATCTGACAAAGTTGATTCTCCAAATTTGAATGATGTCGCCGAAAATGATACCACACCCCAAATAAGAACGCTCACGGCATGCGCAGCAGATCTTCAAACTCTGGCAATCTTCGATTCGTCTTGTTTTTGTCGCCAGCGTTTGAGGTCTCGATAGCATTGACGACAGTCCCGTCCGGCCCTAGCTCGTAATCATCGTAGAGAACGGGTGCCGGACTGGAGGCGTTCGGGAATGCATCGAATTTGTCGGGCATCACCTTTTGGCTGCTCCCTCTGTGGCGATGATGAGGGTAATTGAGATGAGGATGAGAAGAGGGAGGAGATTGTTCCGTCGGAGCGGGGAACTTGAGAGCATCTAGGTCTGCCTGCAACTGTGCAATTTTGCGATTCAGTCTGACGATGCTGTCGCTCTGCTTGTTGTACGAGCACAGAAGATCCTGGTGTTTCTCGTTGAGTGTTTCTAATTGGTACTCCAGACCCTTGACGTGTCTTTCCTTGCGCTCGCGAAAGGCACGTTGCGAGGCACGGTTTTGCGCCCTTCGACGCTGGTCCTGCTTGTTAGCAATCACAGAAGCCGCGGTGTTTTGCTTGTGGAAGTCCTCACCAGTTTGGAGGGAGGCACGACCGTTTGTTCCGAGTCTGTCGACGGTTGTGCACTGTCTCGACTTGTGATTTGCTGTTGAAACTCGGCGAGGGCGTCGAGCGTATCGAGATCAAGCGGGTCCCAGCTTTCGTCGGCGGGAACGCTGCCAAATCGAAATATGTCGCCCACGTTCTGTTTTGGACAACGGTCAACATCTTGTTCGCGTCCCAAGTCTCTCCAAGGAAAGTGAGGGTTCGAGGCTTACATCAGAAGAGCTCGCGTTGGATGAATCGGCGTCCATGAGGGATTCAAAGTATGAGCGACGATGAGCCGCAGTTACGGGGAAGTGGTCCATTGTCGAGCGTGTCTTGTTCGATGATGGTCTCTGATCTCCTTGCGTGCAGGTCTGGTGGGTTGATGCTACAACGTGGAATGAGAGTCGGCCTCCACTTTATGTTGCAACGGCGACTGCAGCAGTGGATTATTCTGATATGGACCTGTCGACTGGGGGCAGATATGTATACGCTAGCTGGCCAGATAAGCCAATCTGTGAAGGTCTCTTGGGTCTCCCTGGGTCTCCCTGGGTCTCCCTGGGTCTCTTGGGTCCTTACATAAAGCTGAGTCAAGGCTGTGATTGGTGCTGGTGGCGAGGGGGAATAGACCGACATGGAAGGGACTTTTAGTAATGACACCTCGAGTGCCCAATCCCAATAGCTGAACCGTCGTGCGCTGCTGAAAAGGGTCAATGCTTCAAGATGTGTGCAACCCAATAATTGGGAGATCCTCTGTAGTGTGCACAGAACAAAACAGGAGCAAACGGTCGATAACATCAAGCAAGGAGGGAAGTTAGGAGCCTTCCAGACTCGACCTAACACGCTGCAGGCTTTCTTCGTAAGAAGCTTGGCATGTTTAAAGGTGGGGAGCCCGTGAATGAATGACCAAGACTCGTTTGTCGCTGTGATTGGGGCTAGTGGGCTCAGCGCGATCCCCATCGTCAACGCCGACGGCAATTCGGTAATTGTGCACGTTGGATGGACATTGGGATTGAAGGGATTGTAAGGCTTAGGAGGCTGCGCAGGGAGCCTGAAGAGGGGGAGGAGGATCGTGTCGGAACAACTCAAGGCTCGACTTACTTCTACCGGTACGGTTGTCAGTCTCCGCCAGGTCCTCGTGCGTGAAATCTGGGGCCTACGGGTCATGACGGCTCTACGAGGTAATGCCCCGTGAAACAAAGTAGTTTCTCTGACTCGCAAAACATTACAACCGGGCCAAGCTGGGCCGCAAAAGAACATGGACTTATCACCACTATCATCACGGCGCTAACCATATCGCGGTTCTATAAAAAGTTTCTCACTAATAGCCAAAGTGCACCTTGTGCACCTTGTGCACCATTCGGGGTACTCGGTACATCCACCCCGTTTAATTGATTTTCCAACACATAGGAGCACGACTCGTGGTGCATGCTCCCCCTCTGACACAAGACATTGTGATCGCAACACATCAACGGCGAGTGTTTCTACGGATTTGGACCCTACAGGCTTCTTCCTCATCGACCTCCGAAATCTTAGTGAGCTTGTTGAGTGCTAATCCCCAAATAGCTATCGCGAGCTCAACTCTCCTTGGCTGGCAAAGTGGAGGGACGTACAGTATTAACCACAATCGACACGGAGCGCAGCTCGACACTTCCCTCACCAGCGCTGCTTTAAATACCGCTCAATTTGCATTCGTTGTTACATATATTGAGAAGGAAGCTCTGTGCAAATAACCACTCAATGCGGCCACTTCTATATTTATTTATTCGTACATATTCCCAATTTCATTATCGTTCCACCCTCTGCCAGTCTCGAAATACCTCAGTCGGGAGTAGCCACAAGTTATTCCCATTGCCATCATCCGGTGCCATCGTGTACCGTCCCCTCAGTTAAACTTTACATGAGTCGTTGAGCACCACACATGAGACGATCCATAACCGCAGACAGATGTCTATAACCAAATCATCTTTCTTCGTACCGAACCGACCAGTTCCGCGTCGTTCGTATGATCATCTGTTCCGAACTGCCACTCTCCAGTGACTCTATGTCATCGCGAGGCATGTCAGTTTGGACTGAAGTCACAGTCTCCCCTCCAGAAATCTCCGGCCGGAAAATGGGTTTAGGAGCTTGGACTTTGTTGTCTTTCGTAGACTCCACAGCGGTCGTCGTCGTCTCATATTCGTCTTTGTTATCCTTACCTGAGACCGAGCTGAGCATGTAGATACCCTGTACTCTTCCTTGGGATCTGCTGTACGGGTTGGACGCGTTGCCGCCCACGCTGTTCACGATTGCGCTTGAGTGAAGAGGTCGCAAAAAAGGTTTAAGCGCGGTGATGGAGGTGCAAAGGACGGAATATTCCAGAGCCGCTTCGGTTAATATGTGCGGTATAATGCTTGTGACTGTTGGATTTTCGTTTTTCGCCGGAGAGAGATAGACCAGACGAAGTGCGATCAGGGGAATGAGGCTGAGCGACTGCATTAGAATCGTGAGAGGGAGATGGGAGAAGTAGTACAACATACAACAGTCGGCAGCCGAAAGCGGCGAGGATCATTACACGCTTGCGGAGCCTCATCTGGAGATTCCAAATGAGGAATATTGAGAGTGCCCATAATGCGACTTCAATGGCAAGCCCAATAGCTTCAACTGCAAGCCATCGGTGATACTATGGAGTGTGAGACTGAGCATGGATCAAGTCCGGCGATGCTGGATGCGACATACCAGTGTCTCTGAGCCATCCAATGTGGCCCAAGGGCGCCCCAGATCGCCACGCAAAGCGATGACGAGAGTTGATGCAAGCACCCATACACCTGTCACCCCAGCGAGAATATATGACATTCGGACTTGTGGAGCATAGCGAGTTAGTCGTCCGATAAAGAAGGCAGTTGAGATCTTGGTCAGGCCAGTGGCGATGATGTAGGATAATTGGCTGGTATAGAGCGCCTGGTAAGGATCGAGTTAACTGATGAGAACTTAGCCACTCAGTGTTAACAGTCGTACCCCTTCTACGTCGCCCAAGTGCGAGTCGGAGATACTATCTAGAGGAAGTCCATAGCCGTAATGTATGGCCCAGAAATTGGCCGCTACATGCAGCACCACCAACACCTAGGAAGATTCACGGGTCAGATATCATCGTGTATGGCGGTGAGATACTCCCACTCACGAAGGCGGCCAAGATGGCATAATCGTCGAGTCCTCGATTTTGATTTCTGCCCAGCTTTACCCATATTCGCACCCCGAGAGACAAGGCAGCCCAGCTGAAAAACAATCCAGTTGCCGTGCTGAGCCAACTGCCACGATTTTCAGACATGTTGAGGAGAAGAAGAAAGAAGTGCGTGTCCTGGCTTGCTCGAGTTCAGTCGACTGCGATTTGAGGCAGCATCTATAACCCTGCCGGAAACGCGGTAAATGGTATCCGCGTCTGATTGGGGACCATTCACACCATCAAGGATTAATAGGGGCATCCAGTACCCTCGCCCAATCTACTGCTGCATGGATGCTTCAGCCTCCAGATAAGCCGCTGCAGGGGTTAAAAGTTGTCCTCATTGGTGCTCGCACGCCGGGTGTTTTTGGGGGGAATGTACTCATTATTATGCACAGAATGTGTCAATCTGCAAAAGAAAAAGAGGCCAATTTTATGCCTCGTAGGTCGTGTCTTGAGCAGAAGATGTCGAAATGTCTAGGAAACCACGTCTACTGAAACGGGAACCTATTCAAAGAGGTGGTAGAGAGGGGTACCGAGTACTGGAACATAGTAATCGAAATCTCTCCTGAGCCTGTGGGCACAAATCCGTGGGAGACCAAATGGAAAATAGGGCTCACTGTCATAGCTACGATTCCATTTGACCTTGTTTGTTTCTTCCTCTCTCAGTACTGCCGCTTGTGTTTGATTACGATGAAATTAGCATCATCAAAAGTCGTGAATATTTCTACGTTGTTGTCAAGACTATATTTCCGAAGTGCCGCTCTCCTTGCGCCACTTGCAAAGTCTCCCGGCTCGCCTGCGTGTGTATGGCTCAAGAAACGCGCTTCGCTACGAAGTGGTGTCTTGGTGTGACCCTCTCCGGGGGGATTCCGGTAGCAGATGAACCGCGCTCAGAACAGGCAAAACAGGACATTTAGTTACTGAAAGAGGTGTGGGCCGGGCGCATGGGTTCGCGCGGGACTAAGTAGCGCTTCCGTTGCGCATAATCTGCCCACCCGCCAGCTCTTCAAATGCTTCAGATACCCCGGCCTCGAGCGCTTCGTGCATGTCTAGTTAATCCATCGTTACATGCTCATGTATGTGTAGGTCAACGCCCCTGGATACTATCTCATGTACATGCCGGGGTACGTAGTGGTCCAACAGCCACCACGTGTACTGCTGTAAGTACCTTGTCTCCCGTCGCATTTCTCTGCCTTTCTCTGCCTCCTCCGTTTTGTCTTCTTGCAACCACGTTCTTCTGTCGCGGGATTGCTACTCCATTACAACCTTTACACCATGGCTTCTCCTATACCTCATCTACGAGCGGGCCGGACGGGCGACGTGGTGGAGATGACCGCCCGTCCAAGGTCAGCAGGTTCAAAGGAAGACACCGATGTTATCGTCGGTCGGGCAGATGTTGACTCGGAGTCTGATGGGCCGCGCGATGAGTTCAAATCCACCAGCGCCGACGAGATCAACATGCGCCGAATGGGAAGAAACCAACAGCTCGTCCGCTATTTCCGTGTCATCTCAATGGCCTCGTTTGTTGCCATTGCCACGGCTGCCTGGGAGATAGGTCTTTTCAACATCAGCCCGGGTTTGACTGACGGAGGCCGACCTGCTCTGGTATATTCTGTGCTTTGGAACTTTGTGGGCTTTGGCCCTATATATCTAAGCATGGCTGAGATGGCCAGTATGGCGCCTATCGCGGGTGCCCAATACCACTGGGTGAGCGAATTCGCACCTGAAAGTCTCCAGAAAGTTCTCAGCTACTATACAGGGTGAGCATATCCTTGAAACCCCCTTCTTTTCCCTTCCTCCGGGCTGACCGCAGTGTAGCTGGACCTCAACCATGGCCTGGCAGGCAGGAAACGCACTTGGCGTTTTTCTCGTCGGCACGCTAATTCAGTCCATTATTTCCATCAACAATCCCAACTACGCTTTCCCCAAGTGGCATGCTACACTTCTCGTCATCGGCGCTGTTATCGTAGCCTTTGTCGGAAACGTGTTCGGTCACAAGGTGCTTCATCTCTGGCAGAATGCGGTTTTTGTCATCCACGTCCTAGCATACTTTGCGTTCATCATCCCTATATGGGTGAATGCCCCACGAGCCACGACCAGTGAAGTTTGGACCGAGTTTACAAATGAGGGTGGTTGGTCTAGTACTGGATTTGCCGTTTTGGTTGGCCAACTTTCTGGCATTTACACTCAACTTGGTCTTGATACCGTATGGCTCTACAGATCTCATTGAAACTCCTCTGGCTAATCTCTATCTAGGCTGCGCATATGTCCGAGGAAGTCAAAGACGCCGCGAAGTCTGTCCCCAAGGCGATGATTAGTATCTATATCATCAACTTCTGTCTGATTTTCCCGGCCGTTCTTACGGTGGCCTACCACATCCCCAACATCGACGACGCACTTGCCGATCCCACCTTGTACCCTACCATCTACGTTCTACGACAATCCATGTCCACTGCATGGATGACAGTCATACTCACTATCATAATCGCGTTACTTATCTGCTCAAACATAACATATCTGGCTGCGGTCACTCGGGATATTTGGGCCTTCGCCCGAGATCAAGGGTTCCCTTTCTCCAACTGGATTTCAAAGGTCGACGAAAAGCGCCATATTCCCACAAACGCCATCATCGTTACAAGCATTTGCAGTATCTGCCTCAGTTTGATCTACCTCGGCAGTCCCGTGGCCTTCTACGCCATCACTTCTTTGCTCTCCGTGGCCCTGCTCCAGTGCTACTGTCTCAGCATTGGCTGCCTCCTGTGGCGGAGGATTTGTCACCCCGAGACCCTGCCTCCAGCCAAATTCTCGTTGGGCAAGTTCGGCATTCCTATCAACGCCGCAGCCGTTGCATTCGCTCTGTGGAATTTCTTCTGGTGCTTCTGGCCTACTTATTTTCCCGTAACGGCGTCCAACTTCAATTGGGCCTCGGTGCTTTTTGGTGGTACTTTGATTGGCGCGACAATTCATTTTATTATCGTGGCGCGCAAAAATTACCATGGGCCCGTCGCTTTGGTCGAGGGCAGGAATGTGCATATCAACTGACCAGTGGAAGATTCTTGCCGCCTTTTTTATTGTATCTCACATCTGCATGCCAAATCAAGAGGCGGAAGGAATATATTTACTATCTAGGCCATTGCGGGTTGTGGTCTCAAGACATTATCTTTTTCTGCAGGATTGGCATTCGCAGGCTCTCATCGCCATTTCTGAGACACTCAGGGAAATAGAACAGCTGCCGTTCGAGCTGATGACCGAGTACTCCACAGTGCATTTGATAGCAGCATCGGTGTCAGTTGACTTAACCTATCGAAATCCTCTGATCCCCTTTTTTCGCCTTGTCCATAACAGGCATGGCCCCTACCACTGGTAGACACGGCTGGTCAGTGGTCAGTGGTCACCCATCCGACTCAAGCGGGCTGACGCTCAACCAGTGGGCATAGGGCGGCATCACTATTGTCCCAAAGAAGTTAGTACAATATTCTCTTGGCTCGGAGATTGAAAAGAGACCCTGTTGACAATGTTAGAGGAGCTCTGAGCTCACCCGCCTCACACTTTTGTCTCCCACTCACCAAGCCAGCCTCCGCCTCAGCCTCCGCCACTTACTTGGCCGTTGTATACCTCGTACAAAACATTAGACGAACTACCCGGTACAGTACACCACGAGCACCGCGGCTTAGTAATTGGTTAAGCCATTGGCGATCCACTTCCAGACGTCCTCTACGCGATGGCTAATTGATCCGTGGCATTGGCATTGGCACTTTTGTCAAATATTTAGCCCTGATTGTTCACAGCCTTCGGACAAGCGAGATTGGCCCTCACAGAAAGAACATCCGTGAATGGTGGCGCTTGAGCCCCGCAGCTATACTACAGAATTAGTTGGGGCCTTGTGACCGCGCCTGATATCTTCGCCTTCTGCAGCATGATCCGGGGCGAGGCTTCATTATGCCTGTTGCCAAATACAAGGTTGCCGATGCGTTCACCTTCTTAAACTACGACAATCCAGACCATAGCGCCTCGCACCGAAGAGTGGTCAAATCACACATCTCCAGCAAATACCGGGCAGCCATCCGCCAGCAGACCCAGCCTGGCTACGCATTACCGCATCAAACTGCCAATAACAAAGTCAAAGACTCAGTGCCCAAGCGAAGGTGCAAGAGGACACACACCTCACTTGAGTCAGACCCAGCGCAAGATCGCCGATGGTCCTGCGCGCCCTCTCCGCTCCAAGTCAGCTTCAGCGGTACACGGACGGATCCATTCAGACTCTTGCCCGGACAAGAAACACCATGTGTCGCCAGGGCCCTGGATTATTACACGCAGGCTATTTCGCCCTCCATGCAGCCATTGTTTCTGGCGGTCAACATGGGCAATCCATTGACGGTTTGGATTTATCCTTTAATCCTGTCACATGAAAGTGCTTATCATGGAGCGGTCGCGCTGTCTCAGGCGTATTTGGAAATGTGTCAAGCACCAACGCGCAAACCATCTTTGGAGGTTACTTTCCATCGGCGCAAAGCTGTGTCCATCTTGTGTAGCCAGCTTTCTCATCTCCGTGGCCCCCCGGACGACGGCATCCTGATGACTGTGCTGGCTTTGGCATGCCTTGACGTTTTATACAGAGAGGACAGAATCGCCAATCGCAAGGGTCTAGCACTCATCGTTGCGCTCAAGGGGGGACTTGACAATCTTGGATTGCGTGGACTCGTCAAGGCTTTTCTTGTTCAGTTTGACTACTTCTGGATGCTCGAGACCGGGGCCGGGACCATTTTCCCTTTCACAAAGCGCAAAGGCCGGAGAGCATATCCGCAACATCCGCTCAACGACGATTTTCTTCCGTTGATTACGACGCTACCACCAGGGTTTGCTGCAATTGCTCGTCAGGGCACCTTGGGCTTCGACACTATCCGGATCCTCTCACGAGTAAGCACGTTTCTTCAATCTAAAATCGTCTACCCCCCACGTCCGATCGAGGAACATCCAGTTTCAGATGACCAAGATTACCCGGACCTCTTCGAAGTATGTGCCTGTCTCCAGTCGTCCGCTTGCACTGAGCATAGCTTGGAGAAGAACTTAATCCTCGCGGTGATTATGTTCGGCTTCGATATGAATAATCCCAATGGCTCAATATCGAGAGTTGCAGCATATAGAGGCTCAAGGCAGGAATTGATCCGGTCCCTTCCCTCTACCCGCACGCAGAATCCGGAAGAGAGAGCTTGCTTGATTTGGATCATGATGATTGTGATAAGATCTTTGGGCTTGGAGCTTCCGCTTGCTACTCAAGCAATAGCTCTTGGTAAAAGGTTCTTCGCGCAGTTCGCCGAGGTTAGATCGTGGGACGCAGTGGAGTCAGCAATGCGTCGCTTCCTCTGGTACGAGCCACTCGCGGGAGGATTGAGGAACAGCTGGCGACAAGCGTTAGACGAATATCAAAGAGAATTTCCATCCACCTGGACTTCGGTGGTGGCCATGACAGACTCGACGGGCGCCATTGGAAGCCAACAACTCAGTCACATCAGCGCATCGAACCGGGAGAAGGGCGACGGATATGTACAGGAAGCTTTTCAGGAACGCGAAGTTGCCACGCTGCCGCCCATGTTGACATTAGATACATACTTGACAGAGGTACAGTCACTGTAATTGTACGATGTATATACGGACAGTACAAGGGGATAATAAGAAACATCCTCGACATAAATGCAAAATGGGGGAATAGTCCGAGGTAATAAGACATACCTCGTACTCCGTTTCAAGCCTGTGTTGCCGCTTTAACCCGCCAAATAAATTCATCTTCGATTCCCCAAACTCGACCTTGAGCGCGTTCCGCGACTTGGTCCCTCGTCTAACGCCATGGTCTCGTCAACGCAGAAAGGAGGCCAAAAGCGCAAAGTCGCCTTCGACCAGCCTAACCAATCATCGACATCACGCAAGCGACAGAAACATCATGATGCTCGAGCCATCCCAGTGCAGCGACCTGAGGCAGTCGTCGCCGCGAGCGGGGAACTCAATGTGGCCTCTTTCATCAAGGCCAGGGAGTTTGAGATTGGGGCCCTGGAGAAGAGCATGCGCAAGGCCAAAAAGCAATTGGCCACACGAGCGTTTCAGCAAGTCCCTAGACACATGAGAAGGAGAACCGCCAGCCACAACGCCAAAAAGGTGCCCCGAAGACTACGAGGGAGGGCAGAGCGCGAGGTTAGTTCCCCCATTTTCCTCGTGCACGAGATGCTGCGTACTGACAGTCGCTGACCAGGAGGGCTATAGATGAAAGACGACAATACACCTACGGTGACGAAGCGAAGGCGAACTCCGTCGCGGAAATTGAGATTGCGCTTGGAGACTGCCAAACTGCTCAAGACGTTCAACCAAAAGCGCAAGACTGTGCGTCAGAGGAAGAAAGAAGTCCAGGCCAATGCGAAGCAGCCCGATCCAGAAAACCATGTCCTGACCTCTCGTGTCCCGCGGTTGAAGAAGAACAAACTGGCCGAGCCTCCGAAGGCAACGACGAAATACAAGAGGAGACAAGTCAACAAGACATGGCTACCCACGCACCTTTGGCATACTAAACGCGCGCATATGACTCGGCCCACGGAGCCGTTGTGGAGAATGTCAATCCCATTGAGCCCTACGGAGAAGAGTTACAGGCCAAGTCACCGGGCAGCTGGTACGCAGGGATGCATAGCGTGGGATACCAGCTATATGTCTACGGTTGCTTGTTTGGGAACAGAAGCGGCGTTGGATAGCATGCTTAAGGCGCTTGCATTTAGCCCACAAGGGCTCTCCCAGGCTATGCATAAAAAGTGGAAGGCCGGTACCCGATTTGCTCACGGATGGATCTCGGAACGGGACAACGAAAAGCGTCCTATTGCCCCGGTGACGGTGATCTGGTTTCAGCGACAACAGAGTGAGGCATCATGTCCGCAGGATGGCCAAGGCGAAGGCAAGACGGACGTTGACACAGGCGACCAGTCTCAAATGGTCGCTAGCAAAGACGAGATGGAGATTGAGGAGGGCGAACAAGCTCAGTCTGAGTCTGCGCTTCCAAAGACTAAGAAGAAGACGATAAAGCGGAAGACTAAACTTGGTCACCAAATCCTGATTCGAGTCCATCCATCTGCATTTTATCAGTGCTGGCAGGAGTTGTTGAAAGTCGCCAAAATGCAAAAACCGCAGGTTCTGATTCAAGATCTACGTTTTGAGATCGGGAGCATTGACGCACAAGGGCCAGGCTCAACCGAGACCTTGCTGGGTGTGCTTCGCCCTTTTCCAGCACATGCTGAGGGTGCCGATTCGATGGGGTCGTTGTGGACGTCTCTTGCTGGACTCAATAACCCCGGTATCCTCCCGCAGAATGCCATGCTAGCATTTGATATTCTAGATCCCAGGCTCAATCATCCGCCCAAGCGGATTAAGATCCCCAGCAACTCCGAACAAACTCTCATGGATGAGATTCTGGTTTCGTGGCCTCCCGACAATAGCTCAGTGTCCTCTGCTCTACTCTCACACAAAGCACGCTGGCGGATCGGTCAGACACTGCCATCGCAAAAGGCAATCAATCGACGAAGAGCACTTGCATTACCAGGCCATGCACCCGCTGTCATGGCCAAAGATCCCCAAATTCCAGTGATCCTTCTTGCGTCCAGGGCGGAAAACAGTGCTTCTAAAAACTGCCAAGGGACGTGGACCGTGCTCCTTCCCTGGACGTGCGTCGATCCTGTGTGGCGGTCCTTGATGTTCTACCCTTTGTCATCCGGTGGCACTCCACGTTTTGGGGGTCTACGTCAGAAACAGCAGCTAGCGTTTGAGCAAAAGGTCCCGTGGTTTCCAGGAGATCTGCCAGGCACCGAGGCGGGTAAAGCTTGGGAGCACACGGAAAGCGAAAAGAGATTCGATTCGTGGATCAGGCGACCTCCTAAAAATAGGATTGCCTGGGACACGTTGGACCTAGGGCTAGGAAGACGTGGGGAAATCGGGAGAGGTTGGTCTTGCGATTGGGAGTATTTATTTGAAGACAACAAAGACCAAGCTCACACTGAAGCCGGGTCCAACGTCAAACCAGATAAAAGCACCTCTACTCAGACAGCCGCGGTCCCGCTTCTTACGCAACGACAGCGAAAAGCAGCCAAAGCCGAAGCAGCCCGAGAGGCTGAGGACAAAGATCCAGCGCGTCGACGTAATACATCCAGCCCGGAAAGTGAAGGAGAGCCCGAGATTGTGCCAGAACTTGTGAAGGAAGTCAAATATACTCAACTCTCCCCCAGTCAGGGCCTATCACTGTTCACGCAGCCATCAAGCGTCAGCCTTCCAGCACTTCCTGTACTGGTCACGGTTCGTGTCACCTTGCTCGACAAAGGAACCCCATCCCCGGCAGCGCGGATATACCGCCTGCCGTCATTACTCAAACCAACACCAACACCTTGCCCTGCTGAACCAGTGGCAACCGGGTCAGACAAATCTCAGCAGACGCAGCCACAGAGCTGGAACTCTGACGGACCACCGCCCGGGCAACGTCCGCCCGCAGCAAGCATGACGGAGCCCTCAACCTCGTCAGCAACCACCACTTGCGACCTTCGCGCGCGCTGGCTTGCTCTCGACAACCATTCCGATGCCCAGGGCCAATCCAGCAATACACACTTCCCGAAAATCAAAACCAACAAGTTCTCTATACCCCGTCATCCATTCAGCTACCCACGTGAATCCCTCGCGAAGATCAATGTGCTGCCCAAAAATGCGCCAAAAGAGATTGTGGAGAGATTTGGACCGGACAGCGCGTTCGGAAGAGGAGACGGGGAGATACCCAAGGAGAAGCCGCCACCTTCAAAAGAGAAGAAAAAGGGGAAGGGGAAGGCAAGAGGCAAGGAGAAGGGAAAAGACGCAGCTGCATGTCAGTTGGAGGATGGCGAGGCACAGGCAAATCCTCTTGATAAGCCTTCTGGCGACGTGGAAGACCTTACCTCTCTCCTAATCAACCCGTTCGTCCAGCCGACGGAATGGGACAAACACACCCCTTGTCCTGATGTGCATGATCTCATCGGCTTCGTCACGAGTGGTGGTTACAACCTAGCAGCAGGTCGGGGCACGGCGGTGGGGAGCATTTGGGGCCAGCGGGTGATTGAGGGATGGCAGGGACATGCAACGCAGGACGACGGGTTGAGTGAGAAGCAGAAAGACAGACGACGAAGGCTGTGCGTTGTGCGTAACCCCGGAGAGAATGTCGGACGGTTGGGCATCTGGGAAGTTTGCAATTGAGTGGTATAGTATACCATGGTCGATACGACCGGAGTACTTGGTACTTGGTACATATTGCACAATCCAACTCTCCGTGACAATTGACAAGGTAATTGTGGTTCCTCGAGAGAAATGCGTTCTTGATATTACCATCTACAACCTCATTTACTCCGTGCTATTTTGGCGCTTGGCACTCCAAGGCCTCCAAGGCCTCCACGAGGCTGGAATAGGAGGCTATCGGGCAAACACGGCACTCTGGATGTGCCTGTGACATTGCCTTGTCTGTACTGCACTTTTACTTCCCCTAAGGGCTTCAACCGCTTTGGACTGTGGAGCACAGAATACGAGACTACGGCATCCCGGAAAGGAATGCAGGAGCACTGCATTTTCAGTCTGCCTGAAGAGAAAGGAGGGAACAGCGGCCGGACAGAGCCTGCACTTTTTAGTCCTCGTCAACAAGCAGATTCAGCGAGTGAGCGTCACCAAAGAGTGTGATGCCGAGTTTTGAGCACCGCTTTTTGGGCCCCACGAGATATGGCGGCAGATGTTACAAGGGTATGCGTAATGTGATACCATTGATCCGTCTTGTCAACTGTGTCTGTCCTTCTGTGTTCGGAAAGAGACTCTGCCTGTTTATATGTATTTCATGCTATGCCAACAAGGCCATCTGGCTCGGGTTGCCGAAGGGTTGGGCGTTATTGGCGGTTGCCAATCCGTCACTACACTGCACTTTTTGTCTGTGGGAACGGAGAGTGCAGGGCGAGTGGCTATCTGAATTGGTAATTCTCTCATAAACAAAACGAATGACTACTGTTCGCAGCACTGCAATTTTAGTCAATAAGACATCTGCGTTAATAGTCTCGCTAACAGCCCAAACAGGGACGAGCCACGCAGTTCAGAACTGTCAAACACTGCACTTTTGGCCTGTGGCTATCATGAATGATTTGAGCCAAGACGGAACGAAAGAGCGCTTTACAGCCCGCCAGCCTCCTCCCTCCACTTGTACCGGCCAAGGCTGACTCGAACTTTGTCGAAGCACTGCAACTTTGAGGTAGTCCGTCTGAACGGCAAGCTTTTGACAAAGAGTCTGGGGCGAGGTGGGAACAGAGCAATAATTGCACTCGCGCTCTCCGGGCGTCACTTACACTGCATTTCTAGTCTATGAGAGGTGGCCATGCACAGCCTTACGGCGTACTCGCACTTCAACCAGAGGAAAAGCCATGTTGGTCTGCGGGGATACCTGATACGTACTTCCCGTCGGAGGGCGGGAAGTACACTGCCCTTTTAGTCTATGCGAACAGAGAACGATGGCATGCAGCCGGTTTCCCCCAACCGTTACCGGTCAGTGATGCCCATGTGTCTTGCACTGCATTTTCAGTCTGCGGGAACAGAGAGCGAATATTGGGCAGCAACGATTGCTGATGCCATCTCCGTGTCATCATGTGAGTTTCTCTGCATTCTTAGTCTGTTACGACCAGCCAGCCAGCTAGAGAGACGGCGGCAACAGCGGACAACACTGCAATTTTTAACCTCCAAGGCAAGGTATATATATATATATATTAAGATTGGAATGACTTGGATTCACGCCAGCATCTAGTCATGATAGCTTCTGACTCGATTTTGTACACAAAGGAGCTAAATACGCACGACCACGACCAACAAGAGGGTATCACAACTCCTCCGGCCTAATAGCTCGGAGACCACACCACGCAACCAAATCCGTCAGAGAGCCCATATGAGAAATTGTCGCCATGACATGTCACGAGAACCTAGCTTGTTCTCTTCTTTCGTTCACGTCGTGAGATCCAGGGTCTTGTAACCCATTCCACATAGATGTGGTGTATGGTATATGCTCCGTTTCCTCCGTCGAGGGGCAATGCCAGCAAGCTCCGAGCTTGCGTCCTACGGCAGCCCCCCCAAATTAAATCCCAGTATCATGGCACATCATCAACTCCTTCCTCTTTCCTGTGAGGACCAACCGGCATCTTGGTTTTAAATGGCATAATTCTCCGCATGTAAGAATATCTCGTCCTTGCCTGAATCCTTCCAGACCTCACTCTGCAGCCGTGCCACCGTATTCGCCACATCCGTCCTCATCTCCGGCGGTCCGCAGACATATACACATGTCCTGCGTCCAAATTCCTTGCTCAGTCCTTTGAGCATGTACGGAATGTCGGGTCTCCCGTACTCTGTCCGCCAACCATCTCGTCTCTGAGACGTGACATTGGTAGGTAAGAAGGCGAACCGCATGAGGTTCTTTTGAAATTTGGTGGGTGTCTGAGGGAAGCCGAAATCGAAGCTGCGGGTAGCTTCGATCTGGGCCTGAGAAATTGTTGAGACACGTTTCTCGGCTGGTGGAGGGGGAAAGTATGGTTGTGCCTGTTCGGTCCCAGGTGGCGCAAGGTGACGAGGAGCAGCAACATACGCTTGGGGGAGAGCGGTGATGGTGTCTTCAAATTCGCGCTTGAGGTCGGGTTCTTGCTCCATCATCACTAAGGCCGAGTTGCGCTTCGATCCTCCCGTTGCTTTGTCGAGCGCGTCAGTGATCTTGTCTCTAATGCCACTGAGGCGGTGTTCCTTGGGTTCAGGCAAGGGCTCATATCGTTTGGCAGCCGTGATGAAGAAGTGGCATTGAACTGAACCCGGCGGAGCACATTCTCTGCATATCCGAAGTTCCTCCTTGAACCACTCCATAATGTCTGGCCGCTTCATGGCCCAGATGACATGTACTTTGGTGGTCGTGGCCTTACCGTCGCGCATGCGTTTGATCAGGTCGAGCAATTGGCTGGCGATGGCGGTGATGCCACTGCCGCCGGCAAAGAAGATGACTTGGTCGAACGAGGCCATTTGTCGTTGCATGCCGCCGTACGGTCCTTCGATGAAGGCTCGGTAAGTCTTGTAGGGGCCCTTCTTGATTGAGGTGTCGAGAACTTTGCGGGTGAAGCCCGAGAAGGGTCTAAAGACCAAGGTCATGTCTCGGTATTGCTCGCCATATTCAGACGGAAAGTCTTCGCTGCACAAGGATGCAATGGTGAAGGGGTGATTCTCGAAGACTGCAATCCCAGGCATCCTCAAGTATGCGTACTGGCCAGGACGCCACCTCTTCTGTGTTGGGATGGTGACCTTAACAGCATTCTCGGGCAGCACGGTGACAGCCGATTCTTCTCCAATGAGCCACGATGATCGGAATGGATTCATCCAGTTCAAGAAGAAGAGACGGGTGAACAGCGATACAAGCATCAGTGCCACTGTCGAGTAGAGATAGGCCCATGATGTCAGGTAGTTGTGACAATGCCAAAACATGAGGCCAATGAAGGCCCAAGCGACCGGAATATGCAGGAAGACGAAGAGCTCGTAAGCTTTATGTCGAAGAATGGGAATGGAGTGGAGGGTGAGAAAGATCAGGGGAGCGATGGCTGCAACGCCTGTCGTGTAGACCCAATATTGCTGGTTGAAATAGAGTTTGAACGTCGCAAAGCCAGCGGGATCCGTGACTGATTGATACCAATACGGGACAGCATGGATGATGGCAAACATGACACACAAATATGCTGTCCAGCGATGGAGCACAATAAGTCGCTCTGCCCCGATTCCGGTCAAGAAAGCCACAGGGTTCGCTTTGTTAGCCAACATGACTACCCACGGTAAGAGGGAGACGGACATCATGCCAGCGCGCACTGCCAGCGGAGGAGATCCATATGCCATGGATGCGTAGAAGAGTGGGCTGGGCAGGAAACAGTAAAGTAAGGAGGACACCAGGCATATGATCATGACCACGACAACCCCCAGGGAAGGGAATGTAAAACTCCATTTGCCAATCTTGATGGCCGGGATGGGTCTGTAGAAGATCCATCGAAACAGGGCGATTGTGTTGTTGAGAGGTGCAATGGCCGAGACTGCTGCTTGTTGCTGTAACTTTTCGGTTACCAGAGGTCCAGTGGGCGGAAAGAAATGCCTTGTCGAACCATCCGTTTGGGCACTGATTGCACTGGGCAGTTCATAGTCGCCATATCCTTGGTGCGGTGAAGCACCCAGCGGGCTGAGCGTCGAGGCGGAGTTGATGACTTCTTCTTTGTACAGAGCCGTTCGAATCTTGTCTCCCCAGTAGTAGTATAGCCGTTTGATCGTCGTGGACAGCACCAGGATAATTCCGATGTAAACGAAAATAAGACCGTACTTGCTGGCGTTCTTGAAGGGATCATGTTGAATGGCTGCTATGAGGGCAGGAGGCGTCGTGCTGTTGATCGGGATGTTGACTCTCTTGACCAGTTCCTCCATGCTCTCCCCAATCCCTCTTCCTGCCAACTGCGCCAATGCTTCTGATGATGCTGACGGCATCTTCGCCTTGGTGTGTATCTACCCTTTTCCGCAATCGACGGCTGGTCCAGCAGTGTGACAGACCCGGGAAATGGGTGGGAAGCGGTTTCTTCTAGAGAAACTCGACGGAATGGCTGGGTATGTGGGCTGAGGGAAAAGAGGCCTGCGGTCAGACGGTCGAATCTATTGGATGTCTGTTCGTTTTCGCAGAGTGGTCATGGATTTTGAGACCGCTCAGTGGACCCGCCTTCTGAGGTATGCAGTTCTCGCGAATGGTTGGTAAGAAGAGAAAGCCTGCTCTCTCAAGAAAGACGAAGGGAACGACTGGCAGCGAATGTAAGGAATGGAAGGACAGAGGAACCCAATGCCTCTTGGACGTTGGGAAGGGAGGGAGGCCAAGGGGGGGCGAAAGGTGCGATATAGAACTCTGGGATCATGCGGAAGAAGACATTGTCCAGCGTGAGAACTGAGGAGGATGTGGTAGTGTGGTGGTGGTGATGGAACTCGACGGCCGCGCGTGCGAGAGCGATTTGCGCACCCCGCTACTCACTCTACTCACGGTGATATCGACCCAAAAGAGTAACGAAACCATCAGCTACCAGTCGAGGGCAGCAATAGAACCGTTCGAAGAGCAGAGCTATCGAGCTCTGGAGGTTCGGGACAGTCTTCCATGTCGTGAACAGTGGTGCATCTCAGCGGTTCGGAGGAAGAGTCAGCGCTTCGACGAGAGCTTGCATTGGTTGTGCGGTGAGACCAGATGTGGCATTCATGCTGGTCACGAAGTGGAGATCTGGAGCGGACCGAGACCCCCTCCTTTGAGCATCACACAGCATAGCAAGCGAATGAGAGGCGCAGATAGAAGGAAAAAGCTGACGAAAAGCAGCGCAGGAAATGGAGTGATTGGAGCGAAAAGGTGACAAGCCAGGAACAATTGCATGAAATGGTGCAGATTCGAGGCTGCAGGGAAGATCAGCCCTGGGTGGTCGGGGATTTCTTGGGGTCCCTTAGCAGAGCCACAGGGAGCCCTAAAGAGCCCTAAAGAGCCCTAAAGAGCACTAGGCATTCCCAGCAGAGCGAATGGGGGGCTCAAATCCGTTGCCGCCGAGGTGTGACGGCCTGAAAGCTCGCCTGCTAGGTGCTTGCAGGCCACTAATCACTCACTTAGCCCCAGCTAGCTGCAGGTACCTCTGGGCCAACCACCTCGCAGCATCCAACTCCTCGTCACTCTTCGCCCACAAGTGGCTGATTCGGCTCTCCACTCGTCCTCACTCCAGAAAACATCCAGACGTCGCTCTCAACAGCCATTCTGCCCTTCTTGCTGTGATACGGAAAACATCGGCACGGCGCGACTGCAAATATCTTTGGATCCTCTCTCTTCAAAGTCCAAGCACTGCACCCTCCGCAGTACACGAGATTGGAAATCCATCGCAACCTCCTAATGATATTTTCCGAACTCTCCGAGTATTACAGAACTTACCCGAAGGACCCTGGACCTCCGCTGTCGATCTTCGGCATCTCGTTCCCTGTCGCACAGTTCTGGCCAATGATATCGCGCTTATGGTTACCTTTGGGATGACCACCACGCCCACGGTCGCAGCCAGAGCGGCAATTGCGTTGCAACCGCTGAAATCTGGTCTGCCTGATCGGGTCATGAATTAATTCACAAGTACTTTTGGTTATCGGCTGAGAAGAATGGCCGCTCTCGTGCCTGGGCAAGCTCGCAGTTCTCGGTCCGCGACTGCCCCCGTGCACGAGACATTGCATATTCCATCCGCTACGCCATCAGCACTCACCAACAGGCACAAGCAGATACCAGAGGTTTCACAAGCTAACTCTCAGGCATCCTGCTTCGTTCATGTGGTGGAATATAAGCCGTCACAGCAATATCGGAAGCACAGGAAGACCCACACAGTGGCGCGACTGGTTTGGCGGCTTACGGGTAAGAGAATCACGGTGCATCCAGCCTCTTGGGGTCGCCGCTCGAAGATGATGGTCTATCGGATAGAGTCTGAGCAGGTGGGAAGTTTTAGTTGGAATGTGTCCTGGAGTGTCCTGCGTCGGCGAAAGGACCGGTCTCCTCGGTCGATATCCCAGCCTTGGGAGACCACCGGGAAGCTGGCTCCCTCAAGCAGCCTATCCGATCGACAGTGATAAAGGACAATAAGATCGTATAGATGTGAGCACCGAAGAAGATAGGGTTATGAGATGTCCGGAAGCGGCCGACATTGACCTTTGGTGCAAGTTAATACGTACATAAAGAGATGTCTGCCTTGACACTGAACCCTGTAGTTGGAAGCCGCTTGTCTCTACGAACGTATCCGAAAAACCCAAACCCCGGATGTATAATCCCGGGGTCCAAATTAAAGGCATTACTTACATTCTGACTGCAGACTGGGCAAGGCTGCAGACACAGACGCTGAGGCTAAGCTGGAAAAGAATAGGGAGGACTCGAATTATAACACTGGATGCAAGGCTGGCATGCCGCAATTTCTGGGGCCGAAGTCTGAAAGGCCTTCTATAAGCGCCCACCCTAACTAACCCAGTTGTTGCTTAAAAAAGATTCCGATGCCAATTAAACTTTGCAGTAATTGACGATCCAATCGCGCCTCACATATTCGATTCCCCGTGCTCGCGTGGTCGACCACATGGATGTCTTGAGACAATACATGGTGCAGATGCCGAGAGAGATGCCGGCCTTTGAATAGGGGACAAATCCCAGGGCGAGATGAAGCGCTCTTCAAAAGCCACCCGGGGTACTCGGTAGATCCGCCCTATATTCAGGGGCGCCATACGAAGGCACACTGATTTGACCTCCACATAAATCGTTTTCATAGTGCCAATTGAATCGGTGCCATTTGAGCTGGCCAGTCTGCTGTGCAAACCACCCCATAAAAGCATTAGCAATAGCGCTTGCCTCAAAGCGCTGGCGGCTGGTTTGGGCTCTGGGAAACGGATATAGAGACCGTCTTGTTGGATCCATCAAAGGCAAGGACGTTGCTCGTAGGTCGGACAGCAACCACCATACCGTGCAGCATCTTCAACGTATGTGGAGAGGGACCATGAGCCCGAATAAGGAGTCACGCATTCGGCAGTTCTTCTTCCCGTTGTGAAATTAGCAAGGAGTGGCATTGTGACCGACTTCGGTAGTCCTGTCCAGATTCGCTTGGTCGTGGATCCTTCGATCCGGGCAACATCAGATCAGACCGTGTCGCAGGGAAGAGTCTCTCGATTATCACTCGGCTTCTGTTCCCTCGACCACTCTTGCCCTGATGATCTTCACCTCCTCCAGTGGTCTGTCTTCACTGTTGGTCTTGACAAGCCCCATCCGCTGCAGGACCTTCATTCCGCTCTTGACCCTTCCGAAAATTGTGTGTTTCCCGTCCAACCAAGGCGTGGGCGCTAGTGTGATGAAAAATTGACTTCCGTTTGTGTCTTTCCCGCTATTGGCCATACTGAGCACGCCTGCGCCAGTATGCTTCAAGGAAGGGCTTATCTCGTCGGCGAACTTGTCTCCGTAAATGCTTGAGCCACCCCGACCGGTCCCTGTAGGATCTCCGGTTTGGACCATGAAGTTGGGAATTATGCGGTGGAATATGACGTTATTGTAGTATCCCCGTTGGGCCAGGGTGGAGAAATTCTTGCAAGTTCTGGGTGCATGGTCGTTGTAGAGCTCGAGAGTGATTGCACCCTGTAATCGGATCAGTATTTGAGATTACAGAATAACATCGGAGCGGAATAGGTATGTACCATCGTCGTCTCGAGGACAACATCGGTCGCCATGCTTGATTTCTTCCGAGATTGAGAGCTTGCACGGCACACTTTAAGAGTCTTCCGTGCTAGACTTCTAGTCTTCACGAGGTCCACGGCAACCCGAAAAGAAAGAGGTTGCACGGAGCATGAATATCGGGATTTCCTGAAACAGGTTACCGCCTTGGCATCGTCGGTCGGCGCTCGAAGCCCTCGTCACCATGGTCTCTTCAAAACTTCCGGTGTTGTAATTCTATCTCTCAGTTTAATCCGCCACTGCGCCAGAGTGAGGATATTATCAAGCCCCTCGGAAGTCCGATCACCGCTCTACCAGGCTCTTGTATTGATCCGATCCCAGGTTTGCTGCAGCGACACACATTCTCTGGCCACTTAGATCATGCCTTGAACTCTTTGGCTGCAACGTGGACCATGACCACATTCTTCAGATCTTTCGCACCCCTCAGAAGATGAAGATTGTCTCTGAACGACTGGGTCTCCCTGAACTTCATGTGCGAATCTACGCTTTCCCATCCTATGAGCTCGACATAGACTTTTGCCTTCTCCGAGGTCTTTGGGTCTTCGAGCTCTTCAGCCACCCAACCACCAGCTGCCCCCCTGCATCCCTCCCAATCACGCTGGACGATACTGCCGAATTTCTTCATATTTTCATGAAAGGTTTTCTGGTCCTCGGCCGAATAGTTGGCAGGGAAGTAAATCGTGATAAACTCGGTCACCTCTGAGAAAGCGGCAGTAGGTGGAAATGGTTCGAAATGCACATGATAGAGATTCGGGGGTCCCTCGCATATGCTCACAGCATCATCCAGAAAGGCCTTGTACCCTCTATTCCCCTGTCAGCCGAAGGCGCATATCATTTTGGAGTCGGTCATCTTACTCCCATGCAATAAACTTCTCGTGATGGCCAATGCTGGTCCAATCGATGAACAGATTGTGGACATTGGGATGTTCGACCTGCGCACCAGAATACATGCGCAGTGGTCCGCCTTGCTTGAGTATTGTTTCGAGCGTAGCCTTCAACTTCTGGCCTTGAGGGTCGTTCCCCTCTTTGAGGGGTAAGAAAACAACTTCTGTGGCCTGAGCCATTTTGCCGGCCGACAGCGCAGTGGAAAGACGTTTCTCTCAAGTCAGCCTTTTGCTCAAGGCTAGGTTGTTTAGATATCAGATTTCCACAAGCGGGCCACGATTCTCGAAGTCTGTAATAGCGAAGTGAGCCTGGAGTGAATGGGAACAATGCGTGTGAACGGAGGCGGGAGCAGTGCCGAATCACTTGGTGGTTGGAGATGGGCCATCAACTTTAACTCCTCCCCAAACCGCCGCGCAATCACAACTACCTAGGTACCTAGGTATGTACGAAAACACTCGGTATCATTCGGCTCAGAGACAATGTTGATCTGGGCGCTTACTCTCGCCGGATGTCGTCTCACCTCGCACAATTATATGCTGTGGAGAGGTCAAAGTGAGAGTATAGCTAGGGATAAACCAAGTAGTGCACCAAATTTTCCAATAATCAACGGTATCATCTAAAAAGCATGTGCGTTTGACCAGCCTTTAGATCTTTCGATTTGTTGTTTCCGAGGTTTGTTTGATGTTGTTGTCTTCGCCATTGACTAAGCTGGGGGAGATTGATGCTCGACAAGAAATGCTCGACCGGACCATGGTCGCGGTTATTGACGGGATGGTGGAGGAACCGATTCCGTCCAACCGCGGTCGCATTGAAGACATCCAAGCAGATCCAAAACACCCTCCCTAGTCACCAAGTATCCCGCTGTTCAAATCCTTCTCTGCTCAGGCCTCTCTGTGTGGTACTGCAGACAGATCTACCATGGCTTCAAAATATGTTCCGACAAACTCTCTCTTGAGGAGCCTCAACCACGCTCTACGAGAACACCGCAAATGCTCCTCCACATCCCGCTTCAGACCAAGAACAACAAGGTCCGCGGCGACATTCACGCACCGACGGCATTCACAAGCCGTCTCCGTCCTCCCGACTGCAGTGGACAAGTCCAGCCAGGACTTCAAAGACAATGCGGCACAGCTGAGCGAGGCCATGAACAAATACGCGGCTTTGCACCAGAAGATCTCCCAAGGAGGCCCAGAGAAGGCGCGGCAAAAGCACATCCAAAGGGGCAAAATGCTAGCAAGAGATCGTATAACAGCTCTCATCGACCCTGGGAGCCCCTTTATGGAACTCTCGCCCCTCGCCGCGCATGAAGTTTATGAAGACGAAGTCCCCGCCGCGGGCGTCATCGCTGGGATCGGCACCGTGGAAGGCGTGACATGCATGATCGTTGCCAATGATGCCACGGTCAAGGGTGGGACATACTACCCCTTGACTGTGAAAAAGCACCTCAGAGCGCAAGAGATCGCCCAGCAGAACAAATTACCGTGCATATACCTTGTTGACTCGGGAGGCGCAAATTTACCGAATCAAGCCGACGTATTCCCAGATCGAGACCACTTTGGAAGGATATTCTTCAACCAAGCTAGGATGAGCAGTATGGCCATCCCTCAACTTGCCGTGGTAATGGGCCCTTGCACGGCCGGCGGCGCGTACGTGCCCGCCATGTGCGATGAATCCATCATTGTCGAGAAACAAGGCACCATCTTCCTGGCGGGTCCACCGCTGGTGAAGGCGGCGACGGGGGAGGTGGTCTCTGCTGAAGACCTCGGCGGCGGCTCCCTCCATAGCTCCATTTCCGGTGTCACAGACTATCTCGCTGTGGATGACGCTCACGCAATTGTTCTAGCCCGGCGCTCCATCTCCAACCTCAACTACCCCCGAGAACATTTACCGGTAACCCCCGATGAGATCCAGGACCCCTTGTACGACCCATCCGAGCTCGCCGGAATCGTCGGCACAAACCTGCGAAAACAGATTCCAATGCACGAAATCATCGCCCGCATCGTTGACGGCAGCAAATTCGCCGAGTTCAAGAAGGACTACGGCACCACCTTGCTGACGGGATTCGCGAGGATCCACGGCTATCAAGTCGGAATCATTGCTAATAATGGCATTTTATTCTCCGAGTCAAGCTTAAAAGGTGCACATTTTATCGAACTGTGCTGCCAGCGAAACATCCCACTGGTATTCCTACAGAACATTTCCGGGTTTATGGTTGGCGCGGACGCCGAGCGAGGCGGGATCGCGAAGAACGGCGCCAAGCTCGTCACCGCAGTCGCATGTGCCGACGTCCCCAAGTTCACCGTCGTCGTGGGCTCGTCCGCCGGCGCGGGAAACTACGGCATGTGTGGCCGCGCGTACTCGCCTCGGTTCCTGTGGATGTGGCCAAACGCGAAGATCGGAGTCATGGGGCCCGAACAGTTGACGGCCGTCATGGAGACGGTGGGCAAGAGCGTGGACGTGGGCTTGCGGGATCGCATTGAACGCGAGAGTGATGCTTGCTTCTCCAGCGCGAGGCTGTGGGATGACGGGGTCATTCATCCCGCGCAGACCAGGAGTGTTTTGGCCATGGGCTTGAAGGTCGCCCTGGGTGGCAAGTCTGATGACAAGCAGACGAGATTCGGCGTCTTTAGGATGTAGATTTACGGGTGGTGCCAGTCTCCCTATCCATCCATGTCCAGTGGATGAGATTCGGCCAATCTACTTGGCCGTGGAGGGCACGCGTGGGGTTGTGCTCAAGTTAAGACGCAGAGACGGACAGACATATCTAGAAACTCTACAACGCGGGAAACGAGTACAGAGATTCGGTGATTAATGGAAATGAGACGAGACGAATATGGTGGAGGGACAAGGTTTCGACCTGAGTCGGGTAAGTCTAGAGAATCAACTGTTTCTACTTTTTTCCGCCCCCTTCTCTCTCTCCCTCTCTCTTTCTCTTTCGTGCTTTTTTAGACAAGCCCCAATTCTTTTTGTCTAGCATGCTTCAAAAAACGCCGTTGGTGAAAAATCCCGAAATGTGTCAGGGCACATGTCGTTCCATGTTCCAGAGATGCTTTCTGTAGTGCTGACTCTTTTGGAAAATAAACAGGTGCACCGTCTCTCGGTGGTCTTTTCTTTTCACAGGATAACGCACTTGTCCCGATTCCGCTGCCTCCGGCCCCTGCGATCATGCCGGTTGGGCCTTTCCCTCCTCCTCGCAGCCGCCTGCTGCTCGGCCATGAGATTGCGCGCCCCTTCTTTCTGAATGATCTGCGCGCAGAGGTTCAGAAACACCTCGTCGACATTGGTCCTCCGCCTCGCGCTCGTCTCGTAGTACGGCTTCTGACCCCATGACTGAGCGAGTTGAAATGCTCGTGCCCGGGGCACGACGCGGTCGTCTTCCATGTCAGACTTGTTCCCCACCACGACGAGAGGGATGTCCTCGTCGTCTTTGATCCGGACGATTTGCTCGCGCAGTTCGGCTAGTTCGTAGAACGAGTTCATGTTGCAAATGGAGAAGACGAGGAGAAAGCCCTGGCCTTGTTTCATGTAAAGCTCGCGCATTGCTGTGAATTGTTCGGTGCCGGCCGTGTCGAGGCTGGAGAAAGGCTCAAAAGGCTGATTAGCATGGGAACTATCTGAACGAGGTCTTAGAGATCGTTGCACGGTCTTCTTGCCTTTGATGTAGGCAGTGGGAAGTGGAATGAAAAGGTTGAAAAGGCAGACCCGGATCCTTACATTTCCAACATGATCTGTCGGCCGTCGACATTGACCTGCTTCCGATACGAGTCCTCGATGGTCGGGTCATAGCTTTCGATCCAGACATTTTGCACGAACTGGGCCGTGAGACAGCTTTTACCTACTCCTCCTGTGTTGAGCACGAGACCGCGTTGTTAGTCTGAGACTTTGGCAGCTAGAGAAAATACACAAGCTGGAACAGATGGGACGGTTCGAACATACCAGCACCAAGCACAACAATGTGATATTCTCGCCTGTGGCCACGAAGAAACTCGGTTAGAGGGATTGACTCTTCCCGGCGAAAAGGAGGGGCACTCAAGGCTCGATATTGAGACCAGGAAGTCGGGCGAATTGAAAACGTACCTGGGCTGCAGACTCATTCTTACTCACTCTGCGACCTGCCACCACTTACACAGTTATTGCGACACAGACAAGTCCGAGTTTTGAAAAATTGCCTTTGGGTCGAAAAGTGTCTCGACTACATTTCAATCTCTGCTGCTTCCCTTTTTCAGCACCACTGAGGAGTAAATTCCGAATGGGTTGGCGAGCCACCTCAGCAAGAGAACAGTCGGGCAAGCTCAAAAATCCGCTCCTCGGCGCCAGTGTCGTGGGAGGTCAAACAGCAGAGGGAGTCGTGCAGAAGGAAATTCGGTATGGGTGGTTTTAACGGTTTGTGTGGGATCTGGTACTTGAAGGGGGAAAGCGGTTCGCTACGTGATCTAGTTGCAGATCCGGCTGGTTTTGTTGCCAGAAAATCGTGTCTTGCTTGCCGATGGTGATCCCCTAACTTGCTGTCTCTGCAAATCCTTCTGCCTGCGACACACCCTGCGTGAGACCTCAGACCTCTGGTGAAAGTGATGGAGCAGCGAGTGAGGCGTTCAGGGTGGGCGACTAGCTTGGTTCATAGGCGAGTGACGGATTTACTCGGGCCTGGCTCGCTGTAGGGACAGGGTGATGAGGAGGATGGGTGGTCGAGGGGCGTTTGCCTCGCCGAACCCAGGAAGCACTGTAGATGTAGTGACAATGGTGGCAATGCCGTTCGTTGGATGTCGTAGAGGTGACGATGTTTTTGTTGTTCACACAAGTGGACCGCTTTTCATTTACATAATCGGGTCGCGGCCGCCGTTGACAGGGGGAATAGGAAGGGGGGCAGGTACCCAGTACGCAGCAATTCTTCTTGGCCTGGTGTCCTTTTCTGCCGCCGTTGCAATGAGAACTGAGGGTCTTGAAGGTTTTTTTTGATTTTAGCCTGGCGTCGGTCCCACGGACGAGGGCAAGATCAGCACTGAGAAATGCGATGCTGACTTGTGCGGACACGAGTTCGACTTGGTGTTCTCCTCTTGTTGCTGGCCCGAACGCTTGGTTGATTTGATCTAGTTGTAGGTAGAGGGTGTCTGGCTGGCCATAAAAAAAAAAAAAAAACAAACGTGACCTGTCAGTAAAAAGATGGGATTCTGATGTGGATAGGATTCCTGGCCACAGCTGAGCACCACAGTGGATGCCCTCAGAATTTTGGGATCCTGGCGGTGACCACACCCACGCCCGCAAGCCCATGCCCAGGTTCTGCCAGCCACGAGGCCGCCAGGAACATCCTTGAGTCGGAACGCAGGTCGGGTTGCTTAGGCGTCTTAGGCTACTGAATGTTTGGGTCGAGGAATGAGTTCCGGGTGGCTCAATTGACTTCACGGGGCCGGGGAACTCCAACATGAATCATCCCGCTAAGCCGGGTTGAAGCAGCTTCGAGGAGGGCCACTGATGTTATCAGCAGCGGGTACTGGGTAATGTACTGGGTACCCAGTACTTAGGGGAAAGTCAGGAGATAGCCGTCATCACTGGCTTCCCAATTGCGTCCTCACAGCCGAGACTCGACTCAAGCCTCAGAGCCAGCACCAGCACCATCCATCCTTGCACCCCGGAAGAGCCCGACGATCCTTTTCTCATTGAATGGCGACTAAAGGAGCTTGCGAAATGGTCGAACGGCTGTCACTACAAAGGCATTGGGGCACACTCACCGCACTCTTCCCACGCCATGACATTGCCTCCCAGTGTCACCGGTGTTCTCTTCCTCCTCTCCTACATACCTCGTACGTACTGGGTACCCAAGATGCGGTTGCTTTGGACCTGGACTCTCCACCACTCCATCCCCGTCTGTTCGCTTCCTCCCTCTGCTGAAATGCGCACAGTCTTCCGTCTCCCTTCCAACTCAGGACGAATTCAACTTTTCACACACTGCCTGCATGGGACTCCAAAGGACACTTGAGGATGCAACCTGTGGTCTTCTCTTCCTCCTTCCTTGTAAGGCTACGATCAACGCTCCCCTGGACTTGGGACATGAATGATGACGGATGAGGCTTGAAGCCCAAGATCGGCAGGGGGGCGCTTTTCCAGATAAATCCAAGGGCATGCATGCGCCTCAGGCGGCTGAAACTTTAGGATGCCTGACTGTGGAAAATACCCGCCAACCTCATGCGTTCCTGGGTGAGCAAAGAACACTATGTGAAGGTACTCTGCATTCTTCAGGCACCGGAAGGAATTGCCCTCATCCAGCTCCACTGTCAATCAGCGTCTTTTGCGCCGACGAACATTCTCGAACTTTACTCGATTGAGTTAAGATGAAACAGGTCTTGTTGAGATCATATTATTGCAGGCGCTGTGCGGGTGTGTCGTTTCGAGATAAGATGGCTGCCCCTTTCTGGATGTGAGCAAGCCAAGCACGTTCGGTGCGTCAAACCAAAGCACAGGCAGAACGAAGTACAAGCTCGACAATGACCGAATGGGCGTGGTTCTGTGCGATGCCACCTGCAGCCACCAGAGTTTATTACGAGGTTACTGTTTCCCATGGGCAACCAACCAGCAGTGTGGGCGGCATGGTCGAAGAAGTCACTCTGCCAATCCTCTCGCAAGTACACATTTGTCGGGCAGGGCAAACTTTCTGGTCGCATTAGCGTTCTCTTTCACCTCGCAACTCCAGTTTCAGATTGGTGTGTCACGACTTCACCGCCAAGGCACTCGCTTGCCCGCAGTCATTACCTTTTTGCGACAATATCGCTCTTTTGACTGGGCTGTCTGAAATGCAGAGATGGCTCTTTCGTATATCATCCTGCGGGTTGGAGCAAGAGCAGCGGAATGTTACCGAAATGGTCGCTTGTGAATCTGAGCTGTGGTAAATATTTACACCGTGTCCAGACGGATACGAGCTGCTGTTGCTCGCGATTCGTTCCCGGAAAAAGAGCCGGACCAGATAGGGCGCCGTTTGCAATCGAACGCAGCAGCTAGTCCCTCAGAAGCGAGACAAGATGTCGCTGACGGTCTGGAGCCGGCAAGCACTTGACCTCCACATCTCATGTATCTCTTCATTGGGTATCCGAATCCAATTCATACCGCAAACACATCAAAAAGGGTTTGGTAGTGGGCTGCCCAGATCCAAAGCTTGAATGGTCACGAGGCTCTGAAGCTGAGAATCTGTCCCTCCACTGGCAGACGGCAATGATCTGGACATGACGACTCAGGGTCAATCATCTAGAACACCCCTCCACCAGGTCGTGGTAACCCGCACTGTTTCTTGGCCAGAAACTTATCGAATCAAGCGCTGTTGTGTCCTAGCCGCTGGAGATGTGCCGCATCTTGCGCTATTCAGCTGCAATGAACATAGGTGCATTGCTGGCACGGGGAGAGCATTCCACGACAGTGGGGATTAAGCCCTCGATGACAGTGTCTTCGCGCCTGAATGGCCGGGGCCCCGCCTTGGTGAATACGAGTAACAGGTACTCGTACAGCACGAACCGCCACCCACCTTGTGATGTGGTTAGCGAAGCAAGTCACAGCCCTCACAAACAATGGCTGCCAGCGTCAATCTCGCTCACTCGGCCACCCCCAGAGTCCATTTCCTGCTCCTCTTCGTCGGTGTCATCCTCGCCCCGCATGGCCCACCACCACCGACTCCCCCTCCATATGCCATCGACATCACCTCTCGCTTCCTCCTCTTCTTCTGTGCCAACCAACCAAGTCCATTTTTTCAGAAACCATTTTTTGGCCTCCCAACTTCTCGTGTTCCAGGCCACGCTTTCGGTCATGTCTCTTTTCCCACTCTTCACCGACTTTCCGTGCTTGTTGACAAGTCCGGACATACCGCCCCAGCAGACTAAACCACCGTGCATCAGGTCCATAAACAGCTCTGCATGATCGAGAATGCCGTCGACGGATGCTTGGACCGCATGGTCACGGAAATAGGGGAACACAATGCAGTCGAGGTAACTGGGATGTGGGTTTAGGAGCTGCGCGGGCGTGGGTCGCATGGGCGGCTTCACTGCGTCGAGATGCTCTTGCAGCTGCGGTGTGACATCCATGAAGGTATGTGCGAACTTGTAACTTACAGTCAGGGGCGCGGACGAATTCGTTGAGGAGCGCGGGTCAGGTTTGTTGAGTGCGACGTAGCAACCGGGAAAATGCGACGGGTGGTCATTCAAGTACTGACTGCGGCTGATGCCGATTGAAAGAGCGACGGCGAGAGAGGCTTCCACATTGCCTTCGCCGATAAGGTGCAGATGGTTCATGTATGGGTCTGCCATGGTGGACTTCGGACTAAACCATTGCAAGCCCGTCGGTGTCCGCTGAGGTGTCAAGGTCATGAGAGATGTGGAACCGCGCTGGGAATTGGGAGCACGCCGGCGGGACTTTTGGGAAGGGGCATGTGTGTGCGGCATTGGCCAGATCTGCCGCAGGTCGATGTCACCATAGTCGTCGTGGATATGATCGATGACTTCCTCGACCTCGGCTTCTGTCGCCGGTGTCTCTGGGCCTACTTGCAACTGGATGCCGGGGAATGAACCCTGTCCGAGGGGCAAGTCCCCAGCAGCGACAAACGCTTCCGCCAGGTTTATAACCCACGGCCCCGAGCCAGGAGCGGCAGCGGGCGTATATGCTGGCGTGGAGAAGGGGAGTGCGCGAGAGTTGACATGGTCATGGCCATGGCCATCCTCACCGTCCTCACCGTCCTCGACACGAATGTCTGTGCCCGAGTCTGCGTCAAGCTCATGGCCGGACTTTCGGGGGTGGTGGTGGCTGTGGCTGGAGTGGGACAGAGTAGAAGCAGCCTGCTCCTCCAAGACCTCGAGCTTCTTCTTCAGCCTCTCCCTATAAGCCTTTTGCGCGCGGCGGTTCTGCTCCCGTCGCTTGTCGGTGACTAATCGGACGTAGGGTTTTCGCGGTCCACGGGTCTTGTTGTTCTGGCTATGTCTGTGGTGGTGGTCATGATTGGTGTCCGCCTCGCCTGATTCGGCTTCTTGTTGCTGCAGGTGGTGGCGGCCATGTCCTTGATCGTGATGGTCGACCATGATCTCCTCCGCTCTCGTTCGATCCACTGGCCCCAATCAAGTTAGATGGGAGCAGCAGAAATCTGCAATTATTCGCCCGCGGTGTCCTCGTTTGCACCGGCGCCGGCAAATGAATGGGTGGCTGGACGAAACCGGCCAACCTGAGTTGAGATGAGGCGAGGCGAGGCGATGGATAGTGGATGGTGGATGTTGGATTATGGCTGATGTGGTGATGTGGTGATGGTGATGATGATGGACAACGGATGAGGATGAGGATGATGGATAGAGTGAGCCACTGCAGAACAGCTAGCTTCGTTGCTCTTGCGTGCGTGCGTGCGTGCGCGTGTGTGTGCTTGTATGCAAGAGGAAGGGAGGGAGGCAGGGAGGAAACGGAGCGAGCAGGTGTCAAAAAGCTGTATTGTGTACTGTATCCCTCGACAGCACTACATACACACCTAGGAACAGATACATAGCTAACGCACTCCGATCCACCACCAGATTTTACGACGTGCAAGTACGCGCATATTACCCAAGCAAGCAAGCAAGCCAAGTCCACGGAATCAGGACGGGAGTGTACTCGGTAGCGACAGGAACTGGCTGATTCCCATTCGGCCGAAGCCAGCGTAAGCCGGCTCAGCCGCCATGTCGTAAGCCCCGTGGTGGGGGGGAATCCGGACAAGGGGAGCAAGGCTGCAGTTGGCTGGCGAGTCGAGGAATCTCGTACTGGGTACTTGGTACCGGGTAGAGTCCTGGAGCCAAGCGTGGCTTAGTAATCAAGGCTGGTCTTTGGGAGAAGGTTGATTGGGCAACTCATGCCTCGTAGTGCGGACGGCGCCACGGCCTGGATTCCGCACTCAATGAATGCTTGAGTGGACGAGTGGGTGAGTGGGATGCGCTATCCGTTACGAGATACTGGGTTCACCACGGAAAACGACGTCATTTCAGGAACACCTGAGCCTTTTGACTGCAAAGCCGTCACAACAATTTCCAAGCCTGTCTTGCCTGTGGGCAAATCCGCGCAGTAATCTTCTGAAATGCACCAAAGACTCTCTTTTCTTTTACATACCATCAAACATCAGGCGTCAAACATCAGATGGTATCTAAGGATCCAGCACAGCAAAACTCCCAAATATGAACTTTTCCCGGGTCGTCAAAACCTCATGTTTAGCCAGACTTAGACAACCATCATGTTAATGCCATCCAAGACTCCCCGTTTGTGCTATCCGCTAAACACAAAACCCAAGCCCACCCATCATCATTGTCGTCGTCGTCGTCATGCCCACAGAAGCCCGCGAATTGTCCCAACACACCTGTCCTTTCCCTGGCCTCCGATTGAGCATGATTACCACCCTCACCGCGAATATACCCCATACACGCTCTGCCACTGCACCAACTCCCTTGTCAGCGTCTCCATCATATCCACACTCCCCATCGTCGCAAACTCCCTCTCATCCATCATCGACACCACATTGTCATCATCCTTCTCCTTCACATCTTTCAGCCCAGCCTCGACAGCACGCACGAGACTCGCCGTGGGTAAATTGCTCCCGGTCGTGCTCGAGGTGCTTGACGTCTTGCTCACGCCGTTTGGCGTGTTTGATCCCTTGGAACTTCCTCCGCTGCCACTGCTGACATGGATTGCTGCTTGGGCCTGCGTGGTCCGCTCCGTCTGCATGCGTCCAACAAATTCTAGAATCGCGGCCACCCGTCTTTTCATTTCGTTGAGACTTGTCCTCGCAGGATGCGTCTTCGCTTTTGAACTGCGTCCGCTCTCGCCGTTGATGCAGTGGATGACACCGGCTCCGCCTGCACTTCCTTTCCGGTCGGCAGCAGAAGGTGAATCTCCGTTTTTGTTATCGTGGCCGTTGATGTCGTGAGATGCATCCCGCAAAGGTGTATTGTCCCCGTCTTCGCCGTTTGCCTGGTCACGCGTAAACTGATTTCGCCCTAGTCTTCCTCGCCTTGCAGGCGCTCTGCCGCCGGGCTTGCGGTTATTGTTATGATTCGATCGACCAGAGGGGGGCGTGTCTGCTTTTGCTTTGCCATTGGCTGGTCCTCCCTTTGAGGGAGAGAGACTCGGGGTGGGAGGAGGCGAGTCTGGCTCACTGGTCAATATCTTGATTACTGGATGCGGGTATGGCTCACCATCTGCCCTTCTCCGTTCTGACCGAGCATTGCGTTTACTCGCAGCCTCCGCACGTTGAGCTGCCTGCTGTTCTTTTGCTTTTTCTCGAAGCTCCTTTTCGCGGTTGTTGCGAGCAGCAGCTCCCCTCAGTTTTTGCGACGTAGCTCGACCGTTCGTGGTCGATCTACTAGGCGGGTCATCAACCCCAGCTTCAGGTGATTCACTGCGCTTCGACACTGTCTCTGAGGAGTTGGATCCGGTACGCTGTCGCTTGGTGGTACCTTTGTGCCTGTCCAGATATCAGTAAGGCGTAACTCTCTCTGTCAAAGAATGACCTACTCTTCTGATTCATCTCTTGTGCGTTTGCCCAGGGTGCCCATCTCTTTGCTCTCCTCAATGGCTCGCCTCAGCATCTCGTCTTCGTCGTAGGCGCCCCGGCTGTTGAAGGTGGCCCTTCTTTTGGTACTCTCGGACTGTTTGTGCTTATTTTCCTTCTTGCGGCCCATTTCCGGATTTGAGGACAAGGGAGAGGATCGACTGGAGCTAGTCTCCAGAACGGGGAGATACCGAGAAGATTTTGGCCTGGTGGATGTAATGTGTCAGTCTTCTGTATTGACAGATTCGGCAAACAAGGTGACCACACGCAGTCACCACAAACAAATATTGAGAAAAAGGGTGAGATCCTTTCAGTGACGGGCCATTGCACACGCCTGGAAGCATAGGAGTTTGATAGGGGCTAGCTCACCCATTTGCTGCCTTTGTGATCTTGTGGTATTCTGGCTTGCACTGTTCACAGTAGTACTCATCCGGTAGCATGGACTCATCCAGCAGACCCATACAGCCGCCGTGTTGCCAGACACTGCAGTTGTCGCATTGGACAAAGAAATTGCCCGTGTCGTCGGTCAGGGCGTCGGGGATTGTTTGCTGCTGTCGCAGGGCAGGCGAAGGTCCAGGGTACTCGGCCTGTCCACAGATACAGCGAGTAATTTCCTCGTCAGCAGGGTCGATGTCATTTTCCTCATCGTCGCCCTGCTGTTTGACTATTTGTTCTTTGTCCTCTCCGTTGCGGCGACTGCGACGCGGTGCGACCTGCTCGGTGCGAGAGGATGAGTCTGCACCATCAGCAGATTCGGATCGTTGGGTGGAGGGCCTTCGAGGAGAGTTTGCACGATTGTTGGCTCGAGTGTCTCGATCCGACTTGGAGGTGATTGAAGCGTTGGAGTTTGTGTGGTTGGGACCGAGAGGGGGTTGCTGCGAGGAGCGAGCACGGGATGAGCGTCGGGGACTCATTTTTTGGGGGGGGTTTTCAACTTGTGGCCGGGGCAACTTTTCTATGGTATCGTGTAAGTGTCATGGCCAGTCAGGGAATCCAGGAGATGCCGTACGAGGGCTAGAAGAGGAGCGGTGGTGGAGAGGCAGAGTTCGCGCCGTGGGTGGGTTGTTACAAATTGATCGTGTTTTCTCACTGAGGAGAAGCGGGTGCTGGCAAAGTGAGAAGAGGGTCACAGAGACAGACAACAGAAGCAGCAGAGAGCCAGCATTGGAAACAGCATATTCACACTGCTGGGGATCAGGGATTCTGCAGGAGAGTGAAGAGAGAAGAAGCGGTTGTGTGTGCTCTGGTCAGAAGTGTGAACGCAGTCAAGCAGTTGCTGCGGCCCTCTTTGCTCTGCTGGTCTGGCGAGACTGCGGCGGTGACTGCACACACACTTGCGCCTGCGCACTTGCACCCTGCACCCTGCACTCTGGAGTCTGATGCGCTTGCACCGAATGGCCGACCAACGGCGAAACGGATCCCTTGAGTGGGCAACCGCGTGTGAGTGGCTGGTCATAGACGGAAAAGCGGGCCACCCAGGCCAATGCTCAGCCAGTGCGATTCCGTCTTCTGCCTCCCCCTCCAAAGGCCGCTTCTCCAATTGACTGGCAGTGATCCCACGCCCGATGCCAGCTTCTCCAACATCGAGCGCTGCATGACGGTGAGCAAGATCAGTGGAAAGCGCGAGATTCAGGGACCGAGAACTCGCTTGAGCACGTAGTCATACTCGTTTTATTCTGGGAACATGGACAAGACTTGGGGTGGAAAATTTCCAGGCGGCGAGTTGCAGGGCTTTTGATCGCATTTTTGCGACCAGCCGAGCTCTCCAACTCCATCGATCACGTGACTGGAGCGGAGAAAGGAGGATCTCTGCCCAGCCAATAAACGCGTCGGCCTGGACCCGCCTTCAACGCGTTTTCGCAATTTGCCATTTCCTACCGTAGTGGGGAAGTACGAAGTAGTAGGTATGCCCGAAATTCGTCCATCAACGAGGATTTGCCTCTCCATCATACTCACTCCGACTCATCGCATCCTTTGCAAGTCCATGCGCCTATCACTCGCATTGTGTCCAAGATTTGCGGTTACAGCTTGAAGATGAAAACGAGACTGATTGTCGGAAAAACAGGACAGTTGTTTGGGTTTTCGCATCTTGTAGCAGGGAGCCATTCAAACCTCACCTTGGTGTAAGGTGTGACAGCTTGGAATTCGTTCCGCGCGCCTTTGCGCTTGAATGCCCGGTCAACACGACCATTGAGACTACGAGCACGAGTTTCTTGCTGTCGATAAATCAGCTTGTGCTGCGTTCTCACAGAGCACTACCTGTCACATACCCAGGATGTGTTAGCGAGGAAGAACCCAACCCCGTTCATTCACCACCTCGACACCTTCCTGCTTTCAACTCTCCTCCTGGCGTACGATATATCTATCCCCGTTGCCACCGATATTGAGCTAAACTCAAGACTGCCGAGGACGTAGGCATGTTTGCCATCAGTTCGAAGAGAAAAACACCAAACGAGCAATCTACTATCACCCGCGAGGCAGGGCAAGGCTGGGAGCACCAAGCGTAAAGGTGATTGGTCCAGCCCGGCGTGGGAATTGCCACAAGGGGAAATGATTCTCGCTTCATGATGGAGTCATCTTGGGGGCGAGCGAGGGGCCTAGCAGCCCTGCGGACAGACAGAACAGGAATATATTATATGCCGCTAGGAAAATGGGGCTTTCAAGCCGAAGCGAAAGCGAAAGGGATGTTAGTCGTCTTCGACGAAGATCGTTCAGCGGAAACGTAATAAAGGGGAAGTGGTGAAGCCCGCACGTGGGTCATGTTTAGTGGTCTTAATCACCCAGAGCCAACAAAACCCAAGTCCATGATTTCATTCGCTGTTGGGCAACTCTGTGCTAGAATCGTTCAATTTGCTCGGCTGCTGGTGACTTGAGCGAAAGTTTTGTCAACGCCAAGTTCTGGTCTGTACCAAACACCGCTGAATGGATGCCCCAAACTCCCAAATTGCATGCCACATACGTGGGCTGTCCCTAAGAAATGTTGCTGCTCATCAAACCCTCGTGTTGTTGATACAGATTTTATTCGGCCGTCTCGTCGTAACGTCGTATCGTGGTACAAATGGACTCTGCTCTACTTCAATTGACCGAGATTGTCGGTGGTTCTCGCACAATGCTGGTTCAAAACAAAGGCTCAGGGCTTGACGGCGACATGTATCCAGGATCTTCCAGCTCGCTTATCCGGTGCTGTTTGGGAACCTGGACGCCACCAGCCTTCGTCACTCCGTCCCGCCGACCCATGGATAGGAGTTCTTCTTCCTTGGACTTGGCCTTCTCCTTCTCCTTTTCTTTTCCGCTGGAGTCGCGTGATTCTGTGGCAGGGCCAATGTCCGAGCTTCCTGTTTGGTCTCTTCTGTTCTGAATCAGAAGGCTCAGATGGCTCTTGGTGCGTGGAAGTTGCATATTCTCCAAGGACGAGTCGTCGTCATCGGCATCATCGGAGACTGTATCACTGGACATACTCCTCCACAACCGTGAAGATCCGATGTTCTCATCTCGAAGCGGGGACATGGCTTCCTTTTCTCTTTCCTTTCCCTTCCGCACATCCAGGGGCACCTCATCTGCAAACCGGACAACGCTACCTGTCTTTTTGATTCGATTTAGACCAGCAAGGTTTGTAGAACTGACCAACTTCTTCTGTGTTTCGACGAATTTGCCTCGGAAATCTGGATCCACGAGTTCTGCCGAAGCAGTAGGTAGAGCAAGTGCAGTGGTTGCTAGGACAAGGTTGTCAGATGCCGAATCTACGCTCTGCCATGAAGAGGCGGAAGGCAGAGCAAAAACGGGTCCACTGGTGGTGGCTGTCACTCGAGTCGTCAGCTTGTCAACCCCTATGTTGTTGTAAGAAGTACTTACAAGGCACCATTGGCAAACCAGGAGGCGGACCTCTGGCAGCAAGACGACCTACAACAGCACCAGGGTCTTGAGTTGTGGCATCAGCCACAGCGGTTTCCTGCTGTCCCCTCAGAGACTTCGGTACACTTGGCCCCCCTGGAGACTTCTGTGAACTGGATTTTCTTCGTGGGATCTGAGGTCTTGTCCTCGACTTTCCAGCGGTGGCCAAAACAGGCAATCTTTGTCGCCCGCCACTAGTGGTTCTACTCAAGGTCGGCCGCGAAGATGATTCTGAAGTAGCGTGAGATGTAGATCCCGAAGTATCCTCAGATTGCTTTCGGCCATGTCCGCCGGCTTGCATAAGGGAGGGATAGGAATCCCCGTCACCTCTGTCAGTCGTCACGGAAGGAAACTTGAAGTTTTGCAAAGTGGGTGCAACGTTTGGCCTAGTTCGTGGAGTGGAGCCCGAAGTCTGATGGATCTCAGAGGCAGGAGACAAAGGAGAGGGTGTGTTCGAAGCTTGGTTTGGGGTGGAGAAATCCTGAGCGATTCCAGTCAGCAGGAAATCTGAGAGATGATGTATGGAACAGACAGTACCTGTGAAACGAGTCTCCGAGGTCTACTGATGCTGTCTTCGATTGGGGTTAAGTCCAAGTCTCCATTGCATTGAGCCCACAGATGCACCAGTCGCGCAGATGTCATAGACTGGGTGAGGATCGGACTGCTCCATACTCTCCAGAACAAGTTCCGCAACCTCGTGGAGGAGGTGTCCTGTGTCGCTTCGCTTTGAATGGCGTAAACTAGCAACCCGTTAGCCATTACCGGATGGTCAACCATGAAAGGACACAGACCTTTCCAAAACTTGCTGAGCACTTCTGCGTTGGTGAGGTCGAGATCAGAATCATCGAGAGCATGCTGTTGAACGTTGGGATTGGCATTAATCAGTCCTTGGGGTAAAACGGCCGTCATGACATGCGGCGGTCAAGGTATGTCTCCCTCGGTGGCAGCTCCACGAAGCCGAAGGTCAAACTCCGAGTCGGCCAAACCATATCCTTTTGTTCCAGCACCGTGGTCCACGACCAAGATGGAGCGACAAAGGGGATCAAAGGAAAGAAAAGGAAGTGGTAGGCGAGGTGAAGGGAAATAGGTGGGCGGCAAGGGCAGGAGGAGCCCAGCGACGCCGTGCGTATCGTGGCGTGGCGGGGAGGAGCCCAAAGATCGGTGTGTAAGAATAGATGAAGGCACAACCGGGCAAAGAGGTTTTTTTGGCCTTGTTTTTCTTTTTCCTCAGTCCCTACCACGGACACCCAATGTGCGTGTAACGGTAAGTAGTGCGGCTGGCCAAAGCCAATGCCTGCGAACCAGATTTGTACCTGGAGACGGGTGGAAGTTCGCTCGAGGTCGAACTAGATCACCGCTAGAGCTGAAAACAGCAAGGACCACTGGCGTCGTCGATCGAAAAAGGTCACTACTTTGGGGGGGGTTAAAGAGGGAGAATGAAAAGACCTGGTCCTGGGCCTGGGGGGGGGCCCTTGGATATGTGGTGAGAAATCGAAAGTCTGGGATCCGCTGCCGAAAGCCTAAAATAACGGGGGGAGCCAGTGACGGCCAGCGAGGGCCAGTAGAGAAGCCGCGCGGAAAGGGATCCGTTGGGTAAAACCGGAGCCCTGAGTGATTGAGTCGAGGAACTAGAGACAAGACGGGCTCAGTCCAGCTGAAATACCTCTGGGACACGGTTGATTGAGTGCCCTGAGTTGGGCCTGGTGGCACTGGGGGGAGACGAATTGAGGGTTCAAACGTGGGCGATGGTGGTGACAAGCAAGTGGCCGCGTTCGAGAGGACCAGGTGATGGGTGACGGAGCTAGCGCGGGAATGCCAGTGTTGAATCGGCCTTGAGAGACGGCGGCCGGATCAATCGAAAAGGAGGAGAGGCGGAGAGAGGGAGGGAGTGATGTGTCGAGAGAGGTGTTTGAATGTGTCTGGAGAATTGGCGGGTGGGTAAAGCTTGCAGTCAGTCACAAAGAGTCGGAGTCGCAGTCGCAGTCGCAGTCGCAGTCGCAGTCAGCCGACCCCACGACCACGACCATCGACCCAGAAGAAAGAACCGAAACAAGGTTCTAGGTTCACGGCAGAAGTGATGTTGATGCAGGAACCAGGCCCAGATGGCCCAATATCGGTTCAGATATGGGCTGGTGGTTGGTTTGGACCCAAAGGGTTGATGAGCTCATGTACGAACGGGCGGATGGAGAGGGGTTACAAAAGCCGCCATCATCGGCTCCAGGGTCCTGGACGAAATCCAGGGATCGGGAAATGGAAGGGGAAAGGGAAAGGGAAAGGGAAAGGGAAAAGGAACAGACCAGCGAAAGCGGGAATGGTGATCATGGGAACAAGCATTCACAGTGCGTGTTTATTGACAGACAAGGTGTTGATGGGGGTTGTGCAGAGTGGCGGTCCAAAATACCGCATCGGTCATAGTCAGCAGTACCACCCGAGAGGACAAAAGCACCACACCACACGAGGAGTGGGCGAAGGGAGGGGGGAAAGGCGGAGGGAACAAAGACGGCGAGAGTAGAGAAAAGAGGTGGATTTGTGCTTCCACCCACACACCATTGGAACAACAGACGCCGGATAAATTTCTAGCTGGTTATACCACATGAGGCTTAAAATATGTAGGTGCGCCTCACTCGGACGAATGTAGATCCCAGGATCGCCATGGCCATGGCCGCCAGGGAGCCACCTGGAGCCACCGACACAGCGACAGGGCAAGGACAGGGGTGCAAGGTGGGACACTAGAAAAATCGAGAACTCGGCTCAGAGAAAGAGACGGTTCAACGGCAAAGACCAAGACCCGATAACGTTCTACTCGGTAGGCCAGAGGAATAATATTATTAAAACCAAAAAAAAACCAAAAAAAAAAAAAAAAAAACAGAGCCCGAGGTATTGTTGAAAAAGAACAGAGGAAGTGGAAGAAGGTCTTCCATCACGTCTTGGGCCGGCATCTCTATTGGTCTCTTTTCTTCCTCCTTCCTCACCTCTCTCTCCCCCTTCTCCCCCTTCTCCCTCCACCTCCTTACCGAGTACTGGGTACTCGGTAGTCTCCTCTGCTCTGTAGCCTGGACACCGCACACCGCAGCTTCGTCAACCCAACCTTCGCTTCTCCTACTGCTCGTGGCTAGGTACCTCCCTCACCAACGTTGCATCGACGGGTACCTACTCAGTACCCAGTACCTAAGTAAGTACAACTTTGTTGTCCCACATCCTTTTACCCCCTTCCCCCCTCCGCGCTAACTATCTTAGTAGCTTGTTCCCTTCTGCTCTCGAATCGAGCTTCTCACTCCAACTGCGCTCCACTACACCGCATCGCACCTCAGCCTGGCCATGGCCAAGACTACTGCTGTTGTACGAGTACTCCATACTACATACGTACTCAGGGCAGGTCCTCAAGTAGCCCGGACGAAAGCTTCTTCCCAGCTTGACTCCCCACTCCACTCCCTACCGGCCCTCCCATTCTTCGGCCCCGGTCTAATCCTGCAGCCATTCTCACGCGCCAACACATATCCGCATCCACGTTCTTGGGTCGTCCCCTTGCTTCCGCCCCGGATGTGCAGCTACTGTACGTGCACAGGCTATCGGGTCCTTGCTGAAGCCGGCATCCTTACTCAGAAGGCCCTAACCGACCCCAGGCAAACAAAGCCACCGCCTACCAATGGTACACAGACTTCCTCCTGCGTGTGTGGTTGGTCGCCCATCTCCTTTCCGAAGAGCCTGGTGCCATGATACCTCCCCACGCTCCTTCGGCCTACTATGTAGGTACGCACAATAGAGTCCTTGACAAACTCTCGATCAACTCCTTGCTTCCAAACTTATCTTATCGGGTGAGTCACAAATGACTGTTTCGAATCAATCATAGGTATGTACCCAATATTTGCGATGTACCACATGCTCTTTCATTTCCTCGGGGACTTCGGTGACAATATCAGCTGCGGCCGCCATCCAGACGAGTCCTTCGCTACATTCCTTGGTATCCGGTGCCGCTACATGATGGATATAGCTAAAGTCCCTGAGATAACCACATTGCTCATCTGTTTGCTTGAGGTCTCATCCACCGTACCGGTCTGGATCTCCTTGGCTCTTGGAGCGGTCTGGCCGCTAATAGTCACTCCAATGACAGTTGGAGAGCTTTTGATGCCCAAAGCTCCTTGAATCTCGGTTCGATACCAGCTGTAAAGTCTACAGCAGGAATGCCCGGGGCCTTCCAGGCCATGTGGATATGCGTCCTGTGGAGAGAAATCCCCCTCTCCTGGCGCACCCCTTCTGGCCATGCTTCCAATGTCGATCATGGCAAGAGGTCGAGGCCTTACATCTTTGCCATAATGGATTAGATACGCTATCGCACCATGCCGTGTTACGTGGGATGAAGTGCTGTGGTCAATTGCCTGGGTTATTCTGGTCGCCGGGCTTTCGCCAGGCTTTCCAACTCCTAACGCATCTTCATTACCACGAATGGCGGTTACAAACGGCTAGCGGCCAAGGCCGACCGGATCTTCCCCGATCCGTCTGAAAAGCAAACAAGAGCTACGCACATGACTGGCAATGCCTTTGCGATTTGTGCTCTTATTCCTGCTTGCATTGAGCAGTTTTGAATGCTTTGACTAGCTCGTACGTACTAGTCTCCAAGGCACATTCCCACAGCGGTCTTTTCCTTACCATCGTCCACATTCATGACATTGGAGATGAGCGCCTCTATGTGCAGGTATATCTACAATTGCGAAGTCAGCGAGCTAGACCACCAAAAGAAGCAACAACTTGGACGATCTAGAGGGTATGTGCACTACCGCTTGCCGCCGGAAGTAGATGGGAGAAGAAACTTACCCTCCGTCCACGCGCAAATCTGCGCCCGTGACATACCGACTGGCATCACTCAGCAGGTAGACCACAGCTCCTTGGAGGTCCTCAGGAGAACCCATCTTGCCCACTGGGATCAAGGATGTCCAAGTTTTGTTGAGTTCTGGATTGTCATCAAGGATTTTGCGGGTCCTGCAGGGGGCGTCAGGCAGCCGTGGACAAACACAGGGGCGATGAAGCACTCACAGAGCCGTTAACATGTAGCCAGGGCTGATACAATTCACTCGGATATGTGCGTGTGCCCATTCCACGGCCAAACTAGCGGCCAGATGCCTGACAGCGGCCTTTGCCGCGTTGTACGGCGCCTGTGGTTGAGGCACATTGACGACGGCGCCAGACATGCTCCCGATCATGACAATGCTCCCGTGCGTGATGTCGCGTTCCATCAGATGCCTTCCTACCGCCGTGCTAAACAGATACGTCCCGTCGACGTTGACGCCCCAGAGTTTCTTCATGCGCTCATACGGGTACGTCTCGGCGGAGAAGTTCTCTGTGAATCCGGCCGACGTCACCAAATGGTCGATTTTACCGTGCTCTTTGAGAATCTCGGCGATGCATGCATTCACGGACTCTGGGTCTGACACGTCGGCGTAGTGCGCTGTCACCTTAGGGATATAGTCTTCGGAGCCGCTGTCTGCGTTTTCCTTGGCCATCATCGACATGAGTTCCGCAGCTTGCTTTTCACCTTCCTCCTCTATTCGGCATGACATAGGTTAGCGTACTTATCTTTTCGAAGCCGTTCCTCAAGAATCTAGTGGACGATTTCACATCACGCTCTCCCGCAGATACCGCCAGACGACTGTGAGTATTGAAGGTTGCAGTGTCAAGCCAATGGCTCGAGGGCCTCGCTTCCTTATAAACAAGAACATGGATGACAATGGAATTTTCGAGAGCTTACTATTCAGATCGACGATGGCCAAATCAGCTCCTGATTGAACAAGGCCTTGACCCATGACCAATCCGAGCCCTCGAGCACCGCCGGTGACGACTGCCGTCCTGCCCTCGAGACTGAAGGTCGGCAATGTTCTGACATAGCGGATCCCTCCTCTCCCGCGCAGTGGACGGTCCCGGGGAAACTCCTCTTCTGGTGGGTATTCGACCACGATATCTCGATCGGTCCGTGCAGCTGAGCCTTCGTGGGGCCCCGCCGAGGTGCCGGTAGCTTCGGTTGAAACTTTGTGATACGGATCTGGAATGTCCTTTTCCAGCTGAGGGGCAGTAGCTCGGAGGGAGCGGCGGGAGGAGAAGGATAAAGGTCGGGCGAGGGACGGGTTTGAGCTGATGGTCGAGGCAGCGGAGCGCAAGTTTTTGAGACGAGATATTTGCCGGAGCAGGGAGAGGGTTGTGGGCGTGTTCATGTTGGATTTCCTTTCCCTCTTTTGACTGTTTCAATGCTTCATAGAGTTTTGGCTCTGACGCCGGACGAGTAGGTGCAAGGATAAGAGCAACGCCCTTTTAAGCTCGTCAGGCCCTTCCTTACCGAGTGCCTCACTCTCGACGCCAGAACTGTAGCCGAGAGCGATGCTTGTTCCTGTTTCCCAGTGCTTTCTTTTCCTTTCTCTCTTTCTCTCTTTCTGTCTTCCGTCTCCTTTGGTTGCTCCCAGTCACTCAGTGCTCTGCAACTCTTAGTCTTTCTTCCTTTCGTTTTGTTTTATCGAATCCCCGGCCACCAATGTAACGTAGAGCGAGACGACTTCAATCGAATCTCAACGCAACCGTCACCCAGAAAAGACAGTCAGTGGTTCCAGCACGCTCGTACCGAATGTCTCTGTAAACGAGCGAGCAAAAGGTTTCGACAAGGGAATAGAGGAGGGAGAGACAGAGGGAGAAGGAAGAAGGAGAAGGTGCATGTAGCTACGTAGCCTGGTGAGCCCTTTTCCCCAAAAGAAGGTTTTTTTCGTCCCAATGGGTTGGTGGGAGCAGTGTTGGAGGGGGGGTTGATGTCATCGGTGAGTTCAGAGTCGGGTGGGCTGGTAGTCCCTGAGCTACCTGAGCTACCTGAGCTCCCTTCCCCGACTCCTAGCTCGCGAGCTCAGACATTGGGCAAGACATGAAGATACACGCCAGTGGTGTCGGCAACTACAGACAGGGTACTCCGACGGCGGATTTTCATGCGTAGTTGAGCTACGTCGCTTATCGATGCCCCAAGCGTCTTTCATCTTCGATTAAATCCAAAGACGACCTTTTAAGGGCAAACCCAATTATTCCGTACTCCGTGCTACTACCATATATGTAGCATTCATGGCTCGCTCGCTACAGGGGCTTCGGCACTGGCGGGATACCCAGATGAGTTAGTCGGCGCGACGGCTACAGGTTCTACACCGAGTAATCTTTCATGGTCGAAATGCGTTGGGCTGAATTGTCACTTGGTACGTACTGGGCACTGTGGTATGAGTGAACAAAATTCAAATTACCTGCTACCTGGTCTGGTCTTGTCTGGAGCTAGAGCGCATACAGTACGCTTCGATCGCCGTACTCACCCTCTCCATTTACCGAATCAGTAGGTTTGCAGCCTTTGCGCGTGGCACTGGCATCAGCGAACCATGTCTCTCAGCTTGATCAAGGACAATCCACGTAGCGCTTTAGTCGACATCCTCTCCTCACAGGGCGTTTTCTCTGGCAGTGCAAGTCCGCAGAGTCCGAGTATCGCTTGGCCATTTTCTCCCCAAGTCTTTCCCATCTGCTCTTCTGTTCAAGCCTTATTGCCGCGTCCCCGTCTCTCGGCCTTCCTCTCCGAGACGAACCACCACGTGCCAAAGGCCGCAGTCACGCACCACAGGATCAGACCCGTAAAGTCGAAGCCAACGGCAACTTTCATGCGATGCACGCCGCTCTCGTATTCAACCTTCTCGCCGATGTACATGGAACCGAAAATGCCAGACAGCGTCGCGAAGAGAATGGTGAGTACCCAGTCCCACGCGAACAGCAGGGCAACCGTGCGGTACTGGAAAAAGATGCTGGCGAGTGAGAAGATGAGCGCGGTGACTGCCGCCAGAGAGCCCACCGTGACGGCGAAAACCTTGAGTGCGATTAGTCCTCTGACATATTCAGGCGGGAAAGAAGTCAGAGCGTTGTTCTTGGGGTTCGTCGTACGTACCCATTTGGAGTCGGCGTACTTGTCCTCCTTGTTCGCAGTATTGAGATCCACCGCATACATTCCAATCACCACGAGGGCGACGATCAGCTGGGCGGACCGGAAGACGAGGTTGAAGACGTTGGATTTGCGGAAAGTGGAGAAGATCGAGAAGAAACCCATGGTTAATACGGTTGACTTTGCAAAGAAGTGTTGCTGGGGTTCTGTGTGTGTGCGTTTGAGTTTGGGTGGTTTTGGTGGGTTCCGAATTTGGTTCAACTGTTGTTCGAGTGTAGTTGATTGGAGTGATGGCGTTTGCTAATGTCCAGCAAAAGGGGGGGGGGGGGATTATATTGAACTGTCTGTGTCAGATGTTGCAGAATGTGAGAAGGCAAGGCGGTTGGGCCGACTGCTCAGGCAAATACCTTGGGCTATCAAACAAAAGGAATGTGCTGCCTTGTCGAGTCACTTCAATGGGCGTTTGTTACTGAGTGAAACGAAATGGCAGTGATGAAGAGAGCTTTGTTTGTTCTTGGTGTGTTTCCGTGCAGTTGACAATGGCCTGGCTTTGTGTCGTCAGAGAGGCTTCCACTGAAGTTGTTGTTAATAGCTGCGACGGCTGGGCTTCTATTCAAACAAACCTATACGAGGGACAAAGATGAAATGGAAAAAACACCGCTTCTCGCCCTTCTCCGGGCATGTTGTTGAGGAATGAAAAGCACCAAAAGCGATAAAACGACACAAACATGGACCGAGGAAAGATTCCTGATAAGTGACGGGGCCTTTTGTTTGAGAAACAACTGGATCTGGAAATGCAAGTGGTTTGCATTTGCGTCATTGGGAAACACCAAGAATGTCGCTTGGGACTGCGGGGATGTGGCTTGACGGTGCACAAAGGCGGGCATGAGGCTGATTGAGTTGCCATTGGGCCATTGGGCCGTTGGGCACCTTTTCGGATCTACTGGGTACGCTCCCATCAAACCATGATCCCTGTCATTCTGCCTGAGCTGCCTTGGTCCCACGTCAATGCACACGCAATCTCCCCGTCCAACTTTCTCAATCTTGAGCAAACAGAGTCCAGAGAGGCAGGGGTGCATCCCCCATTCATTACCATGCCGGATCAATAGAAATGGAATACTAATTTTATCTTTTTGGGAGGGAGAGGAGTATGTGCAGGCTACCCGGGGATTGTCCAGAGGGCCCGGAGTATGGGGACGAAGGCAACTGTGTAGATACAGAGAAGATCAAAATGCCAAGGGAAATGAAACCGACGCCAACAAAACGAGTGACCAGATCAGAGTCCAATGCGATGCGAAAGACAGGCCGAAACAAGACGAGGAACACAGCAAAAGCACAGATAAGAAACACGGACCGAGCTGTCGAAAGCCCAACTGTCATCGTGTCCCTCCCCCTCCATGTGTTCCTCCTGCCTTGTCGGTGCTGGCATGTGACGGTCCGCTAGCAGCCTTGTTCGGAGCAGTCGCTGTTGGCGGTGCCGGCATTGGGACGGGGTCATCGTAGCCGTAGTCCAGGTCGTCGTCGCCAAGCTGGTCCAGCGGCTGATTATCATAGACATGCGGAGGCACCACTGGGCCAGTGTAGTTGCTGGCTTTTGTCCCACCCTTGGTCTGCTTCTTTCCCTTCCTTCCCTTGAGTTTGGCCTTCTCCAACAACCGTCTTTTTTCGGCGAGTCGGCGCCGTTCCTTGCGATCCTTGATCTCGTATTGGCGGATCAGCGCGTGGGGAGGTTGACCGAAGATGCTCTCGTACTCGCAGAATTCACAGATCCAGATGTCCTCCGGCGCCGGCGGATGTTGCAGATTGTTGTATTCTTGTTGAAGTCTTCTCTGTCGGGCAGCCAGGGCATACACATCTCCTCTCCTTCTCCGCGGCTTCTTTCCCTGGGCGTTGGCATTTGGGACCGCTGGGGCCGCGGGGGCAGGTTGAGTGTTTGGTTGGACCACATTCGGGCTGGTCTGGGTTGTTTGAGTGGATACTTTCTGGTGTGCTGTGCCCTGAGCTGGAGGAGCTAAATTGTTGCGCTGGGCGTAACCCGGTGAGTATAAGCTCTGCTCAGGAAAGGTCACGCCTTTCGCCTCGCTCTCGCACGTAAAGGTAAACTGCGAACTCGTATGGGCTTGTTTGACTTGTTGATCGAGGACACCCACATTTTCTTGACCTTTTCCCAGCGGCTTACGAAGCAGGGCCGTGGCGTTGGCGATGGCAGCAGAAATGATACCCTGGTCTTTGGATTCTTCGGCTTCGAAAACCGTTAGTCACCCTTGCTCCTTTTCTTCGATTCTTGGGTTCTTACCTTTGGCGTTGACGGACATGTTCTGGTCATATTTAGATGGGCCACTCCGAGCGTTGGAGCCATTAACCGAAACACCAAGCGGATTTCGACCCGGTAGCTTTCTTGTGCTGCGCCCTCTACCGGCTCCTTGGACGCCAAGACCAGAAGGGCTTCCGGCGTGAGCGATTGTGGAATAAGAATCGTCTGCTGCGCCGTCTTTCGTCCCGCCAATTCCCATATGCGCCAACTGATCTGTCACAGATGAATGATGCAAACTCAAACTGCCGGAGGTAGGTATTTTTCTTTTTTTCTTGTTATTAGTATTTTCGAACGCCTCATAACCGTCCGACCCAGAGGTGGTGCCTTTGGTAGAGTATCTCTGGCGCCCAGATCGGGGAGATCGAGGAGAAGACACAAAGTAATGACGGACAGGAACAATGCGTTCATCTTGAGAATCTAGGTCATCCTCATATTCGTCGTGGTGGCAATGATGGTGGTGATGAGGACATTCATGGTCGTCGTCATGGTCATGGTCGTGATCCTGATCATACCCATCACTGTGTTGGTGCACTAAAACCTTGCTGTCGTTTGGATATTCGCCATTTTCACCATAGTGAGTGTATGTCGGCAAGCTCGTCGAGGGGAGTGTAGGAGGGTATGTGATAGCCTCAGCAGCCTCTTGGGACAGCCGGGACTTGATGGACCGTTTGGGGAGTGGCCGAATCAGTCGTTCGGGGAAAACAGTAGAGGGAGTGTCAGGGGACGACAGGTAAGAAGTGTCTAGATGCCAAATGTTATTCTGTGTTGGGGATGGATCCGAGACGATTTTTCGGACTGCCTGTGGGAGTCATACTGTATGCCATCTTCAATACTCTTTCCTCCTTTTATTGAGCCAGAGCCAACAAAGATTTTCCCTGCCCCATCCAATCGTAGTATGCGGAGTTGACGCCAAATCCTGACAGTGCTCACAAGGTTAGTTAAGGTTCGACGACGATCAAAGATCTTGATCCCATATCATGTGGTGTTTGATTGCCCTCGTAGTGTCAATATAGAAATGGGTGGACGTACCAGCGAAACCGAATTATTCAGCCAAGTCTGATGATGGATGGTCGGACAACTCTTATGGGGCAGTGGCTCTTCCTTCTTGAATAGATATCCAAGCAGTCTATTGCGGAGGAGAGATTGAGGATGCAGTATGCGGGTGAATGGACTCGAGCGTCAAGAAGAAAATTCTAGTGGTTGCCAAAGACTGTTCAACGATAGCTTTCACGGGCAGAAGCAGATGCAGATGGAGGTGCAGTTGGACTCTGCGTTCGATATCGGCTGCCAAGCCCCAAAGTAGCCGAACTGGAGCCTCGTCTCATCTCATCCCTCCCTCCTCGCCTCCTTTCCAACAATGTCTCACGAATGTTTTTTATTTGCTTCCAACAATTACAATAGGGGTTTTGTAAGCTAAAGGCGGAGAGGAGCCACATTGCATTCATTTACCACCCGTGCAATATAGCTCTTCGTGTATCTGTTACTTTCATGCAAATTATATCATGCCAACACTAAGCTGCTCGTCAATTTCATGTCTGAGAGCCAGTAATCCTGTATTATCCCGAGCTTGAGTGATCGTTAACCGTTGAGTGGATGGACCCCGTCATTGCAATTTATCCTTGCTATCCCCCCAAAAATCAGTTCTGCTTGCTCATATTTTTCGAACTCGCGCTGGTGGCGGCGACATTTTGAGAATTTCTTCCATTCTTTGATGCGACTCTCTTTGCACGGCTGCTGGCAGTTGATTTGGGAGGCCCAACCTCGTCAGGCTCCTCTGTGGCCTTTCTTTTGTTCTCCCTTCGAGGGCCTGGTTCGTTGATGATTGGCGGTTTGCCTTGCGAAATCTCTATTCCGCTGACTACAGAGGTGTCGTCCTTCTGATGCCCGTCTCTTTTTGGATACGCCATGGCTTCCGACATAACTTCAGTTTCATCCGTATCTGCAGCCATGGTTTCACTTGAATCTGGCGGGGAGGGAAGACCTGCCTCTACTCGTCGCCGTTTCCGGGGCATTTCATCATCACCCAACTCTTCCGATTGTAACACCACATTTCCCGGTCTGAGGCTATCCTTGCCAACTCGAGAGAAGCCTCTGCCTTCATCATCTTCTTTGCCAACGACAGCATGACGAAGTTTGGTCGAATTCGGCGCAGATGCTTCCTTCGAATTCACACTGTGTTCGTTATGCTCCTTTCCCGGCACTTCTTCTGCAATACTTTCTGCAACTTCGTCCTCCTCTTCAAATTCGGCTTCGGCGTGTTGGGTTCTTTGATCAAAAGACGATTGCCGTTGCACGTGTCTGAGACCCATATCTTCTAGACTCATGTCCTTTGCCCAACTCTCATCGTCTCCTGTCCGTTCTGGGGATTGATGCCAGCCGTTGTCCTTGATGGCAAAAATGTCCTTCCAATTCTTCATGAGAGCCACCCTCTCCTCTTGACCATCGTTGAACGCGGGAGTCTTTCGTCCTGAAGGTTCAGCCCAGATTGTGCCCTTAATGCCACTGACTAAGAGTCTGTCCTCGTCCAACCGCGAAAGGGGGATGTCAATTGTCTCTACCAGTTTCCGCTTCTTTCCCCGTCTAGAATCCTGGACAGCACCGGGAGGGGGTTTGGCAGTAGGGCCGATTTGAGGATTCTTTCTCAGCAAGGTCGGGTCATCGTCCATGTAGTCATCCGAGTAATACTCCCAGTCACTATAGTATTCATCCAGCTCGTTCTTGACTGCGTCTTCGTCTTGGTACACAGGACTGTGGACGGTATGCTCGGCAAGGTCATCGGCCAACTCTGGAGTTGGGTCTGCGTCCCACAGGATGTCCTCAAGATCGTCATAGGGCGAGTAGGTATAGTCTTCGATATCGGACATTTTGAGGAAGGGGTCGTTTCATCACATCCAGCTTGTTTTCAAGAAGACATGGCAATTGTCATCAAGAGGACGTGGTGGAGAGACCGATGCAGATGTCGAAGGTGGTTGGAAGGGAATCACTCCAGGCTCATCTCTTGAGTTATTTTTTCCTCTTTCCACTCAAAGACTCTCTCAACGTCGTTTGAGCAATCATGTAACCCGAGGACGGCGTGATATGCAGGACGGGGGGACAAATGGAATTCAGTGTGACGATGTCGGGCAGGCATTTTTGGAGAAGCCACACGCGTCTGGATCCCCCGCCATGGTACCATCATCCGCGGAACATGGGATGCTGCCATTTCCGACGCCATGCGAGGACAGCCGAGTTTCTGGGGACGGCTTCACATACCCATTTCTCGCTTCATTGTCCGTAAATTCTTATAAACCGAGCCACAGTGCATGCTGAAAATGTGATCAGCCCTTGTCCCAGCGCTCAAAATGTCCCACTACCCTTTTTCTCGAGCTGCGGCAACCCTACGGCCGAGAACCACTTTCCGCTCCTACTCGGCCAAGAGCATCGATTCAATTCTCATTGCAAATCGAGGCGAGATTGCTATAAGAGTCAATCGTACTGCTGCCCAGCATGGCATCCGCACTACTACGCTATACACGAATCCAGATGCTCTCTCGCAGCACGCTCTTTCCTCGCCCTTCTCATTCCATCTCGGCGCAACAGCCGCTTATTTGGACCAGGAGAAAATCCTCCGAATAGCGAAACAAGAGGGTTGTCAAGCTATCCATCCCGGCTATGGCTTCCTGTCTGAAAATGCAGAGTTCGCAAAGAGATGTGCAGAAGAAGGCGTCACTTTTATTGGCCCTCCTGCAAGCGCCATTGAGGATATGGGGGATAAGGCCAGGAGCAAGGAGATCATGAATGCCGCCGGTGTTCCCTGTGTACCGGGCTACCACGGATCCGATCAGGCCCCTGAGACACTCGCACAAGAGGCGGAAAAGATTGGCTATCCTGTCCTAATCAAAGCCGTTCGGGGCGGGGGAGGCAAGGGGATGCGAATCGCAAAGACTGCCCAAGAATTCCCAGACATGCTTGAGAGTGCAAGGAGTGAGGCCAGAAACTCATTTGGCAATGACGAAGTCCTAGTCGAGAAATACATCACCACGCCGCGCCACATTGAAGTTCAAGTTTTTGCTGACAAGCATGGAAATTGTGTTGCCCTCGGTGAACGAGATTGTTCCATTCAACGCCGCCATCAGAAAATACTTGAGGAGTCTCCAGCTCCAAATCTGGACGATTCGATTCGCAAAGATCTGTGGGACAAGGCACGAGCAGCTGCGTTGGCTGTCAACTATGAAGGTGCTGGTACCGTGGAATTCATCTTCGACAATGACACGGGCGAATTCTACTTCATGGAAATGAATACTAGACTTCAAGTGGAGCACCCTGTTACAGAAATGGTAACCGGCCTGGACCTTGTCCATTGGCAGATCTTGGTTGCGGAAGGCAAACTTCTTCCTCTTACCCAAGAACAAGTCGAGGAGCAGATTTCTCACCGTGGACATGCTATTGAAGCTCGAATCTATGCCGAGAACCCGGACAAGGGATTCATACCTGATTCTGGCAAACTTCTACACGTTCGGCTCCCCAAGGAAACCACAAACGTGCGGATAGATAGCGGATTTGTGCAAGGCGACGAAGTTTCGAGCCATTACGATCCCATGATCGCCAAATTGATCGTCAGAGGCGAGACTCGGGAAGACGCTCTACGCAAAATGGTTGCAGCATTGCAAGACTACGAAGTCGCAGGACCAGTAACGAACATTGGCTTTCTCAAGAGAATATGCAAATCCCCCGACTTCGTGACCGGTAACGTCGAGACAGGATATATCGGAAAACACCATGAGGAACTCTTCCCCGAGATAACTGTTACCTCTGAAGTTCTTGCTCAGGCAGCGATTGCTTCGTTCCTTCGCCATTCAAATGCTCCAACTTCGAAAGCAACCTCTTTAACGTGGCAACTGTCCTCCCCCTCGTGGCTCAACACATCGTCGGACTTCCAGCCACGAACATTCCAGTTCACCTCCACGAGCATCGAACCTGGATCCGGAAAACAGCCTAAAATCCTCGCCGTGGAACTCCAACAAATGAGTCCGGGTACATTCTCACTATCAACGCCATCCAACCCCGAACCGATGACCGTTTCATCCTCCTTAGACTCCAAGACAAATACATTGACAACCTACTTTCCTAATACACGACATACCTCACATATCATATTCTCTCCTGCCTCAACCACATCAGACTCTGCGTCAAACCCAGAAAAAATCCACCTCTTCACCCCGCACGGCGCTTTTCTTCTCTACTCACCTTCACCTCCATGGCTGCAGAAAGCCCTCGGCGTGACCGAGAAGCCTAATTCATTGCTCTCCCCCATGCCGGCTAAGATTCTCCGTGTACTCGTTTCGCCAGGGGACGTGGTGAAGAAGGAGCAGCCCCTGATAGTTATCGAGAGCATGAAGATGGAGACAGTTATAAGAAGCCCTATAGAAGGGGCCAAGGTGCAGAGAGTGGTGCATATGGAGGGGGAGGTCGTGGGAAGTGGTGTCGCACTTGTAGAATTCGAAGAAGACGGAACAGACGAGGGTGAAAAGTGAGCGGTGATGCAAAGCGACGACGGAGATGAAGTGTGAAGGTGCAGATTCCATTTCTTTTGGACGAGTGGGAATCTTGCAAGACTATAGTAACAAACCGATCCGGCCCGGCGGGTTAGCTAATGTTGATTTCGGGAGGGCCCAAGCTCGGGAATGGCACGAGACGCTATACCATACACTCCATTTAGAAGAGCACCGTGAGAAGTCACCTAAAATCGCAAGAGAGGCTGACTAGATTTCTTCGCCTTCGTCTGTGGGATTCCTTTTTTTCTATTCTCACTTATTTGGCGATCTTGGTATTCACCCCATGATCAGGGACGTGCGCTTCGGGAGTGAAGCCGCTGTACCGAAGTTGTTAAAAGCACAAACTTAACAGCGAAAACAGGAAAATCGAAAGTGCTCGGAGCATTTTACACACGCATCCTTAGAGCTAAGGAGAAGCAGTTTTTTCCCTTCTCTTTTCTCTTTTAAGAAAACCAACAAAAAAAAAGACCAAAAAAACCCCAAAGGAGTGTATTATTAGTTAGTTTGGCTATCCCAGAAACCGATTGCCTCCGTGAAGCGGCACCCGCATATACGCGCCCTTGTCCCTTTCCTTTTCCTGATGAACAAAACCAAGTAGTATTGGTGGTAAGAGTTGATGTCCCAAGAAAAATCCTCTCCCATCGCTTTCATTCTTCTGGAGAGAAAGAATGAAAAGGCCTACACCCTACCTCTAGTAGTCCTGCTTGAGCCTCATGTGCTTGGTTCTCTCAACAGCTCCGTGGGCGGAGCGGAGGGTGAGGCCTTAGGTCAAAGCTCTTGAGAGCACTCTCAAATCAACGACTTAAGGCCGATCGGCTTGTTCAGAACTGGATGGGGTGTTATCAGCCTCATCGTCGTCGTCATCGTTCGAAATCCCGCCATCATCACCGTACATGTCGGTCTCACCCTCTTCTCCAAGTTCACCAGAACTGAATAGCGGATCCACCACCGAGTGATGGATGACACTATCCGTCTCATCAACAGAACTATTCGTTGAATTTGGATGTCGAGCAGCTCGCAACGTCTGACTTGCATTATAGATCAGCCCGCGCAATCTCTCAATCTCCGCATCCCGCTCTCTGACCGCTGCCCGTGCGGTATCAAGCTCTTGCTGTAGAAGATTATTTCTCTCAATCTGCCACCTCATATTGCGCCAGTGTGCTTGATTCTCAAAATCAAATTGACGGTAAGCCTCTTCCACTTGCTGGAAAGACCGATGCATGGCTTCCATGGCAATTTGAGCATTGTGGGCTGCAACTGGTTCAAAACGATCGATCTGAGTTGGTCCAGCATTTCCGGTCTGAGCGGCGGCATTTTGAGCAGCTACACGGTCGGTTTCCTCTGTCAACCCAGGATCTACTCCTGCGGATTGGTTTGCCCCGCGAAGCTTCCAGGCTTTCAACTGCTCGCGACCGGGTCGTGGAAGTGGAGTATTGAGGCTGCAACTTCGAGGCTGAAGCTCGAAGTGTCCCAGAGAGACCTGTTCCACCTTGCGTTGTTTACCATCCGAGGAGAATTGGTCATAATCTGCTGACCAGCGGGTGGGAGTCTCGTCCTTAGGATCTTCCAGATTCGTGGCGAGCGGCTGTCTCTGCTCAGGTGTCAGCTGGCCTTTGAGAGTGAGAGATGGGTCAGAAAGCCCAGGCATAAGAAGTCCTCCTGAAAGGCAAATAGCTTTGTAATCAATCTCGCTATGGCCATTGTATGGAGGACGTGGTTCGAGAATTTGCGCTTCCAGCCAGCCACGTATTGAACGACGAGTTGCAGCTTCAGCGTCCAAATCTATCGCGGATTCGTCGGAATCTGGAGGATCGGGTCTCCTAGTAGTCGTCAATTGTGAGTCGATTCGCTCCAATGCAAAGTTTTCCTCGGCTCGTCGGCGTCCTTCCTCAGACTGTTGTCCAGGAGAAGCTAAGTCCGAGTCATAGTCAGCCTTACTTGATCCATCCGTAAAATTTGCAATAACGTACCTCAGCATCGATCTACCTCGTGAAAGAACGGTGAGATCAGATTGCAGCACAGGCTGCTCAGTGCCAGAGTCGTTGGTAGTAGGTTCTGGAGGAGCGGCGAGAGGAGATTGCGGCTCGGGTTCCTCAGTGCCATGGTTTTCGGATGCAATTTCTGGAGTAGCCGTCATAGTGGATTGCGATTTAGACTGCTCAGTGCCAGGGGCGTCGGATACAGTGTCTGGAAGAGCAGCGGTAGCAGGTTGCATCTCGGACTGTTCAGTGTCAGTGTCTTCGGTAGCAGATCCTGGCCCCTGAACCACAGAGTAAGGGCTATTCTCGGTTCCGTGATGTCGAGGCGGCCGTCCAGGCTTGAACACATGGAGAGCAGACGTCAGCTTTGCCATGACACCTCTCAAGAATGCCTTGGCCTTTCCCATTTCGATATCCCAGAGAGTGCACTTACCGGTCTGAATTTAGTGTTGAGGACGAGTTGTTGAAGAGAAGGAAGCTGTCAAGGCTTGGTTTATGTTGTGTTAACAAATGCGAAGACCTTTCCAGCGAGTTTGTGTTGCCCGTTGTGCTGCAGCAAGGCAAGCACACCAGGGACGAAGGGGATATTTATATGAATAGAGAACCTGTGGCCCCTTTGCCCGTTTGAAACAGTAGATGAGGCAATGCGTGAGGCAAAAGCATACCTAGGATATTGAGGCATTTGTATCATGTCTTACCAGGCCGCCTGAGGAACAAAGAGACATCTCAGATCGGATTGTCTGGGTGGATCAGCTGAAGACCCAGATATATAAAATAAGTGGGACCCTGCTTGGATCTCAGCGAAGGCAGTGAATGCTTGGAAGAGCAACTGTATGTCGAAGCTCCAATACCAAGGTCCCGGTCATCACTATGCTTGCCTAGATATATCACACAATTCAAGATGGAGGTTTGTGCAAAACCCAGCCCGCATTCATGCAGGAATTGTGACAAAGGAAGCACACAATGAGCTGACAATGGCAAACGCATCCACATGTTCGTGTCAACAAAGGAGTTTGTGAACTGCTGTGGACATACACAGTCGAGTTTGGATCGAGACGGAGTTCATTCAAGGCTGCGCTCTCTGACCAACCCGGTCAAGCCCGGTGTAGATCGAACAAAGGAGAGTTCCTAAGAGAGAGACGGGCACGGACGGGCAAAAAGAAGTACTTGTAGACAGGTTGAAAGGTAAGGGTCAAGCTAATTCCAAAGAGGGATAGTGGAATGCTGACGCCGCGGCGACGGAAGGAAGAACAATCCTCCGAGCCCCGAGCCATTTGCGCCAAACACTACGAACAATATCATCGAGCCTATATCTTTAACCCCCCCATGTGTTCACATGTGGGTTGACCATAACTTAGTATTCACTCACCATCTTCGCATCATTTTCCCTTGTTCTTTCACTTCCCGTACTTGTAGCTTTTTGTACCTCGGTGACATGGACTTCTCTTGGTGAGGAGTTGGAATTCCATCGGTCGCCTGCAAGGTCACAGCTCGCCACCATTTTCAAATTCGCCTTCTTTAAATTCGGCCTTTACCCTACTTTCACACCTTTTGGACTCAGATCTCCCCATCAGACAAGATCAGCAACTCATTATCAGTATTCAGAAAGAACTTGATTGTTCAGTACGGTCTGGGTTGCTGCTGTGATTGTTCACCCCTCAGTTCGGCTTCCACACAGTTGACTCTTGCCTGTCTTTTGTCCATTAATCTCGTCTTGACATTGTTGCCATGTCCGCAGGTGCGATGAAAGAGTCTGCCCAGGACTGTGCAGCATAATTATCTGACTTTCTCTATGCAGATACGCCACGCATCGTCCCTCTGACTTGCCATGGTCACTCCCGGCCGATCACACATTTGAGCTTTTCCTCCATCGTGGATGATGATCAATACTACTTGATATCGGCTTGTAAAGGTGAGATTTTATGCGCCTAGGCCGGGCTATCTCTGACTCAATTCAGACAACAACCCCATGCTGAGAGATGGCATGACAGGAGATTGGTATGGTTATTTGGCGCCCATGAATTCCGTCGCTGACGTTGACACAGGATTGGAACATTCATTGGACATAAAGGCGCGGTATGGTCGTCAAGGCTGTCTTCCGATGCCAGGATCGCCGCCACTGGATCCGCAGACTTCAGCGCGTAAGACTGGCACTTCTCATATTCTGGTTTTTTCACGCTGACAATACCCAGGAGAATCTGGGATCCCCAGACCGGAGAGTGCCTGTACATCTTAACTCACAACCACATAGTTCGGGCCGTCGCATTTCCAATTCAGACTAACCCGCAGTGTGTGGCGACCGGTGCGCAAGACAAGACACTCAAGATATTCGACCTTAGTCGAGGTGGCAGTGCTGCTTCACCCGATCAGGTCAACGGCGTCTCCCCGATCACCCCAACCACCACTTCCGAAGGACATGAGATTGGAGCAGGCCAACACGGGGGCAGCATCAAATCGATTGTGTGGAACGTTGACTACAATATTCTCACTACTGCTTGCGAAGACAAGACTCTGCGATGGTGGGACTTGAGGGTCCAACGCATGATCGCCAGTGTCAAGACAGAGCAGGACATCATGTCGTGCGAGCTTTCGACCAACAAAGCGGAAGACAGTAACCCAGGAATTCTCAGTGTGGCGGCTGGACGGTCCTGTCTCTTTTTTGACGCCGGCAGACCTGGAGAGCTGATCAAACAAGTTAATTTCGACCACGAAGTTGCCAGTGTGGCCATCAACCCTACAACGGGACGCTTTGTGACCGGTGGCGGGGTTGACACATGGGTCCGCGTATGGGATTTCGCGCAGGAAAAGGAACTAGGTGAGCTTTGGCCTTTCCGCATACTGCGCTCACTGTTAACCCTTTGCAGAAGTTCTCAAAGGCCATCATGGCCCCATCTGGTCGACTGCATTCTCTCCTGATGGTAAGATCTATGCGACCGGAAGCGAAGACGGGACAATAAAGTTGTGGAAGGCTTGCAAGGAGCCATACGGTCTCTGGCGCTGAGCCAACTGCGACTCGTCTCCGACCGGAAGTTTGATCCAGCGTAAATGACAGGACTGTCGAACATTTTTGTGGAATGCTCATCCATCTAAGCCCTGGAACAGCACGGTACGCAATAGGCGGTATTTGGTCTGGTGCTCCGGACATCAAGCGGACAAGTGACGCCGACAGCGATGTCCATATGTATGTGAGCTGTCCAGGATATTAACCGCGACGATCAGAAGGGTCCATGGCGCCGGAATGACATAACGACGCGGCTCGACCGCGGATGATGTTCAGGCACCGGAAGAATTGGTGGACCGGAAGTAGGTGCTATTGGGTACTTGGGGCAGTTCTTTAGGTGTGGCCAGAGCCTGGCACGCTGCCAGCCCGCAATGAGCTTCGGCCCCTTGAACCGTGTGCATGCAGGAACCAGAGGATGGGGCCAGGGGGACAGCAGAAGGCGAGAAAGCCAGCTCAAGCATAGACTACATACCCAGTACCTACCTAGATAAAAATCAATCTTCTAGGATCGTGGACCAGGGACGTGGGATTGTACATAGCAAAGGACGCGCTGAGGACCTTCAGTCTCCTTGTTATGTTCCTGAATGTACGGAGTCACTAGGGTACTAAGTCGTTCTAAAGCTTGCCTGCACTCGATGAAGCAGTGTCCTGGCAAGAAGAGGCAACTACATTGCAGCTCCGGGGGGGGCTGTGGGGGTCAGCTGCCAATCAAAAGGGGCAGCCCAAGCGGCCATCTGACACCGACACCGCCAGTTCCAGGTTGCTTTAAGTGCTAAGATCACCAAGTTTCCGCCGTAGCGGCCAGTAACCACCGAGGCCAGTCACCAGTCACCAGTGAGCTGGGCAGCTGGGCAGCTGGATAGGCACCTGGGAGGCACTTGGGAGGCACTTGGGAGGCACTTGAGAGGCACAAGCTCCCTCTAAGCCTCTAACAGAGAACTTTCGGTAGCTGTGCCACCCAATCCCACCCACCGAAACACTCAATGTTCTGCAAGCTCACAGTATTCCACATCACTCCACCCTTTCCGTTCTGGTCTTTTTTCCTCCCACTCTGGTTTCCTATCCCAATTAGCAATGGATTCTGACCGTTTGCCTGGCATTCCGGCTTAGCGAGGAAAGGTGTACACACGCGTGTGCCATCAGCCAGACCTGTCATTCGCTTGAATCCTCCCGTCGGCCTTCCCTCTTCCATTGTCAACCCACACCACACATTGGCTGCGCTGGTCGCCCGCTCTTAGCACTCGCCGCATATTGATTGTCCTCGGATTGATATACCCCCCCGCGCTGTCAGTGACACCGAACAGTCTCTCTCTCTGGAACAGGAGACCACGGTCTCGAGCTCAGTGGCCTATTCGAACTTGAACCAGCTCCCTCAGGTCTCGGCCTTTGGCGCACAAGAAGATGGATCGGATCAGTCTGCCAGATCAAGAGAAACTCGAACAAATAACCCATCTAACCATGGAACACCGCCAACACAGTCAGTCACCGTCGCAGAAAACGGCCTGGCCTAGGTGGGAGCGCAAGGGCAAGGAGAAAAGTCCCATCGCCCGCGCATGTACATGGGTTGTGGACCACCAGATCAGTAAGAACGTCCACAACGAGAGGAGCCCGTGAAATGCCTATACTGATCTCTCTCTCAGGCATATCTGTCAACCTCATATCTATGCTCTTCTTCATACACATCCTCTTCCCTTCGGCAAGGCATCACACCCAGAAATTCTTCCAAATCTCGTATTACAACCCGGCTACCGGAAACTTCGCCCTGGGCTGGGATGACATATTCTTCGTCTTTTACTGGATCATTGTCTTCACCGGCCTCCGCTGTGCTACTATGGACTATGTCCTTGGTCCCCTGGCTGGCTTTTTTGGCATTCGGAAACGGAAGCCAAAGGTGCGATTTGCGGAACAGGCCTGGATCCTCTGCTACTACACTGTGTCATGGTGCACCGGCATGTACATCATGTACAATTCCGACTACTGGCTCGACCTTCGGGCTCTGTGGAGGACGTGGCCGGACCGCGAAATGGAGGGTCTTGCGAAATGGTACTATTTGGTTCAGTTCGGTTTCTGGCTGCAACAGATCGTGGTGGTGAACATTGAGGAGCGCCGGAAGGACCACTGGCAGATGTTCACTCACCACATTGTGACCTGTACGCTCATATTCACATCCTACGGCTATCATCAATATCGTGTGGGCACCTTGATTCTCTGTCTCATGGACTTGGCCGACATCATCCTCCCTCTAGCGAAAATTCTCAAGTACTTGCATTTTGAGCTTGCGTGCGACATTGCATTTGGCGTGTTCATGGTGTCCTGGCTTATTGCCAGACATATTCTATACATGACTGTCTGGTACAGCATTTACGCTCATATCCCAGAGGAAATCGAGTACGGGTGCTATAGGGGCAGTGTGCAGGATCTTGAAGGTCCAATCCCTACGCCAAACGACTGGGATCATCTGATCCAGCCGTTCAAAAACCCTGTTGGACTAGTCTGCTGGAACAACAGCATCAAATGGACCTTCTTGACCATGCTCCTTGCTCTCCAGGTAATGCTGCTTCTCTGGTTCGGCATGATTGTCCGGGTCGCTTATAAAGTGATCACTGGCACTGGGGCGGAAGATGTGCGTTCGGACGATGAAGATGAGGATGAGGAGGAATACGTATCGGATGAGAAGTCGTCAAGGAATTATGTCGACAAAGTCAAACTCTGTGTGGATCCCCAGGATCAATACCTAGAGACCGAGATCCTGAGCACGGACCCTAACTTTTCTCTCTCGAAATCTTCCAAATCAAGGAGAAAATCGAGATCAAAATCTAAGTCCACTTCACCTTCGTCCTCGGCAGGGGGCAGACAATCGACACCAGAGTCGTCAACTGCAGGTTCCAGCAGTGGCGGGAGGAGAAAACAGAAGCATGAATCTGCACATTCCTCCGGCGTCAACCTGCTTGGAGGTAGCAGTGATCGCAAGGAATTGCTCGGCCGCATCGGCTGCGATAAAGGCTCTACGTCAGATTGAGCGGGATTTCGGTCTTGAACGGGTATGAGAGACAAACGCACTAGAAAAGTGTGTGTATGAGGTAGTTTCCTGGCCCGAGTCCTAGTCATTGTTTTTGGTTCGTCCAACAACTATCTGTGTCTCGGGAACTTTGTTCTCGTTGTCTTTTTTGGTCCCTGTTCACCACTGTGGCACACCAGATCCCAGCAAATCATGCCAGAACAAGAAACCTGTCGGGGTCTTTCCCAAGGATGCGAGAGGATGCCAAATACATAGACAGACGTGGGACTCGGGCCATGATCGAGCGAACGAGACCAGCGCTGATAGATACCTCAGGCCGGGCTAGAGAAGAACACAACCCACCGGATATGTACTGCACGGAGTACCTAGGGACGTACTCGGTACATACGTAGGGAGTGCCACGGCCCATGCGTGGCATGGCATGGCATGGCACACACAGGAAGAGACGGGACGAGACGATCCAATAGATCCCCTTCCTCGGACCAGACGGGCACCGGACAGGTACATAGCTACATGATAGATGGATGGGTTGGTGGATCCAATACCAATGCCCCCGACGACGACGCCGCCGCCGCCGCCGCAACAGCCTAGACAAGATTGTACGTACTCTAGATCATTCTTTCACCCATGGTCTCCAGGGCAATTTGTCGACCTCGCCTGACCGCCTGATCGAATGACGATTGTCGATTGTGATGGGGAGAGAGGGCAGGCTGGCGCTGCTTGTCGAATCGGTATTGGAGACTGTCGCTGTCGAGTTCCTATCCACAGAAAGGATTGTTCGCCTTGACTCTATCGCCAGTGTAGTATTGGTCCTAAAGGTACAGTGTTCTCTCCCCTTTCTTGCCTTCTGCATTTCCATCGAGCTCTTCTTCGCAATCACACCTCTCCTCCCTCCCGCCAAACAGTCCTTTAATCTCCCACCGGATGCTGTAGTTTTACAAATATAAGCCCTCCGGCTCCCCCTCATTCTTTGTCTTCATTACGCTGTCTCTCGCACTCCTGAAATCCGCCATGTTAACTCTCATTCTCCTCTCTCTTAGCGCCCTCAGTCCAGCTTCGGAACAGATTGCCTTGATATCCGCCCCACTCAGGTCATCCTTCTGGGCAATAAACTCGTCTAGATCGACATCTTCGGCGAGTGACATTTTGCTCGTGTGGAGTGTGAAAATCTTCTTCTTGGTGGCCGTATCGGGGTTCTCAAAGAGGATTTTTCGGTCAATGCGCCCCGGACGGATCAAGGCCGGATCGAGTGTTTCAATCTTGTTGGTCGCCATGATTACTTTCACATCCCCACGGTCGTCGAATCCATCGAGTTGATTGAGCAACTCCAACATGGTGCGTTGAATTTCTCGTTCACCTCCGGATGTTGATTCGTAGCGTTTCGTGCCGATGGCGTCGATTTCGTCAATGAACACGATCGAGGGGGCGTTTTCGGCCGCGACTTGGAACAGTTGGCGCACCAGACGGGGACCATCGCCGAGATATTTTTGGATTAACTCAGAGCCAACGATGCGGAGGAAGGTGGCGGATGTTTGATTTGCGACGGCTTTAGCCAGGAGGGTCTTGCCTGTTCCAGGGGCGCCGTACAAAATGACGCCTTTGGGAGGTTTTATACCCATCTCTTCGTACAGTTCTGGATGTAATAAGGGGAGCTCGACGGCTTCCCGCACCTCTTGTATTTGGGACTCCAACCCGCCGATGTCGGCGTAGGACTCTGTGGGTGCTTTGTCCAGTTTCATTACGGATACCAATGGATCGGCGTCATCGGTCAGAACACCAACGACAGAGACAGATTTGTGATGAAGCAGAATCGAAGCGCCGGGCTCCAGCAGATCCTTGTCGACAAAGGACATGATGGAGACGTAATACTCTGGACCGGTCGCGGAGGAGACAATAGCGTGATCATCGTCAATGAGTTCTTCCAGGTTGCCAACTCCCATCGGGCTGCCTCGCATGTCGTCGACCTTACTTCGTTCATCAGAGTTGCGATCTAGCGGTTCACCTTCGCCGGCGGTTGATGGAGCCTGTGTCTGAGCAGCTTTAGTTTTTCGGATCTGTTCTTGATTTTCGACATATTCTTCTTCTAGCAGAAGATGATCGTGGACTCTTTGCATTCGGAGGTATCGTAGTTTGCAGCGGGCAGTTGGGTAGATGGTGGGCAACTTTGCGGCAGCACTTGGGCCTGCTTGCTTGCGCTTCTTGCGGCCGATCCTGGTGGTGGGCTGCGGAGGAGGTTCGTACTTGGGCTTATCCTTCTGAGGAGAGTGTCAGTTGGAGATTCCTTGAGGAGTTTCAAAACCTGCAACCTACCTTCTTGTCCTTGTCGTCTTTTCCTCCATGACCAGGGCCGCCTCCCTGCTGTGATGATTGCTGGTTCCCCTGCAGGTGTCAGTAGAGCAGTTATCGCATTTCTTCGGGGGGGTTCATATCCTACCATGATGCAGATGGTTACAAGAAGATTCTCGAGGGTATGATAATGACCTGTGAGGAGATTGTGAAAGAGGAAATGGTTGAAAGGCGAAATGGCAAGATAATTGATTACGGCAACTTGGGAGGATGCGTGACGATGCCTCGTCGCGCCTGCACCGGTGCCAAGACGTGGCTAGTGAGAATTAGTGGGCCTAGTGGCTGGGGAAGTGTGGCGACTTTGCCGATTCGCCGATGAGGAGAGGCCCTCTCCGATTTCCACCACCACCACCACCCATCTGCACTCGCTGCCCCGTGCTTATGAAAGTGAGGCTGCGTCCATCTCTTCGTAGGCCACAAAGTAGGCAACACGTCCACGGCGGCTGCTGTGACACACCAACCAGTTCTTGTCATTGTATTGATAACTGCTATCTTAGCATCTCGACTCGTCAGCTGAGGTCTTTACGAGTTCGAGTCCTCAATCCACTTTCTCTACCACATACCTCCCCGCCCATCTGCGCATCATCTATTCTTCGACGTGATTCTAGCTCACAACTTCGTTCGTTCTTGTCCTGCCTCTAGCGTTCAACGGCATTCCATCTTCTTCGGGACTCATTCATACATTCGCCAAAGTCTGTCAGCCTTATCTCGCACTTGCTGATTTGCTTCAGCATCATCCCACGGTGCAGGACCTTCAATCATCCCTCTTCGAACGACCGAAACCTCCCACTGCTTCCCTCTTTCGCTTCCTTGCGCTAGACGGAAAAAAAAATGGCAGGTCACAAGGCAAGAAGGATAGCCAAGGATCTGGCGGACATCCGTGCGGACTCTACCTCTCAAATCTTTGCAGAGCCCATCGGGGATAGCATCACGGATTTGAGGGGATCTTTCAAAGGGCCTTCGGGGACCCCGTATGAGGGGGGTACATATGAGGTCTCCATCAAGATACCTAATGAGTACCCTTTCAAGCCGCCAGTTATGAGGTTTATAACAAAGATCTGGCATCCGAACATCTCCAGTCAGACTGTACGTTCATCCACAGGACCGGCTGACGTCGAAAAAGGGGACTGACAGCTTCTATAGGGCGCTATTTGTCTAGACACACTAAGCACAGGCTGGTCACCTGTTCTAACGATCAAATCTGCCATGATCTCATTGCAGTCGTTGCTTAGCTCACCAGAGCCTAAAGATCCTCAAGATGCGGTCGTGGCGAACCAGCTCATCAAAAACCCCAAAGAATTCGAGAGACAAGCACGAGAATGGGCGGTGAAATACGCTGGCGCTCCCAGATCATTTTTCGGCGAAAGCAGCGGTGGAGCTACCGACAAGGACATTGAGGCTGCAGAGAAAGAGAGCCAGGCGAGAGAAGCTCAAGCCAGCATTGCAGTGTACGACGGCTACAATAAGGATCTCATTGACCGATTTGTCATGATGGGGTTCGATGTGGAACGGGTGGTGGAGGCATTCAATTACGTCGGCATCGATCGTAACGGCGGTCAGGACTATGAACTTGAAGAGGCGTACATGGGCGATATTACGGCAAGACTGTTGGGTGAGCCTTAGATGCGCTGGTGTGTCTCTGAGCTTCCTGATTGATTCAATGCATAAAAGCGATGGTGTTGATATGGCAGGGTTCGGGGGCTGCCCATACGGTGGCTTCGGCGGGATGTCTATCACGAGAATCATGATCCATATGCTGTTCTGAGAAAAGGTCTACGTGCTTGGGTGATTATTGGCAGGTCTTGACCCTGGCTTGCTCGATTCTAGATAATGTATTAAATGCTAGATACTTCCACTAGCACGGCTGTGACAATGGCATCAATTTTGGCTGCTCTTTCATATACTCCGTACACCAAGCAGCTTGTCATTTTTGGATTGTGAGGGGAGTTCCCGCGGAGTGAATCAGGCGGAGACTTAATATTCTCAACTTCGTGTCTATTTTTGCCTGCCAGGCTGCCACCACTTCACCGAATCACACAGAACTAACAGACGGTCATCAAGCTAGAGAAATCAAAAAATTATCGACCGGTGACTGCAGAAGATGTCAAATTATCGTGTGCCAGCATGATCGAAGACGACATCTACAGAGCCTCAACACAATACCGTTATTGGTCATACACCAAAGAATCTTTGGCTCGGATAAGGGAAGAGACCAACAAACTTGCCTCTCAGAGGGTGAAAGCTGCGTTTCGACGCGTACATGCCGCTAACAGATCATCTCAAAATGGAGACAATCAAAACGGTGGTATTGAGAACAGCGATGGACCCGATGCTGCCCCCGTCGAGATCGAGACTTTGACGGTACATGAGGAGTTGAAGATTGTGGAATGGCACTGTTCTAAAATCATGGATATGGGTGAAGCCATGAATCCAAGGATACCTTCGCATATAGTGGTATGTTGATGTTCCCCCTTGTCGTGTCTGTCTCCTTTTCAGCGACCGATGCCCTTTTGCAAGAAACGCTCAATAAAATCCCTGTCCAAGTTGGCCATCTACCCCCCTGAATAATTTCTCTCCACCATTGCCTGGGTACCTTCTGTTGCAAGCCTACACTTCTCGATCTTACTACGGGAGCATCGGCCATTTGCTCTAACAACGTCGTTTCCAGGCCACGGCAATCCAATATCTCCGCCGTTTCTACCTCACCAACTCTCCGATGACTTACCACCCAAAACAAATCATGATGTGCGCGCTATATCTCGCCACCAAGGCTGACCACTTCTACATCTCCCTCTCACGCTTTGTCGCTGAATTCGACAATGTCAGCGAAGACGATGTAAAAGCCCCCGAATTCTTACTCTTGCAAGGCTTAAGGTTTACGTTGGACGTACGGCATCCAATGAAGGGTCTTCAGGGAGGACATGTGGAAATGAACGTTTTAGCAGAGGAAGGTCGGTTAGGAAGCAGCATCACCAAGGCCAATGGGAGTGACAAAAGGGTCGGCATCGCCGCGGACAGAGCGAAGAAACTCCTCGCTACAGCGGCCCAAATGACAGACGCCTATTTCCTGTATACACCCAGCCAGATCTGGCTCGCTGCTGTCATGGTCGCTGATCGAGAGCTCGTGGAGGCGTATGTCAGTGCGAAACTCGACGCACTGCCACTGGCGGCGAACGACGCGGAAGCAGCTGCCGCGAATTTTAAAAAGAAGTTGATGGCTACGCTCTCCTCTTGCGCCGCCCTTCTCGAGTCTCATCGAAGTCCCGAAGACGACGCCGCACAGCGCAAGGAGATGAGGCGAATCGGCAAGAAATTGACGGTATGTCAAAACCCGGAGAAAATGGACATCGTGGCGGTAGCGAGGGCCAAGGCAGCGGAGAAGAGGGAAGGCGGTGAGGGATCAGATGCAGAAAAAGCGCTCAAGAAGCGCAAGTTGGAGAGGGAAAGGCTGGAAAGGGATGGAGATGTGTTTGGGCCGGAATTAAGGGATGTTAAGACTTGATGGTTCACAAGTGATACCGATGTTGGAAGCCCGCCCTCGCCGCCTACACTGCCACAACTCGGGTGTCTTTATCTTCTTGCACTAGTCGGGGGGCAATGTTGCCATCAACGGTCTCCAGACGCGTATCTATTTGATACCGTCAAGATGTTGTCCTTGTCGAAGGACACTGGGCCAACACTTTGAAAACATGTGACAGTTATTCCGATATTATTTCCGGATCTGATGTGTTTGGCAATCCGTAGACCTTAGTGGGACTCAAGACAACCCTTCTTGAGACGGAAGGGGAAATTCCTCTTACAGCCTTTGATCGGACTTTTCAGCGCTTGTCTGTCCCACCATGGGGTAAATTTCTGGCGTTACATTGCATCTTGGTGATATCATACGGCCACCGGGTAGGTTTCCTCTTCAGTATTTTCACATGTGCAGGGTTTTAAGGATCGCGAATCGATGAGAAAGCGAGATATCAAAAGTCGTGCCCAAAGAGCAGCGTCTGTTACAATCTCTATGAAAGTGATTGAAGTGTTGGTGACACGAAACCTCAACCTCGCAAAATGGCAGCACGAGGCAAATACAACGTCGGCATTATCGGATATGGCTTGAGTGCTAAGATCTTTCATATCCCTTTCGTGAATGCGGTTCCGGATTTCAATCTCTATGCAATCGTACAGAGAAGACCGAAGCCAGATGATGATGCGAGCAAGGACTGGCCCAATATCAAGGCATATCGATCCACGGAGGAGATGGTGAATGACGACCAGGTCCACGTTATTGTCGTCACGACTGCGCCGGAGTCACATCTTGAACTGGCGAAGGCGGCTCTGTTGGCAAACAAGCATGGTATTCATCCTTTCCGCCACTTCTATCTCAACAGATCTTTATTTACTAATCGTTTGTTCAAAGTTGTTGTTGAAAAGCCGTTTACGCCCACATCAGCTGAAGCACAGGAACTCGTCGATCTGGCCAAAGCTCAAAACAAAATCCTTACCGTCTACCAGAACCGACGGTGGGATTCGGACTTTCTGACCTTGAAGAAGTACATTGAGGACGGCACATTGGGCCGCATAGTCGAGTTCGAAACTCACTTTGATCGCCATCGACCGGAGCCGCCAACGGATAACTGGAAGGCATACCATGCACCTGGCACTGGTGCGATATATGACCTAGGGACTCACCTGATGGATCAAGTCGTCTGCTTGTTCGGCATGCCGAAGAGGGTTACTGGGTTCGTCGGGTCACAGCGAGAAGTGAATACCACAGGGTTGGAGGACTCTTGTACGGTGCTGCTACATTATGACAGTCCCAAGATGTTGGTCACGGTCAAAGCTGGCGTCGTCAGCCCGGAGGTGAACCAACTGAGATACTGGGTCCGCGGCGACAAGGGATCATTCAAGAAGTTTCACCTCGATCCACAGGAGGATCAGCTGCGGAAGGAAGGCTTGAGACCCGGCGATAAAGGCTATGGGATTGAGAGCGAGGACAACTATGGGACATTGAATGTTTGCAAAGATGGTAAGGTTATCAGTCAGGTTGCTCCAACCGTCGAGCCTGCGACATACACGGAGTACTACCGGCGTCTTGCTGCTGCGCTGAGTGGAGATGTTTCTCAGGTTCCCGTTGCTCCTGAGCAGGCAGTGGGTGTCATAAGGCTGGTTGAACTCGCTCGTGAAAGCTCACAGTTGGGACGGACTTTGTCTGTGTGATAGTATTCATGTATGAGTCAAAGGATTCCCGAGAAATCGGAAAAGGATGGGATAACTCCGAATATGGCGGGAATACAATAGAGGGTATTTGGGAAATACATGGCGGCTGGTGGAGTTTTGATTCCCCGTAGAAGGCTGCGAGGCTGTGCCACGGTGAAGCATGACTACACAGAGATGATCCCATTCCCACAGTAGGTTCGTCGAAGGTATTTAATGATGTCTTTTCTGGACGATGCGGTGAGGACCGCGCACGCACTTGTTTGGTGTTGTAATCTAAAAGGCGGTCTTCTGCGCTCTCAATTTCAATGACCAATGGATGCAATCGACTCCTTTCCTGCTCGGTTGGGTCCAGCTTGGTTCCTCCTGCCCTCACTTTCCGCACGACTTGTTGCTCAAGCGAACTCTCTATCAGCCATATCGTACGCCTGGAGAGGCATAGAGTAGCAGGCTCAGAATGCTCCTGCGAATCGAAATCTAAACATGTATCTGAGGCATCCTCTCAACACACCCTTTCTGAGAACTCGTTGAGAACCGCGCACAATTCGTCCCGCAATATTGCACCTAACGGCAGTTTGCAAAGAGCATATCGAACCACAGGTCATAGCCTTCGCTCGAATATTCGGATCCAAGCTTTCCATACGCGCTCGAGATCGTCGCTCAAAAACTCAAATAGAGAATGTGGACCTGCTCCGACTCTTCCCAAAAAGCCTTCGCTGCCTTCCCATTCCACCACCCCTCCTCCTCAGTCCAGCCTTCGAAAGCGAACAAAATTGCCATATCCTCCTTATATTAGCGTGGGGTCGCTCCCTGGGGACAAAAGTCGAACCGGCAAGGGTGCGGGTCCGGATATATCACTTCCCAACAGCCCGGTCCAAGAACGAGAGTTTGAGAAAGAGCGTCAGAGGAGAGAGGAGGCAAGACAGCTGGAACTTGAAGAGAACATTCGAAGAGAGCAGGAGGCTAGGGCAGAGGCGCAACGCCAGCAGAACCAAAAAGCCCAAAGAGCAAGAGAGGAAAACATTGCACGCAAGCGAGAAGAATGGATGCACAAGCTCCGCAAAGCTAAAGATATCGCCAACCAGATCGAGACGTTCCCATGGAATGACAAGGCCGACCTCCATCGTTACTTGCAACGCCATCGTTTGGTGGAAAGAGCGAAACACCTCGAGTCCCAACTTAAGGATTGGTACGGCGAAGGAGGTCTCAATGAGCAGACTAGAGACATTGGCAACTTGATATATTTCAATGCGAGGGACGCACTCAGTGACGAAAATCTCGCGCCGATCCTAAGAGAGCTCAATGACACTGAGTTGTACTGGGCCTACTTGGGGAACCCAGATGGTGTCAAAGACGAGAAGCCTGGTGCGTCCTTACCGACGCGGACTAGACTTCGATTGTACGAGATCTTATGGCTACGCTACCAAGTGATTGATACTGCCTGGGTGATTTCAATGACATTGCACGATCTCCGACAAATACGAAGGCTAAAGGCTCAAATATTGTGCTCTGCAGAGATATACAGCTACCATAAACTCACCTACCCGCTTCAACTACTTGTTAACGCAATAAGTCTCAATGCCGAGCGTATAATGCTGGACTACTTCCATCTCAGACGCATGTCGGGACTTTTCTACAAGCCCTCATCGCGACGGCTGACAAAGCTATTTTATGAAAGCGCATTTCTCTTCCACGGAGCGAAACTGCGTTGGTTGAGCAGAATTGCTATCCGTGATGTGCGACGCAACCTTGAAGAGCTTGCGGCGTCCCCTGTCCAAAGGGAGGTGTTTTTAAAACTGGGACCTTTGATTGCACACAACCGAGCTTTCGTGGGCCTCCAGAACTCTTACAAAGGTCTCTTAACACTGCTCAAGATCCCCTCTCGATCTCCACCGGCTCGACTGCAGATGAAGATTGAAGAAGCTCATGACCATCTCTCCGATGCTCAAAGAGATATTCTGCTTTTGACTGAGTTCGCTATGCTCTGGTCTGGTGTTCGCAAGATATGCTTGGATAACCTGAACCCTCAGCGAGATTGTTATGTGCCAACTCTGCAGGTTGATCCTGCTCTGGCATCTTCGTTCCTGCCCCGTCACATTGTTATACGGCCTCAGAATGCTGTTCATTACGTTGCCCCCTGGCGAACTCCTATATCTCTCTATCCACTCGGTACACCAATCCCAATCCACTACGTTCTTACGTATTCGGGTCTTCGGATGGTTTTGCCACGGTTGACTGCCTGCAAGGTCCTGGGTTTCGACACTATACAAACAGCTAAAACCCAGGGAAACCGCTTGGTTGAGTTTTTAATTCTTGCGAGTGACCATGAGGTGGCGATTATCCACATTGCTTTAATGAGTCAATTGTCTCTCATTTCAAAGGAGCCTTTCCTTGATATCATGCAAAACTCTTCAATTTTGAAGGTTGGTGTCGATGTGGAATTCCAGCGGCGAATATTGGCAGATGGTCCTTCTGTTGAGTTAGAGGGGGCTCTCGAGCTCCGTGATCGTCTCGGCTGGAATGTATCCCCTGAAGCGGGATCTCCGAGAGACCGGGCTGGGAGTATCATCTCATCGATGGCCGCCCAAGTTTTCGGTTTCCCTTTACCCCCGGTCGACCTTTCACGGGCACTCCGAGATTTGCTTCTAGGAACAGAATTTCGTGCCATCAGGAGAGTTGGGTCAATTGAACCCCTTCATCTCCTTACACGTAGGTTGCAAGTTCCCCTAAAGATGTTTGTTATTGACGATGATCAACAGATCTCGCCTCACGTGCCTACGCTGCTTTGCAATTATATCGAGTGTCCGCCGGTGAGAAGCTCGGCTCGATACCCAGCTCCTCAGTTCAGTCCAACGTCGATGAGCATTCACTGGGTCCTGTTTTGGTCTACAGGCAGTCGGGTATAAATGATGATGGCCTACCCAGACAAAGATCACTCCCCCGCCAACGACTGCTCCATCTAGCGAGCATTGCGGAACACTGGGCAACGACGACCTTCTGGGCAAAAATACATCCGAAAGAGTTTAAAAAACTTTCTCGGCGAGAACAGAAGGTTAAAAGAGAAAAGGCTATCAGAAAGCTGACAGCCTATTGCTTGTTCACGACATTTAACGAGAGATTGGATACAATTCAGCGGTATATGGGGATGCGCCTGGTCGCTACTGAGATCCTGGCTATTTCTGACGAGGCAAAGGTTCCCCTGCGTCCAATGGACGTTGAATTACTTGACATCTGGCGCAGGAAGCGAGAGGAGAGCCTTCCTCAAAATGAAGCGCAGGGGAATGTCGGTTCCGGAGTGGTACCTACATCGCATGCTCATGGGAATGGAATCAATACTGGCTTCCCACTCTGGAAGTCAGGGTCACAAGCACCCTGGCCGGTTAAACCGGTACCGCCCCCTGCAATCAATTCTGCCGGTATACGGAAGGTTGCTGCAAAACGGAGCGGGGTTCGAATAGTGCAGTCTCTGTCGCGATCAACTCAAAATGTACGTCTATTGCCACACGACCTCACAACTCGACCTTCGCAAAAGAAGATTCGGGCGACTTTAACTAAACCAAAGAAGCCACTCTCCAGCACGACCAAAGCACAGCAACCTTCGCCTCGTTTGAAGCCGGAGTCAAGTACTTCTACCGCACAAAAACCACGTTTACGCTGTTCAGATCTGTCTGGCTCCGTGGACTCCCAGATAACTGATGTTACACAAGCGGTGCTAACAGTAGCTCGAAGGAAGCAACAGACGAAGGGAGCTGGGAAAAAGGAACGTCCGGTGTTGAAAGTGAGGGACACAGCGGCCAAGGGCAACGCGTCGGCAAGGATAGAGAAGGAGGGAACTGAGGAGGGAGAGGAGAACAAGACAACAACAAGGCCGAAAATCCCGAGGCCGTGGCCAAAGATCAGGCGGACTTGATGAAATCGAACGAGCGACGGCAAGGAAACTGATCAGGAAGAGAGACATGCAAAAAACATGTCAACCTGTGGAGGGCCATCGAACGAGCAGCGGGAGATAGAGCGCGATGGGCCCCAGAGACAGGTGAGAAGGGCGGGAGGCGCTCGAGGCCAAGGTGAAGATTGCGACAAGGGTAAAGCTGGCGAAGAAGAGAGGAAGAAGTGGCGTCAGTGAAAACATTGCCCTCTGCCAATTCTAGTCTGTAGTATCTTGGATCGCCCGTCACCATACATTGGTTCTTCGAAACTATCAGTCCATGGCGGCGCCTTTGTTCTGCAGTCGAGACCCATGCCAGCGAAGACAAAGTTCCACCCGCCCGGCATCTTTGAGGTCTCGTTGTGGAGAACTATAGCCGTAAGTATGTACGGAGTAGTCCAGTGGAGACAAGCAGCAAACCAGCTGAGCGACAGCAACCCCTCGTTCTTTAGCCTTTTTGCCTTGTGTCAGAGAGATGTTTTTCAAATGTCGCGTTCCCGAGTTTGGTTTGCGCAGACCACCCGCGACCGAGACTTAGACACAGACCCAGACCCGGGCTATGAAGCCCGAAGGCAAGAAGACAAGAAACATTCGAAGATGAATGCACAGATCGACGCACACGAGTACGCACACACCCACACAACGCGATACTTTCCACTTTGCGCAATTTCTCTCTTTCTGTAACAATTAACCAGTTTGTCCAACTTGCCGGAACTGTGCATGGAGTGCATTACTAGTAGCTTCAATTCGCAGTGTTGTTATACATCATCTCGTATATGTTTTGGTTTTTTTTTCCCAAGTTGGCTTTTTACATGATTCAGGAAAGAAGGTTGAATCAAGCAAGGATTTTCTCTCCCAGGTGATGTGATGTGATGTGATGATGCGATGATGCGAGGGAAAATATCCATATCCAGATCCAGATGCCAGATGCGAAAAGAAAGATGGGGGGGGGGGAATGAACGGAGATGAGATGGAACCGCAAAGAAAAGAAGTGCATCTACCGCGTAGTCTGGGCCGGGCTGCAGTGGTCAAACCCAAACCTGATCGGGCAGGGGGGTTGGTTGGATGAGCGCAGATAAGGCAGAAAATCATGATGGAGATCAACTGAATTCCTCCTCGGTACCCGGGTACTTGTGATAGCTATTAGCTCGACCATACCTAGGACGTTGTTAGGCACCGACGTCAGGTGTGGCACCGTTAATTAGTCAGTCAAGATATAGAGCGAGTATTAGTAACCCAGCGGGGCAGGAGTCGACACATCCGGCCATAGCGCGGCTGAAATGGCACTAGGCCGAAAGCAGGCAATATGCTCAAAATGGAGGTCTGTCTGCAAACGCCGAGCGAAACGCAAATCCACCCCCTCGCAACGTCAGAGACTTCAGCGTCCGGGATCAGCATCACCACCACCATCAGCGTCAGCCTCGCGCCACCAAACCAAACCACCCGCCCACACCCATTCCGGGGTCCGGCCCCGTTTTCGCTTGCTTGTTCGTTCATCCGGGTCTCGCGTCCGCATCTTCGGCTTCGTGCAGAGTCCAAAATCGGCCTGCCCAACTTGCTCCATTACTATTCCTCCTCCAAACATACGATTTCGTTCGTTGCGGTACTAGTAGTTGCCCAGCATCGTATCTGTGCGTGCTGATACTAGTATCGACCACGGTACCGCCACCTGCGAACGGTTAGGCTCGTCTATGTATGCAATATGGACTACTCGGTACTAGCTCTAGAGTCTCGACAAGGGTTCGTATGCCCGGAATAGGCTTGGTCGCAACCTCCCGAAGTCGCTCCAGAATATCGAGTGCTGAACTTCATTATGTACGATTATGCTTCTGAGCGACCATGTGGCGCAACGCAATGGGAATGTAAGCACTTTTGGGACGTCAAGCCTAGCATTTTTTGCACAAGGGAAGTGTACTTGCCGTTTCCATCTCATTGAGAATGCTGCTCTTACTATCCAATCGCTGTCACAACTCGATGCTTTGGAGACCCACTCATATACCCAGCAAGCACTCCCGTATCAATCCTATTGTAACAATGGTCACCGAACCCAAAACCAATGTTGCCTTATCTCCCCTCAAAAGCAATCACGACCGGCCCCATCTCCGCCAAAATCGTCCCTCCCTTTTACCCATGCCCCTGTGTCCTTGCCTCCCAGACTCTTCTCTCCTTGCAACCCGCCAATAATACACCGGCAAACCACTGACCACAAATGCAATGACAATTACAGTCTGGACTGGCTGTGCCACCACAGCCCGACTGACGAGGAACAAAGACACGCAGCAGAAGATGATGGGTGTGGTGATGAATGTGCGATAGGGTCTTTCCAGTCTCGGTTCGCGAATTCGCAAAACGATGAGGCCCAGGACTGTCAGAAAGTAGAAAGTGTATCCAGCGACGCCGTAGAATGTGAGTAGTGTCTTAAACTCGCCGAGGATAATGTAAATCATGCAGAGGAGCATGTTCAACAGCATTGCGTTAACAGGCGTATATCCCAAGCCGATGGATTCATCTCCGAAGATGCGAGCGAGGGTTTTCGAGAGCCACGACCTTTTGCGGGTTTTGGTCAGGGATACTGGTGTCTCCGGACCGGAAGAGGTCCCAAACCCAATCTTCCCGAACATCGAGGGCAGGTAGCCCTCTCGCCCAGCAACGTAGACCAAGCGGCCAGAGGTGAAAGTGGTGGCATTAAGTGCACCAAAACATGAAGCACTCACAATCAACGCCAGGATGAGCCCTCCAATGGGGCCAAAGACTTTGCTCCCAAACTGAACGGCAACGGTGTTGGACTTATTGATGGTCTCTAGAGGCAAGACGAAAATGTATGCGACATTGGCAAGAAGATAGCATACTATAACGGCAGGCATGGCGGTATGGAGCACTCTTGGTAGATCGCGTGCTGGGTTCTTGAACTCGCCGGTGACGTAGTTGGTGTTATCCCATCCGTCAAATGCCCAGAGGCCTGCGTAGAGCGCAACGGCCCAGCTGGAAATATCAGTCGACGTGTTTTCGAACCAGTTGTGGTCGCGCCAATCTTTATTGGCAGGGCCATTGAAGGAGAGGCCCGTCACCGCTACGACGATGCCGATGATGGTCACTGCCACGAGCGCAACGAATTTGAAGAACATGAACAGATCCCCCAACCGGGCAGCGAAGCGTGTCGAGACACAGTTGAAAAGGGTGACGAGCATCAGTGCGGCCAAGGCAGGTATTTTGTTGATCCATGGATTGACATCTTCGACCTCTGCACCGATGGCCGCACGGACAACGTATTCGCCGAATATGATCGCGATAATGGCTGCGCCCCCGGGTTTGAGGACAAGAATGGCCGACCATGTGAACAAGAAGCCCACCACTTCGCCAAAGATCTTGGACAAATAGACCTGCGCACCTCCATTGAGTGGTATGGCACCTCCGAGTTCAGCATACGAGGCCGCGCCGGTCCACGCCAGGAGGCCAGAAATTGTCCACACCAGCAGCGCTGCGCCCGGGGATCCTACGTGTGAGTTCACTTGCGCCGGCGAAGAAAAGATCCCAGAACCTATTATCAACCCGACCACCAGCGAGAGCCCGTTCAGATATGTCAAGGTTTTGTTCTTTTCGAGATTTTGCAATGCGCCACGTCTTTCGAGAGACAGCGAGACGGCCGACGGGTTGCCTAGCGCGGTGTATCCTCCTCCTGCAGTTGAAGAAAGTGGGAACAGCGCAGGGGTGAAGTCAAAGGCGGATGAGACGGAGTAGGATCGTCCATGTAAGTTGCTGCGTGCCGATGCTGGATTTGCACTGTCCAAGGGATCCTCATTTTCGAGGGACAGCCGTCGAGAGGAGGAGATGCCGGATCGCGAGGACTCCTCGGACGTAGGTAGCTCATCGTGCTCGGAGTCGGCTAGAGAGGCAAGCTCTAAGGAATCTCTACCTGGGAAGTGAAGAGGCTTCTGGATTTCGGAGAAGCCAGGTGAGGGTGGTGACATGGTTCGTCGTGTCGGCGTCGAGGCAAGCTCGGCGAAGTCAGGGATGGGGTTACTGGGATTCGGGGTTCATGGTGTCGGCTCGTTATTCCCACGGGGAGTGCATATCCAATCCAGTTGACAGTGAGGGATATTGTTTTGGCTGGTACTGATAGCCGTCTGGGGGATGGGCTGGTGAGGCTTGATGGGTCGGAGAAGGCCAGGCTGGACGTTGAAAGGAGCCAAGCCGCTAAGACTGCCAGAGGGCTTGATCGGCGGAGAGGTTGGCGCTGCTTTTAGCAGGTCGTATTTTTCGGGGTCGGACGGTAATATTCACATCTCTCGCTTGCGGCGTGCAGGGCGTCGAGGCGTGTTTACTAACTCAATCCTGGACTCCATTATATCAGCATCCCACTGACATCCCACTGGCGCCGTGAGCTTCGGGCGGGAGCGGTCGAATGACGAATGACACACGGCGAAAGCACGAGCAAACTTGCATGCGGAAGTTTGCAATTCCTGCCCTCCCCTTGATGTCCTACTGATCGATTCTGTCTCCCGTCCTCCACCGCCTCATCGGAAACTTCGACGATGGCAAATATACATGTACGCAACTTGCCTCCCGTGGAGAAGCTCGATGCTTCTACGTCCCGGCGCCCTGCTCTTGATTGTCGGGCTGGTCAGACTCACCCCACCGCCATTGGTGCATGGGCTTCGTGTTCCCTCGTTTATCAGACGTCAGGCCAAGAGGTTCCAGCGACGCAGAGGTTTTCTTCACGTTGACGTGTCGGAGTGGGTGAACTTGTTTGGTTGTGGCGCATCTTGTGTTTCTGGACGACTCTCGCTCATTCGCACCGGTACTCAATAGCGCGTGCCGAAGTTAAGACTCACCGGTCTAAAAGAGGCCCCCGATCGCTGTTGCCACTCCAAAGTTGCAACAAATCCCTGGTCAGAGAGCGCAGCCGCACATGAGAGATGAAAGAATAGAAGAGAAGGTGGAGAGATGCGACTTCTTATGGCCATTGAAGCATAAGACGGAAATGCCGGCCGCCTTTGATCTTGTGCCGCCCACCTGCATGCCTCTTCAAGGACCTAACGCACTTCTATGCTGGAGAGCCTGAGGATTCTCCAATCGGAAAGGCATATTGCTGCCCCTTCGCTCGTACCACATCAGACCCAGACCCCCCCAGCAGGGCAAGCTACAGACCCTTAGCCACACGCGAGATGCCATAATCGAGTTCGCCTGCGGAAGATCGAATATTACCAAAGCGACGGGTCCAGGCTGCACTACAGGTAGGCTTCTCTTAGTCATGTTTATGGGGGATATGAGGGCCTCTGTGGTTCTTCACATTGGAGGAAATTGGCCGTGACGAGTGGACTTTTGCTCCTCAATGCTGTACACTACCTTGCTAATGCGCCTTAGGAGTCTCCAGGGTTAATGCCCTTATCATCTTCCTACGAGTCTATTCCCTTATATCTATCCCTTTGAGATAATTAATCATCTGCCTCTGCCGCGGAACTCTTGCACAGAGACAGCCTACCCTCAATCAGACCCTTGCCATGTCACAACCAATTCATTTTGTGCATGAGAAAAAGCCAGGGTCTTCCCTGGACTCGAATCAAGTACGTGCTCTCCGATCCCATGTTCGGAAAGTCAATCTCGAGCGGTCAAACCAGAAGAGCACTCGGCGATTAGAGAATTTTCGCTCCTTGACCATTACAGATTTCTCAGAGGGAGGCAAAGTGAAAAGCGGCAAGCGGAAACAACCCCCGAACCTGGATGCCTGTCCCAGTCTTGAACCGGAAATTGAAAACCTTCCATCACGAGAAGGTGCTTCACAGCGTTGCCCCCTGAATCCTGGTGATGCTGATATTCCCACAACCGCCTTTCGGTTCCTGTCGTCATCTGATGGTGAGCGTCCTCCGAGACGGTGCAGCTGTAGCAGGGCAAAGCCACCCAATCCAAAACTGCCGAGCCCGGGTCAACTCTCGATTGGCGGTGCATCTTCCTGCAAAGACGGGTGCCACCCATATGCATCACAAATTTCAAAAGCCATTGACCTTGACGAAACACGAATCGATTATCTTCTCAGGAGCTGTAAGTGTCTTGTCCTTTTTAGGAGGAAAGCTTGTTGCTAACCTCATTTAGGTGCCTTCCAAGTGGCGGCTGAGCCACTGCTTGTGTCCGGCCCTGTCGATGGGGACTTGACGACGCTCTCCCTATTTCCAGAGTGCCTGACTAACTCAGCCTTTCTATACGCCCTTCTCTATTCCATACTTCACATCCATAATTCCTGTAACACAACGAACGAATCACTCCTGCTCAAGACGAAGGCCATCGAATGTCTGAGAGAAGACTTGCAGAAGGACGATCCCAACATTCGAGCCCTGTCGATTGGAACAATACTGCTTCTATCCTGCGTTGCGGTACGTCAAAGGCTCGGGGACGTTAGGGCGAAGGCTAATCGGACAACAGCATCATTGTGGTGACCTTGCCGAATCCTCAGCACATTCGGAGGGCCTCTATAAGCTTCTCGAGCATTGCCATGCAGATGGTACGCAACTAAGATCTGAAGTCCTGCACGCAGTTTTTTGGTTTGTCATACGGAGACACAAGTTTGGAATTGGCTTGCTAACCCTTCATTGCAGGCAGCACCTTCTAGGCACCGCGCTCGTGTGCAGCCAACATCACTTTCAGCAACCGGATTTTCGAGGTCTTCTGGGCCGGTCTGAAGATTTCCCTATCAGTTCACTGCCTGCCCTACCACTTGGATTTGCTTTACACGAGGAAATCATTAGCAATGATGTACTGCTATGTATTCGCAATGTCCTCTATCTTCAAGAGCTCGCCGCCGCGGGTACTACGGATCAGAAGAAAATTGAAGACCTACAGACATCTATCCAATCTCGGCTTGTCTTCCACGAGGAAAGCTGTAAGAAAATTGGCCCGCTAGCAGAATGCTGTCGGTTGGCAGTATACATTGTTTGTTACATGACAAGTACCCCGACGTGGAGGAGCGCCTTTGTCCCATTGAGACTGGCGGAGAAGCTTTTGGCATACCTTGACAAGAGTTTTGCTACAGACTTATGGCGCTATCGACGCGATTTATTTCTGTGGCTGCTACTCGTCGGTATGTCCGTTGGCAGAGGGCGCAACTGTTTTGCCGTTGAGCTGGCCTCTCGATACCAGGAGTTCATTGACAAAGTGATCGAGGATGTTTCAAACTGGGACGAGTTGAAGGATGGACACAAAGCCTTGCACAATGTCGTGAGACGGTTTATCTATGCTCGAGACTGGGTCGCAAAAAGACATCAGATCTCCCGTTGGACGGATCTTGAGATGGGGGTCTTTCTGTGTGGTTCCGATGATGTTGACATTGACATGGGAAACGAAGAAATCGATGCGCTTTTGAAAGAGCTGGTCCCGGATGCTAACCTTTTTGAGTGACGCTGGACAAAGTATGACAAACCTTGCAGGGCCAAACATTCAGCCTTCCTTGGCAATTCGTTCACGATCCCGTTCCTTGGTATTAGCCTGCCGCGAATATCGAGTCACAATATTGTTCAACAGCTTTGCTACCTGGCAGCGTTGCAGGAGTCAATCACTGGATGGCTGTCGACTCATGTGCAAGACCTGTACCTACGCAACACGACGCTTTGTTACTGGCATCCCGTCTGCTCGGCGCTCTCTCTGAGACGGTCTACAACCAGCACCTCACGGTTCTGTTTCGTCCCATATCACAAAATCATCATGGCGATCTCTTGCTGCTGACCTGTCGGCTTGCTACGTCCCAACTGTCAGCATGAACGCAATATAATATACGGACGATCTAAGGGTTCGGAGATCCCTGTAGACGCTTCAGACGCTTGCCGCTTGCTCTTTGCTATCCGGACATCTTGACGAGTCTTTGCTCTTAGTCCCACTATTGAATCCAATCCCCCCCTGGACCGAGGCGCTGTCTCAGATTCATCTCGTCTTTTCCGACGAGCCTTTCGGACACGATAGGAATATTCAAGTTCATAGCTACCACAAATGATTTTTTGAGGAGTTGTCTTTCTGTATTATTTTCCCGTTTTCATGGAAGCAGTCAATCCGTGTTCTGTTGTCAAACACGGATTTTCAAATCGCCGCAGACGGCTGGCTGGCTGCACACGGCTCAGCTCTCGTCTTACCAATAATCGTTCATGACGACCAAGGCATACTGCGTACTCGCAACCGTCTTTTGATCTGGACGCGGATGCGTCTAGGACTAGACCAGATCAAAGGGGCCATTTCCTTTTCCTCGCATTGTCATTGTCTTTGTCAATATCTTCAAGGTCACTAACTAAGCATTAATTTCAACAGCCCCGATTTGGGTTTTCTTTTCCACTTGAAAGGGGGTCTAGAAATTGTTTCTTCCCTTGTTGTCGCTGTTAGGCTGGGTCAAGGCAGGTTTTTGTTTCGCTGGCACCGCTTTCTGCTTTCGGGAATGGCATACATGCCGCATACGGAAGGTAAACTGTGTATGTAATCTATGTGGATCCGACTCCACTGTGGGCCGTGCCGGCGCCCACTAGCCCTACCTGCCTGGCGAGCTACATAGGTAGTGCCTCGTACGAACAATCCATACCTAGCTCGCTGGTACGGAGCATGGAGTACATAGACACACTAAGTATAGAATATAGAGTGTTCGGAATTGCTTAGTGGAATTGTCTCATCTGTCCCCCTGCTACCCGGGTTAATTCGTACTACGCGGAAGAAGACAGCGAGAGAGATAAGGAGGTCATACCTCTTGTACACACACCCACATAGGCACCTATCGCTAGGTACACACTGGACTGTGGAAATTCGCATAGAGACAAGGACTGGCACGGAGTATGAAGAACATACTACGAAAGTATTAACGGGGCTTGGCTGACCAAGCTTACATAGTACGGAGAAGCTTGTACTGAGGAATATTCATCGGCCAGACTGGCTGAACGGAGCACCACCTGTTGCATGCATTGTTTTGTAACTTTGCTTGATATTGAAGCCATGGATGTGTGTGTCTGCCTCATCCCAGTGTTGCTATCCTAGTTTTCCAATTGGTTCGAACTATCGGCTGTCTGTTCACTCGCGAGCCATCTCGCATAGCGCTCTCTGTCCCGTACAAGGACAGTCTGTTGGATTGTCCAAAGAGCTCAACAACGTCGCCCTTAGCTTGTCCCCCACCGATGCCAGCTTCGCTCTATGCACAGTCAACTCCGGGCCCCTGCTCCTGCTAGCCCCCCGTAGCAGCTCCTCAGATCTGTGCCAATCCACGTTCAAGGTTGAGCTTCCTCACACCACTCGGGAATGTTGCTTCGTCAATCCACAGCGACAACCGCCACTTTCAGTTCTTCTGTTGTTTTCTCCTTATTCGTCCGAGACTTGGAATCTGTTGGAATCGTATCTTGTTCGTTGGTAAAAGTTAGCTCGAAGGTCTTTTGTCCTTGGGAGTAGAGATCCAGCCGTATCCTAACTTTCCTCAGTCTCACCCCCTCGAGCGGCGTCTTTACGGATCTTGGTTTCACAGGAACGCTTCATGTCTGACTTTCTGTCTCTGGTCTCGGCCCGTTGAACCGGCCACTGTGAGGAATGAGCATTTCCAACGACGCTAGCAAAGCTTGCAAACAGCTTTCCACACAATATTCTAGCTTCACAACATCCGCGCCATCAGAGCGTCGTCCAAGCTGGACTCCGCAGCGTTCCAAACTTTCCAACATAATCAAGATCTCACCCTCGTCCACGGCATTGGCAGAGTCAAGTTCGCCCAGTTGGTCGTCCACCATGCGAAAGATGTTTCCAAGCCGTTCGTCAAAAATTTCTTGCGTTGCTCTCGGTTTAAGAATAATACCACGCTCAGAGGCTTCGAAAGTCGCGTATTTGAGACGTCGAAAGACTGCGTAGACTTCAGGGTATGATCTCGTATTCTTGTGAACTTGCGTCAGCAAGTCTCTTCTTCATTTCCAAATTTGCTGCCACTGCTTCTAAGGCGTGTGCCTTCGTCCCGCTGAAATCCTCAGAAAGCTGAAGCACGCCTCCTGGAATTCACACTGCAAATGTTTTTTCGACCAATTCTTCGAGCTTTAGTGATCCGTCGACAGAGCGGATGCCGACGGTGGCTTCGCCATGCGCAATTGTGTCGTCGTTGGCGGACGAGCTCACACAGCAGATATCAGTTGTGACACCACCGATATTAACCACATAGTGGCAGTCTGCGACTTCACCTGCTCCCATCCGACTGATCAATCTTCAGCCACTGGGGGCATGACCATGTCCGACATCCGTCAGGAGCCTGTCTATCGCACCCAATTCCGGGACAAGTTGACCTCAATCTTCGAATATGCCCTCGACTGCGGGATTGAAAGGAGTAAAAGTCTCAATTATTATTATTCCTTTGGGGCTCCCAGCTTTTGGCGATGCCTTTGTGACCGGGCGCATTGGTCTATCGCAAGTTGTCGGGTGGCCAATACGACTCTACGTGGGGAAAGAATTTCGACCCTGGAGCGTGGTGGCCCCTGGAGATGTAGTAATGGTGGAGCCAGAGGATTGACGGGCATAACCAATGCGATTTTGCACTTTTGGCCAGAGATCTAACACTGCGCAACAAGAAGCATAGGATCTAAGACTTGGGGCATATCGGACATCAGATGCTACTTCACAGGACATGTCCTTTTCAGTCCGAATGTCTTTTTTGCGATAAGGCTGGCACGCGGTGAGGAGGAGGACGGATGGTCGGACAATCGGTGTACGGAGACTGGAGTACTGCTTACATAGATTCTACATACAGTATGCAATGCAATGTAACCTACCCCTTGTTGTCGCAGCCTCGTCGTCTCGTCCCACTCCTGGCTGGGCATTTTAAGACTCAGGTCCTCTTCCTTTTCCTCCACCCCCTCTCTCTGGGGCGCGTTCCTGATTGCCGAGGACTTTGACTCGTTGCTTAAGCTTCGCGTTGGAGGGTGTCTTAACTCGTCGCCCCGAGCGATCCAGTGGGTTAGGAGATTCCGAGCCACAGTATCATGCAGGGGCGTCTTGATTACTGTATGTATGCATTGACTGGTGATATGTATTGAGTATATACTCCGCGATCTGGCTGCCGTCCTCCTGGGACGGCCACGGCCATGGAAACCCGAGTTTTTGTTGTTGACGTACACTCGTGCATTTGTAAGGGAAGAATTCATTGTCGGATGCATAGCATCGGGCGCAAGGGTGCCGAACGCAATGCTTTACATGGCGCATTAGCTGCCCCTCTAGTTGCCCGAACACGTGCTAGCCAGTCAGATTCTTCAGCCGTTTGTCGTGAGGATGCCTGACTTCTACATTATGGCCGGGTGTTAAGCGACACTTCAGCCATGATTCTAGCTGTAAGACTAGACTCTAGAAAACTACCGCTGTTCCCAATCGGGGAATTCGAGACCTGCAGATTTGGGAGTGCCGTCGAACTAACCAACCAATCGATTCTCCGCGCCCGACTGAAATGGCACTTTGCCAATATATTTGTGCGGTCCAGGATGGCGAGGGCTGCCAGCTGCTATTCAAGGGTGCTGGGCTGCAATGACAAACTATTCCAAAATTTTACTGGTGATCAGGAAGTTGAGTATGTCCCCAGCATAGCTATTGCATGAGTTTCAGGTTTGTGAGTTTAAATGGGTTGGATCAATATGCATGCTGAAAAAGGCTCGCTTGGTTGTAAACTTTGGAATCTCCGACTAGTCACATAACAGTCTGCATTACTGTACATCAGACTTTTTTCTTCAGGCAGTGAACCAATAATGCGAGCATACTTGTTTGAAGGAGAGCCTGGTCAGGTTAGCAGGACGGCAGGAGACGTCAACGGAAACCCATGGATTTCGGCAGTCCCGAAGCGGATTTGGACGTCAAGAAAAGTTCATGTGGGACGACTAATATAGTCCATCTGCATGGCGTGCATGCCAACTGATTCCGATCAGACAACCTGGTTACATGAGCTCTGGGCACATCCGTAATGCTGACTTCTCGGAAAATGTTGAAAAAGGCTGGGACCCCGTGTCATGGAACGAAGCTGGGAGTCTCGTTTCGATGACCGAGATCTTTCTTTAGCCTCGAATACCACGACTCGCTAAGCCTTACATTGTTGATCTGCAACAATGACGCCTCGCAACGTCAACCTCCACCCGAACGATTACCTCCCTGGGTCCCTGGAATCCACCGAATTCGATGTGATCGTTATTGGCTCTGGTCCCGTGGGTCGTCAAGCTGCATCCAAGACCGCGGAAGGTGGCCTCTCCTCCGTCATAATCGAGGAAGAACTATGGGGCGGCGAATGCCCCTTCTGGGCTTGTATGCCTTCAAAGGCCATCCTGCGTCCCGGTGAAGCACTGGCCGCCGCTCGACAAATCGGAGGAGCAAAGCAGCTGATTGCCACTGATCGACTTGTCGACGTGGAAGGAGTTTTCGAGCGACGTGACAAAGTTACCCACAAATGGGACGATGAGTTCTTTGTGAATCTGTCGCTGAAGCAGAAATGTTCTGTGGTGCGTGGGAAGGGATCGCTGGTTGGGGAAAAGAAGGTGTTGGTAAAGAATGTCAACGGCCAGGAACGGACATTACTCGCCAAACACGCGGTTGTCATTGCCACCGGTTCGGACCCTGTCATCCCAACAGAGATCAAGGGAATCGACCAGATCGAGTATTGGACTCCGAGAGATGCCACTGCGGCAAATACAGTGCCTGAGCATTTGATTATCGTGGGGTCTGGCGTCGTGGGCTGTGAGATGGCCACCGCATTTTCAACTTTCGGCAGCAAGGTCACCATCATCAGCGCGACATCTGAAGTCTTAGGTCGTTACGAGCCGGGAGCCGGGAAGCGCGTTCGAGAGGCGTTGACAGCTCGGAATGTCGTGTTCCATCTGTCTTCGAGGGTGACCGAAGCCTGGAAAGAAAGCGACGGCAAGATATCAGCGAAGCTGATCTCAGGACGAGTCGTCACCGGCTCTACCATTCTCATAGCCACCGGCAGAAAGCCTCGCACGGAGGGCATCGGCTTAGAAAGCATTGGCCTGACTAGTGCCACCGCTGTTGATCAGAGTCTGTGTGTCTCTTCTGTCGGCGGCAACTGGCTATATGCGATTGGAGACGCAAACAGTCGAGCTCCGTTGACGCACATGGGCGAATATCAGGGTCGAATTGCAGCAGCCGCTATTCTCGCTCGAGCTGCAGGAGTTGGTGTGCAAGCGCCCCAGCCTTGGAGTGACTTCGCCGCCACATCAGATCAGGTTGCCATTTCGCAGGTGGTTGTGACGGATCCAAATATTGCTACCGTTGGCCTGACCTTGGCAGAGGCATCTAAAAGGGGCATAAAGGCCGTCGAGGTGGCTTTGCCATTCAATTTCCCAGGTGCCTGGGTATACGCTGAGTTCGACTACGATGGCTGGGCTCAATGGGTGGTAGATTCTGAGAGGAATGTGCTTGTTGGAGCAACATTCGTCGGTCGGGAGGTTGGCGATCTCCTCCACGCCAGCACCGTTGCCATCGTTGGTCAAGTCCCGCTTGACCGACTGAAGCATGCTGTTGCTAGTTTTCCGACTAGGAGTGAGATATATGGGATGTTGCTGGAAAAGTGGTATCAAATGCGGAAGTAAAGCACGCAAGGTCGGCAGCTGAGGGCTATTTGAAGAGCCCATAACAAGACTCCAACCGTCCACCCCATCGACTTGGTCCAATCTCCTGATCCTACGGCCGCAAAGCCAAAGTTAGAAGTGATGCGTGCTTCGTTACTTACCTCATATTGCGCCGTCGGAAGTCTTACCTCCCGAATAACAGTAACTTATCTGACTGGGACGTTGCTTCACGTCAAAGCAAGATTCATCCCGAGGCCATGTCAGTGACATATGGTAGAAGTAACTGCTCCGGAAATGACGAAAATGCAATATTTCAAAAGCTGAAGAAGGCGCCGAAGATGCCACTGTATTTGTTACTGGGTTGCGTAGGTGCGCTGGTCGCGTTGAGCTCTCGCCTATCTTTCGACTCGAATTAGCTTGCCTTAAGATCATCCACCATGAGGAAGCTGGGGCGTCTTCTCATGTTTGGCCTCGCTTTTGTGTCAAACAACAAAATATGGGCCGCCAGCCTTCCAACATTCAGCGCCGTTGAAGGCACCTCCCGTGATCAGCAGATTCGACAGGTGGAACAGGCTTTCGAAGATGCAGTGTTACTGGCGAGAGTGACGGCGGCGACATTTGATCCATGTGAAGAGACCTTCCTCCGCTACTTTCGACCGCTGGAAGCAGCATTCGTGAAACAGGTGTTCCGGACAATCGCAAATATCCCCCTTAATCAAGAACTTGATAGTGACAATGTGGTTGGAATATTGTCGAGCGCATCGGTGGCTCGAGACCTGCAACCGAAATTCAATCAACTAGAGATTGCATATGGAAACCATCCCGCCCTCCCAGAAGATAAACAAGATTGCGGCAAGGCCGTCATCAAAGGCGAAGGCGGGATAACTGCGGCTTTTGCCTTCATAGACCCTCGCGTCCTGGGAGACATTGCACTAGTGTCCATGTGCGATGAAGCCTTTGAGTATCCGACGCTCGAGGAAATAGCGAACCCACCAAGCTCAGCAAGAGATCCACAAGGGAATCCTGACCCAGGATACACATGTGGCGGTCTTGGTGATCACGACAGTGACTGGATGACTTCTCCAGGCGGCGTTCTCTTGCACGAGCTCCTACATTGGACCTTTCTACTGGAAGATATCCCTGGCTTTGAGGATATAATAGACGAGAACGAAGACGACTTTCCTCAAATTATTGATTTTTGTGAGTTTCCGCGTCTCTGGTACCATTGCCTGCATTTCAGGATGAGGAGGCACATGCCTGGGCTGATATAATTCTTCTCTGCCAGTATGCTGATGGTGCATTGCAGGGGGGCCGAACCCGCCTGACGGATATGGACCATTCCATGCCAACCAATTCAGAAATCTGGGTGCATATGTCGCCATACAGAACGCCGACACATATCGTTGTTACGCTCAATCCAAATACTGGGCTTGGAAGTGCGGGAAATCGTTTGGACCGGCGCAGAGCGAAGACGATAATATCAGGAGGACAGGTGTCCGGGTGGTCCAAGGAGATCCAGAAACTGGAGATGATTAAGACATCTGAAGGTTGCCAACGATATTGGTCAGAGAATTCCAGAGATGCTCGGGTAGGCTCCTATGTTTGCTGGACCCGTCGCAGAATTGGATCTCGTCACGGGCGACGGAATCAGTGTGAAGGTTGGACTTGTAGGTTGGTCAATGACATGAGAGCGGCGTGGTTGAATCTCCAAAACAAGGATAGTGCAACTTGGCCTCCAAAAGCAGCGGCTAACTGATATTCTTTCTCCATCTTCGTATCCGACGACACCACAGCCTCCTCAAACACTTTTCAATGCTCGCAAGATGCTCGAGAGAGGCGCCGAAGAACTTAAAAAGTGCTTCCCTACCGCTATGGCCCAGACCCCGGCTGCGGTACAGCTCGTCAATTCCCGAAAGCCTACCAAAGGCTCCTAATGCTCGAAACTCGGCCTATCGACGCACCGTCACTGCAGTCGCCCTTGGTGCTGGTCTATACGCACTCTGGCAGGCATATCTCTACTCGTTGAAACGTGACTCGTTCGTCCCATACACGCTCGTCGCGAAAGAGCCTGTCTCCTCGACCGCAAGCATATTTCACCTCGAACCAAAGCAACAAGACCGCAACTATGAAATCTATAAAGATGCTTGGAGGAGAGGAATCTGGCATGTTGAATTCAAGCAGCCGCAGCTCCAGATCGTGAGAGCCTACACGCCATTACCACCGGTTGACGAAAAGAGTGCGGAAGAGAAGGGCCAAATTAGATTCTTGATACGAAAAGATCCACATGGCGAAGTTTCAAGTTATCTTCACAGGTTGCACATTGGTGCAGACATCGAAATGCGAGGGCCCAATCTGGAGTACGAATTGAGCCCAGAGGTGCGACAAGTGGTTTTCTTTGCGGGAGGAACAAGCATTGCACCCGCTCTGCAGGTTGCGCACGCCTTATTTGAAGGGGGCAGAGCTCCTGGAAATGAGGGGGCGGACAGAGACCGAAAGTTGCATATACTATGGGCAAACAGAATGCGCGAGGATTGTCTAGGCGGCGTTAGCGATGATCCCCCTGCAGAATCATCGCCTCCCAAGCCAACCTGGTCGGGCTTTTTCTCAAAGCCGAAGCGCAAACCACCGCCTCCGGTCTCTCAGGAGAAGGGTGTCATTGTACAAGAACTAGAAGCTTTGAAGCGAAGATACCCGGGCCAGATCACTGTGGAGTACTTTGTCAATGCCGAGGATACATGGATCGACGAGGACGCCGTTTTCCAAGCACTATCAAGGTTCGATGACAAGGACTTCTCGACAGGATACGCGACGTCGCAAGAACAGAGGCAGATCATCATCTCTGGGCCGCCTGGGTTCATCGCCTATCTTGCTGGGCCCAAAGAATGGAGAAATGGAAGAGAAGAACAAGGCGCTGTCAGCAAGCTCGTCGCACATGCAATCTCCAAAAACCCTCACAACGTCAAGGTTTGGAAGATATGAAGGGAATCTACACCAAATCTGTCGAATCGATCCCACGCAAATACATGAATTGGTACATCCATCATCGCACGGTCTCTGTTCTACGTGCCGGTTGAATCAGAGCATTGATCAACGCATGGAACGTGATGCTCTTTCCACACAGCATGCGTTTCAATGTCCACAACGCGAAGCCGAGCACTGGGTAATGTCGCCATTGAAGCGGGATGTTGGCTTTGACAGTGTTGGTGTCGGGCGCCATCGTTCATTAGACGTAAGGGACAGTGAGCACCATCATCCGCCACTCGCTGTTGTGACAATGGTTATTAGACTGTGAACAAGCTGCTCTGGTTACCAAAAAATCCCCTTGGATGATCAAGCCACTCTTTTGCGGCGTCCAAGTTGTCGAGAAGGTAGCGCTGTCCTCGACCAGATTTGTCACTCTTCTAACAAGTCGACGAATTCTGGAACGTGGGAGATACTTTGAGTGTCCCGAGTCTGAAATCTCTGTGAATCTCGCTAGCTACGTTGTATTTTCCCGTTCAAGCCGGCCACCTTTCCAAGTCCTAGCAGAGATCTACTCACTCCCCATCTACTCTATCCTGGCCCTTGTGCTCTATCCCCGACCTTTAGAGCCAGAAAGTTAGTTCTATTCTTCCATCTCCCTTCCTCCGCGAACGTATTTTCCTATTCCTTCTAGAAATTAGATCTTGGCCTGCTCGCCTCCTCTCCTTTCGCGCTTCGCTAACTCCCTCAAGTCCCTCCTCAGGATCTTCCCGCTGGGACTCTTGGGAATGCCGTCTAGATAAACCACGCCGCCGCGGAGCTGCTTGTGCTGGGCGAGGCTGCGCTTCACATAGTCCTTGATCTCCTGCTCTGAGATCTTGGATCTGTCGGCCACGACGTAGGCGCGGGGGATTTCGTTGCCGAACCCCCCGGGCTCGGGGATGCCGATCACGGCGGCGTCTCGGATTAGCGGGTGTGAGAGAAGGAGAGCTTCGAGCTCGGCTGGGGCGATTTGGAGGCCTTTGTATTTGATCAGTTCCTGGGGAGGGAGAAGCGTGGTTAGTGAAATCGTCTCGTGAGATGGGATGGCGGCGGAGGAATATGAGGGAGGGAGAATTGAAGCTGGAACAGGGGGGAAAGAAGAGCCCAAGATACCTTCTTCCGATCTACTACGTAAAACAACCCGTTCCTGCAGACTCCAATATCGCCCGTCTTGAACCACACGCCGTCTCTTGTGAAACTCTCCCTGGTCGCCACTTCATTGTCCCAATACCCTTTCGTTACCATGGGTCCTTGCATGATGAACTCGCCCTCCAAGCCCTCTTCAACGTCGTTTTCCTCGTCGTCCACGATCCTCATCCTCACGTTCGACAGCAGCGGACTGACCGATCCGGTCTTGTCATCCTGGTCCCAGGGCATGGCCGTCACGGAGCCCGTCGTCTCGCTCAACCCCCACGTCTGGCTAATCTGACAGCCTAGTTTCTTCTCTGCCATGGCCTGCAGCTCTGCGCCCATCGGCGCCGCCCCGCCGACGGCGTGCACCAGCGTCTTGAACTGGTCCGTCACCAGTGGGCTCTTGGCGATGAGCAAGTAGATCGGCGGCACGCTGAAGAAGTGCGTGATGCGGAATTTCTTGTTGTAGTCGAGAAATTTGGGGAAGTCGAATTTGGGCATCCAGTAGACGGGGCCGCCGGCGATGGCCGGGTTGACGTAGTAGCCCTGGCAGCCGGCAATGTGCGCGGCAGGCAGGTGGGCCAAGGTCCGATATTCAAAGTTGAACGAAGGGTTGAGCCGGCGTTGCTTCGCGAAGTATTCGCGTATCATGTACTGGGGGATGAGGCCCTCGGAGACGAGGTTGGTGTGTGAGATGTTGACGCCTGCGCGTGGACAGACAGCGAGAAGTCAGCAAGAGTCTTCGAGAGGACCGCTTGAGGCCTTGTCCCGAGAGATCTGAATGACTACTTACCTTTTGGAACACCGGTAGTGCCACTGCTGTACAGCAAACACACCACCCTCTCCTCCAATACTTTCTTGTCCGTGATCCTTTCCCACTCGAGCGCCTCCTCTTTCTTCCCGTCTCCCTGCAGAAAATTCCTCCCCTTCCGCTCCACATCCTGCAGTATTCTCTTCCCGCCCAGTGACTCCAGCACCAGGACCCTGTCCAAGGGTACATTGCACTCCTTGGCCGCCCGTATGGCGACCTCCACACAGTCTGGGCTGCAAACAATCAGATTGCTCTTCCCCTGCTTGACCTGTCTCGCCAGCTCCAGCGACGTAAATGATGAGCTTGCCGCGCTGAACACCCCTCCGGCACCAATGACCCCGTAAAAGACATTCGAGAGCAGAATTTGGCCGGAGGAGATGCACACCACGACATCCCTGCCCGGACCACTTGCGCCGATGCCAAAGTGGTGGCGGAAGACGTAGGCGAGGCGTTTGGTGTAAGCTCGTGCTTGGGCCTTGGTAACGCAGTTCGAGGGCAGAGCGGCTTCGGCGTGGAGAATTGTAGACTCGGTGGTCCACGACTCGGACGATTCTAGACGTCACCTGCGGTTAGTAGATGCTTGCAGCGCATTCGAGACCTAGACCGACAAGGACACACCGTATATGAGGGTTAGTATATCGAGATCGGGAAGTTCATAGTCCTTGGAGGGCAGGTAAATTGTCTTGCGAGGCGGCATTTTGGCGAGTGCTCGTCTCCGATATCCCTCCCACTTTCAAGGCGGGTGCAAGCAACCGATCTGACGGCCCTTGGGGCTCTGACGAGAGATATTTGTAGGCTGGTGCAACACGGGCATCATTGTGGACTCGGCGACCCTTTCAAAGATCCCTAGACCCTGACTCGACGACATGGGTTCGAGAGGAGACGTGAGAAGCTGGAACCGAAGTCACAGTCGATGCTACCGAGGCGGAATGCGGATAAACTTCCCGCTCCCACCATTGGCGGGACCCCAGACACGCACAGCCTCGGCCCCCGAATTTCCAAGCATGGTACCGAGTACTTATTACACAACGAAGCGGCCACGCTATTAAACGAAGACGACCAAAATGCAAGTCGCGGTGGTGGCAGTGGATTAAATTATGTGTGTATTGACGACGGCTATCTTCCATCCCAGCAACTTCCTCTGGGCCAACCACGCCCCCTTTCCGGCTCATAATGGCGAAATAGTCATGGATCGCTCAAGCTGATTCTATCCAAACACCACCAACACCAACGGGACGATCAAGAAAAGAACGATATCCGAGAGTCAGAAAGCTGAATAAAGGAGTGACGTTTACCGCCTGGGCGTGGTGGGAGTTGTAACGCCATTTGATCGGCTGCCTCGATCATCATCTCTCTGTCCAGCATCGTGATGTCCATCCCCGATCATGCCCTGCATGAAAGTAATATAGTCGTACTTGGGCACATCTCGATCTGCCTCCATGTCTGGACCCTTGTGTTCGGGCATACTTTGCAGCAAGTCTTCGATCAGGTCGTCTGGGATCAATGAATGCCTGAGGTCCATTTCCGTGACATACGGTTTCCCGTCTGCCACTTCACGGAATGACTGGAATACCTGTTCAGCGCTGTTTTGATCTTCGGTGACGGCGACCATGAAGCGAATGAATTGCTCGAAGCCGACTCCACGAGACTCTCTCTGTCTTCGAGAGACCGGCGACATTGACGGGTCGATGCCGCTGTGACACACTTCCAGGAACTTCTCGTGCATCTCTTGCTCGTCGTACACCAGCCCCAGACTCGCCAACGCAGCACTGAACTCCAGTTCTGTCAGGGTGTTTGTGCCATCGCGGTCAAAATGCCGAAACACCGACTCGAACTCCTCGAGCTGAATCGGGGTCAGATTCGTCATGTTGCGCGCCACCATTTGGTTTTCCAGAAAGGTCAACTTTTTCTGCACGCTCGTCTTTACGAGGCTCAGTTCGTACAACAACTCATCGTAAGTGTATGTCGTGTAGTCGTTTTCATCAATGTTGGCCTCCTGGCACTTCTCGTCGAGGATAGCTATTCCTTCCAGATACTGCTCGAGCGGTCCCAAGTTTGCTGACAGTCGCTGCGCGTGGTCTAGCTGATCTTCGACATCACCCTCCAACCCCGATATGGCCAAAGAGAGTGTGTTTAGGGTCAGCGCAAAGTCGTTGGCCTTGTCCGCGAAGTTCCTTCTCAGAGCGTTCTTGATGTCCCGGATGGTTTCGTTGATCAGTTTGCTCCTCGCGTGTTCATCGGTGCTCAATGCCGCCCACTCGTGGTCAAGCACTTCCAATCGTAGCTCTGCCGGTGGCTGATACGGCCGAAGGCGATATGTGGACAGTTTCGTCTTGATGTTCCCGAGAAGGGCTGCCAAATCGGACTTTTCTGCCACCCACCTTCGTTTCTGGTTCCGTTTATAGCTGGCGAGTTCATTGGCTTGGGCTTTGGCGTCAGAATATGTTCCTTCAAACCTGGAATCACGCCAGGTCTGTCGCTGATGTCGGATCTGTTGCAGGAGAGCCCGCATTCTTTTCTCATACGCGGATTCCATCTCCCAAGCGCCTTGCATATTGCTCACAAACTTTTCGACTCTTCTCCCGGCATTCTCGACCCTTTCCATTGCACTAAATGCGTGAAACCAGTAGGCGATGTACGTCATGAGAGATCGCTCGTCAGGTTTGGAGACATCTGCAACGTCTTCCACGTCGAGCAGGTCGGGAATCCCAATCTCCTTGGAAGCAATATCGAAGGCCAGTTTCATGTTCCCCTTGTGATCCGACTTATCCAACGTGTCGAAATCGATGAGGTCGGGCCGGTGGATGTCGAGCAGGGCACAGAAAGCGAGACCGTCGTTCCACGAAGAAGAGAAGTCTCGCACTTCGACGCCTTCGTAGCACGCGGTCTTTCGCTGGCACCAGAGGAGCAGGCCTTCTTTGGCCGTCAAGCCCTCTTCGTTGATGTCGGAAATGGTAAACCGCAAAATGAGCGTCCATATGAGGCCGAGGATGATTTTTCTGTTCCCGTCCACGACATCTTCGGCGCCGATGTTGGTCATCTGAATCCCGCGGCTCTTGATAAACTCCAGCGATTTGTTGACATTTTCGAATCTCTGCACCCGCAGTCTCGGGTTCGAAGCGTATCGACCGAGGGATTCATTGCTCAGGACTTCTAGCAGGTGGATAAGGATGATGCCGTCGGAAAGGTCGGTCACGAGGCTTTTGACGGCGACTTCGCGAGTGACAATTTTGTTATTCAGCCTAACAGCATCAGTCCACATTCGTTAGTCGATGACGGCCCTGCGGTGTACCATTTTGTAAAAGTCTTCTCTTGCACATTTACCCATTGCTTCTCCAGCAACACCATGGCTGCATGTCAGACGCAAACCGGCCCAGATACGTTGATTCGGCTCCTGGTTCTCGAATACACGAGGCTATTGATAATGGCCAGGCTGTGTCGCGGATGAGGATGTGTTGGTATCCAAGATATATCCAAGAGACGATAAATGGTCGATTGCAAGAGAAGTGCAAACGAGCTGAGGACCCAGTGTCAGCCTAACATAGTCACGAGTGAGAGAAGGATCTGGAGGTACGGAGTAAGGGATCGTATTCACACCAAGAGTCCAAGACAGGACGGCTGAAGATTGCAGCTGAAGGCGTGCAGGCGTACTATGTAGGCAATAATTCCGGGATTTGCGAGGGGTCCCAATCCATCCTCGGCAGACCTTCTGTTGGTGGAATTGAAATGTCCAAATGTCAACAAAGACGAAGCCGAATCGGTCGGCGGAGAAACCGGGCCTGACTCTCGTTTCCGCCAATCACATTGCTCCCACCGCTTCGCGTACCATGATTCGAATTTCACGCGCTTCCCTCCCATTAGCAGACGAGATTGCACTGTCGCGTGAGCCTTTCTGCACAAGGTAACATCTGTTCATACGCAATACCATGTGCATCCAATGTATCTGCCAAGTAGGTAGATGACCACACCGCTATGATTACAGGTGCAGCCAGCGTCACCTTGTGGAAAGCCTTTGTCAACAAGAAGCAGCTGCGGTGGTCAATGACGACATGACTCTATATGGCCTATGGCATAAGCGAGTGAGTATGAGGCAGAGATGCGTCCAGGGAATTTAAAGGGGTCAAGTAGGTGTTCGACCAGTTCAAGATCTTGTATTGTTATTTCAGTTCTCAAAACACCATCGGTTTGGGGCGCCCTCGAAATATGGGGTCTGTGACAGCGTCTCCTGAGAAGCGGTGCTGGGTGACTTTGGTGACCAAGCCATCGTATCTTCCAGGTGTCATGATCCTGGCTCATACTCTGGATCAGCACAAATCGTCTTATCCTCTCTTGGTGCAATACACTGACTCGCTGGGCGACAAAGCGGTCGCTGCCCTCCGGGAAGAAGCCGAGAACTATGGCCGCATACAATTGGAACGAGTTCCCCTGCTGCTGCCCAGGAAGGACCAGGAGAATACTGGCAGTGTCGCTGATCGCTTCAAAGATACCTTCACCAAACTCCGAGCCTTCGAGATCTACAGACTTGGTTTCACCCGAGCTGTCTTTCTGGATGCCGACGTGGCCGTTTTCCAGAATCCCGACGACATCTTCGAGTGCAAAATCCCATGCCAAGACTGGATTGGGGCCAATCACGCCTGTGTGTGTAACCTAGACCGTGATCTGTGGGCTCCACCTGAATGGCACAAGGGCAATTGTGCGTACACACCGTTGAATCGCCCCGACGAAGTGGCTCCAGAGATCACGCCGGAGAGTCGACCCACATATCATCTCTTGAACAGCGGCATGTTTGTCTTTTACCCTTCCGAGCAGCTATGGAACAGCATGCTTCGTTTCTTCCACACCAGCGACCAGTTGAAGAACTATCAGTTTCCGGATCAGGACTTCCTCGCCGCCTTTTTCCGTGGCAAATGGTATCCGCTATCCTGGAAATACAACGCCCTCAAGACCATGAGATACTGGCATCCTCGGATATGGTCGGACGACAAGCTGGTGGTCCTCCATTACATTGTTGACAAGCCTTGGGAGAGGCAAGTCGGCCCCGATGGTCTTGCCGGTCATCTTGGTAGAGACGGAGTGACACATCAATGGTGGTGGAACATATATCATGAACGGAGAACCCAGCGAAGAGAGAGGCAACCCAATAGTGTCGGACTCCTGACCGTGGACGAGCTGGTCGACACCGAGGAACCATTCAAAGAGAAGATTCCACTGCCTCAGGAAGTCGGCAAGCCTGAGGATGTCCTGCCATCGACATAACTCATGTCTTTGCCTTCCTGATCGGTGCCTGATGGTTAGTCAGCGTTTCTTCCTCAGCCTTGCTCAGCCTTGTCAATTCTTGGAGCCATGGGTCTCTTGGTGATATTCTGATTCACATCGACTTTTCCCCCCCGCAAAGTCACAGCAGCCAACGTCTCTGGCAATAAGATGCTCCACTCGGCATGCCATCGTCCTATTGGAGCATTGCCTTCATAACAGGCGTATCGGTTGACTGCCTTAGCCTCGCGACTTTGCGCGCGGCTGCTTCACCACCACTGCCTGCAGCTGGTTTGAATTGCAAACTTGGCTGTTCAAACAACGACCTGGATAATATTCTTGCCCTTATTCTTCGTGTAGGTGTGTTGCCTGTCTTTCGTTCTTTTCCGCCACTCATTCGTAGTGTTCCTCATAAACAGAAGGACCAGCTGCCCGACAGGAAGGGCCACACTTGGTTACTTCCAGGGATGAAGTCATGGCGGTCAGTCCAGAATCACTGTTTTCCCGTCACGCGCCCTTCACCGTTCTAGCCTCATCTAGACTGACTCTCTCTTTACAGATCAAATACCTTCTGTTCGATTGCGACAACACCCTCGTGCTTTCTGAGGACATTGCCTTTGACGTCTGCAGCGGCGTAGTCAACGAGATCCTGGAGAAGAAAGGCATTGCCGCGCGGTATTCGCCCGAAGCCCTGATCTCTCAGTTTGTCGGCCTCAACTTTCGAAGCATCATGACCATCTTGCAGCGACAGCTCGGCTTCAGACTTGACCAGGATGAACTGCGGGGCTTCACCAAGATCGAAGAGGACCGTGTCATTGCAAACGTCGAGGCGAAAGTGAAAGCATGCCCCGGCTCACTCGAGATGCTGCAGAAGCTCCATCAACAAGGCAAATACAAGATGGCCGTTGTGTCCTCCTCGTCGCTGCGCCGCATCAATGCGTGCCTTGAGGCGACCGGCCAAGACAAGTTCTTTGATACGGAAAACATCTTCTCGGCCGCCGACTCACTGTCCCTTCCGTCCAGCAAACCGAATCCTTCCGTCTACCTTCACGCCTTGCAGCAACTGAGAGCCAGTCCAGAGGAATGCCTGACGACCGAAGACAGCAAGTCCGGGGTCCTGGCCGCCGTGAATGCAGGAATACCATGTCTGGGATATGTTGGCTCCACGCACACGAGAGGGCAGAAGCACGAGATGTCCAGCCACCTTATGCTTACCGGTTGCAAGGGCATTATGTGGGACTGGATTGAATACGAGAAGATATTAGCTGAGATCGAGGCTATGGGATGAAACCGTTGAAAAGTTGGATCGGTGGGACTTGCCGCTGTTTTAAGAGGTCCAACTACAATATCAGCGTGCGATGAGGACGACATGACAAACAATGGAGCTGGATGATACTGTGCTTCACACAACTCGCCAGAAAACCGCAAATAGACCGACACTTTTTCCACCTGGACGCTCTGGGCACTACCATACAATATTATGAAATGCAATCAATAAGTTGACAAACATCAACTTTGGTCCTTTGATTGAACCCGTACAGACCCTTGACATCCAGCACACAAACACATCCATCGCATATCTGTCTCTATCGGATTTCCTGTCTGTCTCAACTCACGCAGTGTCTTGATCCCCGAAGATGTGATGGTGCCGTTGTTTGTCGGCGTGTTTGTGCTCACAGTCGATCCTGCACATCTGCCTGCGTGATGTCTCAGAACCCAGAACACTTCCCATGATTGAAGACTGACTGACCTCCATGTCACTTTGAAGACTGTATGCCACAACACAAATACCCCTTTTCTGCTCCTTTCTTTTGTTTCTCTTTTTCACCATCCACAGGGATCAAGCGATGACGGTAATCCATGCCTTTTCATCTTGTCGGGGTTGAATGTTCCATTTCCTCCCTTGCGGTGTCTCGGTCCACCATTGCCCAAACCCCCTTCGCTGCCCCTTGCATACCGCCCACCATCCAACCAGATCGCTCGAAAGGACAGAGACCTCCTCCACCTCTCTCGCCCTTCTACGAGCGTCCAAGGAGGCTTCGACATTCCAGATCCCGAAAAAAGGATAGTCAAGTTCCTTTTGGGCGGCGAACTGTTTCTAAAATGGATGGGTTTCCCCGTGCACGGAAGAGATCCTATTCAAGCATCGATGAAATTGAACAGGGTGAGCAGGTTGCGCCAACGGATCTGCTGTCGTCGGCGCCTACGTCAAAGTCCAGTCCTCTACCACAGAGACACGACTCTTCGAGTCTCAGCATGAAGACGCCGATGCCGACGCCAATGCCTCTACATCACCCAACCGCCGGCTTGCTCAGGACTCAGTCGCCCTTGGTGGGACAACATCTATTGTCGATGCCCATTTACTTCCATCGGGCGTCAACAAACCCCCTGGCTCGGATGACTCTCAATGCACCTCTCCCTCACTCTTACGGCTCGTGTGTGAGTCTTGATCCGGCTTCTCTTTCCCCGATCCCAGACCCGGTCGCCGTCGCAGAAATCAAACGCCTGACCCCTGAAGTTCTCAAGCGAGCTGGGTACAAAGATTTTGCTGAAATGGTCGAAGCGTTGATGGCAGACGGGCCCGGCACGACTCCACCCTCACATGAAGTAAAGCCACCAGCGCTGGCATCGGATCAAATCAACGGTGGCATCTCGCGAGGGTACACGGTGGAAATGGCAGGAGCAGAGTTCGACGCCTTCTTGAGTCAGATGACGGAGGAAGATCTCAAGGATACTCCTGTAATAGGGGAGCATGTCGATCCAGAAAGCAGTAAATGAGGGTGGTATAGGAGAAGCTTTAGTACTATGCGTTTCCGGACGTGACGGCCTTCGAACACAGGGTTTAGCCTTGCGACCAGGCGAGCATGGCCGGCCAAGAACCTTTTGAAGTAGCAGTTTCGCTGAATGATTAAAGGACCGATAAGATTCATTGTGACCAATCGCAGCAACTGATCTGATGTTTCGCTCCTCAGACCTTGTAGATTGCTGTTTTTTTTGTTTTTGTTTTTTTGTTTCTGGCTTTCTTTGTTTGGCCTCTCTGGTTGTTTCCCCCTTTTCCTTTTACTGCCTCCCCCCGTTTTTTTCTCAGTTGCTCAGAGAGTCATTGCCGCTTTGTGCCCAAGCCATCGCCATTGACCATGCCATATGGCCTTTGGCACGAAATCATAGCCTATAGACATTAAGATTTTTGAGAATCCCCCTCTTGCGGCATCAGACATCACGGTGCAGTGGAGACCGGAAATAATGCCTCTTTTTGTATGTAGTCTGTCCTCTTGTGCTTAAAAGCCAAGTCCATGATTAAGTCCGTACTCTCGTGACTAGGAACAGGGGTCCGTGATTGTAGACGCTGCATCCGGAGCTCCTGCCAACGATCTCAGGCCAGTGGCATGTCCTCTCCTCTTGTCGGTAACGCGCAAGGCTGTGAAAGTGACGTTAATGCTCTTTTCTCCACAAAGCCCGGGCATGGTCTGGGCACTTTAATGGTATAAATAGGAGCTTGAACCTTTGTCCTCACCTCTTTCATTCTCTCACATGAAGTGTCTGGCCGTGTTGAGTCTTGGCTTTCCGTTCGCCACAGGCATCCTCAGATCAGCGCAGGCACGTGGTTGAATCTCAGGAACAGAAATGTGCGCCTCCTCGCCGAGTCGGCATGGTGATAGATGGCGATTCAGCATAGAACAGAATATAAGCTCAGAGAGCCCGGCAAGGAGGAAATAGACTGTCCCAACCAAAGCGGCGCCATGTCAAGTTCGATATAGGACACTGTAGCGCAGTCATGGTCCATTTGCACCCCCAAATCTCCCTGCCGGACCGCGTTGCGTGTCTCGCTAGCGCGATATTTCACTCACAGTGGTAGGGCAGTTCGCACAATCAAAAGTCTCGACTGAATTTTGAATTTTCAAACCTGCACACCTTACCTTTCATCAACACCTTGTCGATTGTGTCGAGTTTATCTTGTAACACCATCGTTCTTTCATCGCGCCTGTTGTCGCCTTCGTTGGCGCCGTCCGTCAAGCATCTGTCACCGTTCGCACAAGGCTGGATCTCCTTGTTACCGAATATGGCGGCGCCGAGACCTATTCTGCCTATAGCGGCGAATGAGAGCCAGTCTGAGGACCCGCGTGGCGCGAACAGCATTGGGCCAACGCAGATGAGCAGCCAGGCTTCGGCCCTCACGGTGTCCGGTCTGGATGATTTCGACCAGGAGTTTGCTCACTTGAGTGCTCTTCTCCAGGCTGAATTGGTAAGTAATGAAGGCACTTCAGTTCCCTGAGCGTTGTCGTTGACGAGTCTGCAGTATGGCAGCAGCATCCAAGACGACTCCTCTTTGAACGGACTGCTCGGCAGCATCCCTGAGGGCATCAACCAAGACCTCACTGCTGTTGGCAACATCGCTCAAGGTCTCAATACCACTGATAACCTCAACCAGGGGCTCTCCGCCACTGGCTACACCGCTCAAGGCCTCGCGACCACTGAGGATTTCACCCAGGGCTTTGCCGCCACTGAAGACAGTGACCCATCTGCTGACTTCAACGCTTTCTTCGGCTGGGATGGTGCCAGCCTGCCCGCAGCATCAAACGTGACCGACGAGTTGGCCTTGGCCTTCCAAGGTGTCGGCTCTCAATTCAACGACTTCGATCACATACCCGCACAGGACTTCACTGTTCATCCGTGGCAGAATGGCAAGTACATACCTTTGATGATTTATGAGGATCGACTAACAGTCTGAATGCACCAGATCCATCCGTCTTCCCACCTGGTTTCGAGAAGGCGGCAAATGTGGCTTCAAGCACCCCAATCCGCTTCAATGCGTACGCGGTTGAGGGCCTTGAAGGGGAACTGCCTGAACTGCCTGAGACGAACGTGCCGGACCTCGCCTCTATGGCCCGTGATTTCGCTAGGAGTGCAGCAGTCGACCTTCTAACTCTTGGCGCTACTGACCCAGGTGTTAGAGATTCTGAAATCTGCTCTCTGCCACCACCATCTGGATTCGTCTCTTCTCAATCAAACGTGCCAGGTCATACGTACGTCGCTGCCATCAACAACAACATTACTGCTCCGCAAACCGACAACACCATGGCCAGGAAGACTGTCAATCCTCTTTACCCTGACCCCATTTCAGAGAACACTCCAGCTGTCGGGGGAGCCAATCTAGGTCTTGAATCTGGTGAGGGCCTCCTGAATCGTGTTACTCACACCGACGCTGCTCTTGTCCGTACTCCGATGGAGACTGTTCCTGCTACTGTGAGTTCTTCTCTTCCTCGAAAACAGTCTCCTCTCCAACATTCACTGTAATCTCACTCTGTCCATCTCAGCACACGCTAACAGATAACAGCAGGCAAACATGTCCTGCACTGCCGCCGAAGGTCGTACCGATTCTTTCGCGATGGGTGTGGCCCCTGTCAATAATGGTCCTGCTGGCGCTGTCGCAGGAAACGATGGATCCAAGGTCGTCAAGAAACGTGGTCGGAAGCGCAAGACGGATGATGAGAACAACAACACTGGCACTGGGTCCGGCAACGACAAACCAGCTCCGCGCAAGAGAGTCAGAGGCGCCATCAAGAACCGATATTACGGTCCACGAGTTGACACCAGTGAGACAGCCACCACCTCCGCGATCGAACCAATGCAGCTCCAAAAGGGGGGACGCAGCGCCAGCCAGTCCATACCGAACAGCAAGGACCCTAATGCTCCCAAGTGGACTCGCCGAATTCCATCTCTCCTCGACTGCACCGACCCCTTCATCTGTCCCGGTCCGGACAAAAACTGCTTCCACGCCTTCCAGAACACCGGCGGGTACTGGCTCCACGTCGAAAGCGTCCACGGCTTCAAGAGAAACAAGGTCTTAGGCGACCCCGCGTTCGCGGATATCAAGGCAATCTTCGACCCACGTCCGCGGTCCTGGTGGCTCGCCCAGGGACAGGACATCACGTACCAGGGAACTGACCGCAAGCAGATCAACGCTCGCCGTCGCATGGCGCAGGGAATTCGCAGCAACGACCCCAACTACGTCGAGGAGGTGTACGTGAAGACCCCAGCTTCTCGCGTGTCTCAGAATGGCAAGAACAAGACCGCGGCCAAGAGGGCGGCCAAGGAGGCAGCCAAGCAGGCGGCCAAGAAGTAGATTGTGTCGTCATGTGTTGGGAGGTTTTTTCTTCTTTTTCTGAGTACCATGCTTGGAAAGATCGTGGGTGTGCCTCTCTATGAAGTGAGGGTGAGTGTTGTTGGACCTGGGCGGTCTCGGGTGGTTTGAACAAGCGCACGGCATGAGCTTGGCGCCAAGGTGATCCATTAGTCATGAGACAGACTGAACGGATAGCAAGTGAACTTCGCGCATGACTCATGCAAACATATTGATTTCCCGGCCCTTTACCACTAGTGCTACCGTCTATCACTATCAATTGCCGTAGTCGTGATGACCAAGAATCGGCGTGACGTTGGATCCTTTGATTGGATCGCGATGAGTATACAAAGCACGCTGGTCTTCATGCCGTGATTCAGCGACAGCGCTCTTTCTTGCAACTCATTCTGATCCCACGGGCACGCACGGATTCTCTAGACAGTCACGTCGAGGTCGACGCTGAGTTACCTCCAACATCCTCTCCTCAGCCAATATCCCCTTTCACTCGTCAATCCTCCTGCCCTGCTCGTCAAACTTCACCACCTTCCCCGTCAGCAAACTCTCCTGCAACGCCCGCCCGATCTTCATAACCAGGAAGCCGCTCTCCAACGGCACCGGCACCTCCTTGCCCTCGAGCACGGACGTGACAAACTCCTGGGCCTCAGTGGCGAAGGCATCTTCGAACCTCTGCCAGTATTCCGGCTGCACCTCGTGTCGCATTCCTGTTTTGTCCGCGACGACCACGTTGTTCGCCTTGGGGATCACGTTGACCATGACTTTGCCCTGGGTGCCGCTGATATCGGTGCAGACGTCGTGGCCATGGGCCTGGGTGCGCGAGGCGTGAAAGTAAGCAATCTTGCCGCCGTAGAACTCGACAACGCCGACCCCGTTGTCAACGTCGTTGCTCTCGGCGAGCTCCGGGTGGTGCTTCAGTGTGCCCACTGCAAAGCAGGACTTTGGCGCAGGGCTGTCCATGAACCACAGTGCAAGGTCGATGTCGTGGATCGTGCAGTCGACAAAGATGCCGCCGTTTCGTTTCGCGTAAGCGACGAAGAACCCCGTCTCGTCGAGCAGGTCGCACGTGTTGCTGCGGACCAGGTATGCATCACCGATGATGTTGGATTTGACCTTCTGGTATGCATCGCGGTACGATGCGTCGAAGCGCCGCGAGAAACCGGCCATCACTTTTAGGTCGGGGCGAGATTTTGCGGCGGCGATCGCTGCCGAGACCTGTACTGGGTCAAGGAAGAGTCAGTAGTGCATAGGGCGGGACTGGGGCACCGCGGGAATGGACGTACTTCGTTTAGATCCGTGCTCAAGGGCTTCTCACAGAGGACATGCAAACCCTTTTCCACAGCCTTGATCGTCTGGCTGGCGTGAACGTCCGTGCTGGTCGAGATCCAGACGGCTTGCAAGCCTGGATGGTTCAACATATCCTCATAGCTGTCGTACACCTTGATGCCGAAGTCGATGTAATCCTTGTTGGCGCGGGCCCATTCTGTCTCGTGGGGAGCCATACTGCATGCTGCGACCACTCGGGCGCGGGTGACGCGATTGAGCAGCGTTGCGACGTGGCGTTTGCCCTGTTGGCGGGGAGTGTGGTTAGGATGTCACCCTCGCTTTAATGTGTTTAAATAGAAGAAAAAGGCGGGAGTAGAGGGATCGTAGGGAGAAAGTGTGGCAGTCACTCACCATTCGTCCCAAGCCGGCAACTGCAATGTTGAGCATTTTGCCATGAGACTCTACGTATGATCCCATAGCTGCCGGGACAGGCTGTGTTCTTGGGATGAGTTTTGTGCTGAAAATTCTAGCCGAGAGTCAGGCTGAATTGGAAGCTTGTATATTATCCGGGCGCTGCGGGATGTAGTTGTTGGTTGTAGGCAAGTGCAATGGGAAGGCCTTTAAATAAATCTCTTGACAAGCAAAGCACAGACCGAGAAATTCACCTCGATCAGTCGGAGGAGGACCAGCTAGACATTGTAGAGTACGTGTTGATACTTGCTCCATAGGCTTGCCAGATCTGTCTGGCCCTTTCGCTCTGCGGCTTTGACGCGGGGGCCCAGACAGCGCATGAGCTGCTACATGTCGGCCACAAGACGAGTGATTCGGTTCGGCTTCCTCTTTGTTCAGCGTAGCCGACGGGGCCTGGACGAGACCCTGCCGATCAACATTGTTTCTGTCCGGGGCGGCGGGTTTGGTTTGTGCGTAATCTTTCCAGCTCTGAAGGAGTAGAAAGAGGAATTGTTCTCCGACTGGAGGAGGTGGGGATTTTTCTAAGTCAATGCTCGGGATAACGGCAATATTTATACTGGGTGTTTCAGAGAATATCCAGGCGTCTATTTGTATTTGTTCCCTTTAATTATGGTCTATGAAGAATAGATTCTATAGACAAGGCCTGAAGATGCGCCAATGTCATCGCTGCGTAGCCCCGGGCGTGTCAAGATCCTGAAACATGATCTAGCCATGGCGCTCCAAACCTTTTCCGGTCTCCGATCTAACTGAATCCGAAATCCTCGCCCGCTATGCTATATCTCATGAGGAAACTTAAAGTCCATGTGGGCGGCGGGAGCCTCCCACCAACTAGGCCTCTCACGACTTGTCGGGGAAGCCAAAGTCTACGCCAAACGCAGGATAGACAAAGCGAGTGACGCCGTTCTTGGAGATTTCGGCTAGCGAGGCAAGATCACCCTCTGACAGTGAGACAATTTTCTTGTTCTCATCAATGCGAGAAGGTGTGACCGACTTGGCAAGGACGGAACTTCCTCTGGCGATGTGATAACTCAGGAGAATGCAGCCTGGTGTGACTCCTTTCTCCTCGGCCAGCTTGACCACATGTGGATCTTTCATGAGGGGACTCCCCGTGCTGCCAAGAGGGCTGTAGGCAGTAATGAGGATACCTTTTTCTTTGCAGAAGTCGACAATCTCTTGCTGGGGGAGCAGCGGATGGTTCTCGATTTGGTTCGTGGCCGGCACGACCTCCACGTGGGGCAACAGCTCTTCGAGATATCGCTTCGAGTAGTTGGCCACGCCAATGGCCTTTGTCTTTCCGGTCTTGAGCAACTTCTCCATGTCCTTGTACGTGTCGACGTGGGATCGGTCTCTGAGCAGGTCTCTGGACCCATCGGGCAGTTTGGGGAATTTCTCGTCGTTGCCGTTGGGGTTCATGGCAATGGGCCAGTGGATGAGATAGAGGTCCACATAGTCGAGACCCAGCATCTTCAAGCTAATGTCCAGGTTCTGCTCCACCCTTGTATGATATGTGCACCACAGTTTGGTTGTGATGAACAGGTCGCTCCTAGGAATGCCCGCTGCGGCCAGCCCCTCCTTGATCCCCTCGCCCACTTCTTTCTCGTTCCCGTAGACGTACGCGCAGTCGATGTGTCGGTAACCTGACTTGATTGCATATGCAACGGCCGCACGAACTTGGCCTTCGGGGCTCTGCCATGTGCCTGCAGGTGTGTGTTAGTCAGTGTCCGACTCTGATTTGGAAGAGTGGACGAAACATACCCAGCCCCAAGGCGGGCATGGTGGCTCCGGTGTTGAGCTTGAGTGGCACGTCGACCATTGTATCAGGTGAGATGCCGTGTGATATTGTATTGTTGTCCTTGAGCAACTCGCGCATGCGAATTTATTGCAAGTGACCGCGGTGTCTTGGGCGACGAGATGTCCAGTCTCGAGTACGCGGAAGGGGAAAAATATGTGACCGGCGAAAGATTTCCGATCTGGGACGGGCAGCCACCCCGCAATCTCGGTCTAATGCCCAACCGAGCCCGAGCTGCGGAGGGCGTCCCAAGGGAGCATCTATTCTCCGGTCACACTGTGTCTGTTGTCTGTGTCGCATTAAATTGCCTGTCTGATGATCACAGCAAGTCATTCCTAGGTGGCACAACACTGACCTATCCTCATGCGAGTCATGGGTGCGCACGGTGCTGGACGCCGACTCGGGGCCATTTGATGCGAGGCCGTGGCATGGTGGAACCCTCTCTCGAACCCTCCTTGGACCCCTTGCCCCCCTCATGCCCCTCTTATGCCCCTTGCCCACCTTCAGCCTCGCGCCCTTTCCTCCTCGAGCTCAATAAGGAAACTGCGCCCGGACCCACTTGCCTTGAAGGACTCTCGTACAATCCTTCTCGAACTTCTGCTCCTCTTTGTCTTCCTCTACCTATGCTTTGTGTTTCGAGAAAAGAAAAAATAACCCCCCAGGTCTCACTTGGGCTCCGTGTGAACTCCCCTGTGGTGTGGGTGGCGATCAATCAGATCAGCTGTGATTTTGAAAAGACCCTTGTTCCCGCATATGCATTCGAATGTCATTGTCGGTCGCACAACATGACAACCATCCCCGGGGGTTGTCGATAGCCCCCGGCCATGCAATCCCTCTCATGCTGTGTAACTCTCATTGTCGACATATTTACACTTTGTGATATATCATTTTTTCTTGACTTCCTGTTTTCTCTCACCGACTTTGCTGAGCTCTGCTTTGCCTCCCCGTCTTGGTGTGGCCACCGTGAGAGAGACACGGGTGTCAAGAGGTCGCGTTGTTGTGACGGCGAAAAGACAATGACACTTGTTCGTAAACCACGAAGCCAACCTGGTCAGGATATCATCCACCCGAAGAGCTCACCGCGCAAGCATCTCCATCACTCTCATGATCAAAGGAATCAAGTGCTTCGGCCCGCTGTCGACGATCAGGCTAGCGCCTCTTCTAAGCTCCGTCAGCGTTTGGCCTCTCGACTCCATCCTCCAGATCCGGTAACTTTCAGCTTTGAGCAGGCCACCACGTCGCCTCGCCTCGCTTTGGACTTATCGCAACAAACAACCATGTATGTTATGTCCCTTTGTGTGGAGCCAGGGTCCTCTCAATTTTTATCTCAATGTCTGAATTAATTGCTTGCTGGGTCATTGGACAACAATTCAGGTGTTTGTCTGTATATTCACTCTGTTTGCTCGCCACTACATCCAACAGGATCACAAGTCTATATTAACCTCTAGCCCTGCTTCCGAACACCGTCTTTCTTCACAGTCACACCTTTTTTCGTCAATCGTTCGAGTGACAGATTTCAGCTACCACTAGACTATCGCTGGAGACATCGCCAATCGAGGATATATAAATACTACCGCCGTCGGAAGTCACCGTCCGTACTCTCCAACTTTCCGCCTTCATCACTTGCAGTCCCTTCTAGCAAAGGAAGAGCTGTGACACCATTACATACACAGCGCTCTGTGCTACAATTCAAAATGTCTACCATCCTGCTCGAGCAGGCCTCTCATCCGTCATCCTTCCGCAACGACCGAGACGGTCTCGCTTTTGAAGCTCTTTGCGACGAGATCGAACGTGCCGACATCGTGGCAGACCAAGCTCTCCAAAATCAGCAACTTCCAGCAGACGAGGACGAGGGCTCCAAATTTGACGCGGACAAAGACAAGACCCAGTTCCGTCAATACGAAACTGCCAGTGACCGGGTTAAGAACTTCTATCTCGAGCAACACACCAAGCAGACAGTCGCCTACAATCTCAAGGCTCGACATAACTTCCACTCCAAAACTCGCGCCGAGATGTCGATCTGGGAAGCTATGGAGCGTCTCAACACCCTCATCGACGAGTCTGATCCAGACACCGAACTTGGACAGATTGAGCATCTCCTCCAATCTGCTGAAGCCATGCGCCGTGACGGACGACCTCGCTGGATGCAACTCACTGGTCTGATCCACGACTTGGGCAAGCTCTTGTTCTTCTTTGACGCTCAAGGTCAATGGGACGTCGTTGGCGATACCTTCCCTGTCGGCTGCGCTTTCGACAATCGCATCATTTATGGCAACGAGTCCTTCGCCGCCAATGCAGACTTCGACAATCCGATCTACAGTACCAGGGAAGGCATTTACTCACCCGGCTGCGGCCTTGACAACGTCATGCTTTCGTGGGGTCACGATGAATACCTCTATCACGTCGTCAAAGATCAGTCAACACTCCCCGATGAGGCTTTGGCGATGATCCGCTATCACAGTTTCTACCCGTGGCATCAACAAGGCGCATATAGAGAGTTCATGAATGAGAAAGACTACGAAATGCTCAAGGGTGTCAAGAAATTCAACCCTTACGATCTCTACAGCAAGAGCGATGAACGACCAAATGTAGAGAAGTTGAAGGTATGTCATCATACCCGTCGAATTTGTTGTCCCAAGTTCTGACATGTCATCGCAGCCATACTACTTGGAGCTGATCGATGAATTCTTTCCAAAGAAGGTCATTAAGTGGTAACCTTTCGAGGCTGCCACATCTTCCTTCCTTTGGTTGAATCACGAGCGAAACTCTTTTGTAAGGCGGGGTGTCTTGACATGGCCGTCTCTTTCCCTGCTTCCCTTAGCGAAGTCGTGGTGGATTCTCTTCTTAATTTTGCTTTGCATCAAATAAAGCCATAGAAATAGTCGACTTGAGCATTGCTGGAGGTTGAGACTGCTTCCCTAGTTTCTTCAATATGGATACAATCATTCGAAAATCGGCGGTGATTGACGCAGCAATAGCTACATTGCCATAGTTCACGATACTAGAGCTCAGCGCGGCATCAAACGGAGTTTTGGTTGGCGGTTGTTGTCCTGCAATCGCGTCCACTGTAGATTTTATCGTAATGGGGATCTCTTCATTGTCCAATTCGGAGGGTGTGCATACTATTTGAATTGCCGACGGTGGCGTGGGGGACTGTGACCAGGACAGAATGCAGTAGACAGACTTCACCGACTCTCTAGGGGGACGAAGGCGGGACCGATCGGCAGCACCGACACCGATGAAGCATGCGTAAGATTCACCTTCGAGGACAGAGCCTGCACTAACGGAAAAGACCTTGCATACAGATAGAAGACCCTGCGTCGGTGAGTGGCACCTTGTCGACAAGCACTCGAAACCTCGTATTATACGAACTTTGCGGCAGATTATTTAAAGACATGACTTCATCCGCTCATCTGCCATGCGATGATCTGCGCAATTTCGACGCATGGGAGTTTCTTCCGGCTTCCATCAAAGTGATTGTCCGTCTGGCAAACCACGGGGTTGCTGCAATCGATGCTGCAGCTGCACCGAGCGGTAAGTCTTTGTTACACAGCATATGTAGGGCCATAACACCATGTCACCGGTCGTGTCACTGGTTTCAAAGTGACGTTGCACCGCAGTAAGCATCACACATTCGCCAAAATATTTTCGGCCTTTGACAGCCCTTCCTTTGCGGGGGTCTCATAGCAGAGCGAGCGCGCGAGTTTCGACGTGCGTCAGGCGCTGTGTGCCCCCGATCTGCCCCTGCTCGACTCGACGGCGCACTACAGCTCGACGGTTCAAGGAGGGTTCGGTTCATACAACGGTCGAGATGGGCTTGAGAGACTGCTTCGAACTGAGTGGTTGAGATATGGAGGCCGTTCCAGGTGGCGCAACCTCAGCAGAGTCCTCGGTTTCTCACTCCGACACGCCTCCCTCCCTTGTCATTGACCGGGGTCCTTTTTGCAGGCAATCGAAGTCCGAGGAGGCTTTGGTTATCCAGAACAGGTAATTTTTCTCCAAGTGATCTTTTTCGAAAGATCTTTTGGGTGATGTGAATATTCAATAATGATGCCAGCTTCAGGATCGCAGATACCGGATGAAAGGGAGTCAGTGCGCTTCAATGTTGAAAGGGATCGAACAACTGAATTCATTCACCCGGTCACGCCATGTCTTGGAGAGGTGAGGCTGTACCCGTCTTGAACTGTCAGCTTTCATGAAGCTACTCTTTAGGGACCTTTGAGCAAGAGTCTTTTAGCATGATTCAGTGTAGTCCGACATGGGCAAGGTAGATCAAAGTCCTCCCTCGACATGTACCCCGAGCTTGGATAGCCTCATTCAAAAATGCCAACCAGTCATCACCGGAAGGCTCTAGTTTCAAATCGTCCTATTCAGCAGTCGACTCCAATCGAATACCAACAATGGTTCTCCCCCCGGAAAAAAACATGCGGCCTCTTCTTCGTATGGACCTGCAGTCAAGTCGGCAGGAAGGGTGTAGTCGGGTGAAGTGCTTAGGAGTGAAAGACACACTATTATTCAGCATTTTGGAACGTCGTCGCTACATTGGTGTCTTTGTTCATTATGTGAGGGGACCAACCTCCCCAACTACTTAGAGCGCTTCACTCGTGGTCGTGGTGAGAAGTGCCCCGATAGCCAGAACTGGATCGATAGCCCGGGAATTCAAACCTCACGCCCCCAAGAAGATGCCACATTATCATCCAATGGCGCTTGACTCGAGCACACTGCCAACAGGAATAAAAGAGTCCATCGGTGCGGGTGGAGAAGATATGTCCGTAACGACATTACCCGAAGAAAAGCCACGGCAACAGAGGAAAAGGCAAAAAGAAAAGAATGAGAAAAGGAAAGCTAGTGCCAGTGAAAGAGATATTCCAATTCAAGCATAAGTGAAGATCACACCCGCAGAACGGACAACCAGCACCATCACCCCTAGAGACGTAACGCAAAGCCAAAACTTTGTTAGTGTTGTTGCTGATATCGAGGAGGTCGCTATCTTGCATTACGGGCAAGCAGTGGCAAGTCAATCGGGGTATTGTCCACAGCTGTTTGAAAAGCTGCTCGATCCACAGGTTGAGAGATTGTTGGATGTGCGGCGGAGAGAGGAGCTGGTGGATATGGCTGCAGTCGAGGCTGGACCCATAAAAGTTGATCTCGTGCAGAATGATGCCCTTGAAGACCGGAATGGTGAGAATGGTCCACAAAGACATCAATTGGACCTCATCCGGCCAAAATTCCAGGGGCTTCGGAGCGTGGATATTGCGCCTGATCAATCCAGACGTCTGAAGCGTGCCCTAGAGCCATCTATCTGCTTTTGCGCGTCTCGACAGACTTTCCTTCTTTTGAACAGCTCCGGCTCGAGGCGCCCAAGGGACATAAGAGGTAGACGAAAATACCACCAAATTTCAACCGACAATCCCTTGCCTCTTCAATCAACCACCAAGCAACTAATCAGGATACCTGCCACCTGTTGCGTGCGCAGCTTGCGGATTGTTCATGTTCATTGGGTCTCATGGGTTGGCACTCCCAGGCTGTCCTGCTCGCACTCCAAGAGGGTTCTTTGAAAAATGCAGCCGGATGCCGCCCTTGACACTGTTGTGGAGCCGCACTCCATACAACTCATTTAAAGCCTTGGTGGCAAGCGATATGTCTTCAAATTCCACAAAGCACATCGGTCCGTTCTGCTTGGTGCGGAAATACAGCCTTTTATCTCCTCGTTGTTTGGAAAACATGGCTTTGAGTTCATCTTCCGACGTGTCAGTGGGAAGATTGCCCACGTACAGCGTGTTGCACGGCGCGTTTTGGTCAGCAGGATTGACTGGTGGGTAGATGTGTGAGATATATGGTTGCAGAAACCCAGAATATAGTCCGTCTCGTCGATACCGAACGAAATGCGCATGAGTTCGAGCCTGTTCCACAGATCGTAGAGAGTCGTAGCTGTTATAAAGTCCATTGCTCATGTTAGTGTTCAGTGAAAGAGCCGAAAATGCATCCGTGTTTGGGGGTTCGCGTACTCTCGGTGTACGCTGGCTGCGGAGGAGCTTTTCAAGTATCCAAGTGGCTCCTTCATTTTATCATCATTTCCGCTATCTTCATCAATCACTTTCCCCCCTCTCACACGAAACCGATCCGTCGCTGCTTTAGTCTCTGGAGACTGCGGCGAGACCGACCACACGATTTTGCGGCTAAACATAGGATCCATTGTGTTAGGCCATGGCACGGAGGCCGTCGTGGGGCTGCACAACACGTCGACAATCATTCTCACCTGGCCAGCCGGGACAGGTTTTCCATTGAGCATTGCCTGCGCTTCAAAAGCGTCGGTCATGGAAGCAAACCGAGCGATGGCAGTGGTAAATCTAGTGTCTTCTTCATACGCGTTAGGAATGATCTCAGTGTCTTGAAGTCCCCTTGCGAAGAGGAGCATCGTCCGCACTGTCTCAGGAGTGGTGTTCTGCGGAAGATGTTGCAGCAAGATTGCTGGGAGAGCAACTATGGTCTCTTCGGCACTCGACATCCGTTGATCAGACGTTGTGGCTTCCATGCCCACTGAATCAGCGTCGATCTTCAACCGACTTGGTAGATCTATTGGTGGCATTTGTGAAGTACTGAGTTCTGTTCTGTATGGTATCTCTTCCGGATGAGAGCGTGACAACACCGCCGGATCTGGGCTTGGTGATAGAATAAAGGGTGTCATTGCCTTGATCACGTCATGATAATCCGCCACAACGACACTGTCGGCCTGGAGAACTTGCTGGATCTGTGACAGGATTGATTCGAGCGGGATGAGATAGATCTCTTCGTCATCTCTAGCACAGATCACTCCTGTCAGTTCGGCTTTACTAGAGACTACCCAAGTGCCGCAGTCCCCCTGGCCCAAACCTAAAGCTCGCATCAGTAGAAAATCAAGAAGTCGCCTCGGGAACGCTTACTATAACCTTCTGTAGTCCTCATTGTGTATGCTTCTATAAAGTTCGTACTTGGTGGTAGCAGAAGGAAGGATGGGGTGAGGTTGACCGTAGCCAGGAAAGATTCGCGTGCTCCAATCATTAAGGAAGCTTGCAAGATTCGACAAGATGGACGGGGTTCTTGCAGAGTGGTGAAAGAGCAGACTTCCCCAGGGAGTGATCCATCCTTCAACGGGGAACAAAGATTTGGCCACAAATGCCCAAAATCATTCAATTCCACGAGCGCCCAATCTAAGTTCTCCGATCGTTGAAGCTGCTGGTGAACGAATCTGTCATAGTGGACGAGATGACCAAAGGGTTTCCAATCATCGGGTCTCGAGCCCGGTAGATTATTCGAAGCCTCAGGGACCTCGAGTTGGGCCAAACGTGAACCATTCGATATTGGGGAGAGCAGATCAACATTCTGCGGTGAGCGACTCTTCAACACAGACTGAACATCGCGTTCCAAATAGATATCACGGTCGGGGATCGAAATTATGCCACTTGGCTCTTCGTCACCATCGCTCGAATCCGTGGAATCGACGACCTGATCGGGTTCAGACTGCGAAGTTCTCCCATCATTATCCCCGCCAGTAACAATGTGGGCGACAGTCAGTCCATAGAACTGTGAGTGGTGGTTCGTTTTGATCTCGATCACGCCTCCAAGTCTGGCGGCTGATATACGTTCTTGGTTATAGCATCGAATCCTCGCTCCGCAGAGGGTTTCAGTGATCGCCTTTGAGTCAATTTCGATATCTATACCATCTGTATTCCCATCACTGAAGCGGGCTGGAGGGCGCTCTTTAACCACCAAGTCAAACCGAGGAATCATTTCATCATCGATGGGCCTGATTTGCTCTTTGTTGACCTTCTTGGAGAGAAGTTTGCGAACCTTCTTTACCATCGGCTTGTCGCAGGAGATCACGATATAGGGTTGCGCCGACTCTTCGTCCCGTCCGTAAACTTTTAATTTAGCGCTACATGGCCGACATGGCGGATCTGGATTATTTGCAAGGCCCATTAACTGTGGACTTAGTATTTGCCACAAGTCGAGAAAGCGATAGTGCTCTGCCTTGGTTGGCTCCCGCTCAATGGTAGGCGCTGTGAATGGCTTCTTCGGCCTAAATAGACTGGAGACCGCAGAAGACTTTCAACTAGGCTCAGCCGACGCGGGGTCTGAGCAACCTCCCGATCCTGTGCTGTAGCCTGAGTCTCGATTGAATAGCGAGGTCGACTTTCCCAGATCTTGCTGGCCCTGATGGGATATTTGGTGGGGAAGTTGGCAGTCGATTGAGTTTTGTTTAGGTGCTGGACGACCTTTGTGTGAGTCCGAGAACAAAGTCATTGTTTCTACAACAGACATGGCCATCGTGGGATAAAGTCACCAGGCGGATTGAAGAAAAAAAGACGACTTTGAGAATGTCGAAGAAGATCTTTCAGGATGATTCCTGCCACCGAGCCCGCAAGGCTGAGATTTTCAGTCGCACCGAGGGCACCATGCCGACATCTGCACAGCCCCGCTCAGCGTGGCGCAGTGGGATCCTGCCACTGCCACTGGGACTGCCAATCAGTATTGAAAAGGTAGCCTGGCTAGGCAGCGCACGTTCAGGCGGGATTGTCGCATGGTCGCCCTTAAGAATTGTAGGCAGCGAAGGACACTATAAAGGTTTGCGGCAGGACGTGCCAGTCGGAGACTGTATCACGTTTGGAGCCTGCTCTTAACGCTTGAGAATGCCGAAGCCAGCTTCAATTGCCAGTTTGGCATTGGACCGTGATGCCCAACTCATTGAAGCGCTATGGGAATGGTCGGCCTGTGTGGAATGTCAAGGGAAATCTAAATGTGTCTAGGGAGTGTGTCCAGTGGATCAATTGAGGCGGTTGCGGTAATTCCTGCGATACGTTCACTCTCTCGTCGATGACCATGGACTTGAAGCGAGCCAGGGACATCCTACCGCGACTCCGACGAGCTACGATGAGTTGTTCAAACTCATCCGAGAGTTGAAGTCCAAGTCGAATGCGACGAAGGATCAGATAGCCTCTGTATTTTTCAGCCAGCTGCACTCTCCGACGAAACAGTCTGCCGGGAAAACATTGAGGCTTGCATTGAGGCTCTTGTTGATGGTAGATTGTTCGACTGGTCCCATCAATGCCCTTGACGAGCTCGAGGCTGGCGACCTCCAGCCGCCTTGGCAGGGCGATGTAACACTGGAAGATTTCCTCTCCTCCCGGTTTCCTCTAGGAGACAATCCGATCTTCTCAGACGACAACATTGAAGGCGTAAACCAATCGTGCAAAGATTTGAGGGCGAGAAACCTACAAGGGACGGCACATTTGAGATTTCGACCCACGGACGACATGAGCCGCCATCTATACTTGGACCGGAAGACATACACCATCGAAATATTCCACCATACATCCTTCTTGAAAGAGTATCTTATTATGTCCAAGCCTGGGGCGCTGGGAAATGGAAATAGGTATGTTTCTATTCTCTGGACTTATGCTTCTAATTTCCGTCGACTACCCAGATCGAGCTCCTCAGCTAGCAAGCCAATCGCCTCAATCAAGGTTGAGAAGCTAATACCGGGATCGTAGATGTGTTATGCCTCGCCAGTTGGCCCTGGAGGTTCTCGACACGATTCAGAAGGTCTTATTCCCCTTCTCAGACAGCAAATCGATGCGAATCCTCAAACGACTCGTCACCAAGTCAGGTTTCGACCCCGACTGCCTCCGTTTCGAATCCTAAATCCTCCGAACTGAAGACGAGAAGGGTTTATGCTTCCAATACTTCGGCGAGCGCCTTGCGCTGCTGCTAGACGAAGTTGAGAATCTCCGTCCGCATGGCGTCGTAGAGAGATGGGTTGATCGAAAGAGCGGCGCTCGCTACGTCATGCTCGCAACACTAATTGGTGTCATCTTCGCCATCTTGTTGGAGCTGACAGCTCTAGCGTTGTCCGCTCACCAGACGTGGATTGCATATCAAGCGTGGAAGCATCTGGTGACGCCCTCATAGCCAGAAAGTGCATTCGGCTTTTCGGACGTACCGCGAAGCTGGTGAAGCCCCCATACAGCAGCACAGTCATATGACTGGCATTCAAGGAATCTAACTTGGGTTGTTCACAAGATATCATTGTCAGTCCTGTACAAATTACTCGTTTTATTAACCCACTCGCTGAACGACGTTGACTAGAAGACAAAAATTTTGTTTGACCTGCAAAACATCCTCTTGCATATATTCTACCTTGGCCAGTTGCGTAATCGCTAGATGATCCCGGAAAGAGTCTCTGAGATCTAGTTGCCATACATTTAATATCATGATTGGAGGTTTCTAAGCGCGGTCAACAGAAGAGTTGGAGGCAATCGGAAAACGCCCTTACTCTTGAACACACCGTCGCCTAGATTCTTTCAGAGATGTATTGTACCACGCCACTGTATGTACCGTCGGGCGAACTAACCACTGCATCGCCCGGCATAGTGGTCAGGGTGAGGATAGCTAAATGCGAGGTTGAGAGATGTCCGCGGTAGAGAGCGCTTGTTGGCGAAACAGTGCCAAGCGATGGAGTGGTGCCAATGACACCAAGTTGGCGGCTATTGGCGGCTATTGGCGGCTAAATACTTCGAAGTGATACAAGTGTCCTGAACTGGCGAGGACAACAAACACCTCGCAGCCTTTGCTTTCTCAAGACCTCGCCCAGAAGGCATGATTGAGCAGACAAGGTACTAGAGATGGTCAAATCGACGCAAATAGCACGGCTGGATGGTTCGTGGTGTTTTTCTACCTTCCATTCAACAGCGCAGGAAATTGGCTGACCGGTCCGCCTCCTCTATAGGCCTCATGCTTGCGGCCTCGGTCGACGACGAACAGGTATGCATGGTTTCATGCCTCTACAAGACTCCGATTGTAGCTTTTGCTTACTGCCGGAGTGACAGGTCGAGACAGAGCTCGCCGAGGTCAAGTCGCAGGCAAAGATGATATTCCGCAGGCTGAATCGCAACTCGGAGCAACAGGCAAGCATTGAATCGGGCCAATACACGTTGCAGTAAGCTGGCAATTCTCTGCACAGGAAGCCTGCTCACTCGTGACCCAGCTACATCATAAAGGACTCTGTCTGCTTCCTCTGCATCTGCGACCGATCCTACCCCCGGAAACTCGCCTTCACCTACCTCTCCGATCTGGCGCAAGAGTTCACCACCATCTATCCCTCACAGCAATACCTCTCCGCCACATTACGGCCCTACGCGTTCGTCGAGTTTGACACGTTCATTCAACGGACCAAAAAGACATACCAGGACAGTCGGGCCAGCGCGAACCTGGACAAGCTGAACGACGAGCTGAAGGACGTGACGAAAGTCATGACCAAGAACATCGAGGATCTGCTGTACCGGGGCGACAGTCTGGAAAGAATGGGCGAGATGTCCGGCCGATTGAGAGAAGACAGCAGGAAATACAGGAAAGCCGCCGTAAGAATAAATTGGGAGTTGATGCTGAAACAGGTACGTTGCAAGGTTTGCGGTTGAGGATTTTCGATCCTGACATCGACGCCAGTATGGACCCTTCGCTGGCCTCGGCCTGATAATCCTCATTTTCATTATCTGGAGATTCTGGTAACCGGAGCCTCCCTGACGAACTCTGGTTGGTTTGTATGGATAAGCGAGCATATGGTACCCTTTGGGACCTTTACGTTGAGGCGGAGGACTACTCCTGCTGCGATTTGGACTGCCTGTTCTAAGGCAGCTGCCGTACCTGCTTAGATCTCGTCCTCTTCCTCGTCAAAGTCATCCTCAACACCCATGTCGTACAAGATCCGCCCACCCTCACCCGCCCCGCCACCCGCCTTCTGAGCATCGAAATACGGCAGCACTACGCCTTCTCGGTCCAGGCGTTGCCGCTCCGTCAAGTTCAGGTTGAAGGTTATGTCCGAAAGCTCTTCCGACGTTTCTTCCTCTCCCGATCTGCGGAACAACGGGTGATCATCGAGTAGGGTGACGATCTCCTGAAATGGCTGGCCCTCCCCCTTCTTCGTGGCGTTCCGACACGCAGGTAAGAAGAACCACTCTCTGACTCCTCTACCACTTCTCCTGCGGTGCTCCAATTCCAACACAATCCCGCGTTCCTCCTGTTTCAATTTCGCTAAGGACTTCGGCTTGAGCCCTATTACCACGCCATCTACTTCTTCCGAGAGGCCAAAGGACGGTGCGGCGAGGGATTTCGAACGGGCAGACTTTTCGGCGAGGAGAATCGGGAGGGAATGTATCGTTATGATGGTGGTGGCGAGGTATGACAAGAGTGAGAGTGGTGAAGGCGAATAGGAGTTTAACAGCGCAGCAGATGGTAGTGCCGATGGAGTTGGTGACGGCAGGGGGACGTCTGTGTGATAAACCGCGACTAGTGAGATTTGTGGACCTTGATCCTGCTCCGTGCCTTTTATCTGCAGCGCCGGTGGCTGGAGAAGGGAGGAAAGGAACGCGGTCAGGTTGAGATTCGATGATGGCTGTATGGAGAGGGATGCCAGTGTCGTTAGGGAATCAATCATGATCAAGAACCCTGCGCGTTCGCCCTGAGATTAGTATCACGGACCATGTATAACGGACATAGTACATCGGCCTCCACGAAAGCCGGGAGAACCAAGATATGAGAAAGAAGGACGAAGGAAGACGTAACGTACTCTTCCCGCCGCTCTGCCGAAGAATCTCACCCACCTCCTTCGCAATTCTCTCTCCCACCCCTTCGCCCTTCCTTCCCCTTCTCTCCGGCCCTCCCATCCCTCCACCTCCACCCCCATCCCCACCGCCACAGAACGCGTAACAAGGCACGAAATAGTCCACACCGTCAGGTTTCGCGAACGTCTCGAATCCCAAAAACACGACCACGACGCTCGCGCTCGCGCTTGCGCTCCCCCGTCTCGAGGAGGAAGAGGAGATTAGCCGTGCCCGTCCCCCCGCCCGCCGGAGGTACTCACGCGTCAGCAGAGGTCGCGCGGGCTGCTCGAGCGTGTCGAGCAGGAGCGTGAAGGGCGAGGTAGGCTGTATGTGGGGGGGTTGCGCGAGAGAGAGGAGCTTGGAGATCAGGAGGAGGTTGTGGGTGCGGCGGTGCGGGAGGGTTACGGCGGGGGACATGGCTTTCACTTCGTTTGTCTTCTTTTTTTGGTCTTCGGTTCTTTTTGGTTTTGCCCTCTCTCCTGATCTACTTTGGCTTCTGCTTCTGGACCTTTGGGTGGACCTTTTCTTGAATTGTGGCAAAAAAAGGATGAGCGGGTTGAGGGGAGAGAAGAAGGGGGATGATGGATGGGTATATCAGAAGAGGAATTATGAGGGGGTTTCAGCCTGATCGAGAAACAAGGATGTCTTAATTTGGCTCGCTCGTGTCGCTCCAATCCCGCCAACCAATTTTTGAAGATATTCTCAGGCGAGCAACGACATCACAAACCTTACTGCTGCCGTCTTTGAAATGTCTTGCTCACTCAATGATTGATTGATTTGACGTCGACGAGGAGGACTCGTAGAATCGGTCTAAAAATTTCCAGAACAAAAAATGTTCCTTGCTGCTTAGTAAGAGGGTGCTTGGCGCCATGATGTGCGGATCTGTCGAACCATATTGGCCATACCAAAGCTAGGCGTTGCGCAGCCTTGTCTATCCGCATCCATGGACATTTTTGTTCGCGTCAATCGACGTGTATCAAGACATGGTGTTGGGCTACTCGGCGAGCCCGGGTACCTCCAAGTCAGAGCAGCATGACCGGATGTCCACAAGCAGCAGTTTCCGGGCCCAGGTCTTCAGGTCAATCGAGCACGACAGTATCCGTAACCAGAGCCGAGAATGGCTTCGTCAATGCACTGCACGTTTGTTGCATGGAGCCGAAGCATTATCCAATGCACCAGCGCTGTTCCCGCCCGCCATTGACCCAGCTAGCATTGGCGACTTGGAACTTGCCATGCGCGACGTTTTGCTTCATCCTCTTCACACTCGGACCGAATTCATACTTTGAACACCATAGCAAGACATGGTAGTTTGCATGAATCACATCAGACTCCTCTCTTCCCTCTGTGACCGCTTGGTCCGCGTCGTCTTCTGCACCTTCCTGTTCGAGGAGGATCACACGCTCGTGCTGTTCACCACCGTACCTTTCCTGAACCACCAGGAACAGTTGGGTATTCGGCCTGGCAAACGGCGTAAAGCTCCAGTCAAGAGGGTCGACGTTGAGAGCATACATGGTGTCGTTGGAACTGTCGCAGTCGAGCTTCAGATAAAAAATGCAGGTGCCCTTCTCTTCTGGGGATGAGCATTCCCTGGTGCCGCCTTGGTCGATGACGTATCTTCTGGAGAAGTCAGGCCTCGTCTCGAGTCGCCAGCCTCGGTAAGAGATCAAAAGTCCACGTCCCGGCTTCAACGAGGCAGGGTGTCTCTGGTCGTACACAATCATTGTGTCTCCCCCGCTGTCCAGATCTGCCGGAGCCCAGCGCATTCCCCGTTCGGGAAATCGTTCGCCTTCGCAGAAAACCATACTGGAAGGCAAGTGTGGAATGGCTGCGAGCAGCACTTTAAGTTTCTGTCTTGAGAGGCGGCTAACTTCACTCTCGGTCGCACTAGAATCAACACTCGTACGTTGAATAGCCGCCAGCGTGTCAGAGTCGACGTCGTTGATTAACCCAATCACCAGGCATCGGTCTGTACTGAAGGTCGTGGATCTTCGCCCAGCCTCGTTCCACGAGAACATGAACCGAAATTGCGCCCCGCAAGCACCGCGCATTCTTTGCAGCACGCCGAGACAATTATCCCACACAGAAGCGCACTCCACTAGGCCCAAGGCGTCAAAGACATGCCCTTTCCTTGCCGCATTTCCTCGGGCCGGCGATTTGGCGAGCGCTATGAGATCATTAAAGCGTTTTGAAAGAACCTGCAGGTCAACCAACCCCGCGGCAGTCTGTACCTTGACATTTTCAGCGACGGCGCCCTCATGCATGGTCCACAGGCGATGTAACCAGCTAGACAACGTCAATCGCATCCCAAATTCCTGCAGACTCGGTTCCCTGTCGATCGGCTCGAGCCCCGAGTCTACAATTAGGACCACCGCCGCACTCCGATAGATCTCCGACATGCGTAGGATCGCCTTAGTTCGGAGCCTGTACATGAGATCGTCATCTCCTGGGCCTCGAGGGACGCAGAAGATGTCAAACCAGAAAGGCATGATTCCTGCGAGCTTACCGTGTGGCGGAGGGTCCGTGTCGACACGACACCCTTGCGCGTACCTCTGCAGCTGGAGCCACTGACAACGTAAGAGCGCATTGCCTTCTAGGTTTCCACGCCCGTCGGCCCAGACGTGTGAGAAGGCAACAAAATGGTGGCCGTTTTGAACAGCGTCTAGCACTTCGAATTCTAACCCCCCTTGATCCCCATCCGCGGACAGCGAAGCGAGGCCCAAGCGGACAACAGGAATGCCGCCATCCTCAACGATATCGAGCATGTCGCGCCACGCCCGCTCGGGCAGAAGTTCCGAACAGTGACATCCCTCTGTCTCGTGCTTTCTCTCGTAGGTCGTCGGGTCTAGGGTATCGGCATCGCATCGCGTCTCCGTGCAGGCGTCGTGCCTATATTTTCTTTTACTCTCGTTCAGAGGCTTAAGAGTCAACGCGATGCAAGAACCTAGAATCCCCAAATCGGTCTGAAACCTGTAAACGTCAAGCTTGCAGAAGCCGCGAGCTGTAAGATGATCTTTCAGTTCCGGAGGGATGTACCAGAATGCCGGTCGCGGATAATCATGACTGTCTTCACTACCGAGACCCAGGCGGAGATACAGCGTCCGCGCGGCGTGATGGAGGCTATACCCCAGCACTGCAATGGCGAGTTCCAGACTGTTGGGGAGGATTTCTCTGCCGTGTTTACGCCAGAAGTTCATTTTGCGAGTCCTCGCGGCCACGGCAGGATGATCTCGCACCCGGCTTGATTCCCCGGGAACAGGGGTGGTCCGAAGATACTCGGTGCTGAATGCTTGAATGCGGTCCGACATTGCCCTTACCTTGATTTTGACCCACAATACGCATTTGACACCGTTTGCGATGCATTCCCTGGCTTGCTCGGCAGGCATCTCTTCCAAGCGCTCTTCCCATGCATCAACCTCGTCGCGGAGGCGGTCAGTGTTTAAGACCTGCCGTCCTCTATCGTCAGCTTTGAAAAAAGAGTCGACGGCCACTGGGCGAAGCAGACATTCGTGCAGCATGCCAAAGTAAAACCACGACTGAATGAGTGAAGCGTAGACGGAGAAGTCCTTGCATTCATCGGTATGAAGAGAACTGGTCTGAGCTCCACCGTCCGCACGATCGGAAGAGCTCGCTTGCGTGTGAAGTTGAGATGTCGTCGGTCCTCGGGTGATCAATACATCGACACTTCCACCAATCAACCCTTGCGATATACATGTGGAACTGAATCCCCGACGCTGTGGGAAGGCCCAGAAGCCTTGATCGTCATAGGGGATGGCGTGGGTCAGGTTCTCAATCACAAGAAGCTCGTTGAGGAGAGTTCTGTCGTCGAAGACCGAGGGTATATGCTCCATCCGGACCACTTTTCGGTCACAAAATTTATCGCCTGGGGTAGATTTTCCGTTTCCCGGGGAATCCAACAAACCAGGTACTCTCTCATAGACGCAAAATGGTTCTCCAGGATCAGTCGCAAAGACCAAGAGCGGTATGTTCAAACTAGGCTGCACGAAACAAGCAGCCGTGACTCCTTTCTTTGTTTTTCGTGTTTTACGAACAGAAACGACGGGCTCGACTGTGCATGCGTTGATAAGAAAGTCTGCTGATGACTCAGGGACTTACTTCGTTGATCTTAGTGACTGGAGGAAGGCGAGAAGGGCTGTCGAAGCTTGGAGAGATCAACTCGTGGGGACGACGTCGCTGCTTTAAGCACCCAAACACCTCGACCTCCGCGAAAGGCTTTTGGGGCCTGCATCCGGATCAACCTCAGCCGAGTACCTTGGGCGGAACGGTTCTCAAATTCGTCTGGGTTTAATTCGCTTCGCGCGGGAAGGTCTCTTCGTCACGTACAAGCGTATCATTGACAGCAAGAACATGTCTGTGATACAAATCCACCAGGTTTACTGAACTGCTCCCCAGAGCTTGAGTCTGGATGCCGTAGAAGGATAAATCCTGCTGCGTCGTTCCTGGACTGACGGAGGTGTTGCCGTGACTGAAATACACGGCGCTTCCATTCTGGACCGTACTCAAGCGACTCCCGCTGAATCTTGGGTGCGCACCACATCTCCCAACCTCTTCTGGATATCTCGGGTCGAACCACTCCAAGGATGTTGGGAATACCGAATGGCCGCTAATCTCAATATCCTGACCCCTTCTCAGAGACGCGGAGATGAAGAGAGTTCTGGCGCTCTTGTCCTGCACGATGGTGCTGTTCACGAAAAGTGGATAATTAAAGGCACGCGAATAGCCTTCTGATGAGGTGGCCTTACCAAGAGTGTTCTGTCGAGTGACTTGAACATCTCCGTAGTCTGATATATTACCTTGGTTCGAATATGCCAAAGATTGCTGCCAGACGGCCACTTTGGTGCCGTGAGAGGTCTGGACCTCCGACGAAATAGAGAGTTGGCGATCCACGTCGACGGTGTAGGACAGGGTGCAATTTGTCCCGTTCGATGTGGTGCCGACTGCGGATGACAAGGCAATGGAGTAAGCGGACGCATTCGCAATAGGATAGCTTCCGGACGTTACGGATCCCACGCAGTCCAACCAGATGAATATTTTGCCCGTAAGAACCTGGGGGAATATTAGCAGAGCGCTCGCGGTCGCTGAGTTCTACCTGCCCAATAGCTGCCCACCGACTCAGACAAAAGACCACTTCGAATGTCATTATCATCAATGCCAACGACACGGAGCTCGAAGGAATGACTTTCACCGTCGCATAGCAACGGTAGCCAGGGAGTTATGTCAATTTCATCTTCACGGATGTCGAACGCATCAATGCCCACGACCGGCCTCCAGAAGCCGCGGACGATGCCGCCAGTGAAGATGATGGGAAAAGGCCATACAACTCCGGCCAAATCGCCGTCAATGAGCAGTTGGATCTCCCGAAAGGGGGAGTAGCCCGGGAGCGTGTCGGCTCCAAAAGTATGAACGTTCGAACAGAGCACATTGGAATACCAAAACTCTGCATGACCGTCGTCAGCCAGGATGCAGCTTTCTTCTGATAGCCAACACACCTTCGTCCATTTGACCGGTTGCAGAGACGGTGAAGACCGCCCGCTCGATGTTCTGCGGCAATACGAGCGTGTTCAATGCTCCACCATAATGATAATTCCAGGCGCTGGACTTGTTGCTGGCGCATCGTCCGGCTGATATGGGAACGATCAGATCTGCCCGTTTTTCCGTGTCAGTGGTCGTGAAGAAAGTTGCCTGCAAGGTGGCATTGAATGGTGAGGTGTAGTTTTCGTTGATGAGGTTGCCAAGGTCAAAGATTAGCGTTTGATTGCGAGTGAATAGCGACAAGAGGTGGGACACGTCTTTGACATAGGTCCATCTGGTGTCGGTCAGAATAGGGGATAACAGACTAAGTTGAATAGCTCACATGATACCATTGGGAGTCGGTTCCGCTGTGCTGGTTCGCCAGATCTCAATATCACCGAAGTAGGCCACTGCTAGTCGATCAAACTGCTTGCCGGCAGCTCTCACGGTGAGATTGAGCGTCACTCGATTGAAAGAGCATTGGGGAGGCGCGTAGGGGCCGACGTACGGGTGGCCATAGCTGTTCGCGAAGGAGTGAACCATAAGGGTTTGCGTGACGGTGCATCCTGGGACCTGAGAAACAAATGACCCAGAAGAGCCCCCTTCGTCTTGAAGCAGTGTCCTGTGCGAGATGGCTTCCGGCGTCAGTATGGGAGGGTTGACTTGAAACACTCTTAGGACCGAGGCCACGGCGGCAACAATTGATTGAGTGGATGCCCTCATTCTGAAGCAGCGACGCCGCCCAGATGTTCAATAGTGCAGTAGTCCTTTCCGATGTCCTGGACCGCAGGTGGCCTGGTTAGGGACTGTCTGATAACCTTGACAACTTTGGTGCCGTTCCATGAAATCGGGTCACCGCAGAGCTTCTCTGCTTTCAAATGTCTGCCACCAAACTCTCAAGCGACGCACGGGAGAGATACAAGGCCACGAGCGCTATTCGCTGTGCATGTCTGACTCAGTAAATCAACAGATTGACTGGGACATACTTCGTCTGGAGCATCCGTTTCCAGACTGTAAGCTTGACGTCTGCATAGCTGCTGAATGTGAATAATAATAAGAGGACAAAGCAAGTAAACTGTGAATAGCCCAAGTGCGCATCGAGCTGAGGAATCGATTTGCATTGTGTCGTCGAATGCGTCGCCGGATTCTCCCTGCGCCTCGTTCGCCTCAACCTCAAAACTCAAACTGTCGCTCAGTCCGCGATACACTCACGCCGCGCCAAATGGCGCCGATACCTGCGCTTGAGCATGTTTCCAACCCCTTGGTCACCTCTGCACAGCTCCTCACACTCAAAAGCCTGGAGAACGACGACGGCATATCCACATGGTTTGCCCATTTCCAATTGACCTCCGCCGCCGGCATCCTCCTCCGCCTCTCGCAGGAGGTCACCGCCCATGCCATAATCCTGCTTCAGCGGTTCCTGGTGTCTTCCAGCACGAACGACCGTCGAAGTTTCAGTCTCAAGAACTTCTCCGCCGCTGCCATCTACCTCGGTGCAAAAGTCTCCGCCACACCCGTCTCGCCGCGATCGGTCATTAATGTCTACACCTACCTCACCTCAAAAGCCTCTCCGCTGAGATTTGTGAACCCAGCTGGCCCCTCCACGAATGTCGAGCCCAAGTCTTACTTCGTATCGGAGGGGACCTACGAACGAGAGAGACAGCGGTTATTTGTGTGCGAGAGTATGATATTGGTCGGCCTCAGCTTCGACACGCGGGTCGCATTGCCGTACACTCTCGCCTTGACTTACATGCAGGCTCTGGGCGTTTTCACCACAAATATGTCCCTGAGAGTCTTGGAACATTTGAACGCAGGCCTGGTCTCTCCACAACTGCTCCACCTCACTCACCAACCCAACGCACTGGCGGTGGGAGCCATCTATCTCGCGGCACGAGAGACGGGGGTCAAGCTGGTAGAGCGGAATTGGTGGGAAGTATTTGACGTTGACAGAGAAGACCTGGGCTTCCTTGTCCTGTCTTACGGAAGTATGGCAAATTTCGCCCAAGCTGAAATGGAGAAGTGGAAGAACGGGCTTTTGCCGTTGGATTAAGCTCCTAGTGCTCCGTGCACGAGTAACAACATCTTCGGAAACGGTCGTCTCTCGACCGTACAAGCTTTCCCATCCTGAGTATCGGGACATTTTCTCACCAACATGACCGGCAGTCCCAACTCATTGTAAAGGTGATGTTCAACAGCGGTCCGTTGGATAATCAGCGCAAAGCCCGAAATCCAACTGTCCCGTTGAGATCATAACGCGGTATCGGAGGCAACTAGGCCGTCACACTTTTGCTTGTACCATCGCGGCCGCCTAGTCGAAAATGCCTTCTTTAACATCTTCGAAGACCGCCGTCGCATCCTCAAATCTCTCACCCTGCGTCCGCTTCTTCACACACTTCCTCCACCAAATGGGGGCTGCCCGGCGAAACTTCTGCAGCTCATTTATGAGGGGCTCCTGCACACTACTCGTGCACCGCAGTCTAATTTGTTGGTCATACTCGTCGTGCAGTTCTTCCAGACTCTTGAACCTCTTCTCGAGAAGCCCGTCGACGATCTTCGACCCCGCGAGAATTATCTGGTCTGCTTCCCATCGTTCGTGTCTGCGAAAGGATTGCATATGACGCTGGACGAGTCGCTCTCCATATTTTCGAATGATGGCGGAGCTGTAGCGTTCCGGCAAACGCTGAACCTTGGGTTGCCGTTTGCTCTGCTTTCTCTCGGCCTCTCTGTCTTTCGTCCATGTCTTCACTTGCTTGGCTCCGGGAGCCGAGTTCGTCTCCTGCACAAAATCGTCACTCTCACTGAATCAAAGCTGCCCGTAGCTCCGCTATGGTTCCCTCCTGACAAATGAGCGGCTACGCCAACTCGTTCAACTGGGTGCAACAGAGGGCCGACTTCCTCTCGCATGACATGTCGATCGCCCACGGTAGGAGCGCTGGTCGCCTCACCGAGTCTGGGATCTGAAGACGGCTCATCTCCTGCTACGATTCGCCCAACTGCGGTGCCGTCACCAACTGGCTCTGGCTTCACTGCGGCCTGACCGCCGTCCGCGACGGCTTCAACTTGACTGCACAATGTGGCACATCGAAGCCGAAGTTCGAGCCTCTTCCGATCCAGATCCAACTGGCGCTGTTCGATCTCCAGCTGCTCCAGCTCGGCGTCAATGAGCTGTTTGCCGTCCATCGGGGTTGATGTGGTCGCGGTGTGGCTGACAACTTCCCTGCTAGAGTTGTGGCCAGGTGAGGTGGATGTGAGAGGAGACGTTCTCAGCGTCGACAGCCACGTTGCAAGTCTTGTGTGGATGAAGGTGGGTGTGAAAGCCAGTGAACCAGACCCGGCTACGCACATGCTCTTGGGCCAGAGGTAATATGGCGCCAAGGATTCGATTATGTCTTTCTACTGCAGGCTCCCAGGTAGCCTCTACTGAAATGCCTACCCAATTACTTTGAAGGCTCATAACAATGTAGAACGTCAGGGTCAGCGGTTCAGTTAGACTCCCTAGTATTATTTCTCGCTCGAAAAACAGCCGTGACGACGCTGAACAGCGACAGAAGGTCAACTATCCTAATATCACTCCTCTTCGTCGCGTCACAGAATACTATCCATAATTTTGCGTCTCAGCAACACGTTCTCAATATTCTGTAACGACTTCCTCGATTGCGTAGCGAAGCACAGAGCTCTGAAACATCTGAACCGTGACTCTCCCAAAACCTATTACATCTCACTTCCCAAGGTCATCTGGACGTCGAAAATCCTGGTGGCGCAGCTTTTCCTTCTGCCGGCCGCATATGCATGTCATGATACCCTCAACCCTCGTAATTAGCCTCATCTCCTTCCTCGAACTTTTGCTCGTTGAACTTGCTCTGTGCGATATCTTCGACGACTTTGGTGACGAAGGACATTCGCTCTTGCTGCGTGTTTAGGGCTGTACATGTGGACCACCAGGAGCGCTGAACTCGGTGGAATTTGGCCAGTTCATCTGATAGAACACGACGGAGCTCGAAATTTGTCGCCCATGTATTTACAGTCGCTTGGAATTCTTCGTGGAGAAAGGTTAGTGTCTGGTGCGTCTTTCCGTTGGTGGCTCTCCGCAGCCTTGATGTGACTGTCGGTCTCTTGGAATGCTCTGGTGGGAGCGGAGGTTCAACTGCCGCCATGCGCCTCAGGAGAAGTCCGGTGTAATGGCGGATGAGGTCGTACTGTTGAGTCTCCGTCATAACGTTGGAGGCGTCCGCAGGCTGATTTTCGTCTTTCTGAGGCATTCGTCTTCGTTTCACCCGAGCTCCTGGTCCGCCTGCAGAATCCGTTGTATCGGTATCTGTACTAGATCTCGAACTGGCGGTCTCGTTATCTCTACCGTCGAATACCTGAGATCGCTTCTGCTGAGACCGCGAGCTCGATGGGTGAGTCGATGGTCGTATAAACGACGCTAAGAGATCTTCGTGGCTTTGCTGGACGGTAGGTCGCTCCTTTAGTAAGTAACGATTTCCCAAGTGAAATGTCGGACCTAGACGGACGTTAGGCTTTACTGGGTAGGTTGGTCATATTTCGCTCACATTGCGTTCCATTTCCGGTCTCGCCAGTTGTATCTTCCGCTTCTCGCGGAGGTTGCTCCTCGACGGCGCTCGTCTCACCTAATTTCAGAGTAGCATTTGCGGTTATGACGGTTGTAGTAGTGTCTGATTGCGGCTCAGTAGAAGACCTATTTTGAGCGGTCGCTCGAATCTCGTCCGTACCGCCAGGTCCATCCTCAGTTTTCACGACGGCGTCATCTTTGGTCAGGTCGACGTTAGTCTTGAGTTGTTCAAGGCGTCGCTTGATGGCGAGCTCCCTGCGTTCGAGCTGTAATTGTCGCTTGTCGAGCTCGATCTCGGCGAGCTCATACCTCAGTTGTTTTTCATCGTCCATGACGGGTCTATCCGTCGTAATGAGTTAATGAAGTGGTGGGAGCGTGACGAGTTCTGGTAGGGCTGAAGAAGGGTCCAAGAAATCTTAATGTTGAGGCATACGATGTTAAATCATCGTGGTGGAGGGGAGTGAGAGATGAGAAGGACCTGGAGGTGGGCAAGCCCGGGTAATTGACAGCGCAGTTGAATGGGGCGCTCGTCAGATCTCAAAATGAATTGTTATGATAACAATCAAGGTTCGGCAGAATGCATTCCAGAGACATCTTGATGGCAACTAGAATTTCAACTCGCTTCACTTCAGCTACCATCTGCGCTGAGCTCTTTGATACTCGCCGCTTTTGTGGAGGAAGTAGGCACTTGATGGAAAGGAGCCCGTGCCATCTTCGCAGACATGTTGTCCAAGGCAATAGCGAGAACGTTGACCAGGATCGCCACAAGGCTGAGAGCGTCTGGCCTTGTCCAACTTATAAGTGTGTGGGGTATCCAGGCACGCACTAGCTAGGCTGGTAATAAGAGCTCCACCAGCGGCCCCAAACAGTTGGGCTTCTCGGTGGGTATCTCAAAGGATTTAAGTTCATATAACATATGGTTCAAAAATCATGTCAAATACAGACTCCAATCTTGTCTGGATGGTCTAGTTGGTTATGACGTCGGTCTCATAGATCAACTGTGATCTTGTGTACATCGTAAACACAAGAAGTTATCCGAAGGTCGCGAGTTCGAATCTCGCTCTGGACATTTTTGCCTCCCCTCCCATAGCCTTGTGTCAGGACTATCCTGAAGGGTTCGTTGAGCGCTTTCCGTATACTAGATAGGGAAGTACAAAAGAGAACCGAGGCCTTTTCTTTTTTTTTCTTTTTTTCATTCTCTTTTCTAGGTAGGAGCGTAGTCATAAAATTTCTCCGAGTGCAGGGATAATGATAGGTTGGCCGACACTGGCGACACTAGTATGAGAATACTAGGTAGATAGAGGTTATCTTAGCTCTTAGACCCTTCGGCTGAGTTGCCTTAAGTGGGTAGACTTTGAATTTTGTGATTGGCCGGGCCTTTAGCTCACAGCCTAGCCAATTAGGGCGTAGCCTCGATATCGGGTCCAAGAACTAAGACAAAGATCAATGCTTCATTGCTTGGCATTAAACGTAATTTGGTCAATGGACGACCTGTATTCAAAAAATACGGTCGATAAGCCTCTAACGTAAATTACTACTTTAGTTACACGCTTTTCAGTTATCCTAGGGCATACTAACTTGACCTCATCTTTATGTGGTTTCTTCCATGCTTGAGCGTATACCCTCAACATCGATCCCGGTCGCCGTCGTCTTAGAATGCGAAGAATGTCGACTTTTTAATTAATGGATCAGCGGTTTTCTGAGCCCCTCGCCCTTACTATGGCCGTTGTTTCCTTTCTACGCCGAAGTGACCACTAGAATGCGTGGCTCAGCATCCTCCGGGTTCGGCTATTCTAGAGTCCGCGAACATTGTATAAACCGGGATGGAATGTGTGGAGTCATTATGTCCACGAGATATATATCCTCTTCGTGTTCCGCTCCCGCCGTTGATGCGCCTACTCTCTATCAATCTAGTCGATTTGCCAGCGATCTGTCGACATGTTCAATATTGATGAGATCGACGAAGTGTTTCGTAGATTAACTCGCAGGTTAGGTGGATTGAGTACACCGATTATTCGGGGCATTACTTGGTCCATTAAACGGGCCACCCACGAGATTAGGCGTAGCCATTGGCGAGCACATTTGGAGGATGAACTTAATGATGGGGCGGTAGAAGAAGCCAACGGTAAAGTTAAATGGTCGACAATCGCAGACGATAACTCTTTGCTAAGATAAGAGGCGTTCTCAATGAGGACTACGGGCAAGAGTTCCTACTGCAGGTTCTCATAAGTAACTAAGATTGTCATAGGTTCTAGCACAGCACCTAGAAATATAAGAGCAGGTCTCAATTCCACTCTGTACATCATCACGAATGATAGATTGTGTAAGATGAGGTTCATGTACTAAAGGCTAGACCAGTGCATGGAGCTGATTCACGAGAGCACCACGTACGAGATTAGAGACGTATTTACGCAGTCAGCTGTAACGGTATACTCGTCGATGAGCTTACTTACTTATGGAGGAGAGCAGGCTCGAGTCCATGGACGCGCTTACATACAAGGACTGGAACATGGAGAAGCCCGTGATTGGTCTGTCAGACTGGACTTTGAGGAAGCGCGCGAGGAACTACTTAATTGATGCCGCGACCAGCCACTCGATTATGATCCTGCATTATGGAGGGCCCCATCTCGATCCTGAAAATGGACGAGTACACAGACAACAATTTACATGAGCTGCTAACCAGGGCCTGGTATGAGTTCAGGAACTCGCATGGCAGCCGCAATACAGGCATCAACCAGTACAGATGGCTGCCACGATCACGATCACGGACCCTCATCTTTATCATGTGTAAAATAAGACCCTGGTATCAGAGCTGCGAGCTGCTCTTTTCAACTTGATCCAGATACTATTAGCTCTTCAGTCTCGTATAGTCGGTTGCCCCGTTATGAGGAGGATGGTTAGGTAGAACAAATATGTATATAACAGTAGGTATGCTGGATGCTTAGGACGTAGCTTAAGGCTTGCCCAGGCTGGTCTGAATAGTGTCCTTGAGAGCGTACTACGTGCGAGAGGAGATGCTCATGTATTCACGGTACAAACATTCGTAGACATCGGTGAGCAAACGGTGAGCAGGGACATACTTTGAAGTCACACGAAGAAGAAGAAGGAGAAGGAGAAGAGCGATGGCCTCTGATATTGAAACGAATGAGCGAGCGCGCCAATTGAGTGATCTCATCGAAGCCTAGCCACCGCCATTGCTATTTCGAGTGTTGCTTTCTACAACCCAAAAAACGTGATATCTCAAATTCCCCCCCCCTGGCCCATCTCTACTTAGATGGGTCATTTTATCGACATTTTCCTTCCCCTCCCCCCCACAAAAAACCCGACCCAGGCAGGCAAACTTGCCCTTCAGCGTACGGTCTCAACGGCGGCCGCCATTGCCTTCTCGCCTCCCATCGCAAAGGTATTTGTGTCGACCTTGGTCACTTGTTCGTCGAGGTCGCGCTTCTGATCCTCGGACATGTGTGTGATGTCGAGGGCGACCTCTTCACCGAACAGCGCCGCGATCTCCTCGAGAGACAGCTGCTTGGTCTCGGGGAAATAGAGCCAGATGACTGGCAGTCCGCAGGCGGGCACGAGGATGAAGATAAGGTAGTATTTCCAGCCGATAGTGGCGAATGCGGTTGGTGCGAGTTGGCCGAAGACTGCGGGATTTTGTTAGTGTGAGGTCGGGATAGAGAGACCGGGGATTAAATTGAGACTTACGCAGAGCTGGAGCAAAGTAACCGATGATAGATACTGCCATCCCGGTGGTGCGCATGTATGCCGGGAAGATCTCGGAACAGTAGACATAGCTAGTCGAGTCCAAGCAGAAGCCATAGAACGTCGTGTATAGGTAGACGAAGAAGACGCCGAAGCCGCACCCGACCCGGTTAGAGGTGCCGGCGTAACGGGCGACCATGATTGTGTACAGTGTCAAAGCAAAGACCGAGCCAGTCTGAACAGAAAAGAAGTTAGTAGGTATATTGGCAGTAGTGGGAAGGATGGGCTGAACCCACCAGACCGACGAGGAGCAGGCGCTTCCGGCCAAAGTGATCCAGCATCAAGGCGTTAGTAAAGTTGCCCACAGCTGACCATGTGTTGTAGACAGCGAGGAGGCAGATCGCGAGCCATCCGGTGATTCCGAGGTTGTTGTAAAGGATTACCTGGTAAGTGACTGTGACAAGGACACCAGAGCACTGAAGAAGGAATCTGTCGAGTTGGTCAGTAATGAAGTTTCGAAAGGGCGAGTATAGCATTGCTCACTGGGTAAGGAAACCAATGATCATGCGCTTTCGCATGGGAGGCTGGCGGATCGAGGCGAGAATGGTGGTCCGATTGCGGGCTTCGAGCTCAATCTGCTGGCGGATTTGAAGATATTCCTCCCGAGCAAGCGTGTTGCTTTCGTCCCCAGGCACTTTGTGGAATTTTTCTAAGACTCGCAGGGCTGGCTCATAGTACTCTCGAGTAATCAGCCAACGTGGCGATTCCGGGAGCCAGAAGATGGCGGGAGCGAGTATGAGTGGCGAGAGGCCTGCGACAACGGTTAGCATTCGCTTGAGTTCGAGGTGTTGCTGGAGCTGCTTACCACTCAATGCAAGGGCAAGACGCCATTGGACTTGGGGGTTGCTGGCAAAGGAGCATCCCAGACCTCCCCATGTTGCGACCGACTAAAATGACACGTCAGCTGATTTTGAGCGGTTGTAGAGCAAAGCCATATGTACCGCTCCAACGACAAGCAAGAATCCATGTTGTCCGACCATGTGGCCACGTCTGTGAGCCGGGCTGATCTCGCTCTGGTATATCGGGACAATGGTTTGGAAGCCGCCAGAACTGTATACAGATCAACCACGCTGAACGAGATAACCTAGGGTATTTGGTTACGAACCAAATTCCAGACAGTGCTCGGCCGATGAGAATCATTGAGACATGGACGGCAGATCCTAAGAGAACGCCACCGAGGACGCCGATGACCGATGTCGCGAACAAGGCACGGCGTCGTCCGAACCTCTCACAAGCCCACGCACCGAGGACTGCGCCCACAATACCTCCGCCAAAGTAACAGCCAGGGATAGCTAGAACCAGCTCATCAGAAGCGTCCCAGACATTGGTGTAGCGAGTCTACTCACCGCCGATGACACCGGTAGTGGACGTAATGTCAAGATTGAAGTAGTGATAGAAGGAGGGCATGCCCAGCACGGGACCCGTGACGTTCACAGTGAATCCATACGTGAAAGAGCCAAGGGCCACGGTCAGAACAACAAGGAAGTTGTACGGGTTGACTTTTCGTCCCGCCATGATGTGAACACAAGTAGCCTCAGAAATGGGTTTCGAGATGAGAGAGACAGGGCGGGATCGAGAGAGAAATACTCGTGGCAGAGCAGGGTTCCACCCCATGTATACAAGGGGCGGCCGCGCAATGAACGAAAGAGATATAATTGCGGGGCCCCAGAATCCAGACCCATGGCACGAGGTTTGCTACCGAGGACAGCCCTTTGATTGGGTAAACACACGCCGAATCGGTCAACTCCTCGGAATCGGCCATCGCTAAATTCTCCATGAGGATCGAGGTATCTTGCGGACCTCCTTTGCACACCAGCCTCCGGTCCGTTTTCTGGGGTATCCTGGAGCTGCCTGTCCGGGGCAAATGTCCTGCTCTCGACATACTGCGTCTACTAGCTACCTGGTCTACATCCAACAAACACGAAAGCCGAATTGATATTGTTAGCCATGCCGAGCTTGTGCTGTCGTTCCTCTCGGAGGTGCTCAAGCAACATAATGTACATCGGGTACTTGTCAGACCTCAGGGTCCGGTGGGCAGATCCCGATTGATTTTGGGATATTACTTGCACAATGTCTCCTTTCCCCTGATCGCGTAACACGCTCTGCATTCGCTCCACTCCTGCCCACCTAGTTTGAACTCGACTTGACACTCACGATGACTGACAACAAGATCTCTTCCGTCAACGAGGAGCATGCAGAATCAATCGGTGAGGTGAAGAAGGGCGTGATTGATTCCATGCTGATCGACACCGAGCGCTCTCCGGAAGCTCGTGGTCGATTAGTCGACGACGTGCCCCGAAGTTACTGGGTCAGTGGGCGATTCTTGGGCAGTTACGTCGCCGTGATCCTGGCCAGCAATGCTGGCATTGGCGGCTTTAGCCTTGCAGCACCGGTCCTTAGTGCAGTCAACAACGAGCTGGGCCCTAGCCCAAATATCAGCTGGATCGGATTGAGCTGGTTGTTGTGTCAGGGCATCGGCGCCCTCATCGTCGGCCGGCTCTCTGACATCTTCGGCCGCCGCTGGATGTTCATCACGGGCTCCATCATCGGTCTCATCGGTAGCATCTTCGCGAGTCAGTGCTAGACCGTCGAACAGCTCATCGGGGCCACAACTATCTTAGGCATCGCTGGCGGTATTCAAGTCAATTTCTGGTGGGTGACCAGCGAGATCGTGCCCATGAAGTACAGATACGTCGCGGTGGCAGGTTGTTTCGCGCTGGCCCCATACAACCACTTGGGATCGAAGATTGCATACTCCCTTCTCACCCAAACCGGCCCCGGCTGGAGGTCGATCTATTACCTGCTCATCGCCACGAATGCGGCGTCGGTCGCGGCGTGGTATTCATTTTATCATCCACCTACCTTCAAAATGCTTCATCGTCACAAGGCCGCCAAAGATTTGCTCACAACCTTCGACTGGCTTGGTCTCGTTCTCTACATCGGATCCACCATTACCTTCCTCATGGGACTTCAATGGGGAGGCGCTCTGTATCCCTGGAAGAGTGCCCATGTGATTGGGGCCTTGCTGGCTGGGGCAGCGGGACTAGCAATCTTCATCGGCTGGGAGATCTACCTGCCCAGGATGTCTCAGAACATCATCCCGTTCGTGACGTTGTACTACCTCCGGAACTTCAATTGGCTGTGTAGCACGATTTTGTCCGGCGTCGGTGGTTCCGCGTACTACGGCTTTAGCACCATCTGGCCCTCTGCGGTGAGTACCATCTACTCAGTCCCAAGTCACTCCCAATACAGCACTCTCCTCTGCCTGGTCACCATGTCCTACACTTACGGACAGGCCACCGTCACGCTCGCCACCCACTGGACCGGACCAAAGCCCCTCCTCATCACTTGCATGATGATCTCCGGGCCCATCCTGGCGGCGGTTGCTTACAATCCTCTCAACATGAGCCTCACTATGGGCCTGATCATCGTAGGGTGCATCTTCATCGGGGGAATGAAAGGCATCGCCCTGGTCACCACTACGTTCCCCCTCCGGACCCAGGAAGAGATCGGCTCCGCTGGTGGTCTCAGCGGCACCATCCGCCTGTTCTTCTCCTGCGTCTCCCTGGCCATCTACGGCACCACTTTGACCAACCGCCTGGCCACGACCATCCCCGCGAACATCCTCCCGGCCATGGCAGACGCCGGGCTCCCGTCGTCCTCTATCCCCGCTCTGCTTTCAGGCCTCTCGGGCGCGACTGCTCTCAACGAGACTACAGTGGCGGGATTGAATCCACATATCCTGTCCATCGCGCAGACCGCCTACAGGGTTGCCAATGCTCAGGCCTACCGGACCGTCTTCCTCGTCTCGCTGGCGTTCACGGGGCCCGGCATGATCCTCGTCTGGTTCACGTCGCAGAACGACCGGGCCAAGGAAGACTTGATCGCCGGCCATATACACAAGCGTGGGGAAGAGAGGGCCTTGGAGACTCAGGCGGACTAAGGGTCCGGCCTGGACGTGAAATTGGTTGGCAGGTGGTCTCAGGCGGCCCAGTGACGATGTCTGCGTGTGCCTGATGCTTGTTCCCCAATCTCAAAAGCACGTGCAAATCCGGGTCAAGAACACGATGTTGGAAATGTAGCTGAAATGAGAGCGGTCTATCTGGACGAGAAAAATGATCACGAGAAAGGGACAGCGCATTTGCCTAGGGTTGGAAAGCATTGGTCACGCAAGGGGAGGGGGAAGGGGGTGTTTTCTCTCCAACACTTGCTTAACAGTAGACTATATACCATAGCAGTGCTGAGAGGCTGAAGTTGTTCCAATTTTGTTGGGGCCTCTGATATCTGCCTCGCTGATGGTAATGTGAGCCCCAACTTATCTCAGGTTTGAGTGATTGATTCGGTCGATTCCGATGTGGAAAACCTACCATCGTCACCACGAGCCGCCTTCATCAATAGACATAGCGAAATTGTGGATTCTGGGGGGTAAAATATCAGTAACTTGTTCTTCGGTTGCCCAGATATAAGGTCAGAACCTACCTTTTTGTCCGTCAGGTCATCTTCGTAAGCATGCTCGAATCCCTCCAAAGATCCTGTCCTGTCCCGCCGCCTGTTTTCCTAGATGCACAAGAATCGATAGACTATGGTCAAGCAGGCGGCGAGACTGGACGTCACCACGACCACGACCCAGGCCGGGACGTATCTCGGTGCGTCTTTGGACTTGAACAGGATCGGCCCGATCACGTTTCCGAGGCAGTAGCCGATGAACATGGCGGCCGAGACGAAGGAGCGCTTGGTGTAGCCCGCCGTGTTGGCGATCGACAGCGTCATGGAGAGGACGTAGCTCCCGGCGAAGGAGCCCAAGAAGTAGACACCGACGAGGAGGCCGCCGAGTTGGGACCGGGGCAGAATCCAGAGCAAGAGGGATGACATCACGGTCAGGCACTGACAGGACGATGAGGTAGGTTCGAATGTTTGGGATTTTGTACGCCAAGTAAGGTGCGCCAAGTTCGATGCTCCCGATTATAAAGCCGAATGGCATGAGAAGGAGGAGGGAGTTGAGTGAGCTGAATCCAAAACCGGCCACGATGATGGCCTGATAAGTCGACTGGGGCCCGTTCGCTATCATCATGAGAAACGCCATAGCGAAAATTAGCCAGAACTTGGCGTCGAGGAGGCCCTCCAGGACCTGGCCGGGTTTGAAGTGGACGTTGCGCACGCCAGTGTTGTTGGATCGGACGCGGGCCACGGCGATGTATCGTTCGCGTTCAGTAAACCCTTTGGCGGTTATGGGATCTCCAGGCAATTTATAAAAAATGACGAACGACCAGAGAACTGTCAGGGCGCCCGCGAAAAGAAACATGTATTGCCACGGTGCCAAAGTGCCACCGGTGATGTGTCCAAGGCCGTAATTAACCAGCGGGGAGAAAATGGAGATGTACCCTTTTGGCACACAAGGGCGTGAGGATTTACAGACGTCAACCGAGAGGTAACAAACTTACCGGTGCAGCAGTACCATATCCCCATCCTGAAAGCCTGCTCATTCTTCTTATACCAACTACCCACAACGAGCATGAATATAGGCGCGATGCCGGCCTCGAGGAAACCGAGAAAGAACCGCTGAACGTAGATGCCTTGGAACGTCTTGCACGCGGCGGCGCACATCAACACGGCACCCCAGATACACAGAATGATGCCGGCCACGTGCTGGATGCGGAAGCGCTGGGACAGGACCACAGCGGGGTAGGCACCGCAAATGAAGCCCAGATAGAAGATCGAGGCCGAGAAGGAGTAACGATTGCCGACGGTCAGATTGAGGTCGTCTCTCATGCCAAAGATCGCCTTTTTGATACGGATACGACGGTTAGTTTGAAGGCAGGCCGCTAGGGAAAGGGGCGTCATACAGCCTGTGAAACATTGCCTTGTCATAATACTGAAAGCCGTAGGACAGGCACAAGAATATCAGCAGTCGTCGGTCGATCTTCCTCACCAGTTGGTTCTCTTCTTCAGCGGTCCATTCTTCACCTCCGCTGTACGAAACGATCACCTTAACGGCCTCATCGCCGTGAACCTCGTCCAGAACGATGGGCTTCTGGATCTCTTGATCGTGGTCGACTGCGCCGCCATAGCGTTCCTCGAGATGAATAGCCACCGAGTTGATGGCTTTGTTGGGCTCCATGTTGTGCATATTCTGCACAAATGGTGCCGAAGGGGATTGCATAAAGCTTAATGCTGACGACCAACGCGTAAACAGTGTACTATAAGAAGTATTTATCTCCAATAAAATGAATAGTAATAAAATTAATGGCCCGGGGGACCCCAGAATCTCGGACGAGTTGTTGCGGGGTTGCGGGCGCCGAGAGTGTCTCGAAATGATCCGACTCTCAGTTCGGGATGGTGTTGATTGGTCGTGCTGGCCGTCGGCGCGCATCTCAGGCCAGTTAACCAAGTTACGGGTTATGTCAAAAAGGGGGAAGCGAGCCGAGTTGAGTATAGGCGTCGGTCGATACTCAGCCCCAGGATTCTGTGTTCCTGACCGCTCAAGTGCAGAGGCCTGGGGTCCAAAATCCTTGCCTGTGTATTTGTGGCTATTTGATCCAGAAACCTCCAATCAGCCATCACCTGCGGGGTATCCTGGAGATGCCTATCTCGAGCGATTACTCCTTTGCTTCATGTCGTTGATGGGAGTATACAAGGGACTCAACATCGCTAACGAGGTCAATAACCTTATGATCTGAGACGTCAGATGGCTTTCTAAGCAGTGTAAGGTGAACAGGACTCACCGGCAAAGGGGACAATTTGGGTCCCTACAAAGCCTCCCACGCCTTTATGTCTGTCTGCCCACCAATAGCAATTTGCCATTCCCGCCCAACTAGCTGAGAAGGGGCCGCGTCCTTGAGGCGTTGGTTCCAAGGTCAGCATGAAGCTGAGGCCCCAGCCTTGGGGCTGGTGATGAGGTTGGCTGGGATATAGTTCTGGAATGGGGTTTGTGTCCTCCCGGAGCGCAGAAGGAATGCCCTTGCGCGCAAAATCGGGGAATTGAGGTATCTGGTTCAGGAACATTATGTCTACCGTGGAGCTCCGAAGGATACGCGCATTTGTTGTAGGAGAGAGCCCACCGTTGAGCAGCGTGGCAATGATTTCTGTCATCGAAATCACATTAGTCGGAAAAGACTGTAGCAGGAGGTTGATTATACCGCAATATTCAACGGGTCGAGCAAATATCCCTCCAGCAGCATTTTGAAATGCTGAACTTTTATCGTCTTCATTGGCAATGTCAAGAATGGACTGCATGAAGTGACGGCCCTCTTTGAGACTTCCGTCCGCTGGAGAGCGGTGATTCATCTTAGTCAGCTTCTTCTGCATGACTTCGTTTGGAAACAGAGTTGCATTTCCGAGGCCCAAAGGTTCAAAGATATTGTTGCGTAAGTAGTCTTCCATTCTTTGGCCACTGGCAAGCTCTACCATGAGGGATACCCATTCATTGTTGAATTGGACAGCGTTAGCCTCTCTGACGATATCCGAATCCAAGAACGCCGGGACCGTACGCCATAATGCCAATCCTCTCCTGGCTCAGCAATAAGTGGCTGGTCGAAGTCCACAAAGTTCCTGGAGTGAGAGAGAATCCAGTCCCAGAGGGGGGGACAGTATGGCGCGTAGTTGAAGCCGGCTAAACGGGTTAGTAGAACCAATGGAAGGGAACCAGGCGTCGCGAACCTGTATGAGCAAGGAGCATCCGAAGTGTGATTCTGTTATTCTTGCTAACAAACCCAAGTTCACCGTTGGAATCTTGCTTGAGAATCTGGACCGCCTTCAGCCTGGGACACAGTAGTTCAACCTGATCCGGATCATCCAGGTTGAGCAGACCACGTTCGACAAGCTGCATACAAGCTATGCTTAGGATCAACTTGGAGCACGATGCCAGCCAAAAGATCGTGTCCAACTCCATAGGTTCGGGACTCTGCGAACCTATCTTCCCTTGTGCTTCTGAGAAGATCAATTTTCCAGAATTGTTGACCACGCAGACCACGGCTCCAGGAATACTCTTGACGGGGTCAGCGACAGCATCAACGAGTCTCTTGTGTAGTGCTGTTGCCCCGTCATCGGAGAGTTGATAGTCGAGGGTGCTCATTTCTCTCTGCAATTGAAGCCCTCGGAAACGGGTAAATATATCTTCTATAGAACACTCCGCAGTGTCGAACTGAAGAGACTGGCCACATCGCGCGGGGTATTTTCGCTCATATGGAATATGTTTGGGCTACAGCTTTCGGCATACCTTGCCCCATCCAAGTAGTGTAAAAAGGACTAGGTGGTCGGTCAAGTCTGCGGTAGTGTCCTCGGTAGCTTCGGGTGTCTACTTTGCAGGCCTAGCCCAAACGTTCTTATCCTTGTGGCCACACTCCTTTCATTCACCAAGTCACGCATGTATGAATATTGAAGTGCTCTATTCCTACGCCTTCTGAGCAGAAATGTGTTTCAGGAACTCTCTCCACGCGGGCCTTCGAGCCATCACATAAACTGAAACTTCTCCTCCAATATGATCTCGCCATACATGATGAGCGGCGAAAGATTGCTGAACGAATCGATATCCGCCATCAACTTCTCACTCGTCGCCTTGAATGCCACGTTGAAAGCCTCCAGAGAATCCCAATCGAGGGCGACTTGAAGGAGGTACTGTTTATCGGCACCTGGTTTTATCGGTGACCCGTGTAGTTGCACCGCACGGACACCTGGAATCCATCGAGAGGCCATGTCAATCTCTCTGATCGTGCGGGTGGGGGGTGTCTTCGACAAAATGGTGCTTACCTCTGAGACCGAACGGACCCATCTCTTTGATCACTTTTGGTGCATGCCCGGTAAGATACTTTTGTACGTCCACCCTGCCGTCCAGCACGTTTGCGTAGAGAACCGTCACGGTGATGGCCATCACTTCAAAGGATGCTGGAAAGTCTTTGGTGAGGGCAAGAAGTGGTGAGTTCGGCTGCTATGGAAAGAAGTCTTATACCAGAGAAATCGAAATCGGGGGCTTCGTATAAATTCTGGCACTGGAACACCGAACGATCTCGGCCACAGCCGGTTCGGACACCGATTCAGGGGAAAAGCCAATGTTGAGCCGCGCTGGCTTCGAGGAGAATTCTGCACAAAAAGTCTCCTGTAATGAGATGCACCATTTACACGCTAAAAGGTACTAACAACTGATCTGAGAAGCCAGGAAAGTAAATGAGGCCATCGATGCCCGCAGTCTTCAAAATGTCATGATTCTTGAATCATATTCTGGTTATAAGGTACCTATTTCTGGAACTCTGGATCGAATCTGCAGTCACTCAAGTGCAGCCATACTGAAGTGCAATCCAAATTCTGCCACAGGTTAGCCATTAGTTCCAACTGGCAAGAAACCGGAACAATCGAGTCCACAATTGTTGAGAACGCGGCCACTTACTTTGCAACGCGGGTCCTTGTCTGCTGCTTCAAATATTTTCAGCGAAGTCTCCCCCATTTGAGCCGGTGTGTCGCCTAATTTCGCCAAGTCGACACCCAGAGCCATGTCTTTTATGATCATGGGAATGAGAAACGAGACTTCGTACTTGTTGCTCGCAGGACCCGGAACGATGCCAGGAACAGGCTGAGCGTACTCGAGTGCCCATGACGCCCCACTCGAGTTCCGCATGCACTCGAACAACACTTTCCTGTCCACACCATTTGCCATTCCCATGGCGAAAGCCTCTGCCAGAATAACCATGTTATTACAGGCGGCATAGTTATTGGCGATTTTGGCCGCCAAGCCGGTGGAGAACGTTCCGCAGAAGGTGATGCGGTCCTCATGAGCCATTGTTTTGACAATATTATAGATCCTCTGTGCCACGGGATCCGAGTCCGGGTTTCCAGGATGTCCAATCATGAACGCAAGGGTGCCCTCTCCAGCTCGTTTAATACCACCCTTTGGCTTAGTCAGGCTCTAATTTCTGGATCGAAAGGTTCAATAATTCACCGGATGCAGGAGGAAATTCGCTTGTAAGGGGAAACAAAACCGCTTACTGATATAGGAGCATCAACGTATGTGCCGATTCTAGCCTCAGAAAGTTCGCGTTCGACGTCTCGAGTGGTGGTCAGGTCTATGGTGCTGCACTCAAGCATAATCCTGTCCGGGTCTTTGGGCGCCAGAATGATTCCCGTCTGATCGTCAAGGTATAGGGACCGCACATGAGGTGAAGCCGTGACGACGGAAATGAGAACCTTTGCCTGAGTCGCTGCTTCTTTGGCAGACTTGACGATATGAACTGGGCCGAAATTTGCGTGTTCCTCGGCGAACATTTTGCATGTTTCCAAGTTCAGGTCGTTGATGTATAGCGGCGTCTCCTTGGGCGTCTTCTTGCGTAAATTCGAGGCCATTCGGTAGCCCATCCTCCCCAACCCTGGCCCGTCTCCCATTTAACCTCAATACGAGACTCGAGGGGGATGATAGACTTACCCACGAACGCAATACTTTTTTCAGGTGCCATGTCTGTCAGTTTGGTGCACACAGAAATTGAGTATCTGTATGCTTTGATTAGTCTCTGGATCTGGAGCTCTTGATAAGATGTTACGTCTATCAAAGATCCTGTTAACCTAGCATAAGGCGATCAAATAAGGGAGTCAACGTTGGATCGAAGACGTGGTGCTCGGGGGGACTAGCGGGTCTTCAATCAAGCGCGTCGGCCTGAAGCTCATTGGAGGGAAGGCTCAGGCGCCAACCAACTCCGTCGAGATATGGCCGACATACTCCACGGTGGCCATAGCCTAAAATTGAAGTATACATCTCCAAGTGACCGAGCGTGAAATCTACCCCGAGGGGAACAAGGAGTATCCCCTCCGCTCGGCGGACTGTAGTGAAATGCATTGAACGTCCGGCTGGAGACAGCTTAGCCTCACCAGCGTGCGACACATGCATGTCATGCCGTGCATTTCTTGAATAGACATAACGTCTATATTTGCCCGGTAATTTTGTTTCTCCTGGGGTCTAGTTTAAAAGACAATCTTCGATATTGTCCAGTCCTCGGGTGGGCTATATTGAACCTCACCTGGCCATCCTCGTTACCTTTTACCGTCGCAAGGATGACGGACAATATAGGATTCATTGGCATGTCCCCCTTAACGGAGCCCAGTCTCATCTGGACCTATGATAACGGATGATAGGCCTGGGCGCCATGGGCTTTCACATGGCAGGACACATCCGCAAGAAGATGGATCCAGCTTCGACCCTCTTCATCAACGATATTTCTCTGGCGTCATGCAAGCGCTTTGTAGAGTTATTCAGCCAATTCGGACCCGTCGAAGTGATGGAGACTGCCAGAGATCTTGCCAACCAGAGCAAGGTGATTCTGTCCATCGTCCCGCAAGGAGCCAACGTTCGAGCGGTCTACTTAGAAGGCTCTGGTGCCATAGTAAAAGCCAATAAAGGGGACCGCTTGATCCTTGAATGTAGCACAATCGATATGAACACGACAAGGGATATCGGTCGTCAAATTACTGGTGCAGACATTGGGACTTACGTCGACACTCCAGTCTCAGTAAGTCTCTACAGAAAAGGTCTCTTTCCCGTTGCTGACCGGCGACCAACTCGAACAGGGAGGAGTGGTAGGCGCTCAGAGTGGTACCCTCGCATTTCTCGTGGGTCATAAGGACAACAGTGTCGACCCTGTTTCGCGGAAGATTCTTGAGATTGTGACGATGATGGGCCCTCCTGCAAAGGTTTCGTTCTGCGGGAACCTTGGTAATGGGTTGGCGGCCAAAATCACCAACAATTATATTGCCTGCTCGGTGCTTCTTGCTACTGCAGAGGCCATGGCGGTGGGGATCCGGGCAGGCGTCGACAAGAAGGTCCTCTACGACTGTATCCGCAATTCCACAGGCCAGTCTTGGGTGCTGGAAAATATGCTACCAGTTCCGGGGATTGTGCCTCACGCTCCGAGCAGCAATGGCTACCATCCAACTTTCAGACCGCGAATGATCATCAAAGACATCAGCCTCGCCATAGAAGCGGCGGAGCAGACAGGAATCGAAGAAACTGTTGCAAAAGCGGCATTGGATGTTTTCAAAAAGTCGGCTGAGGACCCTCGCTGCGCTGTAAGTATTTCGGCTCCTTTCGGCCGCCGCTTTACCGGTGCTGATCACTTTGTTGATAAAGGACCGAGACTGTACGTCGGTGTGGCTTATGATTATGGATCAGAAGGGAGAGGGTTCTGGCAATTAGTGGAAACATTGGGGGTTCATGCAAATCTGCGTTCTCACAAAGATGCTGGACGATAAAATGCACTTTTGTACTACCATCAATAGGTGTAGGTATTCACAGTGTGCAGTGCAAGTCCACAACAGCCCACGAGCTTCTTTACTTAGATCTACCCAGGCTCGAGACTCTCCTTTTACCAAGCATGCGATTGGAGTCTTCGTACATCCATGACTGTCTGGTTGTTCCTCCGCTACACCGGAACTAGAGTCTTGTACCGGCATCTGCAAGATATCAGTCTCTGACTTCCTCAACATGCACCAGGTGCACACCATCCTTATCCGTTTTTTAGTTCATAGCTGCCTCGAGCGCTTCAGTAATATAGTGTGACTTGGAGAAGCGTCTACGAATTGCTTCCTGTTGTGGGTCGGACAAGACGATATCATCCCCGAATTTTTCAGCAATTTCCTCAAGTGCCATTCCCTTTGTCGGGTAGGGTTGTCAGCTCTCGTAGTGCGGTAATGATTATTCTAATCTCACCCCTGGGAACACAAATTATATGACTATGCCAGTGACAAAGACACCGAGATGAAGACTAGATAGAATTCACAGCCCACGTGTTCGAAAGCAGTTGGCGCAGTGGAGATATAAATCAAAGATAATAGGAAGGTGCCACTAACTCCTATGCTGAACCCACGAGCTCAGACTGGATTTGGGAAGCTTTCTGCCGCATAGATATAAGTAGTGGCATCGATATGTGCGGAGGAAAAAGGCAGGAAAAAGAAGATGAAGAACACAGCGGCCTTGCCAGCTGCTTCGGAGCCATTTTTCTGAAAGACCGACACGGAGAGGCACTCCCCGATCAGTGCCACAACGCATCCAGTCAGGCCAATCACTAAACATAGCGTCAGCCAGGTAGGTTATGGGAATCATTTCTACTCACGCATCATCGGAATCCGGCCAACCTTGTCAACAGCCCAGCCATTGAAGAAGTTCCCCGGCGGACCCATGCACAGCAGCAGGCATTCAGCAGCAGCTGTACGGCCGCAGGTAAGTCGATGTTCTCAACAGTTGCTCCTGGAGTAGAAACGGGAAAATGCACTATTAACGACCAAAGTTCCGGTGCCTTGAGCCGCGCACATCACCAGGAAGGCGACGAAGCACCTCTTTCATAATTTAAGCCTCTTGAAGAAGTCGAGCAGTGGTACTGGATTTCCCATCTCCTCAGCCACCTGCAAATGAAGCAAGCGGAACTCTTCTTGAATCGCTTCTTGGTCTGTTTGATCCACAGATTCGGTTCTGCAGGACTGGAAGGCTTTGAAAGCCTCCTCTTAACGATCTTGCATGAGAACTGTCATCCAAATTCAGCAGGTGTGCAATTCGCACCAACGTTTGCAACTTACGCCGTCAAGGTGACTCGGGAACGAAAACGACTCCGGTGGAGAGAAGGATAGGGGTGAATGTTTGGATTGCAGGAGGCAGCCTCCACTGGGCAGCATTTGCGTCCACGAAATAGAACCCAAACCCAGTAAAGCTGGCGTGGATATATCCCATACCAAGGATAGCACCATGCATCGCGACCAGAAAGCCTCAGATCTTTGGTGGAGCAATTTCGCTTTGGTAAAGAGGCACCAGGATCACAAGAATGCCTAGACAACTGCGTCAGCCCATGTGTATACTATCACAGGGGTAGTTCTTCTGCTATTGCATCTGCCACTCACCCACGGCAACTCCGGTGAGCTATCTGGCCACTATGAACATGGCAATATGCACTTTCCCAGCTTGAAGCCCCCTGCCGACTATGGCCAGTCGGGCACCCTACAGAATGGCATTCTTCCTTCCCAAAGTGTCAGCTAAGCAACAGCAGATCATGTATCCAAGAACGCCTCCCACCGAGAACAAGCCATTGATCGCCCCATGCAGAGCAGCCGCGTTGGAGGGGGTGTCGAGGCCTAGATAGTGAAGAAAGGTTGGTAGGCCCAGCGTTGTGGCAATGATCGCGGAACAAATCCATAGGCCCAGCTCCCAAGAGCCACGAAGCAGACAATCTGGCCTCAAGTCAACAATTGTAAGAGGGTGAGCTATAGAGGGAGCTCGAGGGGCGAACGGGGCATCTGAGTTCCTAGGCGGCGCCGAGGTTGCCTCGGGCAGCTTTCCAGCAAATCGGCAGGCTCCAGGCGCTTGCCATCGTTCTTGGTGTTCGGGCTGAATTGGCGACCTATGGACAATTGATAACAACAAGGTTGATAAATACGCTTTCTCTGTATTGAATCCATGAAAGTTACCTTCTTTCACAGCCAGGAACTCGACAAACTACCACAATGGCCCAAAGTCCAGACCCCCATAGCCAATTCATCACTCATCCTACCGGACAGACGACACATATCATAGTCGACGATTTTACCGATCCATGGAAACCTTCCGAGACTATCTTGATTCAAAGTGGCTTTGCTCGGCATGCTGCATTCTGGTATCACTGGGTGCCTGCCCTCAGCCGCCGTTACCGGGTTGTCCGACGGGACCTTAGAGGCCATGGTCGCTCCAGCTGTCCTGATCCAGGATCTGGGTACGATTATTCGCTCGACACCATTCTAGGAGAGATCCTTGATACGCTGGATCAGCTGAATATCCCAAAAGTCCACTTTCTGGGTGAATCGACGGCAGGAATGATAGCGGTAGCTTTTGCAGCCAAACATCCTGACCGATTACTGAGCTTGACTACTTGCGCGACTCCGACTCATCTTCCAATGTCGGCGCAAAAAGAGTGGGCTCTGGGATATAAAGACTGGGAGACTGCTTGTCGAACCTTGGGCTCTAAAGCATACTGTAGTGCCCTTTCGAAGATGCCAGGCGGAATCGGACAACCAGATCCGGAGTATACAAAGTGGTGGCTGGAACAGATAGGATTGAACAGCGGAGAAGGACTTGCGCAGTACGCAAAGTTCTTGAGTACACTCGAGATCCGATCATTCTACGAGGATATTACCAAGTCTCAATTGCCGGTGTTGATACTAGCGCCCACTCGAAGTCGGAACACGAACTTTCAGGATCAACAAAAGCAGAGAGACTTCCTGAAGGGATGCACGTTTGAGGCTGTGGACGGAGCCGGGCACGAAATCTTCGTCGACAAAGCCCAACAGTGCCAGGATGCTGTGCTCAAGTTTTTGGGGAACATTCGAGCGGAGGGCTTCAAGCATTGAGGATAAATATCGGATAGCATGGCAAGAGAACAAAAGAAGCATGCTTAAGTTGGCCCCTTGGCCGGTAATAGCTGTAAATATTCCTATGCGATCAGTCCTCCGTCAATGAGGTAGACTCCGCCGCTGATATAACTTGAATCGTCACTCAGTAGAAAGGCGAACAGCTTGGCGACCTCTTCTGGTTTGCCATTTCGACCCAGCGGAGCAGTTGAGAAGGCTCGGTCCCCTACCGCTTCGGTGTCAAATACACGTTGCAACATGGGAGTCTCAATTGAACCTCTGAATATTCATCCATAGTCAGCTCGAAAGACACGATATTGAGGAGCACATGGCAAACTTACGGCGCGACTGCGTTCACTCTGATGCCAGAAGGTCCAGCCTCCTTCGCTGCCGTTTTCGTCAGGCCAGCGACCCCGTGTTTGCTCACGGCGTATGCGCACATGCCTGGCCGACCGACCAGTCCCACGATGCTGGAAGCATTGACGATCGAAGACCCCGACTTCATAACCCTCAGCTGTGCTCGCACGCAGTACATGAGGCCAGTCAAGTTGATGGAAAGGATGAAATCCCATTCCTCGTTTGCTTGATTCACTAGACTGCCGCTCAAACCATGCTTGCCTTCAACGCCAGCGAGATTGGCGGCTCCGTCAAGCTGGCCGAAATGATTGATCGTAGCTTCCACCCAGGCATCCACCTCCTTGTCTGATGCCACGTTCACCCGGGTCCCGATAGCGTCAACGCCCGAGGACACCAATTCGTCGACCAGCTGTTTGAGCGGTTCTTCTTGGATATCTGCCAGTGCAAGCTTGGCCCCTCGAGAAGCCGCAAGATTTGCCAGTTGCAGCCCCATGCCTGAGGCAGCCCCGGTGATGGAGATGACCTTCCCCTCAAGCGATGCCATGTTGTTCGAAAGCACAGTCAAACGAAGGAGAGCAGTATGAGAAGACTCTCGGCCAGTCGACGTGTATTTTGAGAATACTTGCGACTCAAATCGCCAAAGGACACTGTGCACCGCATAGCCGAAGACCGAGGTTGTCTATGCATTCGCATATTGTGAAGTATATCTTCCTCCGTGCCAGAGACTGAGTCTAATCGGATCTAGTGCCGGCCAAGTTGGGATGAGCCAAGCGGAAAGCGGATCTAGCCAACTCGGCCACTGTCCTATTGGCTCTCAGCTTGAAGGTACCCACGCATCTTTTCTCCGGCCCCGGTCCCCTGATTTCCTTGGAAGACTGTAGCAACCATTTAAATTACTATCGAATACCAGACTCCCGTCCTGCTTGTCAAGATGCGGCAGTTGGTGGCTTTGGTAACGGGCGCCGCCAGCGGCATTGGGAAAGCGACGGCACGGAAATTGGCCAGCCGCGGCATCTCAGTGGTACTGGCAGATATGAATCAAGAGCTCGGAACAGCGACAGCGAAGGAACTCAGAGACAAATATAACGTAAAGACACAATTCCATCGCGTTGATGTGACGAAAGAACCAGAGGTCAAGGACCTGATTGAGGAGGCGGGCAAATTAAGCGGAAGGTTGGACTACGCTGCCAACTGTGCAGGCATTGCGGAGACGGTCGCCAACGAGGAAGAAAGCATCACAACTGCGTGGTTTGACAAGTATGCACCCGGTGTTGAGCTTTGAAGCTCTGAATATTGAGCCCGCTGACGTTATTGCCAGAGTCTACTCTGTCAACGCTCGAGGGGTATGGCTGTGCCAGAAATACCAGGCGCGACAGATGCGAAGCCAGACGCCCAGAGCTATCACATATGATCCACCAACTGAGCAGACAGTTCCTCCGCAAAGAGGAGCGATCGTCAATGTCATCTCAATCTCCGGGCTGGTCTCAGTGAGTTTCCACTATCCCATCGATTGCTTTCGACGATCTGGTCATAGGGCTATCATCCTTCTATCGGCTTGGGTGACACCCTTCTTCCTCGAGTCAAAATTGCTAACATCGATGACCACCATCAGATGGGATTCGCCGCGTACACTCCCAGCAAGTACGCCGCGATGGGAGTCACCAAGACCGGAGCCAAATTCTACGGCCCGGAGGGTATCCGCGTCAACGGCATCTGCCCAGGCTGGACCATCACGCCAATGACCAACCGTAGTTACGGAGACGGGGCCGTCGCTGGAACTGCCGAGTATGGCGAATCCACTGTCAACAAGAACATCACCTTGGGCCGTATGGCATTCGCCGAAGAGCAGGCAAATGTTATCAGCTTTCTTTTGAGTGACGAGAGTAGCTACATGAATGGTTCTTTATTGGTGGTCGACGGAGGATTCCACGATATAGTCTCGGCGTAAAAGCCCGACTGTTGCAGGTTTAACAAACGGAGATTTTAGGCCACCAAATAACACCATTCGTCAATGCTTGTCTCGTGAATTTGCATCAAATACAGTAATGTGTCTTCTATCAAGACTCTGATTTCCGTTGCGCTGACGCGAGACTGAACATCACGAATGTACTCTGAGTGCATGTAGTCAAAACAGGAATTTTCCAAGCAAAGCTCCGAGGATACAAGGTGCTATTGTGAACTGCTTCCGCTAGGTGAAGTACCATATTGAGATTTTTTTTCCTTAAATGTATGTCGTGTTACCGAATGCTCAGCTTACGGACAGCGCTGGGCTAGTTTTATAGGACTGAAAGTGAAGATTCGGGGGAATTTCATCTCGCTTGGGGCCGAGAGAAGGCCATTAAGCTGACTTGATACAAGCTAACATCCAACTGATGATCTTCTTGTCCGTCCTCCGGCGGACCTGGGGCTCAATCCACCTCGAGCCCATGGCAAAGATATGCAGCTGACCCCATTCCACGACCATCTCATGTCTCAGACCCGCCTCGCGACACAAATAGGACCAATCCCGGCCATCCTGCATCGCGAACTCTGCTCCACCCACAAGTATTAACTGCGGGCTTAGGCACTTGATCCCCTCCGCTGGCCGAAAAAGCGGGTTTACGTCAGGAGAGTCGCCTGGAAGGTCGCCCAGGAACATCTTGTACATCATCGGCACTGACTGGTTCGCCGTCACGACATAGTCCGTCGCGACCAGGGGGCTGCCGCCCTCATACTGCCTGAGTGAGCAGTCCAGCCACGGGGAGATCAGGACGGTCCCGGAAGGCTGGGGCAACCCGAGCCGGTCGAGTTCCAGACCAAGCATTATGGACAACGCCGCTGGAGTTTGTGCCAGTTAGTTTCAGAACTTGGTGCAAGTGGAGAAGAACAAAAAGTCTCTCACCGCCGGCTGAGTCACCCATGAGCAGGATTTGCATAGGAGAGATGCCCTCGTCCAGGAGGTATCGATAGGCGGCCAGACACTCGTCTCGCTGCCGCGGATGTGTCGCCTCTGTGCTCAACGCTGCAAATTTTCATTCATTCAGTCACTGTGGCGTTCTCCGGAGACAGGTGGTCAATGAATGGGCCAGCATCACTTACTGTATTCAACGGTGAGAAAGATCAAATCAAGCCCGGCCTTCGCGGCCTCTCTGATCCATCGTTCATAGTATCTCAAGTACTGCCTTGCTTCACCTCGCGCATACCCGCCTCCATGGACGTACAGCACTACAGCCTTTCGATCAGCAGCAGCAACACCACCAGCAAATTCAGCCAAGTCTCTGGAGCCGGGGACCAGATAGCCAGTCCAGCCTTTGCCCACCTCCCTTGCTTTGCTCTCGGGGCAATTTTGAACGGGGAGTCGATGTACGATGTCGGGCAGGTATATTGACGCCGAGGCCAGGTAAGCTCGTTGGAATTCTGTTCTCAACGACTGATAACGTGGGAAATGGGGGACGAGGACGCGCTTCAAGAGCGAGATGGTGGCCTCGGCCAAGAAAGTGTATGAGAAAAAAAAGAACTTGATAGGTTGGCGGACTATCAGAGAGATGAGATGGACCATTGTGAGCTTGATTGGGGGCTCAAGGTACATCTCCAGGTAGAAGAATTTAAACGCTTCAGATTCGCACCGAGGTGCTGGAAATACCAAATTACGCAATTGTCTAGCTGGATAAGAAAGATTGTAGACAGCCACATCATTGCAGTCTCCACGCTTGCCCAATGTTCTCCATCGATGGTTGGTGTTCGGCGCCGACATATGCCGAGGCCGCACTTTGAGCGTGGGCGCACACACTTACAAGGATAGAAAGCTGCGAGGTACAGAAATCTCCTTATGTGTCATTTTGGAGTTCCGGCTGAGACTCTGAGCGTTGAGCCAATTGCGGTCATGTAGAAGGTTGGTTCATTGAAAAGATCTGAGTGACAAGAGGTTTACCTCGTGATACTTGGGGACTGCCGTAGTGCCAAGACTTGGTAGTCTAGCCTAATACGACTAGTGCAAGACTGGGTATCCACCACCATGTCGTGCATCCGTCGGTGTCGAAGTTGCGACCATCATACCTGGCAGTTCCGGGATGCTGGCCTGATGATTGCTCGTCCGTTTGCCAAAACCACCTTCTCCTCTTCATTCACCATCTGAAATCGGAATTCCTCGTACCCTTGCGCATCTCGTTCACCCGTTGACCAGAGCTGGGTGTACAACGTCTGGCCAGGGCGCACAGGCGCAACAAAGCGGGCTTGAAACTCCTTCATGGACGAGGATTTGCTTCCAGCCACTGTGCTGAGTAGAGCGTGTGCGGCCATGTTCCACGTACAAAGTCCATGTAGAATAGATCCACCAAAACCCATTCGGCGACCAGGCCCAGGATGCGCATGTAGCGGGTTGTAATCGCCATTTAGTCTTGCGAAGGTCAGCATGGAGACGCGGACGGGGGTCTGTCACTCGGTTGACGCACCGGTATAACAAAGGAGTTTCTTTGGTCGTAGTTTGGGTATGAACATAGTCAGGACCGCGATCATTGGGCATAACAATCTTCCTGGTCTCGGGCCCTTGAAGAGCGACATCAGACTGGCCATACTCGAAGTACTCTCAGGTGCGACTCACCTTTTGATCCTCCCCAGCCACCCTGGCCAACAGCGAAGACACTGCCGTATACCGTCGCATAGATCTCATGTGATTCAATGTCAAGCAAGTCAGTCTGGGTCTCAATGACAGTTCCGGGTTTGCCTTTGTCGTAGATTCCAAGCAATGTTTGGTGGAGTTCGAACCGTCGCCCTTTGCTGGTGAGGGGCAGCGGCTTAAAGATCTTTATGTGCTTCTCTCCATCCACGACCCGCTGCCTATCAAAAATGGGAATCCTGGGGATCTCAGAGAGATCTGTTGGTTTTGGAAGGGTGGTAAAGTCCACGACTTCCTGTGATGTGCCTTTGTAGGCTTGACCTTCTGTCAGTACTTGTGTCCAGGGGCCTTCAAATAACAGGGAAAGAAATGACGTACGGAGCACGACTGGAAAAGTCGGAAGAGCCTGAAAATTCGGACTTCCTTCCTGGGCGAAATGAGTTAGATGCTGGAGTGGGAGAGCAAAGCACGAACATATGTCAGATGTAATTCGTCGGCCGTGGCTCCCACGCTGATGTTGAACAGCAAGACGTCCCTTACCAACCATGAGACCTGGCGCGGGGGATACCTGTAGCCGGTGGGAGTATCCATCGTGGTCCTTGTTAAGCAAAGATCATAAAGCCTGCAAGTTCGTCTTTCCGAGTCAGAGTCAAACGGCTAAGGGATATAGGGTCTCTAACCGAGTTACGACCGAGAACGAACTTCGCCACATTCCATTGCTAGAGAATATATTATAATTGTCAAGTAGCTAACTACCGAGGCCCGAGAGGCTTGGAAATCCTGAGGTTGGAATGCTCCACCAAGTCCGCAGCGGCGAGAGCCTGAAATTCCTTGCTTACCAGGCGTTGCTTCTCCCATATATCGCTCGTAGACGTGAAAGACATTCGGCTCATCTGGATATGAGTTCGGCCCGCCATTTCTCGGATACGTGACGATGGAAGTGGAAAGACCACTGCGTACAGGACGAATTCGTCTTCTGGGACATCGCCAAAGCCTAAGTCCATTTTGACCCGTAGCTGTAAGATATAACTGTTGTGGTCTGAAATGAGAGCATTATTCTTCTGATAAGACCTGAATAATTATTGACTTGGGAGAGGATATGGTTCCGTTCTTCTGTTTCCCAGAGCTGACGGGCACTTCGTGGGTTAAGCAACTCTTTGTTGCCACAAGTTCACTTGACCACGAGCCGGAAATGCTCTCTCTACCCATCCTGACCGGTATTTTGGGCCCTTGAGTATCGTTTCCGGAGCCTGAGAACGCCGAAATACCAGGACAATGAAGTGGCATATGTTAGAACATTGGAAGGATATGTCTCTACAGTCAGAAGCTTTACTGATCTGCTGATCACTAATGCGGCCTAGAACGTATCTAAATAGCAGCCAACGTCACCTCCATTGACGTGGTGGCGTTTGGCCCTTCTGGTAGGAGCTGGACTGGTCCTTCTGAAGATCCCAAATAATGCGATAGATCCCCGCCGTTGAATTCGATCACATCAAAGCCGTTGCCCAAGAATTGGAATGGGTTTCCACTCCAATACTGCAAGTTGTAATCCTCAAACCTCGGTTTCGACAGGAGTTTGAAATAGACGAGACGTGAGCCGGGAAACATCGTCAAGCGACCGTCTTTCTGCCCGTTCTTAAACCAGCTGGGACACGGGCCGGACCAAGCTGTTCTCTTGACATAAAGATCCGAGTGCGCAGCGAAAGATTCAGCAACCTCTCGCTTTGGCGTTAATGATTTGATGTCCTCGACTTGCATCTTCTTTACCACCTCAACAATATTCTTGACTAGAAGCTCACTCATGGCGATGTATGACCCATGACCGAACGGGCCATAGGGTCCGCATATGGTGAAATAGTTAGGGACTATTAATATAGTCAGCAGGTGGACGAAACGGCCCCATAAGGACTTCACGTACTATCGGGGACGGCCAAAGATATATAAGAGATAAGCTTCTCTTTGTGCATGTCTTGCACGTTCTTGCCGTGGGCGATGATCGGGAAGCGAGGAATCCATGAAGTGTCGAATCTATCGAGTAGTCAGTAAGATGAGTAGCCCTAGCGACGACTCCGCTAGATATACCCAGTTGCACAGATGATAACATCCACTTCATGCTCGTTGCCTTCTTCATCCAAGAATCCCTTTTCGGTGATTTTCTTGGTCTCCTGCGTGAAGACATTGACGTTGGGAAGGGTCAGAGACTCGAGGAAGCCATTCCCGGGCTGTTGTATTGATAGCAGATCAGTTCCAAAACTTCCAGAAAGTCCCCATAGGAGTCGGACTTACTGTTGGGCGCCGGCATCCAACACCGAAGTTTGAAGGAATCAGCTTCTGTTCAATGTCTGTTCGTCCTCTAAGCCTTTCTTTCATTTGTTGAATAGAAAACTATCGCGCATGATTAGCTCTTTTTCGGTGCCGCCAAAGAATACCACTTACTTTCTTCGCCTCTATTGCTTCCGGAGTACCATTCAGGATGAATTTAAACCGCTGGTTGAGTTCGTTCTCGATTTCTTTACAATATGCCTGATATTCAAGAGGGTTCTCCCTCCATCGCTTCTTCTGCTCCTCGCTATCTGCAAAGAGGTTAGCGCCTGGATCACAAAAGTTCATCACCATACCTACAGGCTATGTTGACGCCGCCAGGACCCGCGTATTTCTGTGCGAACCCCGCTGTAATCCAAGTCGGAGACCTGATCCAAGTGTACAACTTGGCCACCTTGGGAGCAATGTGAGGAATGACTTGAACTCCACTGCTGCCGATGCCGATCACGGCTACCCGCTTATTTTCCAAGACAATCTCAGTGTTGTAATGCGCTGTATGAGTAAGTTGGCCCTTAAATTCGTGTAATCCTTCAATCTGTGGCCATCTCCAGTTGCTGGTTACGTGTTATTGACATCATTTAAGGGTGCTGAGGTTCAGGCTCACTTCAGAAGTCCTCCGTTATTGATAAAAATCTCTGCAGAATCAATAAACGTGTTTCCAGTAAATATTTCCTTGACGGTGACATCCCAGACGCCCCGAGTTTCGTCCCATTCAGCTTTGATGACTTCGTGGTTAAGCCGTATGTACTTCCTCAAGTTAAACTTGTCTACAACGCTGCGGAAATATTTAAGGATCTCCTCTCCAGAGGAATAGAAATGAGACCACTCCGGGTTTTTCGCCCAAGTGAACTTGACGATAGATTAGCCGAGGCCTCCCTGGTTTGCTAGTGGAAAAACTTACCTGATAGTTATTCGAAGGAATATCACACGCAACGCCAGGATATCTATAGTATTGGCGTAAGTGATTGCAAGCAAAGGCGGAGAAGTGTGAGTTTGGCATCAACATACTTGTTCTCGTACCAGGTACCACCAATCTCGTCGTCTTTTTCGTAGATGGTAAGTCTTACGTTCTTCAGGCTTCGTGAAACATGATACGCGAGGTTGATGCCTGAAACGCCCGCTCCCAGAGACAGGATGCGGATAGGACGCTCCGTTCCGCAGAGTTGCTCTTTGATCTTGTAGCCTTGTTCGTCTTCGGTTGGCCAACCGTATCTTTGGGGAAGTGCTCCAAAATCAGGAACACCAACCTCCGACGCGAACTCAGTGTCGGGTTCAATGCGAGCAGGAGCCATTGTGGAGCGGGGTAGTAAAAGGGAACACTTTGAAAGGTGATGCGAATTGGAACAATGCCGGCCGTGAGGATGTATAAGATCGCAAACAATCGTATTTGATATATGATCAAACCCTTTGCTTTGGGTTGTGGAGGCCAAACACTTATCGACATTCGGAGGCAGGCTAGAGGACCGACTGTAGGCCAGAACTGGCCACACACTCACAGCTAGCTGACTTCGGCTGCAGGTTAAGGAGCGGGTTTTCCAGCCCGTGGTCTGATGGGAAACTCGGAATTGCTTGTCCAGACAGGCCTTTCGGACATGATGCTCGGTCATTCTGCGTTTGGCGGGGAACCATTTGGGCACTTCGGCGTGGCGATAACAAGTCACACAACACTCAAAGTCTCCCGAGCGAGATCTTCACGTTGTATAGCCCGAACCAAGTCTTCGGCCCCAAAACATGGATGGGGATTCCCATGGGTGCAGAATTTCGCAGGACCCTCCTCCACGAGACCAAATCCAGATCCTCGCCTTCAACTTTGGTTTTGTCTGGAATCGAGGGAGTGACCTGTTAGCCCGTCTTGCCAGAGAATGGATGAATGGCTTAATAATTTTCCATGACCATAGTTGATGTCTTACTGAGCTCAAGGTAGATTTGGCATTTTAGCCTCACCATTCTGCATTTGCCAAAGTGGGATGTACTGAACAGACACCGACTGGAGATCATAGTGAGCAATGGTGTCGAGACATTTGGCACCTTTCGGTAGAGAATTTGTATATTTGAGAAGCGATCCCCTGCTACCAAGGGCACATAGAACGGAGCAACAGAGCGAACAGAGCGAGGTGCGCAGTGCTCCAGAGTTATTACTGAGCTCCACGTATCCTCTCTCATTGGCATTATCTGCCTAGAAAAGAACTAGAAATAGGCACAACGAAAGCATTCCAAGCCCAAGTGGTGGAATTCTAGGTTTCAAATCCAGAAGACGAAACCGGTGACCACTGAGCAATCTAACTTTCAAATGGGGCCTCTTTTGCACGCAGGCCTAACACGGCTCCCAGTTCGACCTACTGATCATGCGGATTGACCTGGATGCGGTGCGAGGTGTTAATCATAGTGTATTCCTGGATGTCGGCCTTGGATCCGTCAGAGTAATCATCCACGTCCATGTCGTAGTAACCAAAAGGAGCCTCGGTGCGAGGCACAATAGTGAAACAGCGACCTAGATGAGAAGTCAGGGACACGTTTGATAAACCTTTCACGCTCAGTAAACGCACCATTGATGGAGGGCTCGCACGCGATCTTGAGCATGGCTCCTGCGGCGTCCGCTGCATCCGCGAATTGGATGCCTTTCGTCCTGACATGATCGAGTACAGCGCTGCTCATGAGGCCCGTAGCCACATACCTGGCAAATAAAGAGTTAGAACCACAATTTCAGTAAGAGCCCGAGGCAGGCTTCGTGACATCTAACCATGGGGCCAACGCGTTCGAACGAATTCCGTCCACGACGGTTGTTCTTCGAACGCATCTCATCAAAGCGCGAGCGGCAAACTTGGATGCCATGTAGACTGGTCCGCCCGGCACATCACCGTAGCCTGCAAGACTCGACATAATGATAAAGCATCGGTCACGTCCAGGGCCTTCTTCGTTCCTGAGGAAGTAATACCGGGCTAGCTTGAGTGTATAGATTGCACCGTTGACATTGACGTCCAACACTTTGAGCGTCGGCTTTTTGGGCTCCTCATCAGGCTCTAATGAAAACATCAGTTCGTGGCGTGAATGCCAGAAGTTGGGTCAAGAATACCTTCTCCGTAAAATATAGGATCTGGACCGGTGATTCCAGCATTGGCGATAACCACATCGATACTCTTGCTGGGCGAAATTTCCTTTGCCGCCCGGAACATGGCATATTGATCATCCCAGCTGGTCACGTCACAATGGCAAAATTTAGCGTTTCTTCAGGAAAATTCAGTACGGTCTGGATCATGAAATTAGGATTTCACTCGTCTTACGGTGCGAGATCGGCTTCAATCTTTTTGCCTGCCTCATCCGACAGGTCCCCAAAGGTAACAAATGCTCTGACAAGAATAAGCCCATCAAATCTCTTGGAATAGAGGAGAGCATCTGGAGGCGTCGTCGCTTACCCTGCTTTGACAAAGGCGTACACGGCTTGCTCGCCCATGCCACCAGCACCTATTCGTTCGCTGCTTTAGTAGAGACACCTTTAAGGAGAGAGCAACTCCATCATACCTCCCGTAATCACGACGCTCTTGCCTTTGACGAAACTAGTGTCGACAGGGGTAGAGCAGTCAACCACGCCTTTTCTGTAAGCCTGGTATGGCATCCTTTTGCCTAGTGACCCCATCGTTATGAGCAGTGGAATGAAGTGATTAGGACGGTTTTTCGCTACTCTCGACTCACATGGCAAGTCATTTTATACAGAGAGATTCTGTAGCCTCGGGAGCTGGCCCGCTTCGGCAGTTCAAGTGCCCCCCCGACCGCCGACGAAGCTTGGGATTGTTCGAGCTCGGCTACTTAGTGAGGCCGGTGAGTATGCACTGCCAACTTATCGCGCTTACTGAATGTCCGTTGCACGGGGTTCTAAGCATCTTGAATATCTATGGAAAGAGTCTGAGTTTCACCATTGAGATAGCCGAGTATTGAATCTTTTCAAGCGATGTCAACACGAGTTTTGCAGTAGTTAGTGGACTAAGGTAGCCACGGCTTAAAGGCTAGCACGACCTGGAGTGCTAGGCCTAGCTATTCGGCCCCGACGAATTGAGAACCATGTCCTTAGGTCCATTGACACTTGCAGAGTAATACTATTTATTATGGGTGACTGTCTCTCAAGGTTCAAAGGGATGTGTGTGCAGTTAAATTAATGAATAATGGCCGTCTCTTGAGCAGGATAGGATTACTGCGTGCTCGACCACTGTTCGTCCAACGCACCAAAATCATCACCGAAGAGGTCCTGAAGCCAGTCTTCGGCGTATCTACCCATCATATTGCCGAGTGTGTCGTCAATGTCCACAAAATCGATGAAAGATGGTGAAGTCGCCGGGCTGGGGAGCGCGTCTGGACGCTCTCTCGGACTATTATTGTTGCTAAGCTCAGCCGCGGCATCTCCGACTTTGCCACTTGCAAGGTTGCCGTTGTTCCTCCCGCCAGGGTTGAATGGATTAGAAGAATGAAGGTCGAATATCGGCTGCGGTGGGACTACAAGAGAGAGGCCTGTACGCGATACTATCACCTCAAACAGTCGCTGAGCCCATTTGATAGAACTCCAATAATCAGACAAGCCACGGAGGTACTTTTGCGCTTGGTGAATGCGGATGCGTGCAGCCAGACGATCCTCTTCGCTGGCCGATTGATGGAGCGCTGTCTCGATATGGAGAGCGAGGAGAGTGGAAGTGCAGTTCATCCTGGTTAAATGAGTCAGCTAAGGCGTCTACTCTCGGAATGAGAAAGAAAGAGCTCACATATACAAAGGGCAGTACCGAGCAAGGTTGTGGAGCATAATTCTGTCTAGAATTGAGTCCAGCTCGAACATCGCCGTTTGAAGCCGGCGCGCTGAACGATCAGCCAGAGGGGCATCTCCCGAAGCACGGAAACTATCCCGGAGAACCCGGTAAACGATGCACTCCAACAAGTAGCACCTCGCCATGAGAACCAAGGGCCAAATGTTGGTCTGGCACCAGTCATAGACACCTTCGGTCCGCATCTCAGCAGGGAGTTGCATCCGCCATGTGGCGAGAGAACCCTCCAGCTCAGGCCACCCTTTCGTCAATGCTGTCTCTGAGAAACGCGATGTTTGTACGTAGTGTGCACCTGTGATGCGGTTAATCAACTAGGAGCGTCATTCAAACAAAGATTGGGAAACACGAACTGATACGCGACAGCTTACAGCTCTCAATAAGGAAAAGCTTTTGCAATCGTGATATTGGGCGCAAGACGTCTGCAACGTCTTCGGTAATGTTCTCTTCTGGCCAATCAGACAGTTCCAACTCCGAGGTATCAAAGTCGCTGTCGTGTATCCGCCGTGCGTTGTCGAGACCGCTGGAGACCAGTAGGGCGTCTCGGTTGTAAATAACCCACCACAGGCGACGGAAGAGTGTCCTCGTACCTGTGTCTAAATCCTTTGCTACATTGTCCTGGTGGAGGCCCATTTGAGTCGCGATACGCACCGCATTGGAAAGCCAGTAGCGGTAATCTTTGTCGATGGCGAAGGTGAAGTTTAGGAGACTTAGGACGAGGGATCCCTGTAACAATCGTAATTGTTGGCATTCCGCCTTGAGGTCGCAAAGTAAGCTCGCTCGCAAGAAAAAGGTCCTTTGGGCCGTGACGTGATCTGAAAACCCAGCTTCCCGGATGAGTTGTGACGAGGCATAGGATGCCACGCAGGCCAATATGGCTTGCAATAAAAACGCTGAGTAGCTGCCATTCTTGTACTGCTGCACGAACTCCACGCGGTCGAAGATCGGTGCATACGGATACACACAGTCAAAATAAAGACGCAAGAACCGGTCGCTGCTCTGTCAGGTCATATAGGTTGGCAAAAGAGAGACAGGAGGACCTACCAGACGTGTCGCGGTGGAAAGTCAAAGGCTCGCTTTTTCTTTAAATACTCCCTGTCTACTTTGTCCATTCGCGTCAAATCGGGCCGAAGGGTCGAACAGACGTTCGGCATCGAGGGGAGGGTATCGCTCAAGACTATTCGAACGAATCTCTTCGGGCGCAACCTTCCTAGGACCTCGCTCAAGATCGTCATTTGATTGGTCCCACCGTGATATTCCATGACTTCACGGCCCTGGCTTAGGTGTTCTCGTCGCGTCGGCGAGGTTACTTCCTCGTCCCACCGGGTCATCTCACGACAGATCTGAAGCTGGGAGTCATCCTCCTGGATTGGGTGGGAGGCGGCTGACGGTATGCTCTGGCCATCTCCTTCGCCAGATAGTGGCTGATAGATGTTCTCCGGCGGTGACGTGACTTCTGCTCGCGGCGACGGATTCACAGAGCAAACAAGTAGCTCTGGGTCAAAGTCTGCTTGCAGCGGCTGTTGCTGTGCTTGTTGCTGTGCTTGTTGCTGCCCATCATCGGTGAGCGATTGGAAAGGCGGCCGCAAAGCTGAACTCTGTTACAAATGAGGGTTGTCAACTAAGCCAGAAGGGCAGGGGGGCGTTACACGTGACACTTACCTGAAGCGGTGCTTGGACAGAAGCGAGGTCAAAGGTGGAGGACTGAGAGCGGCCGAGTGAACTGGGCTGGCATAATGGCTGCAAGGCGCGAGGTTGATGTCCTGGACCAGCCGAAATGTCGGCTCTCTTTCGTTTGCCCCTGGCCACAGTAGCGAATTAGCAAGGTTACCAGCGCGGTGAACAGAGGCACAGATCTCACCCCCCAGTCTTGTCCGAGGCGACTACTAGCACACACGATGATGCCCGTTCTGCCGCAGTACATCTTGTGCAAGGCAGACCGACGTCGGTCGCGTCACAACGGACCTTTCGGTCGTGACAAGGTATGCAAGCTCTAATTTTCTTGCCGGTGCGTTGTTGAAGAAGCTCAGCAGGGCCTGTTACCTGGGCGCCGGCAGGGAGCTGAAGAGAGGTCACGGGCATCATCACCAGACACCAGACGCGCACCTGATAGAAAGAAAGACGGCCAAGTAGGTGGAAGAGTGAGGACTGAGTCCGACGGAGAAGAATTTGGTGACCGAGCAGCTTGAGCTGCTTTGTAGTGCGAAAAAGGCCGAATCAGAGGGGTGGGGAAGAGCCCCAGATTCTGACCGCCCAGTGTGGGGTAGAGAGTGGAATGGATTGAACTGAGGGTGAATCGTCGAGGGGAGTTACGAGGCACACTGGGCATCCACAAGAGGGCGAGTAATTTGTCGAGGAGTTGCCACCTGCCACTGGGCACGCCTCTCCCCACAATCTCCCAGGCTAAACAGGGCTAACTTCGAAGTCAATTGAAGGTTTAGGAGGAACAAAGAGAAGCGAGCGAGCCCAAGTGGAGACAATGGTCGGCCACGGTACTTGATAGGCCTTGGAAGCCCATATAGAGCGGGGCCCAAAACTCCTTCGGTCACTACGAAGTAGTCCCGGTGGCTACTTATCACTTCACCTATTGGCTACTCGGCGCCGAAGAGAGCCACTAAAGGAAATGCTTCGTAGTATAGCGTCATGACCTCCACCGAGTACTTCGGCTTCCATTTACGCCCTATAGTACTGACGAGACCTTGACAGCGGCTCGATCATGCCAATCAGAAGCCAATTGGGCCAATGCGAGGTAACGCCTGAGGTGGTACCTGGGACTCTCTGCTGGCGACCTGGCCTATCGTCTTGTCGTAGGGTCGTTTCTAACTGTAAAGCCGATCTGTTTTGCAAGAAAGCGACTCAACAGAGCAATGGATACATCGACCATGGCGTCTCCTCAAGAAGACAACACGAAACAGCAAGCGGCGCCAGAAATATCTGAAGTTGCGGGACAGGCAAGAATTCGCTTACGGAAAAGGGCATGTATGGCTTGTCGCAGATGCCATGAGAGAAAAGTTCGATGTGACCTGTGTCTTCGAGGGAAATCCTGCACAAATTGTCAGCTGGATGGATCTTCCTGTGTGCTAAGATCCAGAGCTTCGAAAAAGTGCGTGATATGGATTCAGCGCATTGGACAGCCTTGCTAACAAACGATATAGTCAGAGGCCTACCTTCCAAGTGCAATCCTTAGACAAGGACCGACGAGTCAAAAGGCACCCTATTGCCCCTTTGCCAGCGCATCCCGGAACCACGAAGCTTTGGAAACAATGTACGATAATGAATTTCCCTAATTGTCGGCCAGACCACTTCGCATGCTATAATCTACTTCGGCTCTGACATTGAATCAACTACAGTAACAGAAATAGGGGACTTGGCGCAATCTGTTACCGAAAAGCCATCTTGCAATCAATTTATACCACTGGAGGATGTACTCGTTCGGTCTTCGTTATACGAGTTCTGCCAGTCAGAGTGCCTTAACAACCTCCCATCTGATGATGTCGACTTCCTCAACAAGAAAGGCTGCTTCAAATTGCCTTCAAGGCCACTGCTACAACATTTCATGCGGAAGTACTTCTTGCACATACACCCTTCGCTCCCGATCGTCGATGAAACTCGTTTCCGAGTGATATTTGAGAACGGAACCCATGTTGTTCCTGAAGCACAAAAGTTATCACTTTTTGTGCTACAGGCAATGCTTTGCGCGAGCTGCTCTGTACGTTAAGCCCTTCTTTCTAACTGTGAATCACTTTACTGACCCACAAAGTCCTGTCCGGTGTCTCTGGCTCAGGAGTTAGGATTTGATGATCTGTGCTCCGCTCGCGATTTTTTCTATCAAAGGGCAAAGGTACGTCGCAGATACCGTCTTATCACAAGAAACAAGGTCCTCATTGTGCATAGCTTCTGTACGATCTGGGTTATGAGGACGATGTTCAGTCCAAGATTCAAGGTTGTGCACTTTTGACTTTTTACAGTGCTTCAGGCAGGCTACATGCTGGGCGGCCTTGGCTGACGAGTGCTGTTGGACATGCAGTGGCCAGCGGGGCACATACATATGCTGCAACGGTGGATGTAAGAGAGATGCGAATACAGAAAAGACTCTGGTGGTGCCTAGTTCTTCGCGACCGCGCCATGGCCCTCGCGACCAGGAGGCCGCTTCAAATACAAACTCACGTATTCGATCCAAGGAACGATGGCTTGGACGAAGCTGACGTCGAGGACGAGATGCATGTCTCAGAGGTCTATGCCGCAGGAGTAAAGAGGTTGCTGGCAGGGGCTCTTAGCCTACAGTGCTCATTGGCATCAGCATTAACCGACTTGATTATGTTCGTCTACTCCCCTCGGCGAATGTCCCACAGCCCAACCAACGCGAGTGACTCGCTGGAACAGACGATGCGGAAGCTCAAGAGGATCGAATCAGACACCAAGGCCTGGTTTGAACGAGTGTCCAAATTCCTGCCCTCAGTCCCCACAGTGTGTGACTCCTATGATAGTTGTGTCTTTCAGCTGGAGGTCTGCCAGCTGTATCACTGGTACAGCTCATCCCCGCCACGCCGTTTACTTTCCGCTGATGTATAAACTTCAGGGCCGGTCAAACCGCGCTACAACAGTACAAAATCCTGCTTCTGGAAACCCAGCCCGAGTACGCTCGCGCAGGGGAGACATTCCGCAAAGAAGCTGTCCGGAAGATGCTGGCAGATTCCATCGTCGGGCTGAACAGAAGCGTAAGGGCTTACGCATTGCGTGGCAGCGCATGCTCCCTACCAACAGAAGTGTAAGTTGACCCGTGACGTTACATTGTCCAGTGTATAATAAGCCATGCTAATGTTCGCTGCTCTAGGATGCTTTGCTGCGCACAACCTCTCCTTCTTTACGCGCTCGACAGTCAACTGGCTGTTCAAGGGCACCAAAAACGGTCGTCCATGTACCCTATGCATATCCTCGAATCATTGAAGCTTTGTGGACGGTCATCATCAAGCACAATCGACCTCTCATATTTCATTCTGGAGGCAGTAAAGCGTGCTCGGCCTTTGCTTGAAGGGCTTACTGATCATCTTGGAGAACCCGCAATGTGGACATGGACGCAACCCGGCTATCCCAGTTCGACAGAGAGCCATCAGAGCGCAACCATGGTGCCGACACAAACGAGTTTCGACGCCAAGCCTGGACAGATAGTCGAAGTGGCACAGGCAAAGAATGTCGAGGACTGGCAATCATTGCTCGCGCATCATCCACGGGTATTCCTACACGTCATCTTCTCACTCGAAATGGCCATCCAGAGAGGCCACTTTCCCAAGGTGACCGATCTTCCTTTAGCCATTTGTCAGCAAAGAAGCGTATCCATCTCCAGTCCTCCTCCTTCGCGGCTATCATCCCCTCCAGTGAATTTGGGCTTGACTATTCCCCGTTCTCACGGTATTCCAGAAGTCTTCACAACTGACGAAAGCACTGGAGCCCTCACGCCACCTGATCGGTCATATGTGTCAGATACGAACCAGACACCGGTATTGCCTGATTTACTAATGAACGTGGATCTTGACTTTGTCGATCTTGAGGGCTTTGACGCAATGGACTTTGATAAAACATTAGATCCGGCCTCCCAGCTTGGCTGGCCCTCGGGAATGAATTCGGGATTGGAGGAGCCGTTTTTCTTGGCCTGACCCTTACCCTATCGGTTAGGTACTCGGTAGACCGATTGGCATTGCCAAGTCGTTCTCTTTGGGCAAGTTAGGCTATGTAACCACGGACGGCAGGCTAGCCCCGGCATGGTGTGCCACGCGAGGCACCATAATTCTCCCACAGAGAAGGTTGCAAGACTCCAAAGATCTCTCTATTCATCCAATCAATCAATTCATCTAATAGTTTCGACTTGTGTCGTGAGAAGGAGGTTTAGAAATGCTAAAGCCATGATCAACTACATCTCACTTTTACTGTGATGGTGCAATTATTTGCTTTCGATGTCGCGCGTCCATTCCTCGAGGAGGGAATTTTTGCGTAGTTTTGAGTGCATAATTGGCCGTGCCGTATAAAACGGTAGGTTACACCCCTAGCTTCCAACACGCATCTAAAACGCGGGCTATATTACGCGACGCTACACTCTTTCCGCTCTGAAAGGTTTATTTATTGCTCGACTTATTTTATCTCTTTTGCATATTGTGCAATGTCTTCTCATACTTCTTAGACCGAGGGAGACGATGGATACGCGGACCTGGACCTCGGTTATGGAGTGTATCTATAGGACGGAAGGTGGCCGCAATCCTGGTATTCGTCAACTAGCCGTGTTTGATGGCCATTCGACTACCCATCCTGGAACGATCAACGTCTCAACATTGTATCGTCCATGCCGTCGCTCTAGCTAATGGCTCAGGGGAATCTTCAGGGGTTGCTTTCCTTGCACAGGCTAAATGTATATATAAACAGGAAACAGATTGCTGAAATGGCGCATGGACAGACGGTGAGCAACTTAACAGAATGAAATCAATCATGTGGGCATATTGCTCCGTTTTACAGTATCTCAGCACTCGGAGTTGTTCTCTATTCTTTAGTTATTTTCAAGGTAAAGAGTATTCAATACCACATTTATCAGACTTATATCCTTGGGTATCCTTCGTGCTTTTTTCCAATCTCGGTGGTCATACGCCCTTCTAACTACCTGTTGGCCGGGCATAACAAGGGCAAGCCTCAGAAGACTATTAGAGAACAAGTCAAGCATTCCTACGATACCGACAGACAAGGTCCCTGTGCCATTGGGATGCTGTCTGCTCTAGGTGTATTGTAACAGAGCACTTCAGGGTTCGGCGTGCACGTGCAACAACGCACAGAGGCCTGTCCAGCAGATCGGGAATCGAGAACGCGTTTCTGGTTGATACTGACAAGACAACACCACCACCAACACCACCCAGAGGGGCAGCGGCTAGAGCAACGAACGCCTAACACGGCGGTGGCATTGAGGACTGAACAGAACTGATAAAACACTTAGGAATTAGGTAGACGGCACCAAAAGGCCATGGAATTCATGATACTCTGCTCAAACTGTAAAGAATGGCACTCTGCCAGCACTGTAAACTGCTCCGCACCCCCCCTGCCAGCCCATTTTTTTAGTTTGACATGCGACTAGACAACTTCTCTCCCCTGCTACCACTCTACCAGCCCTGCACAGCACAACACAGCACAGCCACTTTGCCTTGTTACACTATATGTACTACTTACTGGAACCAGCTCGGCCTTGAAGGATCCACCTACCTTTGGGGGCTCTGTCGCAGCCGGCCTTGTGACCCTTCGGCATTAATAGATCACCGAGACCCCACCACCCGGAGGAAGAAGAGAGTATACTCCATCCGAACAGAAAACGTCTCGGTTTCAGTTGTTTGGATTGTATACTCAACCCCCCTTCGCACTTGCAACCATTCCACACGAAATGCGCATAATGTCGTCTGATGGCCTTCAGCCGGCCCTGAATTATGGCATGCGGCAATGCGCCCGCTACATAACAAAGCACGCAGACGACGGTACTTCCGTCTTTGGAGACTCGCCCGATCTGCTGTATCGAGACCGAGGCGGCTATGCCATTACGCGGAACTACGCAGCAACCTCAGTGCCGATGCATATAGAAAATGAGACGGACTGTCAAGCATATCTTTCTTCCGACAGGTCCCAAGAGGCATCCCACGTTCACGCAGGACAGCGAGTGACAGTCTCGAATGGCCTGAATTTTCTGACGGTGGACTTGGGCCCCGGCGCTCAGACTCCCATGCACAGGACTGTTTCTGTGGATTTTGTAACAGTCATCGAGGGTCGTGTCGAGTTGCTCCTCGACTCCGGCGAGTCTCAGGTGCTCGAAAGCGGAGTGAGTCAGCCAAAACATTCTAACCTGGACAAGAAAAAACGGCGATTAACAATAGGGCCTGCTAGGACGCAATCATCCAGCGGGCGACCATGCATCGATGGAAGAACCCGTCCAGCGACAAGCCGGCGAGATTCGTTGCTGTGGTCGTCGACATACGCGCCCACGAAGTCAATGGTAAACTCTTGGAACAGGAATACCTGCGCTCCTGAGTCCAAATGTTAAGTCAATGCTACATAAGTTATATTAGTATTATGTCCACATGCCGCTGAACCCCACCTGGTTTCTCCATCTGCCGCTTTGTGAAATTGAATGGCATGTACATAATGGCTATGCTGCGCGATCGCGACTCGACAGCACTCAGTACCCTTATAAAATGACGTATCCAAGGCTCGACGTAGACCTGGGCCTTTCGACCCGTTAGGTCTATTTCTTAATTTAGGAAATCTCTCGGCATAGTTAGCCCCAGTAATGAAAAACCTAAGAAGTGCATCCTCCGAAGCCTCGGCGCTTGTACGTGTCTCTGGCCAGTCCATTTCGGGCTTATTGCGTCCTTGGGTGGCTCTTTTGGTGCCGAGGCGTTGTTCTTTATTCCCGCCATCTGCCAGTATATACCTTGGGCGCAGATCAAGATCTTAGAACCTCAGCATTGATGTTGCTGGTTCTCCCTCTTTCCCATTTCCCTTCTCTTTGCTCCCAGCCTATTGCTCAGATATGACTCAGGGAGCAACTGCACAAGTGGTGGTGTCGCCATACCAGCTCGATATTCCCACGACAGACATTGCATCCTTTGTCCTCTCGTCAGGAACAGCGAGCTCGAGGATTCAGCCGCAGTATTTTGATGCCACAAATCCGTCCAAATGCTTCAGTCTCGAGCAAGCAGAGACCTACGTCAAGCAGTTGGCGCATGGTTTGCGAAAAATCCTCAATCCGGGAGACAAGGTGCTCCTGTATTCCGGTAATAGACTGCTCTTTCCGGTCTTGCTCTGGGGCACCGTAGCGGCGGGCTGCGTCTTCACAGCTGCATCTCCTTCGGCATCACAGAATGGTGAGTGTTCGATGACAGGCTATAGCAGAGTCGCCTCAGTTGACAATGTCTCCCAGAGTTGGAATATCAACTTCGTGACTCGGAAGCCAGCGTCCTCATTACAGAACCCGAGAATGTTAGCACCTCTCTGAAAGCTGCGGCCGCTGTGGGGATGCTAGCCGACCGGGTTTTTCTGTTTGCTGATCCAGGAGAAGACCTATCTCGGTACCGCACACTGAGGACTAGATCGTGGCTGACGATCTGGTCCCCAGTTGAGGAGGTCGGCACTTGGTCATGGACAAAGCTGAGAACTTTGGAAGAGGTGAAATCCACGACGGCCGTGATCAACTATTCTAGTGGGCAAGTATTTATGAAACCTCGTCACAAGGGTATTTTGATAACAAGGAGTTTGCGCGACTAGAACCACAGGCATTCCAAAGGGGGTAGAACTTTCTCACTACAACTTGGTGGCCAATTCCACGCAGCTCGTCCACAAACGGAGCATCGTCGGAGCCGGTGCTAGTGCGCTAGCCAAAAAATCACGGCTTGACAGCTCTGGGGAACGGTGGCTTGCTCCCTTACCGATGTATCATGCCTATGTGAGCCTTCCTCGCCCTAAACGACCACAGAGACAGCACACTGACGACAGCGTACAGGGTCAAACATATTATTGCATGAACGCCGCTCGGATTGGAGCCAAGGTATTCATCATGCCAAAATTTGAGGTCGACGAATTTCTGCTATATCTAGATATCTACCGGATCACGTTCATGACCGCGGTTCCCGTGGTTCTGAATATGCTTGCGAAACAACAACACCCGCAAAAGTACAATCTCAATGCTATCGAGAGCGTCGTGACGGGCTCAGCGCCCTTAAACCCAGAGATGGGGACGCTGATCGAGAGGATGTACCTGAAGCCAGGGGTTACCATCAAACAAGGACTTGGAATGACGGAATGCACATGCTCAGTGGCTGGCTTTGGACCCGATGAGGAGAGCGACCACAAGTCGGTAGGTTGGCTGAACGCGAACTGCCGTGCGAGAGTCGTCCCAATCGAAGACCGAGATTTCAGCTCCTCAGGTCCTCCAGGAGTATTTATCGGGGAACTCTGGTTCTCGGGCCCTAATGTAATGAAGGGATACTATAAGAAAGCCAAGGAGACGTCAGGGGCCATTGTGCACGAACAGGGACACAGATGGCTACGCACGGGGGACGTTGGGTATATCGACGAGAAAGGGCACATCTATATTGTTGACCGACTGAAGGTTCGTTCGTCCACTCGACAGTCAGACATCTTCTGGCCTGACAATTCTCGTCGTCGTTCACCAGGCTGACAAGATGGAACCACTACTTACAGGAATTGATCAAGGTCAAAGGCTTGCAAGTAGCCCCAGCAGAGCTAGAGCTGGCACTCTTGACGCATCCCGATGTCGCCGATGCTGCCGTTGTGGGGGCCAAAATGTGAGTATTCTCTTCCGTCAAGAAGTCTTTTCTCGTACAAAATTGGCCAGGCTGACGCATTGTTCGTTTTTGTCACAGCAACAATGAAGAGTATCCTCGTGCATTTGTGGTTAGGAAGACCGACGGCAAGGTGAAGGAGGAAGAGCTAAAAGACCTCATCAAGTCGCGCTTTGCTCTACACAAGCATCTCACTGGTGGCGTATACTTTGTCGATACAATCCCTCGTACTGGGAGTGGCAAGGTCATCCGACGAGCTCTACCCAATCCGGGGCCTGTGGTGAGGCCTACCAAGCTGTAAGGGGCTTGTCGCAAGAAGCAATTTGGCGCAGCACTAGATCGAATTTCTCTTTACTCTCCAGATGCTACTTGTTTTCTATCTTGACCGAAAAGCCCATTAAGAGTTCAAGACGTTCTTAATCTCCCCACACGGCACAGTCTTGCTTCATCACTTCCTTCTACCTCTAACACAGACAATAGAACGTCTGTCCACAGGCCAGACTAGGCTCCAACTACACCATTCGCAGTCCCATTAGCAGGATTGTAAGATTCCGGAGCTTCAATCAGCAAAGCACCTGGATTCTCGTCCGACCCCATGTAGTAGGAGATATCGCTGCCGTCGTATTCCTTGAGGGTGAATCCGTTACCAAACCAAGCCCAGGGGTTTCCGGTCATGTACTCGATCTCGAAGTCTTCGTAGCGGGGTTCCTTTTGGACCTCGAAATAGAGCAGGCGAGAGCCCGGCCAGATTACGAGCTTGCCATCCTTCTTACCTTGCTTGAACCAACTGGCGCAGCCCGAGGCCCAGGCAGTCCGTTTGAAGAACAGCTGCGCGTGCTCCTCGAACCGTTCGCACACGTCGAGCTTCGGCCGCATCGATTTAATGCTTTCGACCTGCATCTTTTCCACAATCTTCAGAATGTTGGTAATAAGCCGTTCGTTCACCATGAGCGTGTTGCCGTGCCCGACAGGGCCGTACGCGCTGCCAATGGTGAAGAAATTAGGTACTAGAGTATGGCATTAGCGACAAACGGCAATTGTGGCAGAGTAAGGGTCACATACCTTCTGGAATGGCGTACGAAATGTAAGATAGCATTCGCTCTCGCATAAAGTCCTGCACATTCTTGCCGTCATGCACAATCGGAAAACGGGGAACCCATGAAGTGTCGAATCCGGTGGCGCAGATGATCACATCGACTTCGTACTCTTTGCCTCGCTGGTCAACAAACCCCTTTTCGGTAATCTTGGCCACTTGTTCAGTGAAAGTGTGGACGTGAGGCATGGTGAGGGCCTCTAAATAGCCATTTCCGGGCTGCCGTTCAATTAGCTCGTCCGTCTTTTCACGCCAAAGGCGGATTCGGGCTCATACCGTTGGCCGGCGACATCCGATCCCAAAAGACTTGGGAATGATCTTGTCTACGAGATCGTCTCGGCCCTTGAGCTTGTTCCTCATCTCTGTGATGGAAAACTGTTCGGCGGCGCCTGTCAGTGGAGCATTCCAAGGGGGAAGGAAATGCTACAAACCTTTCTGGCCTCTTCAGCTTCAAGTGTTCCCACTAGGATGAATTTAAACCTCTGATTCAGCTCATTCTCGATCTCCTTGCAGTACTTCACATAGTCTGTATAATAATTACGCCAGTGCTTTTTCTGCTCTGAAGTGTATTCGAAATTATCCCCATTAGGACCGGCGTATTTCTGCGCAAACCCAGCCGTGATCCAAGTGGGCGACCGGACCCAGGTGTAGAGCGTAGACACTTTTGAGACGATGTTGGCGACGACCTGGACCCCGCTGCTCCCGGATCCAATGACTGCCACTCTCTTTCCCTCGAGAGGAGTTCCCTCAGGATACGCAGCAGTATGTGCGAGCAGACCCTTGAAGCTATGCAATCCTTCAATCTCAGGCCACTTCCAGTTGTTAAGAATACCGCCACCGTTGATGAAAACGTCACAGGTGTCGACGAACGTATTGCCAGTAAGCAGATTTTTGATGTGGACGTCCCATTTTCCAGTCTTCGAATCCCAATACGCTCCTTCGACCTGATGATTGAGCTTAAAATACTTCATTAACCCATACCGGTCCACGCAGTCTTTAAAGTACTGCCAGATCTCGGGCGAGGACGAATAGAAATGCGTCCAGTCGGGATTCCTCGCCCAAGTGAACTGGTAGTCGACCGACGGGATATCGCACGCACAGCCTGGATACCGATTCTCCAGCCAGGTGCCACCAATTTCTGTATTCTTATCGTAGCAGGTGAAGGAGACATTCTGCATTTGTTCCGGCAGGAATTTCGCCAGGCAAATGCCAGCAGCTCCACATCCGACATGGACTATTCTCATGGGCCTTTTCGTGCCAGCCAGCTGCTCGATGATTCGATATCCGTTCTCATTCTCCCGTGGCCAGCCATACCTTTCAGGCAGGGAGTCGAAATCCGGGACTCCGAATTCAGATTCGAATTCACTCTCGGCAGATACCTTATGAGGCGACATTGTCCTGCACTTTCACTGAATGGTACGTTTGACACCGTTCGAGAAGGGAGGAATACAACCTTGATGAATGAAATAGCTACGGGAAGGAGAATTTGCTAATGTCACAATCCCAGGGTGATGGCAAATGACCAGATGGGCAGGAACCAACACTTTGGTGTACTCAAATAGAACGAAGGCATTAGCTTGACCGGCGAAGGTATCCACTCGGTGTTTACTCCAAGTTTCACTCATGATCAGCTGCCAAGTGGTATGATGAGCCGTTCTACGTTTCTCAGGAGGCTGTTCCAGGCGCGGAGCCCAACCAGATGGCAACTTTGCAACGCGCTGACTAGTTCAACGAGTTGAGGTAGTTTGCCGCTATCGGGTTGGGTTCGCTCCCTCGGCCAGTGTCTGCCACTCGGCGCCGATGGTTCTTGTGGCAACGGCGTGTTCCTCCAGGGTTGATTGGCTTATCTCTGGCCTCGATTCGGCCACCTGGCTTTGGCTCCTCAAGTCCGACTGTACGAGAACCAGTTGCCCCACAAACGCCGCTTGAATGAGCGGGTTACCCCAGATTCAATCCTCGTCTATTCGTGAGGCCGCTTATATGCAAGAACAAAATCACTCCACGGCTTTGGTTGACGTACAGTCCTGAAAAGGATCCAGACTTCCAGCAAACATGCCACGAGTCCTGCTGACAGGTACAAATGGCTTTATTGGGTCGCACATATTAGACACCCTGCTGTCGCACGGGGTTTCTGTACGAGGCCTCGTGCGATCCGATCAAAAAGCACGTCAAGTCGCTCTAGATCATCCCCAGGCTGGATCACAGCTGGATTTCGCCATTGTCCCTGATATGACAGCTCCTAATGCTTTTGACGAGGCATTGATATCCGACCCGCCTTTTGATGCAGTCATACATACCGCGAGTCCTTTGAGTTATACTGCCGGCAAGACGCTTGCGGACTTCATTGAACCTGCAGTGAGAGGCACGATGGAGATTCTCGAAGGTGTCAACAGGGTCGCGCCGAGTGTCCGGCGGGTGGTGGTTACAGGGAGCTTTGCCGCCATCGGAAACCCGAAAGACATGCAAGGCAACGGCAAGGTATACACCTCCCAGGACTGGAATCCTATCACGGAGGAAGAGGTTAGCTCGGCAGAGCCGCGACTGGCCTACTGGGTCAGCAAAACCCTCGCCGAAAAAGTTTGTAAGCAGAATCTCGTTGACTGACTTCGATGAGAGCCCGGTCTTTGCTGACGAAAGCCATCTTCAGCCTGGAAGTTTATGCAAACCCAAAAGCCACATTATGACCTGGTTGTACTCAATCCCCCCATGGTCTATGGACCTTTGAGGCACTCTGTCACGAGTATCGAGGATGTCAATGTTTCGAATTACAACATCTGGCGAGATTTTCTGAATTCCACCAAGTCCAGCAGCATTCCGAAAGAATGGGTCCACGCCGATATAGATGTGCGGGTAAGTCTACACATACATCGATTCCCTTACACCCTTACGCCGCTGACCCCTACTCAAGGACTTGGCAGAAGCGCACTATAGAGCTGCGTTCACCTTGAAAGGAGGAAACAAGCGCTATCTAATCGCTCGAGGCCGTATCAGCAACCAAGAAATTGCAGACATTCTGCGAAAATATTTCCCCGAAGCTCACGACAGGATACCGATTGGGCAACCTGGTACACAGTCATTTCCCGACAATGCTTTTGATATTGACGGAGATGAAGCAAAGCGTGACTTGGACTTGACTTACAGAAGCTACGATGAGACGTTCAAAGACTTAGGGAGACAGCTGCTGGACATTGGAACGTCCGGAACCAAGATATAACCTCCTTTGGCTGCTGGCAACCCATGAAGACCCATTGCATGGTTGCCCGGGTGTATTTGCTTGGGGTAGTGACTTTGTCGAATGACTCGTGGATCATCGTAGACAGCCCTAATGAGAGCTGGCTAGGCTCGACCTCGCTCTTCTATGACAAAACAAATTCTAAGCTTAATGTGAATAATTGGGGGGATATCAATTGCCGTTGCACTAAGCATGGGTCCACGGTAGTAGCCTCGCCCTTGTAACCCATGTTAAGTGCACGGCGGTCGGCGGGCTGCCACATGCTTTGACGCACGCCATTAGAAACCGGCTCTCAATCGAGAAGCTGAGTCCTCTGAGCGCCCTAATAGAACCATTCCTGGACCCTCAACTGCGAGCCAAGTTGAACGCTGGCGTCCAGGGGAGAGTGGAAAGAGAGCCGCAGCCAGTAATTTCCAATTTGAGGCACCGGAGGTGCATGAACCGTAATTTCTTTCATTACGACAAATCTGCACGATAAGAACTTCCTGTCCCTGACGCTTGAAAAAGGATTTGCCTCGAAGTCGCACATTGTAGGCAGGGAATAATTCTGGCAATGCCTTGCTCTTTGTGTATATCTAGGCAGCGAACTCCTTCGCTCCAGAGACGCAGAGCGCTTCTCCCGTGATCATACTCGCCCGATCGCTGCACAGGAAGACAATTGCTTGAGCGACTTCCGACGGTTTGCCCCAGCGCTTGATAGGGATAGTGTTGATGATGGGCTCGTAGTCTGCTCCACGCCGCATGGATTCCTCAACCACTACCTCAGGGTTAGCTCTGGCATCTGAGGCATTGCAATACATGGCACACCAGGGCAAAGAGAGACGCACTCGGAGTCTTGACGAATCCTGGCAACACTGAGTTGATCCGAATGCCATCCGTCGCGTAGGCAACCGCATCTGTTCTGGTCATACCCAGAACGCCGGCTTTGGTGGCGGAATACTACGCGTCGCGTCAGCCCAGGAAACGTGTCGCCACGGTCACAGCTAAGGGAGAGGGTACGTACCGCACCGACTGTCGGGTGGGTGATAATTGCAAAGAGGGAAGAGATGTTTACGATCGCCCCTCTCTCTGGGGGTGCGCCCGTCCTAGATATACCCAATTAGTCACCCTGATTTCATCAACACCAACTGCTGTGCAGCCTCGCGGCCTACCTTGTGGACAACTCGGCTTCCTGTTTCATCATCTGTCTCAACTCCGCCCGTTGACATAGCCACACTCCCCGTAGATTGACGCCCTGGACCTTGTCCCACTCCTCGGTCTGGAGCAAGTGGGTCTTGATCCTGATTCTGCTGGTGATACCGGCATTGTTGACCGCGTAGTGGATGGCACCGAACTTCTTGACCCCTTCAGTGACCATGTTCTCGACCTCCTCTTCGACCGAGGTGTCACACTTGACCAAGCATGTCTCAACCTTGGGGTTAATTTCTTGTAATTGTCTGCTCGCCGTAGCAAGGCCGTCGTAGTTTATATCGGCCAGCACGAGTCTGGTGACGCCTTCTTCCACGAAGACAACGGCGGTCGCTAAACCAATCCCAGACGCTGCGCCAGTGATTAGAGCAACGCTGCACAAACTGATCAGTAATGCTCATGGCTATTGATGTGGGCGGAATTCGTCACCAACCCAGGCATGGCCTGAGATCGGAAAGCCATGTTTGTATCGTCCCTAGTAAGTTCCTTCGTTCTTCTTAAAAACGAAGTTGAATCCCACGGTATCCAGTGTGAGAGGATGTCAAGGACAAATGATGGTGAGGTGCGATTTTCTTTGTCCTTGTCGAATAGTTCGGATTTTTCGGCCAACTGGCACAACGAATCATCATACCGGGACCATCGTGAGCGAGCGGGAATCTACCATGCTGCACGGCGCCCTGTCTCACCTATCGGAGCCAACCGTCGGCAAACCATATTCAGAACGCCGAAGCACAATGAATCACGGGGACGCTGCTCGATGTGCTAGTCACGGCAGTTGACGGCAACCCACTGGTATGGATTGTTCTCGCGACAAATATCGGTGTCTCCAGAATGTCGGCCACATGATATGAGAGGCACTCACGAAGCATGGGGGCAGGAATGGTCACTATTGGGTCCAGATGCAGAAATTCATACGTTTTGTTGTCGGTCCCGTATATATTTATGCTGCCATCAGAACTATTGGTATACTTCGAACAATGCTGGATAACACAATGCCACAGCCCTCGGACAACCGAAGCACGCGAAGTTCTAGAGGAGTGAGGAGCGAGGAGAAGAATTGACTAAGGGCACACACCTACGTGACGACTATTGAGCAAAGAATTGCAGTCAGTGGTGGCCAACGTATAGGCTCCTCGCATCCGACTCAACCGGCTGTCTTCAAGGGGCCCAGGAACTTCCAGTGACTCTTCTTCGCCCACCCTTTGGTCTTCCACTCGTTCGCCTTTTGGGGGAAGAAATCAAGGACGTCCAGCAAGGTGGGATCGTGAGCAAAAACAGTGAAGACGTTCTCGTCCCCATCAAACACAAACATTTTGTTGAGTGTCTCCTGTGCCAGGTCCGCGTCTTCGTCGACGTACCCCACAGGCACCAGGCAGAAAGGTGAGACCCTGGCTTCCTGACTTCCCGCCCCTCCCTGGTATGCGCGGTGGACTTTCACGTACTTCTCAGAGCTCACCGAGGCGGTGCTGGTATGGTCTTCCACCGGGTCAGGACAGATCTCCTCCGGGAGCGGGTAGTACTCTGTCGGTCGGAAGAGCGCGCAGTGATGAGTGACATCTCCTCCCAAGAACATGAACGTGTCGCCCTCCGGACCAACGGAGGTTCGGGCGAGGCCGCAGATATGGCCCGTGGTGTGGCCGGGGGCATTGAGCAGGTAAAAGCTTCCGTCTGAGAACCAGTCGTAGGCGGGATACGGCCCGATTTGGCAAGCTTTCGGAGCGAACTGGAAGTCGAGCTCCTCGGTGACCCTGCCTTTGTAAGTATCTGTAGTGGTCCCGCTCGCGTCAGGCTGTGCGGGCCAGCCGGGCAGGTATTTCTGCTTGTAGCCAGGACCTACCACGAGCTTCGTTGTTGAAGGAAAGAGCGTGGGATCTCCGACGTGGTCCCAATGGTGGTGGCTGAGAATAATGGCGTTGATTTGATCCGGTTTCAACCCGCCGTCGCCAATTATCTCGGCAACGTCGCGTTTGACTTCGACCTTGAAGCCCAGGGGTTTGATCTCCTCTCGGAGGTGAGGGCTGAGATGAGTTTCCCAGTTCGTGCGAAGCCCAAGATCATACAGCAGGCGCTGCCCGCTGGGCTTGTGATGGATGAGGAAGCTGTAACTTGGGATGAAGCCTTTCTCGAAACCGGCGTAGACAGGCTTGACCACAAGGCTGCCGTTGACTTCGCGTAGATACGTCGTAGTATCAATGACGGAGACGTCGACAGCCACATTCGATGGGGGAAAGTTAACCTTCCAGTTACTTGAATGCATAGTGTATGAAGAAGAGGGCGTTGCCTATGCGGGATGTTGGCATTGCAGGGCGACACTTCCCAAATGGATTGATTTTGGTGTCCAGAGTTCTCTTGTAGTTTATGACCTAGGGGGTTCGTACTTCTTCATCCATGAGACTCGGCCCTCAATCCTAGGCCTTTCAAGCCGAATACCGGCCTCCCCTCCCTCGGGGGCTTTGGTACGGAGCCAAATTCCTTCGGTGACAGATATCACGAGTACGGTTTTGGTAGCCCAGACTTGCCCAGACTCCACGTTCGGCAGCTCACAGTTCCCTCAGTTTCCTCCACACGGCGTACTCCACCTCCGCCTTATCATGTTGACCGAAGGGTATTCTAGGTGAGGAGTCTTGCATTGATGTCTGTCTGAACGCCAAAGGTCAGGGAGCTTGCTTGGTCTATATGCAAATTTGCAGAGACTGAAGCTCCGCGGATGAGCCCTGGAAGCCTGCTCGATTACGGTCCAAGGCGCTCTGACAGTGGGATTTGGACTGTCAAATTTAGACATTGAGAATATCCAGTGAGACAGCGGTTCTGGCAAGGCTGATTAGGGCTGACTTTTTGTATAGACCCAAATTTGGACGCCGTGGTCGAGTTTTGGCCCCATGTAAGCGTGGCGCGGTCAACACATCATACTCATCACTAAATACACTACAACTTCATCGGTTTAATTGTATACAGAACCAAAATAAGACCTCTGAGAAGTTCTATTCATCCTCTTCGTTTTCATCCGAATCTAGTTCCATATAACGTTTGGTTAGTCGTCTGTTGCATCCGGACTGTCGCGTTAAGACCTGCTCTTTTGACTCGGAACCAGCGGCCCGTATGTGGTTCACCACCGACTCGGCCGCGCAGTAGACATTTCGCTCGACTGGATCTGCTCTCGTTGTTATCGTTCGCCCCTCTAAAAGCCGCCCGCGGCGCGCTCGAGGGACCCTATCCGGGTCGCGGAGCGCGCAAAGAAGTACCAAGCCCCTATAAACAGCGCCGTAAGCATCAAAAAAGGCACGAAGTGCTTGCTTTCAACGATGTTTTCAATAGCAGTGGAGGGTATATTGGTCATCCGGCCATGCACGGTGACACACGGCTGGAGGTAAGACCCAAAGACGGGTGGGAGGGTTTCTGCACGGTGGGTGGACAGGGACGGTGCGCACGCGAGATGTCCCTCGTCGGCGGTTGTAGCCTCTCTCTTCAGAGCAGGTTGGGTTGCGGTCGATTCAACATCGCAGCCCGCGAGGGTGGTGGCGGGAAGGTTGGTGGACAGGTCGGGCTCCGTCAGGCACGAAGTGCACTGAAGCGTGGAAGACGGTCTGCGCTCGAGCCCTTTGGAGGGGGAAACTTGGCCTCGTACAGGACCAGCCGTCAGTTTGAGCCTCTTCATCTAGAACTACCGGATCCTTTAGAGGGGGGTCGAGCCGGAGAAAAGAGGCGACCGCGGCGCAAGGGGTACGGGATCGAGAGACCCAGCCTCGGTGATGGAGGTGCGATGGGCACGTTTGCCTCTATCTGGGCGGCCGAAGGCAGATGGCCAGGGTCAGGAATGGCCTTATCATGGAAGTACATTTTCTATATGAACAGCCAGACACTTTCTCAGAGAAGACACAACCAGATAGGCATACCAATCCATGACAATAGGATTACGTACCTTGTCTCACTCATTGCCAAATATCACCGCGATGTCTTTCCCACCACAGTGGGAGCAGGGCCGTACGACTCACCAGGCTGAAAGGAGAGGGCGGCGAGGTTTCAGCTCACCGAGTGGCCAATCTAAGCCAGATTCATACTCAGCTCGACATCGCGGGTTCCGCCCCAAGCCAGCCAAATGTCGGAGGGTGCTGAGAAGCGAGGCAGGAAACCTGGCTTATGGAATCAACACCCTCGCCATCTGAAATGAGAGTGTCCTAAGAACTCTTCCACCTCGCACCCTATCCCGCCTCTTTTCGAGCCGATATATCAGTTCAAAGCCCTCTATCCTGAAGTGACATCACGACCAGACACGGTCTAATGGCTGGAGGCGTAGCAGACCACTTGTAGGTGGCGCCCCATTCCGCCTCCTCTGTCAGTGCCTGCGCTTGAATGATATCTGGGCGAGACATAGCATGGGCCTCGTTGGAGGAAAGTACAACGATGGAAGTGATGTAGTGTCCTGATGTTGTTTGACAGAAGATCAAAGAGGTGGAAACCATCGAGAGTGGAGATGGGGGAACGATCATGTGACAAGGATCTCCGTGGAGTGCATCATATGGACGTTCATGGCAGGTTAGACGACATTAGCGCAAGACTAAATGCGGCCTTGGCAGCGAGGGCAGCTAAATAGAGATCACTGGATCTCTGTGGTCCCTGGTTGCCCTGGTAAGTCTGGGTATCAAACAATCAATCTTTGCGAACCGTCACAGTTCGCATTTTGGGCTTATAGAGCTTCGCTCTATCTTGCCTCAGCGACAGCGTTCCAGTGCTGTCCTTGGGCTGCGGTCTTCAATACGGCTAGGTGACGGCCCTGGTGTCGTTGGTGGTGGTGGTGATGGTGTTGGTGGTGTTGGCCATATCAGCGTTGTCTGTCGCTCGCCGACCTGCTAGAGACACCCATTTGCATGCACGCTGAACCTTCAGATCGCCGTTTCCGATACTGGGGTCTGCATGAATCTAAATACATATTCTCACCTTCTGAACCGACGTTCCAGCTATCAATCACATTGTTTCCGACAAGGTCCTTCGAGCTCTCCTCAACTCCCGCAGCACTATGTCTTTCCGCCACAGGGAATTCATCGCTGAAACGCTGGCCCAATACACTCCCCGTGCAGCGAAATATGACGTCTCAAACGGCGGATGGCACGTAGAGCTGGGCCGTGATTTTGTCACCTGGCTGCCTCCCCCAAAGGGCGGCGCGGTTCTTGATCTCGCATGCGGCACGGGGCTGGTTACGTTACCCCAAGCCGAAGCGGTCGGACCTGGTGGCATCGTCGTAGGTGTCGACGTCACCGAAGCAATGCTCAACGAAGCCAAACGCAAACCGCTCCTGGAGGGAAGCGGAGAAGTGAAGTGGGTGCTGGGCGATGTAACGGACCTTTCCTCGCTGGAGGAAGTGCAAAATGTGATGAAAGAAAGGGAAGCGTTTGACATCATTTCATGCTGTTCAGCTTTCGTGTTACTCGAGGATCCCGCAAAGGCCATCAAACATTGGATAACCTATTTGAAGCCCGGCACGGGAAAACTGATCATCGATGTCCCCGCCGAGGATCGCACTCTGCAGTACCTGCTCAACTACCCGCTCCGGCGCGCCTTTGGGAAATCTATGGTATTCGATTTCGACTGGATAGAAGATATCCATACCCTACCGAAGATGCTTGAAGATGCCGGGTTTGAAATCGAGAAGTCTTTCCGTACGAAGAGCTATGTTCCTGAGAAATGGTACGATGCTGGTCAGGCGATGGAGGCGCTGGAAGAAAAGACAAGTCGGAGCGGTCTATGGAAGAGCATTTTGGAACGATTGGAGGCAGAAGGAGGGACAGAAGCGATTGAGAGAGCCAGGCACGCCTGGCAGCAGATTTGGAAAGAACATCTGAATAAAGGCGGGGAATTGTGGGATGGGCACGCTTTGTATGTCTCGATAGGAAGGAGGAGGGAGTGAGGTACCACCGCATTTCCACCTGTTCCGCACCCCGACAACCGCACTGCTGTACACTTTTCCTTCACCGAATGCCGGCTTATCGCCGAACAAATACTACGCCCGCATCTTCTGGTCGACGCATCTTCGGTGTAATGACGTTCATCGAATCGCTCAGCACCTCCATCAATGCTGAGGCGGCCTGCTTCTCCGTCGTCATTTTCTCTTCCATAATCAGCGGCTTCAAGCGATATTCCCTCAACAGCGTCGAAATAACAGCCACAAACTCAACTTGGCTGAATTTCTTTCCCGGACAGACCCTAGGCCCGACACTCCACGGCAAAAATGCGGCGCCTGGCGGAGGATGGGCGATAGACTCCTTTCCTGTCGCCGGGTCGACTACCACCCAGCGTTGCGGTTTCCATTTCAGTGAGTCGTTGCCCCACCAGCGCGGGTCGGTGTGGATAGCGTAAAGATTTACTGAAACATACGTCTCGACTGGTACCATGATCTCTTGGCCCTGGACGCGAAGAGGGTGTGGTTGGTCGACGCACCAACGTTCTAGACTGGGGGTCGGGCCCCAAAGACGCAGGGTTTCATACTGAGATCTGTGAGCTCGCAAATGCCGGTTCGAAGGAATTTCACATACCATAACCGCCATACACCTCACAAGGAGCGGAAATACCTCCTCATAGACCAGCTTCTCACCATCTCTCCCTTTCAACACAGCATCCACTTCTTCGCCAGCCCAGTCCTGGATCTCACGATTGACGGCCAAGAACGGTATCGTATATGTCAATGCGTTTGCGGTTGTTTCGAAGCCCGCTAAATTGAACAGATACAAGTTACCTAACAACTCGGCATCGCTGAGGTACATTGGCTTCGCCCCGGCACCCTGTACCGCCATTTTTTGTTCTCGTTTTGCTGCTTCGTCAGCCTCAACCAGGGCGCTGACGATGTCGGCACCACTGCTGTTGCCACCGCCCTGTGTGATGGCTCGATTGTAGGCTACGATTTCCTTCATGTATTGGGTGAACTCGTTCGTCATGGCGGTGACCTGTCGAGACAATGCGGGCATCATCCAGCGGAGCACGGGTAGGTTTTTGAACACGACGCAGAAGATGATATTTTGAAGTAGAAATTTCAGTGCCTCTGCAAGGCTGGTTTTGTGTCCCTGTGGAATCTCGCGGAAGCCTCCATCAAAATCGTGGATGTGCCCGAACCCGGCGGCGGACAGGACATGCATTGCAATCAACACGCAGTCGTTCCGGACCTCGAGCATGGTCCGGCGGGCACCTGATCGACCGGTCACGACCTCGATCATCTGTCTCGCTTGTCTTAGCGACTCGTCCCAGACGAGCCTGTTGTTCTGTTCACGGAAGCCCGGGTTGACGACTCGCCGATGGCGCTGCCAGTCTTCGCCGTTGACGCTGATCACATTCGGCCCGAAACCGTCGAAGATCTCGTATATCGGCTGGGGCTTGATCCAAGTCTTGTACTGGGTTTGCAGCTCGACGGCCATGACGGGGTCGTTGACCTCGATCTCGGTTTTGTTAGGTGACACAATGGCGAAGACGTCGCCGTACGCCCTGTGTGCACGATAACGCTGGTCCTGTTGCCATGAATGATAACTGAACAAGAAAATGTATCCTATGCCAGGCACGTCGCGGAGCCTTCTGAGGTAAGGGTAGACGATAACCCACCACTCGTCTTGCCACGAGAAAGGAAGAACGACGATGGGAATCCCCAACTTGCGCGCCCGCAGGTAATTGACCACTAGTCTGTAAGTGCGGGCCGCCAGCACGGCCAGAATCGGGATACAGATGAACGTCAGGACCGTGGAATACAGCACCATTGTGGAGAATGACTGCCTGTACAAGATATATATCGCGGAACCGTCTGTGGAGACGGTGGGCGAGAGAGAATTTGTAGGCTTCAGCGATTCAGTCGACCCTTTATAGCCGTGCGTTACTGGATGCCTAAACTGGCTTACCAAAGTTGAAGTTATGTCCTTTTCGTACATCGTATTCAATGGTGTCACTAACCTCGTATCGACAACGTTGGAACCTTCAGGCGTGCCACACTTCCTCCAATTGGAAGAATTTCATGACTTTCATTATACCGTGGACGGCAGGCCAAGGACATTGCCGTAGCCGAGACAACATAACTCGCGAACAGGGCAAGCCCGCCAATCAGCCATTTCTCACCAAAGCTCCTGGTCGGTGGTGCACCGAATGCGTAGCGCGTGCTGACTTCCTGCACCTCAAATAATTATATCGCACCATCACGCTGGGCAATGATCCTTACGCTGTGTCGACTTTGGCTGCAAAATGGGGCATCGACTGCCCTGCTGTGGGCCGGCCCCCCTTTCCCTCCCCCACCCCCCCTCTCTCCTCGGTGTTTGACTTTTCAAGGCCCTCACGACCAATTCCTCTATCACCAACCACAATACTTTCGTATCGGCTATCTCACGTTTCGACCACCGATCTTACACTGTTGGCTCGGTAGCAATGACGAAGCAAGCAGCATTTTCCACCGAATTAACCCAAGATGCGTCAAGAATACTGGATGCTGCTTAAGAGCTGCCAATTGCGAGATGCGAGCATGGGGATGGGTTGTCGGTGGGACATGGTGGAAGACGTATGCTTGAGGGCCTGGGGAATCTTGTCTCCAGTCATGTTAATGGTGACAGTGGTGTCAACGCATGTGTTGCTATCTTCAGCTACCTTACGGATCACGACGGTCCCACCAGTGACGCGTTCAAAGGACATGTGGGCATGAACCCACTCTCCGCTGGCTGCGAGAAAAGCAGTGATGGCTATGCTCTTCATCTTGTTTCGGTAAGCACAAGTGGCGCAGAAATGACCGAGACTTGTAATGGGAAGATAAACGTTTGTGGTACTCTCTAGGGACAAGAAACTACGCAATGATGACTTCCCAAGTCACGGGTGAACCTACCTATGTCCTGCACCATGAGAGCTGTGTATCGCGGGTGGAATTCAGACATATATATACACCAGGTATCCACACGTAATCACAAGGGCAGCGAGCCGATCGAGTGCCGAGATTGGTGGCTGAGGGAAGACTCAGGTCTCTTCCATGTGCAGCGAACATTTATCCCAGACTCTGGAGCTGCTCCCGATATCGCAGGCGTTGATGTATTATTGAGTAAGCGATCCCGGTGGCCATGGAACATCTCTGTATTTCTTGATCGATGGAGAGGGTTAGCGTAAGATGCCGACACGGCGAGGCTGAGGTGTGAGAGGTGAAGGAGGTAAGGGGGCGAGGCTGGACGTTGTCCTTGCCAAGACTCGCGGTTATTGTACCTTGGCCTAGTTGCCTACGTCCCGAGCCCCTGCGTCTGTCTCCATGTCCGTATCAGTCTCATCTTCCTTCCTTTTGGCCCCGTTTCAACTTCGCGTGCCATGATGCGGCAGCAAGGCACAATTTACCTTCGTCTCCTTGCGTTTACAGGAGACTTCTCGCGGCTTTCGCCATGTTCTTTTGAGAGACCGGCCCCAGCTGCACGGCGCAGTTACTCGGAGACATGATGCCGGTCGAGGGTAATAATGCTTGCTCGACCCGGCCGCTTACAGCTCATCAGACTTGATGCTTTTCAAGTTTCACCTATCTATTTGGACCCCAGGTGCCTCGTCTGTGCCTCCCAGACATTACCCTGGGGTCTTTCTACTGCGCTAGCGGAACTAAGTTGTTCCCAAGAGTCGGCGAGCAATTCTTCAGCACAACACTTAGGGACTTTGCGGACGCAAGCCTCCCAAGGCGTACGTATGGTGTACGCTGCATTATTTGCAAACCATGGTTCAGAGAGACCGCTTTCTTCTCAAGGGAATGCGTCAATGGGGGCCAAATTTGCCGCGACCTACGATGTGTGAACAGCTGTTTGAGGTCACACAAGGGCTTCCATGATGATCCGCCTCCCCGCATGGCGCCATCATGACCACTGACACTATTCCAAACAGTCTATTGCTTCTTCAAACGATGTGCACGGGTATCGCGCCTTCTGAAAGAATCGGAATCTGCACATAATGACAACCTGATCGCATGACTTTTTGCTCTTCTAACCGATCTTGATGAGCGTCTTGTTTGGCACTGGCTCTAGACCGCTCTGCAATCGCTTAGCTCTTCTCGAGAAAACGAGATGTGGAATAGAATCGTCACGGTCGTGGGACCACAGCAGCCAACAGGAGCAGGCTGGCCATTCTGCCTTCATCATCCCCTGTCTCTACCAGATATTGGTCTTGCGCTATATTGGGGCCAGACCTTTCATCCATGTCGACATTCCAGACTCATTGTGTCGCTTGCCCTTGCCGCGCAGAACGCCACTGTCACACTCATTCATGCAAGCTGCATGCTGCATACTGCTGCAATTGTTCCTCGGCACGGGCGAGAGCGAAGAAGATATCAGCTGCTGTTCTCGATCGGAAGAAGGATAATGAGATACGACTGCGGAAGTGTATCAAGAAGAATCCTTCGAAGGGCACGCCTTCTACATAAACCTCACGGTAGGTCTGTCTGGGTTTCAATTATCAGTTCCCGTCTTGTGCTTGTGATTCCAAAATGCATTTCGTTCACGAAAACATTCTTCTCTCAATTCTCATCCTTCATGGCATCGTCCTTGAGGTCATCGAGACCTCAATCTTGTCAAACCGAAGGGACTTTCATACCTTGAGACCCGTTACAAGACGTCCAGATATCTCACGGAGGAGGGCAGATCTTCGACCCGTCCACAGCGCCGAATTGGGTTATGCAGATGGTGACTTTTATTCGTCGCGCTTCGATGCTGGAGGCTGACTAAGGTCCAAGGCGAGCACCGACATGATCAAAGTCCAATTTTCTTCTCGTCCGTCCGGTTTCAGTCGGACAGGCCAGTGCTTGTGCTTGAGCAGATGGAAGACCTCTTGGAAAACATCCAATGCTCCAGCGAGGACATCACAGTTGTGTTCTCCACACCGTTGGCATTTCATGAAGCAAGACAGGAATGGAGTGATCTTGATAACGCCTACATTGTCGCTGCCCATACAAATTGTTCCGAAGATAATGGGCGGATGACGTTTCAGTAAGGGGAATCTTCCCAAAGCGATGAATTGGCCCGCCCACTTTATACCATCTGCAACGACGGCACTAATTGATTAAAGAATCCGAGCCATCGCCTTCGAAGAAGAATGCAATACCGTGATCCTCCGGACAGAAAAGATAACATGGCAAGAAGCCTTCCACGACTTCCACGTGAAGTTTGGACACACCGAGGCATATCTACCTCGCAACCAGCCCCAACGCTTGAATCGACGACAAGCCTCTGTAGAAACGACTCCGACATCGACATCCGCTCCGCTCGCCTTGACGGCAACATCCCTAATCCCTTCGGACGCCTCGACCGCAACAGCCACGGCCCTCTCAATCAATCTCACTCACGGTGTCCAAGATACTTGGTTCCCAGACGCTGTGCACCCCACGGATGCCCAGATCCCGATCAAAATCGGCTGTAAAGAATGCAGCACCAGCGGCACTCTGACCCTCGCGCAGGGCGAGTGGAGCGTCTTGTCTCCGGCGGACTGGTTCGGGGCCGAGAACCTGGCGGACATTATCTCGGCGGGAAATGTGCAGCTGGGCATCGAGGGGTTCGTCGCGCACGTGGAGATCCAGATCGAGCCCAGCTTAAAAGGGGACTTGAGTCTGCCCTTGTTCACGATTCCCGTGTTCGGATTCACGGTAAGCCACAAATCATCCCGCCGATTCACTTAGAGGGATATATCTTTCCTGATGCGTATTGTGCAAAGATTCCGGAATTCGGGTCCGGCGGGATCCTTGTCGAGCCGACACTGTCGTTGAGCTGGGAATTGTCTGGCGGGATCGAAATGTTCTACGGGTTTGAGCTGGAGGTAGTTCCCACTTGGATTGTGCTCGCTGTCGTCGCTGACGTGTTTGTGCTCCCCAGATCCCAAACCTCGTCGTCTATCTTGATTTCGCGGATCCGACCTCATCTAGCGTGACCGGGCTGTAAGCTTCCCAAGACATGAGCGTTCTCGTCTTGGTATGGCTAACCGCGTTGACCTTAGTGACGGCATCTCCATCACCGACGTCCCTTTCCAAGCCAACATCTCCGACATTGATCTCTCCCTCAGTCTCTCTCTAACGCCACGAATCACCCTCGGCATCGAAATGCTGGACGCGGTGTCGGCCGAAGTCGGTACATCATTTGACCTCCCGAAAGCCACCGTCGCCATAACCCAGCTGGCCACAGATTCCGTGAATGCCAGCTGCGCACAGTCGAGCGACGCGCCGGCCTACCAGGCCGATTTTGAACACCTGTTTCACAATTTGACGCACGTCGCTATGGGCGTTGAGTTAGGCGTGGGCTTCGACATGAGCGCTGAAGTCGACCTGCTTCCCAAGCTCGACTTCTCCAGTTCCTGGGAGCTGGCAACCGTGCCGGTCGCCGCACTTCCAACGCGGTGTTTGGCGTTTCAAACCGATGCGCCTTCTGGACCGGGCTTTACGCCCGCTGTGTCGGCGCTTGCAAAAGTGCAGGCTCAAGCTCTTGCTTCTGCGTCATCTTCCGCTGCTGCTGCTGCTGCTGCTGCTTCCTCTGCCGCGGCTACGACGCAGAGTGGGTCGGGAGAGTCGAGCGGGCAGAATGGGTCACCGACTTCCACCGAGAATGCTGCGTCTGGTCCGAAGTATACTCGTCTCGGCTCTCCAACGGAAATTGTATGCCTCTATGCATTTTTCATTGTGGCTGGACTCTTCATGAGTCTGTAACCACACAGCGTTTTGGGGCACTGGCTGCCAACTGTAATATATGAGTGTTCGCTGCGAGCGCAGATGCTGCAGAATGATTCATGCAATTCGAGATCACGCAGCTCTTTGATCTGGTGTAGTCTGGTAGAATCCTGGTTGTCTCCCAACCATCTCATCCGCCCCATGGTTTAATCACCGCATAGAGCGAAGCCATCGTAGAATCGTCTGCAGATTGATCCACAGCTCATCTCGACGGACTCAAAGGTCTATTGAATCCACCAACGCGGTTCATGTACTGTCGATATGTCGTCTTCTTCTCCTTCCTCACGCCGTAAATCTGGTTCCCAGGCACCTTCGTATTCTGCGTCGACTTGAACGTTGTAAAACCCATCAGCTTTTTCAGGAGAGCGTCTTCATCGTCTTCATCAACAGCCATAGCATCACCGTTAGCTACCGGTTTGTCCGCTATCTCTGCTTCTATCGGTTTCGGTGCTCTTGGCCCTTCATCGTCGGGCTTGTTCCGGTCCCGAGGCCTGGCCCGATCGTGATCACTTCGTCGAAGAGGGGAGCGTGTGCGTACAGGATCGCGACCACTATTCCTGGCTGGTGAACGTGATCGGGAGCGTCGATGTGGGCGTTCAGATCGGTGATCTGGGTCGTGTGAGCGCAGGAAAATATCTTCAGTGGAGTGGCCATTACCTTTAGAATCTCGATGCCTGTCGCGACTTCTGCTCCGCTCTCGCCGGCTGTGGCCGTTGACATCTCGGTCCCGTCCACCTCTGTTTCGTTCTCGTTCACGCTCACGTTCCCTGTCCCTGTTCCTGTCGCGATCGCGGTCTCGATCACGCGGCGGCTTCTCTTTGGATCTGCTCCGCTCTTTCCGTCTGTCAGGGGTGTCTCGCGACTTCGATCTCTTCCTCCGCTCATCGTCTCTTCTGGGTCCGCGGCGGTCTTCGTCCCTGGCATCGCGTGGCTTCTGTTTGTGGTCCTTCCCACTCGAACTAGGCCGTGAGCTCGACTTCCCGTCCTCATCCCACATGGCGGCGCTGGTTGTGCGCTTTGTGCGCTTTGCAGGACGTTCCTCCATCACTGCAAGGCTGCCAAGGTTTTGAAAGGCAGGAGAGGGTTGAACAAGGACTGTGAACAATCTACCTGCGGAGCGGAGGGAAATTTCAGTGGTGGTACAAGTTCTTCTAAAGTTCGTGCAGGGTCATATGCCGCGACGTATGTACGGCGGATCATTAACCGACTTGAACGAGCGTGTGAAGGTTGGACAAGGCAAGGCAAGGCTAAGCTGAAGGAAAGCGAGTCAAAGACAGCAAACCGACCAAACAAAGCAAACACTCGTCATACCCTTCCAGCCTTCCCCTCTGTCAAGGCGGCGAGGTCACGAACACCGTCTCTTCGAGTGTAGCCTGCTCGCGAACGTCCTTTCACTCGCTAGACACTCTTCTCTAGTTTGTATCACCAAAAAACAATCCTTATTTGTGCGTTCCATTCACCAGAGGGCTATAAATCATCGAGGTGCCCTGCTGCAGCAACAAATCCGCAACTTCATCTCCCGAATCAACCCCACCCCATCCCAGAAGATATCCACCCTTCTCGAGCCAAACTATGCAATACCTCCGCTCCGGTCTCGACCAGCTTCGTGACCGCTACGCCCCTATCCGACATACCTCCACCTTCCGCAATACAGGCCAGATCACACCAGAAGAATTCCTTCTCGCAGGCGACTACCTGGTCTATAAATTCCCCTCGTGGTCCTGGGCTGACGCCTCGAGTCCTGCGCGACAGGTCAGCTATCTGCCCGCCAATAAACAATTTCTCGTCACAAGGGGTGTTCCGTGTCATCGAAGGCTGGATGAGAATTTTGCAGGTGGACATGGCGCCGCGGATGATCTCGTCAGGGATGGATTTCTAGGTGGCCCAGATGAGGAGACGGGTGGCGGTGAAGATGATGGCTGGTTAAGGACGGGAGGGACCACGGAGAAGGAACAAGAAGGCTTGAGGGCGGAAGTGAGGACTATGAGTGAGAGCGGCCAACTTGGCCAAAAAGCGACCGAGGAAGAGGACGAGGAGGAAATTCCTGATATGGAGGATGAGGACGACGACAATGAGGCTATCATAAGAGATAAGACCGAAGGTACATCTACGTAAGTATATCTTCTTTGCTCTCGACTCTGGCGGGGGAGCATGATTCGCTAACATGAATTTCAGGCCTCTTCGAACATACACCCTCTACATAACTTACACACCCTACTATCGCACTCCGCGCATGTACCTCTCCGGGTACCTCTCTCCCAGCGAGCCTCTGCCGCCACACCTCATGATGGAAGACATCGTCGGCGACTACAAAGACAAGACCGTCACATTGGAAGACTTCCCCTTCTTCGACAATAGCGTGAAAATGGCGAGCATTCACCCTTGCAAACACGCCAGCGTGATGAAGATCCTCCTTGACCGTGCGGACGTGGCCCTGAAGCTTCGACTAGAAAAACAAAGAGTCACTGGCGACGCCGCAAACATCTCAGGTATGGAAGGTCTGATTGACGACACGGCAAATCTCAGACTTGCCGAGCAGAAGCGGGGCCATGAAGCGGGGGTGAAGGCGGCCAGTGGTGGTGCCGGAGACGAGTGGGAGGTGTTGGATGAGCAAGACAGCAAAGAAGATGAGAGCGAGAAGGTGGCGATCCGGGTGGATCAGTATCTGGTCGTGTTTTTGAAGTTCATGGCGAGCGTAACGCCGGGGATCGAGCATGATTTTACGATGGGAGTCTGATGGATACATTACGGCAACATAGGATGATGGACATGGATACGGTACGAATACAACCAGGCCTGGGACAGTGGTGTTCCAGGAGCTTGCGCACTGAGGCTGAGACCGCTCCTCGGGTCGATTTTATCCGCATTGAGCAGAAATGCTTCATTCTTACGAATCAAGACGATGAGTCTATTATGCATTATTCGTCTTTCATCTTATTCTAGAACGTTTGGTGGCACCACGGCTCATGGCCTTGAAGCTCCATCCAGAGCACCTACATCTGCCGCCAATGTCGGCATTGGCTCTGTTTTTCTTGAACTGCATGCCCCGGACCAGCCGACCACTTCGATGGCCAGCCTACAGGTAGTTCATCTCTAACTCTCGCAATGGTCTACGTCATTTCCTCTCTGTGCTGCCGCCCTGTGGATAGTTTCCTCAATCCTACCTATCAAGCTCGGTGGCACTCTCAGCGCCACATTAGCAAACACCCATCTTCCTGGGAATGGATAATCGAACTCCGATGCAGAATGACACTTTGAAGGATATCCGTGGACGAGCATTGATGTCGACATGCATCATGCTGCATGGATCTCCGGAGTTTGAGCGGTGCACAGCCCGTCAGCCAACGCATGTCTGACTTCATGTGCGTGGGATCTCCCGAGGCATTCGCGTGTCTTTCTAACTGTTGGTCTTGAGGGCCGAGGCGAAGTGGCCTTGCAGCACGTACGTACATATTGACGCTCTATCGCGAATGCCTGCACATCTCAGTGGCCTCAACGCTCTCCACACAAGCGGCCTCACTATCCCCACAGCAGAGTCACAAGCCCTTGGGTAGCACACGGCTCGACAGAAATTGCGATACTTCCGGAGCCCCGAATTCCGGTCACAAGGCTGTCGACAGAAGGATTTTGCGAAAGAACCGGTTGACATGCGGCTTGAATGCTTGTCTGATTGGCCAGGACAACGCGAGGCGCCCACTCCAAGGAGGGATCACCAAACCGGGAGACAATGGCATCAGGACTCTGGACTCATCACGAATATTTGGAAAGGGCAGAGATGGGACAATTCCGCCCACAAGTCTTTACGCAAGAGCCTTGAGCGGACAGCTTAGGTTGCCACCAAGCCCGAGAGGCCAGTCGGCCAGTCCTGCTTCTGAAATATACGGACATCGATTTCGGATCAGTTTGATACGACAGGTGAGCGGCCTCGCGTCACCCAATTCCGTCTCTTTGTGCGACCCGATCCAATATGGCACACCAATGTCGCTCAATTTTACTCGATCGAGCATAGCGAGCGAGGATTAGCAATGGGAAGGCATCAATTAGTCAAGGGGGCTTCACATGTGTCCCACCGGGTACCACAAACAAAGTAAGCAGTTCTTGGGTTTTTCTGGACCAGTGAGACGAACAGATTGCACACAACTTCGCGCCTCCTTGCTTGGTCGAGTATAGTTAACGAGCATTAACAATATCAAGGTCACAATTGGTCGAGCAACTTTCAGTCGTTTTGCGGCAGGGGTCCTGGAAGAAGGTAAGATCCTTTCCGTGGCTTTCCTGGTTCCACAATAATAATAGAACCCTTCTGCCATGCGCATAGGGCCGAGCTTCCATTTCAGCCTCGTTGTCAACCAATTGTCTAATGGACGGACCTTCCAGAGTGGGCGGTCTTTAAAAATGCGATTCCTATCTCGCTGAGCGTGTACAGAAGCGGTCGGCTCGTGCTGACGGAAAGTAGTATTTCTCCTGCGTTACCCGACCTCGTTGCGTGGCCTCTTGCATTATGCATTGTGGCTCGGCGACTTGATTCACTCTTTTGAGGAGAGAACCATGACGGAAAGATCTTGTCCTGATGATGCCATATATAAATCTCCTGGAGAAGGCAATGACTCTCACAACACTTAGAATGTGTGTCAAGGTCGTTGCTCCTAAGGTCACGTCGTGCAATCCCTTCTCACTATGCGTTCTCCGCTGTTCAACCTCGGTGCTTTCCCAGCCATGGTCGGGACCACATTTGCGCTCCTCTGCATTGCCCAAGGAACCTTGGCCGCTTGTCCGTACATGCAGGGTGGCCATGGTTTTCAGGAGCACTCGACGGGGAATAGAGGAAAGACCTACGTAAAGCGGCAGACCTCCGTGCCCAATGGCACAACTCCTGTCGACACTTTTCTTGATCAATTCACACTCAACGATACCGACACGTACATGACCTCGGACGTTGGTGGGCGGATCCAAGATCAAGAGAGCTTGAAGGCTGGAGTCAGGGGACCTACACTCCTCGAGGACTTCATGTTCCGACAGAAGATCCAGCATTTTGATCACGAAAGGGTGAGTGCCACTCTAGTTTGTGGAACAGAAAATATATAGGCTAATGCCTGTGCTTATGTACAGGTACCAGAGAGAGCGGTTCACGCGCGAGGGGCAGGTGAGTTCGTACTCTGCCTTGAGTATTTGGCCTGGAGGGAGGACTGGTTGGCTGACTCACGCGTCAGGAGCCCATGGTGTCTTTACAAGTTACGCAGACTGGTCAAACATCACAGCCGCTTCGTTTCTCTCTGCAGCAGGGAAGGAAACTCCCATGTTTGTCAGATTTTCCACAGTCGCAGGAAGCAGAGGCAGCCCAGAGGCAGTCCGAGACGTCCACGGATTTGCCAGTCGCTTCTACACCGACGCAGGAAATTTTGGTGAGGCCCTAGCATTATGATTGTATGGAGACCTCGGCGCTTGTTACCTGTCCTAACCGATACTCGATGTGCCAGACATTATTGGAAACAACATCGCTCCATTTTTCATCCAGGACGCAATCCAGGTTAGTTTGATTCAATCACCTAGTGACGAGCGCAGCGACACGGCCAGTGACACTGATAGTCAACTAGTTCCCAGATCTGATCCATGCCGTGAAGCCTGAACCAGACAGGGAAATTCCACAGGGTGGAACCGCCCACACCACAGCATGGGATTTCTTTAGCCAACAGCCTTCCTCTTTGCACACCCTGTTCTGGGCCATGGCAGGTTATGGCATTCCGCGATCTTTCCGGCACATGGACGGTTTTGGGGTCCATACTTACCGTCTGGTGACCGACGATGGTAATTCGAAGTTGGTCAAATGGCACTGGAAGACTTTACAGGGCAAGGCAAGCCTGGTGTGGGAAGAAGCCCAGGTGTTGTCCGGGAAGAACATCGACTCCCATAGGCAGGATTTGTGGGATGCCATCGAGGCCGGCCAGTATCCGGAGTGGGAACTTGGAGTTCAGATCATGGAAGAGTCCGACGCGCTCAGTTTCGGGTTTGACCTGCTCGACCCGACAAAGATCGTGCCAGAGGAAATCGTGCCAGTCACGATTCTGGGCAAAATGACTCTGAACCAGAACCCTCGAAACTACTTTGCCGAAACAGAACAGATCATGGTATGTCTTCGCTATCAAACGTAGTGCCGAGGGAATCCAGGCTGACAGTGGTTCTATAGTTCCAACCAGGTCACATTGTTCGTGGGATTGATTTTACAGAGGATCCTCTGCTTCAGGTACGTCTGGGCGCCGTGGAACTGTGTGGAATGCAATCAACCGACTCACCTTGCCAACTAGGGGCGAATCTTCTCCTATCTGGATACTCAACTAAACAGACACGGGGGTCCCAACTTTGAGCAACTACCAATCAATCGTCCTCGAGTGCCGATCCACAACAACAACCGAGACGGAGCTGCTCAGAACTACATTCCACTCAATGTCGCCGCCTACACGCCTAGTGACCTCAACAATGGCTCCCCTATGCAAGCCAACCAGACCAACGGTAATGGGTTTTTCACCACGCCAGGCCGGACCGTGGGCGGCAACCTTGTGCGGGCAAAATCGTCCACCTTTGACGACGTCTGGTCCCAGCCACGGATGTTTTACAATTCACTGATCCCGGCTGAGCAGCAATTCCTCATCAACGCGATGCGCTTCGAGACCTCCCACGTCACTTCTCCGACGGTCAGGCAGAATGTCATCACCCAATTGAACCGTGTCGATAACGACCTCGCGGTCCGTCTTGCACAGGTCCTGGGCGTCCCAGCCCCGGCGCCCGATCCCACATACTATAACGACAACCGCACGGCCTTTGTGTCGATCTTCAACTACTCGCTGCCGACAATTGCGGCGCTGAACGTGGGCATCCTCGCCAGCGTCTCATCCCCCAGCTCCATGGCCCAGGCGACCTCGCTGGCCCAGTTGTTCGCGCAGTCCGGAGCGTTTCCTATTATCGTGGGCGAAGTCCTCACCGGCCCCGTCAACCAGACGTACTCCGCCGCCGACGCGAGCGGCTTCGACGGCGTCATCGTCACCTCGGGCTCCGAAGCTCTCTTCACCACCAACAGCTCCACCTCGGCGCTCTACCCGGCTGCCCGCCCTCTGCAGATCCTCCTCGATGCCTACCGCTGGGGCAAACCCGTTGGCGCGCTCGACGCCGCCACGGCATCGACCGTCTTCGCGACAGCTGCGATCCCAGCCGGCCCCGGCGTGTATACCCAGAACTTGACGAACCTGGCCAGCTTCGTGACGGCCTTCGAGGGTGGGCTGAGTACATTTCGATTCGTGGACCGCTTCCCGCTGGATCCGTCCTGATGATCTCATCGTCGATCTTGTGGTCGCCGCCGCCGTCACGATTGCCAGAACTAACTGCACTTACATCTTTGGAGATCGACCGACACAGCAATTTTTGTTATCTTCTCTCTCTCCCCTCAGAAATTGAGAGAATTTCATTCCTTCATGCTACTTAATCCATGTATTGCGCACGGTGAAACGGGATATGGGGTCTTAGGTATCTAACTAGCGAGCGAGCGTAATACAATAAGCAATTAATTCCAGTACTCCATCAAAAGAGACGTCGCCTGGAAACCGACCTTGCCGTGAGACAGCCTTGTTTGGTTGATTTTCTTTCCTTCCCTTATATAGCTCCTCGGTCATATAAGAGGCCGTGTTTAGCGGCCACCTCGTAAACTATAAAAACTTAGGAATCAAGACGAGATTCTTCTCCCTATTTAACATGCGACTGTAACGGTCCCGAACTAACCATGTGAAACCTTGCCAGCATGGAATGATGAATCTCTACTCAACTTAGATAGTGCTGAGCGGGGCTTACTTTTCGACAAGTTCTAGCCAGCTTGGGTGGCATCAAACGCCTTTCAGTGCGGAGACCAGACCAGCTTCCTCATTCTTGGATTCCGACCCGTCCAGAGGCAAATGCAGCCCCAGCCTCTCACGTGTGGAGTAGGCTAGGATGCTTCCATCTGGACCTGTCTCCGTCACGAGTTCTTTCCGTCGTGTATCCACCAGTAGCCGTATAAGATCAGATCGCATGTAGGCACCTCCAAAGTCGTTGATAGCTTTGGGCAAGTGCGTCTCGTTCAGGTCGATCTGAACATGATAGATTTGTGAGGATCTGGCAACCAAAGAAACAGGCGGGGTAGAAACAAAGCCACTTACATCCGCAACTAGGAGGCCCTCAAAGTCTTTGTCTGCTTTGGCCACGCAGGTTCCGTCAGGAGCGTAAATACGGGAGAATCCATTGTAATGATCAATATTCGCTTCAACCTCAACCCCAGGCGGCGTATTCTTCTTCGCGCCTTCCTTGCTAATAATTTGGAAAGGCGCCAAAGTCCAAGTGCAAGTCTCCATGGCATATGCCGGGGTGATCTGGTCGGCCCATGCGTCTCCGGTATTTGTCTTCGGATCAGGGTCCTTCCTGCTGCCCTCTCCAGGGCCAAGTGGCCATGCGGCAACGTGGATCTGCTCGCCGCAGGCGGCATTTAAGGATTTGAAAAATGGGCTGAAATTCTCCCAGCAGTTCAGTTGCCCGAGTCGGCCGATTTGCGTGTCTGAAACTGACATGAAGCTGTCTCCTGTTCCATCGCCGAAGACGAGCTTTTCGACATGCGTGGGCTTGATCTTACGGCGGTGGTTGATGACGTCTCCATTCGGCGCAATCAGCACTTGCGCCAGGTAACAAGTGGCAAGATCGATTTCAGAGAACCCAAGGGACACGTAGCTAGCCTTCGTCTTAGTTGGGCGCACCGGGTTGTCGGGAGAGGATGATTACATGTGATTCTCTCTTGCCGCCCGCCTGATGCTTCTCATCAATTCGGAGTCCACCTTCAAACTGTTCTCCCGGTATGCTTTGATCAGAGGCAGCGATTCCAGGTAGTTAACCTCGTTATGGTGAGCTGCGCGTCTTCCATCCAATGGTGTCGGTACACTGACCTTCCATAGCCAATATGGATAGCCAGGAATCCCTGAAGGTTCGTTAGTGAGTTTGTTGCGCAATCTTGCTTGAATCATACACGTTTCGGGAAAGGCAACCAGTTTACATCCTGACTTGCTGGCTTCTTTGATCCAATGGATGGTCTTTTGGACACTCAGGTCCAGGTCGAACCACTTCACTTTTGTGAGCTTGCTACATCACTTCTCAGGTGTAGTGAGACGAACTCCCGGCTCAGCAACCACCTAGATAACTGTTAGAAAGGCCTTCAAAAATTGGTTACGCGGGGAAGGGAAACGTACCACAGCAGCTTTATACTTAGTAAGGGTCGGAGGCATCCTGGGGAGGTTCAAAGCGACAGGCTATCTTCGCCGCGGAGAAAACAAGGCCTATCTCCAGAAGTTGAGAGCTTTTGGAAGAGTGGTCTGGAACTCAGTAACGCCATCAGTACAGACATCGAGAAGTTTTGCACCATTTTATAGAACACTCATAGAGAAACTGTTCTCGGATCGAATGCAAACTAAATGCGTACTCATACTGTAACAAGGCAAGGTGGCTGTGCTGTGATGGGCTGTGCTGGGCTGGTAGAGCGGTGGCAAGGTGAAAAAGTTGTCTAGTCACATGTCAAACCTAAATGGGCTGGCAGAGAGGAGGTGCGGAACAGTTTACAGTGCTGGCAGTGTGCCATTCATTTTTTACAGATTGAGCAGAGTATTATGAATTCCATGGCTTTT